CAGTCCTGACCCGAATAAGACCAAACCCGACTTCAGCCCTGCCCGTGTCTTCTCGCATACTTCCGAGAAGACACAGGCACCCGTGGAAGACCTTGATTACGCTCCTTCACCTGAGCCACAAAAACATGCGCCGTACCCCGTCGATGACAACGAGGGAGCTCGATTCCCTGAGCCAACCTTTGACGAGATCGATGCTGTCATGCAACAACTCAACGACGATGATGAGTATGACCATGTCCAGCAGGAGTTTGCTTCAGAGGTTGTCAGCCCCAATGCAAGTGTCATACATCATAGCCCTAGTCGAGATGATAGAGACCGCTCCATGTCTCCTCTTCCAGCGCTGTCGAGAGAGCAAGTCAAGCTACGTCCAGCTCACATCAATCGTCTCAACCGTGGCGAAGAAATTCCCCTAAGCGAGTGGTCTGATGACCTTTCTGTCGATGAGGCGAGCAAGCTTCGCACTCGTAGCAACTTCTTCGACGATAGAGTCGACCAGATTGTTGGAGGTGTCATTGACCACCGCTTGGCGCCTCTGGAGAAGAGTTTGCAGATGATCCACCGCGCAGTGAGCACCATCATGACTCGAGAGCCCCGATCATCAATGAATCGTGCTTTGTCTGTGGACGATAGTGATGCCGACGACGAAGATGAGACCATTGACGAAAGACAACCATTCCGTTCTGTGTCCCGCGCACAAGAAAGGAAAGCAAGTCAGATCAAGGCTGCTGTACTTGAAGCCTTGGCTTCACACAAGGCGAACGGTTCTCAATTTTCGTCCGCCACTGAGATTCAGAACGCGCTCATGGACATGAACACGACTATCGCCCGTATCGCCTCGTCTAACCTCGACATTGACGATGTCAAGCACGTTGTCGACGAGTCACTTCATCGCATGGGCCAGACTCTGACGCCTGCACCGCCAGTGGAGAGTCCAGAAGTGACCCAAAGGCATAGACGAGAAGTCTCTGAGCTGAACAATAGGTTGAACAAGACACTCGCCGATGCACTGGAAGAAGCTAACCAACGTCGCACGATCGAGGAACGTGAAGCTGACACCCGCCGACTACTTCGTCTTGCTGAAGAAGAACTTTCTCTTCTTCGCAAGACCATGGGTGACAAAGAGCAGCGTATCCATTCTTTGGAGAATCAGCGCGAAGAGCTTGAGATCCGTGTCGATGCTGCCGAGGTCACTCACGTGCACGATCGAAAGCAGTTATCGGACTTCGAAGCAGAAAATGCAGCACTCGAGTCTACTCTTGAAGAGTACCGTTTGTCCAGTACCAAGTGGAGAAACGAGGTCGACGAAGTCACTAGCGAGAACGAAGTCCTCAAATCTGGTACTCTTGAACTCAAGCTCCAGCTCGAAGAATCCCAAGAAACCATCAAGATGGCTCGCCAACAATTTGAGGATACAGCTATTGAGAACGCCGCACTCAAGGTCAGCTCAGCTGAGCTCCTGGCACAATTGGAAGACTCTCAAGCCTTTGGCAAACAAGCACGCCAAGCAGCTGATGATGCAGCCATAGAAGCCACGGCGATCAAGGCCAGTGCTGCAGAACTGATGGTGGAGCTGGAAGCATCTCATGCTGCCATGAAGCAGGTTCAAGAAACTGCTGACGATGCAATCGTGGAGAGCACGGCATTGAAGGCCAGCGTCACGAGCTTGGTTGCCGAACTCGAGGATTCTCGTCTGTCTGCAAAGAAGTGGAAGCAAGAAGCTGAAGTTGCTGCTCGTGATAACGCCACTCTCCAGGGAAGCATGTCTGACTTGAAGAATCAGATCGCAGATGGCCTCAACATTCGTGAGAACATGCGTAGCAAACTTGACAAGATTCACCATGGCATGATCTCGGCCGCTGAGCAATTAGCCAACGAAAAGGCGATATGGCAAAACCGCAACGAGGAGCTGCAAAAGAGATATGTTGTCTTGCAAGCTCGTCTAGAAGGTGAGGTCAGCATCAGACGTAGCATGGAAGAAGAGGTTCAGAGCTTGCGTACTCAAGTACACGAGGCTGTCACCACCAAAATCCAGCTCGAACAGCTGCAAAGATCCACCACGTTGCACGAAGAGACATTGAGAACACTCAGAGAAAACCTCACCTCAGAGCAAACGTTGAATGCTCGTTTGCAGCGTGATCTGCATGAGTCTAGAGAGTCTGGAAGAGCCGAAGTTCAACGCACTCAAATGATCATGCAGTCCAGCATCGAAGCAGCCGAAAGCCAAGCCAACATCATTCGTGCTAGCTTGGAGCATGAAATCATGCTTGCTAAAAACGAGATTGACAACATCAAGATGGTCTCGGAAGCTGCTCGCGAGAGACACGAACGCTCACTGGAGCAGGAAGCTGACCTCAGACGTGATGCTCTTCGCAAGGTCAACGAGACCAGCAGTTCTGCTTTGAACGATCTGCGTGAAAAGCATGCGGAGGAGATTAGATATCTCAAGTCACAGTACGAAAGAAGTGTCGCCAACGCCTATGAGGACAAGCAACGTTCAGCGGTTCATTTCAACGACAGACTTGAGCTGTCAAACGACCAAGTTCTGCACTTGCGTGACAAGGTCGCCCATCTGGAGGAACGCTTGAACGTCGCCAAATCTGCAGCGCAGGCAGCTGCCTCCGCTGCTCAAGCTGCGAAGTTTACTCCATCAACTACGCCTGCACCTACAGCTGTATCGCGTGCATCGCGCGAAGAGCCCGAAAAGATCTCTCCCCAAGCCCTTCGCGAGTCTATCCTCGTATTGCAAGAGCAGCTTCAGGAACGCGAAACTCGTATCGAGCGTCTGCAGAGTGAGATTGCAAATGTCGATACCTCGGCGCCTTCCAAGCTCAAGGAAAAGGAAGTCGAGATCTCGTGGTTACGCGAGCTCCTGTCTGTCCGCAATGAGGATCTCAACCAGCTAGTTGATACATTGTCAAAGTCGGATTACGACAAAGATGCGGTCAGGGACTTTGCTATCCGCATCCGTGCCAATCTACAGATGGAGCAACAAGAGAAGGAGCGACTCATCAACGCTGGCCCCTCGCTGACAGGCCAAGCTTTGGCCAACTTGACCAACTTTGCTTCGCCCAAGGCAGTGTCTTTGGCCGCTGCATTCGGTAATTGGCGCAAAAGCAGGGAGACCTCGCGCCCCGCGTCTGCTCCCAAAGCTTCTGCTTCCAGAGCAACTCCTAGATCGACTGCTGCCGCCGCACGTCTGGCCAATGTCCGCACGCAAACACCTTCCAAACCAGCATCTCTAGCATCGCCATCCATGCTGTCTGGTCTCATGACCCCTCCCGCCACAAACTTTCGTCGCACCCCTAGTCCTGCTGAAGAGCCAAGTGGATCACAGCGCTCGAGTCTTAGCTTCTCCAATGGTCCACAGCAAGCCAACAACGAGACGAAGATGAGCTATTTCGATACAAAGTCCAACGAGCAGGTCGAAGGCAGTCCTATGGTCTTCAGACGTCAAAGCTATGATGAAGATGCACAACTTGGCGATGTTGATGCTGGTATAGGAGCCGACGATGAGGACGAGCAGAACACGGTCATTATGGACGATGAAATCCAGCGTCCTCTCGATCAGACACCCGAAGAGCTAGTTGGCAGAAGTCTGGCCAATGAGCTAGAGGCAATGTAAGTTATCGCCTGTGGACAATATCTGTTGAAAGAGGTGAAAATATATCTTGCCGGAAGCGTTTATTTCCTATGTCTTTGTTGATTGAGTACCCCGAAATTGTGATAGCATAGTTTGATTTGTACTTTCCTTTGCACCCTCCTTTTTGCATTTGTTTCTGGGCGCGAGATACCCATGGCCGCAGCAGACAGCTATGCGTTGTCGATTCGTTACAATACTTGTATCAGTCTGAAAAGAAGCGGTGATTGCAATTCTGGTTGTTCACTCTCTTCTCATATACATATAACCAAGCATAGTCATTTGTACATATAGTCTCTTTACCGCTTCTACTAGTACACATCTGTACTCTGAGACACAAGTTCTTCAGAAAGGTTAATTTTGTGATTGATTGTTTTATCAATAGCTTCTCCAAGCATAAGTGGTCCGCATTGCGTATCTTCCTTTTCTCAACCCTTTTCAATACCGAGATTTGTGATAATGCCAGTCGCAATAGAACGCCGCGCTTGTGGAAATGGAGGTTTGTGCCTCAGGAATGAACGCCGGATGGTTGAGTGGATGTGGGTCGAGTGGTCGTTAAGACCTTAGTGCAGGAAGGGCGGGATGCGCGCATGGTGATGGACGTGTCGGAAGTTCGAGATTGTCGTGTCGGCGCAGACCGTACTGGAAAAGGCGCGTAGTGTCGCGCGCAAGAAGAGATTTTGTAGCAGAGATGGACGGGTAGTTTAGCGGGCCTCGAACTGGATCATGCTGCAACAAATGTCAGAAGGTTAAACAAGAGCAACGCGATCGGGAAAAGACATACCGGTTCGTGCGCTGCTTGTACAGGACGCGGTAACCGCACTCCTTGCAACGGATGGGGTCGCCGCGCTTGAGCGAGACTTCGGCATCGCAGTCACCGCACAGGTACTTGACGCTGCGGTTGGTGTCCTCGAAGGTGTTTTGGTTTGTGATCTGGAAGCCAGTGTTGTTGTTGGTCTGTTGTTGCGACATGATTGCGGATGTGTGTGATGAGATCGTTGTTGACGGCAGTGATGGACTTTGATGGATGATGGGCAAAGAAAGATGCGACTCGGCCTTGGCAGAGCTTCCGGACGGCGGAGAAGGCGCGGCGACAACGGCGGGCAGGGACTCGCGTGCCACTGCCGATTGCGTCGGTGGTTTCCATTTGCAATGCTGACCAACTGAATTGTTTTCCTATCGCTCTTTCCTTCTCCGCCTGCGTTGCCTTCTGATACCCGTGTTTCTTATGACTGTGTTTCTTCGAGCGTCGTTCTTTCCTTTTTAGCATCCTCATTTGCTCATTGTCCTCTTCTATTCCATTGAACTCGTAGATTCAACACCCCACCATTGCGACCCCCGCCACATACGAAGAATCGCAAACATGTCGGCCATCTTATCCGCTGACGACCTCAACGACTTCATCTCCCCTGGTGTCGCTTGTATCAAGCCTGTAGAGACCCTCCCAAAACAGCAACCACAAGAAAATGCCTACGAGGTCACGACCGAAGACAAGATCGCTGCCGCCGAAGCCCCGCCAGCCAGCATTTCCTTGACCGATTGTCTCGCATGTAGTGGTTGCGTTACTTCAGCAGAAGCTGTCCTCGTCAGTCTACAATCGCATCAAGAAGTTTTGAACACACTAGAGGCATACCCTGAACTGCGCTTGCCTTGGACCGCTCCAGGCGAGTCTCTACCAGGTCCCTCGGATGGCAAGGTCTTTGTCGCAAGCGTGTCGCCTCAGACTCGCGCAAGCATCGCCGCTACATATGGTGTTTCCGAGACCGCGGCTACAAACATGATCCAACAACTTCTCTCTGGTCCAGCGGGTCTGCGATCGGGCGGCGCAAACAACAGTGGTTTCGCCTGGGTCATTGACACGAATGTTATGCGTCAGGCTGCTCTGGTTGCTGCAGCCGACGAGGTCATGGATTCTCTGGCACCATCAGCCAAACACACAACTGACTTTAGTGGATCGCGCGCCGAGAAACCCAAGAAGCCCATCCTTGCCTCTGCCTGCCCTGGTTGGATCTGTTACGCCGAGAAGACACACCCTCACGCACTACCACACATGTCACGACTGAAATCACCACAAGCCTTAACCGGTACATTGATCAAGAGCGTTCTTGCAAGGAAATATGGGGTCAACCCTGACAATGTGTGGCACATGGCAATCATGCCTTGTTTCGACAAGAAGTTGGAAGCATCAAGAGAAGAATTGACAGATATACATTGGTCTCCTGATGGAGCGAACAGCGAAAGCAAGGGCATTCGCGACGTCGATTGTGTAATCACTGCTCGCGAGCTTCTCATGCTGGCCGAGAGTCGCGGCATTTCCTTTCCTCAACTACCGCAGAAGCCCCTGTCGAGACAACAGCGCACGCCTTTTCCTGAATCTAAACTGGACCGCTTCCTCTTTCCTTCCACTTCTACTCCCAATGGCACACGAGATGCTGGCACTAGTGGTGGATATCTCTGGCACGTCATGCAAACGTATCGCGCACAACATCCAGGCAGCCAGATCACTGTTCAACGAGGTCGCAATGCTGATGTTGTCGAGTATACTTTGGTTGACTCAGAAAACGCTGCCATCGTAAGATCTGCTCGATACTACGGTTTCCGTAACATCCAGAACTTGGTCCGCCGACTAAAGCCTGCACGCGCATCACGTATGCCGGGTGCGGTAAACAGACTTGCTGGTGCCCGCAAGCCTGGTGCAGCGGCAGGTTCCGCGGGAGGTCAGAACCTGAGTGACTACGCATACGTGGAAGTTATGGCATGTCCTGGCGGCTGCACAAACGGTGGTGGTCAGATCAAGGTTGGAGATGTAGGAGCTCTTCGAAGCAGTGGTGTAGAGAATGGAGGCGACCAGGAAGTTGCTCCTCAACAGAAGGAGTGGCTGCAAAAAGTGGACGAAGCATATTTCTCATCCTCGTCTGCATCGTCATCGCCATCACCTTCAGATACAGAGGATGAAGGCGTTGAAGACGTAGACGCCTCATTCGCAGTCACAACAGCGAAATCTTCTGCTAATGGCGACGTGGAGATGGAAGATGCAGAGGATGCTTCGTTAGTAGATGGCATCTCACACTCGCGGATCAAGGATATCTTCTCGCATTGGTCTGAGCTCACAGGAGTAGCAACAGACAAGCTAGTATATACCTCGTACCGCAAGGTCGAGAGTGACATTGGCAAGGCCACAGATGTAGAAAGAGTGGCTGGTCTTGCTAGCACTATTGGTGGTGGATGGTAGATAGTCTTGCTCTCATGTCATGATGATTGCTTCTTAAATCTTTATCACGTCCAGACCTGCTGCTTTTCCAACACACTTGCTTCTTTCTCTGACACGTACTGCTTCTCCTCTTGCCTCTTCTTTGCCTTCGCGAACCACATCCATCTACCAAAACCCGCTGCACCCGCAACGACCATTGGAACAAACATACACACCATCTCCCACTCCATAGACCTCTCCACATTTGCTCCTCCCCTCGCCACCTTGACGAACCAATCTTTAGAGTCCAACAAAGCATTCACATATAGAAACGCATACATAGCCCAAACAAATCCACTCCCATATTCATTCTCTTTGGCCACACCTCCTTGCTCTGTAGTAGCCAGCGTGGGCACTTTATTCCGTCTATCCACGAGATTTTTCTTTGCTTGTTGCCATCCACCCACTTTCGTTTGGAAGATGTAGATGGTAGCGCTTATCCCCATTCCCACTCCTGCCAACACTTTAACCCAGAATTTCGTCGTTTCTGATGCCCACAGTGGGGACATTTGAGGCAGATGCAGGGAGCAAAAGCGTCGTAAGAGAAATCTGAGGAGGGTGTAGAGCAGAGAAGAAATGTTCGTAGTTGCGTCAGTGGCCATAAAAGCTGCCATGCTGAATACACATGTTGTGGTTATGAGATGCAAAGATAGGGATATGGTTGGTGCAAGGCGCAGATAAGTGTATGCTTTTGGCAAAAGCCTGACGGCTAGGAGGAGGTTGTAGAAGAGGAGCATCATGGGTGCGTTGTTATCTGTTGCCATGATGGGGGATTGAGATGATGGGTTTGAGGACGGAGTGTTTGTAGTCTAAGTCTCGGGATTTGTGGACCGAAAAGGGTTTGTCGGTGGTCTGGATTTGTGGATGATAGTGGTTTTGATACCATACAGACACGAGTCCAAGGAAGGATTCAAAATGTGGGACTTCGATTGGATATTGCCGTGTCATGATTCATGTCAAATGGTTTCTTGCCAGAGTAGCACGGGGGCTCTTTGGTGTTTGGTCTTGACTATATCCGAAGCGACTGCAACAATTACTGGTCGAGTACAGATGTCTGCTTCGTGGCCGATTCGTTTGAGGCGGGATAGGAAATCACCAATCTCCACTACATCTCTTCAGATCATAGGATGCATCACAAAGTCGCAAGCAAAGGCACCCTATCATACGTCTAGTGATATCTTTTCATTTCAATGTTTTCGCAGGAAAAAATCGGGGGAATCCGTGGTATTTTTACAACATGCTTTTTGGTTACTCATCTCTTAGTGACCGTGACCATCATCACCACCCTGGTTCTCTGGGTCAAGCTTGATCATCGTGTCGATTCTCATAATGGCCACACAGGCCTCGACAGCACTCTTCAACTGCTTGACCTTGCTCATGGCGGGCTCCAAGACACCCATCTTCAAGCTGTCGACGACGCGGCCCTTGGTAAGGTCGAGACCGTAGTTCTTGTAGTTCTTCTTCTTGGCGAGCGACTTCTCGTCTTCGGTGGCGGGTTGTACGGTGGCTGCGGTGTGGGCATCGCCGCTACCACCTTCAGAGGCAGAGAGGCGTTGTGACAGGGCGTGACGACTGCGGAGTTGGGCGACAAGTTCGGAGCTGTCCTTTGCGGCGTTGACGGCGAGGGTGGTGGGGATGATGAGGAGGGATTGGGCGAAGGCGCCGATGGCGAGTTGCTCGCGCGAGCCCNNTGATATAGAGTTAGCATGAGTTCAAATGAATAGTAGAGAGAGGGTACGTACGACTGAAGTGGCCCACTCCTCGAGGTAGATGTGCAGGGCAGTCTCAACAGCACCACCACCAGGGACGATACGGCCGCTCTCAAGAGTACGCTTGACAGCAGAAAGCGAATCGTGAACGGAACGCTCCATCTCATCGAGCGAGTACTCGTTGGGACCACGAAGAATGATGGAAGCAGAAGTGTGAACCTTGGTACCCTTGACAAGGATACACTCGTCGTCTGAAATGCGCTCCTGGACAACCTCCTCGGCATGACCAAGGTTGCTGGCCTCGAATTTCTCGTCACCGTTCAAGTCGGACAGAGAAGAGACGAGGGTGGCACCAGTGGCCTTTGCGATACGGCGGAGATCCTCTTTCTTGCAGCGGCGAACAGCCATGGCGCCCTTCTCAATGAACGACTTCAAGCACAGGTCGTCGATACCCTTGGTGGTGAAGATGACGTTGGCGCCAGATTTGAGAATCATGTCGACACGCTCCAGGACAATACCAGCCTCACGCTCGCGGATCTTCTCGAGTTGTGCCGGGTCGTCGATGGTGATATGTACGCCCAACTTCATGCGCTCCTTCTGCAGGTTCATGTCGAGACAGGCAATCTTTGCGTCAACGACACGGGTGTTCATGGCTTGACTGGCCACGGTGCAGTTCAGGGCGTAACCCTTGACCAGGACACTCTCCAGGGCACTCTTTCCGTGGGCCTTGAGCACATTGACAGCTTTGACGGGGTACTTGATGTCGCCGCGGCTGTTGATGGTCTTAACGCTCTGCATGGCATCCACGACCATGTTGGCGAAGAAGTCCGAGTCGGCGCCGATGATCTTGCTGCTCATGCTGGTCTTTGCAATGGACATGAGCGACTCGCGGCCCAGAGTGTCAACCTTGGTGGCAATGTTCTCGCTCATGTAACGGACGGCCTCACGCAGGGCTAGGCGGTATCCAGTAATGATGGTTGTGGGGTGAATGCGCATCTTCATCAACTCGTTGGCGCGGCGCAGCAGCTCCGAGGCGATGAGCACGACTGATGTTGTTCCATCTCCAACCTCCTTATCTTGTTGCTGGGCCAGGTCTACCAAAATCTTGCCGGCCGGGTGCGAGATGTCGAGTAGGGAGAGAATCGTTGCGCCGTCGTTGGTAACTGTAACATCACCGATGTCGTCCACCATCATCTTGTCCAGTCCACTAGGTCCGAAGGATGACCGCACCACGTTCGATATCGCTTGGGTTGCTTGCACGCATTGGTCTCGTACGTCTGATCCGCTGATTTTTGTTCCGCCCAGGACNTGTTTCGAGGTTAGCGAATGCCTCTTGTGAGCGCTCTTGATATCCAGTGACTAACACAGAGTTCCGGCGTTCCTCGGGGCTTCAAACATCTGCATATTGAATGTTTGCGATGTTGATATACTCGTGCTATAAATTTGTCAACTTCCGACTCCCAAACAGCCCTGAGGGCCAAAGCTCTGCCACAACGCCAAGCCGGAGGCACACCGCCAGCTTGCGGCGACTTCCTCTCCGACCTCCTCTACCTCCAGATGATGCCTTCCAGCTTTACATGTCTTTATGTAAACCCTTAAACTGCCATCATGGGTGCCTGCTCAGCTTGTTGCGCCCTGCGAGACGCAATGGGCCGAATACTTCCAAGTGGTTCCCACAATTCACGACCCCATGTCTGCTCACCTCACGACCTCCTCTCACGCGAGTTATCGATACCGAGGAGTGAAAGGTCGCAGAATGTGCCATTCGATCAAAGGCAAAGAGTATAGTCTGGATTCAGGGCCAAAATGTGAACAAATCTGGTCATTGATCAGTGAGAAGCAGATTAGTGGATGTAGAGTGGTTGTAGAGCAACGTAGACTCTCGGCCCCAGGTTGGTATACACAACAGGTAATCAAGAATACAATCGGTTCTGGATGTCGGTAGCGACAAGCCAATAGGTTGCCTGCAGCGACTCAAGACACCCAATAAACCGGGACCTGCTGGAAGCAAACGGAAGGTGCAAACGCTCCATTACTCCTCGACCCTTTCACTCCCATCACTTGAGCGACGGAAATTTGAAGACCAAGTCAGCACCAGCCGATTCAGCGCTCAGGGTGTTGTTTGTTCATCCACAACACATCCACGCCTGAACAAACCAACGAGACCAAGACAACCGTCTGTCTTGTTCTGTCTTTCATCCTCTTTTCCGGAACCACAACAATCTTCACTTCGTACAACTTTCTACACATCACTTAGACCTCGCCTTATGGATTTCCTTTAGAATCCCTCACTTGCTTCAACTTTATCTCCTCCTCTCTCCATCGGCAAGATGACGGAGGAGCTGTCCGTCGAGGAGTGCAAGGCGCACATCAGCGACATCCGCAACAGCCATGGCGCAGACGCGCGAAACGAGAGCGAGCGTTTCCTTCGCAGAGGCTATGAGAGCATGTTGAAATTGTAAGTCTGACTGCCATCTTTCATAAACTTCACATTGTTGACACGACTCAGGTTGTCTGCACAACTATACAGCGAGCCGAGCTATTTTCTCTTCGAGCTCATCCAAAATGCCGACGACAACACCTACGCCGACGGTGACCAGCCCCAAGCCACTCTTGCATACCGCTCTGACGGTCTGCTGCTATTTGGTTGCGACGAACAGGGCTTTTCCAAGGCCAACGTGAGCGCCATCTGCGACATGAACCAAAGCACAAAAGCTCTTCTGAAAGACGGCAAGAAGAGCTGCATTGGCGAGAAGGGCATCGGCTTCAAGTCCGTTTTCAAAGTGGCCGACCAAGTTTTCATCAGGTCCAATAACTTCTCCTTCATGTTCGATAAGAATACGCCACTGGGCATGGTTGATCCTGTATGGGCTAAGTTTCCAGACTTCCCAGAACAATTTCAGATGAACACCATGATCTGCTTGAAGATCGAGAAGCAGGAGGATCGTGATGTGGTCAAAGAACAGCTGACTAAAGTCCTCGAACCTTCATCATTCATGTTTCTGCGTCGTCTTACCAAGGTCAGAGTTGTTAGGCTCGAAGACTCCGGTGACACTTTCGACGAGCTGATCATGTCTCACGATCACCGACCATTCACCGACGACCTTCAGATTGTCACTACAACGAAAAGCAAGGGCACAAAGTCATGGAAATCGCGCTACATCCTCTCTGACTACATTGCTCGTGGATGGCCTTCGACCGAGCTTAGACAGGGTGTTACCGAGACATCGATCAAGCTGGCATCTCCCATCAACGATCAGCAACAACCGCTCATCGCCAAGCGCGACGTCTATGCTTTCCTGCCCGTCTGCTCCTCTGGTCTTCCCTTCCTTATCCAGGCCGACTTCTTGCTTGTTGCCAGCCGACAAGGTATCGACGAGTCTCAACCTTGGAACCGTCGCCTCCAAGATCATGTGACTTACGCGCTCATTCAGGCCTTCCAGCGACTCAACGACACTCGCTTGAAGCATCTCTAGCCTGATTATCTTCCGGAAGCTCAAGTTGCTCTCAAATTCTTCGACAAGTTGAAAGACAAGTTCTTGGACCGCGTCAAGGATGTCAAGATTCTGGAATCGCGATCTGGTGAACTTGCCAAGCCCAAGGTGATGATGTTGGTACCTGATCAGTACAAGGACGAAGATGGAACTCCTCTATTGACGCCTGCCAACGACCGATACCTCTCTACCAGGTATGATACGAGCCACGTCTCTTCGCTGGTCACACAGGCATTGGACGACAAAAAGTTCTTCGACATGCTCAAAACCTACGTCTCGAAACAGGCTGAGGAGTTTCGCACTAAGTCTGACGCATGGCACGGTAAAGTCTCCATCGTCCTAATGGCAGGACAGAAGCAGTTCAATCTTGATGGACTGCTGATCATGCCTGTCGTTCCTCTCGACGATGGCTCCTGGATTAGTGCCATGAGCCGTCACAAACCTTCTTATTCCAGGGTGGCCAACAGATCAGCGCCGTCTACGACCTTCTATCTGCCACGCTCTGATGCTAACATTGTCATTCCGAAGGGCGTGTCGCTGTCTATTGTTGAGCACAAAGCTTCTCGCAATGAAGAGCGCAGGGTCTTCTTCCATCGTATCGGGGCTCAGGACCTCGACTACGAGGACGTGCTTCGAGGCATAATCAAGCAACACAAGGAATCATTAGCCAACGCTGACGTCGACCTGTTGCTCTCTCATGCCCAGTATGTCTTCAGCATGCCGTCGGCGTCAAGGTTGGCGCAGAACTTGAGTACGATCCTTTGGCTGGCAGACTCGCGGGGCGAGCAGTCTCGTGGCATTGAGCTCCATATGGATGACCCATTCAAGACGGCAGTCAGTCAAATGTTTTTGGCCAATCCTACGGTGGCTCGTTTCATCCATCCCAAGTACTTGGAAGTTTACCAAGGAAACGTAGAGCTCCGTACCAGATGGTTGGCCTGGTTGCGTGAGTGTTTGGGGGTACACGATGTTCCTCGCTTGTCGAACAAGACGAACAAAGGCCTATCGGCCGAGTTCGAATGGCTCGTCAACAACATCCCGAGTGCACAGTGGCTCGCTATCATCAGACATAACTGGGACGACTACCAGCTCAATCAAGTTCCAAAGCCAGGCGACATGAGGATCCCGAGCGAAGACGTCCGCAACAAGATTGCATCTCTGCCTGTGGATTGCACTGACGGTAGGAGAGCGAAACTTCAAGACACTATCCTTCCGACTTTACGCTCCGCTGTCATGACAATACAGCACATGGGCTTCCACTTCCTTGATATCAAGGATGAACACAACAGCGAGTGGGTCAAGTTTTCGACCTTTGGTGTTATCACTCATCGTGATCTGGATTTCTGCCTGAAGTTATTGATGAAATTTCCGGCAAGCGGGATCACACCTGACAAGATGACTGTCATCAAGTTGTACAGAGATATCCACATGTTCTGTGAGTCGAGCATGAGTGCGAGGGAGCGTACTCGTGCTGCTTTCAGGGATCATCCCCTGATTTTCCTGCCTGACACTTCGAAATGGGCCCACCTGCAAACCTGCGTTTGGGAAGCTCCTCCGTGCCTGCGCAAGGTCCGTCCCATTGCACACATCTATGGGCCTGTCCAATCGTTTTTCAAGAATATTCTCAGCTTGCATGATGCTGGTATTGGAGATTTTGTCAACGAACTGATCACACATGACAACGTCATCTCTTCTATCGCTCTGCTCAAGGAGCTATTGCTCGAGCTTGGCAGCAGGATAAACCCCCATATACAGTATGATCTGAAAGCCCTGGACAGTCGTAGGATCTTTCCTGTCGTCAACGCACAGAAGCAGCGAATCCTCATGGCTGGAACCGATCCACAATGGTTCATCCCCGATGGTCGGAATCTGATCACATCTTTCAGTGGCATCATACCTCTTCTAGAATTCTCACTTGGTGAACAAAAGAGACTGGAATCACTTTTTGAGAAGATGAGTATCTGGGGCAAGCATCTCTCTGAAAAGGTCACGAAGCGAGAAGTCGTCGAAGGGAAGGATGAAGCCATGAAGGACGCAGTCCATACCAGAAAGTTCCAGGTGAAGGCACACTATCTCTTGTGTCTGACGAACCCAGCCGAGAGATACATCCTAAAGCCTTTGCTCGAAAGTACAGAGATTTGGGCTGTAAAGTCGATCAAAGTACACCGCGCTATTCGCCTGGACAACCAGGAGATCTGTGGCAGACCTATGCCAGCCAACATCATGCTAGACAAGGACCAGCGAGTCTTCGTGCCTATGAAGGATCTTGAGGACAACGTGCTCAATTACTATGAGCTCTCAGAGAAGTTGATCACCCTGTGCAAGCTCGAGAAAGTGGCCGAAAAGCTACCACTTGGCATTCTCTCCATGTCATCCATCCAGCAAATTGAGGATATGCTGGAGGAGCATGGTGTCATATTTGACAAGCTTGAACTACGCAAGCTGACCACCAAGGTCGTTGACGAACCGGCCGGAGCCATGCTGTCTTCCAGGCGCAAGCCCGTTGAAGATAGTCCCNCGGAGATGACTACAAACGATGGTTCTTCGACTTCTGGTGATAGTGATTTGTCTTCTCTGGCCGCCCTCAAGGATATTGGCGTTCATGTCAAGCTTGCGCGCAGACCAAAGCCTGTCGCAGTTCCTCGTGGCAACGATCGCAACCCCAATGGAAGACCTCGCATTGAACGAGAGCTCAGCACTGACGACAATGACACAGAGCAGCACTCTGACGACGGAGATTGGGATAAGGACTCGGCACCTATGTCGACTCGTGCTGCTCCTTCCAGAAGATCTGCCAAGCCTGGCAACGGCAATGGAAATGATAATGGTAATGGCAACGGCTATCATATGAGGTCGAACTTCGGCAACAGCAATGCCATGTCTGACGAGGATATCAACGAAATCGACGGTGAGGCAAGTGAGGACAGCACATACTTGACTCAGCGGACACAGACTTCCGAGTATCGCAAACAGCTGAGCGTTGCACAAACCACTGTGGAAGACCCCCAGGCTATTCGGATTGGTGAGCAAGGTGAAATGAAGGTAAGCAATTAACCAGATTTTGCTCAAAAGCGTATGCTAATCGTAACAGATGNNTACCTATTTCTCAAAACCCTTCTGGGCGACTACTTCACAGACGATATGTGGACGAGTCATGCTAGTACCAAATACACTGATCTGACGTTCAGCGGTAACGACAGCCAGTTTACTGACTTCACTATTCGTAATCTCAGTGGTCGTATGACAGACTGGCTTGTTGAAAAAGGCTGCAAGCAACCCACAGCATGGATGGGGAAGAATGACAAGGACGCAATTACATACTCTATCGAGGTCAAGGCTACCTATGGTCCACGTCATGAGCCATTCCACATGAGCCAGAATCAGATTGACATGGTACGTTGATGTCCTCGTGCTATCAACAACAAGTACTGACTTATTGCAGGCAAGGAGTATCGCCTGCAGGGCGGCGAAGTTCCGAACAGAGTTTACGTGATCATGCGCGTATCGAACTTGGCAGGCAATGGCAGCGGTGGCATTGCTCAGGTCCATCCTTTCGTCGATCCATACAGTCTGTTTGAGCAGGGCGATCTGAGCTATATCTCTCAAGGAGGATACCTGGTCTTTTCTGATTTGAAGTCTGCCTGATTATCATCACAAGACGCCACGATCGAGCATGATGAGTGAGAGAAAATTTATCAGAGGTCGACGAGGCACGTTGTAACGAAGAATTCAGGGGCAGATATGTGGGCAAGGTGGGTCTGTTGAAAGGCATGTCGTCGCTACTAGAGTCTTTGCTCAGATGGACTTTTCGTAGATGTCACGGACCGATGAAATACACAAGCACCCGCTTCGATATGTTCTTCTCGTGGTTCTTAGTATAGAAGGAGTTTTCCAAGAATGTTGCCCTTGATACAGCTTCTGCGCTTCCGTACGTGAGGCAAATGTATAAGCCAAACATCACACGTATAGTAAATCATCAGCTGCGGAAGCTTTTTTCGGTGGCTATCTGTTGATAATGACAAACTCTATTCAATGAGAGTTCCGAAGCATAGACGAGCTGAAAGCGCTCAACGGAGTTCAATCCCAAGCAACAAGATACGGTGCATCACACCGGTTTGACGTTCAGTGTAGTATTCAGTGTAGTATTCAGTGTAGTATTCAGTGTAGTATTCAGTGTAGTATTCAGTGAGAGCACTAGTGGGAATGCTTTCGATAAGTGATCCTGCGCATACGAAAGACATTGTGCTTTCGACAGCCATAATATAGCTTGTGTTTTCTCGAGACAGTTCTGGGCCGAATATAATCTCTCCAATGAGCGTACAGAGTAAAGGGCATTCGAATTGAATTAAATCCGGAAGTCAAAGCGACAATGTGTCTCTTGAGAAGATCTCGGCTTTGCGCAAGGCGTATATGATGGCTGTCTGCCAAGTTCAATGGCTCAGCTTGATGAAGATAATGAACGAGGACATGTCGATAGTGCTCGATGGAGACCGGCTCCGGCAACAATATAGTATGCATGGTACCAAACTAATACAGGCAAGCTGTCCCAGCAAAATTTCCTCAGCTCTACAGCCCTCTTGTACTCCTCATATTAAATTGCACGAAGGTGAGAATGATGCAGGACGAGACCTAGGGCCGGACAAGATTGGGTCAGGGTCGACGACAACGCTGCTTAGTCATCATGTACATGAAGCTGCCTGTCTTTGCCAGCCTTCTCTAATGCTCCTTTCATACCTAGTCACGAAGTGCAATCTTCGCGGAGTTAGGCTAGAAAGATACTCGGCATCTAGATTCAATGCATACTACGAATTGACGTTCGAGGCCTGTGAGATAAGAGGATCGACCCTAATAGCAGAAGTCTTCGATTACGATCGCGCCAAGACTGTGAGAAGGTTCAGAGCTCTATGAGTCGAAGCAATCGCGTTGGCAACCATCCGTGACGGTGCCCTCTTTCACTCCTTCTGTACAGACACTCACATTATCTCGCTCAGTGACAACAAGCTCAAACCATACTTCATTCCGCGGTTCGTAGCCAGAAGGAATTACATGTCGTCGCCATGAACCGCCATCGATCACGCCCAGTGCGCTGTCCTGATATGGCAATCTATGACCCGATTCACAGATTTGCGTGCTTGTATGATGGTAGGTTCACCAACGTGGGGCAATCTGATCGATGATCAGCTCTTTTGCTGAGCGTCTTCCCGATGTTCACAACACAGCGAAGATCATGCATTGTTGGCTCCGGACTGGACTAAGACATCATCGATGGCAGTGAGGTATGTATCGGCGGACGGGTCACGGTCTAGGGCGGTGGTGATGATCAGCTAGCTGCTTGGTTATACTTATAGGCCGCCGTCTTCGTGCTGGCGACGAATCAATCCAGGCAACGCTTCTCAGTTCAGTATTTGTTACAATGAGATCTTCCATTCCTGTATTGACCTTTGCCGCCGCTGTGACTGGTGTGCAAGCTTATCAACAGCAACTTGACATTCCCGATTCCGCATTCACATCGTGGCAACTTCCTACTGCCGTATCAGGGCCATGCGACGTCTCAATTGGACCGGATAACTTTGTATACGTGCAGGAGTTCTTCGCCAACAAGATCGCGCGATTCAATCAAAACACTGGTGAATTCACGGAGTATGACATTCCATTCACTGTGCCAGGATTAGATAATTTCACTTTACCACTACCTGGTCACGCAAAGTTCGAGCTTCTATCGTGCGCCATTCGTACTGGTTATGATGGATACATGTACTTCAGCAATGGCGCTCATAACCAGCTCGTGCGTCACGATGTCCACAGTGGTGAGACAGTTGTCTTTACTCCCNCACCATCGCTCTTGAGTATTCTCGGAAATCTTCAACCTCTGAACGACTTGACTGCCGCTCCGGATGGCATCTATTTCACGCAGACCACTGGCAACCAGGTCACCAAGTTCGACTACGGAACACATGAATTCACCTCTTGGACTGTACCTACGCTTCTCTCTATTCCTCTTGGCATCTATTACTCCCAACACGATGACGGCATCTGGTTCCTGGAATTTGGCGCTTCAAAGGTCGGTCGCCTGGATCGCCGTACTCACGAGATCGAGGAGTTCGACCTGCCCCTAGATGCGCTACAACCTCTAGTTGTGCGTGCCGAAACTGTGAACGAAGATGGCAGCACGACTCTCTGGTTTGCATGCACGACTTCATCCACGATAACTGGTATCAACACCCGTACTGGGGGTGTGACTGTATATCACGAACCCAACGCTCCCACGGAGACCGTCGAGGTAGCTCAGGATTTGAAGGGAAATGTGTGGGCAACGCACATCTTGCAGAACACTCTGGGCGTGCTCAATCCAAAGACAGGCAACGTCAGCGTTGTTGTCGAACCCAGTGTCATCCTTGACACTCCAGGAATCACAGTCCCATTCTATGGTGAAAGCGGCATCTTCGGATACGCTGTCGGCCAGCCACCAGGTCAAGGACAGAAAGATGTTCTCGGCGACTCAATCTGGTACACGCATTTCTTGACGAATCAACTGATCAGGCTGGATCTGACAGATGTGGAGGTTCCTTGAGGATGGGCACAAAGGAAGGCAGTTGCTGGGTACATTCAGACGCACTGTCCCGGCACAAGGAGCAGCAGGGACCACGTTCCCGCCCGAAATAAGGTCAAAGATTCGCTGGGTTGAGTGCAGGAGCGATGATAGACAGAATGCGTTCTTTCCATCACATACAGTGATGTCTTTTCGAAGGCTCGAGTCAGTCATACAGTATCCCTGCTGCAGATCGAACGTCATGCTTCCCACCCGAAGCACGGCCCATATGCAAGATCATGTTTTTGATACTCGTTATTAATAGCAGGGCGCTTAGCAGAAAGATCTTCGTGTACGTAGTGGACTGTTCAAAAACATCTTCTCGACTTTTCTCAACTCCATCTTACCTACCTAGCAGTTGCTTTATCACCACCAGCAACATGCAACTCTCCCTTCAGAGTATCCTGCTTTTGGCTACTACAGCCCTTGGCCAGACTGTTTGTCCAGCTTCCTCCATCTTTCGAGTAAACTCGGTCCTTACGAACACCACCAACCTCAACAACACTGCAACCTCTTTTGGCTACGTTAGTTCATCATGGTGGTATTCCGCTCGCTACCATGCCGTCCTCGACCCTGAGGACTCGTGGACTATAACCAAAGCCTACGTCACCGACATCTACAATCACACTATTTCGCGCCTTGAGTTCCCTGAGCGAGACTATGTGCACTCGATGGGGCTCAGATTGAGTCCTCTGAGTGCGGTGACACCTGCAGCCTTTGTAGAGATCAATGGGGAGGGGAGCNCAGACCCTGATATCCAAGGTGGAAGCGAGGGCGTGTACTACGATGACGCTGGAAAGATCAGATACGCGGGGCCTGATGGCAAGAAAGTGCATTGGCATGGTAAGCTGCTTCCTATTTTTGATAACTCTTACTTGTGTTTGTGCGAAGACTAACTGGTTTGCANNGGTTGCCCGAATCGTGATCTGGACGGGGAAAGCAATGTCACGCAGTTGGGATATAGATTGCATAATGCGACTGTGCCGAAAGGTTGCTATGATATTGATCTTGTCATCGAGTATATGGATGGTTGGAACACGCCTACGGGGTTGCCGCCGAAGTGCTGGGATCATGTGTGAACGGACAAAGGTAGATGTACGGGGCTTTTCAGAGAACATGACGTTCAATAAAGTCAGCATGCTAAAGAACATGTTTTTTATGTCTTTTACGTATGCGCAAGACATTCAGTTATAGTAACGAAGATACGCAATACTTCTTCTTAATGGCAAGAAAGTGGTAAGCATGGAGAAGATCTTCTCTCAGGGCATCTCCATGGCCACGCTTCCGTTTGGATAGCAAGTGTGACTTTGTATAGCTTACGATTTTACTGTACGCCCGCATGAGAGGGACCACTCGGGGCTGTGGCATGTGGAAAGGCGTTTCGCTTAGGATAGCATATTGTCCATACTCAACTAAATGCCTTCGACAATCCACTATGTAGAGATTCATAAATGACCTCTTTTACGTGTGGTTGATCAGGATGCAGTTAGGTTCGTGCTCAAACACAACTACTTCCGTCTCAGCCGTCCGAATCACGTACGCAAGATACTAAAAGATGTAGATAGCAAGCCCACGTGGCACAAATGAGTCAAATAGGGCAGCCTCAACTCTATACCTCTCTCCAACGCACCTTCCCATTTCCCCATCACATCTCAGCCGTTTGCAACATCCATCTCGACAGACATATATACATAAAGAAACCAATCTCTGCACCACTCCAACGCAACCATCAGAGATGAAGGATATCCACGGACTCTCTTCACTCCAAGCCAACAAGGACTTGTGGTACAAAATCCATATTCTGGTCTACGATCTCTGCAACATCGCCACCAATCGCACAGCAGAATTACGTACACTGGCAACAACAGACGAGCTATACATCAGCACTCCCTACTTTACCCTCGAGGAAACGAGCCTGATAAAACAGACAAAAATCCCACCACCGACTCTGCAAGAAATACCAGAGTTTGAGGGACCGCAAGATGAGGAAGCTACTGCTGAAACCCCTCGACTGGGGACTCCANCATCCGCACATCTTGTGACCATCGAAGAAGCCATCAAAAACTGCCTCAAGAGCTTTNTTGAGAAGAGGAGGGCAAATGGAGATGCAAGGCCTTGTGGCTCACATGATATGGGTCCGATATATCTTGCAGTATTTGCGACTGCGAAAGCAGAACTCAAGGATGAGAAGTTTNTGAGTCGATTGAGACGGTCAGGATTGCCAAAGTTGGAAATGATGGAGGAAAAGCAAAATCACAAGGAGCAAACGACGAAAAAAGGAGGCAAGAAGGGCAAGCGTAAGAGTTAGAAGAACCTTGTCTAGCGCAATATCCAACGAATCGGCTATTCCCTCGACAAGAGTAGCAGACTATTGATGCAAGAAAGTAATCTTGTCGGCCGCTCCTTCTTCAAGTCCACACAACTTGCCAAAGTCGCCAACCTCCCAACCTCTCAGCATAACCCTTCTCTCGAACGCAGCCAACGGACAACTCTTTCCGGGCCCATCGTTGCAGCCAGGTATCGGTACAACACCATCGTTGACCACGACACGAATATAAGGCTCCGGGTGCGGTGGATCGCAATAGACATGATTAGGATACAGTGGCGCGTTAGAGTGACAGTACACATACGGACACACCATACGCTCAAACTCAATGCGTCCACCCATAGGAACGATTGAAGAGGTTTTCCAAACCCTATTCTGTGGCGCTGTGTCCGTGGGCAGATCTTCAGGCGATGGGAAGAGATCCAGTGCAGATAGCAACGGCAATATATCTCCATCATGCACAAAACTGAAGAAGAGAGAGCCAGCAGATACGCCAGAAGACAAAAGATTGGCAGTAGCGTTCAAGAAAGGAAAGCCACGGCCTGCGCTATACTTGTTTCCAGGTCCTGTGCGGTAGTAATGGAGTATATCCCTAGCATACTCGAAATCCCGCCACTCGTCGTGTGTGAAGACATCACACCAGAGACTGCTTCCTCGAGCGAGCAGTTCAAAGCCGCAGAGCTCTTGCATGGAAAACACTTCTCGAATACTCAGATCCAAGCCTGGATTTTGTTGCTCCAGACGTTGGATGATGGGTGGTATATACACACTTTGCCATTCCTCGAGCTTGCGCAAGCCTTTATGGCGTCCTTGATGATTGTGCGGCTCAAGGTATGCTTTGCAGGTATTGCCTGTGGTCAAGGTATCGGCGCCCAGCCCCGAGGTCTCGGGTATGATGTGCAATTTTGCAGTCTCGCTCTCCCAGTCGATGCCCCAGAAGCCAGCGGCAAAGTACTTTGCAGTCTCGACTACGCGATGCGAGTCTGCGGCCCAGAAGTTGGTCTGGTTGCGAGCGATAGCCGTGGCGCGAAGATCTGGGTACCGCGTTCGGACAGTGACGCCTGCTTGGAATGCACCAAGAGAGCCGGCATATGGACCAGTGGGAACCAATTCACCAATCTCGGGTTCATAGTCTTCGGCCATGAAGAAAGTCCAGTTGTTGAAGAAGGCAAGATCGCCCAGGAGGTCAAAGTCTAGTGTTCGGAGGCGGTTGTGAAGAGCAACCATATCTGTAATCTTGTTAGAGACAGAACCATGGGATGGAGTANNTGTATGTCAAAACTTGCGTGCGGCTGTTCTACGCGTTGGATATCGCTCGTTGTGTCTCGCCATCTGAACCAGAATAAGCACGTGAAAAAGAAAAGTTGAACTGTGAATAGCTCCTACCATATGCACCTGTTCTATCTCGCAGCCTTCAGGAACACTCAATTCATCTCCAAAGATGCCGTCTACTCTGGGTATCCAAGGTCCGTTGCCTCCAAGATGATACAAGATATTCCAATTTTCGGGTGTTGTTGTGTTCAGGACCGAGACCTGAGGATAAGAGGTCCATTTGTCTAGAAGCATCCGAAGATGCGTCTGGGCCAACCAAGAGAAATCCTGTTGCCAGCCAACGTATATCGCGACTGTAACGACAGCTAAAGAGATAGGGAGCAACATTGTTCCTAGAGTCCTTGACAAGGCCTCGTTGATCTGTCTGAGAAGCTTCTCGTGTGAATTGCGCTGATCGGACGGAACTTTATAGCAAGCTACAGGAGAGTCATATCACGAACCAGTCATGATGGCATGTCTCGTTGGATATTATCAAAGACAGGGAGAAGGATTGTCTTTTGTCTCTCCCACCGCCTGAAACGCTTCGTTGACAGGATCCACATTGAAAGGTGTGCACGGACCTCGACCTTGATGGCAGAGCAAAAACAAGTCGATACAAAGTAGGGAGTCATACTCAACCTTGCAGTCAATGCGATAGATCAATGGCTCCTGGCTGACATCACAAAAATATACCGTCGATTCAATCGACTATCTGGAGAGAGAAAAGTAAACAAAGAAACGAACACTGAAATGTCCTCATGCAAAGTCGTATCAACCCGATCACCATTTCGGTCATTGCCCAACCATAATCGCCAGTTCCCCACACACAACCAGTCATCGCCCCGCGCCATATCCCTAGGATGAAAGAAAAGAAAAGGAGAAAGAAGTAAGAGTCACACCTAGAAGATGGTGCCAAAGTCCTCGTCCACTTGAGGAAGAGGCTTGCGAGGGCTGGTGCGTTCGCCGTTCTCGTCAACAGCGGGCTTTCGATGNTCTGAGGTATGATTAGTATGAGACCATGAGCTTGGGCTAACAGAGACTTACTTGAATGTGAAACCGACAAACAAGTTGCGGCCCATCTTCTCGTCCCTCTCGGCCATCTCCTCGAGCGCCTTTTGCTTGTCTTTGACTTCCTTGTACTTGGCCATATCCTTCTCGCTCTCAAAGTCGTCGAAGTATCCGGCATCAGTCTCGCTGTCAAGTTCAGGCACGAAAGGAGCACGTTCCTCACGCAGACGCTCCCAGCGGACCTCGGCGAAGTAGGCGTGTGCCTTGACCTGCGACATGCCGCGCAGTCTCTGGTTCTTTCCGGAGATAAGACGCGTAATGAGATCCCATGTACGGCGAGAAAGGAAGTAGTTGGGATCTTCGTACTCGGGCTTGCGCAAGACGGATGACCAGCGCTTCAGATTTTGCCATGTCTCGTCAACTGTGGCACCGGCAAAGGGTGGATAGCCAGCAAGAGCCTCGAAAAGCATACATCCGAGAGACCAGTAGTCGACGGTAAAGTCGTACTCGTCGCCCTTCAAGACCTCAGGGGCCATGTAGTCAGGGCTTCCGACGATACTCTTTGCATAGTTGACGTCGCGCTCACGCAGACTGCGGTATCCTTCTCTTCTCTCCTTGAGCGAACGCTCCTCAATGGGCCTGCCAAAGGGAATAGCGTCGCGGGGCATGTTTCCAACCTCCTCGAGCTTGATGCGCATACTCTCAATCTTGGCAGGGGCCAGGAAACCAGCAGCCAGACCAAAGTCGGTGAGCTTGACATGACCAGTGCTATCGATCAAGAAGTTTTCGGGCTTAAGGTCGCGATGAATGTAACCGAGTTGATGCAGAGCGTCAACACAGAGGAACATCTCGGAGATGTAGAAACGGGCATGGCGGTTGTGCAGAACACCGGTGTTGTTGAGAAGAGTGCGGAAGTCACCACCGGGAACGTACTCCATGGCAAGGTAGATACTGGCATCGTCCTGGAAAGCGTACAACAGACGCACCAGCCAGTCGCTCTTGGCAGTGGTGAGAATGTCACGCTCGGTCAAGACGTGACGCACTTCGTCGAGCTTGAACAGCAGCTTCTTGCTCATGACTTTGAGAGCGCAAACCTCACGCGTGTCCTTCTTTTGCGCCAGGTAAACCTGGCCATAACCACCCTGGCCGACCTGAGTGAGAATGGCAAAGTCACCGTGATTGAGGCGAGTACGTCTGGCGCGGAGCTTTGCACGTTCGCGACCGAGGTACTGCTGCATGTTTGATTGGTACTCGGTATTGGGAGTCTGCGGTGGTGGAGGGTTGTGGGCGTGGAAGAGCTCGGTACGCTTTTGGCGGGTGGAGACGTAGTTGAGAAGATCATAGTAGTGGTCGAGGAAATCTGGACTGTTAGCTTGTTTGAGTGAGTTCAAGAAGGCTGTACATACANNAAGTTGAGTCACATTGGCCAGACGCTTGACGGTCGGCTTCTGCAGCTTCTCAATCTCTTCCTGCGTCAAACCGCCAGAGATGACACTGCGTTGTCTGCTCAGGGGCTGGTCGTCCTGACCACGGTACTGGCTCTGGCGACTGGCAGCGGCTTGGCTGACATGGTCTTGTTGCTGAGCACCAGGGCGAGTAGGTGGTGCGTTTTCCTTGTTGCCCTTACGTGTCGGGCTGTGGTCCTGGTTTCTGGGTGTTTTTGAAGGAGAGCCCAGGGTGGGCAGTAATTTCATGGCATTGGAGAAGACATCGGGCAGGTCGAAGGCGCCAGGGGGCATGCGATTCTTGCTGGGACTGCCCTGCGGCGTCTGGACTGGAGAGATGAAGGCTTGCGCATTGTGATTCTGGTTCTGGTGTCGTGGAGAGGTGGGCGTCAGAGGTCGTTCACCTAGGTCGCTGGCGCCGCGCGAGTGCATTGGCGGCGGCATCAAGGGCATGTTCAAATGCAGGCTCTTGTCGGGAGACGCCATGCTCTTTCTGTGTAAGAGTGTCTCGGAGCGCTGGGTCTGGTTTGTGTATGATTGATTGGGAAAGATGCTTGATTGATTGCTGGCGAGGGGGAGCAGCAAGCGTTGCCGCATCAACAAACTCCGCAGAGAGCCATCAACAAACCTCCGCCAAACACACCACACTAACTTATCATGCAACAATTAAACTTTCCAACAACTTTCCAAGCTTGCTCCTTCACACCACGTCACATCAGCATCGAGATATCGTGGGAAATGACAGGCCTCCCGGCCACATCTATCTCATTCTTCGTCGATAGCCATCTACATTATCAATTCAGCTAGACCACCCCGCTCCTCAACTTCAAGCCACCACGGGCTTTGCCTGCACACCTTGGAAGTCCTCTACGATGCCTTTCCACAACTGCTTCAGAATACTAGTCTGCTCCGCCATAGGTGCTTGGGCCGCTTTCTGAGTGGCTGCAGCAATACGCTCCGCCATGCCGTGGAAGTCAATCGTCATGGCATTGTTATCCGAAACCTCGGAAAAGTTGCTTATGATCTTGTCAGCTGCCATAGTGTTGATCTGTGGTTTCATGACCATCTGNCAAGCCGGATTAGTCAAGCTCTGAACATCACCAATTTCAGGTCTACGTACGCTGTCGGCAGTCTCAACACTGTGAGCACCAGTACTGTTAGGAAGCAGGGGAACGCGGAGAGCAGAGGCCTCAGCATTGTCAGGGTCAAAGTCGGGGAAGTAGGCAAAGTCAATGGTAGAGCTGTCGTTGACAGCCTTGAGTGCACGGCTGGTGTTGAAGTGACGAACTGCCTTGACCTCGTCCTTCTGCTCAGCATGGGGACGCTTGCTGGCATTGACAGCAGTGGTGAAAGCACGAGAGTGAGTCAGGTCATCAGCGGAAAGTCGGCCCATGAGNCTGTATTATCATCAGTCCTGTGAAGCATGATATCGACAACTTTACGTGAAGCTTACATCGTGCATAGAGCCAGAGAAGTCCAGTTTGCGTCTCTTGCACTCGGCTCTCAAGCCTGCAATGTCACGCGGAAGGTTTGAGACAGGACGCTCAGCGGTAAGCAATGGCGAGGGGAATGTAGCAGGGCCAGTCATGTGAAGCTGGCGACGGCTGCCACCAGCTGCCAGACGTCTCAGGGCAATGAATTGGTAAGCTCTAGGTGCGGACATGTTGACGGTGACAGAAACGTGTGAGTTGTCAAGAAGGTCGATTGTTCTGGCACGAAAGCTGTATGAGGAGCTACTAGGTAGACAAAGGATTCGGGTTTGGAGGGGGAAGAAAGAGAGATGGAGGGAAAAGTCGCACAAGAAAAAAGGCAACTGGGGTGGTACAAGTATGGGCTCTTGCATCCAAGGCAAGCACCAACGACCGAATCGTGCGACATTTTACCTCCACACCGCTGGCCTCACCAGCAGGAGCAAGCTGTATCTGCGAATAGCATGGAGATGGTCAGCCCCAGATAAGCCTCAACACTCGGGATCTGCATGGCACAAATTAGGCTTTGGTAAGACAACTCCCTGTTTCTCCGAAAGCCATACCGATGTCGAATGTTGTTCATCGCGGTACGAATGCAAAGTTTTGAGGCAGCAGCGGCTGTAAACAATAACTCTTTCTACGTTCGAGTAGTGGTATCTCTTCCGCACTCACAGTATCTCCTATGTTCCTGTATCTCTATACTCTGAACCTCTAAGAACCTCACCAAGACGTACACGCGAGCTCCACGCCAGACATGGGCCTCCATAACAAACCCCTACCCGGCTTCCCGCAGGTTAGCGTGCATAGACGTTCCCTCTCCGCATAATTCTTATCTGCTGATCTCCCTCTTGAACATCAGACCATCTGGCCTGGTCAGCGGTACCAAATTACCCGACATCTGCTCAACCTCCTCACTCATCTCTACTAAGATTATATCGTCTTATTGTCAAAAGGCTCAAATCTCTGTTGAGCCTCAGCTCTCTTCACTTTCAAATCACCCGTGACAAACCCCCAGCCTTCCATTATTCGGACTTTTTCCAGAATCCCGAAACTCCCACTCTTGATCTCAGACGGCTCTCCGCGCAGAGACCGGCTCTCCTGCCTTCCCATGAAAGCAGAGGCAACATTCCATGAGTCTCAACAATCGGCATCGGAAATGCGTCTCTTATCTCTGACGCAAGCACATGTCTTTATATCATATCTTCCAGAAAAGCAAATATTCTCAACCAGATAACGAACTTATCGTTCTCCTGTGAATCAATTCCCGATGGAAGACATACCTCTTTCTATAAAGTATGCTGAATGATCTCTCCTACCTATCACTTTCTCTTCCTCATGACCACATGATTCAGCTCTAAGGCCTGTTTTGACCACAAAACTTTCAACCGATGCAATGTCCTGTAACCTCCAATGCTGACGATATACTCCTCACACCCCTTTCCTGAGTGACAAAGCTGTGACATGAGCATTTGTTCGACTGCACATGATATCGTCTGAGAGCCCTGGCGTTAGGCTCGCCAGAAAGAGCCTCGAGTCATCACGACATTGGTGTGTGCCCACACTTTGTCTTACCCAAACAGCTCAGAAATTCTCAAGGAACAAAGACAACATTGGTGAGTTGGATGATAAGTCAGAGAAGGATATGATTATTGGTCTGTACGACTTTATGTACCCTCTAGCTAGTCTCTCTGTTTTCGACAGTCATAAATATCGTGTGCTTCGTTATTGAATAGATGAATCAAGAATAGAAAAGAAGGACAACACAAACGTCCTGCGAGGACACAAAATCCCAAGCGCCATATGCAATGCCGAGATAAAGGAGGGCTGTAACTCTGGGTGAGTATGTGACAAGAAAAGAGACTGCGCTCAGTGGTAGGACTCTTCGTCACGCTCTACTGCGGGCGTAAGAGGTCCCCTACTGTCTCGCGCTGGCATGTCAAGTGTCGTTGATTTTATGTGGAACGAGTTCCTGTCTCCTGGAGTAGGTGTGTTGCTGCGGCTTCCGCTGAAAGTCCCCGAACGCGGTCTAACCGTCGGTGTAGGCACGTCTGCAATCACATCCCTTGTGCTGACATCACCGCCGACTTGTAGTTCATCTACATTGGGCATTGGAGGAAGTGAGGTCGGCATCGTCACCGATCTCCTCTTAGGCGTACGCGATCCAGACCTTGTTGGAGTGGCCATTATAGTATCGTCTTCTGGCACGTTCCTGTTCATATCAATAGGTGTCCCTGAACGGTCACCTCTTGTTTCCGAGAAATCGCGCGAGGTCCAGCTAGGTCGATGAAGACGAGCTCCACGAGGCAGATTTGAGTAGCTTCCACTTGTGCTTCTATAGCTCACTCCACTGACGGCGCGGCCGCGGCGAATAGGCGTCTGAGATGATTCCCCGTCCATGCCTGGAGTTTGCGACCTCATAGGCAGAGCGGAATATGACGCGTTTGGCGTTGGCTCTGGTCCCAAGTCTTCCTCGTGGTGGAGCATTGCCATTTCAGCAACAAAGTCTGGATCCTCATCTTCAATCTTAGCAACGCGGCGAACTTGCGAGACGGAGAAGTATGGTCCTTTGGGCTCTTCGGGTATTACCTCGACTGGTTCTGGTTTTGGTGGCCGAGGAACATCGGTAGCAGTGCGATCCAGATGCTTGAAATACTTCTCGCGAACACCTGCCATTCTCCTTGGTCGGAAGTCTTCGTGGTTTCGAGTGATTGACATGTAGGAAGAGAAGGTTCCAACAGCAATGGCTATCAGGGTGACGATGACCAAAACTCCTTGGATAACTATGATGACAATGCCGATGACAGTTGTTGTGATACGCTCCAAGTTGAAGGCAACATTAAATGCAGAAGACAGAGCCACGGTCGCGACTTTGCTGAAGCCCAGCAGATATACGACGAGCATGTTAAGACGCTGGCCCTCGAAAGGTCTGGCCCAGACAGTGAAAGCGAAGAAGAGGATCTCAATAACCAACAGACCGAAGACTTGGGTCATAGGTTGACCTGAAGCACCAGCGTAGAAGCAGGCTCGAATGAACTCGTAGATAGTCCACACGGCGAAGAACCACCATCGTGTACGGCGGAAACGAGCAGAGAGCCACCCAAACTTCTTGACGTACTCCTCATCGTCGTGTATCGAAGTGTGATTTTCCTCAAGGTGCGACGGTGGTCGATGCAGTGAGATTGATGGCATCTTCATTGAGATAGGGCCCTTGATACCAAGCTTTGCAAGAAACTTTGGTGGCTGTCGACCTTCGACTTGCTCAGCAGAACGCTCCGATTTGCGAGTAGTACCCTGAGATGCGAGACCGGTGAAGGTGGCATAGATAACACAGGCAGGAATGCCGACAAAGAACAAGATGAAGATAATAGCTGCAACGGCTTTGACGCCACCAGAGCTTTGGTAGGAGAATTGGAACATGGTCAAGAGCATCATCATGAAGAAAGCAATGAATAATGTTCGTAAAGCAGCCAAGGCGGTGTATCGGATCCAGTGCTTTCGGAAGAAAGTCAATCGCTCATTCTTCAAGAGTTTGATGGCAACGAATGCTTCGAGGGCCCACTTGAAAGTGATGACGCTAGCGACAAGGATGACGAGCAGGATGAGTAACCATAGGAATCCGGTCATGAAAGCATTGGAGACGCGGATATTCTCCTGTGCCAGAGTACCGGCAAACCCAGAGTAATTACCGGGCAGTGGAAGACCTGCCTGTACGGGCTGCCCATACCAAGAAAACCCAGTAGTCTTGTTGGCAAGGTCGCGTTTGAAGAGATGGTCTTCAAAAGTACCTGAAACAACGTCGCGTGTGAGCTTGACAGAATGATCGCGCTGGTAAATGTTCCAAGCGACGTCTTTCCTCAGCGACAAACCTCTTCTGTAGATCGACGAGATGTCGAAGCCACCTCCAACATTATCTTGGTTGGTTCCAGAGCCGGCAGCGCCAACCTGCGAAGTATTGCCGATGTTGTTACCAATGAGTTTGTCAATAGAACGTTGCATTGAGCTGGAATAGATCATGCCTCCTGACCAAGCAAAGTTGCTCCACCAAGCAACGAGCACGCTGGGCCAGTTCATGGACAGTGCTCCAGTGAAGTAGACATGTTGGAAAACAGAGAAGACGACTAAAACGGAGAGCGAGTGGGCGTAGTGCTTGCGCATAACAGGCACGCTATCACCATAGATGGCAGTTGCGAATGAAGCGAGCAAAGCAATGAGGGTGAAGATTCCAAGGACTGATCCCACGGATTTGGGTTGCGAAAATGTTGCTCCATTCGTGACTACAGCCGAGTAGCAGCCAATCTCAGACTGGGTCGAGTTTGCAAAAATACGAAGAACGGCCTCGCCCTCAAAGTCCGGGATCGAGAGGGCGATCGGAGGGATAGCAGCAACATCAGATTGAGCAACCGGGATAATGCCGTTAGCTTCGATAGGTATACTCGCATTGAGTGGGCACAAGCTATACTGGTTAACGACAGGCTGTATGAAAAGCAAAGATAGAACATACCTGGCAATATTTGCGCTGCACGGATCAAAGGTCAAGTCAAATCGACCTTCTCCGTATGCATAGACACCGATGTACACTNNGACCATAATTAGTTAGATTCATGTATATGGGTAAGAGGGTCACAACTCACTCATCAAGCTTTCATTAGCAATGGCCGTATTACCCGCCAAATGAAAGAGCACGGTCATGTTGTCTTTGTAATAAGCAGCATCGAAGCGAGTGACGTTTACAGCACTGGAGCCCTTGCAATCTCCGAATCGTCCGGTATACAAAGACGGTCTTCTGTCGTCTGCGNNTTCAAGGTAAGTGGCTGGCTCGCAGATATTCGTATCTTGTTACTGACCTGGCAAGTAGACAACCTGGCCAGCAGAATTTGTGGTTGTCACATAGCGTGTGTCACTTGCAGCTACAACGGGCTGTATCGCAGCAAGAAGTGTGATGGCCAGAGCCAAAAGTCGCGAAGCGACCATAACGAAAAGTTGTGAAAGTCGAGGCAGTCGGGAGTGTGGAGGATCGGCTTCAGATAAGGGTTTCGGGCAGCGATCAGAGGGTCGTATGATCAGTTGTAGCGAGTGAGGGAGACAGAAGACAATGAAAATGGTTGGGCGTTAAGACAGAAGCAGTGTTGTGTCGGACGGCGTAGCTATAGTCTTGGGAGCGAAGGTGGCTGGTGAAGATAAAGGCGTGTTCGGATACGGGAGGCTATAGGTAGCTCGGCGAAGGCTCAAGACATTTCCTGGATGCTTCCGGAGACCAGAGTAGCGACGAACGGAACGAGAGGAGGCAGGAGGCGGGTGGAAGAGTAGTTGTATCTAAGGACGACGACCAAGATGATGATGAAGCCAAGTAGCTTGGTCAAAGACAAAGCAGGATGCAAAATAGTGTGATATGTCGAGGAATGTTCAGCCGCTAAAGCCGGAGCTTGTCGAGATGGTTGCCGTTTCCTCGTAGCGCCCGCCTTGGTCCCTATATGTCGTTCACGGATCTCCGAATATACCGTGCGTAATGATCTGCTGCTGGCGAGATGCAGCGAGATGCACTCTTCCTTGGGCTGACGCGTGTCCTTGAGGTTTTGCTTGCCGCTGAGCTGTTGTATCATTGCTCTTGCTTGAAGACTACTTTGCACAGCAGCTCGAGGAAGCCGCAGACCTAATACCCGCCGTATGCCAATCATCCTGTCTTATCAGGTTGGCAACTGCCACTTGCCAACCTTGGCGGGAAGTCAGTGATGCGACATGATCTGCCGTTCGACATGATCTACTTCTTCGAGCTGGCCGAATGGGGCCCCTCAGCCACCCCGCTCGATGGGGCTGACAGCTCACTGGCGTCATGACGTTGAGGAGCAACTGCGATTCAGGTTTGTAGGTAGCTCGACTCTAACTTGCTTTCTGTTTCCTCTACCTGAACATACGACCAAAAAGAAACAACCCTTACACCTATTCACCCAAGTTATACCTCAGACAACCAACTCATCCACTCATCATGCCTCACCACGACAAGGAAGAGAACACCACCGNNGGAGTATGTCGTTACACCTCATACGTTTCCACTTCCGCGTTGACCTTCTGTCCAGACCTCACCGACATGGTTGCAAAGGAGTCCTCTGACTCGAACGCATCTTCCCACCCCATGCACGATGTCGAGACCGGCGCCACCAGCGGCGGCAAGGCAACTGCCCAAGACCACAGCGCCAACNCCCGTAAGCCATCACGCTTGCTCGCCTTGCTATGAGCACGACTAACTGACCTACAACAGGGCCCCGTCATGGCCGAGGGTCTCGGCGAGCCTGCCAGCAAGGACGACCTCAAGAAGAGAGCTGCCGAGCTGAACAAGTAACCGATGCCATCACGACGATACGAGTATGCCCATACCATAGCATGATTAAGAGATGAATCAAATCCCACTTTCATAAATTATAGTCTTCAAGATCGTCAGGGTGCATGTGAGTGGTACATGACGAATGTACATGTGTCTAGGGCGGAACCTCGTCGCCCTTCCAGTCCCAGCACTTGCCTCTATCCTCTAGAGTCCTGCCTACAACAACCTCGTACAGCTTCTCGGCCGAGAACTCAGGACTGAACAGCTTTCCTTCCTTGACACCGCTCCAGAATTCCTTGCTGAAGCTTGTCTTGACGGTGCCCGGNTGCAGACTGACGGCTATAGCCTTTTCGCCTGAGGCTGTCCGCAAGTGGTTGTCGAAGGTCTTTGTGACCTGGTTGACAGCAGCCTTGGATGCACGATACGAGTACCATCCTCCAAGCTGGTTGTCAGTAATACTACCCACACGAGCAGACATGGTAGCCCAGACGGCTGTTTTCGGCAAAGATGCATCTTGGGCAAGTTGTGTCGACTTCCGCGGCAAGAAAGGACCAAAGTGTTTAAGCATCAGCATGGGACCCAGCGTGTTGGTCCGAAAGGTCAAAAGGGCATCATCATGATCAATCTGCTGAGGAGACTTTTCAGGAAACAAGATGCCGGGAATAGCATAGGACAGATGCAAGTAGTTATCCTTCTTTGGAAACAGTTCACTGCAAGCGGATGCTGCATCTTGGATGGTGTTTTCGTCTGTCAAGTTGGCATTTAGCGTCAAGAAGCACAACGGCTGCCAAAAAGCAAAGGGCATACCAAGGACATCCAACTTCAAGACATTGAGTCGGTTTTGGTCGACGTGATGCAGGCCATCGAGGATTGATTCCTTGGCCTGATCCAAGTCCTTTCGTGCAGTGGTCACGACGGGCAGCTTTGTATTCTGGAGCAAATGGCGAGCGAGATGGAGACCAATGCCGCGGGACGCGGGGCTAACTAAGGCCCAAGGCTGCATAATAGCGAGGAGGTCGGAGTAAGGTAACAAGCCATTCCAGGACCGGAGGCCGGCGGGAGATTCACATTTGAAGCACCTTGGATCTTGGAGAGGCCGTTGACTTTGACGAGATCTGGGACGCAGAGGTCAATCATCGGTGACGACGATCGATTGAGCTTTTGCTGCCAAGACAAGATTTTGTGTCAAGTCGAAACAGCAATTCAATCATCATCCTATACACAATCAGACCGCACACAATGGCGACATCAACACTTCCATCGGCGCTCTCATTCCCGCCCGCGACTTTCGCCAAACTATCACCTGCTCCATATCTCCTCGCCCACCTCGACCCGACATCCTCGTCCGCCTCGCCGACACGCCCCAGTGGCCGTTCTCCGCAACAATGCCGGTCGCCCTCCGTCAACACCAGCTCCCTCACACATGCCAATGGTAGCGCCGTCGTCAGACTGGGAGACAGTGCTGTGGTCTGCGGTGTACGCGCCGAAGTCCTCCGCACATCAGACATCCCCCACCCCTACCGCGGCCCCGAGGACAGCAGACGCGAGATCGAAGAGCTGGGTCTCTTGGTCCCCAACATCGAACTCAGCACCGGCTGCTCGCCAGGGTTTCTCCCCGGAAACGCACCGGGGACTCTGGCACAATCGCTGACGCAAAGACTGCTTTCGTTGCTGCATTTGTCCAAGCTGGTCGATGTTGAGGACTTGAAGGTCAAGTACCAACCACCAGAGACTGAAGACGACTCGCCGGATGCGCCGCCACAACTGCAGACAAAAGCATACTGGGTCTTGTATATCGACCTGCTGGTCATCAGTCTGGATGGAAACCCCTTCGATGCCGCCTGGGGTGCTGTGTTAGCCGCTCTGTCCGACACAAAAGTGCCCAAGGCATGGTGGGACGCCGATCGCGAAGCCGTAATCTGCTCCGACCAGCTGTCCGATGCCAAAGCCCTCAGTCTCGGCGCCCTCCCTGCATCCCTGACCTTCGCCGTCTTCACCACCGCCGCGCCCCAGAAGAAGCCTGAGGATGCAAAGAACTGGGTTCTGGCTGACCCGGACGGTTTCGAGGAAGAACTCTGCGACGAGAGCATCACGATTGTGGCTACAGAAAAGTCCATCCTGAGGATTGAGAAGAGGGGTGGTGGATTCGTGGGTAGGAGGGCCATGAGAGAGCTGGTTGCTTATACTCAGAGTAGACTTGGAGACTGGAAGCAAGCCTTGAGATGAGGTTGCTAGATACACGCGCAAAAAGACGAACACGAAACGACTCTAGTCAGCTTGAGCCTTGCGATACAACCTACTAGAGTACCTCTCGGTCGCCAAGTCAAAACATATCAAGCAACGGCGTCCTATGGATAGTTTCTGTGGCCAGCCATTGCTTCCCAAGGAACATCCAACAAAGGCGTCGGGCCACCACTGAGTCACAGGCGAATGTCTCACGTGTGTGAGTTCAATGAAAAGGTCACAGAAGAAAGAGGTGGTAAAGTCATCAAGGTGTCATTCCGAAAGGTCTAGGTATCATAGCAACGCAGAAAAGAGCAACATCAGTGCGAGCAGTCTGCCCGACACTCCAATGTCTCTTGAATGAGACAACGCCAATCCCATGCATTTCGTTTCTCCATCTTCCCCTTTTACAGAGCGGCCATGCCAGCCAACACACCCATGGCACCGAGAGCGAAGCCAGCAAAGGTGGCCTGGGCAGCGGCACCAGTAGAAGTACTTGAGCCAGTGGCAGCAGAAGCGCCGGTGGAAGTGGAGCCCGAAGATGCAGCACTGGTTGTGGCATCAGAAGTCGACTGGTTGGCGTTGCCTGCATTGGTCAGGGCCTGGACAGTGACACCAGTGCTGTTCTGGCAGTGCGAGCTGTAGTCGGCAGAAGACAGAGGGGTCGAGGTGAATGTGATGTCGGCGCANCTGTAAGCATTGTCAGCAAAGTAATCATACCTTTGACCGCTTGTAGGAAAACTCACGTTGTAGAGACCGCCATTGGGATCACCATTGGTAACGACCTGGATAGTAGCGTTCATGCCAGCGGTAATGTTCAAGCCAGCAGGGAACTGCAGAGCACCAGCACCGATACAGAAGTTCTGGGGTCCCTGCTCCTGGACGGTAGGCAGAAGAGTAATGTTGAAGTTGCTGCCAGGGTCGTTTCCAAGAGCCATGAGCACCTGGACTTTGGCAGAGGTGTGGCCCATCAGGAGTTGGATGGGTGCACCGCTGATGGGGAACTCGGTGCGATTCGAGCTGACGGTGTTCTGGCCACCGCAAGGGAATTGGGGCAGGTTGTCCTCATCGAAACCGCGAGCGGCAGGGTAGACGAGCTTGAAGTGGGCAGAGGCAAGAGGCAGCAGGGCGCCGAGAAGCAATTGGACCTTCATCTTGAAGTGCTGTGTGTGTGGATGTGTGTGGATGTGATGTTTACGAGCTGGTGAGACGCGCAAAGACGGAGACAGCACAAGGAAAGAAAGTGATTGAAGATGAAAGTGAGAGCTTGTTTGGTTGGTGGGACGTTGCAGCAAAACAGGTCACACAAGGCCGAGTTTATAGCTCCGCACCTTCCTACCCTGGCGGTTATTGCTATACGAAAGGCTCAGATAGCCCCATCCCCCTTTGCCGTGAACCCGAAACGCACTCCACTCGCGAGATACCTTCGTGGGCGGGCGAGGCGTGGATTTGAGCAAGTTAAATCGGTCTAGCCTTCTGTGGCTTCGTGGATTTGGGATGCACGGATGGAACCAACGGCATGCTTACGGTTAGCACCACCCTGATCTTACATATCATCATATATTCGAATGGCTGATTTGTCCTGACGGCCTGCAAGAAACAAACTCAAGTCCGTAGCTCATATGTAGACTATTGATGTTTGCAGTAAGATGTACGAGGCCTCGTTTTGTCAATATATCTAATCCTTCCGAAACTTTCACGTGCAATGCAGACGGCGTGCAAGCCATGCTCGCCAAATTCAATTGATATTCTCAAACATGCGAATATTCAAAATCTCTCACAATGCGCATCATACACATGAATGAAACGAATTGGTCTCGGAATTTGATCATATACACATGATTAAAGTAGTATGAACGAGTGTATAGAACTTTTGATCGGTCATCATCATGAGAGTAGAAGCCGTCGCTAGTGATGATCCTCCACAGGCGAAGCGTATCTGCCAATGGCCAGTTCACCAACGAACAGGCCTGCAAGGACGGAGAGGAAGTATCCGACGTTCAAGGTCATGACTGCCAACATNGCTGTGAAGTGTCAGTTCTGTAACCAGAATAAAAGATTGCAGCAGACTTACAGCAGGTAACCAAGTCCAGCCTGTAAAGTGTAGACGCAAGCTCTCGGGAGGTCGGTACTGATTCTCCAAGGAGCGGATTCGATGCTTCTTGACTTTGCTGTAATGACGCGGACTTCCTCGTTGAGGCCGCGAGATGTCAAGATGGCTTGCTGTTCTGACTTCTCCTTGGCGACTTCTGACTCTTCGGGGAATTTTTCACCCTCCTGCTCTCCTTTGACAACAATGTAGCGACGCTTCATGGCCTTGTCGTGGAACTTCTGTTCGAGGGTATGTCTCCAGGCTTGCAGTAAGCGGGAGAGAATGGCCAGAACGATGAGGAAGATACAGGTGCCAGCGTATGCGCCTGTGGAGGTGGGAGTCCATGCCTTTGAGTAGAGAGGGGTGTTGTGAACGGTGGTAAAAACCATGGACATGGAACCCATTCCCGACATGGAAGACATATCAGACGTTCCTGTAGAGGCAGCAGCTGAAGCCGTGCTTGACATTGCCATGTCCATCGTGGACGACGACATGTTTGACATATCCATGATGACAAGTGGAGGAGTTGTTCAAATGTAGGTGTAGATTGTCGCACAACGAGAGAGGGCTTCAGCGGATGTGTGGACTTATTTAGCGATGCTCGCGGACAAAAGAGGGTCAAAGCTAGTGGGCAGCTGGCTGCGGACACGGAGTTCTCAGATGATGCAGCACAGTCAAAACGGGACGCGAGCAATTGGCAAGTAGAAATGGTTATTGGCGGTCAGTACGAGATGTTGGTCGTGGAAAGTGAACGGAAACATTTGATGTTCGCAAACATGTCGGGCTACGTGGGCAGGTGCGTGTTCCACATTGACGACGGTCTGGAGGGGTGGGTTTGTTCCGCGAGAGCAACAATGAGCAAGTTTAGAGCGAAAGAGGCAAGCACTAGACCACAGGCGGGTAGCGCTTTCGGAGTTCAAACAGCCCCTCCCGCGATCTGCCACGCTGCCGAGACACATCGACATAATCAACTCCACCACCTTGAGTTCGTTTGCGCTGCTATTGTATCCGGGACCGACATGCCTTGATCCCGTCCCTACCATGTGCTGTACTCGTTGCCGCATCTTCCGTCCCAGAAACACACGACCACTCCTGCAGTAATCCTGTTCCTAGAATCTGATCTGGGACCGACCATTTCGAACGCCGCATCTGCCTCGCTGATTGCTAAACACTTTCTCTCTCGCCTCAATTCAACACTCGCCTGACTTAATCACCTGAAAATGGATATGTCTATGGGCGGTATGGACATGTCCATGGGCAACATATCCATGGGCAATGGCATTCCTAGCCTCTTCACCTTCGAGAGAATGTACTGGGCCGTCGTGGGTGCCGCCATTGCTGCTTTCACCCTCGTCAACCTATACAGTTGGTTCCTGTGCCGTCAAAGGTAGTCGCAATCGTTGCCCAACTTCTTCGTCTGTCCATACTCACATTCGGCCAGGTTACGGTCAACAAGCATGACTCCCGCTAAACCCAAAACCTTTCCCTTCCTCGCCATGGCTACTTGTACCGCCCTCGTTCGCGAACTTGCCAATGCTTCGTTGCCAGTCTTTGCTGTCAGATCCCTCCGCATACCTTCACCAATTCTCGGGAGAGCTTCCNTAGTAGGCGCAAACATAGTCGTCCTTCTGGTCATGTGTTTCTACAAGCTCGATGTCAGCGATCGATGGTCTTTTGAAAATATCGGCTACCGCACTGGTTTCGTCACTCTTTGTCAACTACCCCTTCTCTTCCTCTTGGCCGGGAAGCGCAATATCATCGCTGCTCTCATCGGTTCTTCATACGAGCGCATCAATTGGCTCCACCGCTGGGCATCACGATGCTTTCTACTGACTGCCACAATTCACATGGGCTACTGGTTCGCTGATTGGGCTCCTTACGACTATATTGGCACAAAAATCAGGACTGATCCTATCACGAAACATGGTGTTATTGCCTGGTCTGTCCTGGTCTGGATTACCATCAGCTCCATGACTCCGATCCGCGGCTGGAGCTATGAGTTCTTTGTTGTACAACACATCATTTCTTTTGCCGTCTTCATTGGCTTCGTCTATCTGCATATCCCTGCTGAGGTCAAACATTGGGTCTGGATTTGTGTTGGCCTGTTTTTCTTCGACCGCGTCGTACGAGCCTTCTTCTATCTCTACAACAACTTGTCCATCTTGCACCCTGCTCAAAGGGAGGATGGCACAATGGGCAAGCTTTGGGCCTTGAACGCTGAGCTCGTTGCTCTGCCAAACAACACAACTCGCGTCACTATCAACAACCCTCCCATCTCCTGGCGTCCTGGTCAGCATGTCTTTCTATCTGCCCACTCGCTAGCTCCTATGCAGGCGCATCCTTTTACCATCTCGTCTCTTCCTAGCGACGGTAAGATGGAGTTCTTGATCCAATCTCAAAAGGGTGGAACGCAAAGAATCTATCGACATGCAGAGAAGATCGGAATGAGTCTTCCCCAAACTAACGGGGATCTGACCAGAGGATCGATGACGAGTGTTGCTATTGAGGGTCCTTATGGTCGCATTCGTCCTCTGCAGCAATTTGATAGTGTCGTATTGCTTGCTGGCAGCTCTGGTGCGACATACACCATGCCATTGCTGCGTGATCTTGTCCATTCGTGGAAGACTATGGACGGCCAGAGCAAGAGCAAACGCGAAAAGCCGGTAACTAGACATGTGAGATATGTCTGGATTGTCAAGTCTGGACCCCAACTAAGCTGGTTCTCTACCCAACTCAGCCAGGTTATGGAAGATGTTGCTCGCCTCCAGGGCCAGGGCCACGACGTCAGCGTTGATATCAGCGCTTACATTACGTGTGATGAAACATTTACAACTGAACAGAAGACTCTGCTCGACGCCTGGAAGGCATACTCGACATCAACAACTACGAAATATGGTTCAGTAACCGAAGTTCTGAACTCTGTGGATGATGAAGAGTACAACGACTACAGCATGGAAAAGAAGTTCGCTTCTAAGAACGAGAAGATCGAAGTTCAAGAGCTCGATCGCTACTCGCTATCAGAAAAGGCTGAACCCACATCAAAGCAATCTTGCGGACCTAACGGTACATGTTGCTGTACTGCCACTATCGAAGACGAAGACGACGACGAAGCCATCAGACCTGCGTGCACCTGCAGTTGTGGAGCGGGGCCATCACGAACAGACAGTTCAAGGTCAAGCATGTCGAACGAGAAGCCCAAGCCGAAGCAACCGTTCTTGCATCCTGCAATTTCGGTCTTCTCAGGCCGACCTGCCTGCAGGAATGTCATTCGCAAGACGCTTGAGCAAGCTTATGGCGAAAGCGCAGTGGTTGTCTGTGGACCACAAGGCTTGGTTGACGATGTGCGAACAAGCGTCGTTTCACTCAGTGATGAGAGGGCGGTTCACAAGGGCACAGGTGCTCAAGGCATCTGGCTCCATGCCGAGGCTTTTGGATACTGATACTCTCGTAAGCAAGCCAGCATTAGTTCATGTCAACATAGCAACGCCGTTACGACCCTTTCCTATAAGACAATTTCTTATGCCCTTTCTTTGACCAACCAGAGTGAGCAATCATCATTGTTTGAAGGATGCGTTCGCGTATAAGGTTCTGTAACCTCAAACCACCAGGTACTGTCATCTCTTGCAAAACTTGGTAATAACGTGATCGAGTTACCGAACTGTATGCCAGCCGTCTCCCCAGTTTCCAGATCGCTGGAGAACGATCTGCATTTTAGGCCGAGATCCGGGCGTTCAGAGCGTGGGTTGTGCATGGTTTTTCAATGGGCGTGCATAACCGAAAATACTTTGATCCAACCACGTCAGCTGCCTTGGAGCGTGACGACTTCTCCATCGATACATCCCCTGTTTTCCTGGCTCTTTGGAAGATGCTCTACTCTTGCAATATGGACTAGATTCACCGTAGCTTCTGTCAGTACTTATCTCGGTGTTCCTAGAAGAGCCGCCTCGGTAATTCTAGCAAAGAATCGCCTCACCCGAACAGGGAAATGCCCCGCTTTGGAAGTTGAGTTCTCGGCAAGACCATTAGCTGCCGTGAACTATCAGATTTGTCCTTGCGAATCCTTCGGTCATTCCTGCGAGACGACGTATTTGCCGTGCTTTGGCTGGCTGGGCGACTGGGGATCCACAGATACATCTTGCGCGTACTTTGGATAGACAGAGCTGAAGGCTGTCGTGCACGCCTAGCGATTCATGGTATCGCCGCGTTGAGTTGCCGTTTTGCTCTATCAAGTCTGGAGTCCACCACAGACATGCGGCTTTGCAACGGTCAGAGAATCAAGATTGCGCCGTCTTGAAAGCATGGTTCGTTCTCTGTACTTGCCGAAGGAGGACGTCTAGCTTTCCGTGAGAGATGTCACGATTCTACGTTGAGTCCTGAGCTAATGATAGCGGCAGCGCCGATAGACTTTGGTCCTTGCACCATCACCGTGCTCTTGCAGCACGCGGAATGGCGGAGCCTGGCTATTTCGTCTATTCGAGCGCAAGTGCAAGCGGGACCCTAGCATCTGCCAGGATGCTCCAAGTACAAGAAAAGTTTGCCTGCCCTCCGAGTGCGTGGTTGGTGCCATTTTATCTTCGATCCCTCTTCTCTCGTGTTGTACCTGGCTGTTGAACCACGATCTGTTCCTTCAGGACTGTCTATCGGAGATACATAAGACCTGTCGCTGCAACATTGACATCTGCGGGGTCTATAAGAGGTCACCTGCACCTGCCTATCCTATCCGCCTTCCCCGAGCGTTCCTGAACTCCGAAAAAGACTTTGTTGATAGTCCGACTGTCTTCGTCCTTGGTCATCTCAACACTCGTCTCTTGACAATCAGAAATGGTCTACTCACTTGGTTATCGACGTCCGAGTCGGGTCTCTGATGGGTCATCGTTCACATCCGCGAACGAGAAGAGGTTATCTGGTGATGGATCATATCACTCTGGAACTGCTGGCTCGATCAAAGGCATCCCGGAAGCATTGTCCTTCGACCGAATCATAGCTGGCGGTACTTGCNCCTGTATGTATCGTCACATCTCGTGGATGTCAAAGTATTCACAAATAATTCTAATCTCTACACAGCCATGCACCACGCGTGATTTCATGAACTATCTGAAGTACATCGAACACAGTGCTGAGAATCTGCAATTCTACCTTTGGTACCGCGATTACGTTGAGCGATTCGACAAGTTGCCAGCCTCTGAGAAGGCACTGTCACCGGAATGGAGTGCCGCTCAGATGGACACCGAGATTACTCAGCCAGCTCGTCGTCGCAAGAAGACTCCTACAGCGATAACTACTGTGCTTGAGGGGACCGACTTTGCCGACACTGTGCCTCTCGCTGCCGAGAAACAAGATACATCCAACGATCCTCGCAGCGAGTCACCGGAGGCCATGAGGACTCCTGCCTCGCCTACCTTTTCTGACTTCGACTCTTCTATGAGTATGGATAGACCTGTGTCAGGCCGATCAGGTTACCATCGCAGGGCTGCCGAAGCATTAAAGGATGCTGGTATGCAGTGGAAGCCTTGTAAGTATAAAAGTCCTGTTTCATTGAAGGAACTTTGCTGACGCTACAATCAAGTCACCGCACAACCATTCCGTGAGGAGATGACACGCATAATCACACTCTTCATTGCTGTCGATGGATCTCGTCAGCTCAACCTATCTGATCGTGAACGAAGCGCTGTTCTCCATGCCCTTCAAAACACCACACACCCTTCTGCCCTACGCGCTGCGTTCATGAGCGCCGAGTTCTCTCTCCGTCGTCAAGCCCATCCCAACTTCATTCGCTGGACAATTTGCAACGGCAATCGCCCTCGTGTCATTTTTGCTCGAGGCCTCGGCATTTCACTGATCCTCCTCGGTATCTTCGCAGATATCCTCATCACACTGAGTTCTGCGAGCCGTGCATGGCGTGTGCTACCTATTATCGGCTTAATACTAGGTGTCTCGACGCTATTTGCTGCATGGAAGGGAATGTGCGTAGTCCTCCACGGCATGCACCACCGCCACCTCCGCCCCTGGGAACTCTTCGCCGACCCCGAGGACTCGTCAGAAAAATCCAGCTCTCAGGATTCTCTGGTCCATCCCCCTGTCTCTGGTAGCTATGAAGACGAACCTTGGGTCGCCAAATACGAGAAACGCAATCTCATTCGCAAAATCTTGGACCGAGAAGTCTGGATCCAGGAGCCGGCGTTGCGACAGATTCAGGATACCATCTTCATACAGAGTTTGTTGGGTGCATTCTTGGTTTCTTGCATTGTGGTGGGTATCTTTTGTGCTGTGCCGCGTGGTGGGTTCTTTTAGAGGTGTTTTCGCTCTGAAGCGGCATCTGTTTGGCATAATAGGGGAGAAGTTTAATGTGTCTATGGTGATGAAATGTCCTGATAACTATGAAGGCTGGATTTTGGGTGTATATAGATTGGAGTTTGGGATTGTCTTTTTGACAATCGAAACCGTACATACATGGTGTGCCGTCGGAGATTCACAATATTGCAACGATATCTGGAAACTTTACATACAAAGCTGTAAATGGCTGAAGTTTAGTTGCAACTTCCTCTTATCTACAGGCCGACCAAGAAAATCAGAGAGATATGTCAAAGCTATACCGAGAAACAAGCTCGAGCAAAAAAGAAGAAGAAAAAATCATACAGCTAAGTCATATCATCATAAGATGTCTGTGTTCTATGTCTTATCAAATTTGGCTTTTTGATGATGGCATTGGTGAAACTGATAGGCCTAAAAACATCATATGGTAACTCGTCTACCAAACAAATGCGACTGCACCGTTCACGCTTGATATAAAAACAGACAAGGCACAGCAACACTGTATCTCTTATGCTCCAGATTTGGGCCTGGTCCTCTTTCTGGTCCGCGTTCCAAGTAGAAGAAAGCATACTCGGGATTACGAGGATTGGGGGGATCTATAAGGCTAGTTCGATGATGATGGAGGTCCACGTAGACTGTTTCTGGCATAAAAGTTTACTGTGAAGGACTGGTCATCAGGATAGTCCATTTGCATTGTGACGACAAACAGGGATAGAAGACGGCTATAAAACATTGTGGATATCAGCACGACACTATACAACGATAACAGATTTTGGATGTATGTAGAACATATGAGTCGCTTTAGTGGACGGGAGAGCGTGGGTATCTTTTTCTTCAAAAACAGCAAACATGCGAGCATCAAGCAAGATTATTGTTGAGGACAGCCATCAGCTTCACTAAGCATATCTTGGGCTGCATTCATGTCGCCAACCAGGCCAGGGGGAGGGGCCCCTGCTGCTTGCATCTGNTATCGAACGTCAGCAAGCACAAAACACAAGACAGGGAGAACAAGCACACATACCTGCTGCATCTTATCCACGATATACTCTCTATCTTCTTTATTGTCGTCACTAAAGTCCTTCTTTTCGAATCTTTCAACAATATCCTTGACGACAGATTGCTGTGTCTCGTAGCGCTCCAAATCTTGTTTGGACGTCGAGTCTTTATTCTTTTCCAACCAGTTGGGAAAGTTGTCGTGTAGCTCCTTCATGGGCTCGTAGAGGATGTCTTTGTTGACTAGCTGTTCCATCATGCCCATGAGCATGGAGTTGAAGTCTCCTTGCTCGCCGCCCATGGCGGGNAAGTTGCCGGATTCGAGATCTTTGAGCATTTGGGCTAGCATGTCGTCTTGGGAGGAGCTTGCGGCGGCGGCAGAGGCGGATTGGCCGGAGGCTTGCATGCGTTCCATTGTCTTTTCTATGGTTGAAGCAAAGGCGGGTTTGGCGGTGGACGAAGATGAAGGAGGGGTTGGTGCGGTGTTTGGCTTGGAGGCAGTGTCTGCTGGAGGGTANGCTGTACCGGCAGCTTCTTGTTCGGCGGCGGCGCTGAGTTCCTTCATCATTTCTTGGAATTGTTTCTGCATTTCTGGGTCGTCTCCGAGACCTCCCAGCAGCTCGGCCATGCCAGCCTGTAATTGACGGGCAAAATCATCGTCCTCGGTAGATGGTTGTGGAGCTGCAGCAGAGGAGGACGGTTTTGATTGAGCAGCAGCTGAGGAAGGTACGGTGGCAGTGGAAGGAGCAGTCGGTTTCGTATCTTTCAGGGAAGTGGCCGAGAAGTCGTCCAGCATATCATCAAGGTCGGAAAGATCGTCCTCGTCGGGGTCTGGTGCCATTTCGACGTGTTTTTCTGGTTGCTTCTCTGCCATGGCTTCACTTGGTTATACAAAATAGCGATGAGAAGGAAGGAGCAAGTGTTGAGCTTGAAATGTTTACTCTTTCGAGTCACTAGGCTGCGAGGGCCGAGGCTCACGCGGACCTGCCACCTTCACAAGGAAAGCTGTTCCGTCACCGCGATCGGTTGTGGGGATTGTTTGCTCGGTTTGCTTGATCTGACGATCATCAGATTAGACAAGAGCGGCGCGACTCTTGTCAAGCAGAAACACATCTCTGGTGTCTTCCATTCACAACAACACTTGACTGCCTTGTCGCGTAGCTGCCTGGCACACCACGCTACGTCCGTCTCTGCCGCCACACCGACACTTGCTCACTGACCACGACACGAGACCACTTCACCAGTCTGATACACGACTCCACCCACCATGTCGCTCTGTTCCAACCGTCTCTCAGAAGAGAGAAAGCAGTGGCGCAAAGACCATCCCTTCGGCTTCGTCGCAAAGCCCGCAAAGAATCCCCAGGGCGGTCTCGATCTCCAAAAGTGGGAGTGCTCCATCCCCGGCAAGGAAAAGACCATGTGGGAGGGCGGCCTCTTCAAGCTCGAGGTCCAGTTCCCAGACGAGTACCCTACCAAGCCCCCAAAGTGTATATACTCATTCTCTCTACGACCATTCCACTTGAAGCTGACCCCTCCTCAGGCANAGTTTGTGCCTCCTCTTTTCCACCCCAACGTCTACNCCTCGGGCACCGTCTGCTTGTCCATTCTCAACGAAGAGGAAGGCTGGAAGCCCGCCATCACCATCAAGGAGATCCNNCTTCTCGGTATCCAGTCTCTGCTGAATGAGCCCAACCCCGAGTCGCCTGCTCAGGCTGAGGCCTACAACCTGTTCCGCAAGGACCGTGCCGCCTACGACAAGAAGATCAAGCAGGTTGTCAGAGACAACCCAGCTCCTTGAAAGCTTTTCCCATCTTGCGACACAAACACATGACGATCACGAATCACGGGATGCATTTCGGACTCCGACACACTCAGAAGCATATGCTACAAGCGACGAGTTGGAAGGAAATTACTGCTTGGCCAACGTTGGGAATGGAAACACGGGATTGTTGATAAGTTAATCCATTCACATACGCTGAAGATGGGGGCGGCCTGGCATTTCACCTCTACGACGACGACGAAGCCACCAGTTTACCAAGCACCTCTGCCACTTGGTCTGGCTTTTCCACCATGGGCAGATGACCCGCTCCCTCAATCTCGACGCACTCGGCGCCATCGCTGCCATATCTGGCAGCCATCTCTTTCATAGTCTTTGGCAGCACTCCGTCTCCGCTGCCAACCACAAATACACCCTTAACTTTTCCACTCTTCATGTGCGGCTGGAAGTTGTAGTCACACAGTGCCTCCACACTCTTTCTGAATCCTTCCAGGCTGTTGTTGACAACCATCTTCTTGACTCTCTCGCACTCCTTCTCCATGTCACTCCCGTCGTAGCTCTCCTTGGCGAACCATCGTCTCACCGTGACTTCGGCGAGTTCTTCTCCGACAATCTTCTCGCCTTCTTCACCGGAGGCGTTTTCCTTCTCGCACATGGCCACTCGCTCGCCCCATGCCTTTCTGTTGACCTCGGGATTCTTGTCGTTGGTGTCGCATGCGATGAATGTTGCGATTCTGTCTGGGTATGTCAGGGCAGCGTTGAGCACGGATGCTCCGCCCATGCTGACACCCACGATTGCTGCTGCCTTGGGCACCTTGAGTGCATCGAGCAGAGCAACGATATCGGAAGCCAGAACGTCCATCGTGACGAGCTTGTCGCCGGCCTTGCTTGTGCGGCCTCTGGTGTTGTATCTCAGAATACGGTATTGGCTGTTCTTGGCTAAGAACAAGTCCACCATGCGATCCCAGATGCCGTAGGATGTGAGGATCGAATTGCTGAGTACAATCAAAGGTGCGTTGGGATGTGTTGAGCCTTCGAGTCTGTATTGGAGTTCTGCTCCGTCGCTGGTCGTGATGTACGATTCGACTGCACCGCCATCGTTGCCGGTAGAGAACGTTCTGGTTTGCGTGGCTGGACTATCCCATCTCTTGAACCCGGCAATGGCGAAGTTTTGGAGGTCGCGGGGNGCAGCGCCGAAGGTATAGAAGAGCTCGTATTCGCGTCTGACCTTTTCGGCCACGACATTGGTCATGATGTCTTTCGCCCATGGTGTATCGTTTGTGGCTTGCCATTCCTTGCCGCCGAGACCATTCTTTGGCGTGTATTCGTGCAGAGCCATGTACTCGACTTCATCCTTCTTGTCGATGGCAGCAGTAACGTAGCGTCTTGTTCGCAGCCAACCGGGCACTTTGGACAACATATCAATATGCTCTTCATTGTACCATTTATCCAGCTCTTCACCTTTGTGGCCAGACTTCAATCTCAGACTCACAGATACCATGACGTTGCCCTCTCCATAGTGTTCAATCTTTTCCAGTTTCTTAAAGTCTTTGGCTTCTCTGCTGCTCACGAGGTCAAAACTCCTTCTGTCGATGTCAACAGAGGGTCTAATGTCTCGTTCACGCTGGGTCTGGATTGGAGCACCGCGGAGAGCGAGGTAGGCTTCTGAGTTGAAGGCGTCCATGTCGTCGGTGTCGTAGATGGCCATCCATTCGTGCTTGCCTTTGCCTTGAGCGTCAATGTCGCGGGCGCGGTAGCGGAAGCCATTGTGGATGAAAGGGAGACGCAAGCGGTTGGGTCCGTGTTCGTTATTATACCAGTCGTGGAAGTCGGCTGCTGGGAGGGTGGCCGAGGGTTGCATGGTTACATACAGGATTCCCGGTGTCTTTGCCATGCTTGCGTTCTTTTGCTGCTCGTTTGCACAGGTCTTAGATTGAAGAAGGGTGGTAGGGTTTGAGATTATGAGAAATGGTTTGTAGAGGTTGCTTATCTGGCTTGTAAGAGAAAATGTTCTCGATTGATATTGTCATACTCCCGTGTCGGGTAGCCGAACACGGCGACAGCTCTTACATCCCGAATGACGATGCCGTTGCTCCCCGAAAACAAAACATTTGAGATGAGGGGGTAGTGGGGTCGTTCTTTGGGCACACGGCAGAAGCTGCGGCAGAGAGATGCTTGTTCCAAACGCATTCTATACGACCGTAGGGCGACCCTGATCGGAGAGTCGATATATTTACAACTGATCGATATTCTTTGCTGAAGTTGTGTGCTTAGTCGAGCGAGATCCTTGTGCATGACTAATCGAGGTTGAGGATGCAAGAAGTGTTGGATGTATAATTGTCTATTCGATGATTCTGTTGCAGACTCTCTAGTCATACCAGATAGCATTCATGCCAAAGCCAGGCTCCTTGACATCGCAATGAGCAACACGACCGAGGAACTCTTCGTTCCATCGGTAGATCTCGATAAAGCCCTTTTCGTCGTCGGTCAAAGCTAGCCATTCATCGCTCCAAGGGCAAGGGCTGACGGCATTGGAGTGTCCACCACTTGTAGGCGTAGGGTTGAGACAGATCTGGCGCTCAATGTCACCAGACTCGGACAGCTTGAAGGCTGCAACATAGCCCGTCAAGTCTGGAGAGTTCGATCTAGATGTCGCGAACAGGTATTTGCCGCTGGACGAGAGGAAAACAACATCTGAGCGGTACATCTTGGAGTAGATCTCCTGATGGCCTATTATGTATGTTAGTGGTCTATGTTCCGAAGTTTCTTGAGTATCTTGAGTCTCCCATAGATCTCTCTTACCTGGAGGAACAAGAGGATAGATCTTGTTGGTATAGACAGGCATATGGGTCTCCTCGTCTATTGAGTACACTCCAAGTCTGTTGCCACCTTCCATCAAGGCATAAAGGTACTTTCCACTAGGTGCCATCTCGACCCAGCGAGGGTGATCACCTGCTGCAGGAGCATCGACACTGCCAATAGTGGTCATGTGTCCCGACTTTGGGTCCTTCTTATGGCACCAGACCCTGTTTGCCCACATATCCGCGGAGTAGAGGTAGGTTTCCGTGGGATCGAAGACCATGCCATGGATTGCTGTTTGTGGACAGTAGTCGTAGTTCTGGGTGTTCTCTTTGAGACTTCCGTTCTCGTTCACCGAGAAGACGTTGCCTGAGCCAGCATGGTCATAGAAAGGGTTGCCATACACATTATACGGTGGCTTCTTGCCTGCCAAAACAAAGATTGCACGAGTTTTGGTGTCCGCTTGAGAAGCCTTAGGGTCGTGTTCCATAGGGAATGAGGCAGTGTGTTCGATTTCTGTTGGACTCTTGACAGAGAAACTGTTCCACTTCTTCATGGCAGCTCCGTAGATGGTCTTTCTTGCATGNCTGTCATTGGTATGTCGAGTTAGCATTATGAACATACGCCATTCTTGTCAACGTTTCAGACGCACATCAAAAGTCATCCATGAGATGGGTTCATCTTTGGGGATCTCGGTTCTTTTGATCAATTTCAAGGTCAAAGCCTCGTCGTCGAATTGNAAGGTAAATATGGCACCTGGAGGTGTCCAGGTGCCTACCATCAAATGGTGAAGCATTTTGTGTTGTTTGAATGACGAGAAGTCCCGCTTTGCAGAACCTGATTTCTGGGTCAATGGACTCACGAATCTGCCTTGTAGTCTCCGGAACATGAGACACGAAAGGTTTCTACAAGATTGACCACAAGATTGGAATTGTTGCTTTGGCGAGAACGGAGTCTCGGGAGACGACCGCGGCAAACGACCGGGGAGTGTGGGGTCTTCTCACGGCTCCGAACACGGCAGGTTCATTGAGGCTGCCGATTGATCTGAAGCTCGAGTGTGCTCATGAAGCCTCGATCTGATGTTTGGGATGCAGAATGGCTGTGGACAATGAGACAGAAGTAGAACGGCTTTGAGTAGTTAGTTGTAGCTTGGTCCAAAACGAAAAGCTGTTGTGAACAACAGCCTCCGCTTGAGAGTCACTTTCTGGCATCGAGTCCTCGGTCTACCTCCGTAAAGATGACCCCACTTGTCAAACAGCTCAATTGTATAAAGCTAAGGGGCTTTTCTCCAAGAACAAGCCTTTGCACTTACTATCTCTCACCTCGATCCTCACCACCCTTCACACGAAGTTTCAAATCAACTCCACGAGCCAACATGCGCATCCCATACGCACCTACCGAACCGGCAGCCGATGCATCGGAGACGACCAAAACAGTCTATGGCCGCATCACGGAACGCAGAAAGCCTCGTCCTCTTCTGCCCCTAGATCTGGCACTGCTGCACAACACAGCCATCGCCGACGGTTGGAACAGTCTGCTCGGAGCAGTGCGATCAAAGACATCACTCAACCCTGGCCTGATGGAGATGGCTGTTAGCCGCATCGCAGTACTCAACAAGGCAACATTCGAATGGAACTCGCACGCTCCTCTAGCGCTCAAGGGAGGACTGTCACGAGCTTCGCTAGATCTTGTCCGCACTGCGGCAATCTTTCCTCCAGGTGGCAGAGAGAAGACAAAGGAAGAGCAAGAGACATTCAGCGACGAGGAGTGGGCAGTATTGTGCTATGCCGACCAAGTCACCAAGAACGTCGAGGTCGACGAAGAGGTGTTTGATGGGCTGAGAAAGTTCTTGGACAACACAGGAATCATGGAGATGACGGCGACGGTGGCGACATACAACATGGTCAGCAGATTCCTTGTGGCCATGAACGTGGCAGAGAAGAATGGGCACGAGATTGTGATGCCTGAGCAGTGAGCAATAGCTTGGAGAGCAATGTAAATAGAGCACAAGATATTATGTCAATGCACAAAACAGAGCGAAAGACTCGGGAGTCGGAAGACTTCGGAGATCGGCTTGGTTTGGCTGTCTCGCTCGTTAGCGTCATGCGAGTCCAGGGTCCCTCTATTTTTCGACGGGGCGGCATCACATTGAACAAGACACAATGCGATGAACGCGACGTCTGCATGGCCACGTCTGTTCAGGACTGCGGCGAGTCGAACGCCGTGGCTCCCGCGACCAGCATCACATCGAATGTGGACTTCCCCTATCCGGCCAACTGATGTCCTTAAGCAGCGCGCATATGCCACGAAGGCCACTCCGCTGAAGGGAACCAAGTCTCGGAGACGCCTGTATATCGTCAGTGGTATCGTCGTTGCCGCTGCTGGTGCTGTTGCTGTCAGTGACGACGCCCGCTACATTTGGATCGCCGCCCAGCGTACTGGAAGAGTCGTCGGCACTCTCGCCCTCAACATCAACGACTACCGCCGCACTCTCAACCAATACGATGCCCTGCCTGAGCCCGACTACCAGGCTCTCCTCAAGGACTGCCACCAGCGCTGCGCCGAACGCACTCTGGTCGTTCTACAAAAGAATGGCTCCATCTTCGTCAAGTTGGGACAACATCTTAGCAGCATGAACTACCTCCTGCCCTCCGAGTGGTGTGATACCTTCATTCCATTGCAAGACCAATGCCCCGTGTCTTCCATGGAGAGCGTCGAGGCCATGGTACTCAAGGATACAGGAAACACCCTGTCTCACTACTTCTCCGAGTTCGAGACCAACCCAATCGGTGCAGCCTCGCTGGCCCAAGTTCACCGTGCTACCCTGCGCGAAACTGGCGAACGTGTCGCTGTCAAGGTCCAACATCCTGCACTAGATGAATGGGCCACTCTCGACCTGGCTCTTACTCGCTTCACCTTCCGTACCCTAAAGCGTTTCTTCCCAGAATACGACCTGACTTGGCTGAGTGACGAAATGGACCAGAGTCTCCCGAAGGAGTTGGACTTCGCACTGGAAGGCTCCAACGCTGAACTTGCTCGCAAATACTTCGCTGAAGTCGCGTACCTACCCGTAATCATTCCTAGAGTTCACTGGGCCCAGCGCCGCATTCTTGTCATGGACTATGTAACTGGTCGTAGACCCGACGATCTAGCCTATCTTGACGCCAACAACATCGACCGTGACGAAGTCTCAGCCGCCCTTGCCCGTATCTTCAACGAGATGATCTTCGGCAAGGATGCTCCCTTGCATTGCGATCCGCATGGCGGCAACATCGCTATCCGCTTGAACACCTCCAAACGTGCCCCTAACAACTTCGACGTCATTCTTTACGATCACGGTCTCTACCGTGTGCCTGACAATGCTCTTCGTCGCAGCTACGCCAAGCTATGGCTTGCTGTTCTGGACGCCGATGAGCCACGCATGCGCCAATACGCAAAAGAGGTGGCCGGAATCAACGATAAACAGTTCCCCCTGTTCGCTTCTGCAATTACTGGCCGCGATTACCGGGTTGTCACAAAGAGCGTTGCAACCTCTAGGACGGACGAGGAGAAAGAGGCCATCTCAGACGCGCTAGGCGATGGTATGCTTGAGCAACTCGTTCAGCTCCTTGGCCAAGTGCCTCGTGTCATCCTGCTTATTCTCAAGACCAATGATCTCACACGCAGTCTTGATGAGAACCTGCACACTCGCCAAGGACCAGTCCGCACCTTCATGATTCTAGCACGCTATGCCGCTCGTGCAGTTTACGAAGAGAAGATGGAGCTCTTGGCTGCTGCTGGATTTGGCCCCAGAAGGCTCTGGCGCAGGTTCGCTGCATGGGCTGATTTTGCCCGCATCGAATTCAAGCTCTCTGCATTCGAGACATGGCTCAACATCAAGAGATTCCTGGGCATGCAGCCCACGATCATCTAGTAAAGATTGTATGGCATTTGTAATATCCCGAGCGATGGCGTTTTGATTTCTCTGCTTGTGCGTTCTACTTGGATTAGGATTTTGTCATTGCGGTGTTTTATAGATATACGTTGGCCTTGATTTTGGCCTTGTAAGTAGCCAGCAGCACTTCGTTCATGTACTTACCCTTGAGAAGTTCTCTTCAACATGTGCATTTCTCTTTGAACACCTTCAGGAGAACCCAAAAGGAAAGCAATCGGTCTAGAGGGTCAAGGCTGAGGCAGACTTGTAACTTCTAAGCCTCCAGCACTGTTTCAGATCATGGTCAAGCAAGCACCAGATTGCAGAAGCACATACATGTCAATAATATAGTCCGGACGACATCGATGCTCCATCTGAAGATGACCACAATGCAGCTCTGAGCCAACCAAGTCAATCACCCATATACGATTGAATGCATATGCCACTGTTTTTATACTTGACCTCGTGTAAGGAGTGGAGAAGTCGGCGATACCGGTCTGGGGTAACTCGTTTCAGCACGAACCGCGGTCCGCCAGAAACAAGTTCGAGTTCAAGCAAGGATTGTCAACCAACCCCTGATTGTTTGTCCTTGGCTCTCTGTACCTCAAGTTGCGACCCACAACACGTTTCAGAATCGCGGCGGCTAGCAGACACAAGATATACACACATACCAAGTTCCCAGGAATCGTTGATGAGTGGGCGCCTTATGAACGCAGAGCATAAAAGGTTAGGTGATGAGACAGCTGCTATGCTTGGCTCCTAACGATAGATTAAAGCTATATCTTGTAAGGACTGGTACTGACACAAATTTTGATCTTGCAAGAGTTCCCGACTCGGCAAGACAAGAAACTTCGAAACACTTGGCCATGGAGGCCAAGACGACAAATTCGCAGAAATGAAAGAGATTGATGCATATTGTACGACTCTAGCACCACCTGGCTCAACAAACGTGAGGACGCGAAAATGTCAGTCGCCATGTGCTCGGAGCCACATTTGGTTTGCTGAGGCCATTGGGCGTTGGATTCAGTTCAGGTTGACACAAGCAGTGTATGTACAGAGAATCTCTACTTGTCAAATGATGACCGTACCAGAGAGATCGCTGACGTGCCGAGCCGTCGCAAATGTCAGTCACGCTCTGAATAGCGGCAATGCAAACAGTAGGGGTAAGGATCCGATTGCTTGCTTCCCCATCAGTCATGCATGTCATTGAGTTTCACGGTATTTCGATACGCTCTTTCGCGCTGTTGATTGGAAACGCTCCGTGCGCGCCTACCACCGAGACCTGTCTCTACCCCTTGGTTTTGAGCTTCTGTCCCAAACAGTAGCTAGAATCCCCACTGGCGTAAGCGAAGCGGGTGTTTAAAGTGTTTGGAACCAAGGATGTAAAGGAAGTGGAAACAGAGCCGCTCGTCGGTATGAACATACAAAAGTACTGTTTCGCCCTCTTCCAAGAGAATTGGCTTCCTCTCCTTTCCCATTGTCGACGCTTCCTTCCTTCTTTTGTTTTGTGCCCTTTCCATTCTCAATCTTCGCACAGCTTCATTGTTGCGTTGACTTCGACTGCTTTGGTTCAGTCATTCACGCTCTTTCTTTTTCTGATAATTTCTCTCGACGCTCGAAAGAGCTCACAAGTAACCCCTCCACTCGTTGCCATTCCACTTCTGACCAAAATGCACAATCTCTCTGCTCTTCTTCTGGTAGCCATCCTGGCCACGGCTGCGCTGGCCGCACCGACCGCCCAACAGGCCTCTTCCAACACCCTTTCAAAGCGTTCTTTCATCGTTCCCAGAATCCGCAAGGCTGGATACATTCGCAAACCCTCTGAGGCCATGGGCCGCGCCTACCGCAAGTACGGCTGGTCGATGACCACTCCAGATGGCTCTCCTTGGGCTGCCGACTTCAACGCTGGTTTCGACGCAGGCGCTTCTTCTTCCACTTCCAACGCCCCTGGCAACGATCGTCACAGTGTCCCGCATACCCATCTGTTCACCGATTTCAAGACCTGGCTCTACGCAACTGTCTCGTGGGGTAACCCACCTTCAGGCGACTCTTCCGCTTCTGAATCTGCTGCTCCTGCCCCTTACGCTGCTGCTTCTTCGGCTGTTACTTCCTGGGCCACTTCTGTTGCTTTTTCGACTGCTGTTTCTTACACAGCTGCCGCTTCTTCCGCGGTTGCTTCTTCCGCTGCGGCTGCGTCTACTGCCGTTTCCGTCTCCTCATATGCCCCTCCAGCCCCCGCCGCATCCGCTGCGGCTCCTTCTACCAACCAAGACGACGAGACTGGAGAAGTCGTTGCTACGCCTGCTGATAACGGCGCCGAGTATCTCTCTCCTGTTACCATTGGTGGCCAGAAACTTAACTTGAACTTCGATACGGGTTCTTCAGACCTGTATGTATAAAGCCAAGGTCGCGCAAGATATGACAAGATGCTGACAATTGTGTTAGATNGGGTCTTCAGTACCGCCCTTACCAGCGCTCAGATCGGCGAGCACAGCGCCTTCAATCCCTCCAAGAGTTCATCTTACCAAAAGCTCGATGGCTATACCTTCAGTCTCTCGTACGGTGACGGTAGCGGTGCATCAGGTGCTGTGGGCTGTGACACTGTCGATATTGGTGGTGCAACTGTGACTCGTCAAGCTATCGAACTGGCCACTTCCGTGTCAAGCGCTTTTGTTTCGGATGCGGATTCGGACGGTCTTGTCGGCCTCGCATTCTCATCTCTCAACTCGGTATCGCCTAAACCTCAAAAGACTTTCTTCGACAACATAATGTCTGAGCTAGCGCAGCCTGTCTTCACAGCAAGCCTGGATCTTGATGGTAGTGGGACGTATGAATTTGGCACCATTGACTCATCCAAATTCACAGGCGACTTGACTTTCACACCTATCAACGTAGACTCTGGATTCTGGCAGTTCGACAGCAACTGCTACAGCATCGGTGGCGAGACATTCAACAGAACCAACGCTACACCCGCCATCGCCGACACTGGTACCAGTCTGTTGCTGCTTGACCCTGAGGTTGTCCAGGCATACTATTCCAAGATCCCAAGCGCCAACTACGATAGCACTGTTGGTGGCTACACGTACGACTGTTCCGAGAAGCTGCCTGACTTTGCAGTGGCTGTCGGAGACAACTACATGGCCAATATCCCTGGATCGGGCATCACATTCTCTCCAGTCAGCTCAAAGACTTGCTTTGGTGGTATTCAGAGCAACTCGGGCAGCGACGTTCAGATCTTTGGCGACGTGCTGCTCAAGCACCACTTTGTCGTGTTCAATGGAGAGTCGCAGTGTCTCGGCATGGCTGCCAAGGCCGAGTAGATGTGAATACTGGAAGAAAACATGAGTAAAGCGAGATATAGCTAGTGACGATAATACAAGAGACTGTTGGTAACCAACGGTATTGATGATAATGGAGTGCAGAATGGAGTGGAGTGTAGAGTAGAGGCGGTCGAGGCTCATTGGCGGCGCGGCTTATCATAGCGCTGGAAAATGATTGGCTGAAGGACATCAGAGTGCCTGGGCCGATAGCGCGAAGCATATGTGAGGTCAACAAGCACCAATGTTTGTCAGCATGTCATCGAGACACACGATGCTGTGGTTTCACAAGGAGGTTGCTGGATACAAATGTACCACGACTTGCTGACAACCAAGACTCATTCATTTGCCGAGCGCGTATACCGAACAAGACACGCAGTCACCGGAGACGGACACCACCACCGCGGGGTAGCGGACATCGATCAGCGGCAATACACATGACAGCTCTGTGAGGCTCATGGAACCGCAGCAGCAACCGCCGCATCCGAACCCGGGAGCGGGAGCAGCAGCGGCTCCGGACAGAGCCAATGCGCCAACGAAGCCGACGACAGCCAAATCGCGCGCCCGCCACCGACGGAAAGAGAAGGACGAGACGGCATCCGACGCCGGCGGCGACGACTCGAACAAGCGACGATGCGTGAGCTCAGCCTGCGTAGCCTGTCGCAAGCGAAAATCAAAATGCGACGGCAACCTCCCGGCTTGTGCAGCGTGCAGTCAGGTCTATTCCACCGAATGCGTGTACGATCCTGGTTCGGATCACCGCCGCAAGGGCGTATACCGCAGCGACGCCGATTCCATCAAGACGCGCAACTCTACCCTACAAACCCTCGTTCACGCCATTCTCAACTATCCCGAAGAAGATGTGCCCGACCTGGTGCGTGAGATGAGGACATGTGAGAGTCTGGACAAAGTCGCCGAGCGAATTGTTGCCCGCGAGCAAGGCCTACAACTGGACGAGTCGGATGGCCATCAAGAGGACGACCGCTTTCAAAATGCCACACACACTTCCTCGACGGCGACACCGCTGTTCGAGAAGCAATTGTCGACCCGTGTGGGCGAGCTGAGGCTCGACGATGGTTCAGTCCGCTACATTGGTGGCACTTCAAACTTGCTGTTTCTGCAAGCTGATAAAGACTCACAAGCCTCGTCTGTGTCGGACGCATACCCTCAGCAGGAGAACCCCGTCACATCATGGACCAACCAGACCTCTGATCATGAGCTGGTCATGCACCTTGTCAACATGTATTTCACATGGCACTACACCTACTTCACATGCTTGCCCAAGCACCTCTTCTACCGCGATTTTATGCGAGGCAGACCTCCGCCTGACACCCGTCGAAAGACCGAGTATTGTACTCCGCTACTAGTAAACGCCATTCTCGCCCTTGGCTGCCACTTCACCTCGTCGCCTGGCGCGCGTGAGAACCCCAATGACTCTGCCACTGCTGGCGATCACTTCTTCCGCGAGGCAAAACGCCTTATAATGGATAATGACGAATATGAAAAACCAAAGATGACCACCGTCCAGGCTCTGGCACTTATGAGTGTACGTGAGGCGGGTTGTGGCCGCGAAGCAAAGGGATGGGTGTACTCGGGCATGAGTTTCCGCATGGCTTGTGACATGGGCTTGAACATTGATTCATCTGGTCTGGGTCACAGCGCTGACCACACTATCGACCCTGAAGAGGAGGACGCCCGACGAATTACCTTCTGGGGATGTTTCCTGTTCGATAAATGCTGGTCAAATTACTTGGGACGTCTACCTCAACTACCTAGCTCGGCCATCACGGTACCCAAGTTCGACGTCTTTCCGGACGAAGATAGCGCCTCATGGGCCCCATACACTGATTCAGGCTTCATGAGCGCCCGTTCTCAGCCTGCCCGCACACGTGCGGTTGCCCTGCAGATATCAGTACTTTGTGAGATAAGTAATGATCTTATGCGGCACTTCTACAATCCTAGCGATATGGACAAGAGCCGCGGTCGGCAAGCCGAGCTCAAGATGTTGAGTGATATCCACACCCGCCTTGAAACATGGCGTCGCAATCTACCTGCAGAGATGGAGCCCAAAGAGGGAGGACTTAGCAGCGTTCTTACCATGCATATGTTCTTCCAGCTTCTCTTTATTCATCTGTTCCGGCCTTTTCTCAAATACAATCAGAGCACGTCGCCCTTACCGGCGAACGTCAGTCCGCGAAGGTTGTGCACGCAAGCAGCGGCCATGATCTCGAAACTCATGCGACTTTACAAGCGATCGCACGGTCTGAGACAGATCTGCAATGTGACTGTGTATATTATGCATTCGGCATGTACTATTCATCTGCTAAATCTACCGGACAAGAACGCTCGCCGCGACATCATACACGGTATCAAACACCTGGAAGAGATTGGAGAAGGCTGGCTTGGTGCGCGCCGCACTTTGAGCATTCTCTCCGTTATGGCGCGAAAGTGGAAGGTCGAGCTGCCCGAGGAAGCAGCGACTGTGCTTGCTCGTGCCGATGCCAAGTTTGGCACCCACAGCACAGACACGCCTAGTCCAATGGCCCGCCGAGCATCCATGATGGCAATGATGGGCGCATCAGAAGCCCAGCCAGCTCAAAGAGCACAACAGCCTCTTCCTCAACAACGAGCTGCCTGGACCCAAGCACAGCAAGCAATTTTCGCCAACGCCTCTGCACCCATGTATGGGCAAGTGCCCTTCAATGCCGCCCAGGCCGCGAGTCCCTTTGCCCTGCCTCCCCAATCAGCCTCCGACATCCGCGCTACCAACTATCCATCCGCACAATCCACCCCCTTCACCAACGGCCTCCAATCGCTCAATGCAGCAGAGTCGCCAACAGCAACTTACACCGCCGCAGCCAGCCCTTCAGACATGTTCGGCGGCGTCGAGCAACTACTGCGCGAGAGCCAGGACTGGGTCTTCCGCGATCAAGCACAACTGGCCTCTGGCTTTGGCAATTGGGGTGGGGCAGGGCTAGATCTGGGTGTTGCGTCTCTGGGACAAAGTCCTGTGACTGCTGGACCTGCTGCTGCTGCTGCTGCGTTAGGTGGGTTTTCGTCTGCGGCGGCCGCGGCAGGGTTTCCTTCTGTGATTGGTGGTGTTGGGTTGAGTGCTCAGCAGCAGCAACAGACTAGGCAACAGGAGGATGGGTTTGATACTATGACGACTTATGACGAGAGGGAGTGGTACCAATGAGCTTCTTTTTCTGTAGAGGCTGGGATGTAATGAGAGACCTCTCCTGTCGTTCAATCAATCGTGTACCGTCTCCATCTTCCGATGTGATCAAGAGAACCTTTGATTTCTGCTTTTGGATACAAATTCTACGACAGCAGAATCTGATGTCGACGTTGATTTTGCTAAGACTTGTCGCCTTCGCGGATGTACTTTGCAAGTCTAGCATTCCCTTCTTGGTGTAGAACTTGAGCGAAATAGCCAGAAGTTCCAGCAATACATTGGCCACCCTTCTGTGACCGTTCGTATATCGTACCTTGGGGTCTTTTGACGACAGCAGCCTATCAAACTGTATCGAACGCCTCTTTGACCACAAAGCTCTGCAGCCCTTGGCTGGAGCATCGAGAGGAGTGTCCTTCCAGAGGGTCGACGAAATGTCACAAAGAACAGCATCAGGCTCTGTATGTTTTGATATACAACATTCAAATTTCAGATATAGGTTAAAAGACCAAGATTATATACAAGAGGTCGAAAGGGAAGAACAAAAAGGGGAGATCAAACTGCTCAACAGCCAAAGACCAAGTCATCATCGTCCCAAGAACTAGCTCATGTCCAAACATGGCTCTCTGGTTGTATTCCAAAACAACGTCTCAACAAATAGCTCTGGGAGCTTACTTGGAAGTGTCGAGGACGTAACGACCAGCGATCTGTCCCTTCTCCATCATCTCAAAGACCTTGGGCAATTCGGAGAGACCGACGACCTTGAAGGGTGCCTTGATCAAGCCCTTGGCGTAGAAGTCGAGGGCCTCGGCCGTGTCTCTGCGGTTGCCGACGTATGAGCCCTTGATGGTGATCATTCTGATGACGGACTCGAAGACGGGGGCCTTGAGGTGAGCGCCGGCGGGCAGACCAATGCAGATGACGGTACCACGGGGGCGGACGTANCTGATGTTGTGTTAACGACCATGATCAAGAGCATTGATGTGTGAGTAATCATGACTTACCTCGGCGGCCTGTTGGAAGGGCTTCTCGTTGACGGCGACCAGGATGACAGCGTGGGGACCAAGTCCATCTTCAGTGGCGGCCTGGACATCCTTGACGACGTTCTTGCTCTTCATAAAGTCGACGAATGCGTACGAGCCCAGCTCCTTGCACATCTTCTCCTTGTCCTCACCGGAATCGATGGCGATGGTTCGGATACCCATGGCCTTGCAGTATTGTTGAGCGAGCGAGCCGAGACCACCACCAGCACCGACAATGGCTACTGTCTGGCCAGGGCGAGCGCCAGACTCCTTGATGCCCTTGTAGACGGTGATACCAGCACACAGGACGGGTGAAACACCATCGAGNGGAGTATCCTTTGTGAGTCTAGCAACGTGTGCTGCCTTTGCTACAGCGTACTGCTGGAACGAGCCATCGACGGTGTATCCCGAGAGTGTGGCCTTGGGGCAGAGGGGCTCGTCCGATTGCATGCAGAAGTCGCAGGAAAGGCAGGAACCGTTGATCCANCTAGCATCGTGGTCAGCCAAGTCAGTTGTAGAGTGACAGTCTTTACATACCTTGATGCCAACGTGATCACCAATGTTGACCTCGCTGACGAGTTCACCACGTCCGACGACGACACCAGCACCCTCGTGACCGCCAACAAGGGGAAGCTTGGTTGGAAGGGGCCAGTCGCCGTTCAGGGCGTGAAGATCTGTGTGGCAGACACCGCTGTACTTGACATTGACGAGAACCTCATCAGGACCAGGCTTGGGAACGGGAATCTGCTTGTACTGGAGGGGGCCGCCAGTCTTCTCGATGACCTGAGCCCATTGCTTCTCGGGAATTTGNGGAGACGACATTATAAATTGGTCTCCTGGTGGAGATGGAAGGTTGGAAGTGGATAGGTAGTTGTGTGTTGTGAGGAAGAGTTGGATACTTGGAAGATGAGAGAGTAAACGACTGGCAAGAGCGAACTACTTATGTGTTTCTCTGCTTGAAGCAGGCCCGAAGAGAGCTCACCCCACCTCGACAGAGGGGTCAACGTGCATCGGTTGGAAGGGAGCAACTCGGTGCTGTGTCCTGCAGCTCCTCCAGAGCTCGCGCGGTAGCCCGAAGCTAAGTCCAGGCCTGCAGCGAGTGGCAGGAGATCCTGCTCCATCGGTCGTAAGCAAGTCACCAAACAATCGTGAGGCGCCATGGCGTGGTGGTGCTGTCTCGTGCTATTCCTACAAGGGCCGAAACAGCCAAATTTCTTACCGTACAAGGTCCGAATCTGCGACCACTCTCACGTAAACTACTCGCTGAACAACAACTTTGGTTGGGAAGGAGTCGACAGATTCTGAGACTCGGAATTGTACGGCGTCTGCTGTCATGGCGTGACCACAACGCCGACGTATCCAATGCCCCAACTTCGAGCGTAGCTGGACATTGCAAGGCAGCACGATATCTTACCTACATGGGGTCTACCGGAATGGATTTGTGGTGTAGGGAGTAGAGGGAGCTCGACGAGGAGCATTGTAAACAAAACGACGACACGAGTTCGATACAGGGTCACACCTTAATTTGGCAAGGTCTGCCGGCTTCCGACCCCAGTCCCGGGACCTCTAGCTCCCGCAGGCGGGGCAGCGAACTGCGTGGATACGGCGGGGTAGCTACCAAACCTTGTCATATTCATCCAGCTTGACAACGAAGCTCCAACGACGGGCGGCGCATGGATCCGAAGCATCTCATAGGCTCGTTCGAAAGGAAACAGACCCGGATCCCTCTCGCCAAGTCACCAGGTCGCGATCCTCCAACAGATCCATAGCACCTGGGCTAAGCTGGCTTGCTCATGCTAGCCTGTAAGCAGCATACACATTCAAGTGGCTGGCCTCGAATGAGCCATGATTGAGTCGAGAGGAGATCGTGGCTTGCAGGCCCAGTGGCTCGGACGAACGCAGCTCCTGGCAGTGCTCCCACGAGGATCTGATTCCTTGTTGTCCACCACCACACTCGTTGCATTGCTCATTTCTTCTCGACTCACCCGAAGTGGAACAAAGCCCAACTTGCGTATTCGATTGATGATATAAAAGGGTGGGTCTGCGGAATCCGCCTGAGCGCCCCACCACTGCCATTGTCCTGCGAGTCAGTTGCCAGTGCGGAGCAACTCTTGAACTATAACAAGCCATCAACTGAGCATGTGGGTCTGGACTTTGCGTGTGCGGACGGTTCAGTGGGAGGACCTTTGAGGCTCCGAAGCGGCAATCCTAAGATGGCACATTACATCTCACCACGACTGGCACCTTGTTGCATTGAATATCAATGGCGGTATCATTGCATATCTCATATTAATACATCTAATTGTTGTTTCGTAAAAGACTACTCATCCATCGATACCTCAGTCGAGAAAGGAACAGCAGAAGAGATCTGGGTCACAATGGAAGCAGTCGTGTACCGCTATGTAGACCCGCGGCTCTTTGTGCATCCCTTGCGTCTGACCTTGAAGCTTTCAGTAGTAGACTGGGCGCTCCCAGATGGGCGGACGACCATCCTCAGCATCCCAGACGATCTTGTTCTTCTCATCAAGAGTGGCACCTTCGTCCGTGATTGGGATCACCTTGCTTGTGTCTCTGACTTCCTGCCTGCTCACACCCATAGGGTCGCGAGGGATCCATAGAAGGTGTGGTCCTGCAGTGACTGCCGGGTTGTAGTAGGCATGCTGCTCTTCCTCGGACTCATATCTAATGCTAATCGTCTTGGGGACCAAGCGGCGCATCGTTGCGTAGTCGGTGTAGACATCAGGACGAAGGAATTTCTTCCAGAAGGTAGGCTTGGCATGAGGTGATGGTCCAAGTTCAGTAGTCGTGTCAGGGACCATGCCCTTCTCGCCTCTCTCAGCGTTCTCGTCCTCGTCTAGTAGACGACGCTCTTCGGCTTCAAGACTCTTGGGCAGGTAGTTGATCAAAGGCTCAAGAGCGGCGTTCAATGACAAATGATAAAGAGCTGTAAACACCAAGAAGATGATCATTAGAATCAGAGGTCCCAATGCTCCTACGGAAGATCCAGTAGCAATGGCGAACAATCCAATCAGACAACCTTCAGCAATGTAGAGGCCTACGAATACTTGTTGCAGAGCACGAGGGTAGACACGTCCTTTAGTGTCAATGTTAGCGTTCGAGACGTACAGTAGGTTGTAACGGTAAGCCAGATAGAACAGGTAAAGACCGATAGCCGCGAAGATGAGGACCAGAGGAGCAATGATCGCGTAACAGATAGCAATCACGAAGAGGTTGGTGTAAGGAGGGAAAACAGTGCCCCAGCTCATGCTGGCCAATGAAGTCCATCGTTTGTACATCTTGCGAGGTGTGTTGTCCAAGAACTTTCCAAGGATAATAAAGACGACGAGACCAGTAAGATTGAGCAATGTGCCCGAAACCACACCCAAGCCTTGAAGCACGAAGTAGCTGAGGTAGAAATTGGAAGCCTTAGGGATACTCGAAGCCAGTAGAGTAGGAATCTGATCAATGTGGTTCGGCAGAATCGAACCAAGAGCTGAAGATGCAGCGGAACCGAGAGTAGCGACCAAAAACACCTGTACGACCTGGAAGCCGAAGTAGGTGTTCTGTACTGTAAGCTCCACGGCGGAAAGAGACGGATCACCTCCAAGCCTCGCCATTAGCCTCAAAATTATTGGAAGTACAGACATCAAGATGGCCAAGGCGACTGTAGGCAAGAGACCTGACACGACTCCAAAGATGACATGTGGCAGAGCGAGTAACCAGTTCAACCAGGTGAATCCTTCTTTGAACGTAGTCGGAGGGTTGCCACTACTCCAGTCTTTGAGGTTGTCCAAATTGGAGATGAAACCGACAGCAGCAACTGGGAAGGACCAGAAAACGATCAAAGCGACGACGAAGGAGATAGTTGCTGTTACCCTGAGGACTCGCTCCCACCATTTGATGCGGAGGTTGCTCCAGATGATTTCTCCAGGAGTCATTCCAGTATAGCGAGGAGCCATATGTAAAACCTGGTGGTGTGTCAAGCTCTGATAGGCAGACTGAGCTTCCTGCAGGGTGGTGAACTGGACAAAGACTGCATTGATTTTCTTGACGCCGTCAAGGGCCTTGTGCTTGTTCTGCATCTCCTCGACCTTGGGAATACGCTTCTCCAGCTCTGCGCGGCACCAATCGATGGTGTCTACTTTCTTTCCAATCAAGGGCTTCAAACGGTGCGTAGGTCTGTCTTTTGCAGAGATATAGCGAGAAGCTGCAGAGCCACCTTCGACGTCAGGTGTTAGTTCTTCCAGAGCGATGTCTTCGTTGTCCTTCTTTGCCTTCTTCTTGTTGACCTTCAGCCGAGCAGCGTTTGCAGCCTTGATAAGCTTGGTTTCGGCGGCTTCGAGCTTGAGTGCTGTCTTGTCTCTCTCCTTGACCTCATCCTCGAGATCTCCGGTATCGGTAGGGATCCAGACTCTTTCAACGGACTCTCCAAGCATTCGGCGTAGGTTCGTTTCGTTCAGATACTCATCTGGCACGGAGGTGAAAAGAACGGTACGCGACGAGAGGCGACTAGCATAGTATGGCGATAGCAGATATGCCTGGCGCAGATTGATGTAGTAGATACTCTCTCGGGTAACCATGTAAATAACAAAACCTNNAGAGACTCTTGTCAGCTATGTATTAGAAGGTTGATCGCGTGTCTTACCAAAGAAGAGGTAGGCACAACCAGTGTGCGCAAACATCTTGTAATAGTTGTTCGTTACGTTTCCCAGTGTAAGAATGTCGAGTTGCGATTTGCCTCCACCGCCTGTGATATTGATCGGGAACAGAACGGGNAAGGTGATACAACAGCCCACTAGACAAGTAATGACAGCCATCTTCAAAAGACGCAGGAAAAGGTAACCGTCCAGAGAGTGATGGTTGAGAACATAACTATCAGGAACGTTGAAGAAGTTACTGAACCAACCGAAGAGTCCATCCGGCAGTTTAGGCGATCGTTCGCGCTCCTGTATACTGCCCAGGAAGGTTCTCGGGCGATAATTTCTCGGGAACCATCTTCTGAAGATCAAGAATAATGCGAACCAGACCAATGCTACCAGAGCAACTGGAGCTAGAGTAGAAAGGAGACCGGTAGCAGAAGACGACACATTCTGCGCGCTGCCAACGTTAGGGTCGTCGTTTGCGTCCTGGCGAATTGATAGAGTCAGACTTGTCGCTAGAACCATGTTGTTTTGTGGTCGAGGTACCGTAGCTGATGTTGCCGCCATATTGACGGATTTCCGTTACCCAGGAGCAGTGACTGTGTCTGGGTAGCAGGCTCAAGTTCAGAGCAGGGTGGAAACAAAAGGAGCACACGCAAGGGGCAGACCGCCTCTGATATCAGGGTCTTTTTGAGGGGCGCTTCTCGATGTCTTGACAGGAAATGGCGCTAAAATGTGTCCAGCCTGTCGTGCGCTTCACCTTGGAAACAGCCTTGCATCAGACTGATCGCTGCGGGATGACGCTGGCGGCACTGATATCAGGAACGAACAAAACATGGAAGACTGGGTATCGATCAAAATATAGCCTGAATTTGGTCTCACTGGCCGCGCCTTGGTTCTGCTTGTGATGTCGGCTGTTGGACATGTCACACAGCGCGCACAATCGTGCAAGCAGCCATCGCTGTGGCTGTCGTGCGCGCATCGACCTAGCCACGCGTGGAGTTTTAGGAGAGGGAAATTGCAGTTGTGGTGGCAGAGTCGACAAATGATAATGATCCCAGCCACCATTTGCGGTCCGCAAAACTCTAAATATCCTGCTTCGTTTCATATGACAACGGGTGCTCTGAATGTCAGTATTGGCGAGTCTGGCCACTTTACGCGTAGCAACGAAAGACTGTCCTTGATGTTGGTCAGACTCTACATCGAGGAAATCTGATCTGGTCACGAGTGACGATTCTCTGTGCAGTGATCAAACACCATCAATAAACAGATCGGCCACATCAAGGTTCACCCTCGAATCCCAGGGTCTTGAAAAGAAGTGGATCTTGGGATCAAGGCTTCGGGAGCGAGCAAGAGAGCAACCGTTCATCCTGACCGACAACGAACTTTAACAAAATGACACCTCGAGTTTTCTCGGCCAAATCACGACAAGATTTTGTGTATGAAGAAAAGGTTATGCGTTGTCTCTGTGAAACTACCACTGATTATACAAAATTGAGTCTTTACCACGTATCGCGTGCCTGAATCCCGACCTGTCCTGAACTCCTGTATGTGCCAATGATTATACGTGCCTGATAACATACAAACCGAGTGCCTCATGATCATCTTTCGCTCTTTTCTCAGATCACGGCGTCTCCTGCTTCTTAATCAAGGGTGGGGGTCCAGTACCACTTCTAGCTCTTCTTTCGCGCTCGCCGACGCCAGGTTCGGGAACCTTGATGTTGAGACGCTTCTTGTTGGTGAAGCGCTCGCCAGTACCACGCACCCACTCATCCTCGTCATCTTTGCCAAGCCAGTATCTCTTTCCGACCGAAGTCATGATGCGACCAAGACGACCCTTCCAACCTTCACCCTCCTCGCGACCCTCACGGAAAGGGTTCTCTGCCAGATCGGTACGCTCGGAGCCGCCGTGCAAGCCGAAGTTGTTCGAGGAGGTCATAAGGATGTGTTGGCGCAGTACACCACGAGCGTATGCCATGACCACCAGGCAGAAGTAGATGCGGATGGTCCAGAGCGCACAGATAACAGTAATGCTAGCAATGCTACCAGATTGGAAAACTGCGTGTCCAAGTGCGGAACCATCATTAATGCCGGCAGCGACGGCGTTCTGTCCAGGCATAGCAGGAGTTGCGACAACCTCGACGTGGGTAGCATTGACTTCGGGGCTTGTGAAACCTGCGGTGTCGTTCATCATCTTTCCACCAGGAAGCTTGCTGTCGTCGCCGGGCACAGGGTCGTTGATGTGACGGGCGAGCATCAAGAACCAAGTGGTGCCGAAGAGAGCAGTGTAGGAGGCGTTGATCAGAGAGTCGAGTACATAGAGCCAGGCGAGAGAGAGACATTGTAACGGGCTTTGACGCTTGATGTGTGGTGAGAGGTAGCAGAGGGCGCCGAGCACGCCGATCGAGTAGATGTACATGGTGAGTTGTAGCCAGGAGAGGTGGTAGCCGGTGAGAATGGCAAGGAGGCCGTAGATGCCTGACACCTTGTTGATGAGCAGCGTCAGGGCGATCATCTCAGTGCCGGTGCGCAGCGATATGAGGTACAGGAATGTNCTGCTCGTCGTCAGTATGCGCGCAGTCGCAACATGCTTGTCAAGACGCACCTTAGGCCGCAGCATGCGGAAGATGGCGGGAAGCGCCATGGTGCTGTCCCAGGGATATGTGCTGAGATAATAGGTATCGCAAAGGTTGCTCGAGGCGTTGCTCGATCCAGTGTCCTCGAGAAGGTGAGTCGGTAGTGGTTGGTTGGTAGAAGAGTGAATTCGAGAGTCCGCGCTGAGGCTTAGTCGCCGGGACTGCCGGCCAGAGAAATTGCGACGAGAAAACGGACCGCAGGCGCCAATTTGCCTTACCTACTTTTTGAACATGCAACTGGTTCTTGCGACACTACTCAGTTCAGACGCAGTCGATCTTCTCTGTGTATACGATGAGAATATATCGTACTGGGAGTGTGCTGTCTGAGTTGTTGATGGTTGTTATTGGATGCAGACCATCGTGTAGCCACGCTAGGCTGTCATAATGATTATGCCCGAGGCCAAAAGTGTATTCGGACCACCATCTTGACAACAATACACTGGTAAGCGTTTATGAAGGCTCAAGTCTCTGGGTTATCATTCGAGTTGTGGTGTTCTACTGTGTTCCGAGATAGCAGTTCTCCGGAACTATGGTTGCCAGGAGCACCCTGTCTTGCACTGTCAACGACGATACCACCACCACCAAACGTGTCAGGAATATAGGTACCAAGGCTACGTGAGAAGAATTTCACCAACAAGGTCGCCGTGGTAACGTGTATCTTTCCAAGTGCGTCCTAGGTGCTTTTGCTCTCGAATTACCATATCAACAAAGCATCAACCCAAATCTGTATCACTTCCACTCAAGCTGCGTCAGACCAAGTAGCATCGCAAATATTGATCCAACAACGGGGGCGCCATAAGAGGCATCGAGTTATCAAGATCTTCGGGCAGAAAGACGGAGAAGCAAGACATGCAGATATGTTTATGTACATGGGGCTATCTTTTATTCCAAAAGCCGGTCAACCGCTCAAAAACGCCGTGCTGCATGCAGAATACTGTACAAGAAAAGAACAAGATTCGAGGGAAAACTAAAGGTATCTTGGGAAGGGAAACGGTGTCGAATAAGAACAAAGACAAGACGATCAAAGCCGGAAGATTTAGCAGGCGCAGCTCGAGTTGTCTGTCGTAGGGCCTGGGTTGATGTTTACATCGATCACNTGCAAGATTCGGTCAGCGGATCTGGTCAGAATAGCATCCGGGCAGGTAAACGTACTTTGGTTGGGTGTCTGGTTCTGCTCACTCTCCATACCAGGCAGTGCTTGTGCTATCCTCTTGAACAAAGGCTTCACGTTGTGTCCGACCTTTGCGCTTGTCTCGATAAACATGAGATTGTGCTTCTTGGCCTCTTCCTCTCCTTGCTGGGTGGTGACCTCGCGCTTGTCGTTCAAATCGGTCTTGTTGCCGACGAGGACGATGATGACATCGGAGCCACGCTCGCCGCGAACGTCGTCGACCCACTTGCGGGTTTGCTGGAAGGACTTGGCCGAGGTGATGTCGTAAACGACGACGGCAACACTGCTGTCGCGGATGTATGAAGGAATCAGACTACGAAAACGCTCTTGTCCAGCGGTGTCCCAGAGCTGTAGGCGTACGGTGCGGTCCTCGAGGTACATTGTCNNTGAGGGAAGGTGTAAGTACGAGTATTGGTTTGCAGTATGGCGAATGATAGTAGCAACCTTTGACAAGAAGTCGATTCCGATAGTGGCTTGGTAGGTGTTGTCAAATGAGTCGTACATGAAGCGGGTGATCAAAGACGTCTTGCCGACTGAGGAGGTTAAGTATCAGCAGTGTATGTGGAGAGGCAATAGAATGTATTGCATACCGCTCTGCTCGCCGAGGAAGACCAGCCTGTGACATGCACGTCAGCATGTGCATGTATCGATTAGAACGGTTATGAGCTACTTGAACTTCTTCAGCGGGTTCGTGTAGGACGCTGGTTGAGCCATGGTGACGAGGTTTGACTTGATGAATGTCGAAGAACCGGAACAGCAGACGAAACAGCTTGCGCAGAGCAGAGAGACAGCGGGATTATGAACAGGTCTGCAGGAAAGCGACTCTTGTATTATTCAGGAGATTGACATGCGGACTCGCGCGAGCTGCGACCCTCGATGTGTCTCCACATACAAAGGACCGTGCTGCAGGCCGGAAAGGGCTTCGCCGAGGCCTGAGGGCCAAGCCTTTTAGAAGCCCTAGCGCTTGCTTGCGGAGAAAGACCTAGTGAGATTCGGCCTGTCAGAAAAATTACTGGCGTCTATTCTGCTTTTCCAATCGACCTTATTTTGCTCACGACAACCATGGCTCCCGTCGCCGAAAAGACCCAGGCAGCGCCTGCAACGCATAAACAGCCCTCTCGTAAGGGCAAGAAGGCATGGCGCAAGAACGTCGACATTACAGAGCTGCAAGAAGGCGTTGAAGATGTCCGCGAGCAGATCATCCAAGNNGGTGCGAATCACCAAAATATCTTCTATGGATCCACGTACTGACGTTTCCACAGTGGTGTTCTGACCGAGAGACCTGCCGAGGAGCTTTTCGTCACTGACATCAAGGGCGCCGACGATGTCCAAGCCGACTTCAACAAGCGCCACAAGCCCCTCAAGGCCGACGAGATTATCGCACAACGTTCAAAGGTCCCCGCAGTAGACACCAGGAAACGCAAGTCCGATGGTATCGCAACTGGAAGCAGCAAGCGCAACAAGAATGGCACCTACGTCTCACACAAGGACCTTCAACACCTGCGCAGCGTCGCAAACTCTGGCGGTGCCCAATCCGATATTATCAAAGCCACCGAGAGCGCAGACCATGACCCGTGGGGCATGGAACCCCTGCCACAGGACCCTAGATTCTCTTTCATCCCTGAAAAGAAGGCCAAGGTTGCTCCCAAGACATTGAAGTACGCTCCTATCTCGCTGGCCGCCAATGGCAAGCCTTTCGCCGCCGTGCCCAAGCCTTCTGCTGGAAAGAGTTACAACCCGACGTTCGAGGACTGGGAAGCACACGTTACAAAGGTTGGCGAGCGTGAGGTTGCCGCAGAACGCAAGCGCTTGCAAGAGGCACAAGAAGAACACGACCGTCTGGAGAAAGCTCTTGCAGAGGCCGCAAGACCCGAGCCATTGACTGACGACGAGTACCAATCAGCATACGAGAGTGAGTGGGAGGGTATTCAGAGCGAGGCCGAGGATTCTGGATCTGTCACCAAGAAGCGCCCGGAGAGAAAGACACCATCTCAGAGAAACAAGATCAAGAGAAGAAAGGAGCTGGAACACCAGGCCAAATGGGACAAGCAAATGAAGAAGAAGGAAGAGCAACTAGAACGTGTCAAGGAAATTGCTCTCCAACTCGCCGAAAAGGAGCGTCTCCTCGCGGAGCAAAAGGCACTGCAGCCTGCTAGCACTGGTGTTGAGGTCGAAGCCGAGATCAACGATGAGGACGAAAGCGAGGTGTTGCGCCGTCGCAACCTTGGCAAGCATGCGTAAGTTTTGTGCATCTGTTGACTGAGTTCTTTCAAGTACTAACGATCATTCTAGTNNGTCCCTGAAGCCCCTCTTGAAGTTGTCCTCGCAGATGAGCTCCAGGATACGCTTCGTGCGTTGCGACCTGAGGGCAATCTTCTCAAAGATCGCTACAGAAATCTGTTGCTCAACGGCAAGATGGAGTCTCGTCGCACCATGCAACACAAGAAGCCTAAGAGGGAGGTTACCGAGAAGTGGAGTTACAAGGACTGGAAGCTGCGCTAGATACAGTGCAGTCCCTTGGATCTGCCGTTGTGAGCCAGCAAGTTTGGTGTGATTCTCATATTCTTGATACCAGTGGCGTGCCGGATTTGTTTGTTGCATCTGCCTGGCGTTGGGGATAATTAGAGTATAGGGCATGGAAGGATTTTGATGAAATCTACAAAAGGAAAAATGCACTGCAGATCAATGTCCAGCAAAATGTCTAGCAAGACGCTGATTGTATTGTCATCGGATGAGCGTTCTGTTTGTCGGTCACTTCTCAGTAGATCATAAAGGGCCGTGTGAGACGTCTGATGTTGCCAACAGAGGTATTGTCCTCGCTGGTCGTACGTTGTTGGATTCTAGAAGAGGGAGACACAATGATATGTTTGTCTTAGAGTCTTTGTTTATTAGCTAGAAACTTCTAGTGCTCACAAGCAATAGCAAACAGACCTTTGATGATAGCAGTCATTGTAGTAGAGCAGATGTATAGTTCTAGCTCTTCCCTACTGATGAAATCCAAGTCTTGCATTCAACAGTGTTCAACATACGTTCGAGAGGGCCTCGGCATCAAGATGTTGTGGAGAACAAGCGCGGCTTGCTTGCTCGCTCACTGCTGGTGAACAATCAATCTGCGCGCATCTGCAGCCAATCAGTCCATCAACCCAATCACCATGGCCGACACTGAAGATCGCGCGCCCAGCGACACCAAGGCAGAGGCACCTCAAGCCACGCCGGCAGACCAGACTGCACCTCCCACGGGCGACGACATCGAAGCATCCATCGACGCCGAAATGTCGCAACCTGGCGACAACAGTAGCCATACCATGGACAACAGCAGCGCTACCGCCAATATCAACATGGACGGCGCCAGTGACGAGCCCCCAACTGTGCCTCAGATCGAGACGAGGATGCCGGCGAAGAAGGACGTCGCATTGCGGGACTTCTTGGGCAAGATGGATGAATATGCGCCAATCGTGAGTCTACCCTCAACTCGCGTCGCAACACGCTGCAATCCTTGTCACTCTCACTAACACACAGTCTTCGACAGANTCCCAGATGCAGTCACAAACTACTACCTCACCCTCGCCGGTCTGCCCCCACCACCAGCAACTCCACCCCATCTGGCCCGCCTCCTCGCGCTCGCTGCTCAANAGTTCATCGCCGACATTGCCGCAGATGCATACCAGTACTCGCGCATCCGATCCACCAACACCACATCTAACAACCCCTTGACTGGACTCGGTGGTGCAGCAGGCTTTGGTATGATGCCCACAGAGGAAGGCGGTGCTAAGGGCAAGGGCAAGGACGCCGGAAAAGGCGCTCAGCTGGGCGGCCCTCGTCCAGGCTACGGCGGCGGTGGTGTGGGATCGTCTGGCGGCAGGACTGTGCTGACCATGGAAGATCTGGGCATGGCTGTCGGAGAGTACGGCGTCAACGTCAAGAGAGGCGAGTTCTACAGGTAATCTTCTTACAAACTACGAGACATATGGGCAGGCGTTTCTCTGGGCTGGGTTATTGGCGGCAGACTTGCACGCATTCTTACGAAAAGACGAAGAGGTCATTTATCTAAGGGGTACGGCGTTTAGGGACGGGCTGGGACATGCATCACTCGATAGATGAGACTGTACCATAAGGACAAAGGGTTATAGTCACAAGCGATCCAAAATTGACAAGACTTCAGGACATTCATTCACGGATATGGAGAATGAGTAACACAATTAAGGTCGTCAAAAATGCGCCTCCCCGACTTTGATATTTTGTACATGAAAACCCAAGAAACGCCAGTACTTGAACAAAACATTGCATCTTTATCAACAATATGCGTTTACTTGTTCTTGGAGTGCTTGTAGGTGAAACGCTTTCTCGTNCCTGCAGCACGTCAGCATCAGTCCATGGCAGCCATTGTCTGGCAGGGTGCTACGCACGATGAGAACTCTCCAAGCTTGTGACCGACCATGTCCTCGGTGATTCTGACATCGTTGTAGATCTTGCCGTTGTGAACTTGGAAAATCAAGCCGACGAAGTTGGGCAGGATGGTGGCACCGCGTGCTTGGGTCTTGATCGGAGGGGCACGCTCGCCGGGCTTTGGGCGGACGATGGGCAATCTGTGTATCTTGTCGTCAGAGCTGGTTCTAGAAGTCTTGCGCGCGAGTCCATGTGTTCAGAAAGTTTGCGACAGAGGATAGGCAAAAGTTGATTCGGGAGATGCTTACGGGACAATGTGTGGGCCNTGGGAGAGCAATTAGTCTTTATGTGTACGAGTGATGGATGCAAAATTACCCTTCCACACAGAGCGAGCGCCCTGCAGTATCGTTGTCGGCCTCATGATGTGCTGGATATAATCTAGGCTCGGAGGTGTCTGCGGTCTCGAATGTGCATCTCTCTCGTCCGCCCATCCCCGAAGCACAGACCACATCTCGTCTCATACGCGCTGCACGTCGACCATCTTTGTGCAGGCAGCAGTTTGTGTTTGCCTTCGAGTATTGGCGAAAGGACGAGAAGGAGGCCTGATAAGGAGAGTGAAGGGTGTTGTGTCTTCTGCTCTCGTCCTAGAGGCTAAAATCTTCACAACTTCTTCTCTTCCACCTTTCACCTTTACACTCCGAGAGGCCAACATCAAGATGCCTGCTAATTCTGGTAAATTCTTATCAAAAAGATCAATTGGGCACGACTGACAAACTCACAGCCGCGGATACGATCCGTATCATGGTCTCAACTGACAACCATGTCGGATACGGAGAACGTGATCCAAATCGCGGCGATGACTCCTGGACCACTTTCGACGAGATCATGACAATAGCACGAGAACGAGATGTCGACATGGTGCTTCTGGCTGGTGACTTGTTTCACGACAACAAACCATCTCGCAAGGCCATGTATCATGTCATGTCGTCTCTTCGCAAGAATTGTTTCGGCGAGAAACCCTGTGAGCTCGAGATGCTCAGCGATGCCTCGGAAGCCTTCCAGGGCGCCTTCAACCACGTCAACTACGAAGATCCCGACATCAACGTTGCAATTCCAGTCTTCTCAATCCATGGAAACCATGATGATCCTACTGGAGACGGTCACCTGGCATCCTTGGATCTACTGCAAATGGCTGGCATGGTCAACTACTACGGCCGCACTCCCGAATCCGACAACATCGTCATCAAACCTGTGCTACTACAGAAAGGTCGAACCAAGCTTGCACTGTACGGCATGAGCAATGTTCGTGACGAGCGTATGTTCCGCACCTTCAGAGACCAGAAAGTCAAGTTCTACCAACCCGGCACACAGACAGGAGATTGGTTCAACCTCATGAGCGTTCACCAAAACCACCACGCATACACCGAGACTGGCTATCTCCCCGAGAATTTCCTTCCTTCTTTCATGGACCTGGTTATCTGGGGACATGAGCATGAATGTCTGATCAATCCTCGATACAATCCGGAACAGACCTTCCATGTCATGCAGCCTGGTTCATCAGTCGCCACATCTCTTATGCCAGGCGAAGCTGTACCAAAGCATGTCGCGATCCTCAGCATTACTGGCAAAGAGTTCAAGTCTGAACCGATCCGTCTCAAGACCGTCCGGCCTTTCGTGATGAGGGAGATCAGTCTGCAAGATGATGCTCATATGAGGAAGATTGCCATGAAGGACGACAATCGCGCCGAAATTACTCGCTATCTTACAACAGTTGTCGAAGACATGATCAGAGAAGCTCGCCAAACCTGGCGCGAAGCTCAGGAAGGAGACATTGACGAGCATCAGAAACCCGAATTGCCTTTGATTCGTCTTCGCGTTGAGTACTCCGCTCCTGAAGGAGGTCGCTTTGACTGCGAGAACCCCCAACGCTTCTCCAACCGCTTCTTGGAAAAAGTGGCAAACGTCAACGATGTAGTCCAGTTCCATCGCAAGAAGACTGGCACTAGCAGGAAGAAAGAGCAGCCCGACATGCCCGAAGAAGCCGTCCTGCAACAGCTTACTCTAGACACTGTCAAGGTGGAGAAGCTTGTCAAGGAGTTCCTCACAGCCCAGTCGCTCACAATCCTTCCTCAGAATGCATTTGGCGATGCCGTCAGTCAGTTTGTCAACAAAGACGACAAGCACGCTATGGAAGCTTTCGTGAATGACAGTCTTGCAAGTCAGTTGAAGCATCTTCTGGGTGACGCAAGTGTAGAAGACGAAGACATGGCTGAGGCCATGGAGGAGTCAAGACGAAACTGGAAGAGTCTTGGGCACAGGGTACCCTGAAGCGCACTGTCAAAAAGGACAAGTTGAAACCAAAGCCAGCCAACTGGGACTCGGATTTGGATGGAGAATGGGCAGCGCAACCAGGTGCGCTTGTCCGTTCCGACGATGAAGCAGTGGACGAGGAGGAGGCAGCTCAGCCGAGAGCTAAAGCTACCCGTGGTAGAGGAGGCAAGACTACTGGAACCACACGCAAGACCGCCGCGGCGACCAAAAAGCAGCACCTGCGAAGAAGACAACAGCACGCACCAAAAAGCACCGATTGAAGAGGAATCAGAGGATGAAGAGGACGATGTCATCATGCTCGACGACGACGATGAGGACGAAATGCCTAATGTAAACGATGACGAAGACGACGACGATGACTTGTTCGTCAAACAAGCACCCAAGAAGAGAGCACCTGCAAAGGCTGCGGCCAAGTCGACTTCAAAGCGTGTTGCGTCACCTCCAAAGCGCAAGGCACCTGCTCGCAGCACGGCAGCAAAAGCCAAACAGACGATTCTGAACTTCTCTCAGACCCCTGCGCCATCGCAAACACGTAGCACTGCAACTCGTGCTGGACGGAAAACCGCAGGACCTGTAAGTTTTGTCCATGAGATGAATTGTGATCAGACTGCTAACGAGATTACAGAGTGAGGATGAGATTTCTGATGACGACGATGCTTTCGAACCTCCTCCCACAGCATCTCGTTCTGCAGCGCGTCGTAAGTTTTAAAACTTCAGACCCGTCGTTTTGGGAGCTGAAAAGTTTCGACTCTTGCTGAAAGAAAGCTTTGATGGAGAATACTTGTGCATTTTTGAAGTAGCATCAACACGGGGCTGCTGGTTCTGACATGACAAAAGCATAGCGTAATGGAGTTTGGGGGTATGGCTGGGATGATGATTTGCTCTAACACACTTTTAGCTCTTTTCCAAGCATCGAGGGAAAGCAATAGGACCCTGAGATTCCCCAGACCCGGTTCTGTGGTTCTGGGAAGGGGGTCATCGACGTCGCTGTCATAATATCTGGGGTAGGTATACAGAGAGAAGGAGCTATCAACCCGATTCGGGAAATGCACATCCTCTTTTACGTCAAATTTCCATCTCAACTGGCAGCTATGGTGCCGGAAAGAACGTCCAGCATCCTGCTCTCTTGCCCCATGTTCTCTTGACTCTTGCTTCTCCATCTCACACGACACACTCTTCCATCGGCACCCTTTCTTCCATCGCACTCACACTCGTTTGGTCTCACGACACTACCATTCCACCACCGCTCTTCTTGGATCACCCACTTCAACTGCTGCTAAGCAATAATACACCTCCGAACCCAGATCGATACCAACCCATCCACGGTACGCCCGTCATCACGTTCATACCCCATCCTGCATTGCATCAAGGCTGACACTCATCAACAAGAAGCTCACGAGCATCGCCCTTCTTTCCACCCATATCCCCATCGTCTCGTTCAACATCAAGTATTGTTTGATGCCAATGGCCCACAACATCGCCCGCAAGGCATACTCAGCAGAACAACTCTTGGCCCTGCGCCATTCAGCATCGGATGAGACGGCCATCCAGATCGAAGCCAAGGCTCAGGATGGAGCCATCAAAGGTGTGTCGATTCTCCGTTTCTCAGCTCCGACTCTTGGCTTTGTTGTTGCTCCCCATCAACCATCATCACTCCTTTCCGCTTGATCACCACCAGCATTCATGGCTCTCATCATCCATTCATTCATGCATTCATCCAATCAACTTTAGTCATTCATTACCATGCATTCTTTCTTCACACCACCAAAGACAAGCCTACCATTCAATCCTTCATTTTCCCATCACGAGAGATTCGCGAGTCGTTTGGTGGCCGACACTCCATCACCTTGTCGACAGAGTCGCTTTGCAGAACCAGATTGGCTGACAGACGATCTTGCAGACCATGTTGTCCGCAACGCACGCTCCTTTACCGCGCGCTCATCGCGTTCGCTCGCCATGTCTGACACTCTGCACCCTCCTCCTAAGGAGACGCGTCAATTCAGCGCACCCGTGCTGACCGAGATCGATCCAAACAACCAGAACTTGCGTCCTGGACTGGCTGCCAACCGTTACCGCCCCTCTCCGACTCCATCACTGAAGAAGCGCAAGGCCGAGCAAATTCTTAAGGACCATGGCTCTCCTCCTGGACTTCGCGTCACCGCTGGAGGTCGCATCGTTCCCAGTGATCAGTCTCCGCTGTGTAGCCCTCGCTACGGCTACAGTGCCATCAAGAAGAACGGTATGCTCATCAAGTTCGGGCCCAACTTTCCGGCTCCTCCTGGTGGCATTCCCATGCAGAGAATGGGCTTACCCAATGGCTTCGTAGCCCAGGATCCTGACGGCAGACTCTGTCAGATGGTCGATGGCAAGTTCCTGCCCGTTGATGATGTCGACGGCATTCCTCAACTCTACATCGCCGCTCCCAACTTGACTGGCAGCACTGGATTCCCTGCTGGCGAAAAGGACGACGCTACTGGCAGTACGCCGTTCAACAACTCGACCAGACAGCAGCAATCCAGCCAGAGCTTCGACAATGCCCCTCCAACTGGCCCAGCAGTCAAGCAAACCACTGTGAAGCCGCCAGCTATCAGCAGCGCCATGCAGATCCAAGCTCTGGAGAAGCAGTACACCAAGCTGGAGCAGGAGTCGAAGGATCTTGACAAGGTCGAAGTCTTGCAACGCAGCTCGATGGGTTCCAAGGCATACGCTCAGCTGGTCCAGAATCGTCGCGATCTCGTCGGCCGCATGAACGCGATTCGTGTCAGCATCAAGTCTCTGCGTGAAGCAAAGTCCTCTGCCGACCACTCGCCTCAAGCTGTTTCTCAGCCGATGCAGTCTCAGTTCTGTATGCCACCTTACGGACCAGCAGCTATGATGGGACCAGCAGGACCCATTCCTGATTGGGCCTTCGACGGCATCGGTCCCGAGGCTCACAACATGCCTCCCTTCCACGGTGCTCACATGCCTCATGGGATGGGATACTATGGCCCACCACCTCCCGGTTATCCTGGTGCCATGGCTCCGTACCCAGGCATGTTCGGTACGATGCCGCTGATGTTCAACATGACGGGAATGCCTCCTGTCGACGCATTCGGCAACTTCATCCCGAGCGCCGCCAACATGGATTCTCAGGCCTTCTCCAACGGCAGCCCACCTGCTACACACGCCAACACAGTGCACGGAACCGGACCAAGCAACGGCAGAGCAGCCGAGAAGACTACCATGTCACAGCAGGAGTCTCCACGCAGAATCCATGCCTTACAGATCAAGAACCCAGAGAACAAGTCCGAGTCGAGCCAAAAGTCGGCACTCAACCCCATGAGCCCCAGCTACCAGCCTGCCGGCAAATCTACGCCTGCATCCAAGGTCGTCTCGACTCGTGCCGCATCTCCATCGCCTGCTCTTGCTGAGGCTGTCAGGCAGCACAATGCTTGGGTGACCGAGTCGGCCAACGCCTCCGCCACCAATCTCAACTCTGCGGGTTCTCAGCGCAAGCTTCGTTACGAATCATCCTCGTCGAGCTATGCCACTGCCGACTTCTTTCCCAACAACCCTCGTGATCATTCCATGAGGAAGGATGCTTATCCTGTCGCACACGATCGCAACGCAAGCCGCAACAAGTTGGCAGAACGTCCTTCGGCGTCAAGTGAGCAGCCCGTCACTCCAGACAAGGAGAACCAGGATCCAGGATGGAACTTCGCTCCTGTTGCCAGTGTCACGACACCACCGACCATGCATGATCAGGCTGTTGATCAGCCAGACACTCCGGAGATCAGCAGCATGGACCCTGTTCAGAACCGCTCCGAGATGAACGTGAGCCCAAAGAACCGTCGTTCGGACTATCGTTTGAGCTACAAATCCGTCAGCGAGGTTACTACGTTGGGATCAGGTCTTCCTTCTCCTGCCATCGGCTCCTCTCACCGCTCGCATTTGCAGCAACCCAAGCCTGCTCCCTGCTCGAAGGAACCTCTTGGTCCTGAGGAGACCACCTACATGGACGGCTTCGTGGCTGGCAAGGCTCGCTTGCCTGTCGGTCTTGAGAACAGCGGCCTCTGGCTCGACGGCTATTGTGCTGGTTTGCTCAAGTCAGCCCAGCCAACTGCCGCTCCAACTGCTCCCAAGGCCCCAGCTCCAACTCATGCTGGCCCAGTCATCGTCAAGCCTTATCTGCCATCAGGACAAAAGGACGTTGTCTCGCAGCGCGCCGTGCCTGCCATCAATGTCAACGCCACGTCAATGAACACCCTGAAGGATGCCGTCTTCTCAGCTCAGAATGAGAACGCTGTTCTTACCCCGGATCCCAATGGGCCTTGCGTCAACGACATGGCCGCCTTGCACCTCGGAAGCTGGGCAAAGACTCATCAAGGACCCGCAACTGCCGAGTCTGATACTGTGCTTGCCTCTATTCGCAATGGCGAGACAGTGTTGCCTGAGCGCACCTCTTCTGCTATACAACGTCAGGCCTCAACATCGACTGAGCACAACCGAACTGTCATGCCAACGGGCCAGACAAGCAGTGTCATGATGGAGCGTGAGAGAGCGTACATGCCTCAAGACCGCCGCGCCACGTCTGCACAGATGCAACCAACTGGTGGTTCTCCAACAGCCTACTTTCAGCGGGTCTACCCAGCTCATCGCGTCATGAGCTCGCAGCTCGAGTGGAAGTCAGGCTCTTCCATCGCGCAGGTTGCTGGACTGGCCACTGGCTACTTCGCACAGTACGACGGTACGAGAACAGGTGCCAACACTATTGGAGACAGACAGCCGCTGACTCAGATGTCTGGCAACACAGGCATGACGACCCACGACACCATGTCAGGAGCATTGCCCAAGAAGCAGCCCGGCATGTCGGCCAGATTCACCGAAGGGTCCATGACGGCCGACGTCAAGACAGGCAGCCCATCGTCTTCGCCTGGCAAGAGATCGCCCACCAAGGGCTCACCAGCCAAGGTCAAGTTCGCACAGATTGCTGGAAGGGCTGGAATCAAAGTGCGCAGCGAGAGCAGAGACGAACAGGAGAGCGAGCCCAGCAGCCCTCAGGAGAAGCGTCGCTGGAGAGATGTTTGGACAAAGAGGTTCACTGAGACCGGCGTCCGCGAAGGTGAACAGAAGCAAGGTGGTCGTCCTTGATTCGGCGATGGAGACTTCTTGGACATACTTGACTGGTTGGTACATTATACCTTGGCATCAGCGTTGCTTGCTGTGACAGCGAAACTGCAGTGAGCATGTTACATGGCATGAGATTGATTGATGGACTTCGGAGCTCGATTGGCACGAGCAGGGTTAACTTGAGGCATGTTTTTAGATTGAGTTTCATAACTGACAGCATATTCAGAAGAAGCAGTGGATACACCGGGACTGTTGGAGGATAAGCAGAGTATGATTGCTTTAGATATGTTCAGACGAATGCATGACTTCCTTTCCTTGCAACCATTCTTGATGTGTCCTTACAGGTTGATATGTTGATGCAGAAGTGAGAGTGAGAGTGAGAGAGTGAGTTGTATGAGCATCATCATGGTTGTTGGACCGTGCACGGAGGAGAGCTGTTTGGAACGTCCGGCCGGCGACAGCTACGACCATCAATCATCATCATCCAGGCAATCAACGCCATCATCTTGCGAATCAACTCTTGCGCTTTCTCTCCATCTCGTACTCTGCCGGCCACTCACGCTTCATCAGAACGGTCAACTCACACACACAAATAACCATCATGGTGCGTCACGAAACCAGCGCCTCTCTTGACGAAATAGGCATACAGCTAACACACCACTCCCACACCAGTCCCTCCGCATCGTTCCTCACAAGGGCCACGCCCAACAGACCGCCCTCGCCCCCTCAGCACCCTCAGCTCCCGGTGTTCACGACACGCTGCGCTCGAACCAATCCCTCAACACACCACACAACGCCTCGCCCGCCTTCAGCGCCGTCGCCTCGTCACACCCTTTGGAGGCACGCCTCAGCAACTGGCGCTCGACCCAAGACTCACTCAAGATGAGCATGCTGCGCCGCGAGTTTGGCATTGCCGAGCCCATCCGCCGCGGCATGGAAGTGCGCATTTGCCAGGAGGGAGAGTGGAGGCCTGCGGTCCTTGGGTACAAGGGGGAAGGTGTTCATGAGGAGATTTTGAGTGGAAGGGATAGCAGTGTTGATTGGGAGGATGTGTTTAATGGTGAGTTTTGTTGCAGAGGGAAGTGCGAGGAAGGGAAGGCTAATGATGGTGATACAGGCAACGAGACACAGAATGCGCCCGACTTCCACTCGGAGATGGAGAACAGACTCAAGATGAACTGGTAGAGGACGACCTGGTCATAAGCCACGACACAGTAGACGAGTTAGGTCATCGAGGTATCGATGCTTAGGGATGAGAGACCAGAAAGACCTGGCGAAGAAAGGAAAAGAAGACTGGCATCATTCGACTGGGTCCTGTCACACTGTACCATACGTTTGCCATGAGTTCCTTCAACCGAGAGGCGGGACTTGCATCAACACACAGGAGGAACAGAGCACAAGCATCATCTTACCCTCGAACCAGCATCAGTAATGAAAACAACGAAACACACATTCACAAGATCATACATGTCATTTGTCGTCGAGCCCCTCGTTCGAGTGTCCCTTTGCGTACGCCTAGTACATCTTGAACACATATTCTCAAGACCTTTGAATCATAGCACTTGAGAAACACTCAAGTCGTCAGCACACGAGCTTCGTGTTTTCATTGTTCCTATATACAATCTGGAAAGCAAGGTATAGACAAGAAAGAGTATCCTAGGATTCCCGCATGCATACAAGAAAGAACAGAAAATATGAACATGGAAAAGAAGAGCTTCGTAACCAGAAAAGAGAAAATCGGGTGCGATATATGTCTAAGAAGGCGAGAAAACACAAGAACTCCACCCTTTTCCCTTTTCGCCCTTCCAGGCCTATATATCGGAATTTGGTCCTTTGCACCGTGCGATGAAAACGCCAATGTACAAGAGAAGAGAAAGAGAGAAAAATATGAAAACAAGCGGAGTTTGTGGAAGGGCGAGAAAGGAGCAGGGGAGGAGTATGGCGAGGGGGTATCAGAGAGAAGAAGAAGATGGGAAAGAAGAAGAAAGAAGAGAAAATTCACTGAAGGACGCATCGGCAGCCAGCTGTTGGCTCGTCACCATCGCCGCGCGAGCGAGGCCTGGCACCGCCACCGCCGCTGCTTTTGCCCTTTGCTGACTTTGCATTCTCTTCGTCGTCGATGACTTCTTGGGGTTTGACGCTCATATGTACTACGTTTGGTGCCGAGTCGCTGAATCGACATTCTATTCTTGATCAGCGCTGGAACATAGACAGAAGCGTTGAGACGGGTTTGAAAGATACCTTTNNGAGCGGCAATTTGTCGTCGAGGAAACGACCAAAGTGGATTAATCGAATTGCTGCAGGAGACGAAGGTCTTGGTTCCCATTCTNNGGAATCGCGATAGTGTTAGTGATAAGCTCGCAAACAGGAAAACAGTCGAAATTTAATACCTTCTCTCCAGTCCCGCCAGATCAATTCTTTCAAAGTATAGACGCTGATGACGAAAGGATCGAATTCACCAGTCTCGTTCTCGGCCGTGACATTGCGTTTTGCCAGATACTTCTGATCTATGCGGTAGGGATGACGTGTGCCAGTGCTGCTCAGTAGCAAATTGATCGTAATGACGGGACCGCTGGGAGTGCCAAAGCCAGGCGTGGTCGGCATCGGAGTGGGCAAGTCGGTAGAGGGACCTATGGGCTCGGTAGTCTCACGGCGAACGAATGCAGGAGAGGGCATCTCGAGCGGTGTCGGCGACAAGGGATCGGTGCCTTCATCTACGAATTGCGGTTGGTCTGTGATCTGAGAGCCTTCGGCATGCTGTGCGGTGGGAGCGGCGAAGAAAGAGGATTGTTGTGACTCGGATGGCGGTTGTGCATGGGTGGGTGGGCCGAGAACGGCGGACGTCGCTGTCGCATATGTATTCGTGTGAGGGTCCATGTTTTCTTTCTCGGGAGGCTCGATTGGTGAGCTTATGTACAAAAGGATGGGTGTGGACGAGTGGGTGGACTCGATGGGTCGACGGTTGGGTCAGGCCAAGGCAGGATTCGACGAGGACAAGGCGGCCTTGGGAGGCGACGGAAAAGTCAAGCAGCAGAAAACGAGCGTGGTTTACTCCTTTGCACTGCAGACCTGACGGAACAATATGAGAAGATGGTGATGAGTGTGCGACGATTGCGACGACGACGACAACGACAACGACAACGACGCACATGACGGCCGCCGTAACAACCCCAGACTCCACCCAGACCGCCCTCCCGAGTCCCGAGTGCTCCTTCCGCCCAAAACTCTATTCGGCTCTCTGCTGCCCTGTGAAAACCACTCCTCTTTGTGCTCGTGAGAATGCGCATAGGCCATCTAACAAGTTCAATTACACATGTATATACAAACCACATCTTCTTCTCTGCCCCCATGTGAAGAGCCCGTTCGTGTGCTGGGCTCCACTTTTTACGCTATCGATCGTCTTCAGCCTCTACGACGTCTACTCCGACCACTCCACATAGTGGCTAGCCTGCTCCACTCGGACTCCAGACATCTCCTGCTTTACTCCTAGCATGCTAACCTTGCCCATGCTGCCATCTGTCTCGCCCTCGATCTTCCAATCAGACAAGAGCTCCTTCAGCTTCTCAACAACCTCTTCCCCGTCTTCGATCAACAGAGCAACTGCATCATATCCTCCTGCGCCGGGCACTACTCCGCCAACCACGCCCTCGACCTCGCTACATGCGTCCAGTAGTTTCGTCTGTGCCGGTGGTTCGATCGGCACTCCACTCTGCTTGCTCATCTCGCGGATGCTATGTCTGATCGCCTGAATGCGTTGTCTGAGTTCCGAGTAGTCCTTTGATCCACTCTCAGCCAATTTGACCAACTCTTGTGACAACCCCTCGTTGACGTTCTGCAATCCCTCCCACACCTTTTCTGCTTCCACTCCAGTGTCTTTTCTCCACGCAAGCACCTGCTTGACCATGCCAGGCGTTTGGCTGCCGCAGCTAACGTCGCACATGACCAATCTGATGCCCTGAGGTACCTTGACCTGGTCCTTGACAATCTCAGTATCCCATTGGCCGTTGGCGCCGTCCTCGTTGACAACGTCTACCAGCTGTTTGGCAAACTGCGGCGTACCCGGTTCTCCATGTGCTGACAAAATTGATGGCGAGAATCTTCGGTATAGACAGCTGCCATAGACTGCAGAGGCCACATCAAATCCAGAGCCAACTTTGCCCTGAGCAGCACAATGAGCTGCTTGTGCCAAGTTGTGTAGTTTGCGCTTGCCAGCTTCAGTGGTCAGGTCAAAAACATCTTGAGGTAGGTAGTAGCTGAGCACGGCAGCGGTGAATGCAGTGACCAGAGCAGCCGAGGATCCTAACCCGGTCTTGTTGGCTTCCGAGAGAGGAACACCAAAGTCATGGAATCTTGCACCAGTTAATGATGCCGAAGAGGTCGAGTAGTAATCGTTGTCTGCCAGGATGGTGATCGATGAAGGNGAAATGTTGGACGATCCAACACTGGAGATGTAGCTCAGGGCATAAGCCAGAGCTGTTTCCACGAATGGATTGCGGTTCAGCTTCAAGTCAGCGTTCCTAGCAATTCACGTATTAGTCATTTCTTGCTAGAACTTCAACGAGCTTTGTTGTTCATAGAGTGCGATCGGGAGGTCCCAACGAGGTTCCAACTGAAGATAGTGCACATGATACGAAGCAATCTGTATGTTGTCTTCGTTCTCGGAGAGACACTCTTCGGTGCACCATGCCTCAGATCTTTTCGCAGAGCTCGGCAAGTCGGTACAGACACTTTCCGTCCCACGGTCTCTTGCTCGTGCAGCCTCTCCCATCTTGCATTATAGAATGAATAAAGAGCTTTACTACTTACACTCTCAGCTGGGTCACTTTGACGCCCCCGTCTTGATCGGCCAAGCGGTAGCCATATTCCCAGACAGCATGCTGGAATTGGGGTGAATTGACTGTGATCTCAGAGAAGGTGACCCCCGAGCTTGATGCAACGGGCTTTACACAGACATGGATACGAGCATCCAGGCCGAAGACAAGGCCATTGTACTTTCTGTCGAGCACGAGATAACCACCGGCCAGCAAGACCTTGCCAGGCGCAGACACAGCGACAGCACTTGGACTCATGGTCGTTTCGAACGATGCAGGGTGAATCTTTAGGAGAAGCGATGCGGATCGTCTGGGGGACGGAAAGCTGAGCAGCAACAGCAGAAGTGGCTAGACAACAGACCAAGACAGCGTGCAACTAGACCAAGCGACCCCTCCTCTTCCGCTCAGGCAAACAATTCTAAAACCCTTGTCCCTCCTGAACGCCGCCCAAGAGCAGGAGAAGCGGTACTGCAATCTTACTTCTGCTGCGAAAAGTCCACGGCTCAATTGAACAAGGCCGGGGCAGGACACCAGTCAGCAGACCAGAGTGAAGAGGGAATTGACGATGAAGAGCCGGCTGGTGGTGGTCGTTATGGAAGCTTCTCGTCGAGTAGAGAATCGAGCAATCGGGGTCTGCAGTGCGCAGTCGGTTCCGAGAGTTCCCTTTGACCGTTGGACGGAAGCTGCGGGAGGATGTGCTAGCGGCCGGTTTGACGGCGTGGCCATGTAGGGCGAGCTATCGGGCAGTACTTGGCGCAAAATACAGACGATCGTGTAGAATAGACCTGTTTTGTCTTTATGCCCTGCCCTATGTAGCATTGATACACATGCTGGCCCTGCTACTTAGCAGCGTCAAAGTTCGTCCGAGTCTCCGACCCAAGTTCGTGAACGAAGTCCGATGGACGCGACAAGCTCCCACAATCCATTCGTTATCGTCATCCATAATTCTGTTGCCTGAACATTTTCGCCAGGCAAAACCAGTCATAGTCAGCTTCTCATTCTTTCGCTTTATCAGATCTTCTTTCGCGCTTGGGTTTTGGTGCGATTGTAATTCTGTCCTTCCGCTTCTCTCGTGACATCTGTCGACTATCACACCACCAAGGTATTTTGTACCTTTCCGCACTGCATTTTCGCGTGTTCTCTGCCGATCAAGCAATCGTCAGATGAACTTGCAATAATTCTTTCTGAGAACTATCTGGTATGTCTTTCCAGTTTCGCATCTCCTACTATCTGTTTTGTTTTCAATTTCATACATCCATCATTGGATTTGGCTGAAGCATGGCCCAATGGCGAGTTTCTAACCATCATCCCAGTCTCATATTTCCAACTTGAGGGGTCTCAATTACCGTCTCGATGGTGTTCGTTAAGCCCACTGTCGGAATCTCTCGTCTTGCTGGTACAGCATTCAAATCTTTCACCCACGGATACGCCCAGACTGTCGTCGCCGCTTCTCAGTCTTCCTACGCCTCGCAGAACACCGGTGTCACACCACTCGCAAGCAACTGGATCCATCGCATTGGCGGTAACACTAGCACATCTCAAGTACAACATGTGCCGACACACGCAAGCACCCAGGCAGCCCGTCAGGACAACATCCACAACGATGGTCTAGCCCAATACTACGAGGCATGGCACAAGCACCACAAGAACGGCGACCTCCGCGAATGGCAACAATTTCAGTTCCAGAAGTTGATCGGATACTCGGGCGCAGGAGCTGCTGAGAGCAAGGAGGCGGATGATGTGCAAGAAAGCAGCGCAATCGAAGAGGTGGATGAGAGCCTGGAAGATGCGCCACAGCGAGGAAACTTGAAGCGCGCATACACGACCAGCGCTGTCGACAACTTTGGAAAGGCCATCGACAACCAGGAAGCTGCCGCTATTGCATTTGCACAAGTCAACGAGGCGATCGCCGAGGAGATCAGCAAGACCAAGCAAGAGGTTGAGGCTTCTGTCGGCGCGGCGATTGAGGAAGATGCTGTTTCAGAGAAGACCATCACAGCTGCTCGTGATGTTCAGAAAGAGTTGTCCACTCCTGTTCTCGACCACACTGCTGTTGCACCCGTGTCAGAGCTCGATGCGTACACACAGGAACTAGAGTTGATGCTTCGCGACAAGCAGTATTCGCGCATCCCGAGTATCTTCGAGTCGATGCTGTACGCTGGCATCAGACAACCTCCGCCCTCAGCTTATCGTGCTCTGATGATCTCTGCCATTGAGCTTACCACTGGCAAGCACCAAAAGGTTCCTAAAGCTTTGGAAGTCTACTCGGACATGCTCCGTCGCAGAGTAGTCCCGGATTCAGAAACTTATGCTGCTCTTATCAATGTTCTGGCAACCAGAGCTCTGGAGGCTTCAGCTACCAAGAAGGTTCTTGAAGAGAAGCGCGTACGTTATGGTGGCATGGAGGCCGAGGACAGCTTCCTCTTCCACTCGGATGCGCTGGAATATGCCATCTTTGCAGAGGATGAGTCTTTGAGCATCGCCTTGACCACCTTCAACTCTGCTTCAACAAAGGTCGACCTTTCAACCACATCTTACAGTCTTCTAATTCACGCATGTGCCAAGCAAGGACGCGTTTCTGATATGACGCGCTTGTTTGAGCATATGTCTGGCAAAGACATCGTGCCAAACGCGAACATCTTCCCGGCCATGATCAACGCATTTGCGCTTGCAGGAGACTTGCGCAACGCTGTGGACTGTTACGAGAACTACAAAAAGCTGGCCATCGAGAACGATGCTGGTATGAACCACCTGTCAAGGATGGATGAAGCGGTTTACTCTTCTTTGGTCAAGGCATATGCTGCTTGTCAGCACTTGACTGGTGGTCAAAAGTTCCTGCGCGAAATCGAGTCTCAGGAGCAGAATGCCTTTAAGCGTCAAGCCATCAGAGACACTGTTTTCATCGAGTCTTTCCTTCCTCTGTCGATTCAGGCTGGTGATTTCAAGGAAGCCGCCGCCATTCTCTCCAGCATATCGAGTGCCGCTTCCGTTCATGCTCTGAACTCTATCATCGTCGCCGCAGCCGATGTCAACAACTCAGTCGAAGGTACCAAGGCTTTCAATGCTCTTGCTGCACTCGGTGCTGACCTGGCTCCTTCTTCCATGGCAATGCTTGCAATGCACGTCCGCAACGCAAACCTTGACGCAGCCGAGCCCTACTGGCGTGTGATTGAGAACTCCATGGCTACTCCGGCCTTCATTGAGCCGGCCACCATGCGTGCTCTTGCTCTCATCAGTGTTGGTTTTGCTACCCGTGGTATTGCGCAGGCTCGTCACATGTTGAGCCGCATAAGAGATGCTCAAAACTCAGCATTTGCCAACAGCGAGATTGCCGAAAAGATCGAGGACGTTATTGAGGTTCTTGGCAACTTTGCTCTAAAGAAGAACAACAATATGCTCGAGATCGGCGCCAGCATCGAACTTCTCCGTATGATGGTCGACAATGGTGCTCTGGTCAACCCAATCGCCGAATATCTTGTAGCTTCCTTCGGTCCTCAGGAAATCTCGCAGCTCAACGCTGGTGACATTGGTCTTCTGACTAAGATTCAGTCGCGCATGATCCTGGACGAGTCTGCTCCTGAAATTGCTGGCGATTCTAGATTCGCTTGCCTACTTGAGAATATCGTCGCTCGCGCTGTCCTTCCCGATGTGTCCACCGAGAACTTGATTGAGAAGACCTTGATCAACCTGGACCGCAGTGATCTCAGCCGCCTGTGGAACAACTACCGCTATCCCGTTCTCCCTTCGCCTGTCTACCCACCTGTCGTCAACTTCAATGCTTTCCCTCAAGCACCTTTAGTACCTGTCTCTCCTGTTTTCGATGACGCTTTCGACCCTTATGCCAGCAGGACTGACAACAAGGCCTCGGTTGCCATTACCGACCTACTTGAAAAGCCTCATGGAAAGTCCGCAACCAACATGAACGAGGCTCTAGCCAAGTTCCGCAACATCCGTCGTGCTGGTCGCGTCCCGAGATTCTTTGCTTACTCAAAGCTGATTACGGCTGCCGCTAAGGAAAACCAATTCAACCTCTGCCGCGACATTCTCGAAATGGCCAAGCAGGACGTACCGTTCCTCTCTCAGTACCGGGTAGTCAGATTTGGCTGGATCTCGATCCTCGATTCTATGCTGTCAGCTTGCCTTAGTGTTGGCCGCCGTGACCTCGCCGCTCAATACCACCAGGACTTGCTTGACATGGGCGCATCCCCTTCTGCCAACACCTATGGACTGTACATCACAACCCTCAAGGAGAACACCAAGACTTTTGATGAAGCCACCGAAGCAGTCAAGATCTTCTTGCGTGCCAAAGCAGAAGGTGTCGAGCCTACTTCTTTCCTCTACAATGCGTTGATCGGCAAGCTTGGCAAAGCCCGAAGAATTGACGATTGTCTCTTCTACTTTGCCGAGATGCGCAACCTTGGTATTCGACCCACTTCTGTCACCTACGGCACCATAGTCAATGCTCTCTGCCGTGTCAGTGACGAGAAGTTCGCTGAGGAGATCTTCGAGGAGATGGAGGCTTGTGCCAACTACAGGCCTCGTCCTGCACCTTACCACAGCTTGATGCAGTACTTCCTGACCACCAAGCGCGACCGTAGCAAGGTGTTGAGCTACTATGAGCGTATGCGTTCTAAGGGTATTCAGCCTACCATGCACACTTACAAGCTTCTGATCGACACTCACGCCACTCTCGAGCCCCTGCACATGGCCGAGGCTGAGACTGTCCTTGCTGAGATGCGTGCTGCAGGCGAAAAGCCTGAGGCCGTTCACTATGCTGCACTGATCCACGCCAAGGGTTGCGTGCAGCACGACATGGCTGGTGCTCGTGCTCTTNTCGACACTGTTGCCTCGGACTCTAAGGTCAGGCTTCAGCCTTGCGTCTACCAGGCCATGTTCGAATCTCTTGTTGCAAACCGTCAAGTTGCTGATGCCGAGCCTTTGCTCGCTCACATGGCTTCTCGCAGAGTGGAGATGACTCCTTACATTGCCAACGCCTTGATTCATGGCTGGGCACTGGAGAAGGATATCGTACGTGCTCGCCAGGCTTTCGACCGTGTGAAGTACACCGACCGTGAGCCCAGCACTTACGAAGCCATGGTTCGTGCTCACCTTGCTGTCGAGGACCGCGAGAGCGCTCAGGTCGTCGTTGGCGAGGCTCTTAGCAGAGGCTACCCCACTGCTGTCGCCAACAAGATTGTTGAGCTCATCAGTGGTGGCAGACCATAGTCTGTCTTTCAACACTTCTTCAAAAATCTTTCACTTCAAATTTTTCTTTAGCGTTTTGGAGCGAATCATTACGAAGAACACGATTACAGGGAATGGAAAGGCGTCGAGGTTTTGTGATTGAAGCATGGCGTCAGGGATTGGTTTGGTGATCAGCGATGGGTTTTGGTTTGTTGTCATTGTACAAAGATATCCGGGAGCAAGGAAGACAAAAAAGTTGTCTGTCCCCTCTCATGCGTTTGTTGGTTGGCTCGGTTGCGTCTTGTTTTACATACATCTCCTCTCTGCCGGATTGTCGACACCACATACTCTGAAAGAATTGGGTATGTGGTTAGATCTGGGTGCTCTTCAATGAGCTAATACAAAAGAAAATTTTCCAAACATCTGAGCCCTACTCTTTCCATCTGTGTATAGTACTTTCATGCCTCTGTACCAGAGTACAAATTATGCGAGTACTGTAAAGAGCTAATGAGAAAGGTGGCGTCGATGCAAAGCTCGTTCGTGTTGCAACTGCCTCTTCGTGTGCTAAAAAGTGTTTGGTGCTAGCAGGAATCCCTTACGGTTTCACGGTTACAGATAGTGAAGTTCGTGCATTTCTGTGACCGCTAAACGATGCTCTGTAACACTTTGGACATCGTGATGCTTATGCCAGTGGTTTGAGACTGACAACATTTTGCACCTAAGTTCCCAAGGCCTGGATGCGTGACTTCTCGGGCCTCGAGTCAACTATGCGCAATAAGATTGATGTGCCTTTGTTCAGACGTCAAGGTCAAGACATCCTCGATATATCTGCGCTAACAGCAAAATGGCAAAAAGATATATGCGGCGGGTAGGATTCGAATTCACGATCTCTGCATCTTCCCCCATTCTGTCTCTCCAATGGAGGAGCTGTGGACGGTGAAGAGCTTGTGTTTGAAAGTGGGAGCAGGTAGGTGCGTATCACATGTCTAGGTAGGCAGCACATGTCGCGTTCTTGGAAAGAGCTCAGTACCTGAAGATAAATGCTCCTTCCACCTCTACCTTACTCATTGCATCAAGAACTGCAAAAACGCCTTTGCAATCACAGCGCCACCATGGGTCTCCCCNACCCTCTTGATACCATCTTCATAAATCTCATCTCCAAAGACACCAGCATCATGTCTCGCAGTCAAAATATGCGTCACCATTTCCCTGTTGAACTCTGGGTGTCCTTGGACGGTGATCAAGCGGCCCTTGGCATACATGCCTTGGTTCTCACAGCGATCTGTGTGTGCCAATGGAAGCACGCCTTCTGGGTATGAGTATACCATATCCTGATGCATTTGGTGTATACTCNNTGTCTCTTTGTCAGTTTCCCCCCGCAAGACACAGGCAAGAAAGGGTGTCAAACTTACCAGAGCATCAACGCCGAAAATATCTTTGCCTTGAGAGGTGAGTTGCAGAGGTGTGACGCTGACTTCCCAGCCGTGGGTGCCGCGGGCGACTTTGGCACCTAGAGCGCGGCCGACGATTTGGTGGCCGAAGCAGATGCCCAAGACACGGATGCGGGAGCCAGAGGCAAGCACTTTCTTTGTAAAGTCGACCAACTTCAGGATCCAGGGGTTGTTGTCGAAGGAATTGTATTCTGTGGCAAAGCAAAAGGTGTCAGTAAATTGGTGTCCTTCAGTCATGATGCTGTCTGGTCCGGCTTTGTATCCACCTCTTTCTCTATTTCTTCTCCCCTCGATATAACCACCAGACAGAAAAAAACAAGACTCACTGCTTCCTGTCATCAACACAGCATCTACCTTGTCCAAGTCCTCGGGATACTCTTGCTTATCGACGACATCATAACTTGTACATTCCACCTGCGCTTTCTCTCCACTTTCCGTCAACTCTTGACCGGCTTGTTTCAAGAGTGCGGTGAAAATGTCGCCGTAGCTGCCGTACTTGTTGAGTACTTTGTCTAGTGGTGTATCGCACTCGAGGATGGCTACGCGGAGGGTTGGCATCTTGTTTGCTTTTGTGTGGTTTGAAAATGCGAAAGTGGCGAGTTCTTGATAGGTTGTGCGAGATTTGCGAATGCTGGTTTATTTTTCGTTTATCTTTGTTGAGTATTCGAAGGAGATGAAAGAGAAATTTGATATCTTGGATGGTCATGAGTTGGGTACTCCTAGCATGTCGTCGTTGTGTGGACTTGGTCAATGCACGGCTGGAGATCCACACTCCGACGTCGCTACTCGAGAATAGATGGCTAGGAGATGTTCCTTACCTATTGCATAATTTCTAATCACTGGGACAAGGTATAAGATTGTCCTGGGGTAACCTCTAAATGGTGAAGTCTACCAGATACGTTGCCATCGTCACCTCCATGCGAAAGTGGGATAGATATACACAGCAAGTTGTCTTGAACATGATCATGTCGTTTATTGTTTTTCCCTTAACCTCTATAAGAGACCAAAACCGAAGATCCCTCAGCTACCTAACACCAAACATTCAAAAGCAGACTACTGTTACAAAAATCGTGGGGTATAGGCGTGAAACTGTTTTACATCTTCTTGCCAGCCTCCTCCATCATGCGGCCGTACTTCTTCAGGCGGATGGCGTTGACGGAGATGAAGCCGGTGGTGTCCTCGGGGCGGAAGTCGCCAATGACGTCCATGGAGGACTCGTCCATGTCGTAGAGCTTCTCGGTGTCGGACCAGCGGCCGAGAACGCTGAAGGAGCCCTTGTAGACACGGCAGCGGACGGCACCGTTAACGCTGTCCTGCGAGGCGGCAACGCACTGAAGAAGGAACTTGCACTCGGGNGAGAAGTAGAGACCGTTGTAGAGGATNCTGTATGGTGATACGGTCAGTCAAATGTTTATGAGTAGAGAAGACAGAATGCTTGGACGTACCTTGGCGTAGTTGAAGGTCAGGAACTGGTCACGGAGAGCGCGAACCTCACGGTCCATGGTCAGACCCTCGAGATCGATGTGAGCGGAACGCAGGCAGGTAAGACCGGGAGTCTCGTAGCAGCCACGGGACTTGAGACCGATGAAGCGGTTCTCGACAATGTCGATACGGCCAACACCGTGCTTGCGGGCAATGGCGTTGACGGCCAGGAAGAGCTCGGTAGCATCGGTGACAGTCTTGCCGCCAGGAAGCTCAACCTTGACGGGGAGACCCTTCTCGAAGTGCAGGACAAAGTCCTCGGGCTGCTCGGGAGCCTTGGTGGGGTCGACGGTCAACTTCCACATGTCCTCGGGAGGAGTGACGTTGGGGTCCTCGAGGATACCGGCCTCGTAACTGCAGTGGGCCAAGTTCTCGTCCATGCTCCAAGGCTTGCTCTTTGTGCTGGTGACGGGGATGCCAGACTGCTCGGCGTAGTCGAGGAGATCTTGGCGACCCTTGAAGCGGTTGTAGAAGACGGGGTCGCGCCATGGGGCAATGACCTCAATGGTGGGCTGAAGGGCGTAGAAGGCAAGCTCGAAGCGGACCTGGTCGTTGCCCTTGCCGGTGCAGCCGTGNGAAACAGCGAAACAGCCCTCCTTCTGAGCGACGGCGATCTGGGCACGGGCAATGACGGGACGGGCGAGCGAAGTACCTAGNCGGCGCGTCAGAACACGGCTTTCAGTGTAGCAAATGCTGTACATACCCAAGAGGTAGACGTTCTCATAGATGGCGTTGGACTGGACAGCAGGCCAGCACAGCTCCTCGACGAACTCCTTGCGGAGGTCCTCGATGTAGCACTTCTCAGCACCAATCTTGAGGGCCTTCTCGCGGGCAGCGTCAAAGTCCTCCTCCTGGCCGACGTTGGCCATGAAGCAGATAACGCCGTAGCCCTGGTCCAGCAGGTACTTGAGAATACATGAGGTATCGAGACCGCCAGAGTAGGCGAGACAGACCTGTACACACGGATCAATTGAATGCTACAGACAGCACACAGCGTGCACGATTGCCTACCTTTTGCTTGACCATGTTGATGGATGTGATGTGAATTGATAGAAGTGTGAGATGGAGGAAGGGAAGATTAATCCAGACGAGGCAGTTTAAGAAAGATGGAGAATGGCTGGTGAGTCAATGGCCAGAAAAAGTGAGCTCCACGTTGGCGCGCCAGCTGCTCGTCCCTAGTCAGTTATCGCGCGTATCGCAGCGCTGATCCACTGCTTTTTGGTTGCTGTGACTGTTTGCTGGCACTAAAACCGCACCCCCAGCTCCGTCACCGGCCCTTTGGCCGACTTTCCCCGCGCTTGGCCACTTAAAGCCGTCGAAAACCATGACAAGCCACGAGTCAGTCTCATCCCCATCTCAACCACAACCTTTACCAACAAGAAGCCGTTGGCTCAAAACAGGGACGTCTGCATGTGGCTTGCTCGCTCGCTCGCTCGGTGTGACTCTGAACCCGAGCAAAAGTCATATCATGAAAGGAAATATCATTGTTTTCTGGTCCTATTATTGTCCCTGTACATTGGACGACTGACTGCCAGAATATGCCTGGTCTTCTCCTTCCGCATCGTCTCTCTTAAACAGCAATTGCATCCCAGCCTATAGACAAGGTCATACTGTACATCTTCCCTTGTCGAGCCACATCCACAAATCAAAACTTGTACTTGGAACCGGATGCTTCGATCTGCGAGCCACGTTCAATGTCGTGATCTGAAGGTGGGTGCTGGTCGAAGCTGTACTTGACATCGCCCCGCTCGAGGTCAGACGCAGCATCGAAACTCGACTTCGATTCCCTAGAGCTATCGCTGGGTCGACGCTTCTTTTGCAGCTTGCGACTATGGCGTCTCTCGTTGCTCTCGTTGCTTGCCGATCGTGTTCGCGCGTGTTGACCTGCTATAGTGTGCGCAGATTCCTTGGCTGCGGCCTCAGCGTCCAGCGTTCCTGGCTTGAGTACAGCAAAGCCTGAATTCACCGCGCGTAGCACAGTTGGATCTGGACGTGTGTACGACACACTTGAACCACGACGAGTTTTGGATTCCGAGGCGGGTGTCTTGTGCTCGGGAAACTCGACCTCCGGATGCTTCTCTGACACGGGAGTAGTGAAAGGATTGAGCCCGCTTTTGGAGCTGGATGAACCAGGGCGTGGCGGTGTCTGTGAGCGCGGATGAGAAAAGTTGTATACCTCGCCTGCTGCCAAAGGCGACGAGGTCCAGTCGCCAGAGGTACCGGTACGACGACTTCTAGGTACCAAACGCCCTGTCTCAGCAACCTGTGACATGCGGTGAGTCTGAAGGGCGTCGTCGAAGGCCGGGTTGCCACTTAGATGAGCTGACGGTGGTCTTGCAACGTCCAGATATGACGCTGACAATTCGTTGCTTCCATTGCTGCCACCTCTCGATGATCCAGAGGAAGAACTATGGTGGCTAACAATTCTAGCGGGGTCTNNATAGCACACCATTAGCAATGATATCATCGAGTCCGGGTTGTGACACGTACCGGTAGGCATGCCAGTGGGAACTCTGGTCTCGAGAGTATGGGCATTGCGGAAATGTTTTGAGCTGCTGCCCTCATATCTCTGGTATGAGTGTGGAGGGTAGCGGCGGGAAGCCGAAGCAACAGGCTCGGGAAGGGAATTTGGATTGCTCCCAATACTGCCACCAGATATCGAACGATCCATAAAGAGCGTCTGGCTCGGCTCCCTTGAGGAGGATGCGATAGAGGCATTGAATGGTGAGGTCTCGGTGCCATTGTTTGTAAGAGTCATTGCAACATCTGTCAATGAACCTTGCCGGCTCTGCTGTGTGATGGGTCTATAGGCCGACAAAGAGCTTGAAGAGGGTTCACTTATGCTTGGAGCTGGTGTGTTATTACGAGAGATCCAGACTCCATCAACCTCGATACCACTTTCAATTGCTCGGATGCCAAATGGAATGTTTGGCCCATCGTCCATCAGACGTCTCTTTTGGACCATAGCCTCTTTGGTCGACTTTTCTTTTGCTTTCCTTTCNTGCTTTTTCGGGCCTTTGCGCATACTCAAGCTGCGGATGATGCTCTTCTCACGATTGATTGGTTGAGGGCCAGCCTTCTCATATTGGCGGAGTTTATGATGCGTGTACCACAGTTTGAGACAGCCGGCGAGGATGGTAAGGACCTGATTGTTCAGTCAGTATTTGTCGATGCAGCTGAGAGCCAGTGTGCATACAATGAGGCAGGCGAGAACCNNTATCACATGTTAGCAGAACCTCAGCATTGATGTGTGTGGAGCGCATACAAAGGTCATCTTCTCCCATAGTGCCCAGTCGACGAAGAACACTTTTCCCATGTTGAGAGTGTGGGTCAAGTTTTGAGGTAGGATAATGTAGCGAGGGACAGGAATTAAGTAGAAGGTTGTGGTTTAGGATGAACAGGTGAGCGAATGTCGTGAACGATTATTCCAGTGCAGCGTTTGTGTTGTGGTTCGTGTCAATAGGGAAGGTGCGAAAACGTTCTGAATGGCAGCTTCCTCGCGAGATCCGATCTTGTAGGATAGCGGCCAGCCACAGATAGAAGGAACCAAGAAGAAAGAAGAGAGCAACAAAGTCAGCTTAACGAAGGTTGGCGGTGGATTATCTGATAGGTACGAGACACGTCACTCCACGGCTACACACAGCAGGGTCGGGGCCTGCTTTTAAAGGCAAGGAAAGAAGAACACAACCAAGACTCAGTCGGAGGAAAGGGAAGGGAGGGACTCTGTCCCATCATTATACATGCTACCGCTACCTTCACGTGCCGCTGTCTTGGGAAGATCGATCCGTCTCCACTAAGAATAGAGAAGAAAAATCAATAGGGCCAGGCAGCCTCTCGGCCCATACCACACACTGGAGGTTCNCATGCGGCGCCTGTGCGAGGATGCACGTTTCCTTGGGTTTCTGCGACCGANCCGCAGTCGTGCATGTGGTTGCAATCGAGTTGGCGCTTCGCTGAGTCCTGGCAAATGGATGGGAGCACAAGCTCGTCACCGCCTGCTTGGGTGCTTCTTTGTCATCGCATGCTAGTAGTGCAGGCGAGGTCACTCTTCTCCTCTCTACGAGATACCTTGCAGGATAGTCTNGATGCAGACGGTCGAAGATGCTTCGCATCAGACGTGAAACGTCGGATCGCTCGGAGACTNCTTGCTAAACCCGTNTGTCCCGCGTTTGAGAACGAAGGCACAGACACGATCGATGCGCCATCAAGAGGTCATTGTTGCGCACTGCAGTCGGACTGGCCAAAGGGCAGGAACGTGCGCCTCGGAAACAACATGCTGGGGTGCCACCAGGGTTCATAGGAGGAGCAATGGTTGTTCATTGACGCGGGCTTGCACAGACCCTGACGTTTGTCTGCAGCATGATCTCCAGTCCCAAGAATGCAGTTGTTCTGTTCTTAGGATAAGCGAGACTATAGTACGGTAGGTCACATGCATACTAAAGAGGAAAGGAAAAATATCAGACACATCTGGATGCCACTAAGGTTCATTTTAATAAGTGTCGATACCAAGAACGATGCAGGCATTGTGTGATGTTCGTATTGAGTTCTCGCTCTGCATACCAAGACTCGTTCTGGCAATACCAAGACCAACAGACAAAAACACAACCACAGGCTTTCAGATGTGCTGGAAGATCGTTTCCCGAGTGTCACCGAAGCCTCTGATCTCTATTAGTTCACGTGGTCATTCGGTAGAGAGACTTCAAGAGCGAGCATGCGGAGGTTTAGGGCGCGCACTGGAGCACGTTACCCTAGGGCGCCAATCGCTATGGAAGCTAGGGAGGAGTCTTCTGACCCTGATGGAATAATCGCTTGCGCAAGATCGAGCGGGATGTTCGTCTTCGGTTGGTGTCTGTTCGAGCACAGACCGACGTTGACACTTCTCCTTAGTCACATAGCTTCCACGAGCCGACCCCTCACTTCTGAGCCGGGGCGGGTTACTCATACCTATCACTCTTGTACCTGGCATCATGTAGCTTCGCGAGTTCTTGAATATCTGCATTGTCACTTTCGCGTTCATGATGGCTGCTTCGTTTTCATCAAAACTACTTTCACGACAGGGATCCAAATTAATCCATCAGCGTCTCTTCCACACAACACGCAGACGAGACGTAGTCAAACCATTCCTGCTAGCGGATATTGGCGAGGGAACTCGAGAATGTCAGATCATCCAATGGTTTGTGCAGCCAGGTGCTCGCGTTGAGCAATTCGATAAACTCTGCGAAGTACAGTCGGACAAGACGGCATCTGATGTAGGATGTTCTGGAAAACATCCCTTATGATGATTTGAACTGATATGTGATAGANTCACATCACCGTTCGATGGAGTTATCAAAAAGTTGTACTATGAGGCAGATGACATGGCTCTCGTCGGAAAGGTAGATTCACGCGGGACTTTTTATATCTGTACTTGCGCTGATGTTTGTTTAGNNCCATTGTTGGACATCGATATACAAAGCGACATCCCGCCTGAGAGCGAAGCACTTGTCGAAGAATCCAGCGGTGATAGGGCAGACGTTCCACAAAAGGAAGCACCCCAAACCCACACCCCGCAGCATGAGGCTCGGAGCGTGGAGAGGGAGGAAGTCCAAGGCCCTCTAAGCAGGACGAAGAACCACGACAAAGGACTGGCGACACCTGCTGTGCGACATCTCATCAAGGAACACAACGTTAAAGTCGAAGACATCAATGGAAGCGGCAAAGATGGAAGAGTGTTGAAGGAAGACGTCCATCGCCACGTCTCACAGGCCACTCGGAACTCAACGCAGCAAGGACCTGTGAAAGACCAGAAGAAGCCTCTGACACCGGTGCAATCGGCCATGTTCAAGACCATGACCCGATCACTCACGATACCACACTTCTTGTATTCGAGCATGGTCGACACTGGCAATCTTAACAGATTCCGTGTGAAGATCAACAACACACGAGAGGCTGGAAACAAACTGACGCCGCTGCCTTTCATACTGAAAGCAATATCACTTGCAATGGGACACCATCCGCTGCTCAACGCCTGGTTGGACACATCAGATCCCAAANAACCTGAGTTGAGTTACAAAGCGGCACATGACTTTGGAATCGCAGTGGATACACCTTCCGGTTTGCTGGTTCCGGTCATCAGGAATGTCGAATCACAAAGTGTAGGATCCATCGCAGAGCAGATTAAGATCATATCAGGTAAAGCACGCGAGGGCAAGTTGGGTCCGAAAGACCTCCAAGGACCAACATTCTCAGTGTCGAATATCGGATCTATTGGTGGTGGGGTTGTTGCACCGATTATCGTGGAACCTCAGGTGGCCATTGTGGGGGTCGGAAGAGCGAAAGTGGTGCCAGGCTTTGACGAGGAAGGGAATTTGGTCAAGAAGGAAGAGATGGTGTTGAGCTGGAGTGCAGATCACCGAGTCGTAGATGGAGCAGAATGTGCCAGATGCGCTGAAAGGGTGAACTGGTATCTGCAGAACATGGAGGCATGGGTTCTGGCAATGAAGTAGATCCGAGAAACATGAATAGCTAGGATTCGATTGATCACCCAAATCTCGATCAAAACGCTGGGCTTCAATCCGAATTCTCAAATGCAAGATTCACCTCACTTGTCGGGATTGCATGGTGGATCAAACTTGTTCAGTTGAAATGCATCATGATCCAATGTGCTGAGGTGGACAATATGTTTCAAGGGTGGGGTCGATTGTTATGTCGAGCCAAGCACTTTCTTGGACCTCTGGAGCAGCATCTCATAAACGATTGGGTGCCTAGACTATAGCCAAAACTATTACCGCATTCCGATACCTGTGGGGTGCAATCTCGACATTTGTCTGAGGGGCCACAGTGTTGGCGATCGAGACATGTTGAGGTCGAGGGTCTGGTGAAGCGCGGTATGGGGTGGAGGTCTTTTGGGAATCGGCATAACCAGAGCTTGAGGCGAGCTCTGGCAAGGCTTGGTATGAGGACCAGGATTGAGAGATCCTGTCAAGACTGGACGATCGGGGGCCACTGAAGCATGTGATTTCCCAGCAGAAGATGGTCCAGCTTGAGGTATATGGTTGCATCGATAGCGGGACTTGAGGCGTCACAAATCGAATCCACTCTGCGTCGCTTGTGACCGTTGTTGTTGCTTCTCTGGCTCCATGTTTTCCTGGTCAATCGTATGATATCTGTGAGTCAACAATTCCAGAAAAAGTGTAATCTGAGAGAGTAAGAGCTCACTTCTGGGTGACGTGACAGGACGCGTCTTTAGCGCGACATCAAACCTTATCCACTACCTTATCTCGCCGAGGACCCAACCTTCCCTCATAGCACACCTAATGAATGGACCAACCTCCCACTATACACATTCGCATCCTTCTGTATGCTTTCATGAAACGGTGGAGCATACTTTGGCTCCTGTGATGATCACACGCTGCATGAAAATGCGCCTGGTCGAGTCCACATGACCAATCACAGCTTGCGACCTCATCACGACACCTGACTTAATCAAGAAGCAACAAAGACGAAGGAAGAGCTGAGCGTCAGCCTCAAGTAGCCTCACCAATGTAAGCGTACGTCGATTAAGCCTTTCGACTTCGCATACAAAGCTTCTCCGTCTTCTTTTCTTCACTATGTGCAAAACCTTCCTTTCGTCTGGCACTAAGTCGAGCTTGTGTTGGTGATGAGTCAATGCTTGCGACGAATAGCTGCCTAGATTCGAGATTGGTGGTGCCCTTCCGACAGCTGACCCAGGGAGAAACACCAAATCATGCACGAGCTGCCTACAGAACTGCAAACCAGTCTGCATTCCTGGAGAGGCAGTGTCCGCCTGTCACGAGGCGATGACTTCGATCAGGCACAGGCACCTCAATCACCAACAAGGCCGAATGACTCTTTGAAAAGGCTGCGACAGACCTTTTCATCTCTTATATTGGTATGTTTCCGCCTTCCTCGACATCCCGTCTCTATCCACCACATTGCCTCCCATCAAAATTCAGTCGAACAAAAGCCATGGATGAGGAAGCAGCGACCGAAACTGATCCTTTGCTGTCAAAGTATCCAGCTGCGTCTCGTCGTCGATTTGACGATGCCACACCAAGACCCAACCCAATTCCCATTGCGCCTCAACCAACGCCAAACAACAATGATCCAGACACGGACAGCGAGCCTCTTTCTCAACAGGATGTCTACACTCTCCTTGGCATGGCTCCTCCCACAGCAAACAACACAACGCCTCGTCACCTCGAATCCGCGCATGGCTTCTATAGCCAGGTTGTGAAGAGCGAGCGTCGCGCAGCACATCACTATCGGCTCTACGATGTCGCAATCTTCTTCCTCATGATCGTCCAGCTCTGTATCTCGGCTGTGTTTGTTGTACTTGGCTCGTTGCCTAATCTCGATCGTCATCATGTGGCTGTCGCATCCCTGGGCGCAATCGGCACTGTAGTAGCAGGAATGCTGGCGCTGATGAAAGGCCAAGGACTGCCGAATCGCCTACGCATGGAGCGCGATGCTTTGAGAAGAGTGGTGTTCGAAACGGAAGAGCTGTACTGGGATGCTAGGGCTGGTAGAGAGGTGGACTTTGCTGATGTTGAGAGATTGAGAGATGCATATGTTGCTGTGGTGGAAGATGCGAGGAAGAACCATCCTGATGTGTGGACTTCGAGTCCGGTACCTGTGCGGGTCAAGACGGGGTTGAGTGGAAAAGGGATGCAACTGCCGGGCGCGGCGCAGATCGCGAAACTGTAAGGCAAGATGGGATACCTGTAAGCTGACTGGTGCATACTTGTCGTTGCTAGGTACATGATTTATAGACATAAATACAAACCACTTGATATGAACGAAAACCAGTCCTATCTTATCCCATCCATTCTCACAACTACTGAGACTGGCTCATGTGTTTCCGCATCACAGTAGACAACAAAGAGCTACGAAGAGTCTATGGTACAGACCGAGTAAGGTCGTATAGAAAAATGCCCTCAAAACACACACTAACGGGATAATAAAAACCAAGCATCAGGTTGGAGAAACATATCTCGGGCCAGAGTCACGATTGCGACCAACTAAGGCCAAGAGTCAGAATCACCATCTCTGGATGCTATTTAGAGGCATGTCAGGTGGTGTGCTTGGAGTGGAGCGGCAGCTATCAGTGAAGTTGCGGCGGAGTCGGAGGAGCGGTCAAGGCACAATGACGGATTTGACGTGTTTGCTTTGTTTGCACATGTGACAAGGCGCATCCGAAGGGTCTTATCACACTCGAGCTCGCTGTCGCTGTATACCGGTTAAATCATTCAGTGCAACCATGTTCTCGTCGCAGCTGGGACGCGCCGCCCGTGTCGGCACCCAATCAGCCAGCATCTCTACATCATCCTGCGCCGTCGCCAACCGTGTATCATCAGCGGCTTGCCCGACTCTGCTTTCGCGCCAACGCCGACTCTCGTCAAGCAAGGCTTCATGCCCGCCTAACGGTGACTCGAACCGCTCCCGCCAACCTGCCGCCGCAACCAAGCCCGATCTGCCATCCTCTCGTCCCGCAAAGTCGCGTTCTTCTGCCAGCCAAAAGTCCAACTCGGCCAGTCGCAATGTCAAGGCCGCCAAGGATGAGACTTTCGCCAACCTGCCCAGCGTGCCTTCGACTGAGCACATCCTCCCTCAAGGTGTGTATCTGGCATTCAGACAAAGACCGAAGGTTCCCGCTGACACTCTCTTGCAGNATCTCACCCTCTCATCTTTCTTCAGTCTCCACCGTCCACTCAGTCTGGGCACAGCCATCCCGCCCGCTGCCGACATGACGGCCTTCAACACCATCTTCGAGCCTAAGTCGAAGCAGCAANAGACGAACCAGGACGTCATTTTCACCCTTTCCAACGCCATCAACGGTATCGAGAGCAAACAAAGAGACGCAGATATGGGCTGGGAAATCATTCAAGAGTCGTCATCCAACTCAGACGTCAAGCACCTGGACGGTGTGCCACGCTCGAGGTCGCTGGAGGATTTGGTTGCACAGTTGAAGCCTTTCACTGCTCCTCCGCCACCCGCTCCCGTCAACATTGAGCAACAACAGCGCAAGGTCCGCGCCGCTCCCGCTCCCACCGTCAGCCAGAAACACTTCAAGACTACCATCACCGTCACAGAAAACAAGCGTTCGGATGGCGTTACTTTTTACACTGCCTCGGCCACCCCACCGGAGCCCGCTGCCATCAAGGAGGCCCCTTCATCCACCTCAACCACCCCCTTCAAGGACCGCCTGCGAAACCGCGAGCTGAACTTTATGGAGAAAGAGCTCGAACAACAAAGAAGCGACATCTCCATCTTGGAAGGCGAGAACAGCAAGGGGGAGATGCACGCCATCTCGGTCAAGAGACAGCGCAAGCTGAAGATGAAGAAGCACAAGTACAAGAAGCTGATGAAGCGCACGAGAAACTTGAGACGCAGGTTGGATAGAAACTAGAGTGCTCTTCTTCTTCTATTCTCTATTTCCGATCTCCTCGTTTCTCATGCATATCATCGGCGTTTGAGATTGACCTTTACAACCTTGATGCCCCCACATTCTTCCACTTCACTTATAGCAATAACATCATTTTCCATATCATCCCATCTTCTCCCAGATTGATTTGCTTCGTGTTTGAGATGGTGCGATTCCGAGTATTTTCGCTACAGGGATTGGACCTGTGCTCCTTCCTCGCAGGTACATTCTATGGCTTGCATGCTGACCCCATCTGCAGCTTTTCACAGCCACGCCGCAGAGCCCCCATCATTCCAACTCATAACAAGTAGTTCGCCCAACACGCCAAATCACGTATTCTGGATATATCTTGCGCTTCAGAAGCTTCGTACCATCGACACCATGGCCGACCTATACACTATCGCAGTCTCGGTCGCTGGTCTGACAAATCTTGAGATACAACTTGCTCAGGGGTTGAAGAAATATGCCGAATCTGCTCTCGATCTCAAAGGTTGCATTCTTATTATCTCCGTCGATATCGAACTCGGAGTCCAGGTTATCAAACCCTTCGATACTACGTTTTGACCAGCATTGACGATCTGATTCGCCGTTAGACCGACATAGACGACAACGACGGGGTGTAATTCTCTTTGTTCTTTTATCTTCATTTTTGATGACATGAATGTGCCACTAGAGTGCTCCCCAATCGCACAGGCTTGCGCTTCTTAATATGCCATGTCGCCCGATTCGATTTCGACTTCCAATGGCGAGTCCAGCGTGTTATGACAAGCCAGACTCAGCGATACGCAGCAGAGGTCTGCTCTCATCCCCACAAAAACATCTTCTATCCTCTGCAAAGGATCTAGTATTCCGCCAGCATCAGACCTCGATGTGGTGCCACGTGTCAAAGGTTTGAATAGAATCAACAGCCCCTTTGCATTTTCCTTTTGGTTGAATCTTGTCATTATGTCAAGACATCGGTGTTTTGGTGAGTCTGTCACATTGGACCATGTGGTTTCGTGGGTGATGTGAATAGTCGACACGATTTTGCGGTTGGAGTATATCTCTCTTGTGATCTCGAGACAGACTTTTAGTAGTGCTGGGATACCGTCGGTGATGATGTTGTGGTCGTCACTAAGGGCGTGATCGTAGATTATGCTTCTCAGCTCGAGGGGCAAAGATTTGATGTTTGTCATGTTTTCGATGTTGGATGTTATGCGGTAAAAGGCGTGGATGATGAGATTGTGAGCGTGTACGATGATGAGTGAGTATCGTGTAGTGGTATCGGATAGAGTGGGTGATGTTGGAAGAAAGTGTGAAAGTAGAGGACTCGACTTTGTATCGCATAGTAGAGTCATAATGCAGATTACTCATAGCTGGCAAGAAAGCTCTCGATATTTGTCTTCACTAGGCTGCAACTATTCGTTCCATGAGGCAAACTTTTATTCTATACAGATGCATCTCAAGTTATCTCATATTCACGTGATCTTGGTCGTCTCTCTGGTCGCAAGCTGGAATTATAACTGATTCTGCATCTTAACAGCTAGACTGTTGCTCAATGTTGTTCCAAAAGAAGTGGTGGGTCTCAGTACATGGATAGATTTGATACTCGCGTTTGTATATGATCTAGTGACTGAATATTGATGCAGCCACCAGACATCGTGCTGTCCAAGTTGTTGACCTTGAGCTCTAGATCTGTCTGCAGCTCCTACATGTTCAGACTTTAGCTTCGTTGACTTTCAGCTGCATTGTGACTCGTCCTGGAATCTTGGTGGTTTATTAGCCCCTATGTTGTAAGATTGGATGAGATCGCATGCTTTCTTTCCATGCCTTCCAAAGCGATTTGGGCTTGGATCTCAAGCGCTTCCCCTTGCTTTCCGTAGTATTGTTATGTTGAGAGGCGACTTCAGGAGTTGGAGTGACAAGACTGCTTCTGGACGAGTTGTAGCTGGATAAATCGTAGTTGGACGAATAACCGAAACTAGATGAATGGTTGGTTTGTGTGGATTCGAGCGTTTCGTAAGCAGGAAGATCATCTCGATGATCGTAGGCAGGAGTAGGCAGAACATGCTGCTGAGTGTCAGGAATCTCGGTCTCCTCTTGAGCTGCATCATTTACGACGTTTTCAAGAGGCGGGCGAGCAAAGGCAGATTCGAGAATATGCTCTGGGATGGTTTCCTCGTGCGTGAAAAAAAACAAGGTCGCTGTCTTCAGACTTGGAGACTTCGCTTACGGTTTCCCAATAGATTGCAGGAGGCAGCTCGTCTCCCGAAAAGGCTGAGCACACCCAAAATGAACGTTTCAAGATTGATATCAAAACTTCGAATGCCTCTGCTACACAGCAGTACATCAGACCCAAGTAGATCGATAGTACGTATGCCCAGCTTAGCGGCTCCTCTTTGTGTGAGAGCGAGGATGGATGGTTGCTTGTGTCGACCCGGGCTCCGTTGGAGAATCTTGATGGTCCGGCTCCATGATCACTAGGATAACCCAACGAGGCCCTGTATCTCTCGGGAGTCATCATATCGATATCGACCATGCGAGAGGCGGCCGAGGTCGCTAGATACCAGCCTCTCTGGTGCTCCCACTCGCATGGACCCAAGTTGACCCACGTTGACAACACGATTTCGAAACCTTTCTCGGGATGATTATATGTTGCCAAGGTTGATAACCTCAAATCAGCGATGGAAACTCAAAACAGATGGAGCGAGCATGCCTAGAAGCTGTCACGAGATCTTTTCAGCAGCTATCTTGTCTCTACACTCCATAACGTTTTTTCTCTCTGTTACGTCCGACATTCAACAATTCATGATCTGTAAGCATGCGGATCAGATATCGGTGACATGACTGAGATGACCCAACATATCATCAGTATAGCTGGCGGGCTGCTTTGATAGGTGCGACCGAGCTGTCATAGTTTGTCGCAAACACATAGCAACAATGTAAGTCACAGCTTCGATGGACGTATCGCTCCTTCTCATGTCGAAAGACAAAGGAGCTCTTGCTCGGACGCGACGTCGTTGAACATTGCCAATCACTTTATGCATGCATAAGCTTTCATGGATCTCCACAGTGCTCTGCGCCACACGGAGATAGCGGCCGAACGCCCAATGTCATGATCATGTTCACCTCGGCAAGTGCAACACCTCACCTTGTGTCGCTTGAGTACTCAAACGAACAGAAATACCATACCTGCTTAACGACAAGAACTTAATCGCATAGCCGAGACTGCTGGAACGCGACAGGACTTGTGCTACGGGCACACACCTGAACGAGTCGCTGCCAGCTATGTGTCATTGAATCATGCTTGAGATAACGACAACATACCTCGAATACTCAGAATCCAAAGCAACAGACTGTGCATACATGCGCTTGACCAGACCACTGTTACCGGACACTGACTGTGGTCAATTCTGTATATGACATTAGGGAGCCGTCAGTCGCCCAATACAGCTTAGAACGAGAGGTTACATTAGAAGTGCTCCAACCTGACGGCAATATCGAAATACATATCAGAACTTGCGATCATGGATATCCCGTCAAACTATGGCAGTATCGCCGAGAAGGGCGAGCTCTACAGTGCACCACCAGTTCAAAGAGAAGGACCGCTTCCACATTTAGCGGATTGGATGTGCTTTCTGTCAGACGACATTCCCGTCTCAGCACTCTCAATTCCCGGTACTCATGACAGTTCCGCATTCATGAGTACATGGCCTTTTGTTTCAACTCAGACGCTGACTATCGCGCAACAACTGGATGCCGGTGTCCGATACTTTGATCTTCGATGTGGCATCATCAAAGATGAAGTCCAGATGGTACACGGCAGAGCAGTCCTTGGTCTCAAATTCTCTGACCTCCTCACCTCAATGTACACCTTCCTTCAGAAACATCCCAAAGAAGGCATCATGATACAACTGAAGCAAGACCGCAAAGACGAGGCCTCAACGCGACCCTTTTCTCAACTAGTCCTCGATCTCATGCACCAAAACTCCAAATACTGGCGTTTGGAGACCACAACACCCACTTTAGGCGAATTACGCGGACGCATCCAACTACTCCGCCGCTTCTCAACCTTCCAACACCAACAATACACTTCAGGCATCGACATCACCAGATGGCCAGACAACCCGCCTTTACCATTCACAATCCGCACGACCGTAGGTGTTCACCTCACAATCCAAGACCACTACTCCTTCTCCACGCCCGAAAACCTCCCGTCCTTAGTCGCCAAANAAGGCGGCGATGTAGCCTCCATGCTCATGCGCGCCTCCCGCGACACCGAGCCCTGGCACTGGTACATCAACTTCAGCTCCGCATTTGAATTCAATATCTACTACCAAATCCCGCCCAAAGACATTGCCGTGGGTGGATACTCGGTATTCAGATGGGTGGAAGGGATAAATTTGCGCTTGTGCAATTTTCTCAAGCAAAGGTTGGGTGATGTGGATGAGCCGCAGAGGTTTGGAGTCGTGGTCATGGATTTTGTGGAGAAGCCGGCGAGTGAGCTGGTAAAAACTGTTGTGGAGGCTAATTTTGTGGTACCGGGGAAGAGGAGAGGGNGGGTGGCTGGTAGGAGGTCTGAGACGATGGTGCTGGGCTTGGTGATGGTTTTGGTGCTTTTGGCTTGGGTGTTGTTTGAGTGGCATATGGGCAGGTTCGATCAGGTCGATGGACGCTGGTGCCCTTCTTGCTCGATGGGATCTCCTTACGAGGCAGTAGCTTGATTCGAGACAGCATAGTATTCAAGATTTGTACGTAAGCATGCGTCACTATCAACGAGCCCGCAATCTTTGAAAGATTCATTGTGATCAGGATATTGTCCGGTAGAACAGGTGCTGTTCGCTTAGTGTGCTTTGGTTTCTTGCTGTGGTCTGAGTTACGTGGGCAGAAGATGCGCCGGTCGTGATGTGTCATGCTGGGTGTGGTATAAATGGATATTTCCTTTGGATGTTTCAGTCCTCCCTCTGCCAACGATCGGATCCCCACATGACACCAGAATGCAGTCCGTTGATATCAAGACACTATTGATATCGATAATGTGAGGTTTGTATCAGTCTGTCGATGGACCTTGACTATATGGACTGTGGACATTGCTGCCAATGTTGTATGGACTCGGCTGATCGCTAGCTGGAGGGTACGGACTGGGATGGTTGCTTGCGTATGGATTAGCCTGGTTGTTCACAAGACTGTACGGTGATGGTTGCAGAGTTCGAGCATCACTGCCGGTCTGATTTGGAGACACGTGATGTGAGAGGTGCATATCATCCAATTGACCGTCGACGTTTCGGTTGTTGAAATGTGGTGTTTCAGCCGACCTTTCTGGTATCCACCGTGCATTCTCTATGACTNNCTCTTTGGGCCAGCGAAGGAACTCTGTCCATTCGTCTCCAAGGATGATATCGATTCGTGCAATGATGACTTCGGCCAGACCTCTAAGGTGCCATGGTCGTGGATTCATGCTCGTCAAGACAGCCCAGTATGCTAGGATGATGAGAGCAATAGGTCGTCGCTCGATCAACATGTCTTTGAANGACTGGGGTAGTCCCACAGCCCACTGGTCGATGAGATGTGCAGACGTCGGATAATCATCTGAGTGTTGTGATGAAGCTCCAATGAATGTAAAGATGTCTTCAGTCGTCTCAAGACAACATCTACGTCGATCTGCGTCGTCTTGACCGAAAGCTAGAGATCGAACCATTGAGTAGGTGGGGAAATCTGAGGCAAGTGTGGTACGAATTCGATCCTGGTTGCCTGACTCTCTTAGGAAAAGCCTGTTGAGCCAAGTCTGAGTCAAGTAAGGCCAATGTGGTGAAACGACAAGCTTGACGCCTCGGCTCAATTGGAAGCACTCAACGATCTTGTCGATAGGATCTGTGTCATCATGGTGAGGATTGAGCATGTACTCAGCCAAACCAAAAGCACTGGTGTGGCTTGAGAACATCATAGCAGCTAGAGAATCCTCCTGACGCAAGTTCGCGATGATGGACTGAACTTTTTGGATAGCGACGCCTTGCAGATAGCAAGCTCTGTCAAATAGTTCAGACCTAGAACGATCTTTTGAGTAGAGGTGCAGAGCTGAAATAGCCATAAAGTTGTGCATGAGAAATTCATAGGACAGGGCTTGCTCTAGGACTTTCTCAAAGACGTCAGCTCGAAGTTGGGGATCCGAAACCAAAGAAGCACTGTAGTGGTAGACAAAGTGATGATACAGCTCCAAGTCTAGAAGACATAGCGGCTGAGTCGAGGGTTGAATGGTCGGCGGAGTGGCAAGAGGAGTTGATAGATGCGAGACAAGGTTTGGACGTGGACTGGCGGGTTGGGAGGATGCTTGGGGAGCAAAGCTGCAAGTGATGTCCAAACGTTGGCAGTTGGCGCATTGTGGTTTGACTTCGTTGCACTTNTGCATGTGAGTATTCTTCTAATCATTCCCTCATCAGAAAGTTACCTTGATATGGCGAGTCTTGCACTGAGAGCATCCATTACGAGATTTGCGATGAGATCGTCTCATCGAGACGGGTTTCGTATCCAGGGCGGGCAATGGTTATCGGTCTCTTCGCGTATCTGGACGAGGAGGGGCGTCGTATACCACAAGATGGGCGAGCCGGAAGATACAAGACCGCTGACAAGTTCAAGACGGCTGCAAGGTCAAGACTAGATGTCAGTTGGTTCGATTGAGAGATTTGGGAGGCTGGTGGAAATACGAGGTCGGATACGGTCTAGATACGGCGCATTCGAAGAGGTGACGAGAGCCAAATGCCAAGGCCAGGGCTGGCTTTGGGTTTTGGCTCGGATGCTTTGCTCTTGACAAGAACATTATTTCCGTCTTGTTCAAACACCAAGACACAGCAACATGGCATCGACCGACAGTCTCTCGACAGGCGAAGTACGCCACCAACTGCCCTTCCCCTTCTCGAACCAGGACGACTCGACACCAGCTCCGCTTCTACTTACCCAAGGCGCTGAAGCCCTGGTGTACCGCACCACCTTTCTCACGTCTTCAACTGCCTGCGCATTAAAATACCGACCGGCGAAGCCATGGAGACACCGTACTCTGGACATGAGATTGACCCGTCAACGTATCCTTGCTGAGGCTAGAGTACTGACTCGCTGTCGTCGCGAAGGTGTTGCTGTACCCGCCGTCTTGGGACTTGACTGGGAGCGTGGATGGCTGGCACAAGAGTGGATCTATGGAAACACGGTCCGCAGAGTCTTGGATTGGGTACACAGAGAGAGCGGCTTGCCCAGCAACGAGAAAGAGCAACAGGTACACGACCTGTTGCGAAGAATCGGCAATGCCCTCGGTCGTCTCCATGAAAGAGGGCTGGTCCATGGCGACTTGACAACCAGCAACCTGATGCTGCGACCCGCCGAGAGCGACATCAGTGACGAGGATAGGCAAGTCGGAAAAGCCGTTCGCATCGCCAATACCAACGGAGAAGTCGTCCTTATCGACTTCGGTCTCGCACAGCAGACAGTACAAGAGGAGGACAAGGCCGTCGATCTATACGTCCTCGAACGAGCTTTCGCTTCGACACATCCCGAGGTGGAGCAAGACTTTGGCCATCTGCTGCAAGCCTATGGCGAGAGCTACAAGGGTGCCAAGACGGTGCTCAAGAGACTGGAAGATGTGCGCATGAGAGGCAGAAAGAAGAGCATGTTGGGTTGATTCATCACTAACGACTCTCCTTGGACACCTGCTGCAACACCTTGACATACTCTTCGACTTCTTTGCAGCCTTCGAGCGTAAAGTCGCGTCTCTTGCCTTCGAAAACCACGTACGGCACGGCGTCCACTCCGTTGCCCGCTTGCTCTCGGATCAGCATCTTGACATCCATCAACCCTTCATCTTCATCCTCGGCCATCTTCTTCGCTTCAGTCTCGCCGAGCCCTGCCTCGGTCAATGCTCTCACCAGAGTCTCTGTGGTACTAGGGTGTTTCTCCTCCTCGAAGTACTGCTTGTATAGGCTGTCGACAACCTTCTCCGCTACTCCGGCGCCTTTGGTCTCTTGGACGAGCTGAATGATGCGGTGCGCTTGAAGTGTGTTGCCTACTCTTCCACCAAACTTGTATGCAATGCCCTCAGCTTTGCCGTATGCTGTCATGAGCACCACGTATTTGCGCATGTGCTCTTCGTCTCCGTTGAACCTGGCGTCACGATACCAAGCGTACTTGTCTTCGCCCTCTTGCGGCGCATTGGGGTATAGCTGGTAGGGGAGATATTTGACCGTGAACGTCACTCCTGGCTCGGTAGATCGGACCTGCGCAAGCGCTTTTGCGAGTCGCCTCCTAGCGAGATAGGTCNNCTGCCATCGTGTTAGATGTGTATCAAGTAACAGGCGGCTCGGCTGAGCAGACCATGGACAGATGGTATCTAGTGTGAACGATATTTGAGATTCGTAACCCATGGTGACGACAATTCCGCAAGGCTGGTTTTTCGAATGACGCTGACTCGTGCTATATCATGTAACCACCTGACGATGACCCACGAGCCGAAAGAGTATGGCAGTCGAGGTGAGCGGGCAGCCGTTTAGATACCAGCCCCTCCAACGACCCCGCCATCGGCATCAAGAAGCTTTCGAGCTTGGCGTCATGGATGAGTGGAGGGTCCTTTCGGGTTCTGAGAACTGCTCTCTCGACCTCGTCTGTGCTGGTCCTTCAGACGGCCCTCTACTCAAGTAGGGTCACGCACATTCCAACAATCCATCCTTCCTCCCATGACCATGCTTGCTTTCGGCTTCGGCTCCCATGTGATTTGTCCCAAGGCACACCGTTGCTCAACTCAACGCCAGCGTTGACGTTTCCCAGCCTGCATGAACAGCGTCCGCAGCCTTCATAACGGTCGCTGACGGTAGAAAATATTGTAGGTCGAGTCTGCCAATTGGTCATGCTATATAAGATCAAGATCGCAGGATGCAGGTACGTTTGTTCTCAGCTCCTTGCATATCTGAACAGCACGCCACATACAGCGATATTCACCAATACCCTTCGTTGCAATATCAAATCGTCAACTCGATCAGAGACTGGTCTCATCTTCGGTTGTTTTTGAATCTGCCTCGAGTCCTTCTTGCCTTGATCCTGGATCTGCTCTGATCACCTCTCACTACCTACAAACATGAAGGGAACAGTCAGTATCCTTCTAGCCACGGCAGCTTTCAGTACCGCTCAGGTTATCAACAATGGCAATGGAACCTACACCTGCGCTCTCCCTTCAGGTGCATACTGTGTATCACCCTCGCTTGAGAGCAACATGATCATTCGCTGCACCAATGGTATTGGCTATGCCAGCAACTGCGATGACCGTCTCGCCGACAAGACTCCTCTGGGCTCGTCTTACTCGCCCTGCTGGCAGGCATCGAGCCGGTCTGGCAACGCACAGTGCTCGAAGAACGGAATAATCTACCCAGATGGCAACAACACAACACCATACCCAGTCCCGAACTACCAGACAATCAGCGCCAGTATCTCTAGTGCTGCCACAGCTACCACTGAGGCAACCAAATGGCCGTACATTGCCAACTTCACCACAAGCACGACGACATCGACATCGACGAACACACACACTACGACTGTTTATATATCAGCAGTCCCTCAAGCCGCATATACGAACTCGTCATCTCCTTACTACGGCAATGCAACTCTGGACGGGAGCGCCGCACTTGCCGCTGCTGCCACCTCGACAACAGCATCGGTACCTTACCTTCCGTACTTCCCAGCCGTTGTCCTGCCTACTTCCACACAATACACCACAGATATAGTCTATAGCTACACGACTGTGTGTCCAGCCGGTGCGACAGTCACCGACTCTGCAGGCGCTGAAGCCGTGCTGGCAACCCCCTCAACCATTACTTTGACCACCACTTCTCGCAGCACAATCACGGCAACTGCAATCGTCTCTTTGCACTCGCCCATCTTTGCATTCGACGCTTCCAGTACTTTAGCAAGTGGCGAGTATGCACCTGTAGTGACTGCCATTGCTGCTGCTCCCTATGCCTGGAGCAATGGGACTTGGAGTAATGCCACTACTCTGGCTGTTGTGGGTACTGCTGCACCTGCTCCTGTAGCTTCGGCTTCGGCTTATCGTCCAACATGGAATGAGACTATGGTGCCCTACACAGGAACTGCGGGCAAGACTGGTGTTTCGTTTGCTGCCGCTCTTCTTGCCTTGATGGCTCTGTTCTAAAGGTGCAAGAGTTGATTTCCTGGGATAAGAGAAGCCTGGTTGCTTCTCCAGGAGACATGAGCTGGATCTCATGCAATGGTTCGGACGCTGGTTTTCGTCCTTATGTAAAGTAGATAGTATACAATATGCAAATAGATCATCCTCCACAGACTTTTCCCTGATCACTCCATCACTGCTCCCACTTGATGTCATCGTGACTGACATACGGCCATCGCTCTTGCCTACAAAAGGTACTCCTCGATCTCGAATCCAAAGAAGGAATATCTCGGTGCCTACAAGCCTCGATTGAGCCATGGAGAATTTGATGAAGCAAAGTCAAAACTGCTACCGTCCTACCCTGGCCACAACTATAATCTCATTTCTATCCATCCTTGTCCAATATATTGGTTTCTCTGCTGGAAGACGATCTAGATCGATATGATCACAGCATTGTATAACGAACGTGAGCCATGGTATGTGGTCTTTAGTGCTTATATCTAATGCGTGCTTGAACCCAATTTTGATTAATCACTTTCGAGAAGGAAGAAGATCAGCAAACAAATGGTCAATGCGACACGAGCCAGTAATTTTGTGTAGGAATCTGTCGCGGGCCAAGAGATGTCAAATGTCTTCTTCCAAGCACTGTAGACCGATGACCAGACGTTTTCCACGTGTATTATTACCATCTATCATTCCAAGAGATCAATCTAGAGCGAGTCCTGGGCATCCGAGACGGACGGAGCGGTATCTACAAAACAGGCAACAGATATGTACAAGCATCATTCTCCCACTCAAGAGTCAGGGGCGCCAGGCAGTGCAGCTACATCGCCATAGCTAGTATGCACTCCATTGGCCTCAGCAGAATCCGCATCCGGGCGACGTGTAATGCGGAACATCATGTCAGTGTGCAAGAAGAAGCCTACACATCGCTCGACAAATGGCTTAGAGAGACTGGCAGGCTGGAGTTCGTATCGAACGAGAGTCTGCAATGATAGTCAGTAAAACATAGTCACGAGANCACTGTTGAAAGATTAGGGCACTTACTTCAATGATACCCTTGTTCAACTCCATCGTCGCAACACCTCTGCCCAGACAACCAAAACGTCCATACCCAAATACTAAGCCTACAGTCTCTGTCATTCTCTCCACGCGCTTTTTCTCTGCCTCGGAAGCATCGCGGAGTAGCCATCGCTCTGGCCTGAAGATCTCAGGGTCCACGCCATAGATCTCCTTGTTGCGTTGCATACCCCAAGAGTTCCAAGCAATCTGCGTACCACCCTTGACAAACTTGCCATCGATGGTGGCGCCCTCTGGTGGCACGGCTTTGGCAAGTAAACCCGTGACTGGAGGATACATACGCAACCCTTCCTTAATACACGCCTGCAAATACGGCAACGCACGAGCTTCAACATCACGAACAACAGGTCTGGATATCTTTCCCGCTGCCATAGCATTCTTGAACTCCTGTACCAGACGCGAATGCACGTGTGGCGTAGTGGCGATAAAGTGCAAAGTCATGCGTATGGCTGATGCAGTACTATCACTTCCAGCAGTAATCTGCGTCAGCGTCTCGGATTCGAGTTGTTCTTGGGTGAGTCCACGTTTGATGAACGAGCCCAACATATCGTGGCGTACGACTGGCTTGTCGCCAAATCGTTCGTCGACGCGCTCTTTGGCGAATCCCATTACGCGACCTAGACCGCGTTTGTCTGTTGATTTGGGCATGACGTGTTTGAGCAGAGGTAAACGCAGGATCTTTTGAAGCTCGGGGTATGCGCCAAAGACGATGATGGCGGGAAGGAACTCTTGGAGATTGTCAATGTAGCCAAAGGGGTCATCGTCGTGTTTTAGGAAGCCGAATTCTTGTCCAAAGGCAATGCTTGAGATAACGTCTAGAGTAAAGTAGGAGTAGAGGCGTGAGATGTCGACGGGACGATAATCTTTTTCCGAGGAAACATACTTGGAGTCGATGAGGTCGAAGAGTTGCAACAAGCGATAGTCGACATCGTCTTCCATGTGCAAGTTCTCTTTGCCAGAGTATCCAGTCGACATGCGATTGCGAAGGTCTGCATGGACTCCTTCGTCGATCACGGATGTAATGTTGTCCCTGGTTGGATGCAGCCGCAAGGCTGTGTACCATTCGCTCCGAACAAANGGACTACGCACAGCGTGCATGCGTTTATACAGTTCAGGGTCGGTGGTAATGAGCATGTTGGGCGACACTCGGGCAGTCGGCCCNTTTCCTACAGTCAGCATGATGGTACAAATTATAAACATAAAGTATGCTAAGCCATGTCGCAATTGGTTGGGCAGGACGACGTGCTCTTCTCAAAAGAAACGAGAGATTATTGCCACTTTGTCTAAGTGGAGACGACGAAAGACAGTATGAGATGAAGGAGAACGACGATATGCCTACTGACCATACTTGTCATTCACTTCTGTAAATGCAATGTTCATCTTCCCTGAGCCATTGGCTCTCAGCAGCCACAGCCTTGAGAATCCTGCCACCCATGGTCCCTTGAACTCGCTCAATACCCAATACTGGTGAAGAGTACGAACTGCATAGAGAAATAAGAGACTCAATCCCACAATCAAGGCGACAGGTAACATGGTCGGCAGACACCAGTGGGACAGTACAGATACTCGTCTCACGAACGAGAGTCGGTTTACTTTTGGAGCCTACTGCAGTAGCCCGGATCTGGTGGTGGTGCACACACCGTGTTCGAGGACCCGCCGTCTTGGGATTCTTCTTGGCCAGTAAGAGGTCAAAGCAATGTCGCTCGCTTCCTTTAGACTTGCAGGATTCAGGCCTTGAAATGCGTCGATCGTGCTGGCGGCGTCGTTCTTGGGCAAGAGCAGGGATGCAGCAGAGGTGAGAAATCAAAGAGCGGTCGGGTCAGAAGGATTGAAGCATCTCGGCGCAAAAAGGGAGCACCGAATATACATATTACCAGCCTAGTGTCGATTATATAGGACCAGCAAAGCATAGGACCTCGGGACGACTCCTTGGACCAGCCCGGATATCGTACTCCAGGGCTTGAGGTGGACTCTGGTGGCTTGTGGACTACCTTATGACACGCGAAGCGATGTCTGCGATGAACCGATCATCAGCTGTCGTGGCGCCGCAAGTGCATGAGCCAATGCATGCTCTAGCATGGTAAGCGGACGATCGTCCCTGTCACTGGCCTGAGTGTCCAGTTTGGCTGTGTCTGCTGCAATCCCTCCATGTCTCGCTGATGCAGGGCCAGACGGGCTGTCGTTGCGAGCTGAGAAGGCATGTGGCACTTTTGACTCTCGCTTGTGCAGACACCGCAAGACTCGTGTCCAGTCGGAGCTCAACAACGGCAGACACGCGAGATAGGGATTTGCAAAGGGAGGGAGGAATAAATCGGCATGCGATGGCCTGTTAGTCGAGAGCTCCACAACAATCAAGTCGAAGGTCCCATCAGAACTCAACTTGTCAAGGTGGTGGGCTCAAAGTCCAAGCGCGACAAGGACTCGGCACGGCTCGAAGGCGCGAAACGAGCGTCTCAAAAGCGAACAAAGCTCCCGCAATCTACGGACCCCGGCGAGTCAGGGGATCGGGTGCCACATCGCGAGCATTCTCGTTAAGACCAAACAATTGCGATAGCGTCGGCAGTTGTTCTCTGATCCTTCCATCCTTCTTTCTCCCAAATATTAATCCCAGATCATCAACGACGAGAACCGTCTTTCTGAACCCGTCTCCGGGCTCGAATGCATACGACAAAATCGACAAACCCAAAGCCCTTTGACCGCGTGCTTTGAGTGACTGGAATAGTAACGCTTGTTCTGTAAGGGCTGCAAGTCCAACACGTGGGCTGGGTGCACGCATCGAACTTGTCTTCCATCATGGCCGACGAGCCTTCAGAGGGAGAGAGCATCAGTCTCAACCATGCCAGAGAGCAAACTCTCGAGGCCGATGTAAGTGACACCAATAAAAATCCATCAAGGAGATGGTTATTAATCGCTTTGATCATGTAGTCTTGGAGCGATAACGATTCTGCACTTGGTGATGATACGTGAGTCCACTCCCTCCTCTTCCCTCACAACACCTCTGCAAGTGCAAGAAACTGATAGCATTAACAGTNNCAAAGCACAACCACATCATTAAGCGAGTCAATATACAGCTATCGCCAGGAACATGGCCGCACATATCATGGTAAACGCTGTGCATTGAATGTCCCTCGAATTTTTTGATACTGACTTGAGCTAGCTTACAAGGATGGACAATATGTCTTTCCAAATGACGAGGTAAGGTCTGCTCCCAGTCGCATTTGTGACATCTATTGACATGATATCTACTTGGCAGNNCGCGAGCAAGACCGACTAGGTAGGTAACTTGATTATTCTTTTGGGCCTGGCAGAAGCTGAACGTTGTGTATAGACCTGCAACATCATATGTGTAATTTGACGTACAGAAGACTGCACCTAGCACCTCTGGAGAAACCCAGGCATGCTCTGGACATCGGAACCGGAACTGGCATCTGGGCTATGGACTTTGGTAAGTCCTTTCATGTCTAGATGTGGTAGAGCCTTTCTGACACAAGCANNGCTGACAAGTACCCTGAATGTGAGGTAATTGGCATCGACCTCAGTCCAGGACAACCTACGTTGTGAGTATTCAACACAGATTGTGTGTCGAAGAACTCGCTGATTCCTCCATAAGCGNTACCACCCAATTTGAAGTATATCATTGATGATGCAGAAGAGCTGTGGGTATATGATCATCGATTCGACTATGTCCATTGCAGGCTCATGGCCGGATGCTTTGCAGATCCAGAAAAACTCATACAGCAGGCATTCGAGTAAGTAAATGCAGAGACTACCTGTCTCGGATATGAGCTGATTATGGTGTACAGCAACCTTGAGCCTGGTGGCTACCTTGAATTCCAGGATTACGGACTACCTTGCAGAAGCGTCGACGACACACTGGACGGCACATCCCTGGAGAAATGGGGCATGTTGATGTGCGAAGCAGCTCGTAAGCTTGGCCGTCCAATGGGCACAGAAGTGTCAGAAAGATATCGAGAGTGGATGGAAGCAGCTGGCTTTGTGGATATCGAGGAGCAACATTTCATGTGGCCTTCAAATCCATGGCCAAAAGACCGATACATGAAGGAACTAGGCAACTGGAACATGATCAACATTCTGGAAGGCCTTGAAGGATTTTGTCTGGCACTTATGACCAGAGGACTTGGCTGGAAGAAAGAAGAGGTCGATGTGTTTGTCGCCAAAGTGTCAGCCGACGTCAAAAACAGAGGCATCCACGCCTACTACCCGATGCCGGTCGTCTGGGGTAGAAAACCCTTGACAGCGAACTGATTCCAGGACGACAGAGGAAGAAGAGTCAATCGCTCATAATTGGGAGCACTGCACTTGTGCTTGACGAGGAAACGAACATGAACAGGAAGTCAAGGCAGGAGATAAGCAAGAGGATGCAGTGGCCAACTTCTTGATTGAGATCAAAACAGACAGCGAGTCAGGCAACCAATCATTATGCCTCAGCACCAAACAAGTATGCTCATGTGTGTTTCATCGGCTAACAACACCAAGACACCCGCAGGCTGTAGAGCCGTTCCAAATCCAGATCAAGACTCAAGTGAGACTTCCTTTCAAATTGATAGTAACCGTAGGAACGTCTTGGCATGATATGATTTGAGGAAAGCAATGAAGTCACGGCGGTGGCTTCCCCGCGATACCCTTCGGAGGTAAGCGCCGATAAGGATGTACCAAAGTGGGCAAAGTCGGGGGTGTCAGGCTGTCTCGCCACCCTCCTGAGGATGAATCAAAGATCAAGACAAGAAGACTGGATGCTTAGCAATTCAAAGGAAGGCGAGGCAAACAAGAGAATTTTCTGACTCAAGGCAGTGCAAGAAAGATTTAGTTGTTGCCACGTTGGGAAGGTTCTGGTACGTTCCGATGTTCCGTTGCTGCCTCACTTGACTGGGTTGCGACAACACGTCGCTTTGGGGGCGTCATCATCCAATCAGCCACACTCACTCCCGCCGCTCTCACACGTCGCGCGCCTTCTCCTACTTAAGCTCTTCCGACCGCCTTCTTCCACCTTTCCTCTATCCACAACCACCATCTTCCCTCATCAACTCGCCTTCTTTCATCAAGGCACATCATCTCACACAACTACATCCACACTACACACAAAGACTCTCCGCCAACATGCAGATCTTCGTCAAGACCCGTAAGTAGTCAACGACCCCGCTTCACCGCCACTGCGCGCAACCACTTGCTAACACACTCACCAGTGACGGGCAAGACCATCACTCTTGAGGTTGAGTCGTCTGACACTATCGACAACGTCAAGAGCAAGATCCAAGATAAGGAGGGCATTCCTCCGGATCAGCAGCGCCTCATTTTCGCCGGCAAGCAACTCGAAGACGGTCGCACCTTGAGCGACTACAATATCCAGAAGGAGTCGACTCTTCACCTTGTCCTCCGTCTGCGTGGTGGTATGCAGATCTTTGTCAAGACCCTCACTGGCAAGACCATCACCCTTGAGGTCGAGTCTTCCGACACCATTGACAATGTCAAGTCGAAGATCCAGGACAAGGAAGGCATTCCCCCAGACCAACAGCGTCTTATCTTCGCCGGAAAGCAGCTTGAGGATGGCCGCACTCTCTCCGACTACAACATTCAGAAGGAGTCCACACTCCACCTCGTCCTCCGCCTTCGTGGTGGTATGCAAATCTTCGTCAAGACTCTGACCGGCAAGACCATCACACTCGAAGTTGAATCATCCGACACAATCGACAATGTCAAGTCAAAGATTCAGGACAAGGAGGGTATCNCCCCAGACCAGCAGCGCCTTATCTTCGCCGGAAAGCAGTTGGAGGATGGCCGTACGCTCTCTGACTACAACATTCAGAAGGAGTCAACATTGCACTTGGTGCTCAGACTTCGTGGCGGTCAGTAAAGGATAGGCATTGAGCCTTGATGATGATGTCTGTTGACTATGGGTCGGCGTTTATCTGCTTTCTACTACCTTTATTATGCCAGCAATGAAGCGGCTGCTACAACTAGCGTAGCCAATCAATTTCTCAGAGAGCACTTGATGCTCTGAATATCACTCCTCACCTACCATCTCTCGACTTATATGTGCCTCAATATGTTGCCGTGATCGACAGTGATGCTTGTTGGAGTTGTTCCATTGTTTGTGCATGACTCAGGCACAGCACGTGATGCAATGGCATTCTTTGCTGAGTTCGACTGAGACGATGACTTCCTTCTCGCTCAAACAGTGTCAACCGGAATGTGACATGCCGCAGTGCTGAGACAACTAGGGTGTTATGGTGAGTAATGGTGGCCTACTTCTTCCATGTCAAGCTGGAGCTGTATCCTTCGGCAAGCCCATCAGCTGCGTCGCAAGCCGCAACAACCAACAACCTCTTCCACCCAGACTCAACTACAGACATATTCAAATCCCCTTTGCCCGCTCACCGAACCTCCAAGACCATCTCTCAGACGCTACAAGCCCGACACTCGCCGAGAAACTCGCTAGACAACCGCCCCGCTGCTGCGAGTCGACCAGCTTCCGCTCACGGCGATGCGCTTCTGCTGCCCGAGAGGAACGTCGCATTGAAAGAGCCTGCCTCACCTACCATTCCACCGAAGAAAGCGTCGAGCGAGGTTGCTACCCGGGATTGGCGATACGGTCCTGTCACCATCGAAAGCATCGACATGGAGCCAACCTCTACCAAACTCCCTCCGACCGGTCTACATACCAAGGCGGCATATGTGCCTTCGACTCCCAAAGCGACCGATGTAGGCTGGGGTGTCGTACATCTGTACAGAGACTCGCAAGAGACGGCAGCATTAGACCACAAACACATCAAAGATGATGTCGATTTTGACCCACAACAGTGCACCACTTTGTGCATTCTGGCTGTGCCGTCTTGGATGATGCCCTCGGACCTGCTGGGATTTGTTGGAGACCAGGCAAGAGAAGATGTTAGCCACTTCAGACTCATTAGGACTGGTCGAGCCAACAAGTACATGGTTCTCATGAAGTTCCGACAGGCCAAGAAAGCAAGAGGGTGGCAGAAGCTGTGGAACGGGAAGCTCTTTAGTGCTATGGAGGTGAGTGAGCAGGAGCTTGCTGTCAAATCATGACTTTGTGCTGACACTGTTGTAGNNCCCGAAAACTGCCATGTCGTATTCATCAAGTCTGTCGAATTCCTGACTCCAGACTCGGATACATCTGACCCCGCTGCATTCCCTCAAAACACTCAGGACCCCTTCACCAAATCCTCGAACTCTCTGTCCGCCAAGCCGCATGCACCACCGACGCCATCCCTTGTCGAACTTCCTACATGCCCGGTGTGTCTCGAGCGCATGGACGAGACCACAGGTCTCTTGACCATTCTGTGTCAACATGTGTTCCACTGCGCCTGTCTCGAGAAGTGGCGCGGATCGGGATGTCCTGTGTGCCGTTATACACAGTCACCCTCTTTTACCTTCCCTTATCCCCGACCAGGCGATCCTGATGTCCAAACCGAAGTCGAACCTGCTTGTACCATCTGCGCGACCACTACGAACCTATGGATATGCCTGATCTGCGGAAACACAGGTTGTGGTCGCTATGATTCAGCACACGCGTTTGCACACTGGGAAGCCACAAGTCACTGCTATGCTATGGACATCAATTCGCAGCATGTCTGGGATTATGCCGGCGACGGCTACGTTCATCGCTTGATCCAGAACAAGCCCGACAGCAAGTTGATCGATCTACCTGCTCGACGTCATCCCAACGCCGCATTCCGCGCTGAAGCAGATGATAATGTGCCGCGAGAANAGATGGAGAACATGGCTAATGAGTACACATACCTCTTGACTAGTCAGTTGGACAGCCAGCGCCGTTACTATGAAGGCCAGCTTGAGCGCGCTGTTGACAAGGCAAGTATCGCCTCGGCCAAGGCAGAAGATGCTGCTAGAGCGTGTACTGCGCTTGCCGAAGAAATGGTTGCTCTGCGCGTACAGAACCAAGATCACGCCGCCAGTGTTACTCGTATGGAGAAGAGTGTCGAAAAAGCCACCTCCCGTGCCGAAAAGTTCGAGAAGATGGCTCGCGACATGTCTACTCAATTGCGTGAAGAAAAGACGATGAACGAAGGCTTGCTTCGGCGCATTCATGCTGCTGAAGCAAAGGGCAAAGAGAGCCAACAAGAGACTGCGAAGATGAAGTTGGAGAAGGCAGAATTGGAGGAGATGAATCACGACTTGACCATGTTCATCAGCAGCCAAGAAAAGGTCAAAGAGTTGCAAGCTCAGGGCGAGGAAGTCGTCGATGGGTCTGCCTTCGCACCGGAGCAACGACCGCAGCAAGGCAAAAAGAAGGCCAAGGGAAAGAAAAAGTAGCGGTGAATACTTTCAAGGTATCCTGCTTGTCATGAACCATTTTTAAACGGCGTTGCGGAATGGATACCCATGGGAAAGGAAGGAAGGATGGCAGCAACTTGTTTTCAGCATGCATAGCTATTTCGAAGTAGCCCAGAACATGAAACACCAAATTTCGTCCACGTCTTCTGGATGCAGATATGCTCGTAGTCAGTCGCGTGTAACTCTTGTTGGTTGTACAGAGACAACGGGTGGTCAAAACGTGGCTGAGGACGACAACTGGCGCCTCGCGGCAGTCAGCCAAACGACCGCCACTGCGTGCTGTCTGGAGCTTGTCAACGACTACATGCCCACTTGTCACTTTTGTGATGGCTCCAGTCCAGAACACTCGCTTTGCGAAAGTCTAAAAACGAGTTTGCCTTCGTCAGAGGGATTGCAGTCGAAGTAATGCAAAGCACGAGCGACTCGTCAATGCAAGATGGGTCAACCCTTTCGTCTTCACCGCCTGTTGACCGCTCCTGCTTCGAGCATCACATCACCGAGGCATTCAATTTCTTTGCCTGTCGCTTCTCGGAACAAAACAACAATGTAGTGCCCGCAATCATGCACGCCGGATCGCCAGTGCAGCATAACTGAACACTCAAAGAGCAATCAGCTGTTCACTCTATCTGCATGGCCGGCGTCAAAATCGAAAGCCATTTTCGCCTGTCAATCACAACTCGCCTTTGTCCAACGAGACCTTGCTCCAGAACAAATCAGGTTCAGCCACAAGGACAAGCAATATGAGAAGTCTCCATCATATTCTTGCCTGAATGCAACTTGTCAAAGTTTGGCCTCCATACATTCTCGGTTATAGCTGGGCTGGCCTTTCGGCACCTACCATGAACAATCCTGCGGCACGTAAAGCCCCTTCCAGGTTTTTTCGCCTGGAAGAACATGCCCCCGGTCCCTTGGTGCCTTGACCCCTCCTCGCTCTCGCTCCCCACCATCTTGAGAAGAGACGGAAGCAGGATACCTCGTGCTCAGCGACGTCAAATGTGACCGCCAACGCACACGTACTTCCGATGTTCATCTCTCGACCCATCGGAGCAATGGGTTGCACACAACCAGACTTTTGCTGGTCTAGCTCAAGAACCAGCATCTCACAGAGTCACCGCTTCTAACTCATGGTACGCTTTTTTGGCCAATCGAGAAACCCAGAGCTCTGTCTCCGTTACCTTGACAGACTCTGGGTCTTTCCACCGAGCAACGTTGCAGAGTGCGAATGGGACGGAGGGCTGATTTGTGAAGCATCTTCATCGAGTAATTGCCGTCTGCTGCAGTAGCCCCGCATAGCACCCGCTCCGGCTGCCATCTCATTTGAACCGGTGAGTCTGCGGTTCCTTCCATTGATCAAATGCCAGTCGATAGACATTCACATGATCTTGGTCCGGCTTGTTACCGAAAGTTAGAATGGGCACTCTCCGTCTCCACTGCACGACACTTGCATCTAATATAGCGAACTCGACCACGTACCTGGTGCTTGTGGCTCTCGGACGAACGTGTCGCGCATTGACGCGGTACGTGTGAGGCAATTCGGGTCTCGCCATCGGCATGCACCACGCTCGCTGTCGCACAGGAGCAGACGCTCGAGCACACAGGCCCACTCCACTAACCTCATTTCCCCTTCTTCGGATCTTCGATAGATGTCCCAATGCGTGGCATGCAGCGCCAACACATCGAACAAGATTAGGAGGGGTCCGACAAGCCAGCCTGTCCTCCTCCTCGTCAGGCTTTCGTCTTGTGTTGTCGTTCTCACAATGAACGCATCTGCAATGCACGACGGACATACCGTCGTGCACGCGTGTGAATGGCCCGCCTTTGTTACCGTATCTCTGGACCTCCCGCCGAGTCCTGATGCTGTGCTATTCAACGTCACTTCTTCGAGTCGCTTCTAGTTTCGATTGTTCCCCCTTCTATCTCTTGAAGACCGCCTCTCGTATTAAGAGCTGCCTGCTTCTTCAACCCTATTTATGTTCGGTGCAAACTTGGAGCGTTGATCCAGTTTTCTTCTTGGGCATCAATACATCTTGCGTTTTCTTCCACCTGCATTTATCTTTCAACATTCTCAATTCCTGTGTCCGTCGTCGTTCAGCCATCAACCTTCTCTGCGGTGTGACATATACGGCACACATCTTTTGACAGCACGCCTCTTCTACCAAAAAGGATAATTCCCGCCTGAAACTCCAAGCCACACCAAGCAGGCCCATCTCCTTCGAGGATCATACAGCCCATCATGTTCTACACAATGTATCTTGATGGTGAGTACCAATTGCTTCGTTCAATGCACTCCTGCAATGTCGTTCTCAGAGGTCCGTCAAGCTTAGAGCGTGTACATCTGCCACGTGCTGCCGGCGGTCGCTTGCCGATGTCCTGTACGTGGTGAATCTGCAAAATTTACTGGAGGTCTTTTATGGCGAGCCTGAGGTAATCCTGCGTGCCAAAGTCCCTTATGCCGTCTCTCTACAGAGCAGTTCACTAGTCTTGTTACAACCCAACATCCATACTGACAATTTATAATACAGGCCTCTGTAAACGCCGACATTGGCCTCAGCCCATGTTTCAACCTTCGGTCACCCATCACGGCTACACCTGCGTTGTCCGCGTCAACAATCGCGAATACAGTACAGATGGTCAACATTACACAACCGAAGCATTGGCCCGTGACGCCGCCGCCACACGTGCCTACATGATCTGCCGCAACTTCTCTGTAAACGACGGTATGTATCCTGGGCAAAAGTCAGGCTCCGGCACCGTCCAAGGCCTTCCTGTAGCCATTGGCTCAGGCCGCAGGAACGTCAGCGTTTCTACATCTGGCTTCAAAGATCAGAGAAGACGACTGGGTGAATTGAGAGAGGAGGATGAGGATGAGAACAGCAGCTGGACTTCTGGCGGCTCAAGCCCTAGGAGTGTGGATTCTGCTGTTGCTGGTATTAGATCCGTCAATGCTGGCGCTGGAAAGCCTCATCATGCCAGCCAGACCACCTGTGCCTGTCGTCGCGCTCCGGTCTTACAGCAGTATCCTCGTTGCCAGTATTGTCTTCGCGATGCTGGATGGATGTCTTTCTAAGACTGCTCCATATATCACTGTACGACAACGTCCGCGACTGGTAATGGAAAAGAAAAAAATGGTTTACGACATTCCTAGACTTGACGACCCTCACGAAACGCACCTTTACGACTTTCCTTGTCTCGCTTTTTCCTTGTTATCATATCTCTAATCATCACCGTCCATCGTTTTGCGACACACCAAAATATTGCTATGGGAACACAAACAGAACTTAGCTGAGAGAACATGCATTGGACTGGTGTTGTTCATTCTTTTCTTTTCTCTGTTAGTTCGTGCAGTATATTCATTGATCCATTCGTTGACCCTCATGAGCTTGAGCCTATCACATTCTCACCTTTTGATGTTTCTTATTGTAAGCCACGAAAATGCCACAACGTTTGCATGTCAACGTTGTGTCCACAGAGACAAGTCTGATGTCGTGAATGTCACTTCTTTTGACAAAGTGTGTGTGGAGTATTGTTTTTGACTAACAGTGTTGACGCACGAATGTTTCTGATTTTGATCGGTGATAGCCCGAATAATAAGATAGAAAATGATTGTTATAGGATGAGTACCTGCTCGAACTGAAACAAAAGTAAATGCCTTTGTTCGCTATCCATGATCCCAACTATGCTATGTGAAAATGCCCTTTTTGTGCGTAAAAGAAAAGAAACCGCAATATTTCATGATGAACATGTCCAATCAATGCAAGTCAAATCAAGGCAGTCCCATGAACAGACTCAACATCTTGGGATATGAAGGCGTTCCAAGTCCNTAGATCAATATTAGCTTTGGTCAACACTCCAAGAGTTTCTTCAAGAGCTTACCGGTGACAGGATCCCAGCCCTTGACCGCCGAGAAGCCTCGTGTACCGCAACCAGGATTCGTGCCATTGACAATATCATTCAACACCTCAGGATGCTCGTAGAGTGTAGGGTTAACAAAGCCCAGAGGTCCTTTGCCGGCTGCAAGGCGCTCTTCAACGATACGGTTGATGATGGAAGCAAAGATGGGTGCAGAGCCAGAAGTACCGCCCTCGAGGATGAAGCGACCAGCGTTAAAGATGCCAAAATTGTCGCCATTGGCAGCGACATCGGGGATACCGCGACCATTGCGGTTGTAGACTCCTCCGCTTGTGCTGTTGTATTGGCCATTGGTGTAGTACTTGTATGGCGGCTCGTGCTCGGCAAAATAAGTCTTGACGGCAGAGGCTTGGTAATCAGGGACATCGAAGAGGTTGGAGAAGCCACCGCCAGACGAGTAGCCAGATTCAGGGATGTTGACTGCAGACTCGGGGTCATTGACAGTTTTGCCGGGGTAGATTTTGGTGCCGCCGACGTTGGTGAGCCATGGGCAAGAGTTGGGGTAGGTGGGCGAGAAGACAGTAGCGTTGGATCCCAGGCATCCGTTGATTGAGCCATCACCTCTGATGCCACCGACACCAGTGTCACCGGAAGCAACGATGACGGAAACACCTTGGAGACCAAGCTTGAGCAACTCGTTGCATTGGCGCTGCTGGTAGTAAGCAGGCAAGTCTTGTTCTTGCTCGCCGTACGAGATGGAGATGACATTAGTAGGCTTGTAAACGCCGCACTGAAGTGAGCCCTTGTATCCGTTGCTTGCAGGGTCCGGGTACTTGGGGTCGAGAACTGGATCATTGCCAGTCTCGCCGTAGGCGGAGTACGTGCAGTACGATCCGTCAATAGCATCGAAGAAAGTATTGAATAAACCAGTAGCGTTGGGGTCGTTGCCAAATGCGTAGTAAATGTCGTCAGTCTGGTATAGAGTGGTGGTCTGAGGGTAGACAAGAGGGTAGGCGAGCTGGAAATCCAAATCGCTCTCGCCGCCAGCGAGCTGCAAGCTGACAGGTGCTTTTGCGCCATCGATCATGTTGGGAATAGGGTGGGTACCGTTAGGAATGTTAGGCGTAAAGTTTCCGAAGAAGCGGTTCAAATCCTGCTGGGCGTAGTAATCACCTTCCTCGAAGATACCAAGCGAGTTGTTGAGGTTGACTTTGGCATAAGGATCGTTGGGAGTGATCTGGTACAATGCCTGGATACATGCGGGTGTCACGACCTGATCGCACGTGCTTAGAGAAGAGATGTTCTTGGGCATGAAAGGCGCCGACTTGCGGGCCGGCGATCCTCTCAGAGCTCTCTTTGTCTTCTTGGGACCGCGCTTGCGAAGGTTTGCACCCTTGACACCAGGGGAGATGAAGTCGATATGCTTTTGAATGTGCTTGGGAACGTGGTACTCGTCACATGCTGCAACATAATTTCCAGTGGCGCTGTGCTCGAACTCATGATATCGAGTGTGTAGCAGATCCTCGACTTCCTTGGTGGTGGCATCGAAGGCAAACCATGCCTTGTTGTCCGAGTGTGTAATTCTGCGATCAGAGATGCCATTCTTTACGAGCCAGTCGCGAACAGCGGTCAATGTGTCATTGGAAGGTGCAAATCTGGCGATGACCTCGTCGGATGTCCAGTGCTTTCCGAAGTTAGGAGACTCGGGGTGCGAGNNCTGGGCCAGTTAGTCTTGTGCTCATACTGGTTCGAACCCATTTCAGTCGAAGGCCAGTTGGACTCCGAGCATATCTTCGATCAAGAAACACACTTACACGTCCATAAGATACTCGGCACCATTGTCCAAGTTCTGTTGCTTCAGGCCAACGCGGACAGGCAATACAGTATCCTTCTCCAATCTATCTCTTNNCATCCACTTGGATGTGACAAAGCGATGAGCAACATCACGCTTCTCGTGGACAACATGAGTCTCGGGGACAGGCTTAGTAGCAGCCACAGCCAGCAAAGTGGCCAAAAAGGCCGAAGACGAGACACGCATAACGAACGAATGTCAAGGCAAGCAACGAGTGTGGTGGATACGAAGCAAAAAGTGTGGGATTCAAGCATTTTTAAACAACAAGCCCATGGAGCGAGATCGACACTGTTACGGGGGCGGCGGGAAGAATAGGCGTCTGTGAATGAGATCGTCGTTTGCGCCTGCAGGTCCCACGCAGCACACTACTGCCAGCGCGGCACCCATGTTGGCACTACGTTTAGCATTGATGAGAGACGCTATAGGGATAACACATGGGAGGGTTGGGTTACTAGGTCCGAATCATGCGTCTGTTCCACCCTCCGCAAACGTTGGTTTACAGCGCGAACAATTGTGCGTTTGGAGAGAGCGAATCTTTTTTTGGTCTGACGTTTGTGCCTTCTAACTTGGGCTTGGCGTCATCGTATTCCCAGCCAAGACCAACCTTGCCTGCCACGAAGTATCTCGTGCTGTTGAGTTTGTCGTGCATGTTGCCATGTTTCAGAAAACAAACTTCCGTGTCACGAGCGTACAAGGGGGTATATGATGAGAACAGAAAGAACGATAAAATCATAAATCAAGGTCGTGAATGAGAAATATCAGAGAGGGTATCTTTATGCTATCGTGCCTCATTAAAAACGCCAAAATACGCCGCGCCAATCGACTGTATAAGACAGTCAAGTCTACTGTAATGGATATCCTCAAAATCATCAACGTACTGGTGGCAGGAATGTTTGCGGCAAATCTGGCATCGTACTGTCAAGGTCGGTCAAACTACTGTACTGCTTCTGAGCATGCTGGAAACTGGACAGCGGTCCTGTGCTCTGTGGTGCGCTGCCGGGCGTAAAGACAAGCGTTTCCGAGGCGGGTGTTGCGTTCTGCTGCGCATGGTCAAAAGCGAGACTGGGACCTGGTATGGTGGAAGAACCATCGGGCACATCAAACGATACTGAGTCAAAGGAACGACCTGAGCCAGCAAAGGTCAGATGAGGCCGTGCTGCCGGCGGTCCGTCTACATCTGTCTCGGTATCAAAATCATCATCATCCGCGCCGTCCGTTTGGGGTTTNGGTTGTGAGAGGGAAAGGCGTGTGGACCGACGCTGTCCAACTCTCTGCTCGGAGAGTGGATTCGACAAAGATGAGCGTGGGCGCCTCGACTGCGACGAGCGCGGCTTCGCCTCAGAGGAGCGTTTCTTGCCTGCAGATGAACGAGCAGATGTATGGACGTTTTTGTTCACACTTCGGGAAGATGACGTCGGCGTAGCCTGTGACAAGAGCGTATCGACATCTATTCCCCTCCTTTGGCTGACGAAATTTAGCACTTCTGAAAGGCTGACCGAATCCTGTTGTAGAGTAGGCAAAACGTGACCAGTCGACTCCCTTGTCGAGACTGGAAGCTTCTGAGAAGGAATGAAGTCTGGAGATTCGCTGCGGTTTGCTGGATTTGGGGGAGAGGGGATTTTGCGAAGTTTTGAGGCAGAGAAGGTGATTTCGCCAGGTCTCGAGGGGGGAGAGAGATGCGTTTGGTCTTGATACTCCATTGGACTGAGCAGGTCCTGAGCAGGTGATTGATATTGGTCGTTGCTTGCGGACTCATGTTGCTCAAGTTCTTCGTTTTGATTGTTCTTGCGCACAACATCATCGTCCGGGAAGTCAAAGATGCTTGTGATAGTATCGTCCACGTCCTCAAGGATGACAGAAGGAGCGAAGCTCGCCCTCTTTGTGGTTCTCGGTTTTTTGACACTCAGCTTGATTGGAGAGTAGAACCCGTCAAATAAGGCTTGCGTATTAGGCAGTGGAGCTTGTGTGTCAGTAGTCAACTCGGCATTGAACTGATGGAATGGTGTGATGGTGTGTACTGGACTCGATGGAGGACTTGTGACCTGTTTTGCCGGCGTCTCGAAAGGCAACTCGACCCTCTCCTCTTGTGGCTGCAAAGGTGAAGATGCATCGAAGAGAGCACGATGAGCATCTTGCATGGCTGCCTGAGTACTGACGTATGGCAGCTCGTCCGCAAGATCTTCCTCCGGCTCTGCCACATCGTCCATGATAGTATCTCCCATAGGCTGGTCAGCTGAATCGCCAGTGACTTCCAATAAGGTGTTTCCTGCTGGACCGAAGATGTGTTCATTCTCTCCGTTTGAACGCGATGCCAGATCCTCTCCTTCATGCAGATTTCCCAAAGANGCTTCTCCCGCTTCGGCTTCTTGGATGTGTGCCTTGCTGGTGTCCGATTGATCGTTCCCTATATCCATATTCGGAATGGCAGTCGAGGCAGGCAGTTGTTGGTCGCGTGCATTGGTATTCGTTTTTGTACCCTCTGCAGAGAGCGCAGGCAAAGAAACGTGGTAATGATTGAGAATGCCAAAGTCCATGCCAAGAGACTCTTGCCCAAAAGACATGTTGATCGCAGGGACAAAATCGTGGCGAGGGCGTTCTGGCGATTGCTCGGGATCAACAGCGGTCGGCGATGCGTGTGATGGCTTCGGATTTGGGACATCCAGAGATGACTGGAATAGCACATGGTGCCGTTTCTCGGGCGAGACTGAAGTCTGGGACTGCCTGCTCGTTGTGCTGGGTTCGACACGCACTTGTTCGGACTCGACAGGCACAGCCTCTGGTTCGACACTCTTTTCTTTAGACGGGTCGGGTACTTTTTTCGACTGGGCGGCATATCTTCTGTATATGAAAGGCGAAGTGGTGTCGAAAGTGGTCGCAGCCTGATAAACTCTTCTGGTTGGTCGCTTGTTCTTTTTCAAACTCGAGAGCTTGTGAGACGGGGAAGGAGCTTTATCGATTCTGTTTAGCGAGGACGCTGGTCTCTGTCTCAAAGCAACGGCTTTGCTTGGAGAGATGTCATTTCTGGAAGGCGATGGGCTAGGAGATATAAAGTCTGTATCGGGTATGCGGACTCTTGGAGAGGAAAAGAAACGAGACGGGGCGGTAGAACTTGGTAGCTGGTTCGGCGTGCGGCGAGACTGGGGTAGAGCCTTGTTGATAGCAACGAATTTGGGCAGTGGCGGTAGCACAGTGGTCGGAGCCGAGACTGCGGAGGATGGAAGGTTGAATCTCAAAGACTTGTTTGTGGTTGGACGCGCGGGCTGATGAGAGAATTGTGGACGGCTAACAGGATTTTCTAACACGACGGGAGAAGACTGGCGAGACTTGAATGGCGTGAGAGCAGGTTCGGGAGTGACAGACTTGGGGCGTAGGTGCTCAGGTCTACGACGAATGAAGGAGTCGGCGGTGACAGTGGGTGGAGGCGAGATAGGTCGAGCATCGGGGCTTGAAAGAAGGTCGTGACAAAGAGACAAATCTCTGTCAGCAGGGAAGGGGCCCCTCAACCTAGCAGAGGGGATGTAGATGGGTTGGCCATTGAGAAAAGCATGGGCGATGGCTTCGATGCGGCGGCGTTTGGCCGAGTGGAAGTCGTCGTCCAGATCATCGTCAGAATCGTGAACCAGGACTTGGTCAGGATTCTCAGGGTGTATGAGGCAAGCTTGGAGGGTGGGCTTCTGGTAGGCAGGCAGTCGCAGGACGTGGGAATCGGAGCAAGGCCACAGCCAGCGGCGTGGAGCCATGAGCGAGATGGCGTTTACGGCAGGAGCGACGGCGGCGGTTGACGTGGTAGGNTCACTCATCCTCTTGCCATGTGCCGGCGTGTGGACCAGCGAGTTGGTGTTGGGAGCGACTAAGCACTGACAGCTATGACAATTCCTGGCTNNCGACACAGACACGACAGTTTGTGCCTTGACTGCTTGTAGGAAATGCGGTCCTGCTAGAAGAAGACGGCCGTCGATCGTCTCTGGTACATTTGGCGGCACAGGTGCGGTGATTGGCTGAGGCTCGTGGTTGCCATGGAAATGGGTGTTTTGCGCAACAGAGCTCGGGCGTCCCCACAGTCGTTCATCGCAAACATGTGCCAACTTTTCGGGTCCCAAGTTAAAGCGACCATCATCTCGATCACATCTGGCTCCGACCACTGTATATCCTTGGACTCTCTCGAATGACGACTTAGTCCGGATCCTTCTTCTTATCATGCTGGCCCATTGACACCTGCCCATTCCCGCTTTCTTCGGCCATCTTGTTCTTGTTCACGTCACAAACAACCATCAAACATGTCGTCTCAGGTTGCGCCATGGCTCGAGGACCTAGAAGAAGACTGGGTCGAGCCGCCGTCACTGTCAAATCACACCACAGACCACCAATCTGCCACTTCCGCCAGAACGAACCAAACTTCGTCCAGTCGCATCCCGCGTAGGAGTAGCGGTGCATTTTCGATAAACAGCAGTTCTGTCAAACAACGGAATCCCCTCAAGGACCTGCCTTCCTCGCAATCCAATGTCCAACGCCAGCCATCAGCATCATCCGTAGTCTACCACGACTCGGTCAAGCGCTCTCCAGCAAAACACCAGACTCTCGAGTGGAAGAAGCGCCTTGTCCGTGGTGAAGTCGGCTACGGCGACCAGACTCNNGACCTGTTTGGGCCCTCCGGCCTCGAAAACATCTTCTCTCCAGCTCGCCCCACCTCATCCAACAACCGCCCGACCTCGTCCAACAGCCCCTCGAGGCTCCTACAGAACACCATCATGCCTCCCTCCAGTCCTCCGCCATGGCCCTCGCAAATTGATCCTTCCCAACTAGACTCGCCCGATGCACAAGGCACGTGCCAACGTGAAGTCCACAATACAAACTACACCGATCCGCAGGACGAGAGTTTCATGCGCTCTCCCAATTCTCCCAGCCAGCTACACGTCGACCGCTCGGCTTCGAAGCACCAAGGCAACCGCACTATCAGCGCTAATACCGATCTGTCAGGCGAGGGCTTTAGTCCTGTCTTCTTGTCTAAGCACACGAGCTCCACCGGCGCTGTCAGCTATGCTCCCCTCGACTCGCGCTCCGCCCCTGTCAGCGCCGATGCTTCCGTCAACGGTCTGGATTCTGAGCTTCCTTCCACACCTGGCTTCCGCAAGAACAACAGCGACACCGCCGATAACATGCCCAGTGTTCCAGAGGTCTCTCTTCCAGATGATTTACCCACTGGCACTCCTCCTATTCCCAGCTTCTTGAGCATGAACAGACTCTCTCCTTCAAGCCCCACCAAAGTAGAACCGTCATCTGTCTACGACCAGGACTCGGCCATCTCTCCAAGAGATTCTAGTCCAGTCAGAGCACCTGCCACCCCAAAATTGGGAGGTGTCGAAGAGTCCTCACTCCTGAGCCCACCTAAGAGCAGGCCTTCCCAAAGCCCTTTGAAGCTGTTCACTGGCAACTATGACACATTTACCAACAACAAATTGTTCAGAAGGATGAGTCAGTTGGAAGGTCTAGATCCAGATCACCTCTTGAGATCACCTGAGCACCCTTGCGACAATCCTTTTGACGAGACGCGGTCTAATGCTGGACGAGTCACCAGCTCAGGTACCATCAACACTCAGAGACGTCGCCCATCTCAGCGTGTGGTATCGAACCTGAGTAGTTTTGGTGAGGGTGACTTGGATGAGCACGACTTTGATGCCGACATTTCTATTCCCACTGGCTTGGATCTGGATGCGACTTTCGAGTCTACTGAAGGTTCGCCACTCCCGGAAGCTGTACCACCAGGGAGCACTCACCCTTTCCGTTTCCACGTCGAGACCGCACCTCCAGTCGAGTCGTCCNCCGAAGTTAGGCCCTTCAAGCTGAAGAGGAAGTTGTCAAAGAGAAGCAACACGATCAGGTCAAGGCATTCAGATGACGATCAGGCACTGGAGCAATTCCCTGTGATTGATCCTTACAACAACGAGTTCGATATCAGGGAGGGGAAGCGTCCGCAGAGCTCTCCTGCAAAGGCTCCCACTGCCAAACGCCGACGCACTCTGATCACCATGGATGGCAAGCTTCCGGAGCTCGGCGAAGGCTCTGAGATCCACATCAAGGTTGATGCGCCAGTCTCGAATGACGAGAAGCCTTCAGAAACCACTGCACCCAGTACCGTCAGCGCAGGAAGCAGAAGGGACGTTACCAGGCCTAGAAATCCTACACCCAGCCAAAGGCGTCGCGAGCAGATTCAAGCCGAGATCAGCGAGGCGACATTTGAATATCTCTCAAACTCGCCACGGCTTGAGGCCATCAAAGAGACCATCGAAGAACTTTCAGAACTGCCCGCGGAGTCTGTCGATGCCGAGAAGGCCAAAGCAGTCGCAGCCGACATAGCAGCCTTCACTTTTGAACACTCTAGAGAAGAGCCCGAAAGCATACGCAAGCGCTCGTTCACCACACAGGACTTCCTTGATGAGGCAATGCACATTATGTCAATAATTCGGGCANAAGGGCGACCTCACAGTGGCTTGGACGATGTTGAAGAGTCTAGCGGCGAGATGGACTTCAACACTCACCTGCATCCTGATGACCTTGCAAGACAGGTCGGATCTTTGCGTATCTCACGACCTTCTTCTCGGGAGGGAAACGAATCGAATTGGAGACCTCGGAGTCAGGTCAAGCATGACCCAATGGTCGCCAGTCATTTGGAGCAGTTCCGCGAGAAAGACAGTCTCAATCTTGTGGACACATCCNTTCGATCGCTGAGTATCAACGATACTTCAGCTGTTTACTTTGATCACGAGGACGTGTCGACTCGAGACCTTGATGATGCGCCGATCATCGAGCCCGATTGGATTGGTGGACATGTCCGAGCATACTCGAACGCTTCACAACAAGGAGCTCAAGCTAGCCCGACCAAGTCACAGCATGGGTCGCATCCATCTCTTGACTCTTCAAGCGGAGCACGCACGATGGGATCTACCTCCTCAAGAGACTGCGTAGCAAATCTCTCGCCCGACAAGGTTGCTCACCTCATACCTGAGCAGATTGCGGGAATGACCTATGACAAGGAAAAGCAGATCTGGGTCAAGGCCAAACATCTCAGGCCCCCGACATTTGACTACTATCACCAGCCGAGCAATGTCAGCAGCGAAGATGATCCATTTGCATACATTCCTGACCTGACTGTCGACGAAATCAAAGAGATTCAGCGCATCCAACAAATGCAAGCACGCCATCAAGGTCTGGCACAGCAAGAGCAGTCTGAGCACGAGGAGTCTGGGCAATACACAGAACTTCCGCAACAAGTGCCAGATCGTCCACCTCCACAAAGACAAGAACCAACTGGCTCCAGACCTACTACTCGTGATAGCAACGCACCTCATCCGTTCACATCAAGCACTGCTCCGTCGAAGTATTCCGGCTTTGCTTCTAGTCAGCAGCAGCAGTTCGACACACGTGCCACATCTTGGAGCAACGAGGAGTTGGCCAGCATAGCCAGAGCTAAGCAGCAACAAGCACAGTCTGGCGATGGCCTTCGTGACCTTGCTACTGTCAATATACCTCAGAACATCTCGGAGGAGACTGAGCTGATCCTCGATGGTTCTATCGCTGCTCACGATGAATCTTTGTTGGACGAACTTCTTAGTGAGGATGACGAGCTCCTGAACGAAGATTCGATAACGGAAGAACTGCCCGCGCCTAAGCAGCGTGGAAGTGGCATTCCGCTTCCATCCTGGCCTTTGCGTTCTCCGCAGCCGGCACGTCGGGGTGGTCTGAGGAACTCTTCCTTGAGAAGACAGACTTTCCAGCGAGGCTATGCTTCTGGGCAAGATCAGAGAGAGGTGTCTTTTGTTGCGACTTTCCCAGACAAGCGGACGATGAGCGTTTCTGTGGTTGCTCAGCCTGCGCCTACAATGGCTGCACCAAGCCAAGAGTACGGTCTTTCTTCTCCTGCTCGTATGGATGGCACGTTCTACCTCAGCGACCTACCCGATTTCACCGTTAACGACGTTGATGACGAACGTCCATCTGAGAAGGCCTTGGCTAGACGAGTCGCTCGCACAGACCTTGGAGACAGGTATGCCATGGCCGTCCAGAGTCTGGTGAAGACGCTCACAGACGTCGAGCCTGATGAGCCCTACTGGGAGGACATCAAGCAGTTAAATCTTCGCGATAGGGGTCTCGACTCTGTCCACAATCTGGAAGACTTCTGTACACGTCTTGAAGATCTTGACCTATCAAACAACAATGTTGCACATCTGGAAGGTGCACCGACTTCTATTCGCAGGCTCAATCTTCGCTCAAATGCTTTGAGCAGCCTTACAGCTTGGAGCCACATGATGAATTTGCAGTATCTCGATATATCCAACAACCAAATTGACAATTTGGGCGGATTGTGTATGCTCATCCATCTTCGAGAACTATGCGCTGACGACAACCAAATCTCGACTCTCGACGGCATCATGAACATGGATGGTCTGCTCAAGCTTTCTGTGCGTCGCAATCAACTTTCGAGGGTTGATTTCGAGGGATGCCAATTGGCCCGCCTCGAGGAGCTGGACTTGAGCAGCAACAGATTGTCTCGTATCTCGGGCATTCAGGCGCTATCATCGATGAGTCGATTGGTTCTGGACGACAACAAGCTCGAGTACTTCTCGGTGGCTCAGGAAGGCTCTGCCGGCTCCAGATTACATTGCTTGTCCTTGCAGAAGAACAGAATGACCACCCTTGATGTGTCGAGCTACACTAACCTCCGGTACTTGAACGTGGACGAGAACAAGTTGTTGACTGTGCAAGGCATGGAGCAGTTACATCATATCGACATGCTGTCTATGCGCAAGCAAGATCTCAAGCAGGCCGATGCTCAGCAGTTGACTATATTCAATCAGCGAGTATCTGCTCGCTCGTTGTTCTTGTCCTCAAACATCATCCCCACTCTTGACCTGCCAAACTCTTACCACAGTATCCAGAACCTGGAGATGGCATCTTGCGGGCTACAAGAGTTGCCGAATGATTTCGGCCTCAAGTTTCCCAATCTGCGCACTTTCAACATGTCCTTCAACGCAATCACAGACATCCGCCCATTGCTCAATATCACAAGATTGGAAAAACTGCATGCTTCAGGCAACCGCATCGCCCGCCTTCGGAAGACAGTTGCCGTGCTGGCACGCATGCCGCATCTTCGTAAAACAGATCTCAGAGATAACCCTATCACTCACGGCTTCTATGCGCCCATTTCTGTGGCCAAGAATGCCGTTAGCACTGTCACAAATGACGAGGAGCCATTGTCGGAAGCACAGCTGCAGTTGCAGATAGCCATGTCGCATCGTCTGCCCAACGCCGATCACGCGACGGATACCGAGCATCTTGCTCGCTTAGACGAGGATACCAAGCTACGACGACGTGTCTATGAGATTCTTCTTAGCAACGGTTGCAAGAACCTGGCTACCCTTGATGGCTTGTCGTTCGCCAAANACAGAGCTTTGATAAGAGATGGAGTCTGGGAAAGGTTGCTCAAATTAGGAGTTGTGAAGAAGTCGGGTGCAAGAGGGGAAGAGACTCAAGTGTCGATGAGCTAGGAACTTGTTGAGCGGCCAGATTGAATGGCCTGATGTGAAGATTTGACGATTTGTACGAAACTATTGCATTGAACGGAACCAGACGGAGTATAAGACAAGGGGCATTGGCGTTTTGTGTTTCTTTTTTTTTCTTGTATCGGTATCTTCTTCTATTCGACAGTCATACCTTGAACAAACAGATCTTTTATCATCCTTCCATGGTTCCTGGTCACTCACTCCATTGTTTTTCTCGAACAAGTCTGCGAGCAATTTGGAGTATCGCTCATGATGACGCAAGTACTGATTGATGCGCAGAAGCCCAAGTCATGTTTCTGACAGGACAACCCCGGCTTGACATTTTGTTACAGCCCCCAGTTGTTATCGCGAACGAAAGGGAGCGAGAAGATTTGTATAGTCATATCAACGCAGGCGGTTTACGTTTGAACAAAGTATGGATATATCTCTTTGAGAACAGAGACACGACATGAAGCGATCAGATGCTTGCGAGTTCGAGGCGTGGACTTGTCGATGCATGTTGACTCTTCTCTTCGCAGATAGGACGAAAGGAACCTTCCAGCATAGCAAACTCCGCCCGTCGTCTTGTCTAGTACGTACAGCAGATGCACCGGAGATGTCGCATCCACGCCAAGTTGTTTGTCCATGACCGAGAGACATGAGAACATGTTGTTTTTCGAAGAGAGGGTGAGAGGTTGCTGTTTCCTTATCAGAGCTATATACCATTGTGGAAGGTAGAGCGGCGATCTTGAGCGGGAGCTAACCTCAAACACCACTATCTTGGCTTGGCAGGCCCTGGCAGCAACGACATCGCTGCGATCGACCTTTTTCAGTCTTTGATTTTGCAACTGTAGAGATAAGGACTCTGGGTATGGAGTGCGGAGAACGTGCCCAGTGCCGTGGGCATGGTAGAGATGTTGCAATGTTCATTGTTGTCGATACTGTTGTGTTCATGTTCTTACCAGTCACGAGGCTAGGTTTGATGACAGACTGTCTCCAGGATATCCGACGACATACCCCATGTCTTGGACGAGCTCCACTGCTGCCCTTCGCATACAAAACGGACGAAACGGAAACACTTTGAACACCTATTCCCCCAGATTGACCCAGAGGATCTCTGATAAGAGCCGCCACCATTTCCCAGACCAGCGGCTCTTGCACCTCCATGAATCCCGAAGCAATAGATATGCATAAATCGCTAGCGGATACTTTTCAACGACTGCTTTGCGTGGACGACCGCTTAGAGCTGCGGATCAGTAGCGCGTGGATGAGTAAAGTATCTCTATTCTTTGGCTCACATTGTTTTTAGTGGCTATGATGAGCCGTCTTTGGAGACATGCAAAGATAAGAGCCTCAACAGTGTTCAGGTGTTAGGTAGACACTCTGATAACACTTTGAGCTGCAACGTACATAAAGCAGCACAGAGATCGCTTCCTTGGTAAGGTCAGGTTTTTTTGTCAATACATTTGATAGTCTTTTCTGCCTTTCTCAGATCTCTACGCAAACCATGGCGATGGCTTACCCATACCATCAACCCTTGGAGGTTGTCCACAATGCATATACAGCTCAGCAGACCACGGAGATAGCATCGCGTATGGGAGCTGCAAAGGCCCGTATGCGTGTCGACAAGATCCTCACCAGCTCTTTTATGGCAGGAGCGATTCTCGCGTTTGCTTGTGCTGCAGTTTCGGTCGTCAACGTGGCTCCCTGGTATCAGGACAACGCTCCCGGAGTGATCAAGCTATTTGCCGCGCTCATCTTCCCTTTCGGTCTGGTTGCCATCATCTTGACCGGTGCAGATCTAGCTACAGGCAGTTTCATGGTAAGACCTCTTTTGACACCTTTTCCTCCATTGCTAGCAGATGATCTGACGTTTGTTTCCTACCTACAGTTTACCACAATGTCTACCCTCCACCGCCGCACCAGCATCCTCCAGATGCTCCAACACTGGGCTCTCACCTTCATCGGCAACCTCGCCGGCTCCCTCTTCGTCATGGCCCTCATCGCCGGCTACGGCGGCATCCTCTCCGACCCAGCCTACGCCTCCCAAACCATCAAGTTCGCCACGAAANAAGTCGTCGCACCACAATGGCATCAAATCTTCCTCCGCGGCATCGGCGCAAACTGGTTGGTGTGTCTAGCCTGCTTCCTCGCTTGCGGCGCCCGCGAAATGGTATCCAAAATCGTGGTGATCTGGTGGCCAACATTTGCGTTTGTGATACTGGGATTTGATCACGTAATTGCGAATATGTTTTATATTCCCATGGCGATATTCTTGGGGGCGCCGCAGATTAGTGTGGGCTTGTATATCTGGAAGAGTATGATTCCGGCTCTGCTGGGTAATATTGTGGGTGGAGGTTTGTTTGTTGGTGTGGTGTATTGGTATCTGTATTTGGCTGGGAATGCCGAGCCAGTCTTGATTGACGGGAACAGTTACGGGGGTCCGCCGATGTCGTTGTTTGGGGTCAATGCTGATGTTGAGGAGGCGCCAGCTCAGATATCTAGGACGGAGTCTGACAAGACGAGTATGGTTTGAGAACCGGCGTCCGAATTGAAGACGGATTTTAGGATAGTAATAATGATATACTGATGAGAATATTTGATCCATCGTTCTTGAACCACCAGACACTGAGGAATCACTGCCTACATTTAATTTGGTCAGAGCTGTTTAGTCGTAGCCATAAGAATGGAATCTGATGTGGCCTCTGTGATGGCGTGTGACTCCATAGACTCTCAATCGTTGCGCTCGTGCTGAGCCAANAATGGCTGGGCATCCTCGTTGTCGCTACCGAGTTCCCTAGCATCGTTATCATATCCCGTAGGCTTGCTCCTCAGACCAGCCATAGCCAGTGCATCAGCCCTACCCTTCTCGGTATCGATCATATAGATGAGAGGAATTGGCAGCGCGATCAATACAGCCAAGAATGCAAATGCAGGTCGAATTGTGCCAGCAACATCAACGATCCAACCTACAATGGCTGGACCGATGGCCGAGCTGCCTTTATCAGTCACAGCGTATAGAGCATAGAAAGCCGCTTCACTGCCTGGGGGAATGAGGAGACCGTAGAAGGATCGACAGTATGAGGATAGACCGCCCATAACAAAACCGTGTACAACACCCAGAGGGTAGATCTCCCAAGCTTGTTGCAGACCTCCGACGCCCCATGATTGGACAAAGGGAAGGTATCCGATCAGACCGTAGATGGGAATTATCTCCATGAGCAGGACACACCCTATAATGGTCTGCTGCGTATGCAGACGGAAACGGTGTGAGATGATTGGCCACGTGAAAGCTCCGGCGATACCAGAAGAGGTGGCTGTGATTGACAGGATGGCGATCTGTACGGTGCTCATCTTGAGTTCGGTCCTGGCGAAGAGGATGGCCGTACCTGATACAGTTGCGATAGAATCGGAGAGCAGGAACCACGCGATCAAGAAGATGACCGTTTGACGTAGCTTGACCGCTTGCTTGACAGTTTGCCAGACAGATGACCATGCGAAGACGAAGTATGCAAGGACTTGACCTACTTTGCCACGACGGGCATTGAGGCTCTTGAGCGGAGGTCCAGGGCGATCGCGAAGCCAGAGAGCACCGGGTATAGAACCAATAGCCCAGCACATACCCACAAAGAGCAAAATTATCCTAAGAGGAATAGATTGGGATGAGAAGTTGACCTTACCCAGACCAAAGAGCAGTCCGATGCTGCATATCTGTACAAGCATCGCAGCAATGTAGCCAAGTCCCACACCTTTGGCTGAGATCTTGTTGGATAGGGCCAGAGCTGGGGATGTTTGCTTGTTAGAGTGCTGTCCTCCAGGTGCTGGTGAATACGATCCATTGGGTTCGACCATGTCGACAGTTGCCGAAGGGGAACCCGCTTGTTGCTCTGCGGAAATAACAGATGGATGGTTGCTGGCCAAAAGCGGAAGGAAAGAGTTCAACAACACAAAAGAAGAGCCCAGCGATGCGACCCCTAAGATGACTAGGACGGGCGCTAAGAGGTATATGCTCGGAGAAACGACAATGAACAGCATGCTCGAGATGGACCCGATGCACCCAAATGCTAGCAGAAGCTTTTTGCGGTACGTTCCTCGTGCAAGTCAGCTATGTACGATTCGAGATGTTGCAGAATATAGCCTACCATGATCAGCGACAGAACTGAAGGATATGAGTACAATCGCTTGCACCAAGACAGCTATGGAGAAGGTGTACATGGCGAACGAAGCTGTCGAAATATCTTTTCCGAAAGGTTGGACTACACATTGACTTTCGTTCTTGTCGTTGGTAGCACGGCTAACAGCTCGCAAGAGTAGGTGTGAGGTTTCAGCTACAGCGGACTTCGGCTTCACACATGGAGTGACATGGTCGGACCTTAGCACACCTCGCTCTTTCGCAAGCTGCTCTAGGGTCACCGGAAGAAAAGATCCTGGAGGGTTGTTAGCAATGTCGACGCGTTGATAGATATGTACGCATTTACCAACACCAGCCACGGCGAAGATCTCAGCAGCCAGGCCATAAGAATACCATCCTTTCAGCTCGCGATCGCTGGTAGGTGTAGTGTCTTCATTCTCATACCGGCGAGGCCTGCCATACTCGTTGCTCTCACCATCTCTCTCCATATTTGGTCAGACCGAACAACATGCTGTTTTCGCGCTCGAAAAGAAAACATGACGCTGTTTCCTTGTCAGCATTGTTCGGGTGGGTCTTCCGATGCTTCCGATCCAAGGCCCACCAAAACGCGTCAGGAAGGGACGACTTCGTGCCATCGCTATGATGTTCTTTTCCTTCCGAGTCGAATATTGTTTTCACAACATTGCTTCGCAGGATTTTACAGTTGAGGTCGCTCGACCGCAAACTTGAAAGAGACAAACAGCGCCTGGTCATGTTGGCCTCGAATCTGCTAGCACAAGGTGAAGCCTGACCGATCATCCACACGCGCATCGATATTAGTGTCGCTTTTGTGGATGATAAGATTCAAATCAATCCAGCCTTGCGCAATATATTCCATCAATAGACAACCGTGCCTGGGGCTTTAGGCAGGCCATCCCAGCCTCGTCGGCTGAGACAACCACTCATGTGCTGCATCCATGTGGGGTGAAGGATGGACTACTAAAGCGCATTGTACAAGGCAGTGTCGAGCGCCACAGTCATTTTTCCAGACATCCAGCTGAGCTTCCCTGCTGACAACCGAATATGAAAGTATTTAATATGACCAAGCCTCAGTATTCGATGGGGTTACTACAATTTGCAGGATGAGCCATCATGGTTCCACAAAGCGCGATCGTTCTTCCAGGCGGGACGAAACTTCTGAAAGAATAGAACTATCGCGTTCGCACTCAGCAGGGCGAGGAGAAGAGGTGCATCTGGAATTTGGTCGTCCTCCAAATATCCGGCCTCCACCACAAATCTATGTCCAACCACCACTTGATCCAACCTACGTCCAGATACCGCCTCCTTTCGAACCCGGAAGAACGACTCATCATGAGGGAGCGACCAGATATCCTACAAGGGAGGATTATCATGGACCCCAAAGGCGACGACAGCGAACCGACAACTACGCAAACATCGAACGTGAGAGGGGTCATACTTACGCGATCCGTCCATCGCACGATGATAGTGGTCCGATGCCCAATATTTCTCAGAACTACAGACCATCACATTCGCGTCCCGAGGCATATGCAACCTTTACACAAATACCAGATCTGCAGTATACCACGCACTCAAAACCGCTTCGGACCGACTCCCATCGCCGCGAACGTATACACAGCAGACACGATGAACCAAAGATTCCTCACGGTGGGGGCGGAGGAGACGGCGGCGGCGGCGATATTCAAACATCAGCGGTCGAACAGGCGGAACCAGATGCACCTACACTGAACAAAATCATGATATGTGTGTACAGAAACAGTAAGCGGCAGTTCGTACAGAAAGAAGTTTGGATGTTGAAGCCAGACCACAAAAAGGACATCTTCCTGGAAACGTCTGAGCACCTTCGCAGAGATCCTGCTTTCCGCAAAGCCCTTCGCACAGATGCTGCTTTCTTCAAGGAGATCAAACAACGGTATAGGTATCAGTTGCGAGGAACTTTCAGACGATATTTCAGCTTCAAGACCGTGAGCACTGTAAGGGTTCTAGGGGTACGTTCTAATGCATATCTGCCACCGTCGCCTGACTGACAGCTACCACAGTATGGAAACAACATATTCGGGCTGGCGGATATCAACGAGAAAGTGTTTTCGCCAGTCTTCATGCGAGCATACAACAATCCCAGGCAATCTCTGATAGACCGCAGAGACAATCCAAGGGATCCGAGACTCGAATTCAATACCTGGGTTGGGTGGTTCTGGCTGAAACGTCGAGCATTTGTTCTGGACAAGAAAGTCGACTTGGCCATTGAGCTGGTGGAGGCTTACGATCCAAATCGCGTATTGGGTGGGATAGCCATTGCACTGACTATCTACCTCGCCCTGACCATCACATGGCTGGCTCTAGGTGGCGATCCGTCGTACGTTGCCGGAGTCATGTCGTTCGTTCTCTCCATTCTCGCAGGTTAGTAATATCCGTTTTACTCTACCTCGACAGGTTTATAGCATGGATGCACACAGTACTGACACACCGAATAGNTCCTGGTTGGCTTGACTGGCCTGTACGACTGGCTAGACCTAGGCCACATGGGTGGTGGCAAAGACTTCCTTGTTCTCGACGAGTACGAGCTTGACAACCTGGACAAGGACGGCTGGGGCGGTCCTCTCTGATAATCTCGACGAAGCTTGAGCTGATCGATGTCCAACTCCTTTTACAATACTTGGAAAGCTCTGAGTCCCAGATGTAGGCAAGGTATCCAATGACGCCGGTGAGGGCAACAATGTCGACGGTGGCAGCAACCAGATATCGACATTCAGCACTTCAATTTCGGAAACTTCTCGCTTCACTACCTCGAACTCACAAGCTCTGGCATACGCCATTCGAATCCGATGGCATAACAGCCTGCATAATTTATCCTCCGTCTTCCCATGCAACGACACTGGCATTACCTCAAAAAGCTCTTAGCTTATCAAGGTCGGCGAGCTTTTTGAGACTCACGTTGGGAACTACATGGTACATACTCTATCCAAGCCACTCCTTCTTACCCTCTTTTGGAGACGCTCACAGATAGCCAAGTCCGCACGATTTTGCTTCTTGAGCTCCGTTCACCAGAATTCATTGGAGTTGATAATTCCTAAGTCTTGCAACTTCAAGGCCGTCGCGTCTGCTTTTTACTCTCAAACAACGCATAGAGCAGTCGAGGCAAGGGACGGCAAAGACGTGTACCGCGTCTGTAACCATCGACTGTACAGTGGGGACTCTCACTCCGTCGCTTCCTGGTTGGATGAACTTTGTGCAACGTTATAAGGAATTTTAGAAGAAGACGGGATGAGATGGCGAGAAGTTATCGTTTGTTTGTCTATAAGTCATGCGACTGTTTTGCTAGCATCTGAACACTATCATAGGAAGAGCCTTATTGAGGTGTTGCCGTGATGTATAGTATTCTTTTGCAACAGATGGATGCAGTCTGAAGGCTTTGAGAGTCGCTGGAATTTCTTGACTAGCGGTGCAATGACCTAGAGATGTTCTTTGTTGATTGTGCATGTACAGCCTCAGTCATTTATTAGGAAGTATAATGTCATCTCGAAACATGTTTTAACAACCGTCCTATTGCAACGCCGCATAGTATTCTTACGGTAGGAATCATGTCCAAAGAGAGCAGGTTGCTTAGTAGGTTCCGGTGGACATATCCAGCGATTGCAAGTATGCTGTGCCTGTTTAAAGTCATTCGATCAGAAGCCACAAGGAAGGATATAAGCATAAAGGGAAGCTGTATTGCTGATCTATCGTGTACTAAGAGGTATTATGGTAGAGGAAGGCGGCATATATATAACGTGACACAAAGAGGAAAAGACAAGACCCAAAACTCCATCATAATCGTCCGACACATACTCAGAACAACTTGTGCTCAAGTGTCATGTCGTTCTCAGGCTCAAGGCCAACGCAAGCACGGAAGATGTTGACCAAAGCATTTCTCTGCTTGCTCAAAGCATTGACGACAGGAGTACCAGGAGGAGTGAGAGGGGCCTTGAGCATGTAACTCAATACACTTAAAACAGAGTGGAAGCCCTTGAACTCTGCATCGTCAACGCCATTTTCTCTCCATTGAACTCTGGTCATGAGCTCAGCGATCAAGACCAAGTCGATGATCAGCGGCGAGGCCAAGAGCGAGTCTTCACAAATGTTGAACATGTTGATGGTTTGGTGACCTCCCATGAAGATCTCAGCGTAGTACTCGTCCAGAGCTCTCTTATTGTCTCCAACGCTGGGCATATACTTGATGACGACGGTGTGATCGGGGTGTTCATCCTCCTCGTACAGAATGTGGTTAGCAGCAACCATGTCATCCACGACATTGGACTTTGAAATCTCCTTTGACCTGAATTGAGAAGGTGCGGAAAGATTTCTGCCATCGTTGTTTCCGAGATGGTTGTAAGAAGCTAAGGACTTGACTTTGATGCCTGCATTGATGAGGAAGTCGACCAGGGCGGACTTCATCTTGGTCTGTCCGGACTTGAAGTCGTCACCGCCGATGAAGGCAGAGTGCTTCTCGGCCAAGGCAATGACACCGGGAACGAAGGTGTTTTGGGGCGAGCCGTTGATGAAGGGTGCGTTCTCTAGGATACAAGCGGTTGCGAAGATGGTGGAGGGAGCAATCTCGGGGTGGCCTGAAGCGATGGACTGGAGGAGATTGTCTGCTGTGTCGTTGACACCGGGGAGGATGTCGGCGTAGCGTTCTGTGTTGGCAGTCCATTGGACGATGATCTTGTCGAGGTTATGCTTGGACTTGAACTCGCTGGTATCTGATCAGCGTTGTTGACAGGCTTATGGAAGAGTAGTGCCTTACCGAATGTCTGCTCTGATCTTCTCAAGGTGCTCAGTGCATGCCTTGGAGCCCTCAAGGATGTTGTCTGCTCTTGACTCTTGGTTGGCAGCAATGAAGTCGGGGTAGTAGATACTGGGGAGGGGAACCATCTGTGCCATTTCCTTGCGAACCATTTGCTTCAATGTGGGCTCAAGGACTCCAGCTCGGTCCATGGACTCGGCGATGTTCATGCCGCTGATATCCCAACCACCGATGACGAGCTCATTGGGATCGACCATGGGCAGAAGCTCGTTGAAGGGAACATATATCTCCTTCCCAGTGTCCGAGTCGGTGCCGAGCTTGACTGTTGACGACATGACCATAGAGCCGTAGTAGTTTGCTGACTGCTTGCCCTCACGGGTGTCCCACGAGAGACCTTGACGGTTGGCAATGATACCAGCAGTCACGGTAGATCCGTTGTTACCTGGATGTGATGAGCGAATGTTCGATCTAAATCCAACGTCATGATATACATACCTCCCNCAACCGACAAGCATCATGCCGACTCTGCCGACTTTGCGTTCGACCTTGAAGTCATACACGGTCTCCTTGGGTGTAGCAACATAGCCACCGTTGGATGACTTGGTCACCTTGGTCTGACGGTAGACATACTTGCTGAGGATCGCATCATCAGAGTATGTGACATTGGGAGAGTGGACGGTGAAGAGNGGAGCCTGAGCACTGCTCGAGGTGGTGCGCTCGGTCTCGTTGAGGTAAGGAACCATGGTGTTAGAAGCAGGAAGGAACAAAGATGAGGTGTATGAAGGGGTAGAGACACGAGACTGAATAAGTCCACTTTGTTCTATTCACTGGGGAATGTGGTTGTATGGACAAGAAAAAGAAAGAAAAGCCCATGAAAGTCGAGTTTAAATACGTCCATTGCGGAACAATGTAGTGACCGCAACGGAGAGGGAAGTTGCGGCCAAGGTGTTCGCATTATTGTTTGACCCCAGATGGACCAAGATGGAGGAAGTCACGGATCATCTTGGATAGTCCGGGGTCGATATGGTGGAGAGCGGAGGTCACGGAGGCATGGTTTCGCCGTACGGAACAAACACCTAGCCACGAGCGGTGAGAGGGAAGCTTGTCTGTATGTGGCGTACGATCATGTACGACATGTGGCTGTTCTTCGCAGATTGCTGAGGTTTGATAATAAGACCTCAAGAGCCTATTGATGCGTTCGCCAGAAGGAGAAGGCTCAAGTAAGACGTTGCTCTCAGGTAAGAGCTGGGGTCAGTCAACACACCAGTCAACACGCCCATCCTGCCTGAGGCCCAAGAAATTGTCAAGACTCGGCCGAGTAAACAAAGGTCCCCTGTTGCATCGGATACAAACGATTATTCGGATCGGCTTGTGAGCGGCGCAGACTGGAAGAGACAGGGAGAGGTGAGACGAATCGACAAAGTCAAATCATGAAAATGACGAAGGGCTTCAACTCCTGGATTTACAACTACAATGGTAAGGCGTGGTCCCAAGCTCTAACCTGTTGAGAAACCCCTTAGCAACAATGCGAGCACGTTGTCTGTTATGGTTAAATGAAGTTCACACGGTCAGACAAGTCGTTGTCACCATCTACGCCTGTGGCTGCAGTGAAAGAAGGTCTGTCGAAGAAAGGCAAAGTTTGGGAGCGGCAGGTGTGGGACCTGTCGATCTCTTGCTGTCACTCGTCGCCAAGGATTGCGAGATAGCGGTAGAAGGCTGCATCTGATACAAGCGGTCGCCAATTGACAGAGGACTGGCAAATTCGCGATGGTACTGCTCATGCTGGGCTATTTTGCTGCAGAGCGTGAGTCGGCAATTTGGACAAGACTGCCTAGAAGAGAAACATGTGATTGTCTCGGTCGAGGTGCAGCCAATCGGTATGCGGGACCCTGGGGTGCTTTGACCAAGACGAGAGTGCTCATCTCCTTTAATTAGTGAACCGACCGCCGAAAGAGAGCGACTAGAGTCGAGCGAGCGGGTGCTGCAAATTGTCTTCACGAGCGTCTGTGGAGTCTGGCGAGCGACATGATGATGGCCACCGATGATGGTCTTGGTTGGGGGAGGATCTGGGCATGTGGAAAGACAGTCGCAATTGCACTAACTCCTGGGCATCTGCTTGCACTTTGTCTTCCTCTTCTCTTCCTCCCTGTTGCGATTTCCATCTTTTCGTCTTCATCACTGTCTTTTACTGTTACTACTGCTCTTAATATTCGAGCATCCATTCGTTTAGTGTTTTATCCGCTCGCCGCTTCGAGGCAATTAATTACAACTGCGTGCCTTCGAGACCTCTGCAGCCCCTGGCGTCTGCTGCATTGTTTTCTCGTGCTGTTGATGCTACCACAAAACTGTCAACGGTCCGGATCAGGAACTTGCTTCCATACAACAAACAAAGTCTCTCCTTGAACCGGTTCGGCAATCGTAGGATTGACCCCAAAGGAGATCGACTCTTATCGCATCCTTATCCACACAACTGTCGGCTCTGTTTATTCTTCCTGAGGTCGAGGAAGCGACACCTAGAACTATTTCTCAAACCCAGACTCGACCATCGCCGTCGCCAGCAGCTCAGCAGCTATGGAGACCGAGCGACCATTGAGCATCTTGCCGTCGATCAAATGCTCCGACTGTGGTGCAGAGATCCAGATCTCTGCTATGGGAGAGCACGTGTGCACATCACAGCAGAAGGAGGATGAATCGTCGCAGAAGCCCAAGTCACCAGTCGCATCGCCAGTCGCATCGCCAGTCGNNCATCGCCAGTCACATCACCCTCGGTAGAGAAGCAACCGAGTCCTTTACCGTCCATGGAGCAGAGCTTGAGCAGGCCCCCGTCGAGACCAAACAGAAGTCCCCNTCCCTCGCATTGATCCTTCAGTTGCAAGTGAGTATCGCAAAGCATGGCTGGTGGAAGAAAGATGGTTGACAGGACGTANNGACAAGCCGTACTTTGCGAGACAAGAATTACTCTCGCCAGAAGGCTCCAGCGGCTCGGGACATCGTACTCCTCGAACACCACACACGGGCAGACCTGGACGCTCTCCCGCGATGCGTAGCGCGACCAGCCCCAGTCCGAGACTGCCACGAGAGCCGTCGCAAGAGCTGACCGGAAACATGGACTGTGCTTTCCCACCCTTTCCCACGACGAGATCCAAGTCAGCAGCGAGAGTCAAGAGCCCGGCACCTGATGCATACTACGCACCTCGAAGCCCCATGGGCACTGGTGGTGCCAATGTCGTACGTAAGCTGGACACGATTGCTCCGGGACCTTTCAATGCGCCGGCACGCGGCGCATCGCGATCGCCTTCTGCGAATGCGAGTGCTCGTGCACCTCCAGCCATCACTATAGACCAACCTCCGGTCGAGAGGGCAGCTTCGCCTGTCTTCAGATCCGCTTCGCCTGTCAGCTATGAGAGACCTGCCTCTCCTCCCCAGGCCCCTGCTTCGCCTACCTTATCTACGGTCTCGACGGCTTCGACATCTCCTGGTGGGACCAACCGTGAAGGCCGCCCCATCCCTCAGCGTCCTGTCAGACCAGAGCCGCTGGATGGCTTCCTTGCTATGCTCAAGAGTGAATCCGAGGCTGCCGGTCAACAGCTGTCCAACATGACCATCCGCTCAAACACTTTCCCGCTTCCTCCGTCCAGGCCAAAGTCTCCTGAACCGGGCTCTGTCATCAGAAGTCCTTCAGCGCCGCCTAACAGGCAACGACGACNNCCACCATCTCTGCCCCTTCGCAAAGCGCCCCTAGTGAATCTCTTCCCACCATCTCCACTACCGCCCCTGCATTGCCACCGCTTCCCACTACCTCGACCGCCATGGCTCCGGCACTTCCCCCGCTTCCTTCGGCAGCCGACGTGCAAAAGCATGCCCACCCCATCGTACACGCTCCTTCGGATTCAGCATCTTCAGCTTCATCGACAAGAAGCTTCAAGTCAGATATCAGTCCCCCTGTCTCAGCCGCATCGAGTGTCTCAATGCTCTCGTCTGCTCTTGGCGACCTTACTGATCCCTCTCTTGTTGTTGCCAGCCTGCAAATCAAGAGCAAGCAGANCCAGCCGCTTGAGCCCAGAAGATGCTTTCAAGCCTAGCTTTGTCGCTGCTGAGCAACAGCAGTCACCAGTGTCGATCGACGAGAGGCTCGACAGCCCGACTGAAAAGATGGACCACTTCCCACTCAACNCCCCTCGTGCATCTGCCGACTTCCCAGAATCACCTGTAGTGCCTGGATTCCTCCCTAAGCGCCCTCAAAGTCCCATGTCGGCAACATCTACACCCATGACATCGCCTCCTACCGAGCACGGCTTCTCTTCCAGACCGACATCTTCGAAGCGACCTGGTACCTCGTCCAAGCACATCTGCAGAGGCTGCAGCGAGCCTATCCAAGGCAAGTCCGTCAAGGCTGCGGATGGCCGTCTGACCGGTCGCTACCACAAGCACTGCTTTGTCTGCAAGACCTGCAAATCAGCCTTTGCGACTGCCGACTTCTATGTCATTGACAACAACCCATACTGTGAGCACCATTACCATGAGCTCAACAACTCTCTATGTGCCCATTGCGACCGTGGTATCGAAGGACCTTACCTCGAGACCCAGCAAGCACAGAAATTCCACCCTAGCTGTTTCACCTGCATTGACTGCCACAAGCCACTCAGTGACGACTACTTCGAGATCGCTGGCAAGGTCTATTGTGAGCAGCACGCCTTCGCGTCCGCCCACCGTCAAGAAGGACTTGGGCCCAAGAGAAATATGGAGAGAAGAACGACTCGCTTCATGGTCATGTAAGCATGATCAAAGCTCTCCTACCTGCAACGATCTCCGACTTCTGCCAAGTTGCGGACGACTGAACGCGACCATGCTGCCATGCACATCTCTTTTCCATCTTTGTAAGCATATACAGATCACAGACCGACCGAAAGTTTCTCTTCAATCTGGATGTGTTCATTTGTTCGCTACCATTCTTCCATTCGCTTTGAAAATACTTGTTTATCTCGGAGATACCCACAACATTATTGTATATACCTTCTGCATGCCAGCTGTAGCTGTAGAACAGCTCGTACGGCACAAAACTTATCTATTCTACTCACCTACAACCAATTCGACGTTCTTACTCGTTTTCTGTGAATTCTGTTCGAGGGATTCTGATATCCAGGTCTCGACTTTCCCACGATTGACTTCGACCCGGGCCCATAGCTTAACATTGCCCTAGCAGCTGGCTAGCGCCAGCGGATTGGCGGCATGATCCGATGCAGTGGTAGTCTTGACCCTGGGAGTATCACCATTCATGCAATGCCCCCACAGGAGCATAGTCATGCATACAAGAAGGGTCTCACTCTCTCTCTTCATTGCCATGTAAGCAGACAGTTCAACGACAATTGTGCAAAAAGACGAGTTCCTGGTCCGTGGAAAAAGCTCGAAGCTTTCAAGATTGCAGTGCAATTTGCCGGGCCGCTCGAGCAAGAGTCATGTTTAACGCAAGCGAGGATCCCTCTTTTGATTCGGCCAAGAGGGAAAAGCACGGGTGGTGGCTGGTTGTCTCTAGTGGTTAAGTATTTCACCGGTGGCTGGGCGACCGTTTTTCCTGTGAAGGGAAGTGCCTCACGTGGAAATGGTGGAGCGAAAGAGCAGTCAAGGCCAGTGACATGTATGAGCAATGGCAGAGGAGCACAACAGCCAAGCGATTGGACCATGTAAACAGTGGCATTGATGTTTTAGGCGCACGAAAGGCGTCAAGTAGAGTGGTGTTGCAAAAGGTGAAGGTCTCAGAAGTAGGGACGACGATCGAAAGAGGCCTTGCGATTGATGGCGTGTGTGAGGAATATCTATGTTTAGGTAGGCAAGGCTTCAGAGACAGTCACAACCACGGTCGAATGTCTGCCAACTCGAGGGCCTGACAGACCAGCAACACCAACACGACAATGATTGACTTCCCACAATCAAGAGACGATGCATCTTTCGGCGTTTCATGCTGTGCGATGGCTTCTTCTTTGTCAAGGACCTTCTTCTAGAAGATTTGAGTCTTCGGCAGAGCCAGGTCGAGTTAGGGCCTCAGCCTTAAGTTAGGAAGGTGTTAGCGTGTGGAGGTAGGTTGAAGCCTGTGCGCTTGCTATTAAATTGCACCTGCTGGGGTGGTCTGAGTGTCTGAGCAAATCTGCCAGCTTTGAACAGGCAGATGGCTGGCAGGGCAGAGACATGCGAGGTGTGCGAGAGGAGTCGTTGACAGAGACGTGGCAGTGGGATGTGCGGTGGAACAGAGGGCAGCAAGACATACGGGCTGCCGGGCGTAGCAGACAGATGCTCAATTGATTGTTGTCGAGATTGCTTTGCGATCAGCGTTTGAGTGCGCGAGTCAACCTGGCTCTTTTGCGTGGGTTTCGGGCGAAACGTCTTCCGCGGCCTGTGTCGGCAGCCAGCCCCTTTTGATTTATCGCTGGTCGCTGGCGGCGCTGTTGAAGTTGACTCGTTTGGCCTTGCCAGCTCTGCAAACACCAGTCTCTCGTCTCTAGGCTTGTCGCACTGCAGATTGCTCCTTGCCTCTCTTGTCTCTTATTCTTCGAGCCAGTGAAAAGCGCTGAAAAATTGCACACCAAAGACGTTTCTACGTTTCTGCGTTTCTGCACTTTTCAATCGACGTCGGGCCCTGCTGCACCACCGTTGGCCCTTTCCACATTCGCCGTCAATTAGCCTGTCAACGAGCGACGGTCAATCTATCGAATCCGACATCTGACCCATCGTCCTCTAATTCCACATACACGTCCAATTCCTTGCTCCTCGACCAGATCAAGAGCTCGCAAAACTCTACGGCTCTGCGCAGCTTCACTCTCCTTGTCAGACTCGCCCCGCTGTCGCACCTCCAGGTCGGTACCCACTCACAGCCATTCTTCCCTTGCCTGCACCACCCTCTCTATTTTCGTCACCTTGATCTGCCGACTCGCCCATCTGCGTCGAGCAATCGCTCTTGTATCCTGCAGGAAGCGCCCTGGTTCGAATCCCAGCCGCAGATTGCCAAAGCTTCATCACGACCGACGCACTGCTTCATTCGCCATTCGCGCTGTCGTCGTTGTTTGTCCGTCTCGGCTCTCACTCTTCTGTCGGCTTTCGTCGCGTCTTCTTTCCCCTTCTCCGTTCACTGCATCAAAGACTTGACCAGCCTCATGTACCACTGACGACCTTGTTGGTGCGACGCATGCTGACAAGCCTCACAGCACATCCTGTAATCGCCTCTACGCGTTTCTCCTATTACACCCCGGCAAGCGCCATCTCTCGAACACCGTTACCGACCGAACAACACAGCCGCCGCAAAGATGGGTTGTGGTATGAGCACCGAAGATAAGGAGGGCAAGCAGAGGAACGAGGAGATTGAGAACCAATTGAAGAAGGATCGCATGATGCAGAGAAATGAGATCAAGATGCTCTTGCTCGGTTCGTTGTCGCCTGCCTCAGTCGGCAGACAGAACTCTCGCTGACACAACAATCGCANNGGTGCCGGTGAATCTGGAAAGTCGACCATTCTCAAACAGATGAAGCTTATCCATGAGGGTGGCTATTCTCGCGACGAGAGAGAGTCCTTCAAAGAGATCATCTTCAGTAACACTGTGCAATCCATGCGCGTCATCCTCGAAGCTATGGAGTCGCTGGAGCTTCCCNTCGACGACCAGAGAGCCGAGTACCACGTCCAGACCATTTTCATGCAACCTGCACAAATTGAAGGCGACAACCTTCCCCCAGAGGTCGGCAACGCCATCTCGGTCCTCTGGAAGGATCCTGGTGTCCAAGCCTGCTTCCAGCGCTCAAGAGAGTACCAGCTCAACGACTCTGCCAAANTAGTATGTTGTCGCGTCTGGCTGCGCATGTCGTTCCATCTTACTAACCATCGTCACAGCTACTTCGACTCGATAGACCGCATTGCCCAGCCCGACTACATTCCCAACGACCAAGATGTTCTCCGCTCCCGTGTCAAGACAACCGGTATTACCGAGACCACCTTCATCATTGGCGACCTCACCTACCGCATGTTCGACGTCGGTGGTCAGCGTTCCGAACGTAAGAAGTGGATCCACTGCTTCGAGAACGTTACCACTATTTTGTTCCTTGTCGCCATCTCAGAATACGACCAATTGCTTTTCGAAGATGAGACTGTCAACCGTATGCAAGAAGCCTTGACTCTGTTCGACAGCATTTGCAACTCAAGGTGGTTCGTCAAGACATCGATCATTCTTTTCCTCAACAAGATCGATAGATTCAAGGAGAAGCTGCCCGTCAGCCCCATGAAGAACTACTTCCCCGACTACGAGGGCGGTGCCGACTACGCCGCTGCTTGTGACTACATCTTGAATCGCTTCGTCAGCTTGAACCAGCACGAGACCAAGCAGATTTACACACATTTCACCTGCGCCACTGACACTATGCAAATTAGATTCGTCATGGCTGCTGTCAACGGTAAGCTTTTAATATTGCTTGTTTACTATGAGCACTTTGCTGACAATGTCTCCANNGATATCATCATCCAAGAAAACCTCAGATTGGCCGGTCTCATCTAAGCGCAAAGAGACACGGATGAAAAGAAAAGATGCATTTGTTTCTTCGTTTATTCCCCTCTCTGGCCAGAGTTTAAGAATCAACAGTCTTAACTCGATGTTTCCGGATCTCTCTTCGGTATCCTGGTCATTCGCATTTCGCATTTGAGAAATTCAAAACAGTCACCCGTCTCCATTTTCCTGGGCACGCGTTGTTCCTTACGGCTGCCGACACATACAACAACACTCTCACCACAAAAACGTCGGTTCTCTAAGGGCCTCTGGATCGATCTAATCTCGAAAACGAAAAATTGATGGGTCGGTTTTCTTTACAGCTGGGAGAACAACAGTAGGGCGGTCTGCTTCTGATATCTTCCTGCTCCGCGTACATGTTTCTCACAATCCTCTGTGGGAAATAGCTTTCTCTTTCTTTGAATCTTCTGGGCAAAGCGGCGTCCTAGATACAAGGGACGTTCAAGAAAGGGTTTGGGAGGCCATTTTCTCTTTTTCCTTCTCTGTTCTCACCCCTGGCTTCCCAAGCCTCTTCTTTCCTCTCGAAGTTCTCACTTCTTTTTTTCTTTCAACTCATTGCATGATTCCCTTGTGTTCGCCGCCTGTCTACTCATTAGTATATATAATTTTGAACCTCTTTTCCTTTTCAAAAGAAAACATATCCAGTGCCACACTCCAAGTCCATGTTCACGTGATCTTGGATTACATGAAGAAGCCTCAACCCACTTTTTGGCATGTCAGGATTGTCGACTCGAAAGTGTGAAAGCGTTCGGATATAAGGTGCCTAGGATTCTTGTATTGCCAGCACAGCCTGTCTTGCTTGCCACATTGACAGCTGAGGGCAAAGCAAAACCCGGTTGCATCTTGGGGTCTGCATTAACAAGGTCGTCCATCAGCCCTCTTTGCATGACATATGACATTCTCCACAGTTCTTGAAAGGTGCACATTTGAAGGAGATGTCGCCGCCGCACACATTCGACACGCAGCAAAGACGGGTGTGAGCGAACGTGAATTTACCGGGTCTGCATGCCGCTGCCATGGAGAACATCGAGGACAAAAATCACAAAAGGATCCACAGGTTAGCAACGGCGTGTTCTGCGGTGACGTAGGAGACTTTTGCCCGCCTCTCTTTTTTTGGGGTCCCCGGGTTGGTCTCCTTTAGATCTGATCATCAGGGAATTTGCGGTCATCTTGGTTGTACCTCTTTTTTCCGATAGTTGATCTTTTCACGGGCAGAATTGTCTGTAGGAGAAAAGGCATTTGCTAGAATCTCGAGAGGAGAGAGACGTACGGCCGAGTTGGTGGCAAGAAAGGTGACTTGCCTCTTCTCTGTCTTTACTTTGCGACACTCTGAGGACAGACAAAGGCGGTGGAGAAACAATTGGATCTCGATCACCGAAACTTCAGCTTGAACGGGGCCACCTCCATGCAAGAATTTAGGCTCTGGTTTCCTCGGAAGCCCGCCGCGTTTTCGTTGCTCTTTTGTTGCCATCAAGTGATTTGGGTTTTGCTGCCGTCAAGCGAGAAGAGAGCTCAACGTAAATCCTGCCCTCCCTCTTTGCGGCTCTGGACGCCCTTTGACCTTTGAGCCTTTCACCTTGCGGTTATGTTGCCACCGACGTAGGTGCAGAGAGATGGGTTGTCTTGACCGCTAAGGATGGCTACGGGTTGCGTCTTATCTGCTATGTAACCAATCAGTGGCTCTGTTGCTAGCATAGCATGGCCGAGCCCGTTACCATAGGCTTTTTTGAGCCGCATCTCTACCTCTGTGTTTAGCTGAGAGACTCAACCACGCAGACCAGTTCTCAACCCAACCCGCTTTATGGTCCGCACCCCATGGGTGAGATGCGGTAACGTGTGTCTAGTCTCGATTCGGAGCAGCCGTCCTATTGTTCGCCCTTCGCTACCGATTGGAGATCGATGATTTGTATAAGAGTAGTGATCTTCCCTCTGCCCCTCTTGGTTTGTTGACGTTGTGCTCTCCGAAAGGTCCAATTTTTCTTTGACATCGTGGTCCACATTTCTTCACTTCGGGGTTTATCAGAGCAGTCTTGCTGCCTCTCCATCACTCACCTTCCTCCCAAAAAGATGTCTGCTCCTTCTGCTTCCCTTCGGGCCCCTCGCCCCACCATGCCTGCCAGCACTCCTAGCACCGCCGCTCTCAACACCAAACGCAAGATTGTCTGCTTCTCGGGTAGGTTGTCTTCTATACCGTTGGGGAAGAGCATTGCTGACCCGATTGCCCTTNCAGACTTCGATGGCACAATCTTCATGCAGGACACAGGTCACATCCTGTTCAACGCCTTTGGCTGCGGTACCGAACAACGCGAGATCCTCGACCAGCAGATCAAGTCTGGAGAGCGTTCTTTCCGCGACGTCTCTGAGGAGATGTGGGGATCATTGAACGTTCCCTTTGCCGACGGCTTCGAGGCCATGAAGGACGGTCTGGACATCGACCCCGAGTTCAAAAACTTCCACGAGTTCTGCTTGAACAACAAGATTCCTTTCAACGTCATCTCTGCCGGGTTGAAGCCTGTTCTTCGCAGTGTTCTTGACCATTTCTTGGGAGAAGAGGCTGCTGCTAACATCGATATCGTCGCCAATGAGGCTGATATCTCGGAAGACGGTAGTTCGTGGAAGGTTAAGTGGCGCCACGACAACGAGCTCGGCCACGACAAGGAGGCCTCCATCAACGAGTACAAGGAAGCCGCACAACTGGAGTCCGAAGACGGCACTATCCCCATGATCATCTTCATTGGCGACGGTGTCTCTGACCTGCCCGCCGCCCGCCACTCCGACGTCCTCTTCGCTCGCCGCGGCCTCCGTCTCGAGGAATACTGCATCGAGAACAAGATTGCCTACATCCCCTTCGACACCTTTGCCGATATCCAGAAGGAGGTCATCAAGATTGCCGAGATCGACGACAAGAAGACAAAGGGCAAAGGCTTGCCCATCAACTTCAACCCTCGCGCAAACATGTGGCGCCGTGTCAGCTCCAAGAAGGCCATCCCTACCTTTGCTGCCATGACACCGCGCGACGAGCGTATGTTCATCTGGCCCGAGACTTTCTCTGAGGTCAAGGCCACCGAGGTTAAGGCTTAGATGTGATGATGTCTGGTTCGAGGCTTTAGCCTCTGCTTTTACGATTCTTTTGCTGCGATGAAATATTTGCATTGTCATGGATGAGAGCTGTTCAAGCATCTCTTGGGATAATATTCTTTGTTTGGTGCCCTTAGGTACTACTCTGGCAGGAACGGCGTTTTTTTCTTCTCTTTTATATCATGGACGACGATTTTAGGATACTTTTATTATATATGCATACATACACACATCAGAATCATCCACTATCAAGTCCATCAGTGCGTTTGTAAAAGCCTGCTATAGTCCAATTGTGCAGCTGTTGTTCAAACTTGTGCAACCAGCTGACTTATGCAGTCGTGTAGAGTTTCAGCCTTTCCAAGACAGCCGAGGCGGAGGGCGCGGAAGCAGACAGACTTCAGGGCCAGGCCACGACAGCAACGAGGGGCAGTGGTTCGCGTGCCTGTACTCTTCCATTGTAGACATCAATAGCAACACTGGCAACAGGCAGTACAACAAAGAACTCGAAGCTGTTGCAGGTCAGAAAGAATCGAGTGGAGCTCGACGACATTGGTTGTCACCTAATTCCTACTCGATGCTCGGCAGGGGAGCTCGAAACATGTCGTCGATGTTGAATTAATCTCGCAAGTCGCAACACACGGCCGCCTTTCCCCGCAGCTGCTCGCATCCAACGCTCGTATTTATAGAGAGCAAGCTAAACGGGCATTTCATCATCTCCACTCTGTCACAAAGGACGTTGTTGCTGACCACTGCAACTTCTCCTTTGCCTGCCCAAACTCCATCATTGCCACGTGCAGACGCTGCGCTGGCCGCAACATAGTCCACACATTACTCCGTCACAATGCCTCGACCTCGACTATCACCGCATCTGTCGCTACATCGCTTCAAGAGCACCACCTCGGTCAAGTCGACGACTGACAGCCAGACCAACAGTAGGAATGTGAGCCCCAGGAGGAAGGGTGAAGAGCAAGGTGACCACAAGGGGCTCAACCTGGTCCTAAGAGTCCAAGTGCTCGAGGTATGCATGGCGACTTAATCCCACCCCTGATCAAGCCGAGCTGACCCGCCATAACCAGNNGGCCGAAACCTCGCTCCCAAAGACAAGAATGGCACCAGCGATCCCGTAAGCAGCTACACCGTCCCCGTCTTCGCAGGACTCGCCACTGACTGCCACTGCAGTNACCTAGTCATCACCTTGGGAGACGCGCGCGAGGCCACGTCCGTAATCGACAAAACATTGAACCCAAAATGGAACCAGACCTTCGATCTCCCCATCTCGGGCGTCTCGAGTTTGCTGCTCGAGGCTGTGTGCTGGGATAAGGACCGCTTTAGCAAAGACTACATGGGCGAGTTCGATGTTGCTCTCGAGGATATCTTTGCAAATGGACAGACCATCCAGGAGGCAGGTGCTGTCTCAAACTCGGCTCTCGCAAGCCCAGCTAACACCCTACACAGCNCCAAGTGGTACAAGCTCGAATCTAGAAAGTCGGGCCGCAAGAAGAGCCATGCTTCTGGCGAAGTCCTCTTGAAGGTCTCCGTGTTCGATACCATCAACCCCAACGCCACTGCCCAGCAGACCCTCCAGAAGTTCTACGGTGTTGTCGCCCTTGAAGATCCCGCCGAGGGAGACGAGGATCTCGACGAGCTTGCCCGAGCAGGAGAATCCGCCGACGATGACGAAGACGACGATGAAGATGATTCCGGCAACAGCCCCGAGCAATCAGAAAAGAGGAAGAAGAGACACAGACTTGCCCGCTTGAAGCGCAAGACCAAGTTGAAGGCCTACGAATTCAATGGTATGAGTGCCGTTGCTGGTGTTCTCTTTGTCGAGATTCAGAAGGTGACAGACCTGCCTCCTGAACGCAACATGACACGAACTTCCTTCGACATGGATCCTTTCGTTGTCAGCTCTTTGGGCAAGAAGACGTACAGAACTCGCGTCATCAGGCACAACCTCAATCCAGTCTTTGAGGAGAAGCTCGTCTTTCAGGTCTTGCGACACGAGGTCAACTACATGCTTAATCTCACTGTCATCGACAGAGACAAGCTTTCTGGAAACGATTTCGTTGGTGCTGCCACATTCTCTCTTGAAAGAGCTAGAGCTGTTCAACCAGAGGCAGACCCGGAAACTGGTCTTTACCACTGCCCTGACACACCGGACGCTGGGGCCACGCCTGGCTCTGAATATAGGCGTTCACGCTTCCGCTTGAACTCCTCGCGATCGCAGTCAAGCCAGACACTTAGTAGGTCGTCTCGCAATGCCTCGGCCAAGGACCTCCACCGGCTCTCTAGGACGTCTTCGAATACTAGCGTGAACCACAGACCTTCATTACGGAAGGAGGACTCGGGTGACTCTCTCAACGCTGTCGACTCGCGAGAAGATTTGCCATCGCCAATGACCAGCAATCCATACATGACCGACGCTTCTGGTATTCCTCAGGTGAATGTGGACCATGATGGTGTCGAAGACCCGGACCTCAAACACTACGCCATCCCTTTGCAGCTGAAGAACAAGGATAGATGGGAAGACAAGCACAACCCTATCGTTCACATCAAAGTCAAATACCTGCCATACCAAGCCCTTCGTCAACAGTTCTGGCGTGCTATGTTGAAGCACTATGATGCAGACGACACTGGAAATCTTGACAAGGTTGAGATTACCACCATGCTTGATACTCTTGGTTCTACTCTGCATGAGAACACTATCAATTCTTGGTTCAAACGCTTTGCTGCTGAGAATGATGGAGAAGAAGTCTTGACCATGGATCAGGCAGTAATTTGTCTTGAGGATCAGCTTACCAAATATCAGCAGAAGAAGGCAACTCTTACGGATACTATCCAGNGGAAGCTTAATATCTCGGCGACAAAAACTTCGAAGCTAACATCCGCTGACGGATCAAAATCCTCTGACAGCCTTGTACAATCTGAAGACAGCTCAAGCCAAGGAACACCTCTGAACAATCGCTCACAAACCTCAGTGATCCCGGCACTCGAAGTTCAGGACCTATCAGCCGACGGGGAGGAAGGAGGTGCTCTGCCGGACGACGATCTTGCGGACGAGGAGAAGGGTGAGGAGCATGTCGTGGAAATCAAGGAGTGCCCCATCTGCCATCAACCTCGTCTGGACAAGAAGAACACCGAAGCCGATATTATTACGCATGTGGCCACTTGTGCCTCACAAGACTGGCGTGCTGTCAATAATATTGTCATGGGCGGTTTCGTAACCAGCAGCCAAGCACAGAGAAAGTGGTACAGCAAGGTCATCACCAAGATTGGTTATGGTGGCTACAAGATTGGAGCCAACAGTGCTAATATCCTCGTTCAAGACCGTATCACTGGACAGATCAACGAGGAGAGGATGAGCGTGTACGTTAGACTGGGTATTCGACTGCTCTACAAGGGTCTCAAGAGCAGAGATATGGAGAAGAAGAGGATCCGCAAGCTTCTCCGATCTCTATCGTTCAAGCAGGGCCGCAAGTACGATGATCCTGCTTCGGCATCACAAATCCTTGGCTTCGTCAACTTCCACCAGTTGGATATGTCCGAGGTTCTTTTGAAAACATCAGAGTTCAAGAGTTTCAACGAATTCTTCTACCGCAAGCTGAAACCAGATGCTAGACCTTGCTCGGCCGCAGACAGACCGGAAATCGTTGTTTCGCCAGCAGACTGCCGGACAGTCGTGTTCAACCAAATCAGCGAAGCTCAACGCGTATGGGTCAAGGGACGAGAGTTCTCAGTGGAACGACTCTTGGGCAACGCATATCCCGAAGACGCCAAAAGATATGTTGGCGGTGCAATGGGTATCTTCCGTCTGGCACCACAAGACTACCATCGTTTCCACATTCCAGTGGATGGTACAATGCTCGAGCCCAAGCTCATTGAGGGCGAGTACTATACCGTCAACCCCATGGCTATCCGCAGTGCGCTTGATGTGTATGGTGAGAACGTCAGAGTCGTGGTGCCGATTGACAGTCCCAAGCACGGACGTGTGATGGTAATCTGCGTTGGAGCGATGATGGTTGGCAGTACAGTCATTACGCGAAAGGCAGGAGAGAAAGTGAGCCGTGCGGAAGAGTTGGGATACTTCAAGTTCGGTGGCAGTACATTGTTGCTGCTGTTTGAGCCTGGAAAGATGTTGTTTGATGACGACTTGGTCGATAACTCTAACGGAGCGTTGGAGACACTGGTAAGTCGCGAGGACAAAGCAGAGGATTTTTAATACGGTGCTAACATATGTGACTAGGTTCGTGTTGGCATGTCGATTGGACACAGTCCCGATGAGGCACCTCACATGCCCGACATGCGCAAAGAAAACCCCAGCATGGCTGAGAAGCAAGACGCCAAACGCAGGATCGAAGGCAGTTTTGCACCCAGCACGAGGGCGATTCCTGGCATGCCATCTGCAGCCAACATGCAGTAGACGGTTGGGGTGGACAGTGAGGTGGCATGTGCCGTTTTAGGTAGAAGCGCATGGATGCTTGCTTTGTGCGACAAGGGAACAACAGCAGATACCTAGACCAATAACTGAGAGCATCTTGGACATTATTACAATCACTTCGAGATGGAGAAGATGCACGTGATATAGATAGACAGATGGTCATAGCGTGAGGGGACCAGTGAGGCTTGTCTTGGCGCGTCGGGGCAAGTTTGGTGTGTTTACATTTGGAAGCCGGCTCGGGTCGCTGGGGCTTTCTCGATCAATACAAAGCACAAGAAGCAACGACGACCATCATCCACATCCCCAGCAACGCGCATACCTTAATCGATCGCTGCCATTCTCAACTCGACTATCCATTTTCGACCGTCATAGAACGACAGGCGATGCGCATTCGCGCCACTTGACCTACACCCCAAATCACAACGAGCTCTCAATGACGGCCGCCATTGTCACGCGCACCCCTCTACACACCCTTAGCATGACCGGCGCACAAACAAACGGAATCAAGAGAAAAAGTCTGCGGCACCACAACGACCACCCGGACGAGGATGCCCCGCCAAACAAGAAGCCAAAGGCGACGAACACCACCACATCCTCGAGGAACGCGTCGCAAAACACGGTAAAGAAGGCCAAGAAGTGTGAGTTTGGAATGTCTGCAGATACCGACGCGCAAATGCTGATGCGTTTGCGACCAGCCTATGACGACGGTGATGATGACTTTGTCTTTACGCGCCTTCGTCCCAAGAAGGCCAAAACAAAGACGCCAGATGTAGCCCCCGAGTCGGAAACCACAGCTGGAGCTTCCGCGCCTGTTCCCGAGCCACAGCCTGTACAACAGCCACCTCCGCCAGCAGACGAACACGCGCCAATAGAAGCCACTCAACCGCCGAGGAAGAAGCCCAGAAAGACGCTACCTACGAGTCCCGAACCGACTTCGCGACGACGTTCCAAGCGCTTGTCTGGCAATAGTCCTGTACACGATCAAGCGCCAGCAACATCGAAACCAGCTACCGAGTCGCAATCACAGCAGAGGAACCCCGCCACACCACCTCCTGCACCTGTAGACCAGGAAAATGTCGCGCCGGCAGCGGATGGCAGTCCTGCTCTGGACCAGGGCGAATTGACAATACACAAAAAACGCGGTCCAGCAAAGATCCCGCTACCGTTTGGGGAGACTCCTGTGCTACGTCGCAACAAGGAGATGCGCAAATTGAGTGCTGAGAAGTCGAGGAGAAGTTCGTCAGGAATGAGGGGACGGAGGGCTTCATCTTTGATCGAAGCGGGCAGCTCGCGTGGTACGTGGTTTTCTTCTTTTCCCTCTTTCTCGAGTACATGCACAGTCTTGTATTTCTTGTTTTTCGCATCTCTTAGTCTTGGGTTGACTTCTTCCCCTGACATTGTGTTTTGCGCGCGCATCGCAGCAGGCTCCGAATTCAACATCGAAGCTTTGAAACTTGACGAATCCGACTCCAACCATGCGGATCTTGACTTACGCAAAGAACGAGACGGCACATACCAACGAGACGATGAATATCGCATACCGAAGATTGAAGAAGCTGACTGGGACTCCGCGGATACAGCCGTGCCACATAGCCAGGTCGACACGAACGAGTTCTACAAACACATTTCCCAGGATCTGGTCGAGCCGAAACGCATGAGACAATTACTTTTGTGGTGTGGCCATCGCGCTTTGCCGGAGAAGAGTGGTGGTGGTCAGATGGATGCGGCTGAGACGGCAGCGATGCATGCGGGTATGTTGGTGTCAAAAACTAGAAGCAAGCGTGTGCTAACGTTCGTTTTGCAGCGAGAGTCATTCAGGAGGAACTGCTCAACGAATTCAGCTCGCGGAACAATCTGAGTTACTGGTACGACAGGGAAGATACAACGCCGACTGTGCTGGTCAAGAAGCCAAATCCGAGGAATATACAGAATGCCGAGAAATTGCTGCAATTGGAAGCAGAACTTGCACGGTATGTATTTCTGCGTTCCAGCACTTTTGCCTCAGGAGCAATGAGCTGACTAGACTTTGAAGTTTACAAGAGGAAAAACGAGCATGGGACGACCTCCTTTCCTCGACGACATCACCAAAGCTCTCAGCAGAAACCGCGAACGCCGAAGCATCATCACAGCCTCAATTAGACATATCACCACACGCCATCAATCCCGCCCTCCTGGACCCTTCACAGGCCGACCTCCTTCAAACCCTTCTCTCAGGCATCTCCCTCGATTCGAACTCCTCCGAACCATCCACTTCTGCTCAAACTTCGACATTAGAAACTACAAAAGCACGCATCGGCACGATAGCTTCAACACTAGAATTCAAGATCGACAAATTGGCAGATGGAGCGCATAAACTCGAACAATACAGGGCTGGTGCGCAGAGATTGGCTGATCATGTTTTGGCTGTTGGAGCCGAGAAGCTGGAGGAGAGGAACAAGAGTGTCAGGGAGAAGACGAGCAATGGTTCATCTGGGCAGGTTGACGCGCTTGACAAGTTGAGGGGATTGGGTCGGGTGTTGAACAAGCGCAGCTAAGGGATGGTTATGAATTGCAACGAGCGGCGGCGATTTTAGGCGTTTTCTGTGGGAGTTGCATCGAGGCAATCGAGTAGCATTCGCCTTTTTTCTGTGTTTTTCTTCTTTTTTCCCTTCTCCAATTGTGGGTAGGGGTGACACCCTGTCTATGACATTGCTTCATGGGTGCCAGTCGAGAAGACCATGCAGCCTTCTGAATTTACAATTTTATCGATGATATGAGAATTGCTCTGATCGCTCCCAGTTCTTGTGGTTCCTGAAGATATCATATCGCTGCCCTTGCTACGTGTTGGGGATGAAACGAATTTGGGCATTCATGACAATAAAGTCGCCTGAGATTCATTATGTTTGCGACCCTATCCCGCTCACGTCGAATCGAGCGCGTCGTTTATGAATAGCTATCGCACGAGTTTCTTGAATTGGTGTCTATACCTAACAACTGATCTGAATGTTATATACACTAGGAGGTGGTGCTGGAGAGATTGTCTGACTTTGTCATGGGTCGATGATGGTGCGAATTCATACCGATATCGATGACGCTTTCCCAGCCTTCTATTTTCAGCACCTTCATTACTGAATCGGCCAGGCTACCACGAACATTGTGCGACATCTCTGCCGCTGTCTTTCTTTGCTCCCAAGTTTGTGTCACAATGAAGCCTAGAGTAGCCATGCCGCAAACCTGCAGCCCGGATCCCAATTGAGCTACATACTCGACGAGCCGATAGATCACATCTAGCAAAGCCCAAAGAGTTGTTTTCATGGCCTGATCATCGTATCATGCTTCGACCGCGACTTACCTCTACCACAACCTTGGCCCGAGTGTCAATTCGACTCTTCTCGGATCGTGGCGATCGCAGATATGCTACCAAGCCGACACTTTTCAAAAGAGCTCTGACAGGAAAATTCAGAGTGTCCACTCCTCAAGATGCTGAAGCCTTCCTATCAACAACTTTGAATCAAAGGGATAACCCAATTGGCGTTGTCGAAGAGATACTTGCCAGTAGGAATGCTCTGAAGTGTCTCCATGATGCTTTTAATGTCGACGATACGCCAGAGTATATTGATGCAGTTCTTCAGCCTGTGATAGCTTGGCTCCAGTACCCGGCTCTCCAGTCAGCAAGCAATGGATATTATCTCAAGCGTACTTTGCAGACGTTGGTCAACCCACCAGGCTCAAAGTTTTGGAAAGGCTATCACTCTCATGTCAAGTATGAGCTCGTTGATCAGAGATCGACACAGTGCTTTGCATGGTTACTATTACAACTACTTACCAACACGCGAAATGTACGACCCTACGATTTGATGATCGCCAAGGACCCTCTGGTAAAACGTGTACTGGCAGATTCGCGGTACGGTGACACTCGCCACCTTGGCCAAAGGATACAGCGAGTATACGCTTTACATCAGACCGCCACCTCCCGAGGGAATCGAGAGATCTTTCAACCACAACACAACAACGACTTTCAAAACTTCAAGGACATTGGTATTTTCCCTACCACACAGGAAGTGGTTTCGGACACCAAGCCTCGTATCTGGCGTGCTGCAGAAGTGTTCGAGCAACCCGATCCTACCAGAAGGCTATACGTGTTTCTAGCGAATCTATTTCGGCTCTACAGACAAGATTGGCTTGAGGAGATCAAGGAACAAGTTCAAATCGCTCTGGGAAAGGGAAATGAAGGCCCTCGCACCATCACAACACTCAAAGTGAAGTTGACTGGAGTTTCATGTTCAGACGTATCCAGGAAACACGGACAGCATCCTTGGTCATTGAAACTCGAATGCTCAGAACCTTTACCCGAACTCAAAGACCTTGATCAAGAACAGCGCAAAGCCTTCATCAAAGACGATACTGACTTTATGCCAGACGGAGCTCTTGGCTTTGCAGTTGCCGATGGCGAGCTGGTGGCCATTGTCAAGATCTCACGCGATGAAGCATTACTCGCCAAATCAGTCATTTGCATCCAAATTCCTCATCGCAAGCTGATACCGCAAGCGATGCTTAGTATGATGAACGCGGCATCTCTGGAGCTGGTACTTCTCAATACTGCCGGGTATGCTTATGAACCTGTCCTTGGTCGTTTGCAGAATACTACCGAGATTCCATTTGAGGATGAATTGCTGTTTTGGGACGACTCACAAGCACTCAAATTATCAGAGGCCTATCGCAATAGCGAAACGATCAAGGGTATCGTAAAACAACTCGAGGAGAAGCCAGAGTTGAACTTACAGGATATCATGAAGCTGAAAGGCTCAGTTGTCTTGGACTCTTCACAAGCGGCTTCGTTAACAGCTGCATTGAAACAAAGGTTGAGTCTCGTACAAGGACCGCCTGGTACTGGCAAATCATTCATCGGAGCTCTTGCAGCCAAAATCCTGCATGATCACACCAAGGAGAAAATTCTGGTCGTCTGCCACACAAACCAGGCTCTAGACCAATTTGTCCAAGACATCCGCAAAGTCGGCGTCAAGGACTCGGAAATTGTTAGACTGGGCGGAGTGGAAAGAACCGATCCTGCTAACCACTCTCTCTTGCTTTCTTCACTGAGAGTTGACAGCACACTCCATTCTAGCTGGGATACAAGATCGTTTGTCAAGGACATTGAGCGTCAAGCCTTTGACGAATCTCGACGTCTTGAAGACATCTATCATGGCTTTACATCGCTAGACAGGCTTCGTGATCATGTGGATGGGCTGGCCATGAGGGGAGATCCGAGATACAGTCAAGCTTTTGAGATCAGCCTTGAGCCCAATGGCACCGTGCGTGTCGCAGAAGATGGCACAGTGGCCGGTAGACATTACTTACTTCAACGATGGATCGATGGCAATAATTTCGGCATCTTCCCAGAAAAGGAAAAGTATACCGATGTCTGGAGTCTCTCGCTACAAGAAAGGAAAGAGCTGTCCAACAACTGGTGGTCCAACATCAGCCAAAACGCGCTTCCAGCTTTCTTGGAAGCAGCAGAACACCACGATGACCTGCTGAGCCAAGCTCGCAACGTAAACGGCCAGGTAACCGAACAGATCATCCGCAGCAAGAGAATAATCGCCTGCACAACGTCGGGAGCAGCAAAATACCCACAAGTGCTCTCCACAGCCCCCGGCATCATCATCGTCGAAGAAGCCGGCCAAGTCCTCGAAAGCCACATCATCACCGCACTAAACCCCACCGCCAAACAACTCATCATGATCGGCGACCACAAACAACTGCGTCCCTTTGTCAACTACGAATTAAGTGTTGAGAAAGGAACTGGCTATGACCTTAATCGCTCCTTGTTTGAGCGTTTGGTGTTGAGAGGATATCCGCATCAAGTTCTTGCCCAGCAACATCGTATGAGACCCGAGATAGCGGAGTTGGTCAGGCAACTTACTTATCCTGATCTCATTGACGCACCCAAGACTCAAAATCGTCCGGACTTGCGAGGGTTCTCTGATAATCTCATTTTTGTCAATCATGATCAACTCGAGGACACGATATCTGAGGACTCAGAGATGATCAATGTAAGGACATCCAAGCGGAATACGTTTGAAGCTGAGATGGCGTTCAAGACTGTCAAGTATTTGTTGCAGCAAAAGTATGATGCTAGCAGTATTGTGGTGTTGACGCCGTATCTCGGGCAGTTGAAGAAGTTGCAAGAGGTGTTTGGGAGAGAAGTGGAGACTGTCTTGAGTGATTTTGACATTAAGAACATGGAGAAGAATGGATTGATCGAGGATAGATCTGAGGTCGAGGATGCTCTCAAGGAGAGCGTCATTACTTCTGCATCGACAAAAGCTCCCAAGACACCCTCGACTGGAATCAACTCTATTGCTACTGCTGCTGCATCAGTCACGAAGCTACCGCCGCCAACTAATATCTCTGCAAAACCAAAGCCATCCACCCCACGACCAAAGATCCAAATCTCCACCATCGGTAAGTCCCTCCACATATAAACCCCAACCAACACTAACNTCAATCCACCACAAGACAACTACCAAGGCCAAGAAAGCGACATCGTCATCACCTCCCTAACCAGATCCAACCCCGAAAACGACATTGGTTTCCTCTCTTCCNCCGAACGCCTCAATGTGCTTCTCTCCCGCGCCCGAAACGCTTTGATCCTCATCGGCAATGCCTCGACCTTTAAATCTGCTCACACGGGTAAAGGGTTATGGGAAAAGTTCTTCTCTATACTAGAGGATAAAGGGCGCTTGTATCAAGGTGTTCCTGTTAGATGTGAGAGGCATTTGCAGAATACGGCGATCCTTAGTACACCGGAAGCGTTTGAGGAACAGTGTCCGAATGGGNGGTGTAGAGAGGGTTGTGGTGAGAAGTTGAGGTGTGGGCATATTTGTGAGCAGGTGTGTCATCATGATGATCACGAAGAGATGCGTTGCAGGGTACTGGTCGAGGAACTGTGTAATAGAGGGATACATGTTCAGAGATTCGAGTGCTGTGAGAGGTTTGAGGTTATTTCTAGGCCTTGTGAGGAGTGTTTGGCCGATGATGAGGTTGAGAGGAAGAGGAGGGAGGCAGGAAGTCAGGGTGGTGAGGAGAAGACTTGAGACAGGGTGATGGGATTCAGTCAGGAAGTGACGGAAAATCCAGTGACAGCCTCACTATCACTCTTGTGGACAACACATCATTGTTTGACTCCGTCACCCCTGCCATACGAATCTTTTCGGAACATCCAAAATCTTCGAATGCGTCTACCTTCGAACTTGTTTACCGTCGAGCGCGCCACCCACAACACAACAAACAGCATGCACTTCAGGTAAGACCGTAAGCTACATCATAATGCGCATTCGATAAAGCATCAACAAGCATGGAGAAAGCTCTCAACGAGGCCATCAACAAAGCCGTGACCATAGGTATCAATCAAGACATCTTAAAAGAGCAAGCCAGAAAGCTTGAAGAAAGCTACGCTATAACCACCGATGATGCCGTCAGAGAGCAACTGAAGGAAGAAAAAGCGGCCAACAAGCAACTCATGCACAAAATCATCGCCAGAGCTTTCAGAAAAGTGCAAATTCTGGCCAACATCGCCGCAGTAGGATCATGTCTCTCGTATACTTGATGCCGGAAAAGTCTACTGACGCACGAATGGTCAGGCACGCACTATGATATCTGAGCGCCTTGAATTGATCAACGATGGGGCCAGCCGTCCTTGGGTGTTCTGGCTTGAGAAGAAGAACACTGATAACGAGAAGAAGATTGACGATTTGCTTGCCAAGATTGCAAAGATGGACAAGAAGATATTGTGCGCATTCTACGAAAAGGATGCCCATCTAGAGATTGACTGTCCTCTGAGGGAGATGCAGGAGGAAGAGATGTCTTCGACAGTGAGGGAGTGATCGAGCTACAGGTCAGGAAGAATTGAAATACTCTCTTCAAAGAAAAGACGAACACCACTGTCATTGCTCAACCTCAGGCACACAAGCACACATTCTTACTGAAAACACACTCTTCACCACATAGGGGCAAAGAATTAAAACACATTAGTCAAGTCATCAGATTTCATTATATGCAAGCCTCTCTCTAGTCTTCGCGAACAGCAGCACTCTCAATCATTGTAGTTCCCCACACCACTACAATCCTTGTTGGCCGCAGGTAACCCATACTTTGCATTCAACTCTTCTTCTTGGGACTTTCCTTCTGCAGAGTAATACGGTTTTTCACCATGAGTGGCTACTCTAACGGCATGTCTACGGTGAGGAGCAAACCCATAGGTTGCCGAGTGATTCNNTGTATCATCTCAATCAGCACACGCTCGCAGAAGTCCCAGACAGAAACGAGCAGATGAAAAGCAACTTACACAAATCCTGTTATCCCAAAACGCAACATCGTCTTTGCCCCAATCAAAGGAGACGTGTATCTCATTCGTTGTCGCGATGAGTTCATTGAGGTAAGAGACGATATGATCAGACTCCAATCTCGGCACGCCCACAATCTTTGTCACAAACCCCGGATTGTAGAATAGAGATTTCCAGCCTGTGACTGGGTTGATGCGGATCAGAGGATGTACGGTGGTAACAGGATCTCTTCGCACGGGTCTGTTGCCGCGGATGGAGTCGGCAGCTTGCATGTCTGCCGAGTGGACGGCAGATAGCGAAGAGAGATATTGCTGCATGAACGGCGACATGGCATCGTAAGCGGCATATTGAGACGACCAGAGTGTTGTGCCACCGCCACCACTGGGAGGCCCAGATAGCAGTTTCAGCGATGTGTAGGAAGGNGGTTGGAGCTCATAAGTTNNATCTATAGCATTTTCTCCAATCAACTCTTGTTTCTTTCTCTCTAGTGGGCAGGAAATCAGGTTTGCAAAAACACTTACATCGCTATGCCACAAGAAACTCGGCGAAAAGATGTGGTTTCTCGCTCCTCTGGCACCCTCCGCAAACACCACATGGACATCTTCCAAACCCTGCTGCTTGGGTACACTCGTCGTGGCATGTCTATGCAGAGTACCAAAATACTTTCCCAATTCCCTTTGAGCCTCAATGTCGAAATTCTTTTGGTTGCGGAAAAACACAACACCTCTTGTCGCTATCAATCTAGCGATATCGTTTTTCTGTGCTGAAGTGAGGGCAGCAAGATCGAGGCCTGTGACTTCGGTGCCGATCTTTGGGTTGTAGTCGCGGATGGAAGTTGCAGTGGTGAGGAGAGAAGAAAATGTTGGGCTGCCGAGGAGACCTTTGTCGTGGTAGAGGACTTCTTGCAAGGGCTCCCATTTCAAGGCTGGGAATGTGGGGAGGAGATGTTCGTAAGGGTAGTCATCGTGGGTCTCTGCAATTGTTCGACCAGGCTCGTAGGTGAGAGGCTTAGTAGTTGGAGTTGTCTTGCTGTTGACCGTCTCGGGGCTGGCCAATGCTGTTTGTTCTTGCAGATATGGTGCCATGTTTACGTGTGTGTTGGCGAAATGTGAGATTGGAAAAAGATTGATGAAAGTGGTTCGTAAACTTGACAGAGCAAATAACTTATATACTTGACGCCAATGTTATGACTCTTCTATTTCCAACTCGAGAAGATGTCATTGTCTGTGAAGCATTGCGTGATGGCATGGGGATATGATGAGAGTCCGTGGGGAGAGACGCCAAAACACAAGCCCGATATCATGTTTCCCACGGGCTCTCCGCAAGACATGTACGGATTGGGGAAAAGAAACTACTTGCCGGCATCTCGATGAGACGATGACAGATGTTTGAGCCTCTTTCTTGAAGCAAAGAGACAGAGGGAGAGATGGCGTGCTCGTCTACAGAGACCGTGCTTCGAATGTGGCCGTTGACCATCTCAATCAAGAAGACCGCTTATCCACAGAAAGCACTCTCTCTGACACGTTGTGAACTTGCCCTGATCTGGACTCGATACACATCTTCACCGACAATCGATATCACCTTACGAAACACGATGCAAAGATTAAAAGAAGGAGGTGCTAACCGGGTTGATGGTCATTGCTTGCCAGACCTGGGGTTCTGGGCGATGGCACAATTCTGGGGGTTGATCGCGTGCCTTTGTCTCCCTCACGAGCTTCGATTCAGTTCAGTCTAGTTTCATATGGTAGCTGCGTACGTGATCATTTTGACAAAGCTTCTGTGATTGCTGCCTCAGTACGATAAGCGTACAACTTATGTTGACGAGCAATGGATCGAAAAACAAGGGTCTGTTCAAGCAGCTCCTCCTGAAAGTAGATTCTCGAAACTGCTTAGAATCTAACAGATCTTCTGCCGCCGTAGCCGACACTCTCTCGAGGGTCACCGCTGATCTTGCCAAGAATCAGTTCATTCACACCCTCCCGGCAGGAACCGACCAGACCTGCGGCACCTAAGATACCACTCTCGAAGCCGCGAAGAGTTTCTGCCAACTCTCGGACGTTGTCTGCACTGTTTCCGGCGCGACCGCCTGCTCTTTGGGCGGCGAGTTGATGTGCTTGCTGGACTGTGCTTCCCTCGACGACGCGAAGGTGTGCTTCGATTTCTGCGAGGTGTGACGTGTAGGTGTCGAGTGTCTTTTGCATGACTTCGGCTTGCTTGCTAAAGTAGCCAACAAGATCGATGTCGTATTCGTCGTCGGTGGTTGAAGGTCTGCTGCTTCTTCCGTAGTGGTATTGCTGAGGGAGTTGCAGGTTCTCGGCCATGCGGGCAACCCTGATAAGGTCGCCAGCGTCTCTTTGAACGAGCTCCTTTGCATTGTTGATTGCAGCGCCGTCGTTTTCGAGAGCAAGTTCGACAGTCTCAATCTTGTTCTGAATCAGGTCGACGTCGGGCTTGATGCTCTCAACATCGGTGGCATGACGGCCGATCATGCTTTCGCATTGAGTAGCGAAAGATTCTTGTTGTCTAATGAAGGCGTCGATTTGTTCTATTTGTTTCTTGAGGTCATCGTGCAGATCGCTGAAGCGGGTGGTTGGGCGCAGGTTTGACATGTCAATCTTGACACCGGGTTGTGTGGTTGTCTGGGTGTTGCCTTGGCCCATGGTGAGGCTACCTGCCATAGGTCTGCCATTTGAGTTGCCGATAGGGTTCAGGAGAGATGAGCCAAAGTTGTTGGTCGCGGTGCTGCCTCCACTGAAAGCAACATGTTAGCAAATGGTTCTGTTCATGAGATTGAGAGAGCGAACGCACAAGAGACTTGGGGCCGGGTTGGGAGCACCGAACAGACTGGACTTGTTCTGGGCGGGCTGTGCTGCAGAACTTCCAAACATGCCTCCGGAGTTTGATGTGTTGTTGTTGGCGGGTGCGTTTCCAAAGAGGCCTGAAGATTGTTGCTGTTGCGGCTGGGTGGTGGTGGCTGCGTTGTTCCCAAAAGGCCTCCCGACTGTTGTTGCTGCGGTTGAGTATTCGAGGTAGCGGCTGAGTTATTGCCGAAGAGACTCAGAGTGGGTTTGGCGGGTTGAGCAGCAGGTGCGGCCCCAAAGAGACCTCCCGACTGTTGTGGTTGTGGTGTTGTGGTCGAAGAGCCAAAGAGGCTGGTAGATTGCTGTGGTTGCGAAGAAGCTGGAGCGGCACCGAACAAGCCGGTCGAGGTCGGTTGGGCCTGCTGTGTGTTGTTTGTAGCACTGTTTCCGCTGCTGCAAGGAGGAGGAGCAATGGTTAGCGCGCCTGGAATGAAGGTCATGGCTGGTCGGCGCATCTTGACAGTCGCTTGTCGCACAAGGAAATGTCATCAGAGACGTACAACAGAGAGTTTGCAGCACCCGTGTTCAGGCTCAGCGAGTTTGATCTGCCGAAGGCCATGGTGAATTACACCAAGTGAAGGCTGCGTGCAGTAAAGCGAAAGTGAAGCTGTTTGCTGTGTCCAAGCGCGTATCCGAAGTCGTATGCAGCTTGCCGGGCTCAGATGGTGACGTGTAGGCGACAAGTGTAGAGATGGGTTTATACAAATATTATACAATCGTGTTGCTCGAGGACGCGCAGAGTTGGACGTGTTGCTGCTCGGGTCAACTTTGTTAAAGACATCAAAGCTCGGGCCAGCCTCGTGTCTCTCTGGCTCTCGAGCTTCGAGTTGCGACAATTCGTCCCTCTCCAACACCAACCCAGTCGCATACATCAAACATCATCATGGAAGAGGAAGACGACGATTTCTACACGCAGAATGGCGATGGTCCTGTCAAGAACGAGCAACCGACAAATCAAGACGACCCTAACGAGCAACCCGACCTCAACCTAGACGATGAAGACGACGATGACGAAGACGACGATGATGACAGCGACATTGATATTATCACCGAGCACAAAGATGGCGCTGCTCCAGAACCTCCGTGAGCTTGCACTTGCCCTTTCATGCAACCTTCCCTTCTAACACTCCTTTAGGNNCAAGCTCGTCCCTTCCGTGGCATCAAGCCCGAACCTCCTGCCCGAACAGCTTCTGTCGACACGGTTCCTACGCAACAAGCCCAGCAAACACCCGCCCTAAAGACAGAACCTTCAACGCAAAACAAGAAGCTGGTCTCGCTCAAGGACGGCTCCAAATACCCCGAAGTCCGCACCTCCTCAATAGACGTCAATGCCACTCCGTCCTGGGACCCTGCTGGCAAGCTCATCACAGAAGTCGACATTGACGCCGATCTCGCCGAACACACAAAACCCTGGCGCTTGCCCGGCACCGACCAGACCGACTTCTTCAACTATGGCTTTGACGAATTTACCTGGACCCAGTATTGCTTGCGCCAGCAAAACATGGCGTCTACCATCAACAACCAAAAGCAAGAGACCAAGCAATTCGAGATGATGTTGACCGGAGGAGGTATGCCTGGCCAAGCTGCCCCTCCAGGTCCTCAGGCTGCTCCACCGGGTGGTCCAATGGGCATGGGGATGCCTGGAATGGGAATGCCCGGCATGCCCGACATGAATCCCGAAAATATGGCTGCCTTTGCCAGCGTCCTGCAAAGCCAAGGCATCGATCCCAGTCAACTCGACTTTAACACCTTCATGCAACACTACCAGCAAGCATCCATGGGCGGTGGACAAGGCGGATATGGCGGCCAATCCATGCAGCCTCAACAATCGAATCAAGGCTACGGTGGCCAACAACAACAACAATCATTCCAGCAACAAGGTCCACAACCCGGTCAGCAAGGCCAACAATCTCAGGGTCAAGGCTTTGATGGTTACAGCCAGCAACAGATTGCCATGATGCAAGGCCAAGGAGGCATCCCATCAGGTCCCTCTGGTGGTGGTGGTCGCGGACGCGGTAGAGGTCGGAGATGGCAATAGAATCGATACCCACGACAATCTGCATCACACAGGCGTTAAGGGGTTGACGGGAGAAAAAACCTGGGCATTGGCGATTGGTACAACTATTTATTGACATTTCTCAACCACACGCTTCCGTTCGAGATGGGTTGTGCGCTCGAGCAACATGTGATTTACACGAGCGCTCTCGTCAGAAAGACGCAGAAACATAAGTTTCAACACCTAGAAGTGCCTTACGTCTTCCTTGTTCGTTTGCCATCTGAACCAGATCTGCATTCCAACCACCAATGTACTCGGCATCTAGAGTATTCTTTCTTGCGAGCCAAGTAGCCAGACCAGGATCGATCGCCACCGACTTCTCAAACACTTCAGTTCGCTCACTGATCATGGTGCGGCGCTGGCAGCCAACGTATTAGTATCATTCTGAATCACAAAGTGCAAAACATACTGCGTGGATGCTGGCCTGAAGATGTGCTCTTCTGAAAGCTCTGGCAATCTTGGTGTCGACTGCATCCTTGTTGGCAGCCTCTATCATCTACTTTTGCTCTTGGATGAATTTGATGACGGACGTGGACAAAATTACATCCAGAGGTTTGACCGAGTCCTTGACGGCTCGTTCGATGGCTGTGGTGGCGGCTTGCTTGAAGGCTGTGGTGACGGCTTCGTTGGCAGCTGTGGTGATTACCGTGGTGACTGCTGTGGTGATGGCTGTGCGGAGAGCTTGTTCTAGGCTTGTTGGTGGATCCATGCTTGTCGGTGGGTTGGCGAATGCGGATTGTAGTCCAGATTCATGGCCTTTACCTGACGACAAGAGCGGTGGAAGCTATCTGTTGTATTGGAAAAGGCGTGCTTGATGGTAGATGAGTCTGAAGACGAATGGGTCCGAAGGGAGATGGATTTGAAGGCAGATGAGTGGACAAGAAGGCGAGGTCAAGATTTTCGATCTTTGGGAAAGAGGCATCCGCGAAAGAAGGGGCAGAGAGGGCGCAACTTCCCAAGACATGATCTGTCGACCACAAGGACGACAGCGTGACGACACTCGCTTCTTCTTCAGTTCCCTTGAGGTTTTATAAATATAACGTGCTTCGAAGAATGGCAGTGCATTGATATTGTGAGCTCTGGAACTAATATAGTCGGCTGCACGAACAGAAAATCCTATCCTCCACCTAGAGTACCGACAAAAGAAACACCTCTTTCGGAGGCGGAAGAAACCCTGACGAGGAGTTTACTTGTGGTTGTTTTTCTGTCTTTCTGGGTGGGGGTTCTATTCACTTTTTCTAGCCTTTTTCTGTTTTTATGTTTTTCAGTGTTTTTTTCAGTGTCTTTTTCTTCGTGTTATTTTTGCCCCTTCTTTCTGGTCTTGGTGGGAATTGAACCGCGACTTTTTCTGGCCGCAGCTCAGAGTGATACGTTAGCCAACTGGGTCACCGCGTCCGATGACACAATATTGGCTGGCGAGAGAGGGCGCGTTGGAGTGGTGTATATAGGCTACACATCAAGCCGTCACTCAATGTCCGACTGACCTTGTTCTCATTCGGCGAAGACCATTGTTTGGTTGCTGCTGTGTCTTCTCTCGCGACCTGCCCGACTGCCTCGCCTCTACGATGCTGCCTCGTCGATGCAAGATCGTGCTATTACCTACGGGCTGCAACATGCGGAAGCCCGTCTCCTTCGTGACTTCCTGCTCGAACGTCGTAGGCATAGCCAGGCCGAACATCTCTTCGCCCCCTACCGCCGTGTTTTCGTCACAAACACATCCACAGCCTGCTTCACATTCTGGCTTTTCATCTTCGGCGAGTGATTCGAGAAGAACAGCAAGACAAGAGATGTGCGCCACGTGACCGCATGCAAGGCACACCTTGTAAAGACCGGCAATGGGTTGGTAGCAGATGATACAGGAGAGCATATGTGATCGTCCGCCACACTTGACACATTTACGATCTGCGCCGCGACGTTCTGGATTGTCAACCTCACCGCAAGACATGCAGCATCGGATGATCTGCGGGCCCAAACTGTTCAACGCCTCTTCATCTTCCTCGACCTCTCCGAGTGTGAGAGTGGATTGCGAACCGCGATCTCTAGACTTTGTCCGCGTGAGGATGTTCGACAACAGTCCATCGAGTTTGTCTACTTCGTTCTGTTGCATCTGGAGGCCCCATGCACTTAGCATGTTTGCATACACTGCTCGATACACAGCAAACTTGATTGACTGATTAGGGTCGAGGAAAGCCACGCTTGGACATCCTTCGTCATCAAACATGTCTTGATTCTTCAGACTGATTTTGACTCGGGATTGTGGTGGTAGGGACTCATCGTCCTCGGTTGTGGATCCATCGTAGTCATCTCCAAAGCCTTGTGTTATGAAACTCCTGCGGATGGTCGAGTCGCTTCGAGTAAAAGGCTTGCTCTTACTCCAATTGATGCCCGCTTGTGAGGGTATTGAGGATGAAAGGTCTTCTCCACTGGTCCTATTACGAACAGGAGGAGAGCTAGCAAGCTGGAATGGTCGAGCTAGGACAGAGGCAGCGAACGAACTTGTTGCGCTTGGTATAGAGGTGCGATGGTGTTCCGGTGATGTTGACAGACTAGGTGCAGCACTGGAACGATGTGTGCTAGCTCTTGACAGTGGCATTGGAGGAGTGTTGTCGTTGTAGAAGGGTGTGACAGGCTCGCTTGCAACTTGCTCTCGGATGTCGTGGAACGAATCTCCTGCAGATGTGAGCCCAGCTCCTGATCTTCGATGTTTATTAGACAGATCGGAGACAGAAATGATCGGTTCATAGAACCCAAAAGCTGTCTCTTTGCTGGGNAAGTAATCGAAAAGCTGGGCAGCGCAACTCATCGACTGTGGAAGATTCTCATAGGTAGGACGTTGATCACCTGGAGACAAGGATTGTGCGAAAATGCACGAGAGCATTCCCAGCATCTGAACGTCTGCCAGATTCTCGAAGTATGTGAACAGTGTATCGATGAGCCAAGATCCAGCGAATGGATGAGTGCCCCATTTGATCAGGGCTGTTTCTTGTGGGTAAAGCACAGCTTCCGGTTCATCAAAGGATAGATCAAGCCCGCTGTCGTTTCTCTGCGACGGAATGAGCACCCGACGCGCCAGTACTCGGATATCGGTATCTTGTCTTGGCATGGATAGCAAGCTCAAAGGAACTTTCTTAGCCAAGATCAATCCAACAAACTCCCATATATCGGCCAGCTCAGTGAAACCATGGTGAAGAGCGGCCCTAGCATTGTGCGAGCAGACAGATTCTCCATCGCCGTAGATAAGGTACTCTGAAGCAAGACTTCGCTTTGATGGCAGTAAGCTTTCCATATCAAGAACTTTGATCCGTACTTTGTTTCTAGCACCGACACCTTTCTTGTTGAGCCCGTTACTTGTCGGTAGCGAACCTTCGGTTGAATGTGTTCGAAGTCCCTTGAGTCGTGGAAATCGCAGAGAACCACCATGCCAGGCAGATGGTGGCTGGAACCGACGAAGGAACATTTCTGGATCATCAGATCCAGAGGATGAGCTCGAACTTGAGAACTCGGAGCTGTTGTCTGAATCATCAGCCTCGAATGTTTCAGCGCTAGGCTTGCTTTTGGCCTTCGACTCTGTCTGGCCAGGATGAAGTCTTCCAAACCCTTCAAAGATTTCTCGACTTCCACGATTTCGGCTCCGGTCGTCTACCGCGAACTTGTGCAGAATTGATCGGGGTTCCTCTTTTGGCGGCATAAAGCAAACGAGTTGACCGTTTGCAGCCCAGAGCGCTCCGCAAGTTCTGGGTAGAGGTACGTTGGCGTTGGTGCTAAAGATGCCCGATCCCACACTTCCTTCCATTCCTAATGTTTGCGATTCAGCACTTCCGCCGAAGTCGCCCAGCAAGCCATCTTCTTCGTCACTCGAGCTCTCAGCTTCTTCACCAGGTGCAACCACGTCATGACTGCCGAGACCTAGCCAATTAATACTTTCCTGGAGATCTCTTTCGCCAGTCAAATAGGACAANAAGCCTTCTATGCACCCTCGACGATGTATCAGATAACCGGTTGCGATCTTGCGTAGATTTCCTTCGAGCTCTGCCACTTTTCTCNNTTCTGACAAGGCAGATGCCTTGTCAAGATGGAACCAGGGAACTGACTTCTCTGGATAGTCAATAGGAAAGTCCATACAAAGTTGCATGAAAGCTAGTTTATCCGCAGCAGCCCATGGCCCATTGAGAGATATCTTGACATGTCTGTTTGACACGTCTGCTTCTTCGACAGTGACTCGAGTGAACTTCTCGCCCACATGGATGATCTCGTCACTCAGGTTCTCACGTACGCCATGAGAATCCGGATGGTGTAGATCGGCGATGATGGATAGTCTTCGCGTGGTCAACCTGTCTGGTGAGCTCGGCTTGCGTTTGCCAAACTTGACGCCCTTCATCCATGAGATGAGGCCGTTGCCTTGCGGTCTGACATTGCGAGTCTCTATGCCCGAGTAGGTCATCATTTGGCCGCTGTCAGTCCAACCGCCTGCGATAGGTATAGGTACTTTGTTCATTCCAGGACTGGTTCCAGGATTGACCATTTCAGGTCCTTGTGTGGTACTCTCAACCGCTGTATTGGAGTATGTAGGTCTATCCCTGAAAGATTTGTAGGGGGCACCAATTCGAGTGAGCTTTGGAGGCTTATCCGTGAGCATGCCTTTGTGGAATCCGATAGACTGAAGTTGCTTGTCTCCCATGCGGTGCAAAATCAATTCGTGATCAGCTCCCCAAGAGACTAACTGGAAATCACGGCCATCCGAGTACTCGTCGATATTGCCACGTCCTCGCCACAGAAACTCTTTGACTTGTTCTTCATGGCCCGTAAAGCGGTAGTTCGGCTCTGTAAGAGCTGGTGTATTGGTCACGTTCGATGGCCGGCAATCATACATGTGCAAGTCATGGTCTCCTCTCTGCGGCATAGCCAATACCCCATCACCGAATGGAGTGTGTCTAGCTCGCCATACCGGGAATGGCGTATTGATAACCCGCTCGGGCTCTATTTCGGAAAACTCATAGTCCCAGACTTTTATGGTTCGATCAAGCGAGCAAGTGACAATCTTGGTCTCCTCAGTGCGACTCCAATCGATGCCATAGATTTTTGTCGTGTGAGCTTCGATGGTCTTGAGAGGCAATGCACCTTTGCGGTCATCCCAAATATGTAGGTACTTGTCGTGCGATGAGGCAACGATGTGAGGGTCCCGTCGATTCCACTTGACTTGTGTGGCACCAGCAAACCAGTCTGAAAAGCTGATGACAGGTCTTGCGGATGCGCGCAAATCCCAGCAATGTACAAAGGCATCGACTGCACATGTGGCAAGTAGATCAGGTTGTAAGGGAGAGAAGTTGATATCAGTGATTGCTCTCGAGTGAGCATGCAAAGTGTGCTCTATAGGGGCGTGGAGACTGGCGAGTTCGAGGTTCCACACCAAAGCTCTCTGATTGGAAGTACTGACGACCCAATAATATCGCGAAGCAAAGGGAGACCATTGTACATCAGCGGGGGTCCACGGAGTCTGATGACGAAGGTGACGCGGAGGAGAGAAGGGTGAGTCGAGGTCTATGATATGCAGGCCCTGCTGAGAGGCCAGTACGACATCTCTTCCACCTGGCGAGATGGAGGCAGAACCTACAGCCTGGTTGACGTGAATACGGAGGTCCTTGTCGAAAGTGGGACTGTCAAAGATGGAAGTGTCCTTTCCACTTCTTGTGGTAATGGTTGATGACATTGTAGAAGACATGGCTGGATTCTTTTTGTGTGCTCAGCCAGGGTCTTCAGGACGCCAGACGTTACGAGCTATAAGCAAGAGCACTGGCATGGTCACACCGAAGACAGTGTTTCCCTGACATGAGCAAACAGCTTCATGCTGTTTGGTATGGATTGGCTGATGGATACAAGACGAACTGTAGTTGGTGCCAAGGAGGGCTATCGCGTGTCTTTGGTGACGCACGTGATGAACGAGTCCGAGCTTTTGGTCTGGGCTGGAATTGGACGGCGATGGCGGGGTCCTTGGGTGTCTATCATCATCGTCACTGCAGTCGACCTGTTCCATACAATTTCACTCCACTTTGGTTACATAGCTCAACCAATCCACCGTACGCAACACGATACAACGCATTGCCGAGAGCAAACACACCTTCAGCATGGCTCTTCCCAAGCGTATCATCAAGGAGACCGAGCGTCTCATGGCCGAGCCGTATGTCGTACTGTCCCAGACAATCACAGCCATGACCTGACAACGAGCGATAGTGNTTCCCGGCATCGAGGCCATTCCCCACGAGGATAACCTGCGCTACTTCGATGTCAAGATTCACGGCCCTTCACAATCTCCCTACGAAGGTATTCGATCCTGGCCGAAGCCTAGTCGATACCGGTCTTCTGACACACCAGCCANNGGCGGAATCTTCAAGCTCGAACTATTCTTGCCCGACGACTACCCCATGACTCCTCCCAAGATCCGCTTCCTCACCAAGATCTATCACCCCAACATCGACCGTCTCGGTAGAATCTGCCTGGACGTTTTGAAGAGTAGGACCATGGCCGTCCCCAACAACATCTCACACGCTGACCATCCTAGGCNNAACTGGTCGCCTGCTCTGCAAATCCGTACTATCCTGCTCTCCATCCAAGCACTGCTCGGTGCGCCCAACCCTGACGACCCGCTCGCCAACGACGTAGCCCAAAGATGGAAAGAGGACCAGAACGCTGCCATTCAGACTGCCAGAGAGTGGACCCAGCAATATGCTAAGCCTTGATGATAAACCTATCAATCGTTCTGCCTCGGATAAATAGCGTTGCATCGGTCTCAGCCAACATAGTGGCCTTTATGAACATGGGAGGCGTTGGCCTGGCGTTTTTTTCCTTCTACTTTCCAAATACACCTTGTTTTTCTTTTCAACATCCGTTACCTTGACACATCTCCTCCTTCAAAACTCCCTTTTTTCATGGTGCTATCAAAATGCAAGGTGCTTTTGCCAGTACTATGCATATCCACTGAGAGCCGGACAGACTACCTCAGTGTCTGGAGCTCTCATTGGACACACCTGTACGTTGGAAAGATACTTTGCATTTCGATAGCATCATGCTGACATGTCTGGCAGGAGGAAATGATACGGTGAGACATCCCTGGGCTGCTCCACACGAGACCACGAGACCCAGAGGCGAACAACAATCAATACTCTCCCCATGAAGACACTGGCAGTCTTGAGAGTATCATGAAATGCATCCGCGACAGGTCGATTTGGGCTGGGTATGAAATTGGCCGCCACAAGTATGTTCAGAACAAGGGAATAAGTAAATCAGGCCACTGAACAGCCAATGCTGGCATGATGCCATGATAGTGAATCGTCACAAGGCCTTGAATAGCATCAGAAGCACGCTCGGCTTCCTCCATGGTATAGCCGGTGTCATGATCAAGTGAAGCATTGAAGCCCGCTCGACTTCTCTAAACCAACCTATGCAAATGTAAGTAACCCACTTTCACCTGTAACCCTCTTCTGATCAAGCACAGATGCGTTGGTTCAAGGACCACCCAAAAGAGATCTCGGCAGGAGGCAATTTTCCTCCCCCGTTTGCGCCTGTTGCAGCCGCTGCATGGCCACCGCCGCCATCTTCCCCTCCTCCACCTGCTCCTGTGCCGCCCTCGCCGGTGCAGAGCGTTGAAGAGCCGAAGCCTGGCTCAGAGGAAGAGCACCAGCCCGTAAGTACCCTCTTTGATAGCCCAGTATGACTGACAGATCGTCTGTTTTCTATTGTGTAGCATTGTCCGAGATTTACGCTGCGTCTTGCGGCGGTGCTCAGACGATCTATCATTGAGACGATCCATCCTTGCTGCGAAGGTATAGATACGATGGCTAACATCCGCGAAGAAGCGCAGAAGCTGGTTCAAGAGGGCTCTGGGCCTGGGAGAGATTACGCCTCCGCGACCAAGCACGTACATGTACGATGTCTACGCCGAGGNAACTGAGAAAGCTCAGAGCGGAGGCTGAAAAGGCTCCCAAGCTTAGAGAGACGGGACGCGTGTTTGACAATCAGGGGAGAGAAATCACAGGCCTGGTTGACGAGAAGGGGAGGCCAATAGTGCCAAAGCCTACGCCAGTCCCCAAACCTGATCGAAGCACTGCGTCCCGTCGCCCTCGAGCAGAACCTATAACCAGCCATTGGACAGCAGAGATGGGAGTCGGAGGGCCTGGTGGTGGTTTCGTTCCTCCCAAAGGGCGAAAGCCTGCTGGTGAGGGAGAACGTCGTCGTGAGACGGATTCCAGTGGTACCAACAAAGCCCTGGATGATGCTCCGATGTTCTCCANNGAGGCCACCACCACTGACAACCTCCTCCATGTGCAAAAGGTAGGCCCGTGAACCGCCGTTCGAGTACTTGAAACTTCTCACACCTACATCAACGAATCGAACCGCGCTGCGCCGTTCATCGCGCGTTTGCAAGTGAGGACTATCATCAGCCGGCCTGACGACAGCATCACTACGACAACATCACGTCTCACGCACTCACTCAATACAACAACTCTTCTCAACATCCATCTGCGCAGCACCGCCATCATGTTCAGTATCGGCCCTCCCAGCTCATCCTCTGGCTCCCAATCATCCAGCATAGACGTCTCACCCAGCAGAGGATCAGAATGGTCCACCACCTCTGAACCTCCGACCGACCCAAAGACCCCTGAGAAGCGCTCATCGTCCAAGTCGTCCAAATCGTCCACTGAGTCATACTGGTCTGACGACAGCGACACACCCGTCAGACCTCGTTTCCGTTCGATCAGAAGAACCAGAAACTTGTCCCCTAGAGATACTTCTGACGAAAGATCTCTGCTCTCGACTCTCGATTCTGGAACAGACTCTGGTTCCGAAGAAACTACCGAGCCCACCTCTGAGCACTCGGACGATCAGAGCGAGGATCCCTACTGCGATGCCTTCCCTAACCCCGAAACTTGGGAGCCCCAGCATGACACCAGAAACATCGACCCTCTGAAGCTGGGTGCGATCCCAATGCGCCCCATGCCTCNNCCGTGAGTTCCTCCAGCTTTGTTGTGCGTCGATTGACCAGAGACTAACCATTCCCAGATCGCCATCCACTCTGACTTCAAGCAGCCACGCGAAGCATGGGGTCTGCCCGCATTGAAGTTGCGCTGCCCCAACGACCCTCGCCGCCACCCTTACCACATCTACCAGTGGAACACCAAGAAGCTCAACTGCTACTTCGAACACGAGAGCGACTGCCAGCTCTGCGGCGCTTCCTGCTGCTCAGTCAAAGCCTACACCAAAGCCATCAGCGAAGACCCTCGCCCCAACCCCGTAGTGCCTCTGAAGTATCGCAAGGCCTTCCAGCGCGACATTGACGAGATCAATATCATGAAGCCCAAGACCAGCGACCCTTTTGAGAGAATGCTCAAGTGCGATACTTGTTACCGCAATGTTTGTCCTGATTGCGCTGGTCGCTGCATGAAGTCTGCTTGTCTGCGCATTATCTGCAACTCTTGCGGTGATCCTAACCCTTGGTATCATTGCCAGTGCGAGATGAGTGGGNGTATGGTCAAGATTAGCTACATTTGAGCTAGCACTGCAAGCTTCACTACAACACGCGCTGTCAACACACTCGCACCACAAGATCAATGTACAACAGTTTCCTATCTCAACACACCGGCTGGCTTCTCAAACGTCGTTCTCATGCAGACCAACGACAAAGGCATCGACCTCAAAGGAAGCGCCAGTCGCTGCACGTTCAGCATATTCAGTCTTCGACAAGGGTGAGAAATACTGGGTTAAGTCACAAACTCAACCACAGCAACCCAAAAAGGAATTTGAGGTCTCGCTTGACGACTTGGATGGGCTAGAAGGATGAAGGTGGAAAACGACACTCGGATACAAAGGCTAGAGATGGCAGCAAGGAAGGAAGTTTGGCATGTCCATCAAGCAAACCAAGAGATGTTTGCTACCTTTGAGTTGTCTTTGTCATAACCACAGAAGTGAATACGAAGACCATTGACCATTGAATTGTTGTCTACTCATGTTCTTCTCGCGATATGTATGCTCAAGGAAAAAGACGTGTCGTCTCTCGCAGCTGCAGGAAAATGTATTGACACCGAATGCGATCTACACAGAAAAGTTGTGTGCAAATCTAGGAAGGTGCAATGCTTCTTGAAACCAACATCTTTGTCAGATGAATTTGTTGTTCGTCGTGTGTAGGCGTAGAAGTGTAGTCAAAAAGATCGGCGTTTTTCGGGACGCGTGAAGCCGACGAAACACCTCCATCCTCAGAACGCCTCAAACCCTATTTTTATTCACATCAACACTCGACATGGTTTGTCTGAATCTTTGAAATACTTGGCCACTTGTATAGTAGATTAGTACCAGTCTTCTCACACGCTTCCGGACTTGGTAACAGGAACAAGAACGGTTAGGAGTTTCTTCCATCAAAAAGTCTTTTCCACAAGCAAGGCACCAAGCCAAGATATCACTTCTTCGAGGAAAGCAGTCATCACAAAGGAGCCGGGAAGAAAATCTACGACATCACAAAATCAAGAAAAATGACACCTCGACCGTTTCCACAAGCATTGAGTATAGGCACCGATATATGCCACTACCCACGCTTTGCAAAATACTTTCCAGTCCACCAACATCTTTCCTCCACAACAACAGCAATATCATCACAAACCCTGCTTTTCCGGCTCTTCGACAAGGCGTTTTTGCCATCAGAGCAACGGGCATTCTGGCGACGGTTTCAAGATGCTCCTTCTTCATATCGAAGATTTGTGCCTGGGGAGAGCACAAAAACGCAATCACAGCAATGGGACGAGCAAAAAGCAACCGAAGCAGCGAGGTATTTGGGAGGCAGATGGGCAGCCAAAGAAGCAGTGATTAAAGCTTTTACTGCAGAAAGAAGATTACTGCTCAGAGATGTGGAGATCAGGGCTGAAGGGAGGGGTAAACAACCATTGGCTGTTGTTCTCGACGTCAGCAGCGAAGAAGCGCCAAAACATCAATCTGCAAAAGACGTCTATGGGCAATTGGTCAAGAGATGGGAATTACGAGAAGAGTTGAAGCAGTTGCAAAAGGGAGATGGTGTTCGCATTATCAGGAAGTTCAGTTTGAATCGGCATACAGCACGANGAGCAGGAAATGAAGAAAAAGACACCACCACGGCAGCAAGAAACTACGGTGTTGGAAACCTCTACTACTACACCGGATCCCACTTCTGCTGCTACCACCACAACCACTCCTCCCNNATCCTCTCCAAAGACGGTATCCTCGACCTCTCCGTCATCACCCAAATCCTAGAACAACACCAACAAACTTCCTCCACCCCACCAACACCTCAAACACTAGAACCAATCCAAAATCAAGACNAGCAACACAGAGGACGACACGCCAACAGAAGAGCAACAAGCCGCCCACCAGACCCGTCTGGAAGAAGAAATAAACCGTCTACGCAGAGAAGAACAGCAANNCAAGATGCTTGGAACAATTTACAGGGCCAGGTGGTCAAGCTGAGTATTTCGCATGATGGCGAGTACTGCGTTGCTTCCGCTTTGGCTGCCGTATGAGCAAAGGATTGGAAGATGTGTCGAGATAGAGAGACCAACGAAAAGCTTCAGATCATCGATGGAGGTGTGAACAAGCAGAGTCGAAAGATGCAAAGAAGCATGTAATTATACTTGTGTACGATTCTAGTCTCATGTAAAGAAAAGAACAAAAGGCTCGAGAAACCACACCTTGAAAAACGCCATATGCCAATGAGATAAAAGAGCCGCTTGCTGGTCTGATGAAAGAAAAGAGACAACATGAAAAGGAAAGAGAAGCATGAAACCAGCCCCCATCAGAAAAGACATTATAACCCGGCCGTGGATCTCATGACAAAAGGGAAGGGAAAAGAGGCAGAGCCCAGAACCAACTACTCCAGCCTCTGCATCAAGCTCTTCCTCACACTCGTATTAACAACCCCACCAACACCAAACGCAGGCACAATCCTCGCCATCCTCGCAAACGAACTCTTCAACCAATCCACCCTAACCTTTGCCATCCTCTCCCTAGCCCCCAGTGTCCCATCCCTATTATACAAATCCAGACCCAGCAAATGCAAAGGCGTAGAAATCAATTGCACAGCAGCAGGAGCAATAAACTGTGCAGCCGACGCAGCAGAAACATGTGCTTGCATACCTTCACTCAGAGGCAAGAGCGGCGCAATTAATGGTGGCACATTAAACGACGCAAACACTGTAAGACAATCCCTGACTGCGAATAACGCATAACTGGGTCCAGGGATGGGGCGAGGAGAAGATGTAGCCGCGCCANNGAGTTTGGCAAATCTGCTGTCCTTGTACAGGCACAGACTCAGATTTGCAGAGGAGGTTGCGAGGAACTTTGCAGGCCCAGAGGTGGTGGTTGTCGCGGGTTGCCCTTTTACAGTGCTGGAACAGGTGTCGAGGATGTTTGCCGTGATATAGGTGCCCCCATACAGCGCAAAGATAAGAGCAAACGGCTTGGAGAACAGAAAGTGGTGCGGTCGTAAGGTGAATGTGGCCAAAGAGTCGCGTAACGAGCGTCCTAATGTTTGTCTGCCTGAGGCATTCTCTATGATTGCCTTGTCTATGGCCGTAATGACGGGAGCAACCAGGGCACCGGCTGTTGCTGCAGATGCTACATCGGCGGCAAGTCGTAGACTGAGGTTTTGCGTGTTCCAGCGTGTTGTGCTTGTCGTCGCGGGACTCATCATCTCAGTCTTGACATTCGGTCGGGATGCGCCGGGACCGGCAGCCGCACTCATTGCTTCCTAGAGGTCGACGTGTTGTGTTGAAGCAGTCGTCTCTGGCGTTCTGCATGTGATGGAGACACCGTTTGTCCTGTTCTTCCAAGGCCTCCTCTTTTCTCTTGCAAGTTGTCCAAGGTCGTCGTTGTACGGAAAAATGAATGTTCCTCTTATCAGTTTGAAGAGAACGGGGAATTGATTGCTTTGTATGACGCGCTTTCGGGCTGGGGAGTTGTCTCACTCACCCGGCGACCCGGGATAATATCTGCCGAAGACGCCGACCTCGCTCTTCTGACCGGCCGCTCCTATCTATCGTCCCTATTGTCAACAGTGCTATAGGCAAGTGGAGGAGCATATGACTCACTGAACATTGAGAACAAGGGAAGTGGTTGGACCTTCTGCAACATGATATTTGCAAGGCAGAACCTGATACAGTATGTGATCCGCCAAGTCAGAGAGACAAGGCACAGCAATACAGGACAGAAGAAGAATATGTACATTAAACTAGAAGAATGCTTATTCTATATCACATTACTTAGAAGCTCAGAAGATCGCCGTTGCCATTCCCCACAGTAGGCTGATAGACTTGCTGTGGTTGGTTCTGGTTTACGACGAACATAGTCTGACCTCCATCTCCGCCTCCTGGCGAGGCATAGCCATCGTCGTTAAGTCCCATGTTAGCCATCTGCTGGCTTCCAATCGTCGAGAAATACACGTCCGCTGCATCGACGGCTGCTGCAAGATCGCCATTAGCAGCATGCGCGTTGCCGTTCTGTCGCTGTTGTGCGCTGGCCATTGAAGTCATTTCTGTCCAGTGCTTTTGTGCGTCCAACATAGCTTGATGGCTAGGTAATCTATGCTTTTGCAATGCAGGGCTCTCAGGTACGATGCGCGGGCGTGCGGAGCGGAAGACAGACTTTATGGGCTTCAGGTAGATAGTTGCGAGTGAGCCTACCACCAAGCACATCTCTTGCAGGGTGAATGGGTCCAACTTTTCTGTTTCTGCCGTGATTGGAGGCTTCTCTCCCATGACGACTTGCTTCGCCGCTACAGGGTCTGAGGAAAGTAAACGCCAGTACATGTATCCTCTGTCACGAAGATCGGGGTTGTCTGTCTCCTCGGTAGCCCACTTCAAGACCTTTGGTACAAGCTCTTGTCCTTTNTTGGGTCTTTGGATGAACAGCTTTACCGTCGCTGTCAGAAGGGCCAGTTGGACCTCGTGCGGCTCGTCTGCGAATGTGTACAAGAAGTCGTCCAGGAGAACATCACTGTTGTCAATTCTGTCGGCGTATTGTCCAATGATCCAGATCATAGCAGCCTTTGCCTCAGGCTCGTCCAACGAATCAAGATTCTCACATAGCGTGCTGATAATCGACTCGTACTGGTTAGGATACTTGCGGAAGATGTTGCGAATCACCACCGTCGCTTCTTGAACAATGTATGAAACCTTGGTCGCAACAAGCTCCAGAAGTGTGTTGATACAAAGTCTTGCAGCAGGTTCAATCTTGATGGCCAACTTTCCAATGGCGCGAACAGATTTCCTGACAAAGTGAATATCAATCTCGGTCGCGTATTCTCTCAGCTCGTTCAGAACCTCCTTGATGTTGTCCTGGGTTGCGAGCATGAAGATGAGTTCCAGCTTGGTGACCTTTACATAAATGGGGTCGTTGTACTTGCAGAAGAAGACACGAATGTCATTCTTCAAGATGTCCGGTCTCCTTTGCAGGATCAANAGGGCGTTTCGCAAAGCGAGATATTGGATTTCGTGGCCCTTGGAGAGCAGTGTCACCAGGGGAGGAGAAAGCTTGTTCATCAGAGCTGTGATGACCTTTTCGTCTGCAATGTAGTTCATGAGGTAAAGAATGAGGCGGATACAACCAAGAACGACTGCAGAGTTGGTGTGAGAAAGGCGAGGGGTGATGCGCTCAGCCAGCATGGAAGCCTGTCCCGAGTCCTGAGGAACAAAGTTCATGAGAGCCTCGAGGATATATGTTTGGTTCCACTCGGACGTTTCTGCCAGGATGGAAGCAATCTTGGAAGCACTGTTATAGTCGATGGTAAGTTTGATGGACTCGCTCCTCTCCCAGATATCAGTCAGGGAAGCCAGGGCACTCGAGACGACAGTGGGATTCTCATCTCTCAACATGTTGTTCAATCCAGTGATTAGATCCGAGCTCTCAACCAAAGTCTTGTCGTGGTCATAGAGTTTGGCGACACAGAAACAAGCGGTTTTGCGCACGTAGGGGTCGGCATCTCGCAGAAGGTGTTTTGTGGGAGTGACGGCGGCTTCGACAAATTCGCGGACGTGGATATATGACATTGTTCGCAGGGCGAGGGCTCGTACTAGCGGGTTCAGATCTTCCATGTCCTGCGCGAGGTCAGCTGGAGCGTTGAAGGGTTTGAGAAGTTTGACAGACCTGGACAAGNNATGAGGCAGGGCCTTGAGGGCAATCTCGGGCTTTATCCTGGCGTAGTGGACAAGGTACAAGAAGCACATCTTCTTGATTTCCAGACTGGCGAGGCCCATAACTTGGATAACATCGGGGAAGAGGGCGATCATGTCATTGTTGCTCATGGTCATATTTGCAACAATCTTCTTGAGGGCAATCTTCTTGCCCAAGTGGCCCTTGTCCTTCTTTCCACCGACAGCCTGCAGTTCTTGTCGCAGTTCGGCGACTTTGCCCTGTGGATTGCGGAAGGCTGGTAAGCCTTGGTCAAGGAGGAATATGGGAGCAAACATGGCTNNCGTCTGTGTATAGATATCGGGGCCACTCACTCTAGCAAAGAGCTTCGCATCTTGGTTTCCTGCGCTCATTGTGGCTTTGTGATTACAGGGAGGTCAATTAGACCAATCCCAAGCGCTCGTGGGTGTGCCCCTCTTCTTGGTATCACTCGAGTTCCGTGTCGCGTGACTGTGTGGTGTGAAGACCAGTCGATTGGTTCAGCGTAGGCGGACGAGGGAGGGACGGCAGGTTGGAGAAAGTGGTCGATACTAAAGTAAAGTCGATGCTCATCAAAGTTGCTGGTCAGGGAGTCGCGATCCTGGGGAAGCCGGCGCGGGACATCAGCGCTGCTCCTGCCGAACGCAGCTCGACTTTCATGCAGTCCATCTCCGCAACACATCGCTCCTGCCACTCTCGAGAAACTCAACAGACATGGCCGTCCCTCTACCACCGCAATGGGTCGTTGACCTAAACGCCCCTCCAACCGCCAAACCAAAGACGTCGACCATTCCCGACCCACCAGGCTACACTGCCCCGACCACCGTCACCACTTCCAAGGTCCGACTGCCCACCGAACGTCACCCTCTGCCCCACTAACACCTTATAGNNTCCAAGTCGTCCAAGAACGCCGTCGCTCAGACATCTGCTCGCAAGGCCCCTACCGCAGAAGAGATGGACACTTTGAAGCTCAAGAAGGCCTGGGAGGTTGCCATCGCTCCAGCCAAGCAGCTGCCCATGAACGCTTTCGGCATGTACATGTCGGGCAACAGTCTCCAGATCTTCAGTATCATGATGGTCTTCATGCTGTTCAAGGGTCCTATCCAGGCCCTCATCAACATCCAGAGCGTATTTGCTCGCTTCGAGTCTGAAGGCACCCGCGACCGCCTGATCATGGTCAAGCTTGCCTACGTCGCATGCAACTTCCTGGCCTTGGCTCTTGGTATCTGGAAAGTGAACGGCATGGGTCTGTTGCCGTATGTTTTCTTCTCCTATGGTCTTTCCTTGCTAATGTGACGACAGCNNACCACCCGTTCCGACTGGCTCGCTTGGGNNGAGACTGCTAGGGAGCCGCTTGCAAGAGCTTATCCCAGCTCCCTGTTATGATGTACAAAATCGTGTTATGATACCCCTAACTAAATTACACATCAAGATCCATATTGTGTCCATGCCAGCACTACTGTACCGGACTTTAATCTACTGAACGAAGAAGAAGAAGAGTGTTTTATGTACAAACTTTACACAAGATGACCGTCGCGTCTATTATGGCTCCTATTATAGCTCCTTTTCCTTGACGGCGCCAGCTTTGGACTCGATTTGGAGAAGGTCGGATCTGCCTGTTTCAGGGCGACCGTGGACAGCGGCATCCCCACCGACGGTCGAGAAGGCCTTGTGGAAGACCCACTCGACAGCATGTTCGACAGGCTCGTCGAACATGAACGGCAATGCAGGGACGGCGGCAAGACCCAANCTGTTGTCATAAGTTAGCTAACGAAAGCCCTGATTGAGAGAACAAGTACTTACACCGATGGGACCCCACGTTCGAAGCTTGACGTTCTTGTTATTCTTCAGAGCTTTACCAGCGTATTTCACGATCGAGTGGATAGTGAAGGCAGGCAGACCCATACTGGCAATACCTTGGAAGATTGCTCTTTGCGCCATGACTGTTCTATAGTCCTCGATGAGAGGAATCTTGCCGGGGTGAGTTGANGTTACACTGCCAGAAGTAGCTGCGGCAGGTGTGTTCTCGGTAGAAACGTCGGGGTTGCGGACATGCTGGTTGCGGATGTAGGCCTTGTAGCCCTCGTGCGAGACATCACCGATCAGATAAGCCCACGAGATACCGTACGCACCCTTGACTAGGTAAGGGTGGGCAATGGGTCTGAAGCTCTCGCCAATATCACTGGTGTATGCTACGTAACGGTGGGCCGACATCAAGATGGTACGGACTCTTGAGGCATAACCAGCGTAACGGACAGAGCTCTCGGTCGATTCTTGAGCGTGACCCTCGTACATAGTCTCCCATAGCTTCTCTTCATTGTCCAAAGTGTCTTGTAGAGCGGCAGGAAGTCTCTTACGAGGCAGAGGTTTTGAGAAGTCAGGTCGTGGCTCGTTGGCTCGCTCGCGTGGGATATCGTCAAAGTCGATAGGCTTGGTGTTGTTGTTCTTGTCGTTGGACATGGCGGCGGTGTTGGATTTGTCGTTGGAACTAGAGGCCAGGGAGAAGGGATTCGCGCAGATCGATCTTGGGGACATGCGATGGTTATATAGATAGCTACCTGTCTGCCTTGGTATTGCGCGTGGATGACCTCGAATTACCTCGGTGATAGTTGCGTCACTTCCGGCTTATGCAAGCACAAAGTTATGGAATGCGCGACCGGAGTGCCAAGACTTGGTTCCCGTCGCAGCTTCCCTTGTTCAACTCGTCCTCACAGCGATCGAAGAGAGCCCATACCGTATCGCCTTTCTCCCCGTCCAACCCCGTCAATCTCTTCACTCCGTCAAAATGGTTGTTATGTACAACATCATGGGCCGCCAGGTCGGATCCCACCACGTATGCGCGCCGCCCGACAAGACCCCCGACTTCCGCGACCATAGATGATTGACAGAGAATATGAACAGCNTCGCCCTCGGTATCCTCACCTCCCTCTTCGCCGGTATTGGTTACGCCTCAAGCGGCGGTGCCAAGAAGGCCACTGGCTCTACTCCCNCCATCAACGCTTCATCCAAGGACGAGGAGAACTTCATCCAGTACGTCGCCTCTTTTGTTTTGTCAACCGGATCAGAAAGAGCAAGGGAACCCAGACATACAAGATTTCAATGGCTAGATCAGAGCAATCATACAACCTCTCCAGAGCGCATGCTGACGGGTCGTCCCCTCCAACAGGCAATTCCTCAAGGAGAGCGAGAAGAAGCAGGAGCAGGCCAAGCACTAGATATCGGACGCCAGGAGAGTCATTTATTCGAAAGCCAGACAGAAAAGCTTTGGGAATTACGAGTCAAAGCCATCTCGTGTGTATATATACTCTACACCGACGTCCCTCTTTGCAAGCGCCAAATGCTGGCGCAGGGCATGTCAGTTGAATTGATGAAACCCGGTCCAAAAACACAAGTCTGCATGCCTTTGACTGCATCTTGTTTGTCCCTTGTTCGAGCTCCATCGTTCGTTATTACCTGATCATAGCTGATGCTTGACTTGGTCTCTATCGTGTGTATACAGTCTCTTCTGCCAAAGTAAGTAGATTCTCATAACACATCTGCCCGTTCGCCTCCAGTCCTGGCTGAAACTCTGAAGCGCTGAGCAACCTACCTTTATCTTTGTGGTCAAATCGTTACGCATCAGGCCATCCTTTGAACCTGTTCTCCATAGCCGGTATATACCCGCTGTCCCGTTTCGGCAAAGACAGCCGTTTCCACGGACGTGGTTGATCTAAGTTTCTATCTCGTCATGTGCTCAGTTGACTGTTGGCCAAGCGTCCAAGTAAATCTAGGCACTATCTATCTAATTTATATCTATCCTCGAGCTGCTACTTTGATCTTTTCATTCTTGTTGAAACACTTCTGGTCTGGCCAATTCTTGGAAAAGAACATCGCTGTAACAGTAGCGATCGGACGAGCGGCATCTTGGACATTGGTCGTCGCGTACAGTCCATACCCTTCTCGAACAACACACTACACCAACATACAACATGAGCAAGACTCTTGCGCAAAAGCACCTCCGGATCTTCCTGGACGGCGAATCACCTCACGATGGATTCAATCAACCACACCACTACAAACCCGGCCAAAAGATCAAAGGCACAGCCAGCTACTCGCCCTCGACAGAAGTCAAAGTGCACACCATGACCATAATCTTCAAAGCAACCCTCTACAACGAAGTCAAAGACAGCGGCCAAGCCTCCTACGGCTGCGTGCGCACCGGAAACCAATCCCTCTTCCGCCACGAAAAGACCATTCTCCAAGGCCCCCACAAGGTATCTCCCAAACCTCACGAATGGGCTTTTGAATTCGACCTGCCCGAGAGAATCAAGGTGCCTTTTGTGGCAGACTTGCAACCCGTGCCGCCGACTTGGAATGTGATTTCAGCGGCGCGAGTGGTTTATTCGTTAAAGTTGTGTGTGAATCCGCATCGCAATTCAAACTCGACACAGATTGAGCGCGATATTAATGTATGGCCCTTCGAGCACATGGACTTGCCTCTGCCAACACCAGGAACGCAACTCTTGCTCGCTCCCGATCAGCCGCGGATGAACGCAATGACACGACGCCGATCCTCGACTCTGAGTTTAACGCAACAGCTTTCCCGCAGACGCTCTTCTGTCATCAGTGTTTCCTCGCCTCTAAACCTCGCAATCTGTATTCCTTCCTCCCTGGGCGCGTGGCAAAAATTCGACATTAAGCTTGTATGCCACAACAACGATATTTCCGCAACCTCCGATTCCTNNCCCCCCTCAACCTACATCCTCCAAACTTGCGAACTAGCCCTAAAAGCCCAAGTCTCGTTTACAAACAACAGACCCTTACCCACCAACACCGACGACCCAAAACCCCCAGCATCTCCANTCGCAAAGTTTAAACTTCTCGGTAACGGGCTCGCAATCCCCACTTCCGCAATTCCAGTCACGGTANAAAGGGATATGATGCTAGTAGACCTGACACGCGGGGATGCCTCTATGCTAGTTCCTGATTTTGGCATCGGTGCGTTTTCGCTAACTTATCTCTGGGATGTGGTTGTACAGCTACAAGATTCAAAGACGGGGAATATGGTGGAGAGGAGAGCAGAGGTGCCGTTGAGTGTTTTGCCGGGTGGGTTGGCAGAGGATAGAGGCGACGAGGATGAAGATGCGCCGCCAGGGTTTCATGAGGCGGTCGCGCCGCCGGGGTATGAAGAGGAAGATGGAGTGTTGTGGGCTGGAGAGAGTCATACGCCGGCGTACACACTTACTGCTTGAAGCAGCTTTTTGGGTAAGAGGGGGTGTGGGTGGGGAAAAGTCATGTATTGACAATATGTAGATTATGGATAATGGTTGTTTCACACAAGGATGCAAAAAGCTGTTTTCGTCTTGTAATTCTACTCACGTCGTTTCCGAGAGATGTGTTAATGTTCTCAATACATCAACATCTTCAACCTCACTGCAGCATGATCACCGCCAAAACACATGTTTCTCCTACCACCCTGACCATAATATAGATCCAACTCAAATTCATCTTGCTCAGCATATCAAATCTACACCTGAGATACAAGCGGACTGGTCCTGTTTCTAGTCTTTGACATGTGGTTCATTACGCGAAAACACATTCATGCACCCCTCGTGTCAAGAATCGCTAGAGTCGACACAACCAGAGGAGGCGAATGTGATACGCAAGGCATGAACCAAAGAGTTCTACCACGATGAAAGCTCACGTCTAAACCCATCAAGTTTCGTCCCTGCCTCAATAACCACCTCATCAAAATAAGGAGGATACTCTCCATTCCTCTCCAAAGAATCGTTACCACCGTGACAGCGATAAGCACGTTTGAGTATTTCAAACACCTCCACTTTGACTCCCTCCGCACCATCAAATGCCACAAAAGCATCCCTGATAACCGAGACATTCCTATACTCCCAAGCGTGAGAGTCGAAAAAGTAGAAGAGTAACTTGAGTGACTTCAGAGCAGGTGTATAAATGTGAGCCTCACACAGAAACTCGATGAGAAGCTTAATAACTTCAATATCAGAGTGTATAGGATGGTCTTGCTGGCAAGACCACACAGCATGCAAATCCCAATCGAGGCTCCAAGGGGAGACAAAGGTCCAGTTGTTGAGCCAGAGCACTGCTCCATCGTCATTTAATCAGAGCTCCTGAAGTGTCGAAGGAAGCGAATGATGCAATTTCATCATCTCCCCATTGACGTGCTCTAGCTTGTTAACCAGTAACTGCAAAGGCACATGCAATATTCTCAAACACGCAAACTCGCGAAAAGATATCCTGCGAAGTAATTGCCCCCACTCTGCTCGCGGAGAAACAATGTGTAAGTGCAAGGTTTCTAGGGTGTCTTTTACCGAACGCAATGCTCGCTCAAGGGTACGTATACTCACAAGAACTTCAATCGAGGGATCCGGGTCGCCGACCATGGGGTCCGGTTGTTCGTCTTCTGGATCCTCATCTGGTGATCTGGTCCAATAATCATACTTGAGCGATCGTAGATGTGGACAAAGAAGGAGTAAACCGTACAACCCATGCTCGTTGAGATAAGTATATGACAAACTCAAAGATGCGAGTTTCGATGCCATTGGAATCTGCTCAATAATCGGTAACAGACAATCCATCGCCAGGTCCGGAATATTAAGCGATAGATCTCTTAGAGCAGGCAAATGGAGAAACAGAAACTGAAGAGCTTGCAAAGACTGATAAAAAGGCGCTCTACCCCTGCCCATCCAGACTTTCTCTCCGAACACGCCTACGGAGGCAGTGTTCAGAAACGGCAAAAGCCCCGATAGCCGAGGAACAGAAAAGAATGCCAGTGCTTTCTGAAGATCTGGATCAAGTTCCAATAACCTTAGACCAGGAACACAAGCTAAAATAAGAGCCGCAAACGCAGTCGGGTCGCCATTATCGAGTTTCTCAAGCCACTCGTGTGATGGGACATGGCTATCAGAGCCAATGACGAGTCGAGCGCGTTCCCAGTCACAAAGCTCAAGACAAATCTGCTCAGGATCCGTCCACACAGATCGTGGCACCGGTCCAGTAAGCCTCAGCTCCAATACCAGACGCGCCAACGACGGAACCGACATCAATGTCCTTGCCAAAAGATACAACGACGGATACGATCGCTCAAGTCCAAAGGGTTGCGCAATACACGCAGAGTTAAAGTGATGGCTGTGTCTGCGAGATATCCGGACGCCAGAGACAGGAGCGCGAAGATGCTGACCCTCGCAATAGCCCATTTGCTCGCAAGAGCAAGGGTCCAGAAGAAGGGTATCCATGCCACGGTCGCACATGGGTATCCCACGGCGCCAACAGAGGTCGACATTCTCGTACAAGAGCGGTGTGACATGTGTATTCCAAGTCTTGGAGACACGGGCGCAGGCCACAAGCTCATGGCAAGGGACGAGCGAAAAGATTTGTCGAAAGACTTCGGCAGGGAGTGCGCTTGAGGTCATGACATGTCGACGAAGTGACCGAGAAATTTCTTTCTGGAAGCCCTCGAACACAATGAAGGGCGCAAATCTCGAATGGACGCCTGATTGTAGATGATACAATGGCACCACAACATAGGGCTAGACATGGTAAAACAGGATTGGAATTCAAAGAAATGGATATTCAAAACAACACTATCAAAAACAGTAAAAGGGAAAAAGAAGAAAACATCAAGAAAACGGGGAATCCATAGAAGCAGAATAAAGGCAACACACTCTGAACAGGTATGATGGAAAAGCAGAACGCAGAGAAACACGAAGAGCAAGAACAAACAGGAATCAGGTAAGCATTCTCGCCATTCGCCTTTTCTTTTCCCACATGATAACATGAAAAGATGAAACAGATGCAAAGCCAGAAAAGATCGCTTCCGTCGTTCCCATCTCCAAAAGAAGAGGTTGCAGGCTTGGTCTTTCCTTCAGATCGGCGCTCTTCATCACTCGGTCGTCAAGAATAACTGTTCGTCGGTCGTTGTTGCGACAAGTAAGGAAATGGGGGAATCATATTCGTGACCTCATGTCACTGGACGCCTCGAAGGCCGCGAGATAATGCAAGACAACTGAAAAGAAGCAGATGCAAAACGCGCAATGAACAGAACCAGATGATGCTCAAAATGCCGTGTGCTCAAAACTGTGTAGACAAGCAGGTTTCACCTTCCGTGGGCACTTTGCACAACGAGCATCATCTTCTCGTTCTGTTGGATTGCGTCCTCCAGGGTATCGTCGTTTATAAGTGGTGTGTAGTCGCCAGTTCGCTCGTTGCGAACCTCAATATCGAGCTCGGTCTCCTCGGAACGTGGGTCTGCCTCGCCGTACTCTAGCCTGCGTCTTTCCAGGATCTTTCGATATAGGTCATCAAAGTTGAAAGCACCTCGCGGCGGCAGTCGCAGGACGACACAGGTCTCACGGTCGAACCAGACCTTGACCTTTAGAGCACCACCACTAGTTGTTGCCGAAGATGTTGTTGCGGTAGACATGGCTGTAGTTTGACGTGCGAGGGGCGGAGCGGCAGTAAGGGTGGTATGCACAGTGTTGTCAGTATATTGTGAAGGTGTTCGATAGTGACCAGGAGGAGCGCGCATAGAACCACCACCGACAGACGCCTGTTGACGTTGGTGTGCAGCGAAAGATTGCCCGCTAGTCGATTGACGAGCGGAATTAATTGAAGTGGCATACTGGCCAGATGCATGCGAAGCGGTTGAGTAACGATCGGACTTTGTCTCTGCAGCAGCACGACTATGCTCATTGAGATCGACAACATTCGGGTCAACCTCGTAATCACCAGCATGAGGGCTGAAGAAACCGCGAACTAGTGTGCTGTTGACAACGTGAGAACCAAGACGCAACAACTTATATAGATACTCGTCGAGATTTTCGCGACGACCTTCGGTGATGCGATCCGTCACGAATTGTACAGGGCCAGGCATCAGTGGGAGAGTACGAGGCTGCCCTGTGTTGCCAGCTTCATCAGGGAAGGCCTTGATGAGGTTGATCTGTAGCTCATAAAAGTCTTCGTATATGCGGGTCAAATCCCAATGAGAGCCATCGGCCAGTGTCGCCTCGACAATGAAATGGAACTTCTCGTCCAGGTACATGTAACGCGGTACCGAAGCGCGTAGAGGCGCAAGTGGGTACTGCGAATGCGCCTGCGATGTGACACGCTGCGACACTGTTGACATGTTGCGAGAGTGACCACCATTGTTGAGACTCATGCGATCCATGCCTGATTGTAGACCTGCTATTGACTGAGCGGCTTGCATGTTGCCGATCTGCCCTAATGGGATGCTGGTGTTTTTGTAGTCCGCTGCCATCTTCTTCCACTCTTCCACCCTCGGAATACCAGCTCTTGCAACAGCCTCAGCCGAATCGATCGTCTTGCCGCTTGTGAGGTCTTTGATCTCAACAAAGGATACTGGTATGAGGCCTGGGCCACCCAATCGCGTGATGGGCTTTGCGACAAACCATTCTGGATTCGATTGCGCAATGACGATGATGGCTTCTCCTTCGTGAGCCTCGAGCTCGTCGGGGCGTTCGGCTTTGAAGTCGTATGCGACGATACCGTAGACAGGGGCACCGCCGGACCTGCCCATCGAGGACTTGCTCATTCTTGAGGGGTCGTGCGACGACTTGTCGGCATACCCACTGTCGTGGTTGGTGCTGGGCGACGAGGTGGTCGAAGCGCTGTCGCGCACTGTTTTGCCAACCTGTTCAAAGTAGCTGACGGGTACCAGACCGCGCGAGTTATGGAGCGGGTTGCAGGCTTCGTACCACTCCGTGTCGTCCTCGCGTCCTGTAACGTGGAGGAAGTCGCCAGAAGCAAAGGACAGGAAGCGAACGGAAGGGTTGTCTGTAGGTGCGTCCCAATCATACAAGGCCTTTATGACCTTCTTGGGNGGTATAATCGCAGTGGGGTCTTTCGCTTGTATTGAGGAGCTGTGGTTATGCGAAGTATGCGACGAGCGTCTGAACTTGACCATGATTTTGAAATTAGATTGCTAGCTTGTTTCGCTTCTTGGCCCGTCAATGGCGAACAGGGGAGTGACACGACCAGGTGAATGCTGTGTTCTTGTGCAAGAGAGAGAGAGGATCCAGGAATAGTAAACCGGTAAGTCAGAGAGCCGCCCTTAAGAAGGCCAAACGTTCAACCAAGGAACGATTCTGCCCTCAATCGATGGCTGTAAGAGGAGCGATGGCTGTATTGATTTAACTTTGGCTAACCAACTGTCGACGGTCGAGCGTTCAGTTCGCAGCCCTGTCTCGACGCGTTCAAAGGGGTTGATGCTAAGTGTTCCGATCGCGAAGTGAAAAAGACAGATAGGGAGTTCCTTGAACAAAGACCCGAGCCTCGGTGGAGACATACGCGTGCTGTAGAGGCTGCTTTGAGTGTGCTGCAGGGTGGTTCTTGGGATCTTTAGTGGCTCCCCGTAAAGTGGGGTACCAGTGTATCTTCGCGCTTGCGATTGCGACTAGGCCGGCAATTCGTGGTGTTATTTACAGATGCGCGCGCGACTCTGAACAGCTTTCGATATTGTGGTTGATTATATTTGTATCGAGTAGTTGGCAGTGAAGTTGGGTTCTTCGTGAATCCACCTGACAGGTTGGGTAGGAAGCTGCATCCGGCGAATTCATTGTTCTTTCCTCGCTCGTGTGCCACTGCCACATGAAACGGTTCGCTGACGTCGACGTGTTCAAAGCGATTACTCTCCTGATAAAGCGGCTCCTTGTCTTGGATTGATATATCCATCAAGACATTGTTAAAGCGCATACGAGTGGTTAGGCAGATCCCGGCTGTCGATCATGTAAGCAGGGTTCAAGTTCGATTCATGCCCAACACAGTCAGTGTGAATGCGTGATTGCCTGTACCAACACGTGGAAGGAGAATGATTGCATTATTAACTTGATAGTACTAGAGCAAAGAAAGGGATCATGTATCAGAATGAAACAGGTGCGACACTCGACGCTGCCACTCCAACGTGCATGCAGCCTACGTGCGCCAAACATGAGACATGAATGAAAGCTGTAAGGATCCCAATCGATCCAGTACCGTTGGGCTCTGCTTCGGGTCGCAAGGCCAAAATGCTTGATTTTTTAAGTCGAAAGGAACAGATATGCATGAAGTCTGAGACCGCCAGAAATTGCCGGGCCTACCAGATCAATTGATCTCGGATCTTTCTCATGGACTGAGGGCGTGACGGAACATATCTACTCGAGATATTTCACCTGGCCATAGTTCAGACTGGTAGCAGTATTCTCTGGACGGAGGAACCGTCTATACCAGCAATCCGTAGGACATGACTTTATAGCAAAGAGCGTAGATAGATCCAGAATATGACGAGCCAGGTAAAGGTTGGATGGCACAGCAGGGAGCTACGAACTCCGTTGCTGGCTGTTATTCCACCCATCCGTACGAATGAAGGCCTCTCAGATCTGACCTTTAATATCGACACGGTATGCACCATTCTTGGCTGTCTCAAAAATTGGACTTGCTTTCTGGCAAGAGAAGAGATGGCCGTCTGGCTTTTCTTCAAAGCAATGTTGTGCGCCATGTTCACATAGAAATTGTGCGCATTGCTCATCAGTCACGAACGCCAACTCTTCCGTTAACAAAGAGACTCTGACGCCGGGACGATATCTATCACCGAGTCAGTATAATTGAACAAGAACAGGAAAGAAGTGATGAGGGACTCACGCTCTGCAGATGGCGGCCAAGGCAGCCACTCTTTCTCTGTTGACGAACATGTCCATCAGATAGGCACCCATGTTTGGAGATTCGTTGAACAACCTAAAGAATCTGTGATAATTGCCTGTAGCCAAAGAGGCACGCACTGCCAGGGCATGCTTGACGGCGGGATACTGCTTGTCTGCTAAAGTTAAATCTGCCAAAACATCGTTCATGGTCTGGCGGTTACAGGTATAGATAGTGTAAAGAATGCGGTAAGCCAAAAATTCACCAGGGGAACCTCGCAACTTCATCTTGTACAAGGTACGAAGTTGAGTCTGACACTGATTATACTCACCCAGGTCCCCCTTTTCCAGAGCTATGCGCGCGTGAGCCTCGTACACGCGGACGGTGAAATCATTCTTGATGTGTTGGACAGTGAGGTCCTGTCTCAAAGACTTGAACTGATCGCAAATGTACCCATAGTTGTGCTCATCTTTCCACTTCCTAATAAGAAGGTCCAGAGTTTGCTTGAGGATATGAAGGGGACGAACAGTTTCGGGCTTAGGAGGGGCGGTGAGGCGGAAATAGTTCTTCTCGAGCTCTTGAGAAGTGCCGACACAGGGACCGTCGTTGGCGTCGGGCATGGGAGAGTCGTCACGAGGAGAAGAGATATAAGGAGAATTGGGACCTTGGTTGCCGAGCGCGAAACGCTGCCTTCGTTTCTCGAGGTCGCTCAACTTACTGGGAGGGGCAGTGGCACGGAACTGGTCGGCTTTNTTCTGGCGCTTGTCGGGACTAGGGTTTGTGATGCGGTCGGCGAGGGAGAGGTTCTTCACTCTCCAAGGCGGTATGGGCGACGAGGCGTCTGGGGTGGAGTCCATATCCATGGACTTGCGTTTCTTCGAGGCGCTCATGAGGGCGGCTCGTTCGATGCGGAGGAGTTCTCGTGGAAGAGGATGGCTAGGCCAGTCGATGATGTTAAGTTGGTTTGCTTCGGCGGCTTGGGTAATGACGGCTTTCAGCTTTGCGGCGACGGCACTGTCTTCAATGTCGTCTGGATGGCTGTCGTTCTTGTCGGCAAAGGCGCGCTGGACGTAGTCGCGCACAGGCTGAGGCCACTCGATCTTGACAGTGGTAGCTTGCGGCGGTGCTGGAGGTGCGGCCGCTGGAGTAGGACGGGTTAGTGTGCGACGAGCAGTGACTGCTGTGAATGCCGGCGAGCCTAGAGAAATGGTGTTAGTGAGATCGAGACGGACAGTGGTTGTGTCGTCTTACCGGACTGCCAGGGTGCTGTTGTCATGTTGGATGATCACACGGGGGCAACAAAGAATCACGACGAGACGGCGCAAGAGTGAATGAGAATGTGTTTTGTCTTTGTGTGTGAGCAGAAAGCGCTTGTTCTGCGCACCGGGATGGCAACGGCGACCAACCCTTTGCCAAGAATATGCGGTCACCGATAACCACCCACGTGCCTTCATTAGGTTATACCATATATTCGCTTTTTCCAGTACGTTCTCTCAAGATAAGGTGCGCTTCCTGGCTATCCTCTAGATATCGATTCGGTGCTTGTTCTCTGTCTGTCTCCTTCACGTCCGCCCATACTAGCCCCGCGTTCGAAGGGTCACGGATAACTGCATTGCTGGATGTTTCTTCGCCAACTCGACCTGACGACAGCTCTTCGTCCGTCTTTGTTGCCTGATGAAACTCTCCTATATGTCCAAGATTCGGTGGGACTCTATGAGGGTAAATATAAAATTCCCAGCTACCAGGATGGCCATGCATACTTGACCTCACATCGCATATGCTATGTCGGCAATCAGGAGCCGCGGAAGTTTTCCATCTCCATTGATCTCAAGGATGTCGACAGGCCAGAGTTCTATGCCGGCTTCTTAAAATCATCAGCAAAGGTCACGCTGTATCCGAAAGCTCCAAAACATAATGCTTTGGCTATCAGGAGTCCAAAACCTGGTTATCCAAGTCCGGGTAGTTCGTTGGGATCTACACCACCGAGCCGATATGCCACTCCAGGACGCACTGTTGCACCCTCGCCGGCGCCCGTAAGGGATCCGAACGCGACTTGGATATGTCCCATATGTTCATTTGCGAACCCCGTCCCGTCCAACTTTGATCCAAGCACTGCAAATGATCGGACACCTTTACCGCCGTGTCTTGCTTGTGGTATCAAGCCTCCTCTCGTCCATGTCGTCAAAGCAGCCATCGCAGCATTGTCAAATCGATCAAGCGGTTCAACCTTCACACCTACCCCTGCACCGGCCACAAATAGCCCACTATCATCTTCACCACAGACACCTGTGGATGTGTCTCTAAACCAATGTCCACGATGTACCTTCTCAAACCACCCCTCCCTCAGCAGCTGTGAGATATGCGGCGCAAAACTCTCAAGCTCAGCAGACAGACGCTCCCAGATCATCGAAAGCGCCATCACGCGCCCAGAATCACCAGCCCCATCCCTTCCAACCTCAGTCCTAGGCGACACAACTCCAGAAAGTGTCAAACTCTCCTTCCGCGCCGGCGGCGACAAGATCTTTTACGAACGCCTAAAAGGTGCTTTAGTTCAACGAAAATGGCTGCTCCAAAACGCACCTCCGATACCTAGATCCCACACCGGCGAGTCAAGTCAAACAGCAACATACTCAGCAACCGACGGCTACACACCCACACCCCCACCCCCAAAAGTGGTCGGTATAGCAGGCCTCGAGCAACGAAGAGCAGAATTGCGCAAGAACAACGAATTCGTTATCGGCAGCGCCTTCGAAGACCTCGAAGCCCTCATGACCTCAGCAAAGAAGTAATCGCCATGGCCGAACGCTTCAGATCCCAAAACAGCAACGGTAACAACGAAACCGAAACCGATGCAAACGCAGAAGNCAGCCTCATTGCTCTCAGACATGGGTCTCGTGACCACAAAAGACATGCTCTCAGGCAGCGGCGCCGACCGCACCTACATCGCCGAGCTCTCCCGCAACCTCGCCGAATTCCTCACCGACGACAAGCGCGGCGTCCTCAAAAGAGAAGGCGGCATCATTTCCCTCGTAGACCTCTGGGCCCTCTTCAACCGCACCCGCAATGGCATAGAACTAGTCTCGCCACGAGACTTTGACCGCGCAGCAACTATGTGGGATACACTGCGCTTGCCCATCCGTCTCCGCCGCTTCAAGAGCGGGTTACTGGTTGTCCAGAGCCGCGACCGCACTGACGACAAGACCGTCGCGAGTCTCCTCTCCTGGCTCAAAGATCTTCACTCTATCCCTCCTTCCATGTCAAACACTTCCGAATTCGGCGCTGTGACCGGGCCCTCAGTAACCTGGGACTGGCAAGCCTTTGGCCGTGGCGTAACAGCCCAAGAAACAGCAGAGAGATTTGGCTGGAGCGTCGGTGTTGCGACAGAAGAGCTGGAAATGGCGGAGGAAAGAGGCGCCCTCTGTCGCGAACAAGGTCTCGACGGCGTCAGGTTCTGGGAAAACTTTTTCGCTGATATTCCTGTCAAATTGCCAAAGGCAAAGTCGGCGTCGCAGTTGGAACAGCTGGAGATAGAGAAGAGGCTAAGGGAGAGTGGTCTTTTGTAGATTATGAGATGTCAGGGCCTCGGTTAACGTGTGTATGAGCGTATGGAAGATTTACCAGAATTGATCACAGAAAGACCCACCTATCAGCAGTGTTTTATGCTTGAACATGCTATCACATACTAGAAGGGAGGATGGCTTCAACAACGATATACTGTAGAGCGGACTGCTTGGACAAATTGTGACTTGTTTGAGTATGTATATTAGCTACCACCTGCATCGGCAAGAATATGAGGAAACAGAGACAAGAGAAGCTATCTGAGATATGAACACCATCAACAGGATAGAAGGATAGCCTTGGATTACTTTGTGGGTTTCAAAGCAGGCTTCTCAGGTCGAGCAAGCTCACCAGAAACACCAACAACGTATGCAGTAGATACTGCTGTACCTGCAGCCACGCTCAAACCCCAGACGATTCGACGACGCCAGCGACGTCGCCTTTCCCTGCGCTGTCTCTCACGATGTGTCACTATGTAGGATTTTCCATTACGACGTTGTTCAGAGTGTAAAACCTCATGCGGAAAGGGATAGTATGTCTGCTGTTGGAACTCTGGATGTCCATTCATAGGAATATCAGAGGGCGGACTGGTCGCATTTGTCTGCTTGTAAACAGGTTCGGTCGGAAAAATAGGCTCGTAGTTGACAAAGCCTGTGGGAGAGGCAAAACGAGCACTAGGGGGCTCGATCGGAATATGCTTGGAGGTCCCATCGACGGGATTGATGTGGCCATCGTACAATGGAGGCCTCGACCGTGATTCTGCGTGGACCTTCCGCGATATTAAGAAGTCCTTGTCTGCTTGAATTACCTGATATCCGTCGTTCTGTGCAGATGCAAGGTGTGGTAAGAAACGAGCCGTCTGAGCGAGTTGGGTGATAGCTCGAGGTATTGATATGGGTATCTCGCTGTCCGAGAAGCTGGACGGTGTAGTAGTGATAGTGATAACATCCTTGCTGGAGTCGTAGGCGATCACTTTGTAAAGAGCAGGTTCGGCCCAAGTAATTTTCGGATCCGATTCTGGCGTTGAGGATGCATTTGTAGAGATGTTATCCGGTGCAGTCGTTGATGAAATATGTTCTGCTGCGGTCACCGTCTCTGGCGACGATACGCTGGACTCGATGGGATTGGATGATCCTTCATCGAGCGAACGTCCGAAGAATGCGGTGTGTTGATCAAGCTCTTTCACGTCTGCCTTTGGGTATTCTTCAGAAAACGTGCTTCTGGCAGGCTGCTTGTACCACATATTGCTGTTGTTGAACTTACCCACAGTTGGAGAAAGATCTCCCTCGCCCGGCATGTTCTTCAGATCTGCTTCCAACGATGTGGATTCGTCTTTGGCCTCTCTCTCGAACGAGTTTTCCATGCCAATTGGTGCGCGGGAATAGCCATCTTCATGGTACGAAGCTTCCTCCATCNNTTAGTTTGCAGTCAGCAATGATCTCATGGAAACTTCAAGATCACATACCTGTTTAATATCCTCCTCCAGGGAGCGCTCGCGGCTCTGCTTCTCACGGCGGAACATCATCTGGAGACCCATTGGCATGGTCGCATAGCCGTCCTCGAAAGCAGGCTCACGATTGTCGATCTCTTTCTCGAGACTCTGGCGTTTTCCGAGCATAGTATCCTTCTGCTCCCTGTCAAAGGCAGTCTCCAATCCGCTTGGAGAACGGGCATGACCGTCGTCAGGGACCTGTGCCTGCACTCTGCGGCTCACCTCCTCTTCAAGAGTTTCGGACTTGCCATCTCCAGTGTTTTGCATTTCATTGGCGAAGTGTGTCTCCATACCAAATGGTGAAGTGTTGTACTCGTTCGCAATGGTTGATGCGTGTTTCTGGGCTCTGATCTCCTCTTCTAGCGACTTAGCACTACCTCTCTCTACATCCTCTTGTTCTCGTTTCCACAAAGTCTGCATTCCTTCGAGATTCGCCAGGAAGCTGTCGTTGAGGTTGCGAGCCTGAATGTGGTCGTGTAGGCCATGTTCCAGATCCTTGTGCTGTCCCTTCTGACTACCTTCTGCTTCCCTCTGATAAAGGGTTTGCATGCCGATAGGCTCAGTCGAATAAGCATCATCTGGATCTCTTACAGCTGGACCGGAGGCCATGTTCTCGAGCTCATGCGCCAATCTCTGAGGCATACCCTGTTGCTCCCGATGGTACATCGTCTCAAGACCGGCGGGCTCTTTGGCGAAGCTGTCGGTGTACTGTAGTAAGCCGTCTGCAATGCCGGTCGCGCGAACTTCATCCTCGAGAGTCTCGCGTGCACCCTGTTCAGCCTCCTTCTGCTCATGTTCAAAGAGTGTCTCAAGACCCTGTGGCGAGGCTGAACAGCCATCGTCAAGAGGAGGAGCTTTGATGTTCATAGCAACCAATTCCTGCTCCAGGGAAGACTTGTGACTGAGTTCATCATCCTTTTGTTCGTTTGCGAAGTGGGTTTCCATGCCGCTCGGGGCTACACTATACTCGTCGTTGATTTCCTGAGTGGATCTCTTGTTAAGAGCATTCATCTCTTGTTCGAGGGGTTTCATGTCGCCATGTTCACAAGCCTCCTTCTCATGCTCGAAGGCCGTTTGAAGTCCTTGTGGATTGTTGTCCCAGCCATCTTCGAAGACGGCGGGTCTCTCGGCATCAACAGCGTAGTGAGGCTTGATCATGTCAGGATGAGCTTGACGTTCTAGGATCTGGATCTGCTCACGCAGCGTGTCTAGATGCCTACGGGCTGCGAGGAGCTCATCGTGCTCGGACTGGTATGTCTTGCCGAAATCCTCGGTGAAAGAGGCATGGGTCGTAGGTGTGTTTGCAAGGACTTCGATGTCATCTGGCAGTTGCGAGACGATCATGGGCTTCTGATAAGCCTTCTCCGAGCTTTGGTTGTTCAATTGACCCTTGGTCGAGGTAGAAGTTTGTCTGGTCTGGTTGTTCGCAGGAACCATCCTTCCAGATATGGGATCATAGACTGTGTGGCCGACTTGGTTGGTTTTGGAGTCCCATGATGTAGTTGAAGCTTCAACGGTTGGCTTCGATCCTGACTTGTGAGAGGTGTGAAGCTTGAACGACGAGACTTGTGCGAAGTGTCCACCTTTTCTCGAAGAAGCATCCATCTCTTGTGATAGAAAATCGGGGACGATGGACTTCCAGAATGGCTTCTGACGCTTGCTAGATGCTGTGTCGTTTTGATCTGAACGGGCTTTTGCGGGTGAATCTTGAGCGGCATGATTCTTCTTGTATCTGTTCGAGTGACTCGCAAAGCGGACAGTGGATGGGTACAGCGCGGGATTATTTGTGAGAGGCCAAGGGTGAAGTCGGAGCCTGAGGCCGTGTGCCTGCCGAAGGAACGGCATGATTGTCTGATAAGCTGGTCAGTCCGATCGGAAGTTGAGCCAAATCATGGGAACTGAGATAGACAAAGAACAGATACTTACGACAAGCTTTCCTGTCTGCTCTGTAAAGCGTGACAGGTCGCAATCAAGTACCTGTATGCCAGCGGAATGTGGCTGATCTTATCTCCGGTATACTCGAACTCTCTCTGCGATATTGCGTGATGCCGTTGACGAAAGAACTCGATGGGTCAGTATTGCCAACTTGCTGCCCTCGACGTACAAGCTGTCACAGAACAAGCTTGGAAAGTGCAAGCAGGATGGTTGGGAAAGAACGATTGTGGTTGTTACGTCCTACGAGCAAGCACGAGGGCATTTGTCTACCCCGCTCTCGCCGAGCTCCGCACCTGTCACTGCCTAATCCGATCATGTTTCAGAATCAGCGCGTTGAACGTTGTATCATTTTGGGTGTATGAAGCGCCTGATCTAATTCCCTTCGAGAAAGGTATGTACAGGTAAAGGAAAAACTATTGCAAATCATGTCATGATCATCATGGCTCGTCAGTCAGCTCTCTGGTCGACTTGGTCTCACCCTCGGCTACCTCGAGAGCCTCAATACCGTCGGGTGTGATTTTCACAGCACCCGCTCTGACCAGCGCTTGCTGTAGGTCATCAAGCAAGTCGCCCACATCCTCAATACCAATGCACAGACGGATAATGTCCTCAGGCAAAGCGCGCTCCTTTCTGGTAGCGGGGTCAATGCTGGCATGGCTCATGCGGCAAGGCATGCTGATCAAGCTGTTGACACAGCCAAATGAAACCGAGATGGCGAAGATCTTGGCTGCTGCGACAATTCTCTCTGAGATGGTGGTGGAGCCAGTCTCGAAAGCAAGGACGGCACCTGCGCCGCGTGCTTGAGACCAGTGGAGGTCGTACTGAGGGTGCGACTTGAGGCCTGGGTAACGGACCTTGAATCCGTTGCTCTCGAGGTATCTAGCAATGGCCATGGCGTTTGCCTGTTGCTTTTCCATGCGAACAGCCAACGTCTTGATACCGCGAAGAAGCAGCCAAGAGTCGAAAGGACTGAGACCGCATCCCGAGGCGTTGATGGGGAAGTAAAGTCTGTCACCCAATTCAGGACTGTTGGTGGCCATTACACCAGCCATGACATCGTGGTGACCAGAAAGGTATTTGGTGCCGCTCTCGTACACAACATCAGCGCCCAGGTCAAGGGGGTTCTGGAGGTAGGGAGACAGCATAGTGTTGTCGACAATGACGAGCGACTTGGGGTTCGCCTTGTGGGCGAGCGAGGAGAGGGTAGGAATGTCGACAACCTTCATGAGAGGGTTTGTGGGAGACTCGAGGAGGACCATGGCAGTCTTTTCGGACAGAACGGCGGCAACTGAGTCGGGGTTTGTAGTGTCGACGTGGCGGACGACAATGCCGCCGTGAGTAGAAAGGTATTTGAGCAGACGGTTGGAGCCGCCGTAGAGGTCGTCACCAGTGACAACCTCGTCGCCAGGATGAAGAAGGCGAGTAATAACATCGAGGCAGGCCATGCCCGACGACACGACCAGCGCGCGGTGGGCGTTCATGATCTTGGCCAGGTGACGCTCGAGATGGGTGCGGGTTGGGTTGCCGGAACGAGTGTAATCGTACTCGTTGCCCTCGCCCTTGAAGGTTGCGGATTGATAGATGGGCACGCTGCTAGCGTTGTACTGGTCGTTCGACTCGGTGTAGACGAGCTCGGTTGCGAGAGAGTACTTGTTCTTGCCATTGCTGGGACTGGAGGGAGTAGGCGATGGAGGAAGGTTGTGACCATCCATGTCCAAGCGCTTGTTGGCCGGAACTGAGGTTGAAGAGGACGACATGATATTGGAGCCGCGGTTTTTACTAACAGGGCCTGCCACCTGCGCTTGTTGAATCTGGAGCTGTGAAGGTGCTGAATGCGATGCGTAAATAGTGCAAGGGACGCCTGTTGCTAATTAAGTGGCAATTGGAGGTCCAAAGTGTGTGGTTGTTGTTAGGAATGAAAGTCCAAACTCCAAAAGATGAGAGATGTAGCGGCGACACACGGCAGTTGGCTGCCGATGGATTGCGTGCTGGAGTGGCCGAGGTCGGGGCTAGGGTTTGTTACCGAACAACTCGGAATCTGATGGTCAGCACCACTTTATAATGCTCGACCAGCCACTTCTTGGAGTAACATCTATTCTGAACGAAGCACATTGGCCGCACTATTCAATACTTTCCAAAGTAAAGATTCCTCGGCGATTGCTTCCTCTTGGTATCTTTATACGTCCTACGCATCCACACGATAATGATTCTACGTTCTCTAGCAGTACCCTGAGCGATCTGTAGCCACTCCCACCCGAACGTCTCAATCCTTCTCCAACTATGACTGTTTGAGGAAATCGTTTCCATCATTGCCGGCTCAGAACGCCTCAGGCTACAAGCCGAATAGCGATTGCTGTTACCCTCATGGCCTATCTATCAATGCCGGCTATGCCCTTTGAGCCAAAAGAGAGTCTCGAGAAAGATAGACGATGCTGAGCCTGACAGAAGCTCGCGAAGTGCTACGTCATAGGCGGGCACATCTTCTCATGCAATCGAACGTTTTCAGATTTTTCCAGATGTTGTGCTATCTGAAGGACTTTTATGGTATTGAGTTCCTATCACTAACTATATCTTCGACTAGACATCGCGAATTAATTCTGATGGGTAATGGAGAAGGCTGGCAAGGGTGATTGCTTTGGGCACGTGGGCAGCGTTGACACGGACCCTGACCAATTTCCTCCGGCATCCCTCGTCTCTGGACCGTCGTTGATTTGAAGCCGCAGGCATATCATCGTCGTTCGATAAATCCATGTCGCAGGATCGAACATAACAATAATGATCAGGTTGGATCTGCAGACACCTTGAGTATAATGTAGCACTCTGTCGATATGAGCAGGCTGCAAGCCACACACTGTTCAGCATGAACCGGTGAGCATTTCGCGAGCTGCGCCCTCTATCCAATGCACGCTGCGGCATTCTGTACGTTCTGACGAGGCTGTAACTGCGGCACAATGACCATAAATGTATCATCGCAAGTCAAAGAACAGGCTGCCCCGATGTTATTTTCTCTTAACCTTCTCCAACCAGTTCCAGTGGCATGGCGTCCCAGGAGTGCTTAGTAGAGCGCAACATGTTGTCATACGATCTGAATGGTCCTTCAAGCGAGGATGCAGTTGACCATAACCAGTAGCCGCTGTCTCCACCACGACACTTGCAACCACGCGATCCGCACTCTACAACATCTGAGGTCACTTCTTGTACGCCTGTACTGAACGGGCTTCCAAGAGAAGATGAGTACGGCAACGTTGAAGATGATTGTACTAGCTATGAGAATGTGAGAGGCAGAGACCGCAGAAAGTCTAAATCTTGTCTAGACTGGTTCGATCAGGTTTCGAAGAAAATGCCCGGATTCAATCACACAGGTCGCCAACGTGCCTACAAACCGTGGTCACTCCGTCTGGATGTTCTCGTCGCTTTGTTGGTGATGCTAGTAGCTATGATCATCGCTCTCGAGCTGTTGCTTCACGTCTCAAGGAAGAACAACGGCTTAGCCACTTCGTCTGAGAATGAACGATACCTTTGGAGATATGGTCCGACTGCTGGTGAGTATCAAGTCCCCCGCAAGGATGTTCAGCAAGCTAATGAACATGTCACAGTCTTCACCGTCTTGGCTGTTTACTGGGGTAACCTGGAATACCGTGTCAGGGTCCTCATACCCTGGAAACTCATGTCCAACAAGCCTCAGCCAGCCAAGCAAAGTGTGCTGCTCGACTATGTCTCGCCCGTGCAGCCTGTAGTCCTCTTTTCGTCTCCTCGAGCGAGGCACTGGCCAGTGCTCACAACTACCATTGGCGCCATCTTGATCGTCATCTTGACCGTTGTATCGACATCTTTGTTTGTACTCGAGCAGACAGTGCTTGAACAGAACCAAGTACCAATGACAATATCGAATCGCATCAACGACACCGTATTTGACCAGAATGTCATAGACTCATCACCAGTCTTGTCGGCATTGACTATCATGTCTGGGAATCTCTCTATGGCGTTCCCTCCAGGTACCAACCAGCAGTACGCCACTGATGTGTTTAACACGTCTGATGAGATGAATGGCATGTTCTGCTCGACTGCTGCATCCTGCATGCCACTAACACGTCGTTAGGCATATCGTCACTCCGATCAGCAAAAGTGCAAGTTGCTCAATCGGACTTAGACTGTCATCCCGGCCATATCACTTCATCCGGATACATCGCGAAACATTACGATCTACAATTGAATGTCTCCGATGGCTCGTGTGATAGTGGTCAACTGAACGTGACAATCGCCCAGTCTAACGACACGATCAGCTGGTTGTTCCAGACCACAGTCTCGTGTCCAAAGGACGTCACCCAGATGGTCCTGGGGTTCGTGAAATTCAAGACACCACCTTACTCTGGCAGTGACCAGCTCATGGATGAAACGATGCACCTGGTCCCTCGTATCATCAATAGCTCCACAATTACCTCGACAATCCTCTTCTGCAAACCAATATACAGCTTTAAGAGCGCCAATGTTACTCTGAGTTCAACGAATATTTAGAACGTGGCGGAGCAAGACACAGTGACAAGTCAGGCAACCACTCTGGGAACAGCCGTGTCCGAGCGTGAGATGATCAATGGCTTTCAGGATGCGCTTATGGATGTCAAAGTGTCTATCAATTCTCTCGCCACCGATTTTAACGTACTACTTGATGCCTTACAAGCCATATCATCAAGTCGAGATGTAGACCGCTACGAAGATCCGACAATACTCGAGACCGATACGAGACAGCTCTATAGTGCAGTTTGTGCTCAGATCATTCATCAATATATGAGAATTACCGCCTCTGACACACTGACGGGAACGATATGGATCGAGAAGTCCCGACTTGTGTTGAACGAGCTATCTCTTCGCGTGTTAGAGGTTGGTCTAGCGATGCTGATCGTCACTACGTTTATTCTCAGCATGATTCGACCTTCAGTCGTTGGTCTGGGAGGACTTCCTACGCTTGGCCATATGTCAGCCATACTTTCGAAATCCGGTTCTCTTGAAGCGGTCTTAGTAGGTTCTTTGAAAGGCTTGAATCATCTATATCGTCAATGCTTCCGCGTAGGGACCGCTTCGGAGCAACAAAGTCGGCCTAAATGCTAGAACTTTATCTTCTCGATGGCCGCCAAGATGCGTACCAATTTACTTGCTGTACCGAGGTTCTTAGAGATACTCATTTTATAGTATATAAGGTCCAAGCCTTGGCCTTTAAGACGCGTCTGTAGCAAGAACGGCATACTAAGAGGGTTAGCTAAAGTATAGTCATAATCAAGTACTCGAGGGGCCTATATATCCAGATTGTTGGACGCCCTAAGGATAGAACATTGGTTTCGAATGTCTTTGTTTGGCGAGTCTTCGTCCTCTGCAAAACGTGGGATGCGTAACACGACTTTTTCCACTGTAGATGCCAGACCATGGCGGTGCAGATCTGCCGCAGTTATCCTGTTGAAGCTTCCTCCCGGTAGACGTACGATTTTATCAAGGGATTTTGCGCCAACTTGGTGAGCCAAGGCTTTGACCTTTTCGCAAAATGTCTTAAAGGATTCATATGAGTATTGGTATGTTGATGTGGAGTTGGGTGTGGTCGAACGTGAACAGTCGTCTGACGACGATTGGGCGTTGGATGTTTTTGACATGAGCGAGATGATATGTTTGAGTAAGTACAAGCACAGGAAGGAGCGTTCAAACCAGCGTCGTACATAACTAACGATTGCCATCGCGGACACATTACCTCACATAACTATTCCGGACTTATCCAGGACACCGGCGCTCAAACCCCTTGGCAGGCGTTTGTGATCGAATAGTTCTGCTGTCGGAATAAGGATTGCTCTCTTGCAAGCCGCAAATATCGACTCGCTGTCTGGATAGGTGGTTAGCGATGGAAATCTAAGAATTATCGATGCCTGAGTAATATATTGTTTGAAGATCGCGTCTCAAGCACATACGGCCACAGTCAGCTGAAAACTGGGCATCCCGTCCGCTCTGCCATACATAAGCAGTTGAACGGCAGATTAGTACTACGGTGGGTGACCACGTGGGAATCCCTGCTGCTGTATGTTTTGTTTGTCTCTGCCATCTTTTGCTCTTCACGTGTCCTTTATGCCGCCAAAGCCAAAAACCCTCCGCATCTAGACAGTCATCTGCTTGGAGATTCTGTAGCAATGGCGAGTATCAAGACACACCCACCGTACGAAGACATTCAAACGTGGCTATACCACAGAAGCCGGCGACATCACTGGCTGAGTTGACTTGTCTACAACACCAGCAGCCCTCCTCGATGCATAACTATTTCACGTCAAGACAACACAGCGAAGCCTTACTCCAAACAAATCCCATCATATTTACCAATATAGCCACAAACAAAAACCACGTCATTTCCAAATCGATTTTCTGTTTCTCCCTCCTTACCCTCAAATATCAGCTCGAAACATTGTCTTACCTCCAAACGCCATCATCTTCGCTCACTCCGCACTGCGCAGCAACAAGAATGTGGCAGGGCTGAACCACAGCCACAGCCACAGTCACAGTTACCGTTTTTGGCGAGGCCCTTCCTTTCTTCGCCGTTGCAAGCCTTCGCCGTTGCTTCTATCGATTTGGGCTTTGTGGCTTTGAGACATGATACCATGCTCTGACAATATTTGTAAACTGGAACAGAAAAGACCTGGAAGCAGTAAGGGCGCCACCAATAAATGCAAGGGTCTTCATTGCGAGTGGCTGAAGGACTGGAGATGAAAGACTTGGAAAGGTGACTTTGGTTTGTGAAGAAAAAAAGTGGTTTTGCATATGTACAATGGCTGTCTAGTAAAAAGGACAAAAACACCTTGCTGGTTGTGTGATATAAAGGAGTGAGCATCGTAAAGCATTCTCAGATCTCAAGCAGGAAAGAGCAAAGAAAAGAAAGAAAAAGAAACAAGAAAGAAAATCCCAGGTGCTGTCAGGGTCCCAATGCGCGCGCTGTCTATCGTTCTCTAAACTCCTCATGAAATGAACATGTTTTCTGTAATCGTCATGCTTCAGTCAAGTGCATTTAGCATTTGCCCTGGTCAAGAGTCTGGCGGGTGTACTGGTAAGACTGTCTGCAGTCGTACTTGTTGTTGCCCGACCAGCCACCGGTGTAGCTAGCGTAGCTGGTGCTGATGCTGGCATCGTACAGAGCGCAGTAGGTACCGTAAGGAATACCGTTCTTGTGGAGGTAGTAGGCGTTGAAGCTGTTGCAAGGGGTGAAGGAGGACTGGCCGGCGGCAATAGCGGTCTGCTTGTTGAGATTGTGCTGGTAGGCGGCGTAGTCGCCGCAAACCTGGGGGTTGAAGGGGCCGGGGAAGAACTTGGAGCCCATCCAGTAGTTGGGAGCGTTGATGGCCTTGCCACCGCAGGTCTTGGGGCTGCCCCAGGTAGGCTGCTTGGTGCCGGAGGTAGCAGTGGCAGAAGCGGCGGAGGAGGAAGTGCTGGAAGACTTGGAGGCCGAAGCAGAGGCGGAAGCCGAAGTGGAGCTGGACAGAACGGAAGAGACAACAGCAGTGGCGGTCGAGGTGGAGTTGTCGACTGTGTCAACGATGGTGGGAGGAAGGGTGGTGTTGGTGGCATCGTATCCGTTGGAGCCGGTTACAACGACGTTGAAGTCCTCGCGCCAGCCACCCTGGTTGGTAGCAGTGGAAGCATCAAGGTTAGATCCCCAAAGAGTGCACTTGAAGTTGGTGATGGACGAAGGGTCAGGGCACCAGTAACCCCAGACGGTGGCAGCAGTAGAGTCGTTCTTGGTGGGGTTCTGGCTGGGATCACGCTCGATGTAGATGTTGAAGGAAGTGCAGAGGGCGGTGGTGTCGCAGTGGGCGGCACAGTCGGCAACGCTGTAAGAGGTCAAGGTGTACAGACCGAGGTAGGAGTTGGCGCTGGAAGAGGCGTTCAGGTCGCAGAAGGTCTGCTGGTAGGCGTTACCGGCTCCGTTGTTGCTGGCAACGACGGTAGGGGCAGCTTGGGCAAGGCCGTGGAGAGTAGAGTTGGACAGGAAGGCATCAGTGGTGTCGGGGGTGATCTTGGGACCATAGCCGTCGGGTTGGGGTGCGCAAGGGTCCTCGGGGTTGATAAAGCCGCAGTAGGTTCCATCCTCGGGGGTGGTAGGGCAAGCAGAGCTGGAAGAGCTGGTTCCAGAGACAGTGTTGACGGTGGCAGTGCCGGAAGAGGTGGAGGAGGCAGCCGACGAGACAGCAGCCGAAGAAGAGCTGGAGCTGGCAACAACCGAGGAGGAAGAGCTGGAGGTGCGAGCGACCGAGGAAGAAGAGCTGGAGGAGGTAGAGGCAGCCTTGGAGGCGGAAGACGAGGAAGAGGCTCCAGATGTGGGAACGTAGTAGAGAGGAACCCAGGCGCACGAAGAAGGAACTGTGGGAGCGAAGTAGAGCTTGCCGTCGTTGTTGCAGGTCATGGCGTTCTGGAAGACACCGTTGGCCTTGCACTCCAACCAAGTCTGTGCGGTGTTCTGTGTGCAAGTGATGAAGCTGTATTGAGTAGATACAGTGCTGAAGTAGGTCCACTCAGGGTTGGCGCTGGTACCACGGTTGGCAGCGTATGCCTGGCCAGCCTCGTAGAGGTAACCGGTCTTGGGGTCGAGAGAGAATGAGACAGCAGAAGCCTTGTTGCCGTAGGAAGCAATACCATCTTGTCCGGAAGTGCATCCAAGGTAGTTGGAGTTAGCGTCCTTCAGAAAAAAAAGAGCTAGCAGTGGTGGTAGCGGCGGCCGAAGACGAAGTAGTCTTGGTGCTGCTGGTGCTGGTGCTGGTGGACTTGACAGTGCTGGAGGTGGTGGAGGTNNGCCACCACACTGAGTACCAAACCAGAAGCAGTTCCAGAAGTTGTAGACATCACGCTTCTCGACGCTGCGCTTGTTGACAACNCTGGGCAGCGGCAGTCGAGACGGCAGTGGCGGTGGTGCTGACAGCAGCAGAGATGGACTGAGCAATGGCAGAGCTGCTGATGGTGACGGTCTNGAGTTGGAGACACCGTTCAGGACAGGGGCAGTCTGAACGGTAGGAGCAGCAGCCAGCTGGTTGAAGTCGAGCTGCTGAGGAGCAGGAGAAGCGGCTGCGAGACCGGTGAGGGCTGCAGCCGAGAGGAAAGTTGCGGCAGTGCGCATGTTGATCGATTGATCAGGAAGTTGTTAGAGAAAGTGGTGGAGTTGGTGGTTGATTGATTTGTAGAGAGTGTATTGGGTGAGAGAGTTGCTCAAAGAGAGTGTAGGAGATGAGAGAATGACTGAGATGCTGATGATGAAAAGAGAGTGATATGGAGGAAGACGAAGGCTAGATATATACTCGTGCTGGTGACGGCGTCGATTCGTGGCTGTAGGCATTTGGCATACCATGAGGCCTGGGCACTTGACAAAGTTGACATCAGCAGTGCTTGGTTGTCTCAGAGGTCCCTGCCACAGAGCCGAAAGTATAAACTCGACGGTGGGCGAACGCCATGTCTATGGTCATGGCCGAGTCCTTTGAGATGTCTCAGAAGCCGAGACCCTCGATCCGGCTTTACAGTGCTATTTCCTTCTACTTCGGGCATGGGTTTTGCGGCGACAGGGCCTAACTCTTTGGAATTGGAGAGGGTAGGGTCCTCAGACTATCGAATGCGGCGGTATGGCTTGCCATGCCGTGATTATGCTTGTCTGTTCAGAACGTCGTCCATAGATGGTGCTGTGGTTTGCTCTGCGCCCTAAACAGCCACGAACTTGATCTCGGCATCGACATCCAGCGGCAGGCTGGATCGTATCCAATCGATCGGCTGATGGAAGATTCGACGGTTCAACTTCTACTCGGAGTAGTAGTAGTAGTCAACGTGCAGCGGTCCGAGCAGGTGAAAACGAAGATGAAATATTTGTGGTCATCGCTCTTACCTAGAGCAGTTGCCAAGCACGGTATGCACGGCCACTAGGTACTCAGACCCCCACCCACTGTTGCTTCTGCCTGTTATCGTCTGGCTATCGCGATGCGCCTGGATCATTTTGTATGACTAGATCTTAGCAGATAGGACATGCCGTATGTTGTTTGGTGTGTGCGCCGCGTGGCAATGATAGGACTACTCACAATGTATCTCCTACTACAAACCAGCAATTTTAACGTGTGAGCAAAGGCATGGGCTTCGATACCCAAAGGCCGTTGACGATTTTCCAGCACGGCATGAGCCCTGCCACCGACCGCGCGCACGGAGCGAGTCCAACGCTCCTCGCTCGACTCTTCTCCCTTGGTGGTTCAATTCAACAAGCCATCACCGTGCATGTATCACGTACACGTGCATATCGCGACTCGCGATAGATCAGATGTTCCTGCTATCTGTCTGCCTGTCAGTCACTGTCCTTGGCCATTGTTGACATCGGCACAGGGGAGACCTCTGGAGTAGCTTCTTCGTCTGAGACATGGGCGTAATCGATCTGATCTGTCTTTTCGACATCATGGCCCCATACAACTCCCTTCTCGGATGTATACTATCGATGCCAAGCTAACGAGCAGAAGAGTCGTTTCTACCGAGCTGCGAAAGCGAGCCTTCTCGAGTACGGGTACCTAGCCATGTGCCTTAATAGCAGTTCCGTCGACCGCTGCAACTGTTCTCGGGCGACGTTGAATTTCCCCAACCGTCTCTGCCACAACCAATCACGACCATTTACCGGAAGGCTGGCATCTATTCTTGCTTGTATCTCAGTACATCTGACACTGTCCTGTCTGCGATCTTCTTCGTCAACTCTGCCGTCGACTTTTCGATTTCATCACAACTCCTTGCCGACCCTTCTGGCCGTCAATCAACATGGGGAGACTTTTTCGACTATTGATATAAGCCAAGAACTCTGACCACAAGGATCTGGCCGTTGACCCCTTCGGCTTCTGCGAGACACTGTCTCAAATGTTGTCCATCTGGGACCAAAGTCACTGTTCTGATTTGCCCAACCACTAGCATTTCTCTTCTGATGGCGCCCATGTGTCAGTCCAGGTTAACAGCACATCTTGACATGACTTGGCACATCCCCCATATCCAAGACATGTATACAGACTCGAGCATTGTTTGACCTCAGCTCCATGTTTCATATTGTATCTGCATGGAAGCGTCAACCTTTTTCGTTTGCTACTCAATCAAGCAGGTACTTTGTCTCTGGGCATGGTTGTTGAGGCTCTCTTTGGTGACAACAACACAACAAACCTCGAGAAGGACGAAATTACTTCCGAATTATCCGTACCTTGCATGACGGGCCGTCCAGGAACCCTTCCTCTGGGGTTCGATTACTCGATTGATATGCTTGGCCGATGTAAGCCGTCCTTATTGATCATCCGACAACTTAAGCCTCAATAGGCGGCGGCGGCTCACTTTCATTTTTTGTCTGGCGATAACATCCCTGCACAATGTCAACCTTGTTCAAAGGCACTTTTGCTGCGCTCAGGAGGCGGGATATGCGTATCACCGTCGGAACCCTCGAAAAAGTTTAAGGCTCGGAGTTAACGATGCTTCTGTCCGGGGACTACCTAGATCTCTGCCGCCCAAAGCCTCGGTGCAAACTTTGCTTAATTTAGCAGGTGCATCATCCTGCATTTGATGAGTCTCCTCAATCACATCTCCGCCTGGTGGTATGTGGCGTATCCATCTCCAAGTACCTATACGAGCACTGGTTCTAGAGCACATCTACTTCAGTGCATCGAAAGTATATCGAAAGTCATCCTGCATCCTGATCTATCACTAAAGGAATCGCGTATTCCTTGCAGGCACTCTGAACTTGTCTCTTCAGAGACCTTGCACTCCTATACAACGAGAGCATTGTGCTGCCGGGTCGCTTGCCACACCACGACTTTAAAGAAGCTCGAAGATGTCTCGAGTACACGCTCCCTGTTCGGCGCAGGACGTTCAATTCAATCCGATGATGAGTAAACGTCCCAAGTCGTGGATCCAGCCTTACGCGACGAACTCCACATCGCGAACGTTTTCTACGAACTTTACCGGATGCCTGCGGACGTTTCGAGGAAGAACACATCAAGTCAAGGGTCGAGACTCTGAGACAAGGGGATGTCTTTGTGGATGCTATAGTTTTCGGTGCTATGCAAGCATCGTATGGTTCGTCCTTCAGCTCGCTGTCCATGGTAAGTCAATTGTGTGAAGTCAACTCCGTGGTGATAAATTTGACGACTTGACTGCTCCGAACAAATCCGTACATCTTTCCTTCAGGGCGCCAAGGTTAACTCTGACTGCGAGCTCGGATTTGTCGACCTTGAACTGTCTGCTCCAAGTATGGAAATTTATGGCGATGTACGATGCTTACGAGTATGTTTTGTAATCGGAACGAGAGTTTGAATGGAAGCCGCTCTCCATGTGTGCACAGGTATACCGTCACTCGAGAACTGCCTGGCTCTACCACAGAGAATGCTCGCCGTCCATCTTTTCTCCTTTGTATCCATGTTTACGCTTAGACAGCAGCATTTGATCACAATCCCCGATCCGTAACGCTTCAACTTTTGGTGTCCTGAAAGCCGCCTCTGTCGTGTATGTGTCGCGACTTCCAATTCCAGTCTTTTGTGGGCGGTCATGTTTATGCTCAAGGCGGTCGCGATTGCTTCCTGATTGAGCTGCGCAAAATGCTTGTGTGGATTTTTGGGAAGCAGCGAAGGGCAATCAAGATCATCATAAACAGCCGCTTTGGTGGAACGCGGTCTTGCGTCACCTTCATCACAATCATCAGTAACTTTTGTTCCAGGCGTTACTGCGTCCACCACCGTGAATGCTTCAGTTTCCATGTTTTCTGTACAAGATGGGCTATCTATGCTTGTATTTTCGCCGAATCCGCTGTGCCATGTCGTGTAGAGCGTGTTCATCATGGTGTTGTTCTTCTGGTAAGATGCATTCTTATGCATTTTTTATGCAAGCGTCACTTGGCTGTGGGTAACACCCTGTCTATCATGTTATCAACTCGAATGAAAGTAACAAATGTAGATAGACAGCGAGACATACCTTTACAAGCTCTTGATGTACTCTTCTTTGCATCTGTGGTATCAGCTACTTGTATGTTGCTCATTTGTGCTTTCTGCGCTGTCAAGATAAAAATATCATCGAATTGATGATTTCTTCCTTACACTCCAAATATTGAGTATCTGGAAATTCATATTCAGACATTGCAGCCGCGAGAGATGACGAATCAAGCCGAAACTTACATACAAGGTATTATGCTAGATAAATACATTCCATACATAGTTTTACGTCTATAGAGCCTATCGTTGACATCTTATGCCGGTATATGTCAAAACAATGCTAGCTACGGGTATCACCCTGCCCTCAAAATAGCTTACGATGACAACCGACAAAGATACCAACCATGTCCAACTACCTATCTATGCTCTTTGGCAGTATGTTTGAAGAGAAATAGTACATGACAATAGCCAGACTTGTCACAATAGGCTATTCAAGCAAAATATGCTTGTTGGGGGTATGTTGGATCTGTGACCCTGTTCTACAGCAACATATCTATTGCAACGTAACATATTAACGTCCTAGATACTGGACTACACATATACCGCTAGCAAAGTGGCATTATGACACCAGTAAGGGGGAAAGAAGGATGCATTCACCTCCTTACGTAGATTTGACCTCACGTGCTCTAAGCAAGCAGGCAAGTAGTAATAACGATGTAGAAGGAAGACACAGAAAAGAAACGATGGAAGGAGCGACATGTAACCTCCAAGTGACCAGGAAGGAGCAATCATGCAAGATATGTATGTTGGAATTCATCGAACACAGAAGGCACAATGGAGCCAACAGAGACCGGGCATCAATCACTCAAATGACTCCAAGTCACCTACAAAGTCGCCATGTAGCGCATTGTATGCTCCTACTGCACACACCCATGGCTAAGAAGGATTAGGAAATGTACCACCTCAATGCACAACATTATACAGTACTCTGGATCCGGAAGACAACCGTAGAGCCAAGATACATGGATCTCAAATCTCGGTAACCTAATATGGAGGGAGGACAGGACAGGGGCGATGAGATATTGTGTGACAAACAGAACTACATGGCAAGAGGTATCTGTGGATGAAGTGGCCTTTGCACCCAGACGTTGTTGCTTCGTGATACATCCTTCACCAGGTACATGTTACGATCCGCGGAAAGGGGAGTGTGGGACCACATCATGAACCAAGTATTCGATTTCTTCATCTAGGGCGCAGACAGTTGTGCAGTCCAAGCCACCACCATCTAAAAATCTCAAAGATCCCGGCATCAAATGTCGTAGTGGTCATTGATTCGAGATCAGAGCAAGATACATTGAGGTAGTCTCTTACTCGAGTCATGGATAGAAACTGTCGCCCCCGTCATGCATAAGCTTTTAAGATCGACCAACCTTCTTTTGAGCTGCCTAATCGGTATAGGGGTGCTTGTATATCAAATTCATCTTGCGCGATCGGCCGGGCGAAGTGGTCGGTGGAAGGAATTGCAGTCAGAAAATAGCCTGAGTGCACGGAGTCTCTGTCCGTGAAGAAGAAGATTGCTGTATCCATCCATGCATGCGTCCGTCTCCCGATCCACAAGCCCTATACCGAGGCTCAACTTCTGTCGTCTGATCCCAGTAGTGGCGACCGAGCCGTGTTGGGTGTGCTTATGATGACTGACTCGATACACTTCTACTGATTCTCCCTCCAGCGCTCGTCTAGGCCAGCGGGATTAATATCCCGGCCGAGCGTCTCCTCGACACTATGTTGGGTGCGCAATTTCATGCCTTCTCTTGAGCCGTCTGTACCCTGTGAGTACATAGCCAGATTGAGGATATCCTGCTTGTGCTGGAGATATGAAGGCATACTGTCCCGTTTGCCTTTCTTCTCTGTAGAACTGCCGAGAAATATCGGATCTGGGTGCTTATCGAGTACGGAAGAGAAGTTGAACTCGACAACGGCATTCTCCACTCCGGCGAAGATAAAGGGGGAGGTCGGTGATGGTGACGAGAGGTTGTAGACGGAGCCTTCGGCGCTTCGACGCATCCAGCTGTTGGGTCCTCTCCAAGTTGAGTTGACGTATCTGTCGCGAGGGTTGATGAAGATGTTCCAGTCACCAGTGGAAGAGTCGTTTGTGTCTGATGCTCCAGCGTAGTCGTAGATGCTGCCTCCCGACATACGGAGGTCGAACATTTTGAGTAATCCATGGCGTGAAGCACCAGCGACGACCCGATCTCTGCCTCGGGAAAGCAGAGAGTAGATAGCAGCATCATCTGTGGGATCATGATATACCGCTGTGAATGGTGATGGTGAACGCAAGTCATGCAATCTTACAATACCATCGTAGCCACCACTAAGGAACAGATTGCCATTTCTGCCACCGTTGCTGTCCACCAGCGGTTCGATAGGGTATATTGAAGAGGCTTTGACTGGCTCCAGCTCATCCGCACTTCCAGTAAGACCTATCTTTCTCATAGGCTCCTCGACGATACCTTCCGGACGAATCTCGAAGATGTTGATGGGTTTCACAGATGGTCCTAAGCCAACAGCCAAACGCTTCGAGTCCAGAAATTTGGTCGACCAGATACGACAACCTTTGCGGCTCTGCAGTATCGCATTGATCTCACTGACTGGTGCGACCTTGAATTGGGCAGGGTCTACTTGATACAGAGCAACATGCGAGTCTGACAAATTAGCAGCCAAGTGTTGAGTTTGGTCTTGAGTAGATCCAATATCTGTCGATAACGACGTAGACCGCACAGAGAGGCCATTTGTGACATAATAAGTCTTGATGACACCGCCATCCGAAGTAGGAGGCACCTCCACAAGCTGCAAATCTCCATTGGCGGTTCCGAAGATGATTCGCTCGCTACTATCAATACTGTTGCGCGATTGCTGGTCGGCCGGCTTGAGAATCCGTACACTGGTGATGTCGTCGCGGCCCTCGACACTGCTGAGTGGCTTGTAAGTCCACCACCGCACTCTCGTGCCGTTGTTCTCGAACTTCTCCTTTTTGTCTTGTGGTGATGCGGTTCGGTATGCCTCTTCAGTTGAAGCGTCTCTCACTTTCACACGCACCACCAGCTCTGCGCCAGCACTCCATGCAACCACTTGTCGTCGATCGATCCAACGGCTCCCGACAAAGTGCTCGTAACTATCAACAGCAGGCTGGAAACCCATAGTCTGACCAGCCGGCCGTCTCCATTTCTTCATTGCTTGTCCACTGGGCAGTGTAGTGGCATCGCCGGAAGGTCCAAGGTATGTTGCGAGAAAAGCCCGCCTCTGCCAATTACGCGATAGAGTGGTCAACGAGTGCGCAGCATCACGCCAGTGCGTTGAAGAATTCAGGTTTGCAAAATGAGCCTGAGTAAATGTTCGCCATCCTTCTTTTTCCACAAACTCATGTAAAGATCTTGATGTCCTTGACAGATGGCCCACAGAGGTGGCTGGGCAGTGTGAGACGACTTGGTTCAAGAGTTCCGTGGGCAAGTCCACCAGTGTAGTCGTAGGTATTCTCCGATCCTTTAGTCGCACGCTCAGGCGCTGTTTTTCGAAGTTCATGTTGTTGTTGTGTTTCTTCGAGAAATCGCAGGCTAGACTGACGTAATGATATATAATTTTGGAAGGAGCCAATCATCTTATCTCTTGGCGGAGATGTCAGTTCAACGTATGGAACATTGACTCATCTCTGCTCAAAGCTGTTGCGCAGAGGATATCAAGAGTCATAGAATGCTTCATGTTGGTTGTTACTGCTGCTGATTGGTAAACATACTCTCAACAGATACAGCCGTGGTCAGAAAATGATCGTGCGCCTGTGTAGCTCCGTATCTTTGAGCCGCACTGTAGGAAAGGAACAAAAAGAGTCATACCTTGGCACACGGAGAAGCTCTGATTTGTTGATTGACCCCACTCATCTTCTGGAGGAGAGCTGTCTCAACCTGGTTCTCTTTCACTCACTCCTCAACATCTTTATTTATCTTACCGGAATGCTGGCTTCCACGATCTTGGGAGCAGCTGTCTTGTATACCTTGTTTGTTCTTCTATACCGCTTTGTAATCGCGCCTGTGTTTGTCTCTCCACTGTCCAAGATACCAGCAGCTCATCCAACCTCGTCATTGAGTCCCGCATGGATATTGTGGACACGATGGCGTGGCAGAGAGAATGCAACGGTTCTTGCTGCGCACGAACGGCTTGGTCCTCTGGTTCGACTGGGTCCTAGCGAGATAAGTGTGAATTGTGTGAACGGAGGCATCAGAACGGTGAGTGACCATGTCGTCGCGAAATGTATAACGCAGCTGTAGTAGTATGGATGCCACACGAGAATTGAGCTCTCCGGATAAAACGCCATAGTACGTACGGCCATCGAAAGACACAGTGTTTGGAGCTGCTTCACAATTATCCAGAAGCACTCACGGCAACAATGCATGTCAAAGTTTCCCGTAATCAACAAAGCGACCTTGGTTTGCAATACGCGTTGCGATATGAAGTGGAGTCTGTCTTGGTGTCGAGTAGATGGCTCAATCCTGTTCACAGGTGATGTATGCGTAATGGTTCAGATGGTTCATCCACATGAAGTCTCGCGAAGTCTGTTATCACAAGGAAGAAATCTGTTAGAGATCAGAGGCATCGCCAGAGAAGTTCGCAAAGCAGTTGCTCCTCTGTCGACAAATTTCGCGAGTATTTTCGAAAGCACTGTGTCTTTCGATGGTCGGTAGACATGCTCATCGGAGAAGGAACTCTTGACTTTGTCGTGGCCGTCCCATCCATGCTTTCGCGTCTTCGAGATCAATGTTGCCGTCCGAATTGACAGTCGCTGACACGTTTTCTGCAAGGTTTACACAGGAGGATTCGAGAAGGGCGCATGGTACTCCAACGCTTTCTCAGCATATGGAGGGGTACACAACATGTTCTCCATGGAGAAGCGAGACGTACACTCAGCGCGCAAACGCATGATCAGTAACGTCTACGCCAAATCGTCCCTACAAGCCTCGCCAGCACTCCGCGGAATCAGCGAGACGATTTTGTGCCGGCGCATGCTTCCCAGGATCGCCGCTGCCCCTGGAGGTGTATTGGAAGCCTACGAACTCTTTTCCGCTGTGACTCTGGATGTCGTGACCGCGTACATCTTTGGTCTTCAGCAAGGTTCCAACTTCACCGACCACCCAGAAGTTGGCGCAAAATGGCTTCATGACTACAAGAGTCGCCAGCCGTACCTGTTCTGGATCCAAGAGATGCCAAATGTGTTCCAACTCTTTTCAAAGCTTGGTCTTGGTCGATGGTTGATCCCGGACTGGGTGGGTAGAAAGAGCGTGGCTATCGAGGAACAATGCTTGGAGTGGTGTGATGCCGCGGAAGCTGCAATACTGTCAGGAAAAGCTGCAGAATCTGCTCGTTACCATCCCACTGTCTATGGTCAACTGCGAAGCATGCTTGAGAAGCAGGACATGGTGGAAAAACAGAACAACCAGCTCAGCCAAGAACAGAGGCTGGACCTAGCTTCTGAGATGTTGGACCATCTTGCCGCTGGCTTCGATACGTCTGGAATCACACTGACCTACCTGGCGTGGGAGCTCAGTCGTCCACACAACGTCGCGATACAATCAGCACTGCGGAAAGAGCTGCTCTCGCTACGCCTAGCATACTCTACCACGAGTTCGAAGTCCGCCACGTTTTTGCCGTCCTCGAAGGAACTCGACGACCTTCCGTTGCTTCACGCAGTGGTGATGGAAACTCTTCGTCTCCATGCCGCAATCCCAGGAGGGCAACCTCGAGTCACTCCAGCAAACACTACACTGGGACCACCAGGAGCCGAAGTCCACGGCAATCCAGCCGGCATACGATTTGTCTCAGCGGCGCACTCACTCCATCGAAACCCCGAAGTATTCCCCGAACCAGGCCTCTGGCGCCCCGAGCGCTGGCTCGACGAGGAGGGTGGTGTGGATGGTGGTGGCGAGAAAGCACGATGGTTTTGGGCGTTCGGTTCTGGCGGAAGAATGTGTGTCGGAAGCAACCTGGCAGTGTACGAGATGAAGGGCATCGTGGCGGCCATATGGTCTGAGTTTGAGACGACGATAGTCGATGATGCCGGCATGGAACATGTGGATGGTTATCTGGCCGAGCCGCGGGGTTCTTCAGATGGCAATTTTCTATGTTTGCGTTGTGGAAAGATCTGAATCAGAAGTCGTCGTGATCATGGTGGTGACCAGTTGCGCGCCCTTGTAATTTCCCGCGATCAGGCCGTTTCCGATCTGTGTGCCAATCTCCTCTCGAACCAAACTTGGTCAATGTTTGTATGTGTCTTGATCCTTGTCGTGTTCTAGGGTTCGTCAATTCTAGCTGTAGAGATGCACAAAGCTCTTGAGGTTAGGGCGATGACCGGTCAGCTAAGTGCTTCATGCACTTCTGTTGGATTTACGTGATCTGGAAAGGATTGTGCGTTTTCTCTCAACTGCACAACTTTCAAGATGCATTCGTGACTCTTGAGAAAAGCGCGGACGTGCCAAAGTTCAAGACAAAGGCAAGTCGGAACCATGGCTGAAGACGGTTTGTGACGCGCACACCCGTACATAATGGATCTATCAAAGGACCCTGACAGGACTCAGACCTTAGGCAGGGGCATTACTCACGTTGATGCGAGTCGGCTTGCTCAGCTGACCAGTGATATAAGTAAGATTATTCAACAACAAGCCCTGCCCTCTCATCAAACAAAGCGGCGCATAGCTTGCAATCGCGCCTTGGTACTGAGTACGCAGTTGGGCTAGTCCAGGCCCGTCAACAGGACTGCAAGCCAACCTTGGACTGTTGAAAGTGGCTGCACGCCGAGTCAACAACGACACTCCCATCGTCAATGACTAGATCTCGGTATCTCGAATCGTGCTTGTTGCTGCACAGGACGCTGGTTCTTGACTCAAGCCTCTGAACGTCGTGCGTGACGGTTGCCTGTTCGGACGGGCCGGCGATCCAGTCCATTGTTTCGTACGGACGCTACTCGTACACGCGTTGTGCAATCCATTGGTAGGTGACGTCGCCGGCACGGCACGAAAAGACAGAGACATACCAGTTGCACAACACCGATGCGGTAGGTGGGATAAGGTTTTCGTGTTGGTATATTCTGGTATGCTCATAAAGTCAATTGCACGTCGTGCAACTTCGCACGAAGCCCATGACAGCGAGGGCTCAGTGTGCACATGACGAACATGCGCAAGAGGCTGATCTCTTCTCGGAATCCGGATGCCACGTGCTGCTCCAAGACGAATGGAGACAGGCATCTCCTTAAGAGGAACTCCGATGACAAGCACATCCTAATCGGTCCTTGAAACTGATAGTGTCAACTCAAGGCGCCTCATGACTACAATCGATGCAGCGTATCTCGCAGCGATGGATTCAAGACATGAGGGTCCCTGTTAGCCTCGAGGCCGAAAGGATCACGAGTAATGATCCGTTCTTTCCTTCCAGAAAAAACGGTTTGGTCTCCGTCGTCGGCGAAGGCTGTCGTAGAAGAAAAAATCAGAGNACACGCCTTACCGGGTTGGCAACGTAGAATTGTCGCAGAATATCAAATAATGAGACATTTCGCGGCGCTTGTTTGGTGGAAAATCGCAACACAGCAAGGAAAAGGAGCAANACCACCAAACGCTGGACTCCACACCAAAAGTTCTCCACACAGTGCGCACCGAGGTTCGCTCAGCAGGTGCTGATTTAGCTTCGGAAGCGCGGCGCGCGTTTAAGGTTCTGCCGAACGGCNAGCGAAAAGTGCGCAATTGTTGATCCAACAGGCATGGTCATTTATTCCCTTTGCGCAAGACCGACGAAGGATAGTGTTCAAGACATCTACAGGGCTATGCTGACTAGAGAGGAAGAGGATGAGAAGAAGATTCCCGAGCGCGAGAGCGCACAGAGAATTCGCCTTGGCGGCCGAGCTCGAGGAAAATGGAGCCGGCGAGCAAGAGTCGCACGAAATAAGCATGTACAGCACTCGTATCTCGTGAGACGCACACGCTGTAGGCGCTTCGATCAGAACCTTCCATCCCTCCTTTACGCGTGGGATGTGCTTGACTTGTTGGTTCAGCATGCAATGTAAACGTAGATCCGTCAAAAGGCACAGCGAGGCTTTTGGACCTGGCGAGCCTGGCCATCGGTCATCGAGATGTTGCGCATGCTCTTCGTGGACGTTGCGGATCTCGAAAGCAACATGTCGCATGATAGGTAGTTGAGATCGGAGTTCTTGATAGCAAATTCGATTCCAACAGATCCTCCCTGCAGCACGTAAAAGAACGATTGTTTCGAGTGGAGATACAAATGTAAGTTCCCTTATTGATCGCGCAGATTCGATGCCGCCTGATCTTGATGGCGCTGACTGACATCCCGAAAAATGAGGGGACGACGCGCGCCCGTGTCGTCTACGTGTTGTTCGTTAAGCGCGAGGAGTGGCTCATTGTACCTCTGATAAGGCGCCTGGCGCGGTGCCTTCTTCAGTGGTCGTGTCGACGGCTGGCAGAGCATCTCTCAAGCAACCTGGAGTAAGTGCCCTGCATCCTGCATGCACCGCAGATGTGACGGGTCTGCATGTGGATAGCTGAAGTCTGAACCCAAGCACGTTTACCTGACTCGGTGAATGACATGCGTATGTGTGGAGAAAGANNTCCCAAATCGGCCTCGCTTCCAACAGTCGTGTCTTTAAAATAGTGCCGCGTGCATCTATCTTTTCAGAGGAACCGGAGACATTGNCATACTCACTTGAAATAGCAACTAACTGTTAGTGAGCACGCTGCNATGTGAATTATGCGATGTTCATGCACCAGTGGTGATAGCGAGAGCAATAAACATCACAGACACAAGGCCCTTAAGAATCCTCCTGACAGTCGCTTAAGCATGTATGTAGGCNNCCTTTCCGGGTTAGACTCGAGCGCTACCCGGTTGGATAAAGCTNNACCGATTNNTAGCGAATCCTGATGATGTGATTCGGCTTGTCCNGCATCAATGCGATCATTGCGAGCATCTGTCAATAAAATGATGTTTTGCAAGGCAGGCAAACTGGGACGAAATGGTGCGCAAGGCCATCAGTTAAACATGACANNACAGTCGGTCGTACGCACCNNGTCAGCCAGGGCTGTTCGGAAAGATTTGGTGTCAAAGCACGTGGGGATTTGAGTGAGAAATGTCTTTGACCGTTGATTTTCTTTGCGAAACCCGAGACGAATAGGAACCATGATAATCCCTGGCTTGCGAGCTGCAGTAGTCCTGCAGCTCGCAAGCCAGAATGCCACGCGACTGCGCGTGTCCGCGAGGAAACGTGGCGCTTTGTGTTCACCATGTCGACGTCCTTTGACAGGGGACAGCGCTATCCTGACGGGCCCTGCCTGATGCACAACCTCCCGATTGATGGCGATGGCGAGGGTCGCTTAGATGCACCCTGGGCTGCACGAGAGGCTCGCCGCATGATTTATCTAGCGAGCGACTCTTGATCCAGCTGCGACGAGGTGTGAGCGAGGCAGTGAGACAGAGAGACCGAGCGCGCAAAGGGATGTTGTTGACAGGTCAAGATGCAGAAACCGGACAGCGCGGTGCCAAACGGCCATGTCTTGCATGACACACAGACGTGATGGCGCCGCACCTTGGCGGTTCGGAGCTGATATCATTGCGGTAAGCTATTCGGTGATGCGCTGCGGGAGAGGGCAATCCTCCTCGCCGTCCCACATTGACAGCAGCAGGTCCCGCACATCCCGTGGAGATTCCCGACGGAACGCGATTGATTGATTACTAGGCCGCCTGCCCTGACGATATGCGTACATGCGATATAGCTGTACGAGAGGGCAGCGGCAGCAGGCGCGACGGGGACAGGAACAGGAACAGGGACAGCGGCGAGGCGCCTTCTTTTATGCTTGCATGTGAGGGAGAGTCTGGAGAGCGACCGAGGAGCTGCTGCTGCGCGGTGCGGTGCGATGCTGCGCTGCGAACTTGCTTGTTCTTAGGGGGCTTTCTGAAGGAACATGCCACGGCGGCTTGAAGCTGCGCTGCTCCTGTTGTTGCTTGATCGGTTGAAATGATCGCAATCTCCCTTCTCATTTCACCAACCACCAGCCAAACTCCAGGTCCGACCATCGTTTTTTTGTGTTTAAGGCTGACGAAAAACCGTTATTCCCATCTGGAACATCGCCGCCACACAGTCATAAGGCAAGACGTTGACTCCGAATGAATTGTCCCTAGTCTCAGGTCTGAGACAGTGGTTTTGTCAGTTCTCAAAGACATCCGGTGACCGTGTTCGACTCGGCATTTGGGGATTATTATATGGGTGCACTGAAGCCATCCCGAGACGCTTGCAAGGACTCGGGACTTTGAATCTTTGGTAGCGAATTGAGCGAAAAGACATCGTTCGCGGGAACACTGCAACTTTGAACCAGTCAGATCGTCGACCAGCGCCCAGGGCCGGTACTTTTTCAAACATCACCCACGGTTAGTGCCCTTTTGTGCTGAAGCTACCATTCGTTTCCAGTCCTCATTGCTGCGCAGCACGAGAAATACCATTTGGCATCCGCCCTTTTGTTCAGCCCTTTTTTCATTTTTGGCCAGCCTAGTCGCCTACTGTACCATCGACAAGCATCGCTCCTCGGCGCCGCCTCCAGCTTGCACCTGTCCGCGACGGTTGCTGCCCTCCCGCGCGCGCGAACCACGGCTTCCCAGGCCACATTAACCAAACTGCCACGTTCATTACCAGACTTGTCGATCCAGAGACTGCAGTTTTGGGTGGACGTACGAGCTCCTCTGTACCGCAGGACTCGACTCAGCTTGTCCTTTGCACAGGCCATTCAACCACGCTTTCATCACCACGCACCCACGGATCTGTTCCGCTGGCTCGTCCCGGTTACAGCCCTCACCCATAGGCCACCCGCAACCATCTCGTCGTCGATCGAGAAGACGTGCTTAACAATTTGTTGCCTGTCAGGGTTTTGTTTCTGCGGTCCTGACATCGTCACCTGCAAGCCTTCCATAAGGTTGCCGACCCGCTCTTTGAACGTCTGATAGCTTCTACCACATCGACGCCGCATACTCGTGCTGCGAGGCAGGATCACCCGAACCGTTTCTTCACCTGGCTGGATGCGACTTTTCCCATTCTAACGTTTGCGGACTTCCAACCACTACGACAGACGACCACAACATCTCGCATCTCTGTCGTCGCTGCGCATGGAAACTTCTGAGCCGCAACTAACACCGCTGAGACAATCCTTCTCCGCGAGCTTCACGAAGTTTTCATCTCCCCGCGCCACGCGCTTGATGCCCGACAGGACCCATCGTCTCTGCCTGTTCGAATCTCATACGTCAGATTCGGAATCAATTAAACGCGACACTCCCACCAGGCGCGTCTCATCCAACGACACCAGTGTCAGGAACCTCGAATCTGCTCACCTGGAACCCGAGAGAGTAGTCATTCGCCGCATCCCGCACCCATCATCTCACCAACCTCTAACCGGAAGCTCCCGTTCCTTCTCATCAGTCAAGGCCAGATTGCAGCAGGACGCTCTGCCAGGTCGACTTGAGGGCACCGGAGACTCACATGGTGGATTCTGATGAACTACCCATATCACCTTCAGCCAGAGCAACCACCCTCCAGCAATCGAGCGCTGGATAGGTAAGGCTGCCAACAGTCGCGCCAAGCCCCCAAGCAGCGATACATCTGTTCTACCACGGTTTGACAGACAAAACTAACCATGTTATCCCACAGCGGCGATTATGAGCTCGTGGTTCGCCAACAACCAAACGAAGCCCTCGTGACTCAGACGGGCAAAGAGAAAAGTAAGCACTCATCCCTGTACACCGCCCGCTTCAACTGTGGTTGCTAATCGCGCTTCCGTACACAGNACAGAAAACCAGTAGACCCTCCACCGATTATCGAGTTGAGGGTGACATCGAGCGCGGATCCCGGAAAGTACGTATATTCTGACATGACGCATTCGTGCAGGACTGATACCTTTGCGCAGGNNCAGTTCTTACAAAGCCCCTACCTGTTTATGCAATGCACTCTTCAGGTGGAACAGCAATCTAACTCGAGCGATAACTCTTCTCCTGCAGTCCCTGCTGGTCAAGAGATCACTGGCCAAAGCGTCTCATCCTTGCATAGACTAAAAGACATTAACAATGAAGGTGAGTGCAAGCGATCAAACTGAACATACACACGACCAAAGCTAACCTTCCGCGCAACGTTAGATGGCGGATTCTTCGTGTTTGGAGACATCTCGATCCGCGTGCTGGGAAGGCACAAGCTCAACTTCAGCCTGTTCGAGCTCAGGAAGGACACTGGAGAAGTGGTGTTCCTCAAATCCATCACGTCCGAGCCCTTTGACGTGGTGCAGCAAAAGCAGTGGCGCGGCCTTGTTGAGTCTACTCATCTTTCCAGAACCTTTTCAGACCAGGGCGTGCGACTACGCCTGCGCAAAGAGAACCGCAATGTAGCAGGGTACGATGTTCGTGGCTGGAAAGCGCGTCTCAAGTGCTAATCAGTCGTCACAGTTNCCAAACGTACGCTTCCCTATTCTCCTCGAAACAGCACTCAAGCAGGGCCCTCGATGTTTGGGTACGACGATGACCCGAACAAGAGACATCGCTCCAATGATCATGCCCCACCACAGGGCTACCCGATTACAGAAAGAGCTCCTCTTGCATACGATCCCCGAGCAGCTTCGCAGAACATANCCCCCTGCCCCTACGGTCTCCAACAACAAGCCTTGCTCCAATCGCCTCAGACTTCCTTCGGCTCGCGCACTCCTACCGCACCTCCTGGCTGGTCCCATACCCAGGTATTTCACACTCCGCAAGCCTCCATATCTGCGCCAGTGAGGTTCCCAGAAGGCAGTATTGATACCGCACAGGGCATCACCCCAAGTCCAGGAGCGGCAGGCTATGGCTTGCAGCCTGCACCACCGATGGGACACGAGTCTGTCCCTACTTTTCCCAGAAGGAGCACGGATTCGTACCTTTCTATGGCTCAACACTCGCAAACAAGCCCGAGCACACCATACCAAGGTCCGGGTGCCGCAATGTACATTCCGACCAGTGGCAGCTTGCAAGGACCGTCTACTTACAGCACCGAACACGATCCTGTGGCTATGGCTAGACAGCACACACAAACTCATTCGGTCGCAAGTCCTGCATCGTCCACAAGATCGGGCTTGATCCAAGCAGCGCCCGCTTACTCGATGCAGCCGCAGCCGTTGGCGCAACAATCCTACGGTGCCTTGTCGGATAACCAGCCGTTCGAGTACCAGCAGTATCGACAGCCAGCTTACCAGCCTCTTCCTCCTCAGACACTTCTGCAGCAACCCTCAAGCAATCCGAACCACGAGGTGGGAAGACACCCACAACAGCCGCTAGGCAATCCTATCGATATGCGTACCACGCAGCAACCGAGTCCGTACATCCCACAATCGCACCCTAGCCTTGCCATTCGCCCGCAGCAGCCTGGACAGCCGTACGCTTCTACACAGCAACACCAGCAGTACCCAGCAGACCTCGGCAATCCTTACCAGACCCCTGGAGGAGTGAACTACCCTACTACTCAGGCACCGGACCAGTCCAGGCCATACTAGAAGTATGACCTCGCAAGACAGTGGCCAGCAAATGACGTAAAACGAGACTCTCCCTACGAAGACAATAAGGACGACCTCGAAGACCATTTCTTGGGCCAAGAATAAAGAATCATGACCACAATTCAGTCATATTGCAAGACACGATCAGCAGGCTGGATACATGAGCAGGACTGTGACTTCTGCTGAAGTACCTACAAACAAAAACACTACAAACACCACATCACACCACACCACACCACACGTGCGCACGTACACTTATACCCACACCACAACAACAACACTACTATATACCCAATGCTCGGCCATGCTCTTGCATTTGTTCTTTCATTTCCTTGTTTTATACCACTGATCATTCCTAGCGAGGAGTCCTGGATGGCACCTTGGGGGCGGGATATCCATCGGCTGGCTTTGGTCCTTTGATCTCTGGATTTTGTTTTTGCTTTTACGTGTATCGACGCCGATGGGTTTGCACAGGACATCACATGGCTGGATTTCTTGTTTTTCTTATTAATGTTGATTACCCCATCCCTGTATTCTCTATATTCTTTTCATGTTTTTTTGTTCTACTGCTTTCCGAGTACTATATCCATATACCCCTTGTCGGAATAAGATAGCTGTGATTTTCTGTTTATGCAAATTCAACACAACCTTCATCGTTCTTGCCTTGAGTTTGTGCTTCGCCTTTGCCACTTTGAACTCTTGATTCGCACTTGCCATCGCAACACTGTGGCGAAACTACCTTGTCTCAACGTGCCTCACGCCAACCTCATCATATCCACGTCAAACTCATCGTTATCGTTCAACAAGGTCTAAAGTCATGAACACTGACAAAGCCCTATGATGGCGAAAGATTATCTCAAATACCTTGATACAAAGTTTCTCACCCTCATGATCCGGAGACTACCCCGGCAAAGTCATCCGTGTGCTGGCCCGTACCGCGACAGCGCCCAAATCAGCACGGTCAGCACCAACAAAGCATGTACGTAACGTTCCCTCTGGATGAATGAGAAGACGTGGAGCATGCCTGCTGGCCACAAGAGGGCTATTGACTCAACCGTATACTCCTGAACTATTTCCTGACTTTGTGGCTGGAAGTTTAGCTCACCATCGCCATCGCCATCGCCGCCGGACTAGAAACGTCTGGCCGGCAACAATCAGCCTCTGGACCCGTTCAGTGACTTGAGTGCCGATATAGGAGCGAACAATGCCGCGCCGGGCTTGTTCACAAACGATGTCTTGGACGAGTGGTTATTCCCTTGCCCGGCTGACGTCGGCATGCACCACTGCGTCTACTTTTCCAAGGAGGAAACTGCAGCCTGCAAGAAGGATTTGAGTTCTGTCGCTATCGACCCTGAAATTTTGACACAACAACGTGGAAGACGTTCATACAGAGTCATATCATGATGTCCGTTTTGCTTCGGAAGAGGACATTTGCAAGGACCTTTTTCCTCAAAGGGCCGTAGACGCGAAGAAACGGATGCGCCGTTTGTGGCTTCCTCCGGCTCTACCTTCTCGACTCGAGGCGTTCATCGTGGCGCTTTTGGGCGTTTCCGTCTCGACCGACGCCGTTTCCCTGCCTTTTCTTCTCATCGAGCAGCAACACCGTTTCTGTCTGGCCTTTTTGATCAGGCGCGCGCTTACGACTGCATCTTCTCGATGTCTTGCAATACAATTTAGCCGCGATGGGCGGCTGAGCCCGGATCGACCAACCTTCCAACAACGTCAACGGACAATTGATGTTGAATTCCGATTTCTAGACTATAGGATAATAGCGGCATAGCATCTCCCCTATCTGACCTCGGGTCCCTGAAGCACCTGGACTAGAGTCACTACGTGCGTAACTGAGGAGTCCTTTCATCACCACCAATCTCTTTTCCAATATTCAAGCTCTGGCTCTTTCTAGTATAACAGGCCGACACTACTGTTTGCTCTATGGTCCGGTGCCAAGTGTCTGGAACCCTGCGATCTATCACGGCTATCTGATGATGATCAGCGAGTCAACAATCCTGATTTTGTGATGACCAGGCTGCAGACTCAATACCGGTGCTGCACCTGGATGAACTTCACCACTACATTGAGGGCCGGCGTGAACCGAAGACTGAGGCGGGATACGAAGCAGTGACGATGTCTGGACCAGATCCAGATTACAAGAGAAAGAGCTTGGAATATTGGGCGTTGGCGAATGGAAATCCGAGGAACGACACCTCATTGACACCCCACAAGCGACCGGCGCGACTGCGCTGACCCAGCACTACAATTGAATTTGCTCCACGATACTTGAGCATCTTGCTGGATACCAATCGCTTGGAGAAGCTCTCGCTCAAAAGTTCACGCCCACAAATCCAGACGGCCGAGCGCGGGAGAGCTTCAAAGCATGCACTGCTCCTGACGATCTCCTGCAACCGATTAGCACTGTACAGTCGGTACGCTACAGTTGTAGAGATGAGGATGACATGTGTGAACCATACAATCCAGCACCAGGTTTGAGTACCGAGGAACATGTTCATTAAGATTTACGTCGATATAATAAGTCAGTGCTGCATCTTGACCCACATATTGAGATGCACGTACCCAGAAGACGTGTTGCGTATGCTGTATATAGTAGGATCTGCCCTCGAATTCCAGTCATGAATCCTTCTGTGCCCTACCTTCAAGCTGGATTGCTCGAAAGCGACTCACCACGATGTCGGGTTTGGGATCCAGCGTAATTGCATCTGCATACTCGCACAGACAGGTAACATTGGTTTACCTGTGATGATATGATCTTCTCATCGTTGCCCCGGAAAAGCTGAGTTATGTTCTCCTTCAAGAGTCCATTAGCAAGAAAGATTGGATCAAAGCATCGAGGGAAGATGACAACGGCATTAAGACCGAAGCCCGAGAGTTTCGTACGCACGCCGAAGAGCAAAAGTGGGCGTGTCAGGTCTACGAAGTTGCACATGCTCTCTGATATCCCGAGATACGATGTTGGGATTTGGGTGGTTTCGTGAATGGAGAGAGTCGTACTAAATCTGGATTCATAGACCTGTATCTTGTGATCGCATGTCGATACTTCCTTCCACTTGCCAGAGTTTCTGACACAAGAAGTGTGTCCTAGGTATCTCGCCCGTTAGGTTCAACCCACAGATCTGTCTCGTGTGCGACTTTGGTGCAGAAGCTGTTGACGACGGTTGGTGAGTTGGTCTTGTAGAAGATGTTCCTCGCGCCTTCTATCACAACGCACTCTCATGCAAGCGGCAAACGACGAATTCGTCAGTTGCGTGTGACTTGCTTCTGCCTTTCCAAACCTTCGTGGAGCCTTGGAAGCAATGAAAGTCCCTAAGGCAAGGGTCAATTGTTGTCAATCTCGATCTTCGGTCCTATCTAACCGCTATAAGCTCATTCAAACATGAAGCTCGTCTAGTTCTCTTCCCTCAATCTCACAGCTATGGCATCCTGGTACTACAGTATCACACGCCAATCCTATCACGATGGAAATTCGCGTTGGCAGTGTGATAGGCCAGATCATCGCCTGTTTAAGTATTAGCGATGCAGAGGAAAAAGCACTTTACTCTCAAACGAAGCAGTGGACTTTTCGTCATTCGGTGGGCGAGACTCCCTTCAAAAAGTTGTTGTATTCCTGGATACTAAGATAGAGAAGACATGGTTAGAATCACCCAGGTCCATGATCCTTTCAGAGTCTGGTGAATCTCCGGATCTAGTGAGCCCAAGTATAGTAATGACATGTCTTAATCCTTGGTATAGAAGACCTGGCTGGTTACGAAGATTTACGAACCTGTATCCCTCCCTGCCCAGCATGGACTCGGCTCCCCTGGAAGATACGATATGCCTGACGCGTCGACAGGGTCTTTAGCTTTCGCAACAAGTTCCTTGGTTCGAGCATTATAGTTGACAACGGCAAAGACTTGATAGTGCTGTTCAATGTCTGTTTTGCAAATGGAGGGCATGGCATGGCATTTGAGTGTTATGTAGTAAACTATACAGTCTTCGAAAGCTAAAAGTCACTGCTTGAAGGTGTTAACGTGAGAAGTTGAGATGACTGAGAACTGTACAGCTGATGACAGTCAATGCTACCCCCTCTCTCTGCTGCTGATCTTCGAGGATTCACCCAATAACATTGATATTGGAAAATCAACTCATATGTTAAGCTAAACCACACACTTGCACATCACAAATCTTTGCAGCGAGTGCCGGTCAGTCTTGGAGATCAGTGTGTCAGAGAGCCTTGAGACGTTCGAGGAAAAGCTCACGTTGCACGACATAGCCTTGGTAGTTTTCTTTGTTGTGAATTTCCTCACTTTTGGCGGAAGGAGGATGGGGCAGGTAGGCACACAGGTCACTAAATTTACAGTCTTTCGCGTCTCGCTCCTTCTTACTCCTCTTAAGACCATTCATGGGTCCAGGTCTCGAATGGGAGGATAGAGAAGGATGGAAAGACCAAGTTTCACGAACCTGATCACTTTCCTACTTACCTTTCCCGTTCTGTTGCTCCATTTTCAATGTCTATGAGATTGGCTGCACTCACGTCCTCTGGTAACGGAACTCCATACGATGATCTGATTCTGAGTTTGTCTTGAATGCGTTAAGTCGCTGGAGATGGATATTGGAGTTTTGAACCAGGTTATTGATTGGCCAAACACACAAATGGCTTGATCATGTCTATAGATATACTAGATAGCAGCCTTAGTGATATCAAGTCCCGCGTTGAGGGTTGTGGATGTTCTTAGCACAGAGAGTGATATATGCATGTTTTCCGACGGAGACGTGCTTGACAGGATATCTATCAAGAAGTGAAGGGATGTAACAGGTATCGCATAATCATACTACGATGATGTTCTATCGGCCCATCGAAACTCAATCTCTTAATCTTCTTACTGTATATCGTATGAACCAACTATAAAAGAGAGATCCCGAGAACCGCAGCATTACCCGCACGTTCCTAGACCGTCAACAGTGTTCTTACATATTTTGCGTCGCGATCGTCAACAACGGCTACATGGACGATGCAGAACGCCAAGACGGGCCTTCCACTGCATCACTGTTATCAAGCAGAAGTATGAAGCAAGAACCAATGATACGGAGAGAAAGCAACCAGGTCCGTGACCCTCAATTTACTCTCCTATCTTCTCCATTCGGAAGCACACGCTAGATACTCTGTATTATTGAGAATGCAGAGAAGGACAAAGTATCACTGACCTCACCATTCTACCCATCTTCCCTTCCGAAAGATTCTGCGCCTAGTCTCTCCATCTATGGAGTGAGAAGACCACGAACGAATATGACTGATGAACTGGAGTATACTCCTCTTTACAGGCTTGAATGAGGCCAGTGAAAAGAAAAGGACTAGTAGAAAGATCTCATTCTAATACCAAATCTTATGTGTTAGCATGAAAGACAGGACAAATGCAACACAAGAATACTAGCTCCATAGTATATCGAGTCCTAAGAATCGTCCACATCACCACGACATCCAACCTGCCTGCGCGTCGTCTTGCACCTCCATACCATGATACCCATAGCAAACACAATATGCGGTGATCAATATACTACATAGTAAGTAATATAGAGATACCGCATAAGAAATCCTAGCTTTTTGACTATGTAAATCAAGCACAGTTGCCAGAAGCCCAACATACAAACGCCCAGCTGATGCACCATATACCATATGACCGACATATCCAACACACGGGCTGTGTTGTTTGTGTCTTTGGAAAGATAGCAAAACATTTGGACCAGATACAAGATCACCGAGGAGGAGAGGAGGTAACGGGGTCATTGACCCTTGACTTCCTCCATCTATCCCTACCCCTTGCACGTTCATCAATCATATCTACAAAATCATCAAAATACCGTTGAGATCAGAGGATCTAAGGATACAAAGAGACAAAAAAAGATTCACAGACCTAATCAAGCCCTTCCCCTTCCCTCGCCACAATCTGCCACAGTAGTAGACAGTAGCGCAACAACAACCAACCCATCATCTCCCTTTTGGTTCTGTTTTATAAACCATGAGTCTTCTGGTTCTGAGCGATAAAGAAGAAACTTGTGATTTCGACATCGTTCATAATGTTTAACAATAGTCATTTTTGGGCAAAAGCCGACTGAAAGATTCCACAAAAACACTCCTTGGTATCGATGCGCATAAAAATACAAGAGCAACAAGAGACAGATGTCTGAAAAGCATCCATCAAGAAAGAAGAAAATAAAAACAGAGGAAAAGAAATGCTCCCATGGTATCGTCCGCAAGCCAAACGCCTTTTGCCAGAACCAAGAAACAAGAGAAAAGAAAACAAAAAACCAGCGAGTGAAGAAAAGAGGAGAGATGAGTATCTGTCCATCAATCAATCCTCAACACCCCACTACCGTTCAGCGGACCAGAACTAAGCGTCCGGCATCTCATCATCACTATCCCCTTCAGCGTCTGCATCTTCATCATCCTCATCCCCATTCTCGCCTGTACCATAGCTACTTCCTTGTGGCAAAGCATTCACGCCTCCCACGCCGTCATACCCAGTGCCAACCCCCGCCTCTCCCATCTCCACATCCTCACCTTCGGCATCTTCGTCCTCGTCGTCGTCTTCGACAGCGTGTTCAGGCACATTGAGCTTCCCCATAAACTTCGGTCGCGTAAAGGCTGCGCCATTGTTCTTGTCGACGACTTCTTCCAGCGCTGCACGCTCGTGTTCAGAGGATATCTGTCGTTGGATCTCGTCTTCGGAGGGCGAGGGCGCGACTTCCATTTCGTCGAGTTTGCTGCGGGCGCGGCGGGTTGTGTTGGTGGGGCGGCCGCGGGGTGCAGTTGCGGGNAAGGGGGTGATCTCTTCTATACTTTCGGCTCGTCTGTTGGCAGAGGGCGTGAGTTTCGAGCGGGTGCGGCTGCCCATGGGTCGACCAGGCTTGCGTTTTGTGACCTGGCCGGGAATAGGTGGGAAGATTTCGAATCGCGAGGCGGGAATGCTATCCTCTGTGTATGCGGATCCACGTCTGACTGACGAAGTGTCTGAAGTGTCATTCTGCGAGGCTGGGTCTTCTTGAGTTGTACCGTTAGTCTGCTGACTCCGCTCGGGTTGAGTTTCTGATTGAGACTTCCGAGGTGAGCGTCGAGGCGATCCCATAGTGATGGAAGGTTGAGGTGTCAAAGTTGACGGAGGAGCCTTGCGAGTAGCTTTGGGAGAAATATTGTCGCCGTTGACAGCTTCTGGATCAGGGACTGTATCGCCGTTGACTTGAGCTTGCTGAACGCCCTCTTCAGGTTGTACAGCCTGCACATCTTCAGGCTCATCGCGACGAGCCTTGGTTTGAATAGGGCCAGTGGCTTCCTCGCCAACAAGGAAATAGCTCGTAGGCTTACCCATCACATAAGGCGTCCAGATGAGTTTTGCAGGATCAATTTTGATGTGACGTTTCTTGTCGTGCTTGTCCAAATATTCTGCCATGTATGCCCAGTCGCAACGAAGGGCATACTTGTTGGTGAAAGGATCTTTGACGATAGCACGAAGCGCCTCGAGTGATGAGATCACATCGTCAACAGTCATGCCTGTGGCACGAGCTATGCTCGAGAAGGAGATGTCATATGAGCCTCTGGGCGCTTCCTTGTAGCCGAGCAGTAACCTGCACATGACACCACGCCAGTATGACCGATAAGAGACAAGACCCAAGTCGGAGAGTGGCTTTTCGGGAGAGCCTGTTCTACCCTCGACACGAGTTAGTAGGTAGGAGAACTCGATCAAAGTACGACCGAATCCATGCCGTTGGTGGACCGGGAACACCAGGATGCAAGAGACATTGTTGCCTGGCGGGTCATTAGCATTGGCACCTGCCTTGGCTTGCACTCCATTTGTGAGCGGATCAGCGCCAATCTCAATGGAAGCACGAGGGTCAAGGGGTGGCGACCAGTCCCTCTTCTCCTTGGAAAAGTAACCGACAAAGTGGCAACCGTATTCGTCGTTCTCTGTCATGACGTAGAAAAGGAAAGGTTCAACATCATAGTACAGGGTCTTCGAACCAAGGAACAGCTTGGCCAGAAGACAGAGGTTTTGGCAGTAGAGAGGACTGCGGCGACCGTCAACTTCGAAGAAGGAGATGCTTTTCTTGTTGCCGTCAGCGTCGATGATGTCGTCGCGGTAGATTTCATCGCCAGGCGGATGTTTGTGTGGACATTTGAGCTTGTGTCTGAAAGCCACATAAGACGAGCTCATGTATTTGAGACAGAACTCGCAGATGCACAGAACCGGATTGCGATTGTACTCTTCGGGATAGGGCGCGGCATGCAGTGTTTCAATCTCCCAGCCGCCAAAGTGGATGTACTTAATCTTAGTAGGTAGTCCGCCGGACGATTTTGATCGGGATGGCAATTCGATGGGGTTGGCTTCTTGTTCGGCTTTCCTTGCTTCTTCGGTTCGACGACGTGACTCTTCGAAGAGATCACGGTCGGGTTGCTGAGGAAAAGTCTTAGTTGTGTCGGCCTCGGCGTCAGTGAGGATGCCACCAAAGGGTTTGCCCTGCACTGTGTCGAGTTCACGGTCAGGAAATGGGTAGTAGGGATTGTCGTAGAGAGTTGTGGCGACCGCAGGGTAGTGCGACGAGACTGTCTCGACTACTTCGTGCACATCACTGTGGGCGCCAGTCTTCTTCTTGCGACCACCCATTAGTGCTCGACGTGCTCTATCTCGTTCGCGCCTTCGAGCCTTCCTTTGTGCGTTGCGCTCAATGTTTTCGAGTGCGGCGGCGCTGATGGGGATGGCAATAACAAGACTTTTGGAGATTTCGTCGATTGTTTCTTCGAAAATGATCCTTGCGTTTGTGCTTGACTGAGGCTGTTTACGNAAGTCGAGATGAGCGCGTGTTGGAAGACTTTTCACTTTCCGCCGAGCCACTGCCTCGTGTCGCCGCCGCCTGCTCCTTTACGGCGTCTCTCGGCGTGACATTGATGTTAGTTTGGCTCTCTGATGCCGTCGATCGCCTCCTTTTCCGTGATGTTGCTCTTGGCGTTGGCTCGTCGGCCTCGACGGAAGAATTCTTGCGTTTNNCCTAAGGGAGCGAGAACCATCCATCGGATCATCGTCGAGTATGAGATTGTTGAAGACTGAGTGTGAATTTGGTTTGATGCCGCCGCGAGCAGCAGGCAAGAGATCACGGGCTAACTTGGGCACAGATGATCGACGCTGAGAGCCATCGTGGATGGTCATCCTGTCGACATCCTGCTGAAGATGAAAGCCATTTTCGACACAATCGTGACATAGCCAGGTCTGAGGATCCTTGTCTGCGATTATTGACATATGTTAGCAGAAACATATATTTGGATATGCAAGTCGCGTACCTTGATCGGAGCTAAGCGAACTAGCGTTTCTGGCGCACTGCTTGTGAGCTGCAGGCCTCAAGTCAGCGAACAAGGACCCTGAATGATATAAAAACTAAAACTTACCATGATCCCCGCAATGACCGCATTCGAGATATTCTTCATACTCGTCGCTCGGATCATTTTCTTCGTCTTGTCCGCAATACCTGCCAAGCCGGAGTTAGCAATCCAGCAACAAGCAAGCAATTCAACATGGCGACATACACGCAGGTCGAGTCTGTCACAACGTCTTGGTCCTGTTCCTGAGCAGTGTCGCTCTCCTTTTCCCATGGAGCCTGAGTGGCAGCAGATTCGTCAGACGAATCGGAGTCGTTGTCGGCGTCGGATGCAGAATCGTCGTCCTCGCTCGTCTCGATGTTGCGACTTTTCCTAGCTCTTGATGTCCTGCTCCTTGTAGGGGCTCTCTTTACAGCACCGACAATTTCGCTCTCGTCGTCATCCTGATCCGCATCGGCGTCTTCGTCTTCCTCGTCTTCTTCGTCTTCGTCGTCCTGATCTTCGACGTCGTTCATCAGGCTAGGCGACTGGGTTTCGGGCATGTCGAGATCATCCTCCTCGCCTTCTGCGTCAATACTACTGCTGCGCATGGTGGTGTGGATAATCTGCAGATGGCCGAAGTACGGGAAGGTACGTGGATGGTATTGTACGCAGTTATCACAGCGAACCCTCGGAGCCAAGCACGTCTAGACTCTGTATGTAGAGCGCATAGAGAGGTCGCAAGGAGGTGTGCTGTTGAAGCCTTGGCGTCCAAGTCGAAGAGTAGTCGCAAGTAGGTGCGGTGACGGTAGGGATATCCTTGGAGCTGGTATAGATGGCTAAGGAGGTTTCTGATGCCCTGGGAGGCAAAGGACACGTAAATACGCGGTATTCGTGCAACGTGTGGGCAACGTGGAGTGGGTGGTGAAGCTTGGACGGGGAGGCTGAGGTCGACGCGGTGACAAGGTAGACGGCAGGAGAGTGTTCCGCAGACGCGACGAGCGACTGCTTTGACAGGTCGAGATACAGCGACAACAGAACCGGCGAGTGTAGAGTGACAGGTCGTGTCGTCGAATTGATGTTGGATTATTTGTCGTGCAGCTGGAGGCTTCTTGTTGTGCTCTGGGCCGAGCATGTGGAGAAGTCGCAGCTCTCCCAGGCGCAGTTGCCGTTTCTGCGCTTGATCTCCGGCCTCACTCGCGTCCCCAATGCCAAGACGTAGCTGGTCATCATCAACTGTCTACCGCTATCGACGACGAGGGTGCCAGACATAGACAATACACAGCCATGGGTGTCCCATTCGAAGCTCTGCTGCCTTACGGCATCTGTCTTGCCGTATGCGTGCCCTATCGCCCTCAAATCCTCACCAGCACATGACTTACACACTCCTTGCGCAGTNTCTTCGGCATCACTGGCGCCGGCCTCTCCAAGATCAGAAACATCCAGAACGGCGGCAAGCGTGCCAGACACTCGGTCGACCAGTGGGACAGACAAAGTGCGCTTCCTTGGACCTTGCGACAACCCAATGCCTCGACAGACGCTGACCATNCTCCCACAGTGATGGACCGCGACCGCCGCCTGACCGGCTGGCTCAGAGGCCAAGTCGACCGCCCCATTGCCCCCGCTGGCTTCGAATACAGCAATGGATGGAGAGTGCGTCGATTCCCACACTCAACTTCAAAGGACGTCCAAGACTGACACGCAAACACCACAGGTCGAGAAGAACTTGCACTAGATTCCCGCTACCAATTACCACCCAGCCCCGTCCGCTCCGCACCTCCTTCCTCTGTTGTACATTTTTCTCTCACTCGGCGCTCAATTATGCTACAAATGCTGCTTCTCGAAATACCAATTCTGTTCCTGAACACCTCGGCTTTAGACACTCTCCACCACGCGACACATCCGTAGAAAGATTGAATCAATGTGAGAGGATGACAGGATACACAAATCGCCATGCAGGCAAGACTCACCATTCCGAGACGTGCACTGCTTGTTATTTAGACCCGGACTCAGAGCGAACATGTATCCGACAACTCACCTATGCAAGAGCAAGATATACAAGTCTTCTTTGGTCGCTAAGACACTCCAAAATCATACCCTTGTCAATTGGAGCACTCTTTGAGATAGAGAAATCAAAGTACCATTGCCCTGATGGAGAATGGTAGGCTCGAGCTTCAAGGGGCAGGTACAACCTTGTCCCCAATATTTTGTGTATCGCAACAACAGCGTACAATACTGTATTGTGTCTCTTGTGTTTCTTCCATTCTTCTGTCCTAAGTGCTTGACCCTTGGCATAACTGGAGTAAAGTATAAATCCTAGGATTGTTTCGTTGAAATGACTTTGGATGAACTTGACCATTGTCCCTTCTATCAGGCCAAAGTGCCAAAAGTTGGTCGCGATATCAATCACCTTGCCTCTCAAAGACCACACGCTGCAACATCGTATAGAGACAATGTTTTTTCTTCTTCTCTCTTTTTCCAGTATATCCTTGACTTTTGCGAGAGCACAAGATTGAGTACTCTTAGCATTTCAGTATCACAGATCCTAGTGCATGAGGAGAAAGTTCACCCGAGAGAGACAGAACTCTTGCAACCCTGCGTTCGAATCGCAATAGACAAGGACATGGATGATTTGGGTGGAAAAGGTTATCTGTAATTTTCTAGCTTCCCAAAAAAGAAAAAAGATATAACTAAAGAGCTAAACAAAATAAAGAACGCCATTGATACACATTGGTACTCACGTTAGACAAAAAGGAAAAGAGGCGCAACTGAACATTTACACAATCACAAGAAGGGAAGTCTACTGGCCGGGAGAGACAAGCAGACCATCCTTGTGAGAGTTGTGGTGCCAGCCACCAGCAAGTGCCTCACCACCCTGTGCCTTTGCGTGGTCCTGGATGCGGGCCTCGAGTTCGGGGCGGAAGTGGCGGATCAGACCCTGGATGGGCCAGGCAAAGGCCTCACCCAGAGCGCAAATGGTGTGGCCCTCGACCTGCTTGGTGAGCTCTTGCATCATGTCAATCTCGCGAGCGCGGGCCTGGCCCTTCTCGAAACGGTGCATGATCTGCTCGGTCCACTTGGAACCCTCGCGGCAGGGGNNGGTGCACTGACCGCAGGACTCGTGGTGGTAGAACTTGGAGAGACGAGCAATGGCGCGAACAACATCAGTGCTTTGGTCCATGACGATGACGGCGGCCGTACCGAGACCAGACTGTGAGTCCTTGAGGGCGTCGAAGTCCATGAGCTGGTCGTCGCAAACCTTCTTGGGAAGAATGGGGGTGGAGGAACCACCGGGGATGATAGCCTTGAGGTTGTCCCAGCCACCAATGACACCACCGCAGTGCTTGTCAATCAGCTCGCGGAGAGGGATAGACATCTCCTCCTCGACGGTGCAGGGGTTGTTGACGTGACCAGAGATACAGAAGAGCTTGGTACCAGCGTTACGCTCACGACCGAAAGAGTTGAACCAGCTACCACCACGGCGGATGATGGTGGGTGCAACAGCGATGGTCTCAACGTTGGCAACGGTCGAAGGGCAACCGAAAAGACCAACAGCAGCAGGGAATGGGGGCTTCAGACGGGGCTTGCCGGGCTTGCCCTCGAGCGACTCGATGAGGGAGGTCTCCTCACCACAGACGTAGGCACCCATACCACGGTGGATGTAAATGTCGAAGTCGTAGCCGGAGCCACATGCATTCTTTCCGATAAGACCAGCTTGGTAGGCCTCCTGGATGGCGCGCTGGAGGACGGTGGCCTCGTGGTAAAACTCACCACGAATGTAGATGTAAGCGGCGGTGCAGTTCATGGCACGACCAGCGACCAGACATCCTTCGAGCAGCTTGTGGGGATCCTTGCGCATAATCTCACGGTCCTTGCAGGTTCCGGGCTCACCCTCATCGGCGTTGACGACCAGGTAGCGGGGCTTGGTGTCCTTGTCCCAGTCCTTGAAGTTCATGAAAGACCACTTCATACCAGAGGGGAAACCAGCACCACCACGGCCACGGAGACCAGAGGCCTTGATTTCCGAGATGATCTGTAGCAGGTGTGTCAGCAGAGTTGCAATTGACTAGCTGCGAGTGGCAATGCATACCCAGTCGTGACCCTTGTTGATAATCTCCTTGGTCTTGTGCCAGTCACCGTACTTCATGGCGCTCTTGAGGTCGGCTCCATGGTGGCCGTAAAGGTTCTGGAAGATGCGGTCCTGGTCCTGGAGACCACGCTTGTGCTGGACTGGAGGAGCGTCCTGGACGGTTGCGAGACCACGGGCGGAGGTGGTCAGTCTCGAGGTGGTGGCGTTGGCCGAGGGCACGACACGGTGCGATGCCGCCGATGTAATTGCTGACGTGGCGCGCGACATGTTGCAGGTGTGTGTAGAGATGGATAGGTGGTCCCTACGAGATGGGCTATGGGAGGCGTAGGTCGAGGTGCGCTGAAGTGGTGGCCAAACTCATGACATCCAAGATTCGGCTTCCGCGTCGTCAGCCAATCAGACGTCTGCATTTGACAATCACCTGCAACGCTCACAACTTTACCTACCTTCTTCACTTTACTCTTCATTACCATCTTCTCTGTCCAACGATTGCATGCCCATGTCTGTCTACAACTGATTAATTCTCACCGGCTCATTTTCCAGTTCCAAGACTGTCGCTGCACTACAAAGGCTCCCGGGCGGCTCGCGTTTCCTAGAGGAACAAGCTATGCACGTCTCAGTCGACACGACATAGCCGCTATAATGTACGACCGTCCTCTACCTACTGTAGATCCATGTTCAGAGGGCATTGGGCAGTATTGGGTAAAGCAACACGACATTGAAACAACAAAAGCTCCTCGTAGGTTCTGCAACTGTCGAATTGAGCATCCCGTGACCCCTCATAAGCGTGAACGATCGTCCTATACAATTACCAAGCTCAGTCGCAAAGGATTCACTATACACTTGGCTTTGCTGGGCAAGTCCAACAATAACGCATGAGCCTTGTCGTGAAGGAATTTGAACACCGAATCCTTAATGAATCGGCGCGATCGACCAACCGGTCGCTGTTGTTTCGAGCCATGGAGCGTCACGTCGCATATGCCCAGCTTGTTCACAGCCTGGTCGACATGGTATATAAAAAACCATGCCTGCGTCTGCTCAATCCCTCCAAGCTATATTCGTTCTCAAGCTGACTTTGTATACCTCATCATTTACCATGTTCACAGTATCAGTTCTCTCCGCCCTCGTGCTGGCTTCGTGTCAACAAGCTCTAGCACAGTCCTGCTCTGGTTTCAAGGTCACCACCAATTATTCCGATTTGACTTACACATCCCTCAGTAGTCGCTCCTACATCATCAGCGAGGGAGTTGCATGTCCCTCTACGCAAAATTGTTCTCTCAATATTGGTGGCTATGTTACCGAGGGCCGCACCTTGAATATCTCAGATCAAGCTTCANAAAACTCCATCTTCGAGACCATCTCCAAAGTCGTCAATCTTCGCTTCAAAGAGACTTGGACATACCCAGTGGCTACCAACCGTGGTGCCTGGTCGATCGCCAATGGCACAAATGCTTATGTCGCCTTCACTCCCAACACCATATGCGCCACGGGAAGACTCTCTGGCTGTCAAGGCAATGATCTGGAAGGGCAAACTGTAACGGCATGCACACTGGAAGGCGTCAAGTATGGAGATGGGCTTGCTGGTGTCATCCACGAAGTCGTTACAGATAGAGAAAGCGCCGCAAACTTGACTTGCAATCCTTCCAACACAACACAAGCAATGAACGGAAACTACACTGGTAGTTGCACTGGTACTGAAGATGAGAAAGGCGCTGCCAGTGCGCTTGGTGGGGTTTCTCTGGCCCTTTTATCTGTTTCTTTGCTGGTTGCCTNNTTTGTTGGGTTTTTAGTCTGCTTGATGACCAAGGAAAGAGCTCTAAGGTTACGTTCCTCCAGGCAGCTCTCTGCCTATGGGCAAAGACTTGATCTTGAGTGGCTCCTTATGTACATAATCTTCCTAGAAGCTAGACAAACATGAATCTTTTGATCGTATGCCATGACTGATCAAGACTGATACTACTGTGGGAGTAGATTGAGGAGAGCCGGGATAGGCATGGTGTACTGCTTAGGGATTGAGGCTCAAGATACCTATCGCACCCACATTCCTCGGAGCAAGCAATGCCAAGCTGTGTTATTCTGCTCTCGCGTGGCAATTTAGTAACTCTCCATTCTCTGGAAATAGCATACATAGCTCAAACATGGCATTTCACAAACCCACAACGAAGACTACGAAACAGCGACTTCGGCATCAAGTACAGCAGTCATCAAGAAAGCAGCTTATCTCCGACGGCAGGACTGCCGTCGGTTGGTTATCTTATGCAGACAAGAGCAAGCAGATAAGCCCACGCAAGAATTGGTCATTGGACACAGAAAAAGGTGTATCGGAAGAGCATGGGAGATGCGTACGCCAAGATGTGGTGGCTGTTTTTCTCTCGCGTGGGCAAGCCCCCCCCCCCCCCCCCCCTTGATTACCTTGGTGGATGCTTGCTTTTGTAAACGTTGTTTGTGTAACGGCGTCGACGTGACGATGGCTGGAGTGACGGGATCCTGCGAAATGGAGAGAAGAGAGGTATGGAAGAGAGTAAGTCTAGAGAGGGACATGTGTATAGAGATGTTAGATCCGAGATATGGAAATAAAAGGGAGTTGGGCGAATGCGGCTTGAGCAGCTAAAAATAAAAGAGGTGCATGGAGAGCCAAGCTTTTGCTAAGACGCGGCCTGTAACTTGTAAGGGGTGTGGGTGGCTGCTTTTTTGGGCCGGTCGTCTGGAGACAGGGTGCAAGCAAACGAAGGTTGTGCGACAGTGTCAGACGTCTGTTCTTCTTTTTCTCCTCTTCCAACCGACTTGTCCACTCAGCAAGAGACGCATGGTGCGAGTGTAAAAGTGGGTTGCTATACCAAGTAGGGCCGAGTGCTACATGGTACCATAAGTACAGCCATGTCTACAAATGCACCGCCACGGGGAGCGCTGTTGCGTACGGCGTCGGCCGAACAGGTATCGCTACAACACCCGTCGCCCGGCCTGGAGAGCCTGCAGGGCGCATACGTCAAGAATGTCGAGCGGCTGGAACAGTCGGCAGAAGAGATGAGCCAGNGGGGAAGCGACATTGGCGACGAGATTCGCAGGATGAAACAGGAACAAGACCGGGCCTCATTACGGTCGAGCAGCATCTCTGTCGCCTCTGAGTCGCTGTCAGGGCCACGTGAAGGCCGTCAGCCGAGCATCGACAGAGTCATCAGCACCCGCAGCCGCAACCACTCGACGTCCAGCTACGCAAACTCGATTGTCGACGTCAACACCCACGCCCGCTGGGGAGGCTACTCGCCCGGAGGATACATCACCAGTCCCGCCGTCTCGCGCGTCAGCAGCTTCCACCGACCCTCGGGCATGCCCGAACCCGTTCAGGAGGGCCGTCCCCTGGACTCGCCCCTGGCCTCGCCCACGAGCTACTCGAGTCCGCGTCGCCAACCCTCACACTACTCGCTTGCACCCACCGTAGAAGATGCCGAGTTGCTCGACGGACAAGCAAGACGCATCGACGACGCCGACAAGACCCCTGAGCCGGAACATCAAGAGTGGGACAAGGCGAGCAGACGCCTCTCAGACCTCGATGAGCTGAGCCACTACTCGCACGATGGCAAGGAACACTTCGACGAGCAAGATGAGCAGAGCATGTACTCTCGTGACCAACAGAGCCATTACTCGCAGCCGGATCAACAGAGCCACTACTCTCAACCCGACCATACAAGTCACCACTCGCAGGACGACAGACAGCTCCCCCAGCAGCAAACATATTCTCATCAGCACAAAGTCAGCCAGGAGGAGGAATGGCAGCAAGAAGCTCATAATCTGTACCAACAGGCTGCCGACCAAGATGGATACAATGATTTTGTTCAAAATCCCCCGGATCGTCCGCCAACTGCTGACACTTTCCGTGATGCCCGCTCACTCTTCAAAGACTTTGACGGTGTACATTACTCACCGACTAACGAGGAAGAAGGCCCAAGTGGTTTGCAACAACGAATGTCGCGTATGTCTCGCCAACCCCGCCCCATGTCATATGCCCGTCCCATGTCCTACGCGCAACCTCCGCCGAATGAGGGCATGGTCTATTACCCAGCTCCCGTACCACGCATGTTGAATCTGCCCAAGCGACTGTCCCAACTGCCGTCAGCCAACCAGCAAGCCCAGCGTCGCTCCCAAGTCCTGAGCGCCATGCCCCTTGCTTCAAGGCAGAGTGCCCCTTGGCTACCTGCTCTTGATCTACCCGAGGAAGAGGCCGAAGAAGGTGCTCCACAATCCGGCCCCTCTTCTCCTCAACTGAACCAACAGAGACGAAGCATGATGGACCTCCAAGCCAGTCGCATGAGTACCGCTAATCTGCCTCCTCAACTGAGAGCATCTGTCTTCTTCGATAATGAAGGACAAAGATCACCTACCGAGGTCAAGATTCAGTCAGCATCGGCCGTTGCTACTCTAGACAGCATTCTAGCTGCGTCAGTAAATGCTCCGGTCAATGTCTTTACCGACCATCCATTCGCTGGGCCTGGCGGACAAGACATCTATGCTCAGGAACGCCCCACGAATCGTCGCAGCGCAACACTATCTAAGCTCGACATGCTTATGGACGAGAACGCAGAAAAGAAGGGACACGACAGAACCATTAGCGCCGGCACGATCGAGAAGCCAACCATGGTCAAGCGCAACAGCATGATGTCTGTCCTGACTGACTTTGGTGGTAGATCCGAAGGCAAGAAGTTGAAGAAGAGAAACAGCAAGATGAGTCTGATGACTGATCTGGATATGAATGACGGTGGTGAAGACACAGCTACTGAATTCACAAAGTCACGACCTGCCAGTGTACACTTTGAGAACCTCGACATCGAGGAGCCGGCCGAGCCATCACCTCAAGAAGAATATACGCAGGCCGCTGCCGAGGAAGTTGCAGGGGACAGAGAGAGCATCTACAACGATGAACAGGATATGAAGATGCCCTTTNTTGCACAGCCCACTACTTTACTGGCTGAGTTGCAGGCTCGTAAGGCTCATCAAAAGTCTCGCAATCGTGCTGCTGCGGATGCCTTCCCCGACGGCATGCATAGTACTCTGCTCCAAATGGACGCCGTCAAACAGGTGGAGAAGAACAAGAAACAGAAACATGGACGTGCCAAGCTTGCATGGGAAGATCCTGGCGCTGATGAGGATGAAGAAGATGAAGATGTTCCACTCGGTGTCTTGTACCCCACGAAGGGTGGTTTGATCAACAGAGGCAAGAATGTCGAGGAAGACTGGGACCGTCCATTGGGTTTGATGGAGAAGCGCGAGTATGAAGATAATGAACCGCTGAGCAGTCGTCGCTTCCGCCTCAAGGGTGTACCCGCATCTGAGGCGCGTCAGATTCGCCAGGAAATGGAAAGACAGCGTCAAGAAATGGAGAGACAGCGTCGGGAGGCCGGTCTGCCAAAACCGGAAGCAGTCCCATTACCGGATGAAGACTCGAACGAGGATGAAGATGTCAATGAGCCGCTAGGACAGCGTCTACGTCGCCTCAAGCAGAAGCAAATGCTCAACGCAGCATTGGGCGATGTTGCAGAAGCCGACAAACGCAAGTCCACTGCCTTCTCTGAAGACATTCTCAGCACATTCGGCGGTATAACAGGCACGAAAGCCGTTACTCCGGAACCCGAGGAAGAGACACTGGGGCAACGACGTGCACGCTTGCAACGTGAGCGTGAAGCAGAAACCAAACGAGGAGATGCCTCAGACCCTCCTTCCGTTCGCACTGTCCGTCCCCCTCTCCTCCGCTCCTCTTCATCTCTTGCGAACCTGCTCGCCGCCCATCCAGTCTCCTCGCCTGGCGGCCCTCGCTCAGCCAATGCCCCCGCAGTCAATTCGCTTCTCGCCGACGCCGCCCGCGCCGAAGAAGAAGCACGAAGGAAACTCCGCGAGCGCAACCGCACAAGCTCCTACAACCGTCTCACCAGCGGCATGCCCCAACACCTTGCTCCTCAACCCGCACCCCCACTCCTCACTTCCAAATCCACCGGCGCAGTACCCCAATACTTCAACCCGCAAACACTGCAACCGCAACAAGCACCCATCATGTATCCTGCACATATGGCTGCAGGAGGTATACCCGGCTATGGCTTTGCTCAGCCGCCTGCTTTCTTGCAACCCACTGCTCAGTATGGGAATATGATGTTTGGTGGCGCAGCTGCGTATACTGGGTATGGGCAGATGCAGATGCAGATGCAGATGCCGCAGCAGATGATGCCTATGCAGCAGCAACAGGCGTATGCGCATATGGCGCAGATGNCAGGCGGCGGGGGTATGCATGATCCTAATGTTGTTGCGCAGAGGGATCTGATTGATCGGTGGAGACAGAGTATCAAGCATTAAATCGCATTCTAGCATTGTTTTTCTTCCCCATGTTTCTTGAAAGAAAGAGTTGGGCTTTCTGTCGGAGTATATCGGATTTGGGCCTTTTGTGTTTGGGAGCAGTTTCTCTTGGTTTTTTTTTTGGCCGCGAAGGGCGAAGGGCAAAGCATGCATCTTTTGTTATAGGCATAGTAAACACAGCACACAGCATAACCATCACCGTTATACAGCATCACAGTACCCAACTACAGACATTGAGCTAGCTATCTTTTGCATAATCTCACACCTGCTTTCTATCATTATCCATCCCACATGCTACTTGCTGAGATATCTATAAAAGAGAAGTTCTGACCTTTATCGATTGTCTTTCTCTTTCCACACCCTGAAACAAAAAGTTGCTTCAACACCACGCGGACATATCACGTGTTGCGCGCATCATTCCACCAAACCTGGGTCGATGGCTAAGGGTAAGGGCAAGTGAGGAGGTGAGGGAAAGGAGGGGGTAAAGTCAGTGAATTTTCATTCCCACACGAGCACTGTGGACGGATAATGTTTGTAGTGACGATGACGGTGATGGTGGTCGTGGTGGTGACGGTTTAACATTCTATCATCGCAGGCATTCGATCGTTTTATAGTCCCTTATTTGCTTGGTTGCATGATCCTTAGCATATTTTTGAGTAAACTTGTTATACTAAAGTTGTAGGAAAATGTCCCCGGACAATGTCATACCACAACAGTATCCTCTACTCAAGTATCCCACTTTAACTTACGCCAGACATTAGAGCCTTTGCATCGATCAACCCCATCGCGTTACTAGATCTTGAGTCTTGCTCACTCACCGCGCAAGGAAATCCAGGCCTTGCCCAGATCAACAGTACCACAGCAGTTTCGTCGTCCGAACCTCACTCGTCCAAGTCTCATTCGTCCAAATCTGCTTCGTCTAGTACGATTGAATCACCTATACACAACTCTCGCGCTGGGGGAGAGACTCGAGACAAAGCGATCAGGTCAATGGTGCATGCTGCAATCTCCTCATCTCCAAGATGACCTTGGGATCCTTCCTGCATATGCATTTTGGTCAGGGATATAAGATTCTGGAGAAGGATCATTGACCTGGTCGTTTCTTGATTATCACTCTGTGCTGATTCATTCCAAGCTGTATGAATTTCTGGAGCAAAGCCAGTAGTTCAATCTCTCCCAGTCTGGTCTGTTTCTGTTACGTCTCGTGGTATCGATGTTGGGAAAATATGGAGGAGGCAGTAGGTGAGGGTTTATATACTCGACTGCTGAAAGTGGTTCGAGCGAGCTTCGTGTTGCGGGCTGGACAAAGGTAATGCCTCGCGAGTTCGAGCATCTCACTTACACATATACGAAGATCCATGCCAATACTTTGATTGTTTGACATGCATGTTTACGAACAGCAAAAGAAAAAGAAAGAGAAGGAGGCAGAACCTAACTCTTGCCATCCAAACTCTTCCTCCCCGTCAACACACCCCCAAACCCATCTTGTCTTCTCTGCCTCCTACGCCCCGCAACCTCATTAGCCCACTCCTGGATCTGGAAGACCCAGCCACCAGCAACCAACACACCACTAACCACATTGACCAATCTGACCAACAAGTTTAACACGCCACCCCACTCTTCAGCAATGGTCAGCATCAAAGGCTCAATGTCAAATTTGACGAAGATGCCGGGGACTTGGCGCTCAGAGACGATGTGGGATTGCTCGGTGACGGCGTATTGGTTGGTGAAGATTGTGTTGCGGGGAAGGTAGGGTTGAGGGACAGAGTCGTCGCCAGAAGATAGGGGCACAGCGGCGTCTGCGTACTTTTGCAGTGCGGAAGGGTTATCCGTATAAACTGTAGGCACCACAGATAAATAGTACTGGAACTTTTCGAAATGCTGGTCGGTGGTTGTGCGAGTATTGTCGAGCGGGTTATCCAAGCCAGGGTAGAAAGGACCGAAACTCAGTTCGTTGATCTGGTGGGAGAAGTTGAAAGATTGGTGGTCGAGGTGTCGGCCGAACTCCATGTANGCGTGGCCGCGGGCGGTGATGTGGAAGTCGCCTTGGACTTTGTTGAGCTCGAGCTGGCCGTAGATGCGGCAGGAGTCGGGCACGGCACCCCTACCCAGACGCGGCGTCTTTGCAAACTTCTTCTTCTTGCGGGCGGCGCCGAGATAATCGTGTACATCCTCCTCTTGATAGTCCGGGCCTCCTCGTTCGGCAGCGCTGCCACCGAGGTGATGGGCGCCCTTTGTGTTTTGCCAGTGCGACCAGAGGGTGGGATTGCGAGAGAGGGCTTGGGAGGCCATGATGCGGTCACCAGAGGCATCTTGGACGTTGATGTGCAGGTCGTCGCACTTCATGGCGACGACGACATCGAGATTGAGTTGCAGGTTGTGGCTGATGCCCTTTTCCACGCTGAAGGTGTGGTGCGTTTCGCCAACATACCAGCGGCGCACCTCGGTCACTGCCAGCAGGAACGAGGCAAAGGTAAGGAAGAGCGTCCACACCCCTCCATTCTGCGTCTTGGTCGTGTACGAGGGCTTGGTCTTGGCTGCGCTGAGGTTAGTAGAGGAAGGTGGAGGAGAGGGGCAGGGTTGTCACGTACGAAAGGCGTCAAAGGCCTTCACGACAGACGTCGCCTTGGACTCTCCAAAGGCTCCCTCGTCGAGCCCATGGTCGGAAAAGCCATTCATGGTCGAGTTCGGAACATGTCAGAGGTAAAAACAGAAGGCCACCTGTACCTGTCCCTGACATGTTTCACCCCACATTTCGGCTTCGGCCCATTGTCCCCACCATCCGTCACCAACGAGGAAGGTCCATCAACATCTTGTTCCGACCTCGCTTTATTGACATCACCATCACTTATCTATCAAGTGGGCCTGAAGAGATACGAACAGATAAGAGCACCTAGATCATCAGTCCATGAATTTGTTTGGCTATAAAAGGATCTCTTTGACATCTCCAATTGAATCTCGCCTTGTCAACTACACTTCCCGATAAGAATCCAAAAATGCTCGCCAAATCATTCATCATTGCCACTGCCTTGCTAGCATCCGACACACTCGCCTGGAACAAAGGTACATAACAAGCAATCCCGTTCTTTCACCACCGTCTAAATCTATACCCAGATGTCCACCAACAGATCGGCTACAGTGCAGAGAAGCTCTTGACCAACACCACAAAGTCCGTCCTCTACCAGATCCTCGAGCCCACATACAACAACAGCATTGGTCTCGCAGCAGCCTGGGCAGACGACTACGCTCACACCACCGAAGGCGCTTTCAGCTACCAATGGCATTGGATCGATTCTACCGACCAGCCACCACACTACTGTAATGTATACTACCATCGCGACTGCCCTGAAGGCGGCTGCGTGGTTTCTGCCATTGCAAATCAGACCAATATACTCAAGACATGCATCAAAAAAGTAAAGAGTGGTGAGTTGGTGGGAGGAAATGATGTACAGTGTTCGCAGGCATTGAAGTGGGTTGTGCATTTCTTGGGCGATATTGCCCAGCCTTTGCATGCCTCTGGTGTTGCCGAGGGTGGTAATGGTATCAGCGTTGTATTTGCAAACCAGACCACCGAGCTCCATGCTGTAAGTTTCTTGCCATGCTTTCTCCTTTCTTTAATTCTGTTTTGCAGAGGTATTGACGCTAGAAAATGCAGGNTCTGGGATGGCTATATCCCCTACGCCGACGCAAACGTCACCAGCTTCCCCAACAAAACCATCCAACCATTCTTCCAAAACCTCGTCTCCCGCATCCGCAAAGACGACTTTTCAATCCCGACTGTCGAGTGGGTTGCTTGTAGTGATCCTTCCAGGGCTTTGGAGTGTGCACTCAGTTGGGCTCGTGACAGCAATGCTCTGACCTGCGACTATGTCTACTCGCAAGCTACCAATGGTACAGATCTAGCCACTAGCGGGTATGCGAAGGGCGCTTTTCCTATTGTCGAGTTGCAGATGAGTAAAGCGATTTTGAGATTGGGGACTTGGTTGAATAGGTTGGTGGAAGGTGGCCATGATCGTGGGGATGGTGCTGTGTTGCAGACGTGGTTGACGGGTTCCGGTTAAACTCGGTTCGTATCATATCAGTCGAAAAAGATATTCAAGATGATGTGTTGCTCTTTGGCGAGTATCGTGTTGCTCGATTTGAACATCAGCCAAGCACAAACACCGGGGCAACCCAGAATTTAATGCCGTATCCACTTGGACTAGGTTTCTTCACCAACTTTGCAAGTCAGCCTCCTTGCATACCAGGACCACTGCCTCCGCCACTATGACTTTGACGATGGTTGGCCTTGCGAGCTGATTGAGCTGCTATTTTGGCGTGGTTGTTTGCCAAGTGTTGGGATGTCCAGAGATTCTGGAGGGTTACCGGATGGTAAGTCTTCTCCTCGCTCGATCTTCAATCAAATGATGGTTGGTCATCCTACCATGGTCTGGGTGGTTGTTTTAGAAAAATCTCCAAAGATCCTTGGACTATCTCATCTTTCGTGCTTGTCGGCAGAATACACACTATCCAGAACACCATATCTCCCAGAAATCTCCGAAGGCATGGAAATAGTCGCAATCACTTGATCATTCCAATGCGAGTCTTTGCGTCTGTCTTTGGGTTTCGCCATCTCAATATCGATGACCTCATAATCCTGGATTTTGGAAGGACCAGCGACTACCAGAGCTGGTGCCTCTCGCTGAGCTGCAACAGCAATTTGGCGCTCAACATCTTCAGATGAGGAAGAAGCTTTGCTACTTAGCGCATCCATCCAGGTCTTTACCAGTGGTCGCAAGGTAGCCAGTGAGAGCGCAATGATGCCGATTCCTGCTTCTATGGCTGCGAGGATGACGACGCGAGGGAGTTTCGAGGTGGTGTTGAGTTGATATCTTCCGCCACGGATAAAAGGGATTCGTGCGATGGAGACTATGCTACCCATAGCAGCTAGTGACAAAAGCAAAACCACTGATATTTTGGCCCGTCGTGGCATTTTGGTTTTCAGCACAAGGCTTACGGTGGTCAGGACGAAGATCCAGTCTGTGAGTGCTGTTAGGGCGCCACTGAAGTAACTGATGGGTCCCATGACCGAGTCCCAGTCTAGGCAATTGCGGTGTATGAAGATGTTGGAGGGGACTCCGCATTGGAAGATGGTGATCAAAATGACCGTTGTCATGACCAGCACATAGATCGTAATGGAGATCAGTATGGTGCGTTTCTGCCAAACTTCCTGGACCAGTCGAAGGAAGAACAATGCAGCAGATAACTTGATGAATATCTCGGTTGCGTTCCAGATGGTTATGCCAACGATTGAGAGCNNTGCTGTCTATCAGCACTGGTATTAGATGTCAGGGTGGTAACAACAAACCTTTGCAAGTTTTCGAGAGGCAGAGACGGTTTCAATACCATCAATAGCTTGCGTTGCTCCCATGAGGATCAAGGTAATGCAATTCACGGTATACAGAAANAATGCAAAACACAGAAGCCTGTCATCCCAGCCAAAGGACTTGATGAGAAAGCCTCGTACGTACACCCTCAAGGACAGCGCAATCCCCGTCAGCAGGAACATGACCGCCCCTACGACAATCGTAGATATTGGATCGAGTCCATACTCGTCGACGTCGGGGTGCATCTTGGACGACCGATGCACCACGACCTGCCCAAGAGCATCTGTCTGACAACGTGGAAAAAGGGAAAGCGTGAGATTCAGAGTAGAGAGCGGTTGAGGGGTGCGCGGCGAACGAAAAAGCTTAGTTATGATTCTGCTAGAGGTCAAGGAAAATAAGGTTGCAAGGTGGAGTTCAGCTATTTGGCTGAAAGGATGATGCGATGCGGAGCCGGCATGGGCTCGGACCTTTTCATAGGCACCTAGACCTCTATCACATCTGTCATGGCTTGCTTTGGAGGCGATTTGATTTGCAAATACCAAAACGTTGTTATAGAGCAGATTGCACGGAAACGATAGATGCACGAGTAAGATGTTCTTGCAGCAAAGCTGTTTTGCTGCAAGTGGGGACAAGCCTCGAAACAGGAACCCGTTCATAACAGTTTCCACGCGACGAAGATTGTTCCCCGAACAAATCCGATGAGCACTGCGACGGGTTTATTCCCGTGCCTATGACACCGCAAGACGCGACCGTTGTGATGGTATAGAGTAAATGCAGGTCACTCGCTCTCTCCCACTTCACTGCGACATATCCACAGGTTTCATGCCTCAGAAGACGACCCTGATGTTGTTTGTTGCGTCCTTCCTGTCGTTCGCGCTGTCAGAGTTCTCAAGATGTTCTCAACGGGCGCGGGACGGGTCGGTCAAACGTGAGGGTGGACGTTCCGCTGCCTCGGTCTCAGGCTGTTGTAGACCATAGGACCCTAACGGCTAATTCGTTTGTCCTCGCAATAATGCTGATCTGCGGCATTTGTCTTTGTAGCAATCTGCCTTGAAGATCTACTCGAAGAACAATATACGCAAGACGAGTGCGTCGAAAGTACGGATACGGCCACAAGCTTTCATGTCAAGCTCTGAGGCTGAATCCTGATGGACAAGCACGAGACGAAGAAAGGAGCGTGCTGTGTTCGGCTCTCGGGTGCTCGACTGTAAGGAAGCTACAGCAAGTACGAGCCTCAACAATGACTTTGTTCAGCTTTCGACTTGCGAGCGATCCGATAGTAGTCAATAAGAGCATCTCTCATCTCATGCACCTTTGAATCTGGTAAAACGTAGTAAGAAGCCAGCAGCTAATCGAGTTGTGACAAATTTTCAGGCTTCGAATGCCATGCACACCACAATGCGTGGTGTTCGCATGGCTCTGAGACCTGTACTCCTATGCTCTAACCACGGGAAGGTCCCTCGCTGTCTCTGTACGAGTGACGGATTCTTTCCTGAGGCGCCTCCTTTCTACGTTGCGAGCAGCCCTCACAATGGACCATTCTTACAGTATACACTTGGATGAAAGATAACTGTCATCAAAGATGATAAAGTTCCACAATTACCTCAAGAGTGAGATTGGCGTTGTGCCCTGCGTCGTTGGTATGAGATTGTGGATCAGGTCAAGCTTCGGTGGTAAGACGGCCACGCGCATCCCTTGCACTGTTCATGCAAGACATGGAGGTCGTCAGATCTCAAAATTCGTACCGTCTGTTACCCTGATTTATCGCACAGCGAACGCAATGATGCCGTAGGGATATACTCTCGGCTTTAGATGCGTTTCTCTTTGCATTGATTGTGACGATAAGATTGGGCCCTTGCCAAGTTTTCAGACATCAGTGCAATAGGCTGCGTGATATCAGAGGCGGCTCGAATTGGCGGTCAGCAGGACATGTGGTGCAGCGGAGTCTTGACGAGTTGATCTGATCGCTGCTGCAAGGGCTCTCAACTGTGCTTCTGAGACGTCTCGACTTGCGAGTTCCCGAGCTCTGGACAAACAGAGGTATGGCAGAAGGATGAAGAGCAGACGGCCGTCAGAAGCAAACGCCTACACAGACTACCTTGGTGGCCGCGGTTTAGACTTCGGACTCTCCAAGACGATGGAGTGGTGGGGTCAGCAGCCGGCTGGAGCTCGAAGATGGATTGGGCCGAAACTCGTGAACGGCACGAATTGCGAGCTAAGATACAGTCTGAGTAACAAAGTGCGCGAATCAAACACGAGGACGCGCTCCAAGAATGGACGAAATGGACATTCGGAGGAAAAGCAAGGTGATTTGGATGGCGGACAGAGACAGATATTGCTGCAGCTGCGAGTTATGGCCAGCTGCGATGGTAGAAACGGCGTTCCGAAGAGATGCAGCCAATGGCAGGCGCGCCATCCGGGTGGCTGGTGGGAGACCCAAGTACATACCCCTCTTTATACCCTCGCACTCCCGCTTTCATTTCTGGGTGATCCTCTCTCTTATCCATCGCGCATAACTATACACTCTCCAATTCCACTCAGGTACTTTTGAACACAAACGCGCGACAATCGCCGTCGTCAAACAGAAGACCAACACGCGCGAGCTAATCAACGCGCGTGCCTGGTAAGGCTGGCGCACAACTGACTCTCGGCCCAGTCACACTGGTACCGTCTTGCGCTCTTGCCCATCACTCTTGACCGCTGCGCCTGTTCATGACCCATTCACCCAACTCTCTCTCATATATCGTTGCTCCTTGGATACACATATCAACATCTACCTTGTACTCTCGTCGTCGTCGAACTAGAAAGCTTATCAGTACCCGCTATCTTAAATCCGTCAACGCGATACCGCCGCCATAGCATGAGCACGACTATCACTCGCCCCATCTACGAATCGCACCCTTCGGTCGACGCGTCTATGGAAGATTTTGAGTTCCGCGCAAACTCTCCCGAATTTCTGCGACCTGACTCGCACGCGCGCATCCATTTCATGAGCCCGACTGCTTCAGACTACTCTGAGGCAGCAACCCAGCCCGATATTGACGGAGGTTGGTCACCGCCAGCCTGGCGCAAGGCAGGAAGTGGTTGGTTCAAGCATCACCTCCAGCAGACCGGCCTCATGTCGCCGTACGGAAGCAGGGAGTGCAGCCCGGAGGAGTATAGAAAGGGTCTGACGCCGTATGATGATGACGATGAAGATATCTTGGTCGCAGCAGGCATCCCTCTTCCCATCAGTCCTCTCAAGGGCAGAAGCCCAGAACCTAGTTACAGCCCTACTGTTGCCGCAGTCCTGAAGCAGGATGAAGATAAGAGAAGGCCGATGGCCCAGTCGCAGAGGGAGGCAGAGCATCCATGGCCGGACAAGCATGATAACTNNGTACGCATCGTCGTGTGATTGTACTGATCATGACGGCTGACCAGGATGGTAGATATCCGTTTTTCCGTTCGAGCAGACGTGCAACAGCGCACAGAACCCATCGAAGCAGTCATAGCCCATTTCCGCAAACTTTGGGGTCGCTTTACCAAGAATCGATACACTACCTTCCTCACTTTGATGTCAGCTTTGTTCGTGCTGACGCTCACCCGCGCCTTGTTCTCAGAACCCGTGACTGGACCTACCCCTGACCTTGTCAAGGTGGCCGGCCTGGCCAAGTCCTTTGAGCCTCTGATGTACTACAGTGAGAATGGCCACACCCAGGTCGTCCAGCTGGGCGAGACCGGTGTCGCCGTATGGGACTTGGGTGAGAGTGTTCGCTCAACCAACATGACCTCCGGCCCCATCATCGTGCGCGAACTCGACGAGCTTTCAGACAGCCTGAAGAACCTCGCTCATGAGTTGACTCGCTTCTTTGCAGGAGTCGACGGCGATATCGACAGCATCCTTATCGTCATGGAGTGGGCGCAGAGGGAGCTTACCAAGCTCAACACCTTGCCAGCATCACACATGTCGCTGGCCTTCTCGAACCTCCACTCTCTCTTGTCGCGAGTTGGTCTCCTTGAAGACCACCGGACAGGAGAGCAGACTGCTGTCGGCAAAATCGTCGCTGAACTTNTTGGCCGAACCACACCACAAGTCACACGCGCCACTCTCCAACGCACCTTTACAGACTTCCTCGGCGTACTCGAAGAGAGCATCAACAATGAGTTGACTGCTAGCATGAGCTTATTCGCCCACTTTGAAGCCATCGACCGTCAGTTCCTCAATCTGCAACGCGTCGTCATTCGCGAGACGGACGCCCAAGAGCGAGAAGAGAACGAGGCGCTGGCCTCGCTGTGGGCTCGTGTCATTGGTGTCAATGCTTCACGGCTGAAGAAGTTCGAGAAGAACAAGCAGCTCCTCTCTTCTCTTCGTGAACGAACTATCCAGAACAAGCACGTCCTGGTCGACCATAATGGTCGTCTGCTCCAGCTCAGGAGCAATCTTGAGATCCTACGCAAGAAGCTGGTCTCTCCGCTTGTGAGGTCAAACGGTACCAGTACCCTTACTGTCGATGAACAGATCAAGGGGTTGGAAGGTACCTACCTCAGCCTGCGAGCCACGAGAGAAGCTCAGAAGAGTCGTCTCTACGAGATCATCCATGACGCAGGTACAAGGAGGGTGGGCATCGTGAGTGAGGGATACGCTATCGAAGGTCGTTAGATGATACAGTACAGTAAACTCTTCTGTCTGCGTTCTTGCGATGGCGTCGATGGCGTATTCTAAGAGGAACCGGTGTTATATGCGAAGGGGCATTTATGGGTAACGATGGGATGGGATGGGACGGGATGGTATACACTGAGGAGTTGATGTCTTTCTTCTTGTTTCATCTGGGATTTTTGGAAATGGTGTGGTCTTTCTTTTGGGTGTGGTTGTCTTTTTCTCTTTCGTGATGATTTCGTTCTGATTATGGTATCGACAAGAGCAGCATATCGCTGTGATTGTCGTCGATCTAATTTCTCAATGCGACACTTACATATTGGACCATGACACCTTGAAATGAATCTTGATGCAGGCCATGTGGTAGACTCCAAGAGGTCGCCCATCTTGCATGAACCTGCAGAAACGATCTCTGGCTGCGGGTGACTTGTTCCCTGACATCTGTGCATGGCTGACAATTGTGCGACCGGGATCTCAAGTTGTTGCAGCCCGACAGTGGTGGTGCTACCGCGGCATTATGGGCAGAAGAGGTACTTCTTACCCCAGCTCGCGGACGTCAACCCATTCACATACCGCACCATCTTAACCACCACACGCTTCGATTTTGTGAACATCTATATACAAGATCCTCCTCTTCTTCGAAACGCGAGACCTATCGAGATATCGTGTTTCGAAAAAGATATCATCGGCGGGTATAAAGATGGGGATAGCAAGGCACTCTAAGGAAAATTAGGTTTAGATACAGCAGTTGCACAGCCTCAATGACTTCATTTTACGACCAAAGCTCCCTCTTGCAAAACGACAAACCGAGAGGTGTTCGGCGGGAAAGCGCGGCCAAGGACCTCGTGCAACACCTTTTCTCTTGGTTCCTTTGTCACTTCTGCGCCGCTCTTCATCTCGCACCCTCTTGCTGTCCCCAATTCTTTGCTGCAAGCGTGCTGTGCTGCGCCTCCACCACGGTCCCATTCCTCTTGGCTTGAACAGTGCCAGCGGGTTTCATTGATTCCACAACGGGTTCTTTTCACCATTCACCAGTCACCTCTGCTCGCATCCCTTGAATAGAGTTATCTCTTGGCCTAACGAGTCCGGTGACCAAGCAGCCTTCATCCCCAGCTAATACCTCAAACAACCTTGCAACCTCTTTTCTCTCCTTTCTTCCTCTCAAGATATGAGTGAGTGATATCCGTCCGGTCCTTCACGCTGCCCTTTAGTGACACCTCTCTCACGATCCACCTTGACTCGCACCGCTACCGAAACATTCGGTCCCCACTTGGCGCACATCACTGACTTGATATAAAGACAAAGTAAAGTCCAAGTTTGGCCGCGCTGGACGAACCTCAACTAGTGACGCACGCAACAACCAGATGAATCGTGGTTCCAACTATGGCGCCAATGGCGATGCCGACGAGAACACGCCTCTGGTCAACGAGAGCACATCGCGTCTGGGCAACATGAAGAGCTTGCGCACGCGCGTGGCATCGTACCGCGAAGACGACAGAGCCTGGGTCAGCTATCCCATGAGCTTCCTCTACATCACCTGGGCCGTCCTCGCCAGCAACTACGTCAACGTCCTGCTCGTCTTTGTCCCTGTCGGAATTGCCCTTGGAGCCTTGGGCATGAACCCCACCGCTGTATTTGTTGTCAACTTCCTGGCCATTGTTCCTCTTGCTGCTCTCCTGAGTTTCGCTACCGAGGAGCTCAGTGTGAAGCTGGGTCAGACAATTGGTGGTCTCATGAATGCGACTTTCGGTAACGCTGTCGAGTTGATTGTATGTTGGATCGCATGGATACCCCTTTTATAGCCTCAAGCTGACCGTTGCTTGACCAGGNTCTCGATTGTTGCTCTGCAANAGGGCGAAATCCGCATCGTCCAGGCCAGTATGCTCGGCAGTATCCTCTCCAATATCCTCTTGGTTTTGGGCTGCTGTTTCCTTTGCGGCGGCTGGAGACACCAGGAGCAATCCTTCAACTCGACTGTTGCCTCGACCATGTCCTCCCTGATGGCTGTCGCTTCCGCGTCCCTCATCATTCCCGCCACTCTCTACGCCGCTCTCGCCAATTCCAAGGAGAGCAACCACGCTACTGACGATAACATCCTCATCTTATCTCACGGAACCGCCATCATCATGCTCATTCTTTACTGCCTCTATCTTTTCTTCCAGCTCAAGACTCACGCCAACCTGTTTGACGAGGAACAGCAAGATGGAGAGGAGGACAAGGAGCCCGAGGTCTTGAAGCCTATCCCTGCGGCCGTCGCACTTGTCCTTATCACGATTGCTGTTGCCGTCTGTGCCGAATACCTGGTCGACTCAATCGATGCCATTGTTGAAGAGGCGCATATCTCGAAGACTTTCATTGGTCTGATTCTTCTGCCGATTGTCGGAAATGCAGCAGAACACGTCACGGCGTGTGTTGTCGCATACAAGAATAAGATGGACCTTGCGATTGGTGTTGCGATTGGATCTTCGCTCCAGATTGCTCTGTTCGTTACTCCTTTCCTTGTCCTTCTCGGATGGGCCATGGGACAGCCCATGACTCTTCACTTCCAGATGTTCGAGACTGTCGTCTTCTTTGTCAGTGTTCTCGTGGTTAACTACCTGATTGCGGATGGAAAGAGCAACTACCTCGAAGGAGCTATGTGCATTGGTACGTACATCATCATCGCGCTGGCCATGTGGGTGTACCCCGACAATGCTGGCGACCCGATCTCGAAGCCTAAGCTCTTCTAAGTGAGCTCCGACGACATGGCAAGCAGAGTTGGGTTGGAGGACAGCTCAGTTGTTGGTAGGTTGATTCTTGTTCTGCAAGCTTCGAGTTGTCGATCAAGCAACGACGCAAAATGGCAGTCAGCAAAGTTTGACGGTAGTGGAGTTGGCTCTGCTTGAAGCAAGAGCAGTTTTTTTCTCTTTGTGTATACCTAGATAATCATTGCATCTCTTTTGTATCTCAAATCAAGCAGGTTTGAAGCAGTACTTGTGTGACATGTGATTGCTGACGATGACTCTGTCGGGAAAGGCGAGCCGTGTCAGGCCGAGGGGTCAGCTTTCCCCAGGAAATGACATGGCCGCAGCCCGCCAGGTCTCAAAAAGATTCCCCTTGTTGAACTCCCACCGACATATGCAGGCACATATACGACACGTTGGGACTGCGAGCTGAACATACTACGCATTCTGGAAGGTGCTTTCCTCTGGACCGATTCTTGTGAGGGGAAATAGTGAGACTGTTTCTTTCCCGCACCGCGCCGCAGCGGATGCCTGCAAACCACCAGAACCAATCCTCGACCATTTCCACATCCGCCAAGTGATACAGCATCAAGATTGCCGCTACCACTGCCGCCCAGCGGGAAGAGAGTCTCGTATATCTGTCTCGCAGTTCCACACGAGTCGTGACATCGCACCCTCGTTTCAGTCTCATCCCCACTCGACCATGGCTTCTCCAACACACAAGAACAAGTCGAGCTTTTGGCCCAACTTCATCTACGATGCCTGGCTGTGGACCTTCTCCATACTTGTCGATCTCTTCTTCCGTGAGGTGCACCCTCGCAGTTCCTGGAAGGTCCCTCGCAATGGCCCTGTCATCATCGTCGCCGCTCCACACGCCAATCAATTCGTCGACCCTCTGATCCTGATGCGTGTCCTGCGCAGGGAAGCTCAACGTCGCATCTGCTTCTTGATCGCCGAAAAGTCTATGAAGAGGAGGTTTATTGGTTGGGGTGCGAGAATGGTTGGCTCTGTGCCTGTTGGCCGTGCCTTGGATCTGAAGAAGCCCGCCGAAGGAAAGATATACCTGCCCGACCCTGAAGGTGATCCGACGTTGCTCAAGGGTATCGGCACGCACTTTGACAACAAGGACATCTTTATGGTTGGAGGAGTTCTTGCATTGCCGAGCTTCGGTAACAAGTTTGCAAACACCGAGATCAAGGAGATTCTGGGGCCCAACGAGATTCGTCTCAAGAAGCCTTACAGCGGAAATGTTGCCTTGCGTCAACTGACCGGCCAGGACGTCAAGGACGCAAAGGCCGAGGCCAAGTTGACTCAAGGCTTCGAGGGTACAAAGTTTGAAGTTGCTCCTCATGTCGATCAGGGTGAAGTTTACTCTTCCGTCTTCCAGAAGCTGCACGAGGGTGGCTGCATTGGTATCTTCCCTGAAGGAGGAAGCCACGACAGGACTGAATTGCTGCCCTTGANNAAGGTATGTTGCAACGTCATCATCAGAGGACTTTGCTAACCATCAGTAGCCGGTGTTGCTATCATGGCTCTCGGTGCGCTTGCAGAAGACCCCGACTGTGGCGTCAAGATCGTTCCCTGCGGTATGAACTATTTCCATGCCCACAAGTTCCGTTCGAGGGCTGTTGTTGAATTCGGCACTCCTGTCGAAATCCCGAATGAACTGGTTGAGATGTACAAGAACGGTCAAAAGCGTGAAGCGGTTGGTCAAGTCTTGGAAACCGTCTATCAAGCTCTCGTCTCTGTCACCGTCACAAGCCCTGACTATGACACTCTGATGGTATACTCAACCCTCAATCTGATCTAAGTCATCCATATGCTAACACTGTTCAGCNTCATACAAGCAGTAAGGCGCTTGTATAACCCAAAGGGCAAGAAGCTTCCTCTGCCCATGATTGTTGAACTGAACAGGCGCCTCGTCAAAGGCTACACCACCTACAAGGACGATCCTCGCATCGTCAACCTGAAGAAGTCCATCCTGGCATACAACAAGCAGCTGATGATGCTCAACATTCGTGATCACCAAGTCAGCTACGCCAAGTTCTCCATCTTCAAGGTCATCCTCACACTCTTTTACCGCCTTGGTAAACTGCTTGTGCTGGCTATTGCAGTTCTTCCAGGCCTAGTCCTCTTCGCTCCTGTCTTCATCACTGGCAAAGTTTACTCAATCAAAAAGTCCCGTGAAGCCCTGGCAGCATCGACAGTCAAGATTCAAGGTCGCGACGTGATGGCCACCTGGAAGCTGCTTGTCTCCATGGTCGTTGCACCTCTTCTCTACAACTTTTACAACATCATCTTGGCCATCTGGACTCACTACAACCGCATTGGAGGCCGTGTGCCGCAGTGGGTCCCCTTGTGGGCTGTCTTTGCTTTTGGTTATATTTTGTTCCCAGCCATAACCTTTGCCGCTCTCAGATTCGGCGAGGTTGGCATGGATATCGTCAAGTCATTGCGTCCGCTGATCCTCTCCTTGGGACCATCATCCGGCAACACACTAGTCAAGCTAAGAGCTAAGCGTGCCTCGCTGGTTGAACAAGTAACAGAAGTTATCAACGAGCTTGGTCCTGAGCTGTATCCCGATTTCGATCACCAGCGTATCGTTTCTGACCCCAGCCACCCACTCTCACCCTCATACTCACAGCCCCACACACCCCGCTCCCGCCGCAGCTCAGAATACGACCGCATGTCCATGACTTCTCCTGACCTAACGCACTACTTCAGTCGTACCGGCACCGCAGGCGCCAGCATTGGTGGCGGCAGTGGACAAAACACCACGCATCTCCCTCGCAACGAGTCTTTTGGCAACATTGGTGGTTTTGGCTTCTTCTCGTCACGACCGCACACGCCCAATCGCTCACGCAGCCGTAACCGCAGCCGCACGAGCAGTGATGGCGGCTTTGGTATCACCGCCATGAAGCCAATGACTACCATTGATTCCAAGGGTGGTTATGAGACAGTCACCGAGAAGATTAGGGATGCGATGAAGCAGCGAGGACGCCGGAGGAGGAGTGAAGATGCTTCGACGGCAGCTGTTGATGGATGGGAGATGGCCGATGCCGATGAAGAGGTTGAGAATGATGAGGATAAGAAGGAGGTTTGAGAGCCTCCCTTTCCTTTTTGCATCATTCTTTACGTATATTGTTTCTATGGCTCTATGGCTATTTGCCTGCCGTTTCTTGTTTCCTTTTTTTGTCTTTCTTTTCTTTCCAGAGATACCAGATTGCCTCCTGCGACCATTGTATTCGCGGTGTCATTGTTTGCCTTTTCTTCTTTTTCCGCACATCGATCGCTTTTTTTCTTTCTTATAGTGTATAGAATTAGTCTGAATTAGTATCATTAAGGACATACCATCCTAAGATACTTGCTTATGTATATGTTAGAATTAACGTGAACGGCCAGACGCTTTTCTTGGAGGTCAAGATGGGGTTACTTGTTTCGAGACATCGCACAGTGTTGCACTCTACTTCAACGTTGGAAAGCGACAACTCCTACGTTCTCTATCAACTCCATCATTCTCACCACATGTGATTGGTTCAAACCAAACCCCCAAGCTCCTTCCTCAAACTAAACTGAAGCCAAACCTTCTTTACCTCACACGTGTTATACAGCTACAACAAGACATATAAACAAACGTGCTCACCATGCCTTCCTCGCCTCCTGATTCTCTTCGAGGTTACAGTATCCAGGATCATTGATTGCACACCATGCACTCTTCCATCAAAAGTGCCCTCCACCGACTAAGGTCCGATTGCGTGCCACTTGACTTTCGCAAAGTCTACGAGTATCAAAGAGATGCAAGCAACACCTGCAGACCGAATACAGAGCATCTGCTCTTTCGTCTGGCAGATGTCTTTCTTAGGACCTGGGATCTAGGGTTTACTGCATTCGGCGGACCACCCGTGCATTTCCAGATCTTGCATCAGCGGTTTGTGGAAAGTAAAGGCGGATATGCTGCTTGGGTTGATGATCAGACTGTGAGTTTTACCCTGCGCCCTCAGACCGAAAGCCTTTGAAAAAGCAGAGTTGACGAATTGTCTTTGGTGGGAATTTAGTATCAAGAGCTTTTTGCTGTGGCGCAAGCGCTGCCTGGGCCGGCAAGTACAAAGATGTTGTTCAGTCTTGTCTTGTATCATGCTGGCCCGATATGCGCTGTTTTTGCTTTCTTTGTCTGGAGTCTTCCTGGCGCTGTGGGCATGTTTTTGCTCGCTATTGGCGTCGGCAAGATTAGTGAGGTCTTGCCGGGCCCGGTGTATGGCTTACTATCCGGTCTGAGTGCATCGACTGTTGGGATTGTTGCTTTGGCGGCCGTACAGGTGAGTTTTTGACTCGTTTTGTGATGTACCAACATCATCACTGCCTGGCCTTCGATATGCTGACCAAGACATTCTCACAATAGCNTCGCTACCAAAGCCATCATCGACCCTCTATCTCGTGTATTGGTCATTTTCGGTGCTTGCGCTGGACTTTGCTACACGGCATTGTGGTACTTTCCCACTTTGGTGTGTATAGGCGGTGCGGTGGCAGGACTCTGGGACCTCTATCTTAGTCGTGCGATTGGCAAATTGCGTGCCAAACGGCATCAGAAACGCATCAATGAACACCGTGTTGTGGAAGAGAATCACTCGGCAGAAGCAACTTGTATTCCCTTACAGGACATGTCGACAGCACAAGCATCATCATCAACACAGCTGCGGATGGCAAACCCCAACGATCGAGCTACCAAACTTACGACTACGGATACGTCCGCCGCCGAGCATGTTGTCGTGGCAGGGACGCCAGAACCTCAAGACAATGGTCACGCTTACTCCTTCTCTCTGTGGCAAAGCATCGCAATTGCTTTGCTCTTCTTCATCACTTTCGCTGCCACTCTCATCTCTCGTGGTACTATCTCCTCTCCGCCCTTGCTCCTCGACCTCTTTGCAAACATGTACCTAGCCGGCACCATCATCTTCGGCGGCGGCCCCGTCGTCATCCCTCTCCTCCGCGAATACACCGTCCAACCGAACTGGGTCTCGTCCCGCGACTTTCTCATCGGCCTCGCCATCATCCAAGCTTTCCCAGGCCCTAACTTCAACTTTGCCGTTTACCTCGGCGCTTTGGCTATGCGTGCTTCAAATACTGCACAAGGATTATCCGGCGCAGTTGTAAGCTTCGTCGGTATCTTCCTCCCCGGGCTTGCTCTCAGCGCCGCCGTATTAGGCATCTGGCGCATCGTACGCACCAAAGCGGTTGTTGCGAGTGTGCTTCGCGGTATCAATGCCACAGCAGTGGGCTTGGTGTTTACCGCTGTATACCGGCTTTGGGAGATTGGATACCTGACTCCAGAATCGGGGCAGGGCAAGAGTTTGGCTAATGAGCCTTGGTGGGTTGTTGTTGCTGCGGTGGCTTATTCTGGGGCTGCGTGGTTTAGGGTGCCGCCTGCGGTTGCGATTGTCTTGGGTGCGGTGTTGGGGTTGTGTTGGTATGGTGTTGTTGGAAAGAGCGATTTGGGAGTGTGAAGTTTAGGGAGGCAGATGCCTTTATGAGTGGGTTGTGCATGCTATTGACGAGTTCTGCAGAGTTCGATAGGATACTGGCCCTTCTTCTATGATAGTACATGATATTTATACTCCTCCTGTCATGACTTGGTACAGCAACGATGTTGACTGTGCTTGTCAGAGCTATCAGGAGCTTTTCAGTAATTTTTATGTGATAGGTTGCTCATATGTACACATTGGCAAGAGCTGGTGACGTTGCATCTGCAAGTGTCAACAATCAGAACTCCACAGTTGGTGGGGTACGCAGATCACCCCACATGCCATGCCATGCCATGCCATGCCATACATCAACCACAGCTTTCCCCAGCTCCTCTCCACGAGCTATCACACACTCTACCACGTTTTCCCATTGGAGTTTTACAAAGGCCAATCTTATAACCATGTCAGCACCCAAGAACCCCCCCTTCAGAGCAGAACACCTGGGCTCCCTCAAACGCCCAGACAACCTCCTCGCCGCCCGCCGCGACGTCCACGACCACAAAGCCACTGCGGACTCTCTTCCCACCATCGAAGACCGCGCCATCGCCGACGTGGTCAAGATCCAAGAGCAATGCGGTTTCCACGCCCCCAGCGACGGCGAGTACCGTCGCCACATGTTCTGGGGCACTNTTTTCCCTTCTCTGAAAGGCTTCACCGAAATTCAAGGGCCCAGTATTGATATCTTTCGCGAATATGTGCCTGATATCGCTGCGTTTTTGGAGGCTGATCATGTGCCTGGCGAAACGGTGATTTGCNGAGGGAAAATCGAACATACGGGGAAAAGCAGCTATATTGAGCAGTTTGAGTATATGAAGAGTCTTGTGCCCAAGGAGCAGTGGGGGAACATTAAACTTACGCTTGCTGCGCCGAATTGGTATGTTTTACTTGTGCTTTTGGGTTTCTTTTCTGCTACTGATTTTGGCTTGCTCTAACCTCATGCTCAACAGGNNTATCATTTGAGATACAAGACTGGAAAGGCTTACCCCAAGGACGTCTACGCCAACGACCAAGAATACTTTGCCGACATTGCAAAGGCGTACCGCACCGAACTCCAAATCCTCTACGACGCAGGTCTCAGAAATGCTCAAGTCGACGACCCAAACCTCGCCTNNGTACGTGCACCTACACTTCCCACCCTTGACCCTCCACTAACTCTCACCTACACAGACTTTTGCTCCGAGAAAATGCTCGAGGGCTGGAAAACAGACACCTCCAACACACAAACTGCCGACGAGCTCTTCGACAGCTATATTGCCTTCTACAACGACTGCTTCCAGCGCCCGCAAGACATGCATCTCGGCATCCATCTCTGCCGCGGCAACTTTGTAAACTCGCGCCACTTTAGCGAGGNNGGCGGCTACGACCGCATCGCCGTGAAGCTCTTCCGCAATCTCAACGTCAGCACCTACTACCTCGAATACGACACCNCCCGCGCCGGCGGCTTCGAACCCCTGAAATCTCTACCTCAAGACAAGTTTGTGGTGCTGGGTGTAGTCACCAGCAAATTCCCTGACTTAGAGGACAAANAAGATATGGTGCAGAGAGTGATGGATGCGGCGAAGTTTGTGGCAGAGGGAAGTGGGCAGAGTATACAGCAGGCTTTGCAGAGGATGGGAGTTAGTCCACAGTGTGGGTTTGCGTCGCACAGTGAGGGTAATCTGTTGACGTATGATGATATGGTGGAGAAGTTGAAGTTGGTCAGGGCGATTGCTGATGAGATTTGGCCTGGTGAGCCTTAGACCGTGCTCTTGAGTCCTGACTTGGGGCCATTTTGGAAAAGAGAGATTTTACAGGCTTGGTTATTCTCGTTCTCTTGACTACTTTTACATGTTGCAGAGCGATGAGTCGCTAGAGGGCTCCGACAGTGTCAGTCGTCGTCGTGTTTGCTCCGCAAACTTCCTTGGCCTCGTTTCTCTTGTTCTGGGAACTCCGCCCAAACTCACGTGTAACTCACAAGTTCACACGTGCATTCAAACTCTCAACTTATGTTCTCAACCCCATTTCATCAGATGAAGTCGATCATCTCTTGTTGAACAAAAACTCACCCGTGGATCTCTCAGGATACGCAGCACGCCGCAGCGAACATCGAGTCTTGGCGCATCACGGCTCGGCGTCCGGCCAATCAAGGTGTTCTACACACCCCCGTGGCCAGCAGGACTACAGTTCGAGGCTCCAAAATGACCCTTAGTGATGCTTCAGCAACATCTGTGGAGCTCTGTGGAAACTCCAGGGGAAGGGGAGAAGGCCAACCAGAGCACTTGAGGTGAAGTCCCCTTGCATGCACAATGACTGCTGTCCCGTCATGAAGCATACTATTTCGGCCGCGGAGCTCTCATCTTTCGCCCCAACTGCCGCCATAAGAACATGTAGGTGAATATAAAGAGTACACTGTTGGTCGCTGCGTTGAGGGGTAAGTGCTTCATTACCAATTGCTTCTCAGTCATTGTCCCAATCATGTTGTTGCTTTCCCGTCTCGCTGCCTTGACGGCACTCAGCAGCATAGCTACTGCCATCCCTTCTAAATCACCCAAGAAGAACCAAGATCCTGCACCTTCATCTGGTGCTGTCAATACTACCACTTGCGGTGGCAACACTTATGTCTATCAGGAATTGGCTGGGTATGGCTTTGTCAAAAGCGATGCCAGAGACAAATTTGGAGATACACTCGGCGGACTTGGCAGTTCCATTGCCATTGATCGGAAGAGCTGGAAGAAGTGTGGTGGAAATGGCAAGAATGGAGATTCGTACAAGGGTGTCTTGTGGGCATTGCCTGGTGAGCCTTGATATCCTAGCATTTCCTGAGGAAGAGTGTTCTTGCTGACCAGGAAACAAACAGATAGAGGATGGAACACACAAGGCACTCTGAACTTTCAGAACCGCGTCCACAAGTTTGAGATCAGCTTGCAGCTGCAGGACAATGCAACTGTTGCCTCGCCATCGGACCCTAACTTGCAGTTGACGTACCTGGACTCGATTCGCTTTACTGATCCCAAAAATACTCCTGTCACTGGTCTAGACCCCGATGCTACTGGCCCTTACCTCCAATTCTCCGGGTTCCCTGATCTGCCCGCTGCTACATACACCGGTGGCGGCTTTGGCAACAATGGCACGGGTGGCCATCGCGTCTCTGTGGATTCGGAAGGTCTTGTCCTGAACTCTGACGGCTCATTCTGGGTTTCTGATGAATACGGTCCGTACATCTACAAGTTCTCTGCTGCGGGAAAGATGCTACAGGCCATTCGTCCTCCCAATGCATACATTCCTCTGCGTAATGGTACAGAGAGTTTCAGCGCTGCCTCGCCTCCGATCTATAACCCTGATGAGGAGATCACCCCCGAGGACCCTACGCAAGGACGAGCCAACAACCAAGGGCTGGAGGGTCTCACCGCGTCTCCCGACGGCAAACACCTCTACGCACTCATGCAATCGGCGCTCGACCAAGAAGGCGGCCTCAAGAAGAAAAACAGACGCTACACTCGTCTGCTACAGTATTCTGTCCCTTCGTCTACTTCCTCCACACCCGTCTACGAAGCCGAATATGTAGTTCCCTTGCCCCTCTACAACGACGACAGCGTAGCCGGACAATCCGAAATCCACTTCTTGACCCCGACCCAATTCTTCATCCTCGCCCGCGACTCAGGCGCTGGACACGGCCAAGACTCATCCACAAGCGTATACCGCCACATTGACATCTTTGACATCTCCAATGCCACGAATATTGCCGGTGCTGCCAACGATGCATTCAATGCCTCCATTGCCTCTTCCAAGGGAAAGCTCAACGCAAACGTGCAACCAGCAACCTACTGCTCCTTCCTCGACTTCAACGTAAACTCGCAACTCAACCGCTTTGGCGTCCACAACGGCGGTACCCAAGACGCTGGTCTCTTGAACGAAAAGTGGGAGTCTATAGCCACTGTTCCCGTTGGCAATGGCAACGATGGCGAATTCTTTGTCTTTTCGCTCAGCGACAACGATTTCATTACGCAAAATGGGTATATGGATGGTGGAAAGTATCCGTATAATGATGCTTCGGGATATAATCTCGATAATCAGGCGTTGGTGTTTAAGGTCCAGATGCCCAAGNGAGTGAATCCTTGAAGGTAGAGTCAAGTTTTGACTGCCCAAAAGCTCTCATTGGAGAGCGTTCCTGTCATTTTCATCTTGATGTTTTTCTGCAGCTTTCTTCTCTAAGTCCTTTCCTAGATGCTGTAGTATATGTCTCCTCCCTCTGCTACCTCCTTCATCTGTCATAATCCATGCAGCCACAAGGATAAATACTGTAGTCTGTTATCGATCTCCAAAACTTCTACTCAGGTGGTGCTGTCCTGGATTACTGTCTGGCGACAGCCGTCTTGCTTGAACCCTTATAGAATGAGGTACGTGCCAATTTCACTTTGGAGGCCCTTCCTTCGACAGCGAAGTACGAAGGGGATGAGAGTAGCAGGTCAGCAATCTTTCAACTTACTGTAGATATTTCTTTGGAGGGAAAAAAACAGTTATTCTTGAAGGGTCACCACTCGCAAATCGTGATAAGAAGCCGATAGGGGAAGACAAAAGGGTCATAGACCTGCATGCCTGGTTACGCTTGGTCTTTCAAGCTATTGTCGACCCTCAGATTTTGATTTCCAGACGTCTCGTTGTAGTTCTTACCACATTCAATAGCTTGACAATCTGGGTCTCGACCTGCAACTTGTCACTAGGAAGGAACTCGATCTTGATACTTAAGTCTTCTTTATCCCAAAAGATCTGCGTTCTTTTGAGAAATCCTTGGAGAGGACTAGAGCACTCTTTGTTAGTTTACTATATAAGCGAGGAGAATTAGTGCTTTAGAATCCATGGTCGCCACGACGTGCAAGTACTGTACGGTATATCCTCCGACTCCTCAGCACAGGATGGGAGTGGTTTGAAGAACTCACATACTGCAAATTGGATGAGTGGCAAAGAAAGCAGCCAGAGGATACAAACAAACAGATCAGTGACTCCGAGAACTGGAGTCCACGTCTCCGAGTCCGGCTAGTCATGCACTTGCATATGTAATCCTTGAAAACGCACGAGAGATCGAGCGGATGAGGAGGGCCTATTGACCTCATGATTCTCTCTGTATGCTCGAGCGAGACTCGGAGAGGATGCCAGCTTATTGAGCAGACGCTCGCGTGGCCTTCGCGCAAGGGAGTCTTGATACAGTGTGGTGACCAGTTGTGTCTGTAGATTGAGTTCATTGAGGGTTTATCTAAATGGTTCAGCCCGATAAAACGATTGGTACGAGCTTTTGGCTCGAAAACCTTTGGATTGCGAATCTGTACGAGCATATACGATGGTGCTCGTAAGAGTGATGGTCTATGTCTTGATTACTTACCTTGGCACAGCCCAGATAAAGTGTCTCGAGAGCAGAACGAGCGGCGAAATGTCTCGAAAGATCTGGTGTAGGCCATGCGGTCCTGAGCATGAATTCAGCATTCGATGTAAAATTATTCGTTCGAAGAAAGAATTCTCATCGTATTCTCAACTCGATTTCGGAGAGAGATGGCATCCGACCATCCTTGTCAACGTAGAATCCTCTCGGAGCAGTATAAAACTCAGAGATGGATGTGACTTTTGTGAATATCAATCATCTCGCAATCGGCAGAAAAATTACCTCTTCGACCAACCATGGAGAGAAATCACCGGTGCAAGTGATTAAGCTTAACGACAATAGAGGATGAAGGATAGAGGATCAAAAAATATAGATGAGGCGACGAGGTCAATGATTCTTTGCAAGGAACAGCAATCTCCTGTGGCGACCGTTTTTGGCGAAATAATATTGTCTGAATTGTGAGAACAGCGAAGAAACTGTGAGCGTAAGAGAATTCATGGACCTGGTGACTTCCTTTGCATATCATGGGCACGAGTGAAAACTTCCATGGCTCCGAGCACCCGCAAGTCAGCCATCATGTCACGGCATTAACGAGACTGCGACTGTCGAAAGGTCTAGGAGTCGAACAATGACAAAGCAAGTGTTTGACTGTTTTGATCGGATATACTCTATGTTACATCGTAGTTATCCAGCTCTGGCGGTGTCGCAACCAGTCGGCAACATAACATTGACCATGCAGGCGAGATGACCTAGGAATTGATGGTGGTTTCCAAACGTACCCTCCAGGACTTATAAAGTCCCGCGGTTCTTGTCCGACAAGCTCTGGGCGAGCATACTTCAATTTTGCCATAGCCAAGTATCCCAGCCATTGGAGGGTTAATCTTCCGGTACTTCTCGTGACGAGGAGAGCTTCAGCGTCTCATTTGAATCTTTGATGCATGAAGAACGCAGAAGTGCTTCAAAAGTCGCAAGACTCGGCAATGAGTTCGGCCAGCTCTTCAAGGTACTTCTTATCTTCGTCGTCAAAGCCGTTTTTCACAGCACAGTCGACATCAATAATGGCAACAACCTAGAAACCTCATCAGCAAACCTTCCCCAAAACCCATCCACGCGTTCAAACTCACCTTTCGCCCCTGCAAAATCGGCACAACAATCTCACTCGCACTCTCTGCATCACAAGCAATATGTCCCGGGAACATTTCCACATCATGCACCAACTGCGTCGTTTGTGTGGAAGCAGCGGTGCCGCAGACACCTCTGCCGAAGCGGATGGTCTGGCAAGCTACTTTGCCTTGGAAGGGTCCCAGGATGAGTTGTTTGGTTGGGGAAGCAGGGTCAAGGACGTAGAAGCCAGCCCAGTTTGTGTGAGAAGATGGGGAGGGAGAGCGTGAAGGGCGTGCCAGAGTAGAGAGGCTGCGTTGGAGAGGTTGCTGCGTGGTGTGTGGTTAGTGCTGGATAGAGGATAGGGTTGGTGGGGGTTGTATAGTTTACCAGACCTAGGTGGGTTGTTAGTTTTGTCTTATCTCAAGATACACTTTGGCTTGGGATATTGTTATTGGAATGGTTATTGTGATTGAGATGGTTGAAAGTATTGAAGCGCTCGAATGAATGCCTTCTTTTCTAAACACAAGCAAGAATTGATACTGAAGATTGAAAGAGAAAGAGAAGCGAAAAAGAACTTACCCAATTCCTTTGATCATAGAACAGCCCTCTGGCTTGTTCCAGCACCTGTGTGTAGGCTTCTTGCTTGCTCACATTGGAGACAAAGTTGGACGCGTCGGCATGCACCTCCATCAGATTTTAGCACACTCGCCATCTCTGCAACACTTCCGCCCGAAACTTTCTTACCATGACTGTTTATACTGTTTCTTTTGGGTCTTTATCAATGCAGTCAATTGATATAGAGAAAGTCACGCGCAAGTCGCGAAAAGAAAATTATTACGGATGAGTCGGGCATCCCACTCTCCGCAAATTTGCTCGGACCACAACACACATTGGAAATCTTTCACGGAAGATGGAAGAAGACAAGCAAGCACGCCATCGCAACAATGGCAGCGACGATGTTTGACAAGGCAGTCAGGTTATCTGTATATCACCCATGGCTATGATGGAAAACAGGCTATGTCGATGCATGAAGCCCTTCGCTGGAACCACTCATACTAAGAGCCGTGGATACCCGAATAGCTGCAGAATTTTGGCCATGTCAGCTTGAGTGGGGTAGCACCCTGCTCTCAGTCAATATCTCTCCGGAGATAATATGATTTTGTGTCTAGAGCATACGATGGCCCTTATATATCGTTAAGTTGTTTGTGCTCTGCTTAGTGCACTTCAATGCTCATTGCGACATCAACTGTCAAAGAAATCATGCTGTTTTACCGTAGCAGACAGAAGGTCCACAAGGGGTAGACGCGATGATGACTTTCCCACGCACTCATCATCGTCGAGGAGTCTGAGTTGTACGTTTTGACAGCTCAGGTCAAGCACATTTGGAATGGAACCATGAAATACGTCACAGTTTAAAGAACAAACATTTAGTCACAAGAGTTCCATTCTCTACAGACATCTCCAAAATGCCCGAACACGCTCCTCAATAACGCCACGCTTTGCAATGCCCTTGTTCCTTTCCTGTGATCCAATACCACACAAGTCTTTTCCTTGCTACTTTTGCCTTTTTACCTTTGTGTAGAAGCATCTCATCTAACCAGTCAAACAAACAAGAGCAGCCTCGAACTCGTCTACAACCCTCTCTTCGAGCTTATTCTCAATGTCTTTGGCGGCCACAGCGGGCTTCTGCCTAGCCCACTCTGTCTCTCGCTCACCGACGGGCATGATACGCTCGCGCAAATTACGTCGGGTGCGCAGTATAGCCTCGACCTGTTCCTTGGCATTGGCACGATCGAATTCGAGACTGGGGATCTCGGCGGCCGAAGCACCAGAGCTTGCGCCTACTGTCCGTAGTCTTTCGAGAATGAGTGAAATGAGGGAGAGGGAGTGTGTCTCGCTTGCAAGACCGAGGGTGAGACATCCAGCATATGGATGACGGAGAGAAGGTTGCTTGTTCTCCAAATCAGTCTCGGCGCGGCGGAGTTGAGCAGGGAAACTGTTGAGGAAAGCACCAATCTCTGCTGCGATCGGTGGGCCAACAGCCTCCACAAGGTTCAGACACAAAGGGAGAATGCCCTTTGACCAAATGACGAAGACACGGACAGGTTCTTCGAATGGGCCTTTGCCGTTCATGTTGCGGAGGTAATGAGACAAGTTAGCGGATGAGAGATGGGATAGCACACCTTCGACTGCCATCTGTTCTGCAATGAAAGTGATGGAAGACAGCTCAAGCAGAAACAGAATAGCGAGTTCACCATAGACAGGGTCGACCGAGTCAGGTGTCACAAGACGGTCAGACCAAGAGTACAAGCTTGTGGCGTAGCGAAGAGTGCCAGCATCGGCACAGTTAGTGGCAATGGTCGAATGCGCAGTGGCAATGCCAGGAATGCGTAGGATGGTCTGCAGCAATGCCGTCAAGAGCACAAAGTCTGCCGGCTGTACCGATTCAGGGTTGGCATGGACGTTGCTGCACAGTGCTCTGAAGTTTTTGTGTACAACGTTCAGGATCTCGAGAGGGATCACAGGGACGATTTGGGCCGATCGCTTCTCCTTCTGCACAGGGTTGTAGACCTGAGGTTGGAGTGCAAGGAAAAGAGTACGTAGTAGCGTACGGTAATACTCAACATCGCGAGGGGTGGAGGCGACTTCAAAGTCTTGGTTTGAGGTGCGAACAATATCCCAGGCTGTAGAGAGCAGATCACGGACGACATCCTCCTTGGATTTGATCGAGGTCAACTTCTGCAGCAGGACGAAAGCTAGGTCAGCGCGAGTCTGTGCGATATTATCGAAAAGTACAGCTGGAATAGAAGCTTCCATGTTTGCAGCAAGAGACTTCTGAACGACCGTCGCAAGGTCTTTCTGTAACGTTGGGATGTCCTCGGCAAATGTGGCGAGCATGATAGCTAAAGCTTTCCAGCTCTTCAGGAGGTTAACTTGAGCTTCGACCAAAGACAGGTTGACATTTGCTCTGGCGACCTCTTCCACAAAACCTTGATTGTTGCGACCGCTCCAGGATGAATCAAAGTCCAACATTCGACTAGCGATCTTGCGGTCATAGTAGTAGTCACGACCAAAATCTGCTTGCTGAAGGGAAGTGCGCTTGAAGTTCTCGAGCTTGCACTGAGGGAACTTGATGACAAAGTTCTTGGCTAGATTCTTGTGAAGCGAGTGGTTGTATGCGTTGACTGCAACTCCATGTTCGCGGAGGTATTGCAGTTTTTGNGCGACATTCTGTGCCGTTATCGTATCACCGAGCTGGCGTGCGTTGTGAAGGTACCGCGCAAGGACGTTCGAAGCGTAAGAAGCCATCTGGATCTCTTTGGCATACCGAATGGTACCCTCCATATCGGACTGCTTATTGTTTGGTTCAATCTCGGCGAGCCAATCTGCTGCGCTCTTGATGAAGTCGGCATGTTTACCGATGCCGTGTGTGGCCCAAGCCCACTGGTCTTGTGCAGAAGCAACGAATTTCAAGATAGCCGTTGCTCGCTTGGGNGAAATGGCCTTGATGTCAGCCAGTTGATCTAGGGCATATTTCAGCAATGCTTTGCTGCCAGTTGTTTCGCTCTTGCCGGTCGCCTTCAGACTGTCACGAGGTGTGGTACCAGTAAGCAAGCAGATTGAGAGCCACTGTTGCTTGTTACTAACAACAGCAGAGAACATCTCCCATATCGTAGACTCCACACCAATGTCTTGCAGAGGTTGGTCTAGCTCTGCGAGGACGGTCAAGAAACTCTTTGCAGCGTCCGGGCTCAGATGACCGAGAAGAGGAGCTGGTTCTGACTCAGACTGGTTCAATGTGCGAACAATGCTTGTGAAGAGAGTAGCGACGGGTGCTTTGTAAGGGTGTTGGGCGGCAAAGAGGCGTGCAAGAAGAGGCATAGACTGAAGGAGATTTTTAGTGAGATAGCCAGCTTTGCGATCAGTGAGCAAGCCAACGTCGAGAATCGTTGAGCAGAAAGACAAAGCTGCACAGGTTTGGAGTCTAATTGGCGCCTCATTCTCAAGCGGACCCGGATTGATCGAAGCAAGACCCGAGGTGAGGATGTTCAGCAGTGGGTGGAAAGTCAGAGAATGAGGACTCTCTGCCAGGTACACTTTGAGAAGGTCTTCTGAAGCTTGAGCGAATACGCCGGTCAACTTTGCGGCTACAGCCTTGTTGTCGTCCACGCTGTATGCAAAGTTGAGGACTTCAGTAGCCGCGTTCAGAATACGAGTGCTAATTTCGCATCTTTCTGTAGGGAAGACAAAACGCCAGCTCGGCGAACTCTGCAACACATCAAGAAGGATACGCTGGAATGCTGCGAGCACGGCACTGGTCAGCTTCTCGGGTGTTGTTCCAGTTGCATCAGCAGGATCAGCGAAACGAGTAATTGCTTTTGTGGTGGACTTGCGCGATACAGCACGGGTAGCGACATCCTGAATTAGTCCCTCGAAGAGACCAATACAAGCACGAAGCAGATCATACTGTCCGATTGGAAGCTCCGTGGCGCTGACGATAGCTGCGAGACCGCCAACATTGTCATCAACGGAAAGCAGTCGGCTGCGTGTCAACAGAGACCAGATTCTTTCTGGGTAGATGGACACCAATGACTGCATGAAGCGGACAATATGAACCAAGAGGTACAACGAACCCTCAGATCCAGGCTGTTCAACTTGAGCGTGTAGCTCTTCCTCAAACATCTGGAAGACGACGCTGACGATATCATCATTCCTGTCGAGGCCGTAGCTCAAACGGCCGAGAACGTGCTTTACAGCATTAATATCATCTGCCTTCACTGCGGCATAGACAAGCGAGTCGACAAGCGCAATGATCTCAGCAGCGGCTTCCTTTTCAACAGGTCCAGATGCCAGTTCGATGTAGGTTGCGTTGGACAGTCTAGTTGAAAGAAGCTTGCCAAAGTACTCAAGTGCAGAGTGTTGATGGTGCCAGCAGACAACATAGGGACTGTTTTGGTTTGCTAGAATGCCAACAGTTCCTGCAGGAATTGTCAAGTCGGTCTTGGCTTGAGCAGCATCTCTGCCGGATGTGAGACGCATATGATGGGTCCTGCCGTCCCTTGGGACAAATAGCGGGATCTCATCGAGGAGCTGGATGTGGTTTTGGAGTTCATCCTCACGGTAGTTCTCGTAGCTTCTTTCAAAGGCTCGGGGAAGAAGTTGAGTCAAAGTAGACATGTTTTCTAAGATTGCAAGGAGTTCCGAGTCCTGTCCGTCTTTCGTAGCCCGGCTTTGACTGACCGAGAGCAGACAGTTCAAGAAAGGGCGAACTTCGTAAGCATAGCGTTGTTTTACTTGGTCGAAGAACTTGCCACCCATGCCACTGCTGTCGGTCAAAAAAGTCTTGACTGGCTGCACTGGGTTACGAGCTCGCGTCCTTGAGAGATTTGGAGGCACTGTGTCGTAAGAAAGGATTGAAAGTACTGCCTGTACCACATCAGGGCCGTACTGGAAGAGATGGTAGCCTGCTGAGACCAGGCTGAAGAGTGACATCTTGCCACAAGCAGCAACGTAGAGATCAAAGTCAGCGCCAAACGCGAGCAGCAAACACTCAGACAGAGATGTCACCATGTCGAACGTCTGCAAATCGGCGGCTGCGGCGTTGGCCATGAAGCCAATAACGTCTTCTCCTTCGACCGGATGAGCGTTCAAAACAGCGTCGAGTGAGATTTCGGTTTTGGTCTTTGCCTCATTGCTGGAACCATCTTCGATTTGTGACTGTGCCTCAGCACGACTTGCAAGAACGGCTCCACGAAGACTTTGTGCAATAATGCTCCATGCTAGTATGGCAGGTCCAGCATGTCTTATGCCCATTTGAGCTTGTGCAGCCCCGAGAAGAGTAGAGGTGACCAAACGAACGCAGGCCTCGTCGTCGATGTAGAATTTGCCAGGCAATTGAGGGTAGGCTCCGGTGTTCGGGAGTGTGCTGATGAACTCCACAGTAGCGTTCACCTTGAGTACTTCCAGGGAGATGAGAGAGGTCAGGCATCGAATGACGATGATCAGATCCGAAGTTTCGGGGGTCTCGGGCAGCGCGGAGAAGAAATAAGTCGCGTCCATGAGGGAGAACCATAGTACGACGGGCTCGGAATCAGGAATCACCTCCAGAGCAAAGATGTGGATATATGCCAAACGCAAGATCAGAACAAGCTGAGTAAAGACGGACTTTACGTAGGAGTTAGCAAGGTCTTCATCCTCGGGGAGCAGGCCAGACCAAGATTCTGGGTTGAGAGATTGCAGTTTTGTATCCAGAGCATCCACGCATTTGCAGAANAAGGACGAGTTAGATGACGTCTCCTGGGCTCGGGAAACAAGAATGGCCGCTTCTCGAAGTAAAGGTCGTGGATTGAGAGCAGTCGACTGCAGGTCTCGAGGCAGAGCGAGCCCAACCAGGACTGCAGACAAAGCCAAGATACTGGACTTTTCGACGTAGAGGGTGCTTAATAGTCTGGGACGTCTTTGTTGCTGAGTATCGAAAGTTGATTTTCGATCGGGTTCGAGAACGGGATTGACAGATTGGCGGAAGTGGGCGTTCGCGGCGGCATTCTGGACTCCAAGCCGCTCATCCTGGGACCACTCGGCCAGCATACGCGACGCTGAGCGCTGCTGCCATTCAACCAGAACAATCCTCAAAGCGTCCGTCTCTTGAATGTTTGCTTCCTTGGACAACCACAGAGCATCCTCCTTGATCTGATTGATGTCATATTGGCCAGGTTCTGAGGGAACAGCATTGATTGCGGCGGTTCTTGTGTCGAAGTCGGACTTTGATTGTGAGGTAGGAGGGAGGAAGGGTGTTAGGGGAGCACCCAGGATGGAGATGACGGTGGGATCTAGGAAGAAGGCGTCTAGTATGGGAGTAGAGGTGGCGCAGTCGTGAGCGATGACAGCTCTATAGGCAGACTCCCATGATNNCTGGAGTGATTAGCACATGTTCAAGGTGGATACAGCAGCAGGCGCATACAGAAGAGGAAGCTCGCGGGCCAGACATTTATCCAGAGCAGGGAAGTAGACGGCCGGCGGAGAAGGCACCATTGTGCAGATGGATTTAATGTATGAGCATGCGCGCCGGTCCAGGAAGATCGAAATGGCAGGTTACGCGACAGTTGGAAAGAGCGACGAGGCGTGTATTTGATGCTTCTGAAATGGTAGCTGCAAAGACAAGAGAGACACGCCAAGACAACGAAACGCGACTTTGGAGGAAGGAGCTCCAAATCTGGGGAAGCAGCGCCGACAGCCAATCAGCGCTGACTCATCCATGCGCTTCCAGATCTTATTGATGCTTTTCTTTGGCATCTCTCGTCGCCATCCCTCCACCACCAATTGCCAGACACGACAAGACGCAACATGTCGAACCTAGGCCTGGTCGATCACTCGCCTTTCAACGCCGAGCCCGCCGCTCCAATTCCTACCGCTTCCAATCTTGTCCTCATCGACAACTACGATTCATTTACCTGGAACGTCTACCAATATCTGTGTCTCGAGGGCGCAACCGTCACCGTCTACCGCAATGATGAAATCACAATTGACGAATTGATCGCTAAGAAGCCTACCCAGCTGGTCATCAGTCCTGGCCCCGGTCACCCCGAAACAGACTCGGGTGTTAGCAAGGATGCCATTCGACACTTTGCTGGAAAGATTCCCATCTTTGGTGTTTGCATGGGCGAACAATGTATCTACTCTGTATTCGGTGGTACCGTCGAGAAGACTGGAGAGATTCTGCACGGAAAGACCTCGCCTTTGCGACACGACGGCAAGGGTGTCTACGCCAACATTCCCCAGGACATTCCCGTTACCCGCTACCACTCGCTTGCTGGAACCCACCCCACTCTCCCCGAATCTCTCGAAGTCTCTTCATGGATTGCTGTTGGCCCTGATGGAGGAAAAGGTGTCATCATGGGTGTGCGCCACAAGGACTACGTCATTGAGGGTGTTCAATACCATCCCGAGAGTATCTTGACCGAGGAGGGAAGACTGCAGATCAAGAACTTTTTGTACATGCAGGGCGGTACCTGGGTCGAGAACGAGCGCTTGCAGAAGGAGGCCAAGTCGAACGCTCAGTCAGCAAAGACCAATGGACAGACCAAGGACAAGCAGACCAACATTCTCGAGAAGATCTTCGCACGCCGCAAGGAACTGGTCGCCGCTCAGAAAGAGATCCCATCTCAAAGACCCATCGACCTCCAAGCCGCCTACGATCTGGACCTTTCACCACCCCTCATCTCCTTCCCCGACCGTCTCAAGCAGTCTCCATACCAACTCTCCTTGATGGCTGAGATCAAGCGTGCCTCCCCTTCCAAGGGCATAATTTCTATTTCCACTTGCGCCCCTGCACAAGCTCGCATTTACGCTCTTGCCGGCGCCAGTACCATCTCTGTCTTGACCGAGCCCGACTGGTTCAAGGGCAGCATCGACGACCTGAAGGCTGTTCGCCAAGCGCTGGCTGGCATGCCTAACCGTCCGGCTGTTTTGCGCAAGGAGTTTGTTTTCGACGAGTACCAAATCTTGGAAGCTAGATTGGCTGGTGCCGACACTGTTCTTCTCATCGTCAAGATGCTTGACATTGAGACTTTGCACAGATTGTACAAGTACTCGCAATCCCTCGGCATGGAGCCTTTGGTCGAGGTCAACAACGAAGAGGAAATGAAGATTGCTGTCGAGATGGGCTCAAAGGTCATTGGTGTCAACAATCGCAACCTCACAAATTTCGAGGTCGATCTAGAGACCACCAGCCGTCTTATGTCGCTCGTTCCCAAGGAGACTGTTGTCTGTGCCCTCAGTGGTATTGCTGGATCACAAGACGTTGTGCCTTACCAAAAGAACGGTGTTGGTGCTGTCCTTGTTGGCGAGGCTCTGATGCGCGCAAAGGACACTGCCCAATTCATCTCCGAGCTTCTTGGTGGCAGTGTGAAGTCTGCTACCAAGGAGTCTAAAAAGTCACCTATGGTGAAGATCTGCGGCACTCGTACACCAGAAGCGGCCAAGGCTGCAGTTGAAGCCGGCGCAGACTTCATCGGTATCATCCTTGTCAAGGGTCGCAAGCGCTGCGTGTCCAACGAGACCGCTCTTGAAATTTCAAAAGTCATACACGAGACACCCCGTGCGAGATCAGATTCAGATCTGAGTGAAGGATCGTTGCCGGTGTCAGCGACAAACTACTTCGACCATACCACAGCACACAACCTGGTTCACCCGCGACACGCAAAGCTTGTTGGTGTCTTCCAGAACCAGCCATTGTCATATGTTCTAGAACAACAGAAACTTCTTGGTCTCGACATTGTACAATTACACGGATCTGAGCCTATTGAGTGGGCATCACTTATTCCTGTTCCCGTCATCCGGGCTTTCCACCCAGGTGATGCTGGTCTCGCTACTCGTGGCTATCACGCATTGCCGCTGGTCGATTCTGGCGCTGGCGGTTCTGGTGAGCAAGTGGACTTGTCGAAAGTCCAGGAGCTTTTGCAGAAGGATAGCGGCCTACGGATCATGCTTGCTGGTGGCCTCAACCCTAGCAATGTCAAGCAGGTGTTCAGTGGTCTTGCCTCAAACATGAGCCAAGTTGCTATCTTGGATGTCAGCAGTGGCGTCGAGGACAACGGTGAGCAGAGCCTGTCGAAGATTCGCGAGTTTGTTACTGCTGTCAAGGCCGAATTTTGATTCAATACGAACAAAAATAATAGAACAAACCTTTCCAACTTCACATTTGATCACACTATTGCTTGCTTACCTTCAAAATCGATCATGGACTGAATGATTCCGGACACATCAACACACTAACCATCAAGGGCATTTATCTTATGGTACTCTGCTATCACTGACTGCTTCAGGACAACTTCTTGATCCTTTAAAGTTGGCATCGCTTGATAAACTCGCTTACAGCGTTCTCATAGAAGCTGTCTTCACTTGCTGGTTCACCGTCACTCGACCTCAATAGGCAGGTACTATATTGAAGAGGCTGCGATTTTCAGACCCTCTCCCTCTCTCTTCCGCTCTTCTTCTATATTTATCTCAGCTCCTACCTTTCCATTACTTGACCACTTACATCTATCACATCACCTCTCTGTACCTCACACCATCCATCCACATCACAACCACTTGCCTGGCACAGCTCGTCAAGCATCTCTCAACACTGCAGATCTCCGGAGATCTTTCCTCTTCTTCCAAAGTTCGTGTTGACTCAGTCTCTACGCACCAATCGACTCTCTCACCAGCGACTCACGATCTCTTGCATCGATCAAGCATCCAGCCACGACAACTAACCAGCCACAACCATGCCTCCCAAGCTCAAGAACGCCGTCATCTGCTTCTCGGGCACCTTCAACCACCCAGCTGCCAGCCTCCAAAAGTGGACCGAAGCCAACGGCGGCTCCTTCAACCGCAAACCCACATCTTCCACCACGCACCTCGTCGTCAGTGAGACCAACTGGCGCGCCCGCGTCCCAGAAGTGAAGACTGCTCTCGAAGACGACAACATCAAGATCGTCGACTATGAGTGGTTTGACGATAAACTGCGCCTCGGCGGCCGCACCACTCNNGAGTCTAAGTACCTCTGGACCACCATCGATTGCGAACTTCTCAAGCAAGAAGCTAAGGATGCCAGAGCCGCCGAGCGTGAAAAGAAGCGCGCTGAAAAGGAAAAAGAGAGAAAGAAGAAGGATGCTGAGAAGATCAACTGGGGTGCTGCTTTGATGCAACACACCAATGAGGTTGCTCGCGTCGAGGAAACCAGTGAAGATGAAGAGTCCAGCGAGGAGGATTCATCTGCAGAACAGAACGAACCTCTGGCCGAACAGTTTGCCAAAGGAGCCAAACAAGCAAAGGAAGACTTGATGAGCGACAATTATCATATCTACATGGATTGCACTGGCTTTGTCTACGACATCGTGGTCACCAAAGCCTCGGTTGAGTTATCTCGCCTGGACAGAGCTTGCATTACTGTAAGTGTTCCTTCTCTTTTTCTTTCTCGTCCCTTTGACTGACATGTTCCTCCCACAGNNCTCTACGAAACAAACGCTTCACCCCACAGCTATGCCATCGTGGTCAAGGTTNCCAAAAATACCCCTGTTACCACTTACGATATCACCACCGTCAACAGCGTCAGCTTCCCTACTGCCTTCAAATGTCTGCGTGACAACTTCAAGGCCCTTACTGGCGCTGAATGGGACAGCCGCATCAGAAAGTTCAGCGATGGACCTTCCTTGGCTCCTCTGCCTCGCCCCAAGATCACCGTTGTGGCTCCGGCAAAGAACTTACCTCCAGGAAAACTGTCCAGGCTAACCAAAAAGAGCGCCAAAGATAAGGAAGAGCAAGACCCAGAAGCCCAGCAAAAGAACCTCGAAGCCGCTTTCGCCGCCCTCAGATACCGTTACCGTCTCCCTGACGAGGGAAACCCTCGCGGTACCATGGCAGATGGCTCGCACTACACACACCAAAACAACAAGAGTGTGTACGATCTGTTTGGCCAAGCTGCAGACAGAAGTGCTGAAGACGTTGCAGCCAGAGAAGCCATCAAGGAAGAAGTCAAGAGATTGCAGAGACTGCAGTTGAAGAAGCAGAATCAGCAGAGCAAGAACAAGCCTGTGGAGGTTGTAGTTATTGAGTCTGATGACGAGGAAGAGGAGAGTGATGAGGAGAGTGAGACTGAGGAGGGAGATGAGGATGAGCAGATGGAGGATGGCTATGTTGCTGTCAATGCTAGAGGCAAGGATGTTGAGATGCAGGGTCCCGACTGTGCTTTTGAGAGGGCTACGGACGGAGCTGGAGTCGGCCAGGAGGACTTCACCATGGTCGACGCTCCTGCCACTCAGGCCTGATCGACGACAACAGCCCATACTTCAAGAAACAACGACTACTACTGGGATACGACCTTGCATCGACGCAGGCCTTCCAAACTCGGCATGCACAAGGGAGATGAAGGCCACTCATCAACAAATCGACTGGAAGACAAAACCATGATCGACACGGTCCAGACAAGCCAAATCAGGGGTTGGAGGACTGCTTTTTCTCTTCGCTGACATCCTTCGAGTTCTCGATTTCTTTTTTTTTCAACTCGTTCTCTTTCCTTGTTTTCACGTGAGGAAGGCTGGTCAATTTCTCTTTGCCTTTTGCTTCCTTTCTTGCCATCGATGGAGCGGTACACAGAGCACCACTGCAGACGGAAGCAGCTATGAGGTTCACGATTTCTTTCTTTTTCGTATTGCGATTTAGGGAAGCAAAGGCATAGCGGTCCTTGCAGATTTTAAGAAACCGCGAGACTTACAAAAATCGAGCCTCCATGAGCGTATCGAGAAATGAGCTTTTTAGCTGTCCAATAGGAACTTTCCTTAGCCTCTGATGAACTGATGACCTATCTCCTTCCCGCACCACTTGTGTCAATTTCTAGTCGTGACGATAGCAGATAAGTTGGGGAACCTCAGAGCGACAGAGAAAAAAAAAGCAAGAACGCGCCCCAGGATTGTATTCAGCTCTTATGGTATGCGAGGCAGGGGGAAACAGGCGTGAAATATGTATAGGAAGAGGTCCGTCGTTCTCTTAGTTGCTTCTCTCGCCGCCCTTTGCAGCTCTCAGTTCGTCCATCTTTGCGACGCGCTTCTTGAATTCTTCGTATTGGCACTTTTCGTACGAGTGTCTCTCATTCTGTGTGAGGTGTTCGCGTCAGAGGGATGTTTCGATTGAAGCAAGAGGATCGTAGGGTGGAGAGATAAATGTTTGGATTATGTTGGAGAGTGATCGTACCTCGCACTTCCAGGGCAAGTAGTACTCGTTGTGTCGGCAGCGGTTCAGCGGGATCAAGAGGTGGGCGCAGGTGTCTCTGTAGGCGATGGGCAGTCTTGCGTCGGACATTTCCTCGCGCGAGGCAGCTGTAGTATCACCGGATGGTCAGCTTCATGTTCTGAGCAGTCCAATCGACGAGCGAGTGTGTAGAGTGGGTTGCAAGATGGTGGGTGTTTGCGCTTCAGGTGGATTGAGGTGATTGCAGGTGCCATTGAGATTGGTGGTTGAGAAGAACGTACAGGTCGAAGGACCAGCCTCGAGGCCGACGGCATGCTTGATTGTCTCGGTGATGGCCATGGTTGTGTGTGGTGATGGTAGAGCTACTGGGTGCTGCTGCACTGGTATGCGGTCGCATTGGCCGGCAAGTCGGTGGCGCCAAGGCCGGTGTCAATCGGGCGCCAAGACCTTCACTTTGGTCCTGACGCGTCTCCCTCAAGTCGACCGTGTCTCGCTCGTGTGTCGCATCCAAGGGTGCATCGGTGCAAAGCAATCCCGCCCGACAAGAACTCACAGGCCTTGCATGTGCTAAGTCACGAGGTATAGTCCAGCAATCCAATTCCTCAGCAATCAATCTGGCTCCAGCTCGCCCCAAGCCGACAGCTCGACCGTCCGTCGCAACCTCTGCAGATCACCTTCACTACCAGCGCGAGTATGACGGACAATCGCATCTACTCGGCCACCTACAGCAATGTGCCCGTCTATGAGTTCAACATCGAGGGCAACCATGTCATGCGCCGTCGCTCCGACAACTGGATCAACGCAACACACATTCTCAAAGTCGCCGACTTCGACAAGCCCACCCGCACCCGCATCCTTGAGCGCGAAGTCCAAAAGGGAACCCACGAAAAGGTCCAGGGTGGCTATGGCAAATACCAAGGCACATGGATCCCTCTGCCCGAAGGCCGCAGCCTGGCCGAGCGCAACAGAGTCCTCGACAAGTTGAGACCAATCTTCGACTACGTCCCCGGCGACAGGAGTCCGCCGCCCGCTCCCAAACACACCACTGCCGCTTCCAAGCCGCGCGCCAACAGGAAGCCTGTCAACAGGGTGCCTGCATTGTCTCACATCTCCGAGGATGTTGAGATGTACCATCACTCAGAGACGCCTGATAATGTCACGGTCGCTTCAGAGTCATATATCGATGACTACAGCTATCCGACAGACTCTCGCAAACGCAAACACCCTGAAGACGAGATGTCGCTGGCCGACCAGCACCATCAGTTATGGGCCGACGAACTGCTCGACTACTTTATGGTGCTCGAGAATCCGAACGACCCATTCCAGCCTCCTCCTATTCCGCCCAACGACATTGATCTAGACCGACCCATCGATGAGAAGGGACATACTGCTATGCACTGGGCTGCTGCCATGGGAGACCTGGCTGTCGTCAAGGACCTCATCGGCCGCGGTGCGAACATCAATGCTGTCAGTAACAACGGCGAGACTCCACTGATGCGCGCCGTCATCTTCACGAACAACTACGACAAGAGCTCCATGGATCGTCTGGCTGGCTGGCTCGTAACTACTGTGCCCATGGTCGAATGGTTCGGCAGCACCGTCTTCCACCACATTGCAGGAACAACCTCGTCCAAATCGAAATATGCTTGCGCTCGTTATTATCTTGATTGCATTCTTTCGAAGATGGCAGAAACCTATACCCCCACAGACATTGAGCACGTACTCAACATCAAAGATCGCAACGGCGATACTGCCATCCACATTGCCGCTAGAAACGGTGCGAGGAAATGTGTACGCAGTCTCATTGGTCGACACGCCTCCGTCACCATTCCAAACGATCTGGGAGAAACAGCAGATGATCTCATTATCTCACTAAACCGCCGCCGAAGAGATGGTCGCCATCGCGCCATGTCTTCATCACCTTTCCAGATGGACCCTACCTCTCACAACACCGCTGCCATGAACCTTGACCCTACACTCGAGACACCTTCATCCAACAATCCACTCTTACCATCCGCGCCAGGCAACACAGCCATCCCCTCAAAACCCCATCATACCTCCGAAGCAGGCACGACTTTAACCAACCAAATCTTCCCTCTCCTCCTCAGCAAATCAGAAAAGTTGGCTGCAGCCTTTGACGCAGAGATCAACGAGCGGGAAACCGATGTCGCAGAAGCTGAAAGAGTTGTCCAAGTCCGTACAGCCGAGATCGAATCGCTGAAGAAGCAATCCATGGCTCTTGCAATGAGCGATCAAGAAGACGAATACGACACTCGTCTGCAAAGGCAACTTGGCAACCTAATCTCACAATGCGAAAATCTGATCGAAGACGAGCAAGCCGCAGACCTCCAACACCTAATCCGACAAATCTCATCACAGATGAACTCAAACAGCGACATGGACATGAATGACTACACAGACGAAGGCATGGAAAAGCTATCTTTACTCTTGTCAATCAAGAGATTAAAAGAAGAGAGAATGGCATTGGTCAGAGAAGTTGTGGCAAGTCAAGCCGAAGCGGGCATAGGAGACAGACAAAAAGAGTATCGGAGGTTGATTGTGGGTGCTTTGGGAGTTAGGGATGAAGATGTTGATGGCATGTTGCCTGACATTGTTGGCGAGCTTGAGGAGTGGCAGGGTATGGAGGGAGGTGTGGTGGGAGTTGGTGCGTAGTTTTTGGCGGTGGTTGGATCTTTTCAGCCATGAGGTTTTGTAGGAGTGGAAGAAGAGGAAAGAAGAGAAGAGTGCCTTTGTGTATATGGTGAAGAGACTTTATATGCCTTTGCTAGAGCGATTCATATCATTATGCTTCCTTTGTGGATCTTTGAAGACGTTGTACTCGTATATGATGGCCTACTCGAGAATCCGAGACTTCTCCGCACCTTGAGCTTCCATGTTTGTCAATCTCACACCTACCTTTCCTCGTTCGCTTCTTCCATACAGTAACCCTGTGTATCTCACCATTGGCATCTAACCTCACGTCGAGCACTCTGTCTAGAGAATCAATATTTCTGTCTGCACCACGGAGAAATTTCGCTGTCGGTCAACTCTGCGTCATGGTGACGTTTTGCATGCTGATATAGCACTTTCGCATTCTTGCGGAACAGACCCCGATGACCTTTGTTATCCTGACAGCGAACTGCCGAGATGGCATTGGTCAGCTTTAATATAAATGGGAGTGGGAGAGGTCAGGCATCCGACAAGGATAGACGATGAGCCGCACTCAACCTGGACAAGGACAGGATAGCCCTCGCTCTATCTTGCGATTCCCCAGGCACATCCCCAGTACTTTCCAACGTCACGATTGCGGGTACGATGTCGTCTACGGTCGCACCTACCATCTTTTTGGATCTGGGTTTCGCTGACCAAACAATGACCCACGTTGGATTAACGAGGATCTATAAGTAGTCTTCGATGCTCACGGCTTTCCGAAAGTTTCATCTGTTTGTGTACTCTACTATACTAAGGAAACCTATTCATAACCAAAAGCTGCTCAACCATGGCACCTCCGGACTTTAATCAAGAGAGTAGACGTGCAAACCCACCTGTCTACACTTTGCAGGAGGGTAAGTTCTACAACATTACAAAATAGGTCATCCATGATCTAACACTAGTCACAGGTGCGCCTGTCTCCGACCCTTCGGCCTCCCTGCAGGTCCGCACGACATATGGAGGCGGTGGTCTCGGTATCCTTGCCGACACTCAACTCATCGAAACCCTCGCCCACTTCCCTCGCGAACGCATTCCCGAACGCGTGGTCCACGCAAAAGCAGCCGGCGCATGGGGAGACTTTGAAGTCACAGAGGACCTCTCCGACATCACCGACGCCAAATTTCTGAGCGGCAAGGGAAAGAAGACGCCCCTTCTCGCTCGTATCTCGACTACTGCTGGTGAGAGGNGTGCTGCCGACACCGTCCGTGATATTCGTGGCTGGTCCATGAAGCTGTTTACCGAGGAGGGCAACCAGGACTTTGTGTTCAACAGTCTGCCTGTTTTCTTCATCAGAGATCCTATCAAGTTTCCTAGTGTCAACCGCAGTCACAAGAGACATCCTGTGACCAACATTCCTGACCCAGACATGTTCTGGGACTACCACATCAATAACCAGGAGGGTATCCATGCATTGATGCATCTATTTGGTCTCCGTGGTATTCCTGCTTCGGTGAGTTGTCATCTCGATGAACATCTCTATACGGTGCTAACAGTTGGTTATAGCNTCCGTAACATTAACGCTTTCGGTGTCCACACATACAAGCTCGGCAAGCAGGACGGCACATTCGTCTACGTCAAGTGGCACATTAAGCCTGAGGCTGGTATCAAGAACCTTCACGCTGATGAGGCACTCCGTCTTGCTGGTGAAGCTCCCGACTACCACATCAAGGACATGTACGACTCAATCGAGCGTGGAGACTACCCGACATACACCGTGAACCTTCAAATCATGAATCCCAAGGAAGCAGAAGCGTCCGGGATCAATATCTTCGATAACACCTTTACTTGGCCTCACGAGAAATACNCCCTCCGCCCTGTCGGCAAGATTACTTTCAACAAGAATCCCACCAACTACTTCCAAGATATCGAGCAAGCCGCCTTCTCCCCCTCAACAATGGTTCCCGGTGTAGGCCCTTCCGCAGATCTCATGCTCCAAGCCCGCATGTTCAGCTACCCAGACGCCGCACGCTACCGCCTCGGACCCAACTACCAACAGCTCCCCTGCAACAGACCCATCAGTCAAGTCTACTCACCCTACCAACGCGACGGCCCCGGCCGCATGGACGGCAACTACGGCGCCGATCCCGACTACGTGCGCAGCAGTTATACCAAGCTCGCCCACGGCAGCCACGAACTAGCCACTCACGAGCAATGGGTGGGCAAAGTTACGTCCGCATCCACTGATGTCACAGACAAGGACTTTGAGCAGCCCAGACAATTGTGGCAGGCTATGCTAAAGGAAGACGGTGGACGTGAAAACTTCTTGAAGAACTTGTGTCCTCATCTTGGTGGTGCTTCGGATAAGGTTATTGAAGAAGCTGTCAAGATGTTTGCGAGAGTTGACGAGGGGCTTGGCAAGGATATCTCGAAGGGTATCAAGAACCATAAGGAGGGTAAGGCAGTTGTTTAAAGCAGTCTTTTGATGATGTGATGGGTAGATATCCTAATGACCGTATAACGAAATGATCCTACTTTACTTTGGCACAATCATTCGACCTTGTCTACGCTGAGGCTTTTTGTTCGATTTACTTCTATGTTGAGATAGAAATCGCATACTTGTGGCAGTCACTAGTTGTCGATGCCAACCGATGTTCGTCAAAGGTGATGTTGAAAATCTAGTCCATAAGGAGATTCATTGTAGGTAGCTTGGTGGAACTAAGAATTAGGCCTTCTCGGTGGTTCTATTTTTAGCTTCTGGGTTTTTCATGCGTCTAAGTTGAGCATTTTTCATGCTAGCTAAAGCATACTCCCACGTCAGGTGTGTCAAATTGCCCATTTCAACAGCTGATTCCTTGCCTGAAATGATAGCGATCCAAGTAGCGCTATCCTTGACATTACCTTCGACACAGTTCTGAGCAAAGCATCCCATGGAACTGAAGCATCTGATCCTGGTCTTCAGATCAGGAAAGATCATGGCAAATACATGCGGCATGGCTTCATACTGCTCCCTAACAACTGTAACACCTTGATCACCAGCTCTGACCGCAAGAATCTTGTTTCCGTCGGTCAGAAGCTCTTCGCCGGTCATAAAGAACATTGGTGGAGCTCCAGACAAGTCTTTTGCAGCGAGTGGGGATACAAGGGGATGACACAGAAGACTGAGATTGCAGAAGATGTCGCCTCTTAGTGGGTTGGTTGGCCAAATAACATCTTTTGGAAGCCGTGATACGGCATTGTCGTAGTTGGGTGAAACAAGGTAGTCCCATTTTTGGTTTGTTGTGACGGAAGGCATGGATTTTGTAATGTCGAACCATCCAGATAAGGTCGCCATTCCAGCGGGAAGTGGCACCTCGACAGTATTCCCATGATAGATAACTGTAGGATTCTTTGCTCCAGTAGGTTTGTTGCGCTGCATGTGGAGGAGCAGTTGCATTAGTGAAGCCACCAGATTTCCTCCAGAAGAGTCCCCTGCGAAGACTATATCGTTTGGGGATACTGCGTCATGCAAGGAGCCTTTGGGAGGATATAGCAGATATAAATACGCGCTTAGGACATCGATCAACTGACCTGGAAACGCTGTCTGTGGTGCCAGTCTGTACTCGATCAATAGCACGCGTCCACCACAAGCTTTTGCCAGTTTGCCTGCGGTCGCATGATGTGTGCCTAGACCGCACATGTAGTAGCCTCCTCCGTGCAAGTAGAGTATTGTACACTTGCTTGTCCTCGTCTTCTCTTTCATCATGGACTCGTACTTCACTTCTTCTGCAATGCAAGGCGTTTCTTCTTCGTCGCTTGCATCAGCTCTGGAACCAACCCATTCTGCGTTCACGCTCGCAACAGCCGGTTTGATAAACTCCTCCTTTCCGTCACCCATGTCTTTGATTGCGCAAAAGATTACATCAGCAATCGTCTGCTCATCCATCGACTTCGGTATCATCGTCCGCGCAACCCAGATCTTGCCTTTCACTGGTCGCTCCTTGGTCGTGCCTCTCTGCAGTTTTGCTCTGGACTTTGTAGGGTCGAAGAAGATCTTGGGGATTGCTTCGACGGTGACGAGTGTCTGATGGTCTCATTTCGAACTTGTCGGATGTAGGCCAAATGTGCCAAGGGTGGATGTCTTGAGCAGACCTGGGAGTATTGGGAGGAGAGTTTTCAAGGCCTCCATGTTTTGCAATTCAGACGACAGCGACCTGAGTTCAGGCGAAAATGATCAACGTGAAGTTGCCAAAATAGATGAAAGAGACTTTGCCAGGGAGTGTGCGGCCTTTGTTGGACCGCTGCTCGAGTATTATCAAGAGCAAAGAAATATTGCTGGAGAGGCCGTTCAATCGTTGACCCACTGGGAATGGCTACGGCGAGTAGCACAAGCATCCTGTTAACAAGCGATTGTATCCAGTCAGAGCGGAGCATGTTGACACATCTCCCCACTATCATGATCAAGGCATCGTTTGCTTCCATCATCGCGTTCCACTCCGGTTGCCATTTCTCGATTCCGAGCCCTCTTTGGTTATGTTGTGCAGGCCAGGGTTGACTGGAACCGTGACCAGAGTGGAAGCGAACGAGGACCTTGGATGTAACAACCTATCATTCATTTCACTTCCGTTGAACAGTTTGCATCCATGCTTGCCACCAGTCTTGATGAATTGGTCCGGAAAGGAGCTCCATAAAGGAATGAGTACGTGCGTAGTGCTTAGTGTCTCCGAAGTCTTAGCGAGACTTATATTCCTACCCGATTGTGATAAAGCTTTCCGCCAGACTTCTAGCGCAAGATCCTTCTATCTAGCCATGTTTGGGTATACATCAACCGAATCTCTTCCGAACCTCGCTTCTGACTCCAGGCAGAATATGCGTTCCATACTCGACGGCATCGTTGAAGTTGTCATAGCCACGAATGGAGATCAGATCAGCGCCCAACTGAACATAGTCGAGTAACGACTCTTTGACAATCTCATATGATCCGACCAATGCCGTCGATGCGCCTCTCGCGTTCGTCGCCGTTACAGTGGGATACCACAGCGCACGGTCTTGAACCTCGCCACGCTTCGCAATGTTCAGCAAGCGCTGAGATCCGACATTCTGTGGCGGTGGTGCATGAGCAGACGACTTGCCCACACCGTTTGCAGTGTGCTTGGTCAACGCATCGAGTGTCCTATGTGCTTTTGCCCAAGCCAACTCATCAGTCTCGGCAGTAATTGGCCTAAAAGTGACCCAAATACGAGGACGATCGCTTCGGCCAGCTTTCTCCGCTTCAGCATAGATACGATCGATTTGGTCTTTGGTTTCCTTCAAGGGTTCGCCCCAGAGTCCGAAGATGTCGGCGAGAGAGCCACCGATGCGGTATGCTTCGTCGGAAGAGCCGCCAACGGATACAGGAATGTTTTTGTGCTTTGGAACGACGTCGCTGTGGAAGTTTTTGAAAGTATAGTAAGTGCCTTGCCAGTCGAATGGTTCCTTGGATTGCCATGTGCGTCGCAGGATTTTGATGTATTCCTCCAAGCGGCCATCTACGCTTTGTTAGTCGTCACGACCTCAAGGTAGGTCATCTATGCTTGACGACACGACAGACAACCTGAGCATGATTGCACCATACATTATACTCACANNTCGCTGATCTTTAGTATGAAAATCGCCTTCTTTAGCCTGCTCGGCATCACTCCCACCAGCAATAAAGTGCACGACCACACGTCCGCCACTCAACTGATCGAGCGTGGCAAGTGCTTTTGCCGCAACAGTGGGATACAGGGTGTTCGGTCTTAACGCAATAATGACTTTGATATTCTTGGTTTTGGCCAGAACAGTCGCACCGAGCGTAAAAGGGTCGAATCCGGTTGAGCCGTACGGGATAAGGGTGTAATTGTAGCCATAGTCATCCAACGAGCGAGCATATCTGACTAAGAAATCGATATCAACGCCTGCTCCGGGGATAGGTTGTAGTTCGTTCGATGCATTTGGGAAAGTAAGACTGATGAATTCGGTAGTAGCCATGTTGCTCGATTGAGGTGTCAAAGTCGTAAAGTTTGGGTTCAAAGTACGGCGACGGCATGGTTTTGTGGTGTCAGCAGTTGCAACTCTGATTATCAATCGAAGAATGGCGAAAGCAAGGTCTTAAGCACGTCTTTATGATCCTGCCGATTGCGGGACTGAGCGTATTGGTCGATGGTTATGAATATGCAGGCGTGACTCCACTCTTGTTATCAGCTGAAGTTGTATTGCGAATGGCTCCTCATTTGCTGTACAACGATTTGTCAACTGCCATCAGACACAGTGCTTTGCACTCGGAAACAGTCTTTCAGAGTAGCGGTCTTGCATCGCACTCTCGTTGAAAGCATCAAGTATCAGCAAAAGATTGTGCCTTATGATCAGCGTTCTTGCGACACGCGAGGCCGATGAAATGACCGTATGCCCAATTAAACCTGCATATACAAGCCAACAGGGAATGGGCTTGTGTGCTGAGTGTTCGCTGCTGGTCTGACGGTGTTGAACACTGAGGTGGGTCGGGAAAAGGTGTCATCCTTCCTGATGATCACGCAAACCCATCTCCGCCAAATGCCAAGCATCTCGACATATCACACCTTTCGACATATACGACTTACTCTCGAACAATTCTTGGCTTTCAATGTATGTCTTATCGAAGACGCAATTCTGGCTAGTGATGAGAGCTTCGAGACTGTGAGTCTGGCAGGGGTACGTATCCTCGATATGTTAAGGCGTAAAAGGTTGGCATAGACATCGGTAGTGAATACAAATATGACTGTCGCTCGCATTGGTGTTGATCCAGAAAGCTCGAGTGCTCTGAGAACTTGATTCACCATGGTCGACCAGAAGCACTCTGAACAACTTACTGATACTGAGATCTATGTCTCAGACACCGAGGCGAGCCGAGGGCCAAGAGAGACCGTGGTCGTCAAGCCAATCAAGACCTGGAAAGGCTATCTCTGGGATACTTGGGAACTGCCGCCAGATCAACGCTGGCTTCTGTTCAAGGTGGACGCATTCGTCTTGACTTTCGCCTCGCTCGGCTACTTTCTCAAGAACATCGACCAGACCAACGTCAACAATGCCTTCCTGAGCGGCATGAAGGAAGACTTGAACATGTATGGGAATGAGCTAGTGACGAGTCAGTACCTGAACCATCAATTCCACCAAGCCACGCTCACCCATCATTGCAGGTNNACATCGATCTGGACCGTCGGTTATGTGATTGGTCAGATCCCGTCGAATCTGCTTCTGACACGAGTGTCTCCGCGTTGGATTATACCGTCTCTTGAAGTGGGCTGGGGTATTGCTACCATATGCACATCCCGTGTTGAATCGTACAAGGCGCTGTACGCTCTGAGGTTTCTCGTAGGCTTCTTTGAGTGAGTACACCGACCCGCAAGGAAAAGCAGCTGAACTTACACCTTGCACGTACAGANNTCTGGCTTCTACCCAGGTATTCACTACATGCTGGGCTCGTGGTACACTCCGAGAGAGATCGGCAAGCGATCCATGATCTTCTGGCTCGCAGGCTCGGTCGGAAATATGTTCAGTGGCTTTTTGCAAGCCGCTGCGTACAAGAATCTGAGCGGCGTTCATGGGCATGCGGGCTGGCGGTGGTTGTTCATTATCGACGGCATTATCACCATACCGTTGGCTCTCATGGGCTATATCTTCTTTCCGAATCTGCCTCAAGACAGCAAGAAGACATGGTGGACGACTGAAAAAGAGCATGTGCTCGCTATTGAGCGCATGAAAGCGGTCGGTCGTGCGGGCAAGCAGCCTTGGACGAAGGCCAAAGTCAGGTCGATTTTGCTCAGCTGGCACACCTATCTTCTTCGTAAGACATGCTATCGTCGAGTGTTGAACCTGGCTGACTCGCGCAAGNCGCTACTGTATGTCGTGTGGAACAATGGCTCCCCACAAGCAGGCATGGGGTACTGGTTGAAGAGTTTCAATGCTAAGCCAGCACCGGTGCCTGGTCGAAAGTACACTGTGCCGCAGATCAACAACTGTAAACTTACCACTGGCATGTGTCTTCAGGTGCTCGAGGGCTGATGTTTGTACANNGTGCCACTTCCGACGACAGCGATATTCATCGTCATGGCGCTCTCTTGGGCGTGGCTTTCAGACGGACCGCTGAAGGGCGCTCGTTGGCCGTTCATATATGCAGGCGCAATCATCACGGTGGGTATCGTCTGGTATGAGTAAGACATGTGCTGACTGCGGTGACCAGNNATGGTATTCCACATTGCTCTCCTCAAGATGCCTTTGTACTCGGACATCACGGGGCGCATGGTCGTATATTGGTTCGCCAACATCGGTGTACGTGATGATTCTGAATTGTATCGAGCTTCCAGAGCTAACATGGGTGCGACAGNNATGGGTGCGGGCCCACTGATTCTGAGTTGGATCAACGAGATATGCTCGGCCGACACGGAGAAACGTGCTCTTCTGGTCGCAATGGCGAACGATCTGGCCTATGTCGTGCAAGCCGTCGTAAGTGCATATGGGGACAGACGAGAAGGAATCATCTGTGAAGCTTCGCTGACATTGTTACTCCAGGCGCCGAACTTGGTGTGGAAGACGACGGAGTTTCCAGCCGCCCACAAGGGATACACGTGGGTCGCGGTACTGCAGNGGTCTGCTGAGTAAGTGAGCCAAGCACGACGACAGGTCTGCCGACACTAACACCTGCTAGTTGTTGTGACCGCAACCATCCAATTACTGCTGTGGAGAGACAAGAGAAGAGCTGAGACAGAGATCAACAATGATGCGGTTGTGATCGATGGCTCGGAAGTCGTCGCGGTGAAGCCGTGAGACAGAAAGACCTGCGGGGATGCCGCGGCCGATGCTGAGATGCGGCCACATACTTTCGCGTCGAACACTTGATCTTTCACGAATACTCATCATGAATCCCAATGTTATGGAAATTGAGCTTTCCCATCCGGCCATCGTAAGTGAGAAAAGGATCAAACCCATAACACCACTGATCCGGAAGGACCTCCGTTCAACATCTGCTTTAGTGGATAACAGTAGAGTCTTTTGAGATAGGAGAGCTATCTAAAAGGCTGATAAACTTCCTCTATTCCTTTCGAGATATTGTGGAAGCAAGCTCGTCTAGAGGGAAGCTGTGCCACACTGTCTTCCAGCCCTTACTANNCGAACCTTCTGGCCAGCCACGTAAGAATGGTTCTGTAATTTCTATCTCTATCTCTTTATCTTGCATTCCTAGATCATCAATTTCCTGTCTGTAGAGCTCTTCCTTCCGGTCGCACTCCAAAACATGGCACTGATAAGGTCTATTGTCTCGGGAGGCGCGAGTGCACCTCCACGAGCGACCAATGTACTGTAATAGCCTTATCATATCCGATGCAGAACTGAATTCCCCATGTTCCTCGAGAACATCAACATGTATCTCCAAACACTCCAGAGCTAAGGAAGTCGAATCTGTAGCCGAGACTATAGCGCGAAGAATGGATTCCGCAAGCGTCTTGTCGATCGCCAGATCAACTATGGCGTGCGGTACTTGATCTGGTAGGCCCTGCTCGCCAGCAGCAATCTGATAATCAAGATCTGACGGTCCCTGCCGATCCCCATCCCAGAGGAACGGCTGGGAGCAGAATACGGAAAGACGTAGCTTGCGAATTGTCGGTAATTAAGCAAAACCTCGATATGCAGTGACCTCGTCCGCGCTTCCTTGCGATCGCAAGACAGGCAAGGCGAGCTCCTCTATGAACGGACAATTTTCCTGTATTGCTCGGGACAGAGATACGCTTGCGAAGACAGCAAGAGCAAGTTTCTGAGGAGAGCCTAAGAGGAGACATTGTAATCTGCGACCGCAATGATTCAGTACAGTATCGACAATGCGTTGGGTGTATTGCCGAGTCAGCTTTACACTCTTGAGAGGTGGTAAGGATGACATGAAGCTCTCCACCGCGTCTTTCAAGTCGTTTATGGTATCGTCTTCTCCGTCATAGGTTGAAAGCTTTATGGCAAGAGTGTGCAGCGAAAGGAATTGACAGTTCTCTGCCAACCAGTGAAGGTCGGATGGACGGAGACGATAACGAACCTTTAGACTTTGCAGCACTCTGTAATCTGTCTATGGAGAAGAGGGAAACAGACAGATTGTGAAGTCTGAATGGTGAGCGACAGCTTCTAGTGACTAATATCATGAATACTCGGTCTTGATCAGTGACTTCCCACGACGGCTGTTTGTGGACACCAGGGACCATGGGTGAGTTCCATAGAGAACGATCACCATGTTCATGACCCATCACAAGCCAGCGAAGTGGACGTCTGGTCGGTCCACAAACCAAACCTTCGTGTCAGAGGTCCAAAATCTTTACTGGCCATCTTAACCCATGTAGTTAGTCGTGACAAATCGATCGAATTAGATTCAGATGCGTTTTCCAGTATCACTCCAGCAACACCTTGACATGTTCGTAGATTCAAAAGATGGTTCTCCATAGCCATGGCAAGAGGCTTACCTTCACTCTCAGGTTTTCGAATCGTCGTCTTTGCACCAAGATTGTCAGGTGCCACTACCGGCACCGCTGTGCACAGTATTCATGGCCAGAATTACACATGTCCTGTATTCCAGAGATGATGGACTTGCAGTGTCCTTCCATTAATCCTAATCAAGAGGAAGCTTTGGCGAAGCTAGAGATACAGATGATCCATCGAGAGCATGAAGAATCTCGCTATTTGTCAGTGGTAGACCTGTTTCTGGCAGTGATGTTTTCAGAGCAGAGTTGTCTGAAGTCGTCAGGAATAGCGGCCATAATTCCAGCATAATGCAATCTTCCAGCAATACTTCAATGTCGACAAAACGTTGCAGTCGCGGTTGTGCTGGCAGAGGTGGCTCGACATGACAGCAAAGTTTCGAAGAGACACCGAAATCCAACAAAGATACGAGTAATCGTTTCATGCACCGCTCACTCACCAGATCTCAGGAGATGAAGTCGCAATGAATCCTTAGCCAAGAAAGTTGTTTAGCATAAAGAAGGACCGATAGGATGAAAGGAGCAGAGGAATAGTGGGTCGTCATGTACATCATACTCGATACGAAGTGAGAGGCACGCACCGGTGGCAGGGTTAGGGTCTTTGTGGCCCTCGTGCCGTGGTGCAAGTTTCCTTGTCGCGGAGAGGTGGAGATGTGGAGTTTCTGCTGCCTTGTAATCCAGAGAGCGGTGAGAGCAAGCAGGCATGTCGGTATCTTGCCTGCACACCTGCACGCGTGTCGCTTCATCATCATTGCCAGAGGGTATCTGCATGTGATAGAGTAGAGCAGCTTTTCGGTTGCCAGCAGTCACATGCAGGCAGACAGACCAAGTGGTCGGACTTTTCTACCAACGACGCATACACGATGTGCCAGCCATCGAGGGATTCGCTGCAAGTGTCGTCCTCCACATCGATGCTTTGGCGCAATCAATCGCTGCAACTTGCGATGTCCGATGTCGATTGAAACTAGCCGTGAGACCCCTGCCGAAAATTGTGTCATGTGTTGTGCTTCGGCGTTGGTTGCGATCTCTTGGACTCGGAGCCGGACAGAAAACCGGATGGGATTTGATTGGCTAGGATGTTTTTGGAACCACCGATGCTTTGTTTAGTACAATAAAGCCATCATCACGATGAATTGAAGGAGAAAGAAGTATGATGGTAAAATAGCAATTCTATGCATTCTATGCGTGGTATCATATGTGAGAATCTAATCTCTCTAATAAACTGTAAAAAAGCAAAGTGGTATCTCTATGTTGTTGCGCGAACCCCCGAAAGAAGCTGCCAGGCTTCTTGTTGTATATGTATCGCGCATCTAGTGGTCGTTGAAAACACACAAGGGTCATTAATAAAAAGAGTAGAAGAAGGAGAAGGGCGTGGGTATCTCTCGTTCTTCTTAAACCATCTGACCACCGCCGCTGTAGGCCAGGTCGTCTTCCTTCTCGCCGAAGTGAGCGTCCTTGACTTGACCAGCCTCGTCGTCAGAGGACTGGAAGCCGTACTCGCGAGCCTTGGCATCGATCTCTTCAGGACTCAGGTGAGGAAGCTCCTTGGCGGCAGTAACGTAGCTCATGTTTTCGTGGAAACCCTTGGCAAAGATAAGATCAATCTCTTCCAATGTGCGNCTGCATCGAGTTAGCATGTTTGTTTTGAGTCTCTGGACATAGAAAATACTTACGCCACTCGTCTCAGGATAGAAGTAGTAGATAACAGGGAAGAAGAGAGCGTTGAGAGCGGCGAAGAAGAGGTAGGTACCCCATCCGATGCTGTCAATGAGCACGGGAGTGATCATCACAATGAAGAAGTTCCACAGCCAGTTAGAAACGGTCGAGAGAGCGTTGGCCTTGGCGCGAGTCTTGAGAGGGTTGACCTCGGCAGGGTAGAGCCAAGGCAGAGGAAGCCAGGTGGCACCGAANAAGGCGATGTAGGTGAAGAGACCGACAGCAGCACCCTTGGCGGATTGGGCATCACCAGGGATCAGACAGGCAAAGACGAGGACCATGGACAGACACTGGCCAACAGTTCCGTAAAGGAAGAGCTTGCGGCGTCCGACACGCTCAACAAGGAACATGGAGGTGGTGGCGAAGAGTGCGTAGACGACCATGTTGATACCACCGAGCAAGAGCGACAGGTTCTTGGTGGTGCCGATGGAATCGCGGAAGAGGACAGGGAAGTAGTAGATGACAGCGTTGCAGCCAGAAAGTTGTTGCATGAACTGGGATCCAGCACCGAGCATCATACGACGGAAGTGCTGAGTCTTGCCACCAGTGAAAAGAACGGAGAAGGGCATCTTCTGACCAAAGCCACCAGCAGCCTTGATAGAATCAAGAATGATGCCAGACTCGAGCTTTACTTCGGGGTCGTCTGTAGGCTTGGCCTGGAGGGCTGCAAGAATAACTTGAGCTTCATCTTGTCTATCGTGCGAAAGGAGCCATCTGGGTGACTCGGGCAATCTTGTCATAATGATGAGGACGATAAGAGCGAAGAAGATCTGGAAAGCGATAGGGAAACGCCAGACAAGGTTGTGAGGGCCGTAAGTGCAGCCATAGTCGATCCAGTAAGCGATAAGTGTGCCGACAGCGACGTTACCACCCTCAATGCAGATGACTTTGCCTCTGTTGTGAGCCTTGGAGCACTCGGCTTGATATGTAGGGATAGTCGATGTGTTGATACCGTTTCCGAGCNNTGAGGAAGAGTTAGTGGCAAATTCGATTGAATGTCAGGGTTTCAAACTTACACCTGTGATGAATCTTCCGACGATGAATTGCGCTGTAGATCCGGAACTGGTGCCAACGCAGCAGACTTGAATGATAACACCAATGATCATGACCGAGGCACCAATGAAGATAGACTTGCGGCGACCCAATTTGTCACCGAGAGTAAGAATGAAGATAGCACCGAACAGACAGCCAACAGCGTAGATGGAGACGATGAAGCCTTGCCAACTGCTACCCCAGCCAGCCTCGGGNAAGTCTTCGAGGAAAGCATCGGATTCGATAATACCAGACATGACACCTTGGTCATAACCGAAGAGGAGGAAATCGGTAGTGGCGACGGCGGTGATGAGCATCTGAAGGGGTCTGCCAGAGGTGCCCCAGTAGGTGGGCACACCCTCAGTGTTTGTCGAAACAGTACGAGTCATCTTTCCGGTATTGTCTAGCAGTACTGGAAAACAGATCGTCCTTGATGAGATCCGGGAGAAAAGCAGTGCTTGCGGAGTTGTGGAGGGTCTTCCCTGGGGAGGGACCCATTTATATATCTACAACTACGAGAGGGAAAACTCAAGCACCCAAACGCAACATCAATGACGGACAAAACAGCCGTTGCGGAGAGAATGTGGATGGTGGGTCAAAGGGCCCACAGTCATTTTCGCGACCAGTCCGCCGAGAGGTTGAATCCACCGTGAAACATGTCGGGAAAAGATCTTCAAGGGAATAAGAGGTCGTTGAGTGAGAGTCTTCCCGAGCAAGAGTCGTGAGCCCTGGCTTAGTGCTTGGCGATGAGCACATGGCGTTTTTCTAACGACTTGGCACAACACAACAATAGACAGAAGTTGAAGCTCTGCGCCGCCAACGAACGCAGAGTCTGTGTGTTGAAACGAATTTTTCTCCCAGGGTTCAGCGAAAAATTGAAAAAGCCAAGTTGGGAAGAGAATTTCCCGGGAAATGATGTCACATACCGCTCTTTGTACCGAATTTAAGCTCCTGTCGATGGCGGGTGAAAGCTTTGATGGCTTACGCGCTTGAGTCAAGCATAATTGATGGAATTGCGTGGGTGGCGTGTCTGTGGTTTCAAGGATAGATTTGAACCTCACTTTGGGAGCAAGCGTTTCTCACTTGTTAGTCAAGCTCCGTGGAAGAGGATGCAAGCGATTCAGCATCGGGACGAGATGTTGGTCGTCGGTGTGCGCTCGGCCGAGGACTGCCTCAATGTAACGGATTGGCAATTTCTTCGGTTACGGTTGTTTGTCACTGGTGGGAGTTCTTTCCGAGGGGATAAAACTGGAGCTCAAGGTCGTGTTGAATTGCAACTTAACGCCCCGAACCAGGGTGAAGGATCGATGCACGCGAACGCTGTTGCGATGCCTTGGTGATCGGCAACAAACTTGCAAACGTAAATGGCAAAGGCCGACCGATCGTCTAGCACACACATCTCCCACCATCTGGCGGAGCACATGGGAGTAACGCGGAGCGTGCGGAGTACTTGTATCAGATTTTTCAACCTGTCACGAACAGTTCTCCCTGTTGAACCTTCCGTACTGCAAGGGATCATCGCGTATGGTAGATTCTGGGGTGTTTCGAGAAGGAGTAAACTTCGAGTTCTCCTCGTGCTGATAACGATCGGCAAACGTCGGTTGTTGAACCGGACTTGCAAACAGTGTGAGCGCACATGATTGTAAGTGCACAGCAGCTTGTGCGTAGTCGTAACTCTACTCGGAGTAGGTACTCAGAATGTGTTTCGCGATCAGATGTCGTGTTGGTGTCGGTGTCGGGGCATAATTTCGGTAGAACCTGATGCGATGAAACTGCCTAGAGAATGATGGAGACATTGCCAAGTTGACGAGAGTCAAGAGCAGACCTTGCCGCATCCTACGGTGAACCTCGAAATTAGCGGTATTCAACCATCTTGCGGGCGAGGCATATATTCGGGTTTGCCGACAGCAGCATCCGAGAATCCAACACACAGCTCGCCGGCGCGGTGAGGTCGTATAGGATCTCCTGCGGAGCCCCCGGCCACCCCACCCTCCACGACTCCACATATATCGGCACACTGTCCCGATTGAGGGAGAGGACTTTATAACCCTGCACATGACCTGCAACTGGGGACGGCTGCATCGGTGTGTCTTCGGTGAGAACCCCAGCATATGCACTCCTCCTGCTTTCCATGTCTTAGATGTACGCAGCGGTTGATTAGATGCTCCTCGCAGGAGAAGTGATCGGAATATGAATTGACCTCCGCGGCGTCTTGCAGAATGCACAGGTTGAATGGGCAATTTAGCCGTCTCCTCGAGCTTGCTGGAGTGTCATCAGGGCTAACAACTTGTTGACATTGGCAGCTTTCCAAGATAGAGTCGTCTCACAAGTAGACATGTTCTGTCTCTCAAGAGCCTCGTGAATGGGTCGTAGAATGTGCTGTTGATCTATCCCCACAGACGAACCACGACACGTTCGGAATGTTGCCGGTGAGCCCTGGTATTTGACTGTCGATCGCCTGTCAGGACAGAGGACTGAGATGCGCGCCATTAGAGGCGGTCGATCGCAGCAGTTGTCGTTGATCTGAAGCAGTGACAGTAAAATCCGAATATGCAGCGTGCCAATCGAACCCAGAACGGTGTGGCTCGTGAACTGTTATGTCGTTTGGCGTAAATGACAGGCTATCGTCTGGTGTGCTCTATGTAGAAGCGAGCTGTATTTCTACTTCGATTGGTGATTGTGTCTGAGCATGGCTCAGTGAGCAGACGAGGTGGTGGAGTTGTTCGATGGAAATGCGGAGAAATATACAAAAGAAGAAATTGATGGTTGCAACCTACACTCGAACCTGTCATGTATTTCACAGAACTAGCCTTGATTTCTTAGTTCTTGAGTACCCAGATCATGAACACTTTGTGTCAATCAAATAGCCGAAGTATACCAGTTGTCCGGGCCGAATTCACCAAGTGACCAAAAGATAGGCTTCACGACGTTTCACTCGGTTACGTTCGCGAGGCAGAGTGTCGCAGGCTCCATCAAGCAATGAGGATGAAAATTGTCTCTCTTTGGATGGACAGATGGTGATGGAAGAGAGAGAAGACGTCGAAAGAAGGTCTGGAGGCGTGAGGAGAAGCAGCCGGCAGCCGAGGGGGCAGGCTCGTGCTTGTGCTCGCGTTCGCGCCTGCCCCGCGATGACGGAGAGTTTCAGCGGGCACAGCTCTCTAGGATCTGGACTCTGTCGCGTGCAGATATCAACACCAACCCAAGCAACACGAAGATTGAAGCTTGTGTGGAGGGACAGCCGAATTGCTATCGGAAGGAAATGGCAGGATTGTCTGATCAGGTGCTGCAGTGGCTGTACAGCGTCCTCCTGAATGTAGAACCACGTCTTGTGCACGCCTCAACATCAGGGTCATTAACGATAAGACCAGNNGAATACCACGATGCACAACGCGCCTATAGCGACAGTGTCGCAGCTCTTTCGGAACATCCCTCATTATCACCCCGAACCGATGTATACACGTACAACACTGGACAGCCCGCACTGCTGTTACGGCTGTCAGGCACCCTCCCCGTCAACTTTCGCGGCACAGTCTACAGGTTTCCCGTGACGATATGGCTGCCGCATGCCTATCCTGCGGACCCTGAGGGTATCATGGTGTTTGTGATACCAGGAGAGGGTATGGCTATACGCCCTGGACAACATGTCAGTGTTGATGGACGAGTTTACCATCCATATCTGCGCGATTGGTCCATGAATCAACGCTCGAATATCGTCGACTTCTTGCGCCTCCTTCAGGATGTTTTTGCTCGAGAGCCTCCTGTTGTTGCAAGGCCTGCGCAACAACCACAACCTGTTCAACCTCAGCCACCGATGCAGCGACCTCCTCCTCCGCCAAAAGAACAACCTCGACCAATACAATCTCATCCTGCAGAAATGCCGGCTGGGGCACCTCCTCCGAGACCTCCGAAGCCTGGAGAGCAAGGTCACGTCTCTACACCAGTCCAGAGTCGTAACGATGGCCCGCCCTTGCCACCTCTACCACACGAGCGAGCTCGACAGTCACCACAGCTGCGACAAGGTAATGGCTTTGACGCTTCTCAGCCTCGGCGCTACTCTAGGGCTCCGCCATTGCCCCATCAAGTCCAGCAAGAGTACAGACAGGCTCCAGGTTCCCCTCTGGCTTCAAGCGCGCATACACCTACACAGAGATATACACAACCTCCGCCGTTACTTCCACCGCAACACAATCAACAACATCAGATACCCCTACGTCCAGCTCAGCAGCAGTACCCCCGACAATATCACCAACCGCCTCCGCGGCATTTCCAGCAGATGCCTCCGAACATGTCTGCTCAGCAGTATCCTCCGCAACACGCCCCTCACCAACAACCTACGCCTGCAAAACCTGCCCCTGCACAAGATCTTCTCAGCGACCCCTTTGATGTTAGCATATCGACAACCACATCCTCGGGCCCAGCCNCTCCGATACCGCCAAACCCAGAAAAGGAGCATCTTCTACACCTCCTTTCTCAATCTCTGGTCTCTCAAATACATCAGAAAGTGAACCAAAACACCTCCGCCCTGGCCCCACTGCGTGCTCAATCCGTCGCTCTTCAAGAGGCTCATTCCCGCCTCAACTCCGAGCTGTCACAGCTAACAGCCTTGGACAATACACTGGCCACCAACGAACGGATACTCCATCAAGCCCTTTCGGACTGCGATCGCGTTATCGACGACAGCAAATCTACCCCACAGCCACCCATCGATGATGTTCTCGTCGCCCCTACTGTTGCCTCCACTCAACTCTGGAATCTGCAAGCTGACGAAGCAGCCATTCGGGAAGCCCTGTGGTGTTTGCAACGTGCTGTGGGGGCGGGAAGGGTCGGCTCAGAGGTGTTCATCAAGATGACTAGGAGTCTGGCCAGAGAGCTGTTCCTGAAGATGGCGCTGAGCAAGAAGCTTGCCAGAGGACTAGGTCTCGATGTGGGAGGTAGTAGAGCAGGGACTTTTGGAGGTGAGGATGGATATGGTTATTGAAGAAGTTAGAACAATGCATGAAGTATATGTCAAGGAATATGCTTTTCACCACATGTTTCGTTTCTACTCTTCTTTTCTTGTGCCATACCACATGACACTTATACTCTGTTCTGTTTTGTACCTTGTTGTCGTATTGATGCGCGTATCAATCTGAGGAGGGGTGATTCTCCACTGAAACAGACTAATACTCTGAACGAAGCCATTCTCGAAACAAAAATTCGAGATACACCAACAACACCACAACTTATCCACTCGAGATCGGTCTTGAGCAGCTCATGAGTACTATAGCTACCCACCTGGCAGCCTCATAGGATTTGAGCAACCTCATGACGACCACGATATCGTCGGTCGTAGGTTAAAAATGATTGTCGAGGGTAGAACCCTGCCTCTATGTTCATCAAGGCAAGTATTGCCGAGTGGCATACCTCCACAACTCGAAGCTCTCCATCTTTCAATCGCGTTGCGACACGAGTCTCAAGAAAACACAACATTCGAAGACGCGTCTTTCACACATCAACCCACCACCCATCTTCACGCGCAATCCTCTTCGCAACAATAACATCGCAACGACCGCAAACGCGCCGACCCCTTTCCGAAAAACCAATGGCAACACCACAATTTCCCTCGCGGCCATTCACAGGCTTGGGCAGAGCGTCGACAGTAGGACAGCAACAGCAACAACAACAAGCACCGCCACACGCAAATACATACCAGCCACCGAGTTATGGCGGGCCGTCGAATACATATGGGGCTGGAGCAGGCGCGGGAGCCGGCCAACGAGACGCCATGGCGCGACAAGAGCGCGAGCGCATAGACCGAGAGCGACGGGAAGCAGAAGAGCGAGCGGGCGCATTGGACGCACTGAGCGAAGAGCAAAGAGAAGAAATCAATGAAGCCGTGAGTCTTTCCTCTCTCATGACACACGCACCACTCAGTGGGGACTAATGATGGGATAGTNTCTCCCTCTTCGACCTCGACAAAGACAACCACATCGACTACCACGAACTCAAAGTCGCCCTCAAAGCCCTAGGCTTCGACCTCCCAAAATCAGACATCTTATCTCTACTCCAAACCCACGGTATCCCCGCCTCTGCAACCTCTTCCACCCATCCTCCCGCCTCCGCAACAGCAAAACCCACTTTCTCAGGTCCTTCACGACTGGTGCTTCCTCACGCCTCTTTTGTATCCATCGCCGCCTCTCGTATCCTTGCCCGCGACCCCCGCGACGAGATTCTAAGGGCATTTGAACTGTTCGATGCTGAAGGCAAGGGTAATATCAATTTGCAGGATTTGAGACGGGTGGCTAGGGAGTTGGGGGAGGGATTACAAGAGGAAGAGTTGGTGGCTATGATTGAGGAGTTTGATCTCGATGGCGATGGTGCCATTTCTAGGGATGAGTTTGTGGGTATTTGTTTGGGATAGAGCTTCCTCGCTCAGAAGTTTTATTTGGCAGAGAAGAGGAGGAGGCATATCTTGTGGTACGGTGGTGTTTTTTGGGAGTTGCGGTATGCGGATCTTTTTTGTTGCATTGGATTCTGCGATTTTTTCTTGTTTTTGTTTTCTTTCTTCTTCTGGGCAGCGAGGGCGTTTTAATCTCTTGGGCACCCGTTGTTTTTCTCCGCGTGCAAGCCCTTTGTCCATTCTTGACGGGAGCGAGATGTTCTTTGCGTTGTTCTTGTGCCTATCGCAAGGGCAAGGTCTTTCTTATAACAAATACTCCAGAGAAGCACACTTCCACTTCTCATGCCAAATACATCTTAGCCAAACTCGTGACGATGGAGCTTTTGCAAGCGCAGCACTCCCCACATTATCATCAGTTTACATGGCACACAAAGTTCTATCACCTGAATTATATTTGATGCCTGGGGGATTCTCTCATGTGCGAGCACTGCTTGTTTCTGACGAAAACTACTAGTGCCTTAGTTATTCTATCGTTCCTTCTCGGCGAGCACGAAGCGGCGTTCCACTTCCATGACTTTCATCTCGTCGCCCTCGAAGCTCAGACGCACGTAATCGCCACGGTCGAGTGCGATGTCTTTGAACCGCCAGTTTGCGCTTACTTCTGCTTTGTAGAAGGTTGTCGTGTCCTTGTCTTGTGCGTCAGCAAATACAATATTCTTGTGCGTCTCTCGACACAATTCAATCGGAGGAAGAAAACTCACGGGATATTGGGCAAGTACATGACGACCCTTGTTCAAATCCGCAAGCCCCTTGTTTTCGGTGGGTATGGGCATGAGGTGAGCGACCGAAGCGCGATAGGGCGGTGGCAGCTCGCCGCCGGGAACGGGGTCAGGATCCGCATCTTGGATTTCGTAGCGGCGTTGTTTGCCTTCGCCAATGACGTTTGTGACGCGGCAGAGGATGCCTTCGCCTTCTTGGGTGCGGCCTTTGTTGCGGTAGAAGACGTGGGCGCCGAGGGAGAGTTGGAGTCTAGATGTTCGTGGTTCGTTTGCNTGTGGGGGTATTGTTAGGTTTGGAGGAGTAGAAGGGGAGGAAGAGGGATGTATACCTTCGACACTGGATGCTACACTTTCGGCGCCGTCTTCGAGTTTTACGCTGACTTCTCTGGTGCTGGTGACACTTCTTTCTCTATTCCTTTCTCTGCTTTTCCCNTCTGACACTGCCAATCTATCCGTCGTTGCCTGTCTAGTTGGCCCCGGCCGCGGACTCCCTGTCCCACTCGCCTCATCATCGACATCCATACTTCCCGCTTTCCTCTTCAGCGTCGCATTTCTGCCTTTTGAATTGCTGTGTGAGCGGCTCATGTGCAGAGTTTCCTCGGATGCTTCGCGCATGGCGGCGAGGATCTTTATGCTGTCGAGCAAACTCATTTCGTCGGATTTGCCGTCGATGATGTGGCTGACTTCCTCGCTGATCTTTACGTTTTCGCGATAGAGGGATTCGAGGCGGTCGTCGAGGGTCATGTCGGAGAGTTCGTCTGCTTCTATTNNGTGCAGAGAGAAGTTTGGTTAGTTTTGATTGGGTTTCTTTGACGATTGTGGTGGAGTCCTTGAAGTATGATTGTTCGAAATGTTGTGTTGGTGCATTGCGTTACGCATATGTATCCTGAGAAGCACACGAGAAGATGAAGCAGTAGATAACTTACCTATCAGAGCAGCCTGTTGTTTTTCCACATCAATGATTTCCGCCCCAATAGCCGCCGACCGTGCCNNTATTCCCCAATACCATCAGCACTGATCCAATTGATATGTATGTACAGTCAGAGGACGTCGTTCCTTCCCTTTCTTCTCATGTAAATTTATTCGAAAGCAGAGAACTACGAAGCAACAGAAATGCAAAAGAAAAGAACAACATACCACCATACTATCAATCTTCTTTGCCCCATCTCTGATCATATTCCACAGCCTGCGTTCCTCATCCGCATCCTGATTCAAACTGGCCCTAGGCTGGCGATTTCGTGATGACATTGTGTCGCGTTGCCAATATGATTTTTCGTGTAGATGGACGTGTTTTTTCCGAAGCAATTGGCTAACAAAAGCGGAGTCGTAATTGTCGCTCGAGAAGGTTGTTACAACGAGAGGATATTCTGGGGAAATAGATCGATGTTGGGAAGGCAAGGGTTCGCGTTTGGGAGTGATGGCGGGAGTGTCGTTGAGATTGACCAATCAGCTGGCGTTTAGGGAAGGTTGCCCGCTTGGTCACATGTGACAACGGTGTTGAGCAACGACGACCCTCTTGCGATATCGCTTACACTCTCACTTTCACTTTCACATTTTCAATTCTGTCGCTCGCTCGAGCGTTTGATAATTGTTGCAGTGAAGGCTGCTATCCAGTTCGAAGATCATAGATCATGTGCTCTGTGACGAAGTACTGTATTCCGCGGACTGACGACACGCTCACGATACACTGAGGATGTGTATATTGTCTATCGAAGTAGATGCTCAACTGCATACCTCTACCACCGGTATAATCCCATACCTACGATGCGTCCATATGTATAGGCCATTCATTACTGGCATTCAGAGTCCATCCTGTTCACGAACAAAGAAACCCGTTCGCATCAACACATTCCTCACTTCAACAAAGAGAACGCCTCGCGCTAACATATTCACGTCTTTGCCATCTCTCTCAAGGACTTTTCTCTCTTGCATCCTCACTCCTCAATGTTCCTACACGGTTTCTACACTCTCATAAAACTTCTATCAAACAACCCAATCTTCTCTCAAGAGATAGAACAAAGATAGCAGAACCACTTTATTATCTACCACCACGTACTTCAAACTCTACTACGAAATACCACAAGCCGATTACCATGCATCTCACACGCACCCACCTCCTCCCCATTTTCCTCTTAACTCACCCCTCTCACGCCCAAGACACAGACCTCCTCTCCGCCGCCGCCAGCGACTATGCCTCCGCAACCTCCCTAATCGCCTCCCTCTTCTCCTCCGCCACCTCTCCCGTCGACAGTGTCTTTTCTGACGCAACTGCAGCAGTAGCTTCAGTCTTCTCCTCCGCATCTGCAGGCGCGAACAATTTAGTTTCTGAACTCGGGGGTGATGACAGTAGCGTATGGAGTGAGATTACTGCTACTGCTACTACTGCTCCATCGATGACCGGAGAAAACACACAAGGAGGGATATTGACGGCGATGGGGACGCCGACGATAAGTAGTACTGTTACTGGCTCCGGAGTCGAGGAAACAGAAACTGTGATGTCGTCGAGTGCTACTTCGAGTAGTGAGTCAGAGGGCAAAATCAGGAAACAGAGAAGAGCCGATGGAGTCTTGTTCGCTGCTGTTTTTGCTGCTGTTGCATATCTGTAGAATGGACGCTAAGTCAGATCTTCAGAGATTTAGAATAGAAAAGGACAAGGAATGGAACACGATGGGTTCAAGAGGATGAATTTGACAGGATGGAAAATTGAACACCTTGGAAAAGGCACGATTGGCGCTAAAGTAGAATTCGAGTTTCTCATCAAACTTGTCTCTTCGCTACCCTTTCCGTATCGGCTTGAATACAGAACAAGACTTCTCCTCATCGCTGTTCTAAACAGTAAAATTACAAAACTTGATGTTATGCAGAAAAAAACAAAAAAAGGGTATGAAAAGGCCACTCTCCGTGCAAAGTAGAGAACAGAGAAGCCTTTGAGCTGCAGGAGACCCCAGTAGCCAAAAGCGAGAAAGGGACGAACAGACTTGTCCAAGTGCTGGAGACAAAGAGGTAGAGAGAAAAGAGTATTCAAGAAGAATCGAAAAGGCTGAGAGGAAAAACAGAAAGAAGGAATGACCAGCCTGAGGTGGTCCTTCTGTTTCTGTTTGCAGCTTGTCTGATATTGTGAGCCTGCCAGATAGAATCTGGCGACTTGCTTCTTCCTCGTCTTGCTGTTAAGGTGACGAGGCGGGATTATTATGGCCGATAAGGGATAGTTGAGATATTGTTTAGAAAGTAGGGTATTCGCGAGTATTGGGGTATCAAAGTTGAAGAGCTGTTGTGCGAGAACGTCTGAGACAGGTGATGGCTGGGTCGACAAGCGGATGCTGGGAGGGTATGGATACTGTTGCGGTGTGTCTTGCTTATTTCGCAGGCACCTTTATGTGGCTGCTCAGCCATGCGAGGCCCTCGAAGATGCCTTCGCCGGTGGTGGCGCAACTGGGCTCGACCTTCCAGATGTGGTTCTTTGCGATGACGTTGAGGTTGAGAGCGTCCGAAACGTCCTTTGGTCGCATGGCTGTGTGAAGAGACATGTCAGTAGGTGTATCTTGAGATGGTACTTGTATGGTGCATTTCTTACATCCGTTCACGTCTTGCTTGTTGGCAAAGACTAGCAGCAGGGCATCCTTCATTTCGCGGTCTTGAATGATGCGAGTCAACTCAGTGCGAGCCTCGTCCATGCGGTCGCGATCGTTCGAGTCGACAACGAAGATCAGGCCCTGAGTGCCCGAGAAGTAGTGTCGCCACAAAGGACGAATCTTGTCCTGACCGCCGACATCCCAGACGTTGAATTTGGTGTTCTTGTATGTGACGGTCTCGACGTTGAAACCGACGGTGGGGATTGTCGTCACGTCTTGGTCCAGCTTGAGTTTGTAGAGGATGNNGCTGTTTGGCACGTCGGGTCAGCACAATGCGCGTTGCCGAAGAAGATGGCACGAATACTCACTCGTCTTGCCGGCAGCATCGAGACCGAGCATCAACAGGCGCATCTCCTTGCTGCCAAAGATCTTGGCCATCATCTTGGATATTGAGCCGCCCATGGTCAAAGTTTGGCTATGTCGTCGCGCAGAGGGCTGTTTGCAGATGTTTGCCGGTAGCAGGGGAGGATCGAGGGGAGAAGCGGCTATGTGTTTGGGCAGACGTGAATTTTTGGCTATGAGATTGTCGCCGTTATAAGGGTTTCAGAGATCAACGGTAGCGTGCTGAAACGGGGTCGCGGCTGCTTTTTCTGTTGCTGGGCGTTTGTGCTCGTGCGACGGCCTTTGCGAAAGAGAGAAGGTTATCAAGAAGAAAAGGCGCAGCAGCTCCAGCAAGGGACAAGGTCTGTCCTGTATATTTCCGATGACTCGCTCTCTGTCACGGCAAAAGAAAAGACCAGTCGCACCAAGCCCCTTTCTGCCCCTGCTCAGCACCTCATGAACGAGATGGGCGGGTGTGCAATCTCCGCCAGAGAGAGACTTGAGGAGCGCACGGCGCACAAAGAGACCCAGTGCCCCGACAAAACTGTCACCTCTGCCTCGTCCTCTCCGCGTGTTTCAGCTGAGCCCAGCTACCTTCTCGATACCGCTATCCATCCGATGTGGAACACCCCGTAGTCACCTGCGACCTGCCGTCGGGCCATCTATACAAAAAGTCTATTGTCTCTATACAAGATTGCCCATCCGTGGTGGGTCCCAGACTCTAAACTTCAAAAGGCACCATTGTTTGCTGCAACCTTCGCTTCTTAAGCCGAGTTTCCTTTCGACACTCCGAGGACCGAGATATCATTGCCCTCGGAGCGTCCATCTCTCAATCAAAGCATCCTCATGACACCTTCAAATGCCACCAGCGCCATTGCATTCGCAGGGAATGCTCTCAAGAAGCACGGAACAAAGCCCCTCCAGTAGCCCCGCCATCCATTCTCTCTGCCCACAGCTCTCGCAGCATCTCGCCAGCGAGGGAATTTCCTTTTCGCCAAATCATCCGTCATGATGCGCTGCTTGATCACATCCGAAGGGTAACTCGTCAGCCAAAACACTTGCGCCGAAAGTCCTCCTGCCCAGAAATTGATGGCTGGTGTGGACATTGCAGTATTCTTCTTGAACCACCTCGTAAACAGATCGTATGAACCCCACCAGAAGAAAAAGAAGGTACGGAATATCAGTGTCGCTCCGAGTCCATGATACAACCCTCGTAATCCATGTTGGCGGAAGATCTGGCGTGAACAGTCGATGGGTCCGGAATAGAGACGTTTCGACTTGTCGGCTGAATACTGCACCTGCAGACGCGCTTTGACGTGTTCGACAGGCGCAGCGATGAACGATACCGTGCTTCCGGCCATCACTCCTGCAATCGCATGTCCTATCGTCGGTAGCGTCTTGTCCGAAGGGATAGCGTACACGCCAGCTGCAGCTCTAGTCTCGTGCATAGGCTGAAAGACACGGTCGTTCAGAAGTTTCCGGTAGAAGGTTAAGCTGCCCAGCATCAAGCTGTCCATGAACATCCATCCAACCAGCGGAGGGGTCGCGCCCTTGTACAATCCTTGCGGCCCTTCTTTNTTCAGCGTCTGCATCAAGCAGTCTAGCGGTCCGTTGAATTGCGACATCTCTGACGTCTGTAGTCTGACTTTTATCGTGTCGAAGGGGTGTCCGACTGTNAGTCTGATCAGTTGCTGTGTGCTGAGGTGGTGCTGTAACTGAAACTTACCCGTCAATTTGGCAATGCCACTGAAGACGCCAGCGACAAAGCCTTTGTAGTTTCCAGAAGGCTGGGCCCTGTTGGGCAGCTCTGTTTGACCATCATGGTGACTGCGAGGCAGGGATGATGCGTCAGTCGTGGTTGCTGCAGACATCTGGATCGGCGTAGAAGAAAGTGTTCAGGTTATGACTGAGCTTGCAATCATTCCAGACGCGACTCGAGATATGAACAGGAGAGGATGGGTAGCTAGAGGAGGGAAGACGATGCGACGGATACCGATACTCGGAGTTGATAATTTGGACGGATTTAGAACGGACTTTGTGCCTGGAAGACATGACGTGCAAGAAGCTTGTCGATTCTCGGCCTGCATCGATCGGCGTGGGAGTCTTTGCTCTCACCATCTTCCAATCTTTCCCTCTCACCATCACAGTCTCTGGACAGCATGCGAAACAAGACACAGAGATGAACTCGGATACAAGAAAACGTCTCCAGCGAAAATAGATTTGTGTCTACTCGAGGGCACACAGAAGGATCGTACACCCAAAATCCATTCTCAGCCATCGATCAGTCATCTTCTGGGTCACCAAAACCGCGAGACCTCACAAGTATTTCGATGTTGTTTGCTTGATCTCGTGTCTCTGATCAACTGTCATTCCATGTGTGACTGTCAACAGGAAGAAGATGGTACAGAGAGGACACGGATGGAAGAAGGAAGGAGCGGAATTAAGGCAGGGTCCGTCCAGGGTCTGTGCCTTCCAGATTTGGCCAGGCGTGTTCGATCGCGACGCCAACTCTAAAGCCATCACGTTGTCGATTTGGTAATCATGTAGCCTCAACAATTCTTTGAGGAGCTCCTCTCTACCTTCTTCAACACAGACATTCCTTCTTAGCAACATTGCTAGTTTGATAGACAAACATGGCAGCAAATGCAGCATCATCAGAAAGAGTGGTCGACTCGGCCAAGGTGTGGACAACACTCATCACAAACACCAACTACCTCTCGGGCCTGTTGACTCTCGACTACTCGTTGAAAGCCGCTGGCAGCAAGTACCCTCTTGTCGCTCTCTACACCGACACCTTCCCTCCCGAGGGCCATGCCGCCCTCAAGGCTCGCGGCATTCCTTCCAAGCGCATCCCCTACCTGCTGCCTACCATGTCCAAGGACTACAGCAACGACCCTCGCTTCTACGACTGCTGGAGCAAGCTTACTCCATTCGGTCTGGTCGAGTACGAGCGTGTAGTGCAGCTCGACAGCGACATGCTCATCCTGAAGAACATGGACGAGCTGATGGATGTGCCCNTCGATGGCCCAGAGCTTGCTGGTCGTGGTGATCGCGTCTTTGCTGCGAGCCACGCTTGTGTGTGCAATCCCTTGAAGAAGCCTCACTACCCCAAGGAGTGGGTCCCTGCCAATTGCGCTTTCACCACCCAACACAACAATCCCGAAGAGGCACAGAAGACTGGCGCCTCTCCTCTAGCAGGTCTCGCCATGCCCAACGGTGGCCTTCAAGTCGTTATACCAAGCAAGGAGATCTACGACTTGATCCAACAAGGTCTACAATCATCAGTCACCGCATCCTACGAGTTTGCCGATCAGTCAATGCTCAGCGACCTCTTCCCCGGCAGATGGGTCGCTCTCCCCTACATCTACAATGCTCTCAAGACTATGCGCTGGCAAGGTGTGCACGACGCTATTTGGAGAGACGACCAAGTCAAGAACGCTCATATCCTCCTCAGCCCTAAGCCTTGGGATGAGAAGGGTGACGACAAGGGCAAGAACGACGAGACACACAAATGGTGGTGGAACTACAACGATCGCCGTCAGGCAGACGAGAAGAGCAGGAATATAGATGACGGCTTCTAGGCTTGTGGTTATGTACCCAAGACGATTTACATGCCGACTGTCAATTTTGGACGATTTTTGATACCCAACTGTTGATGACCAACATATAATATATTCCGGAAATGCCACAACTATGTTTGGCTACCCGCACGTTTTCGGGCTTTCAATACCACGCACTACTTTCGATTAATCATGAGACGATTGAACCCATTGGTTTGCTATAGGCGGTCTTCTTTCGCGGTGCACACGTCGAGCTTCCATTCATTGAATCGAGTCTCTACAGTTGGTCGAGTCTTTGTTTGTCAGAATCACAATGTATTGTGATGTTCTTTGATCGCCAACAATGTAAGACAATAGCTTTGTCTCTGTAAGTTCAAATTCTTTGTTGATCGTCAGACAGTCTCAGTTGCAGCCACCCATGAGCGAATCAACACCAACAGATTTCCAAAATTCATTGTCACATCGCAACAACGACAGTGACCTCATGGGTGCTATTCAAAACACTGATAAAGCTTCGAGTCTTCCACTTTCGACTCAATCTCTCATCCAACTCTAACTAAGGAAGACCAATCAACAAAGACCAAGGAACAGCACCACCCTCCAACAGCCAGGATTACACAGCAGATCCAGAACAAAATGCCTTTATCTTTTCCTTGTGCTATTTGCGGTGCGACCTTGAATGGCAACACTTTTGAGTATCAGAAGCACATGACTAGCCACTGGACTGGCAACAACAACACCCTTCCCTTGCCATCAATCGTCGTCCCTTCGACCACACCCAAACCCCTCTTCTGGTGGTCTTCGCTGCAACCTGCCAATCCCACTACTGATGGTCACTACAGCCCTTTATACATCAATACTGCCTGGATTCAGATGAAGTCCAACACTTCTGACGACCCTTTCTACAACTCCTCCCCCAGAAACACTTGGTCACCTAAACCTCTGCTTCCTGGCTCTGACTCTGACACTGACACTGACACTTCTCCTTGTGAAAGACTTGCTACCAAAAAGTCTGCTCGTACTACAAAAAGAAAAAGAAGTATTGATGACTCTGGTCTTGCGACATCCGCTCAACGTCCCTGTCTTGACGGCCCTCCTTCTGGTATGTCTACTCCTTCTTCCAACATCACTCCCAAGGTTGCTGACTTTTTGGCTTCTATAGGTGTTGCTACTGACGCTTCTGGCAAGCGCGTCTATCTCTACCCTTCTAGACCGTCTGCTCCTTGAATCATGGTGTGCCAAGTTCTTCTGGTGTCGGTTTGCCTTTGCTTTCCCTTGTTGTGGCCTTTCCTTGGTTGGATGAGATCTTATAAAGAATTCAAAAATACAAAACAAAATTCGTTTCCTGGTGGACGAATGGCAAAAATAATTTTTCCCTTTCTTCTTCCTTTTCCTCTTTCCTCTTGTGATTTTTCTTTTTCCACAGTGATTCTTTTGATTTGTCGAAGATTCTTAACCTTTTGTTTTTGCATGTTTTGTTATATGCAATTGGGAGAAATGGGTTTTGCTAATCAACTGAACATTTGTATACTCTTGTGTGAAGTCTCAACAATGGCTGAACACTAGACTCTGATCTTTTTGGTGGTTAGAGAATAATCTTTTTGTTACAGAACGAGTGGAAGCAAAAACGCAGAATATATGTGGATAATATAGAAGAATCTACGTTGTTTGGTGGGTTCATGAGCGCCTTTTGCATCAATACCCTGATCAATGTCACAAAGATCTGTTATTTTGCATGTTTCTAAACCCTCACTGAACGACTAAAACGAAAGTGGATCATTGGGGAAACATATATTGCGTTAGGACAAAAGTCTTGAAAGAATAGACGATCAAGTGGTCATTGGAAAAAATATCCTTGCGATTGGCTACATGCTGTTCTTGACACAGTGTAGAACCATTGTGCAATATCTAGCACATCTAGTCCTCCACAGGACATAGATTGAACTCGCGCTCGGGTGCTCCATCATGGGTCATGACACCACAATAAGTGCCATCAGAAGTAGGGTTTGCATCAGGATCAGCCGTGTGGATGAAGAAGACGACTCTATCAGGTCCTTGCGAGCCAGGAGGTCCACCAGAGTACGGCTCGCTGCCATGAAGAATAGGAAATTTGTATAGCGTTTTGCCCTTGCATGCTGAATCGAAGGCTAGTTTCTTGTTGTTGCCAAAGGTGTGAGGGAAGCCACCTGTACAATAGCAGATACCCGCGTTAGCAAAGAGTGGCATGGATGGGGCGGCGCTCGATGGATATCTGACTGAGGCTCGAGAGTGGGGTTAGGTTTATTCCTTTCTGGATGGCCTCTTGGACCTGGGGACGGCTGTAGCGGTAGCCAGGGCAAGCGATGAATTGATCGCTGGGGGTAGGTTATCAACAGTACGCTTGGACAAGACGTCTAAGGGGGCAGGAGCGGCAGAAGAAAGCTGTACAAGGGCAAGGCTCAGGCCGAGGATGGTGCAAGGAACAAGCTGCATGGTGCTTGGAATCAGAGATGAAAATGGCAAGGTTTAGATCAGATAGAAGGGATGGAGTCTCGAGTATCGTGAGAGAACTTGATAATAACAGCAAGTACATGCGTACAAGAGCTTGTATTTATACCTACCGCTGGCTAGTCAACTGCTGGCTTCCACTCGCATGGTGTACGTGATGGTACAGAGCATGGCCTTCACTCTAGGGTGTTGGTTGATGATCTTGACTAGATGTATGATGTGCTGCAAGCTGTTGGATCCTTGTGATAGCTGGAAGGAAGTCTTGGCTCATGTAACAACGCACATTTTGGACTGCATTGAAAACATCAGTTGAACTGCTGGATCTGACCAACAACAATCTCCTATAGTTTGACAGCCAATAACGTCTAATCCTAGTCAAGAAGCATGCAGACGAACGTCGAATCCATAAGTGTTGGTGGTTCATGGGCAGAGTAGATTCTACCATCCAGGAGCAGACATGGGTCTGACGGTCATGTCGAGGCTGTCAACGTGAGCACACGGTTCTTGCCAAAAACCATTGTCGATCTTTTGGATGTGGACTGAGGACAAGTTGTGACTTGGTGCCGGCCTGCATACTCAAATTATAGTGGCAACGAACATCATGGCATTGATATCTCAAGTTGCTACCTGACTTCTAATTTCTGATATTTGTTTGAAGTCGATGGCGAGGCGCGTGCTTCATGGGGGTTAAAGAAGTGTCGTTCAACGCTGTCTAGATTGAACCTCATGGTATCTTTGTATCGGGAGAAATAGACAGGGCGATGGCTGAACATGACGCATACTCCAAGACTCATGCTCGGAACAAGAGAGGGTGCAGGAAGAGACAAGGAGAGCTGAATCAATAGGTTGTTGATGGCGCACATGCGTACACAGTGGCCTGACTTTGCACACCAGTTGACTGAGAAGAGCGAAGGTGCTAGACAAAGCATGAAATAAATGCAGGTTGCATGAATCGATGGATCGAATGATGGACGAAGCAACGATGGAGCGATGGATGAGGCTAAGGAACAGAAGGATGCGCCGTGAGACAACCCGACACTCAGTCACTCGGAAACTCAGGTTGTTGACGATTCCCCTGGAACCAACTACTCGGAGCTGTGATGTGCGGTACACTGATCGCGCCCTCCAACACCAACACCAACACCAACGAGTTATTGCTTAGCGATGCAGTTGGAGGTTGGGCTTGGCTGTCGTCGTACCCAATCAACCTCCAAGCTCGGCCTGTTTTTGTCCAGTCTGCAACTAAGTGCGTACTTCTTGTTATTGGTGCTCCAAGCAGCCGCAGTTGACCATCATTAGGTTGGGTGACTCATTGCTCAACATCAGGGACATGACTATATCTCATGGCTGCCAGAATAAATGACCATGAAGCCTCCGTATGTCGCACTCTGCTCCTCTATGTTTTCCTGATCTATTCAACATGACGACCATCCTGGACATTCCTGGCAGCAACNCCCCAAACCCGTTTTCGTCCCTCTTTGACTCAATCTGTGCCTCTTCTTCTTCAGCCGTAGCTTTGCACGACTCGGCTGCCCTTGTTGTCGCCACTGTCACCGCTTCTCCCGATCCAAACACCAAGCTGTACGAACTCTGGGATGCCTTTTTCACCACCGTCGTCACTCGTCCAGAATCACATTCTGCCCTTTTGTGTTTTCTCGACGCTCTGACGGCTCAACCGCCTACTCAGCCTGACCATGTTCGTCCTGGCTCCCAAGCGCAATCCTACCTCAATAGTCACCTCCAGTCAGATGGCAAGCTCCACTGGTTTTTACTCCCTCGTTACCACGATCAATGGCGCGACACGCATGATATTCTCGAGGCCTGGCGTGATTGGGATGGCGTGCGTGCGTCTGGCTCTCAAGGTCTAGAGTGCTCCGTTGCTGTGTATCATCTCCGCTTCTGTGAATACTCTGCTGCAGGTCTGAAGGCTGCAAAGTACAATGAGAGTTTTGGTTCACTGTTCATTTGGGTCTTTTACGCTTGTCGAAACGTGTTTGAGCGTAGGGAGGCTGAGCCTCGTCAGCCCAAGCCGCATAGGATGGCGTCCGATGCGGTATGGGAGCTTGATGTTCGCGTTGCAGCTACCTGGCTAAGAGACGGAGCCCGAAGTCTTTGGGAGACAGACGTTGCAACACTGCGTGAGCACTGGGCAGCAGCGATAGACGACGAAACGGAGTTATGGCCCAACAAGCAAGGTTTAACCAGAGAAAGGTGGCGCCTTTGGGAGGATAGACTGCGCGATCTTGCCGCAGATCGCGAGCATTTCGATGAAGCANAAAGAACGGTCATCTGTGAAGCTGCTGATGTCGTTCAGCAGCTTTTGCAATCGAGCTAGACATACAATGAACCACTCTTACTTAAAAAAGTACGCAGTGATCTATTTTGACGTCTGAGAACACAAAAGCAAAGTCATATACCACATAACACTTTACACGTTTCGACGTAAAAGGCTAAAACATCTTCAAGTGTATTCCAAGATATCCTAATCCCGCACAAGCAAACTACTACTTTCATTACAACAACGCATACAAACTCTGACATCATGTCCACCTTGATGGAGTTTCAATCTCAGGCGTACCAACAAAGTGATGTTCTTGGAAAATCGTCTCAAAAACCACCCTCAACGTCACTTGCTACCCCATCTTATAGCTTTCCAGGCAACCGTGAGGTGTTTCAAGGCCTCCCATCGTGTGACATTTCGGACAGACGGGACGTCTGAAACCTGACAGAGAAAATAAAAAGACGGATGACGTGTTCTGACACGAACAAATGGCAAGGCATCGGGGCCACCGGCGTTTCCATGGGTTCGAGAAGTATGCACGGTTGAAGAGAGTAGAGTGATGACGAACATCCTTGTGACTCGAAGAGATCGATGGTAGCCTTGAGTCCTGTGGGTAGTCGAAAAGTCTTGTGGTAAGATCGGTGCAAGAGAAAATGCAAGAATTTCGACATCGCAAGAAGGGGAAGTGATGTTTCAATAAAGACTTTGTAATTGTATGTAGCAAAAATGTATAAATAAGACGATATCGTACACATGCGCGCTCATCTGAAAATCAATGGACAGGAAACCAAAGGTCCAGCCGTCGCGTTTCCAGCCCCTCTGATCTAACTTCAAAGGCCGAGTATCATACTCTCAAAAGGCAAAACCTTCTAGGAAGAACCAGTGAGCTTGCCAACCATGTACTTAGTACCCATACTCTGCACACTGCTGCTGTAAGGGTAAGACAAATGCTGAGCATTAATACCATAACCATGAGTAGTATCGCAGACACCATCGCCATAAGCGCACACATCCATGGTCTTGGGCACCCAAGCAGTGGGGATACCGCCGAGCAGAGCAGAAAGACCATTGACGTTCTTGGTGGTAGTGCCGCCGTTGGCGTCGACATTGCAGGCGAGGCCGGAGCGGTGCTCAGGGTCGCCGATGAGGAAGACGCCCTTGACGGCATCCATGGAGGCGCCGGTGAGGCGGGGCATGGCGTTTACGGTGGCGGCGGCGCCTTGGGAGTAGCCTTGGAGGATAAAGCACATGTTGGGGTTGGTGGCAAGGCCGGAAGTGACCTTGTTGACAATCTGGGATGATAAAGTCAGCATCAGATTACGCAAGAAAGGCATTGGCTCAAGGTATGGAGAGAGTGGACTTACGTCTGTGGTGCCGAGGGCAGAGTTCTGGTCGGCGCTGGCGAGGTAGACTGTGTTGTAGACGGTGCCGCCGGAGACTTGAGCAAGGGTCTGCTGGTTCATGGTTTTGAAGCCGGCAGAAGGGCCTTGGACTTCACCTGTACCACGGGTGGAGATGATGGTGTATTGGGAGCAAGCAGCACGCTTCTCAATGGGGTTGGCCATGGCACCTGCAGCGAGGCAGACGCTGAGCAGAGCACCCTTGAGGCTGATATCGGAGAACATGGTGATAGAAGGATAGAAGTGTGTTGGTGTGGAAAGAAAGGCTGTCTGGTAGCGAAGGTGGTGGATGAGAATGAATGATCAGGAGCAACAATGATGGACGAGGACGACCTTACTTATAGACCAGTCCTCGTTACCAGGCCTGTGATGCACCTACCTATTTGCCAAAGCCAAACGAGCATCGCCAACACTGGCGAGGCCCATGATTCAGACGCCTGAAGGGTGGATAATGTGCCATACCTCCACAGAGCAGGCCTTGGCCTCAGGACCGGTCGTCCAGCCATACCCTGTAGTCGCCATGATCATCCATGACTAGTTGCTTGAGAGAACTCTAAACCCCGTTTCAGACTTCTGCACGTCGAAGCAATCGAACTGGCATGGCTTGAACAAAGGCAAGTCTTTCATCCTCGGCATGATGCTAGAAGACAAGCACCCGTCATGTCAAAGCTTTTCAGGCCGTCGATTATAAAAACGCCACAATTGCTTTGCCCGCTGTCGTTCGATCTCCGCACAACCGGGCAGATCAAAGCGTCGCGCATAGCGGAAAGCGACACATAATCGACAACTACCCTGACGCCAAACCACAAAACCACAGAGCCGCAGTGTCGCTCAAAAAGATTTTGAGTTTGGGTACCTGAACTGACAAGGAAAGAGTGAACACGCTCTCCGTCTTTGCTTCCACGAGCCGTAAGCCTCAACATCGACGACACGCTTCGCTTAAGCACCTCGAAGTTGCTGACACACCTTGACTCGTGCTGTGAACCTCGGGACAAGAAAGACCGCATGCTCAGTTGCTTTCTCCAAGTTTCGGATTGCGAGGGCATGGCAAAAGCTGCTCCATTTTCAGTCATCAGCAAGCTTTCTCCATTTGCCCCAGCCCCGAATTTGACAAGGAGGAGTTGCTGGTGTTTCATCTCTCGCTGTGTATGCCCAAGAATGCTCGTTTGATATGCTTACTCTATGCCCTATATCCGTCTACTGTGATGATCTGTGCTCGGCGGCGCGCTGTACTATTCGATTTCTCTAGAAAACGTGCTTTCTCCACTGCAACAAACATCCTGATCGTCCCGAGGTGCGAATGCGAAGAGACAGACACTTCCAGCCTTACGTGCGAAGATTCGCAAATCCACGCAGATCAACAGAGCTGCTAACCCCGGGTCGGATCTGTATACCTTTTCTCTGGCTATTCTCTTCGGCTCCTGACTCGTGTGGGCTCGCATCGAAACAATCCAAAGCAGTGTAGCTAGAAACTTCGCTTGCATAGCTTCCTAAAACAGCATCTTTTCTAGCTCTTGTTTCCTTCGGCGAGGATGCCCCGTCTGGGTTCTGGGGTGGTTCACGTGCGGGCAAAACTGTGGGATCTACATGCATAAGCACATGTTCTAGTGTTACACGAGGTCAAGTGATGGGAAAGTAGCTGTGTACTGTACCGCAAGTAGTCCATGTGCTCGGGTGATACACCCGTGCGGAAAGGTCGGCTCGCTCCCATATCAACTGTAGATTATTATAGCGGTTGCGAATCTGTCAATCGTACAGAACTCAGATTAATGAAGAAGAAACCCAGTCTTCCAGACGGAGACGATGCTGCATGAGAGTCGATAAAAGTAGACTTTCTGGATCTACCTAGCTGCAATCTTCTTGGATCATGCAGAGAACAGATGGTGAACCGAAAATAAAACAGACGCTGCAGCAAAGACAAAACTCCTGTTCGCATGCTTGCCTTGCCGGATCCTCACAACGCCTTTGAAAAGAAGTTCCCCAAATAGTGGCTTTTACCACAACGCATCACATCACCTTATACCATCAGTCCTGCTATCTCTCTCTTCCGACTCTGGCGCGGCAGTTGGACCAGAGAGATAAGTCTCCTTCTCAGCATCTTCATACTCACGCACCAAATCCATAACCACTTCTCGCGCATCGTCAAACTGGCCCAGACCATCCCTGAAGCAATCTTCTTTCTTGTACTGGTCAATGAAGGCGTTGCGCTTGCGTAGACGGTCGTATTGGAAGACGATGCGTTTGAAGAGGGTGGCGATACCGGTGTGGTTGGCGAGCATGAGACCGGACACGCGAGGTGTATGTGGGCCGGTGGTGTAGGGNGAGGTGCGGGTGAGGGCGACTTGAATGGATGCAGGACCCCAGGGGATGAAGGTTGCGAGGCGACGTTCGCGGATACGTAGGAGGGATTTGTGGACNCTGTGAGACATGATATGAGCATGATGGAAGGGAAAAGCGAAGGGATGGCAGCTTACATCGGTCGGGTCTGCCTCGCCCATGATGATGTTGAGGATGGAAATGTAGCAGCTGTTCTTGGAGGGGTTCGAGCTGACCATCCTGTTCTTTGGCTGCAGCAGTCTCCGCATGACTTCGAGGACAGTGGTTCTGCGCACCGTCTTTGCGGCTTCGACGTTCTCGCCTGTGAAGGGCGTGTAGCTGGTCTGCAGGAAGTGGCAGCGCGGGGTGGGGATCAGCGAGGCGACGATGCCGACAAGGTCGTTGTGCATGTAGCCAGGGTAGCGCAGTGTTGTCGTCGAGGCACTCATGACGGTACTGACCAGCTGGTTGGTCTGCTGGAACGAGGGCTCTTGAACGTGCAGTGTGTCTGCCGCAATGCGTGACAGGGCGCCGTTGTCGAGGACGATGACACTGTCGGCTTGCTGAGCGAGTCTCCTCAGGGACAGCAGCGAGTTATAGGGCTGCACAACGACATCGCCCGACTGGACCGTGTCAGGGAAGACTGAATATGTCTGGATCAACTTCTTGGGAAAGCGGTCGTTGAGTCGTTCCAGCAGGTACGAGCCCAGACCTGAGCCCGTACCGCCGGCAATCGAGTGCAGCATCATGAAGCCCTCGAGACTGTCGGAGCCGTCGGCCTCGCGGTCGATCATGTCCAGAATCTCCTCTTGCACCGTATCACCCATTGAGTAGCCAGCGGCCCAGTTGTTTCCAGCTCCGGTGCCGCCGCTGTGGATGTAGAAGTTCTCGGGGTTGTAGATGTTCTTGTACGGACCCGCTTGGATGCCGTTGATGACCNNTGTGTGCTGTTCAGCGCCGCGCTTGTTGTGTCTGTTCAAGCTGTCTGTTCATACTCTGGGCTCGAGGTCCATCAAGATGGCGCGTGGGATGTAGCGCGTGTCGTCGGACTGGTAGAAAAAGACATCCTTGCGGTCGCCGCCTTCAGTAGCAAAGTCCTCGAGGTTGCCGTCGCGATTGATGCCATGTTCCTGGCAGAGTTGTTGCCAGAATTGGGAGCCCACTNNGTACCCAGAGTGTCAGTCGGCGCATGTGAAAGCCAGAGGGAAGCTGCAGATACCGCTATTGCCGCATTGGCCTGCTTGGAGCGTGATGATTTCTCTACATGATTACCGGCGTAAGCTATGATTCATTTCAGATCAAACAAAGACATGACAAACCTCGGCATGGCTGCGTTGGGGCATTGCGAGGAAAAGGTGGTGGTTTGCGGCCAAGCTCAAGTCTGGAAGACGCGCCCGACCGCGTCGACTGACAACACCAGACATCACTACGTACTCAGACCACTAACTCGAGAAGATGCGAACTGCGAGGAACTAATAGTATTCAAAAGGTCCATTCTACCCATTGCCTGTTCAGAAACACACTTGCACGTCATATCGCTATTGCTACACATTATCGAATACTACTGCCACACGACCTTCTCTCATTCTACGAGTTGAGCTGCACGTAATTGCCTGTGACCATATCAGTAAAACGCCCTTTCGTCAACATCTCGCAACTGCACATACCTGGGAACTGCCCTTGTCTTGCGCCAATCTTTCCAATCCACCACTCATTCTCATTCGCCGTGCGTTGCACAACTTCGATCACCTCGCCCGCGCTGAAGCTAAGATCACCCTCTGCTTGAGCTTCGTAATCGTACAGTGCCGTACATGTCTCTGCCTGAGGCACACCACTGAATCGGGAGGGCTTGGGCTTTGGGGGTGGAGGCTTGCTCTTTGCGATTGACGACATGCGCGCAAGTCCACCAGTCGCTGATCCGGTGGCCGAGTAAGGTGGAGGAGAAGTTGGGTTACTATCTTCGATGGACAGCTGAGCTGTCGACGATGCAAGACCAGGAGGCGAAGGCTTGGGCTTGCCCTCGATTGCCAGTCTGCCGTACTTGCTGCCAGCCGGTCGACCCAAGCCCTTGGTCTTGAAGTGCACAATCGTCAAGGCTTCGGCCTGTTGTTGGATCTCTCCGCGCTTCTCTTCGAAGGCTGCCTCAATGTCCAGAGTCAAGTTGAAGTAGCCAATGTCGATGCTCTGCATGCGCTCGTGCAACGTGTAGAAGACGTTCAGCTGCATGTAATAGAATGACTGAAACAGAGGAAGGATGAATTCACGCTCGAGGCGGAACAACTCGGGCAGCTCCGTCTTGAGCAGGTCGTTGAAGTAGTTGTAGTCCTGAGTCGAGACCTCGACCTCGTTCTCTGCCTTGTACAGAGCCTTTTCGTCCTTAAGCGTCTTGTCCTTCTTGTCCTGCAGCTTTTTAAGCGTGGCTCGGTGACGGTCATAGTCGAGTTGCTTGTGGTCACGCTTGACTGCCGACTTGCGGACCTGCTTGATGATTTCGAGAAGTTCGTCGGCCGGTTTCACGATGCGAGATTCGATCATCTCCAGTTCGGGCTGCAGCGATGCTTTGAGGTCCTTCACAATGGCCTCGTATTCCTCGCAAGCGCGGATACCCTCGGGGTTGCCATCGACGACGTAAGAGCTAGGGTCCGAGGCACGACCGGAGATGGGCTTGTACAGGTCGGCGCAAGCTTTGGAGAACTCGATCTGGTGGTCCAGCATGTTGTTAATGGACTTGAAGTACTTTTCCGACTCATCGTGGAGGCGTTTCGTTTCGGTCTCGAGCTCGGCGAAGCGAAGCTCGGCGTCAACGTAGACAGGATCCTTTGTGATCTCGCCCATATTGAACCTCTGCTTGAACTGCTGAGGAGCNCTGGAGTAGGGTCAGCGCTGGACTGAGATGGTGGTGGTGGGGCAACATACGCGGGTGACGCTCTTAGTGAAGCCTTTCCAACTCATTCTGGCGGTATTGGTGGTTGGTCAGGCCGGACTGGCAGGGATTAGGGAGAGCGTGTGTTGGTAGGAGGGCAGAAGGGTATGTTCCCTGCAGAAAATAAGAGAGTAGAAGGGTTAAGGTATATGCTGGCGGTGCTCGGTTGGCTATGGGGCTGCGGTCCGTCTTGGCTATGAGATCCAAAGCGTCGATCTTGTCGGGGCTGGAGCGCTGGTTGTGGCTGATGATGCGGGATTGTTTACGGTATGCACGTTGCCGGGTGCTGCAGTTGCATGTGCTACCTGACCTGAATGATGTTTTGTTATCGAGAAGAGGGAAACTGGAGAGTAGTTGGGTGCCTACGTCTTCGGCCTTGCCCATCCGGCCGCATCATCCAAGGCCAAAAACGTTTCCAGCTTGTGCTTGGCAAATGCGCCGGCTACGTCAATTTCTGGAATTGCATTTGGACCCCTCGGCATCCAAATTCGCCGATGCTCTCGAAGTCTGCGCCGTCTTCGGTCGCGCCTTCTTCTCTCGGCCGAGGACTTGAGGGTCAAGTCCGAGCACCTGCCGTTCTTTACTCAGCACGCCAAGCTTCTGACGATCGAGCTGCCGTCAAGCAAAAGTCCATCTGGTGTGACATCTGCTGACTGCAATCTAACACACCTACGATTGTAATGTCGTCCTCATTCCCTTGCGTCGCGAGGCAGGCCCTCCACCAGTCCGCCAGACGACTCTCGACCACCTACCGCCCTCGCCTTCTATCGTCTCGCATCGCCGCCACTCGTTCATACGTCTCCGAGAGCTCGCCGCGAAACGCCACTATCAATGTCGAATCCACCATCAAGGCCGACCAGAAGGCTTTCCTCCAGGAGACTGGCATCAAGCCCAAGGATGCTACCATGCCCACCACGGGCATGAGTGCCGAAGCCATGATGAGCCCCACTGCCGGCATCCTCAAGCAAGCCACCATCATGGACCAAGGAACTCGCCCCATCTATCTCGATGCCCAGGCCACCACTCCAACCGATCCCAGAGTCTTGGACGCCATGCTTCCTTACTTCACCGGTCTCTACGGCAATCCGCATTCACGAACCCACGCCTATGGTTGGGAGACGGACAAGGCTGTCGAGCAAGCTAGAGCCAACATTGCAGAACTCATTGGCGCAGACCCCAAGGAGATCATCTTCACATCAGGCGCCACCGAGAGTAACAACATGAGCATCAAGGGTGTTGCCCGCTTCTTCAAGCGTGGTGGCAAGAAGAACCACATCATCACCTGCCAGACCGAGCACAAGTGTGTCCTCGACAGCTGCCGCCACTTGCAAGACGAGGGTTTCGAAGTCACATATCTGCCTGTCCAGTCGGATGGCAGAATCGACATGAAGGAGCTGGAAGCTGCCATGCGCCCCGATACCATGCTCGTCTCGATCATGACGGTCAACAACGAGATTGGCGTTGTTCAGCCCATGGAGGAGATTGGCAAGTTGTGCAGATCCAAGAAGATCTTCTTCCACACCGACGCTGCCCAGGCCGTTGGCAAGATCCCTCTCGATGTCAACAAGCTCAACATCGACCTCATGTCCATTTCTGGTCACAAGATCTACGGTCCCAAGGGTATCGGTGCCTGTTACGTCCGCAGAAGACCGCGTGTCAGACTCGACCCCATCATCAGCGGTGGTGGTCAGGAGAGAGGTTTGAGAAGTGGAACCATCGCTCCTCCTCTTGTCATTGGTTTCGGTGAGGCTGCAAGGATTGCAAAGGAAGAGATGGATGTAAGTTTGAACAAGACGAACCCATGCGGCACATGCTAATCCCATTCTTACAGTNACGACACCAAGCGTATTTCCGCTCTCTCCAAGAAGCTGAGCGATGGTCTGCTCGCTATGGAGCACACCACTCTCAACGGATCTCCCGAATTCCACTATCCCGGTTGCGTCAACGTCTCATTCGCCTATGTCGAGGGAGAATCTCTCCTCATGGCCCTCAAGGATATTGCACTTTCCTCCGGCTCTGCCTGCACATCCGCATCCCTCGAACCCTCATACGTTCTCCGTGCTCTCGGCAGCAGTGACGAGAGTGCTCACAGCAGTATTCGTTTTGGTATCGGTCGCTTCACCACCGACGCCGAGATCGACTACGTCCTCAAGGCCGTGCAAGAACGTGTTGCTTTCTTGCGCGAGTTGAGTCCTCTGTGGGAGCTTGTCCAGGAAGGTGTCGATCTCAACACCATTGAGTGGAGCGGTCACTAAGCCATTCTTCTGTTGTATGAGAAGAGATTGTACAGTTCAAAATTGGGGTTGGGCGTTGAGCATTGCTGCTTTGGACTTTTAGGGGGCAGATTTTTGAGACAGCATACCCGACCGACACGATACACTTACCTTTCTTTGTATTTTTAATCCAAACGGCATTATGAAGAAATACTCTTCAATCATGTGCGCTCTACCCTGGCTTTTGTTCTGGTCTTGTCATGTACTTCAGGTCATGGGTGGGGCAGGGTGCTGCTCACACCCATCAGATGTGAAGGTCCCAACTACGATGATACAATGCTAAGATGGTGGAATTATGGTTTGGAGGTGTGACTCTAGTGCAGAATCTGTCAGTTCATGTGGTATATCCGTGCTGTCTTGAAGAGCAGGCAACATTGTTGCAGGTTTGCTGTGCTGCTGAAGTTTGTCTCCACCTTTGCACCAGAAGGAAATCACAATTATGACATTTACATTACCTCAAGTCAAGATCACCAGCTTATATCTTCTTTGCTCTGCCTTCGCTGTCGCTCTAAGTCTTGTAATGTCTAGGTAACTTTGGCTCGCCTTCTTCATAGGGCATCCCCGCGCCCTCCCTCGCCAAATCATTGATCCAAGCACCACTGGGTTGCAACTTTTTCCCTTGCTCTCCAGCCATCGTATCCGCTAGATATAGCCAACTCAACATATTCCCTACCGTGCTGACCTCGTCACTGACGTGAGACGCCGCATATCTACTCATCTCTGTGTACAGTTGCTTGTCAGAAAACAACTTGTACATGTATTCAGCAACTTGTTTGTAGTCGCCAGTGTCGACCAAGAAGCCAGATTGGCCATCCTCGACCTGCAAAGGAATACCGCCTGCGCGAGTGGCAATCACTGGTACGCCTTTGTGCAGTGCCTCTGAGACTTTGACTTCGAAGCCCTCGCGGGTGGAGAGCTGGAGGCAGATTTTTGCATTGCTGAGGAGGACGTTGAGTTCTTGGTCGATGGGGCCGAGTCTCATGACACTGATGTCGTCTGCAAATTCCGAGTACTCGGTTTCTATCAGGTGCATGGTCTTGTCGAAGATGGCGGACGCGTCTGGGTCGTCTATGCTGCTGTGGCCTGCGATGCAGAGTTGGGGTGTTTCTGAGGGNTCAGTGTCGGCGTAGTGGTTTCTGCGCAACTCGCCGTAGGAGCGAACAACCGTGTCGATGCCTTTGGAGGGGTCGAAGCGCGCGATCTGCACAATGTAGTCGCGGCCGGGGAAGGCGAGNGGAGGTTGGTTAGCGCGGCGGCAGTGAGTGTTGTAGTTGCGAAAGTAGTATTGCGAGTCCTCTTTGCGGAGTTCTTTGTTCAGGCCATCGAGCCAGTCTGTTGTTGCGGGCAGGTAGGCCACTTTTTCGGGCTCGACGGCTTTGGGCACAAAGTCGCTGACTGGGTGGGCGATGAACATGTCTGCTTCCTTGACGCGCGAGTACAGCCAGTCGAAAACTTGAGCAGTGGGACTCTTGGGCTCGCCATCGACCAAGTCGGCTCTGACCTGGATGTGAGACCTGAACAGCACTGGACGGCCAGGTTCAATCTCCTTTGCCAGAGGCACAATGTCCGGCATCTGAGGATCGTCGATGAAAAGAATATGGGCACCGCCGTCTTCGATCTTGGCCAGCGGACCTCTTTTGCGCAGCCAGTCGCGCTTGGCAGTGCTGTAGACCCACGTCTTGATGGTTTCGGCTTGCTCGTCGCTGAGGCGTTCGTTGGGCTCGGCGACGCCTTGCAGGATGTTGTGATTTGTCTTTGTGATGCGAAAGACTTCGTTCTTCGGGCGAGGGACGTACCACTTCATCTCAATACCAAGCAGACGGGCGAGTCTGATCAGAGCGTGTCTCATCAATGCAACACCTCCGCCTTGAGGAGTGGCGTTGAGAAAGGCCATCCTGATGCCCTTTTTCCTGAGACGTTCGGCATAGTACATTGTTGCGTCCCAGGTGGGCTTGCGGACCGTGTTGCGGTATTGCTCCAGCGTACAGAGTAGAGCATGACCCGCGGCATCAACAGAGACTTCGTTCAAGAATCCGACCTGGAGAAGAGGTTGCTTCTGAGGTCCGTACATGCCAACACACTTTCTCGCCATGGCATCGGCCTCCTCATCAACATCAACTTCCTCGGTCTTGACATGATCACTCTCGACAACACTTCTCTCAAACTCCAACGTGGGGATGTCGAGTTCGGCCCACATCCTAGCAGGCAAATCTGGCGAAATCTCACGAGCGGTTTTGGAGATGCCGGCGCCGAGGTATTTGTAATGGTGCTCGTCTTGGTAGTTCTGAACTCTCATGACCACATAGTCTGAAAAGGTCTTTGCGGCATCGCCTTTGGCTTCAATGCAGTGGATGGCAAAGTCCATGCTGTAGGTGCCATCGTGGGCGCAGAAGCCTATTTCGATCTTGTCATTTGGTCTCTTGGCTGCTGCGACACCGAAGAATATTTCCTGTNNGTTTTATTTAGTGCTGTGACTTTGAGGACTGCTTATGGTGGTGGGTCTGACCTGTGGTTGCTCGTCTACGGGTTGGCCTGTCTTGCGGGCTCGCTCGAGTCGTTGGACGTGGCTGTGTGGTCTTCGAGCTTGAAAGTCATAGTGTACTTCTGTACTGTCGTTCGTCATGGTCGATTATGACACTCTTTATATGTTGATTGCCAAGGTCAGGTCGCTGCAAGAGTTGATCCAGGATGTAAGAAGCCTGCGTGCGAACAAGCGATTGACAATGAGAGAACAGGTCAAGAAACAAAACAGCTTTGAAGAAAGTACCTGCGTTCCTAGAAATCGTTCAAAAGAACCACCTTGCTGGTCACGATCACCTTGTGACGTGCACCTCATGTCACTCCATCTACACGCAAATCCCGGGGCCTCCGCCAAGAATACATCCAGTCCATACCAAGCAGCATGAGTGACTTTGAGAACAAAGACTGCTCGCTCTGTGAGGATGTCACAAACCTATCTGGGCAACACTCTGTTTATTTCCGCGTCAGCAAGCCATGTTGTCGGTGGAGGACCATCATGTGCAAGGAGTCGGTGACCGAGAGCCACTGACGAAATCATGTCTCTCACGGATCATGCCGCGAAACGTCTTTACTGTTGCCCGACTCGCCCCTGTTCCGCGGAAACAATACACCTTGTCTCAGCAAGGACTCATCTCCTCTGAAGACGTCTGGAAGAACATGTCGCAAAACATACAAGCAAGAAAGAGCCTCTTGCTCAAACACTCTGCTTCATCGGAGAATTGTTTCTTTTTAACTTCAAACGTTGCATGTTGCGTGGCTGGCGCGCGAAGAGCAAAGTTTCCATCTAACCATGCCGCATGGCTGCTTCCCGTCCCGTATCAGAGCTCTTTTTCAGCTGTGGAACCCAGACCCAAAGCTATGGACTGGCCGCGACAAAATCCTTCGAGGTTTGATAGCGGCAGACTGCAACACGCGTACCTGCAATTGCGAGGTTGATCTCCATTAACATGTCCATATTCTGCTTTCGCGCCTGCGGCGAGCGGTGCATGGTGGTTATATTTCATATGCAAGCTGCAACGTTGAAGAGTGGAGAGCATGTCATTGGCACTGCACCCGCGCGCCTGACCTGCAAGCTGTCATGTTGCGAGATGCTTGCAGTCGATCACAAAGCTTGGCAAGGTTTAAGGAAAATAAGCAACTGTGTTTTGGGGAGAGGAATGTTGCTGCTGGTCGCTATGTGAGAGGCTCTTTGAAGGGTAGAGCAAGGCGAAACATATTCGAGGTGACAGGTACGATGAACAGCGACGGTGGGCTCTCTGCGCGGCAGAACAGTTTCGTTCCCGTCGCTGTAACCACGTCTCATCTTGGGTCATGCTTCCGTAGCGGGCGAGTCAGGGCTTATACAATGCGAGGTGCTTGGGCATGTTGCTTGAGGGTGTATTGTGTACCCAGATACCTGGTGGCGTGCGATAAGACAATCCTCCAACTGTCCCAACCAAGGTATCGTCAGACAGATAGAGGCGTTGATTTGACAAAAGAACAGTTGGCGAAATGACTTAAGCAACGGCCCAAAGATCGGTGAAAACGATTGACCCCGACGATGCTTAAAATTAACTATAAACCTTAGCGGTGGACTAGCTTCCCATACCTTGAAGAGGGCATGGAAGACATGCACTTTCGCTAGCTCCAACCGTGGGAACAGTTGGAAGCTTACTGCCCTGAATGACCTATCTCTCAAATACCCTGAGTTTCCTTTGCGCGATTCCTTGACTGTCCTCTTCCACCCCCTCTGCAAGACACACCGCAAGATTCGACGTCGCAAGAAGCGCTCATCTAAACCACGCCGGACTCTGGATTCGCAAACTCCCCTGGAAACCTGTCAAAATCGCCAAAAACTGAAACGCTACCAATATCAGCATACGACAACACGGAATCCTTACCGCAGATCATTTGATCACTTATTTCCACTTCTGCGACCAACTATTATAAACCCCACCACCCATCTCTACTGGCTGCAAAACAATAAATATATACAAGACTCTGCTGCGATCACCCAAGCTTGGCTATAATACCCTGACACTTGTCGCTCGACATCGAATACGAGTGATGGCGGTCAACGAGGATACACCACTGCTCCGCCGCTTTTCCATTCCACCAGTCTTTACTCAACCTGGGTGCTTTGAACAAATGTCTGACAAGACGCATATGGAAGAGGGGTATACTGCGCCTGCGTGTAAGTCATATGAACAGCTCTTCATTTATCAACTTCTCAACCCTCTACTCCATCATATCTTTACTCAATTATCCTTCCTCACATCCACACCAAATTCCGTACACGTTGTTCCCCATTCTTTCAGACCGTTTTCTCATTGCAGTTCTTNNTCAGGCACCTTCCCCTTCTCTAGGATGGCCACGAAACATGAAGACCCTTCACACCCACCACGCATGCCTCAAGCAATAGCCCACCGCGGCTACAAGGCCAAGTTTCCAGAAAACACACTCGCTGCCTTTGCTGGCGCCATCGAGGTCGGCGCACACGCTGTAGAGACAGATGTACACATTACCAAAGATGGCGTTGTGGTGTTGTCCCACGACAACACATTGAATCGCTGCTTTGGGCGTCCGGAAAAGATTATCGACTGCGATTGGAGTTTTATCGCGCCGTTGCTGACTACAGAGGAGCCCAAACAACATATGCCGCGGTTGAGCGATCTTCTACAGTTTCTGGCCACAGAGGAACGCAAAGATGTTTGGGTGTTGTTGGATGTCAAGTTGGACAATAACCCTGAAGACATTATCCGCCTGATCGCCAGCACAATCGCTTCTGTGCCTGCTTTACCTCAACACCCATGGTCGAAGAGAATTGTTCTCGGTTGCTGGGCAGCAAAACACGTACCTCTGTGTCAACGCTACTTGCCTGGATTCCCCTGCACACACATTGGATTTTCCCTATCCTACGCCCGCCAGTTCCTGAATATCCCAAACGTGGGTTTCAACATGCTGCTGCCCATCCTCATGGCTCCCGGCGGCAAGAAATTCCTACACGACGCAAAGAGCGCAAATAAACCTGTTCTCGCATGGACGGTCAACGAGACCAAANAAATGAAATGGTGTATACACAAGCAACTGGATGGCGTGATAACCGACGACCCAAAGCTTTTCCTCGAGGTCTGCAGGAATTACGACGGCAGAGAAAAAGTTGCACTCACTTGGAGGATCTGGGTTGATGTGCTCAGGATATGGTTTTTCGCGAGCATATTCGGATTTCTATACCGTAATCGGTATGCGGGCAGGACGAAGAGTCAAGTACAAGTTGTTTGACTGACCGGTGTGAGGGACAAGCAAGATTGAGTCTTGGTTCCTGTCCTTTGCTGTACATAACACTTTTTGGGGAGCGGGGTGGTTGTTTGTTCTTTTTGCAGCGCTGTTTCTTTTTGCATGTATGATGGCGTTAGTCGTGTCCTAGAAGCGGATTGTTCTTTTCCTTACACTCTGCCTCTTCTTGCATTTTCGGTGGGCCTTTTTCAAAGCAGGCAGCAAAGCGCACTTTTGTACATACAGATATAGAAGGTTTGCATCGCGGAGACCCATTCATGATAAGTGATTTTTAACTCACAAACGAGTCAGTGGATATAGTGACAGGGGTACATAGTCGTGTGGGGCCTGTGATTCTCTCCTTTAGTAGCTGTAAGGTCGAAATGGTGCAAAGGACATCATAAATTATCATTAGATATATGCCTACATGGCTAGCCTTCTGACAATATACCGCAAAGCCCATTGCTTACTACATACCCCACCTCTCCATTTCTGCCACTATAGCCAAAAACCCCTTGAGCGGTCTGATTCTGGCAGACCCTTGTTGCGCCACCCCTTGCGAGNACCAAATAACACTTTCCTTTCCTTCCAGTTCCCACTGCTTCCCAGATAGTCCATAGACAGTTTTTGCTTGATTGCATGCATTGCTCGCAACACTCTGCTGCAGTGGTGGTTTGTAATTCCTCTACTTCGTGCCCATGAATACCAGTAACACCGTTTATCCTTTTGTTGTTGCTGGTTTGGGATAAGAGGTTTGAAGTGGCGCAGGCGNNGCGTGAGAAGTTACTGTGGTGGTGGCATGGCGGGTCACGGTAATGGTTTTGAGGTCTGTCTTTGTCCAGGTGAAGGAAATGGTGTAAGGTGTTTTTGTGACGGTGGTGGTGTTTGTGATGATTGGTGCCGCAGCCGTTTCAAGGGATGGAGTGGGTGTTGCTGGTGATGGTGTTGTTTGCCTTTTTGCCTGGGATGCGTGGGAGCTGGAAGATGATGATACAGATGCAGATGCAGTGCTGGCAGAGGGTGAACCANAGAACAGTGCTCGTAATGTAGCCATATAACGTCCGATTCTTGAATACTGTCTCTGGCCGCAAAGTCAAGGTAGCTTTTGCAGTTGCCTGCAGCAAAAGCACCTCAGTAGTGTGAATTGCCACATGCTCTTCACAAGCCACCTCTACCGCAAATCTGCCTTCTGTCGGCTTGACCAATTGCGGCCTTTTAGCCTTGCCATCTCTCTGATTTTCGTGCTTTTCTGCCACAACACTGCTGTTTCTGACACCTACGAACCCCGTGGGCGCCGATACCCAAATCGTAGTCCTGCTCGTCAAGTATCTAAACTTTGTCTTTGTCTTTGTGACCGTCGCATGCTTCCAAAAAGTGCTGGTTGCGAATTTCGTCGCCGTCACAAACAAGGTCCCATTCACTGGTTCTGCAGTCGCATACTTTGTTTTTGTGGCAAGCACACTAAATAGTGTGGAGAATGGTTTTGGAGTGACCGTGACGGTGGAGGAAGTATAGTTGTGTAAAATTACTGGAGAGAGATCGATTGTGTTTTGGAGGGTTGTGGTTGCTGTGGGCACAGTACCAGAAGGTGAAGAAGATGCATAAATGGTAGAGCAGAGAAGGGTGGTTGACGTGGCGAGGTGGGAATCGATTTGTAGCGCCCAAGTCGTTGGAAGTAGTATTGTCCAGGCGAGTATTGCGTTGTTCCACATTTTTGTTATTCAGTCTTTCCGGATGCCTTGTTGGGCGAGAAAGCAAGAGACAAGTTGATGTTGAGCCGAGTGTGGTAAACGAACAACAACGATAGCAAAATACAATATTAGAAGCGACGTGAATAAGAAAAGAAAAGAGACAAACGTAAGAAGTCGTGTACCTTACCTGGAAGAATGCTCGTTCATCTTCTCCTATTCCCACTCTGGGCTCGGTATAAGGGTCGGATAGCAGCAACGGTTCTCCTGGAAACGTTGGATTTATTGCCGCCCATCGCGAACGTGATTTGCGGCACACACGAGCCAGCCCTGTTGAGAATGCACATGTTACAGTTACTTACTGACATCTGGAGAGCTTGCAAATCATCACAACTAGAAGACTAGAAAAAGAGCATATCTGAGACCAATTGTGTCGGGAAGATGAATCTTTCAAGTTAGGACGAGCTCAAAAGCTCGAAGCCCCTGCCAAGACAAGGGTCCAATTTCGGCCACCAAGGTCATGACAGCATGTCGACTCGAGATTGAAACGAACCATCAACATCAGAGAGAAGCAAATGTACATTGGATATAGGCAACGAAACAAAAGCTGCAGCAGAGTACAAGACACCGAAAGAGAACACAAGTTCGGCCCAGACTCCATCAATCTCTCTGTATCAGAGGGGAAAAAAACCAAGATACGAAAGAAGGTTGTAAAAAGAAACGCCGATCGTGGGTAACAACCACATATTCCCCCGTCCCAATAAAGAAGAGTTGTATCTGTCTTCGTATGCAATTGCGCTTTTTCTCTTTTCTCATCATGAACAAATCATATTCCCAAAACTCCGTTGTACTTGGTGAAGCAGGGAGGCGTCTTTACATGATAATCGAGGGNGTGTCGACGTTAGCCTTGATGCTCTTGTGAGGGAGGACACTGCCNAAGGATGTTAGTTGTTTGAAGTCAAGAGGAGAATCCAGGATGAATGTATACCTTCCACCGTTGACGTAAATCTCGTCACCGACAGTCACATCATCACCGAGAACGCAAATGTTCTCGAGACGAGCCCAGCGACCGACAACGCTGTTCCAGCCAACAATTGTGCTCTTGATCCAGGCGTGCTCCTTGACCTTGGAGTTGGAGAGGAGAACACAGCGCTGAAGTCTGACACCATCACCGATAACACAGTTGGGGCCAATGACGACGTTGGGACCGATCTTGCAGTTGTTTCCAATCTTTGCTGAAGGATCGATCATGACATTGCCGCCGTGAACATATGATTCGGAGTTCGATGTGAGCTCGGGGCTCTTCTTGCTGGCGAGGGAGGAGAGGTACAGGCAAGTTCCTGACAGGAAATCCTTGGGCTGACCAACATCCATCCAGAAGCCCTCGAGATCGAACGAGTGCAATTGTCCGTCTTTGGTCATGGAAGGGAAAGTCTCTTGCTCGATCGAGGTGGGGCGGAGCTCGATGCGCTTGAGGACGCTGGTGTTCATGATGTAGATTCCGGCGTTGATGCGGTTACCGACAAACTCGATGGGCTTCTCGACGAAGCGGTCGATGCGGGAGGCGTGGTTGGGCTTGTGGACAACGACACCGTACTTGGAGGGCTCTTCGACCTTTGTGACAATGATGGTACCCTCGTCGCCGTGAGCCTTGTGGAAGTCGGCCAATTGCTTGAAGGGGTAGTCGCAGATGACGTCCGAGTTCAGCACGAAGAAGGGAGTGTCGTCCTTAGCGAGAATCTTCTCGGCGAGCTTCAGAGGTCCAGCGGTGCCGAGGGGCTCGGTCTCGACGGAGAAATCGATCTTGACGTTGTATTGTTGCTCGAACTGAAAGGTGTGTCAGAGTTGGGCAGGCTGCAGTGAAACGGAGAGAGTACCTTTTGGNAGAGCAGCAGTCATGATCTCGGGGCGGTAGTTGACGGCGAGGACAATGTTGGTGACACCGGCAGCGGAAAGAGCAGCGATCTGGTGCTCAATCATGGGCTTGTTGGCAAACTCGACCAGCGGTTTGGGGAGAGTGAGAGTGAGAGGACGCAGACGGGTACCAAAGCCGCCGACGAGAATGAGAGCTGTATGGCATTGTCAGTCTTGTCGTCGCCCATAGCAAGTTCCCTCGGGGCATTGAGGGGGGAAAGGGCGGCTGCTCACCCTTCATGATGGATTAAGTGTGGAGGAGTGTTGATTAGAGTAAAGTGTAGCAAGAGTCGGTTGACTGAAGACGATTGAAGAGGTCGAGAAGCGAATGGAGGAAGAAATTACAAAAGACAATTCGGTCAAAGGATTACGAGCGAGGGGCTGACGACGGCACTGGGCCACTTTAAACAGCTGGCCGAGTCGCGAACAAGGGGGACTGAATCCCGTCCGCTTGGCGCTGTACTCAGAGCATCCCCTTGCTGCTAATTTCGACCCAACGGCGTCAGCTCTCCTGATGACACGAACACGACCTGGGCCAGACACGAACCCCTTTACGTTTGAGAACGAGAAAGGAACAATTGCCCTGTGACACCACGTGCGTCGACTCTGGCACCTGTTCATGAGATTCTTAAATGTCTAAATCTGTATGTAGCATGTAGCTCCCCTACACCCTGGATGCGCCTGCAACGCCGCGCCCGACAATATTTATTCTGATCATGCACTTTACTCGTTGTAGTGGTATACAAAGTAGTTGGGCACTCCCCAACTGCTCCATCCCAGCCGCTTGGCCATCTTTGCAAATCCTTCCGTCTCGATGAGATGGTAGAAGGGGAACGGCGGGAACATGGCCCCGTCTCTGTGAACATCGCCCTTGACGAGCAACGCTGTTCCACCGACACCATCCAAGTTGACAATGTCCTTGGGGTTGCCACCGGGATCTGTGAATCTTGTTAGCCAATTGCTTTTGTTGTTTCCAGGGGCCGACGTACGGCTCATATATGCCATCAAACTTCTATATGTGGCCATTTCGGCATAGCCCTCGAGCAGAATCTCGTCGGGTCCCATCTTAGAGGCCAGATTCTGGGCAGTGTTGCTGTCAATCCAGCTGTTGAAATCATAAGGTCGAACATCCATGGCGCCCTTCTCCTTGTCGTAGAAACGCTGGAAGCAGTTGGGAACAATGATGGGCTTGTCAAAGGCGGCCAAATCTTGAATCAACGAGTGAGGAGTCTCGACAATGTCCGAGTCGAGCCAGAGGACCCATGAAGTGGTGGGACCGAGGGTTGTGAAAAGGAGGGCGTTTCTTGCGCGCGACATTGCGGCGCGGCGCTCTTTCTGAGCAGACATGGCATGGCGATCGTGCTCTGCCTGCGAGGTGAGCGGAGGCTCGTCTTCTTGACGGAGGATGGTAATGGAAGCGAAGCGCTTGCTGCCTGCTTGGGTCCTGGCAATTTGTTCCTGAAGCTGAGCTGTCGCAGCGTTACCCTCACGGCCCTTGGGGATGATGAAGCCCAAGCTGATGAGGTCGTGGGGNTACGACAGAGCAACGAGGTTGGTCCAGTATTCTTCGTAGAAGCGGGCGAGCGGAGTGAGGATAAGGACACTCTCGCGGTTGCCAATAGGGTCCGGGGTGTTTGTAACGTTGTTCATGTGGTAGTGGACAACTGGCGGAGGAGGAGCCTTTTCGCCGGCCTTGAGATTCGACTTGAAGAAGGGGAGCGAGGGCGGAGAGAGGGCATTGGAGGCGGGCATCTTTGACTTGAGCAGTTGTCGCGCACCGGGGACATGTAGGGCGGGACCAGCATCTGTTGAGGAGAAGATGAAGATGAGGAAGCCGAAAGTCAAGAGACCGGCCAGGACCAGAGTGATGGGATTGGTACGGCGGAAGGAGCGTGCGACGGCCATGGTGGGCGCTGAAAGGAGATAGTTAGCATGCGGCCAAGTTGTAAACACAGCGCTTGGTGCTTGGTGAGAAGAACTTACGAAGGGGGACTTGTTCCTTATGGCTATCGGATGCTGAGCATAACTCAGCGTGAGAGGTGCTGGTACAACAGAAACAGGATATACACCTCCTGGAGAGAGAAACGAGGACAGTTTCTTGAGGACAACGGAGGTCCAACGCTTTTCCCGACGCGAATGCACAGCCAGCAGTAACGACAAGTCAGCCAACAGTGCAGCAACTCGGCGGGCCCAAAAGTTGTGGAGACGCTGCCAAGGGGTCCGACGCAGTTCAGGAGCTTGTTTCAGAAATCGTCTGTGCTTGCGACTTTTCGAAGGCCATCAATCAATCCCCGACAACGTCACCATCGCTCTTTCCTGAACGAGTGGAAGATGCACATTGCTCTTTCCTGACAATAAGAGGACAATGTTGCGTCGCACTGCACAAAACGCCGCCAAAACTCCAGCGAGGCAATGCCTGTCACGGCGCCAGGCCTCTCTCCCGAAGCCTCGCTGTCTCAGCACCACCATCCCGCATAGACTGGCCACTCCGACTTCTGGTTTCGCGCCAACATGGGACAAGATCAAAGAGACATTGAAGCCTCCGATTGACCAATTCACTTCAGAAATCCGCCCTTCCTATACCACTGGCTCGCCGGACCCGGATCATCTTTTGCGCACATGCACCGTCCTGACTTCGGATCCTACCAAGACGTCTCTACAAGAATTGCTCGATCGCATCCCAGAGTTTCAACAAGGAAACGAGTCTGGCCTCTTTACAGACTTCCTCCTCCTCGTCACTCCCTCGTACGCCGCAAGCCTGCGCAAGCAGAGCCATGTCATTCAACAGGCCTTGACGCGCATCTTTCCTATCAAAGAGCTTGACAAGAGCACACGCTCTACTCTCGGAGGAGATTCCAGAGAGGCAGTCAGACTCGTCGCTGCTGTCGTCGACAGGCTGCCAAAACCCTCCGACCTGTCTGCTTCTGCTGTTGGCGATACTGGCTCCGAAGGCATTGCATTACGCCTGATCGCCAACGAGAACCCCATCTGGAAGCCCGAGCTCGCCGTCGGCGATGTTCGTCAACCTATCCTTTCCGACAACAAGTTTCGTTTCTTGAGCTTCCACCTCAATGACACATCAACTCCTCCTCACATGCTCCCCATCGTGCAATTACCTCTTGCCAACACCATCTTCCACAACGGTCTATCCTCGACTCTGATCTGGCGTAAGTATGCCGTACAACAAGGTGGAAAGGGGCTTCTTCAAATAGATGAACAAGTCTGTGACTCGCACCGTGTCAAGCTTCCCCAGCAACCGGGCCAGACTGAGAACAACACCTTTGCTCTGTCAGTGCCTCTTGTTCCGTTGACATCTGCCAGATCTGTTGTCGCATGTATGGGAAACATCATCCGTCGCTTGTCTGCCAATTCTGGCCTCGGCCCTCAAGACGACACGAAAGAAGCCATCCTGGCCTCTCACGAACTCGAGCAGTCCGTCACTTCATACCACGAAACTCGTGGACTCTCTCCCCGCGCCGTATCTGTCTGGGCTCTGGTCATCCCCGAAAAGACCTTTACTGGCGGTCTATCCATGGCCGCAAAAGTCCTTGGCGACAGGAATCTGCCCGAGTTGTGGAAAACTGGTTCTGACCATGATAGCGACCCTTCTCAGCCCAATCTCTTGACTTTGTTACAACACGGAGCTCGTCTCCATAAAGTCCTGTCTGGAGGTGGTGGTTGGGGTAAGAAGGCTGGCCTTCTTTCATTGGATCCTGACTCTGGTTACGGTCAGCATCCAGCGTGGGAAGAAATTGCACCAGCACAGCAGACAGAGCCGGAGTACATTCAAGGTCTATCGCCCGTGCCAACAGATCTACATCGCGCGTGGGGTTTCGAGCCCCAGGAGCTTCCTAGCATTGTGAACAAGGGAGATTACATACAGTTCTATATCTCACCATCGGCGTCTTCTGAAGAAACACCCGCACAGTCTGAGACGAACACGAATGCGTCACACTACACCACGTCGAACGTCAAGACTGTAGAATTTGGCAGTATACCCAGTACCGTCGACGATATGCCAAGCAGTAACGCATCTCCCGCGGCTGCACAAAGTGTTGTGCAAACATACCCAAATCACTTCGGTGCCCTGTCCGAGACTGGTATTGCCATGTTCTTTGGTCTGCAGTCAGATAAAGAATCATCTTCCAACACGCACAATGCTACCGATGCAGCCACAAAGGTCGATGTACCTTTTGGTCGATTTAGATCTCGATCACAATCCTCGACGGCATCTTCCAAGGCGAAACAGGCCCCGGCAGGTTTTGGCTTCTCGCCAACGAGACCGTTACAGTCGAGTATGTCTGGCCATCGCGTCTCATGGCAGCTCCTGTAGGTAGTTTATGACATATCAATTCTAGCACTTCAACCAACCTGACTTAGCACAGGCCAATCTAAGAAAGTTCTTGACGTGCAACAACGAAACCTTGGTTCGAGCAATGCCTCTCGGGATGAGGTCTCACTTCCGAAGCTCTCTGAGAACACTAATCGACAACGCGCAATAGAGCCGGCCATAGACCCTCGCGGATACAAAAATACCACACGAATCCGAAGGATACCGAACAAGGGCTGGGATATTAACGAAGCCCGTCACGTGGATGAACGAGCCAAACCAGGTACCGACCTCTCAGAGTTCAGGTTTCGCATCCCTAAGGCTCAGCCAAAGGACGCAACAGATCCAATCCCCGCTCAGCCCTTGGTGAGCGATCTGAAAGGTCAGAAACGTAAGTTTTGGGCCACGCAAACAATGCAAGACGTCCTTTCGCCCAAAGCCTTCGGACTGTGGACAGAAGATCAGACCATCCCCAAGACACCCAATGACATGTGGTCAGCCCAGGATATCCGCAAAGCCTACACTTTCAAGAAACGACAGTGGAAGTTATCCAGATCGATATACAAGCATTTGCGCTCAAAACCTGCTTCCTCGAACACTGCACGCAATTCAGGGGCCCCAGACGACACTTCTACCCCTGGACACAAGCAGCATCTAAACTCGATATCAGGACCGGACACTGCTCCATCAATCACTGCTCCTAAAGCAAAGTCTCAAGAAAACACTCCCACCCGCCAAACCCAGCAGCAAAACCCAGCCACCCTCTCAACCGCAAACCCCTCGCCACATCACGCATCCGCACCCGCATCCTCCGCGAAGCCTTCCGCGGCCTCCTCTCTCCCTCTCAGCAACGCCTTGCCCTCTCCCACCACCAAACCTCTGCCTCTTCCTCTGTAACCTCACACATCACCGCACCAATACTTACACAACTCATCATGAAGCTCCTCAGCATACATGAATCCCCAAGTTCACCCCTGGCACGCATGCAATTACACCTGGATACTGCGCAACCTCTGCCTGTGCCGCAAGACACGCAATTAACAGCGCAAACAGAAACGCAAGAACAGCAGATTGCAGAACCGATTACTGCACTCGACGAATGGAATACCACAACCCTTGAACTCAAGAAAGCCTTGCAGAACAAATGGCCGCAAGAGACAAAAAAACGACGACTGAAGGATGTGGTGCAGCAAGAATTGGACGAGATAGATCGGGTACAGAAGAGTATTGACGCTTTCTCAAGTAGAAAAAGGATAGAATAGAGTAGACCGGAGTAGAGTAGAGTAGTAGTCCAGCCAAGGAGAGAGAAAGCAAAAATCGCATAGAACTGATTGCCTGCCAGTACAAAAGATGTGCCAACTGCATTGCCCAACGACAGCCTACTGCTTACATATAATGTCCCAAAGGAAATGTCATGGTTTGCTAGCAAAATATGAAGAACGACTTGCAAAAGATCTGCAATCTATCCGTCATGTCTTCTCTATAAATGGTTCTGTGTTTACAAACGCGCAAGTGTGATTGTCAACTTGAGTCAGAAAACCAGGGAGAGTATACAAAAGGGGTGTGTTTTATGATTTGATATTTTGAATAGAGTTTCGTTAATTGTTGATAGGAGACGCAATATATACTTTCATCGAGCGCCCAACTTGTCCAAGGCACGAGCACCTTGTTCTTGCCACTCTTGCTTGGATATCCACATGCTTTCCTTGTCGGCCATCNNTGAACACGAATCAGTCAGTCGTCTGCTCAATCTTTGATATGTGGGAGATGTTCCAAAACTTACAATGTTAGCGAGGACGGCACCGCCCAAGAAAACCATATGTCTTCTTCTCGGTGGGTCTTCTATCCTGACCTTGAATTTNCTGTGTCGAGACAAGTCAGCCGTGCAATTGCAACATACAGTTCGAATATCACCTACGCTCAATCTCTCAGGGTTTCCTTGCAGGACCTTGGTAAGCCAGAGCTGCTTGAGTTCCTTTTCCAGTCTGCTGGGAAGACCGGGGTACATGCTGCTACCACCGGAAAGCACAATGGCCTTGTACAGACTTGATCTGACATCGACGTCGGCGGCTTGGATGGTGTTGAAGAGGAATTCGGCGATACCGGGTTGTTCGACATCGACGAGGTGGGGCTGGAACAGACATTCGGGGGCTTCGAAGCGTTCGGAACCGACGCGGATGACGCGACCGTCGGGNAGAGTGTACGACTCGACCAGAACGGTCGTGTCTTCTGAGAGTTGCTTGTCGAGGGCGAGGTCGTAGGAAACGTAACAGAGCTTCTCCTTGATGGCGCGGACGGTCTCGAAATCGGCGGTTCGGTTGAGGGCGTAACCGCGGCGGGTGAGGAGAGAGATGAGGTTGCGTGTGACGTCTCTTCCAGCGACATCGAGTCTGCGGGTAAGATGGTTGAGCACAGTGCTCTCGTAGACAGGAACGATATGAGTGACACCATCACCGCTGTCGACGACGACTCCAGACGAGAGACCCTGGGCGTAGAGGGCAAGCACGGCCTGAATGGCGACATAGACGCCGCCAAAGTTGTAGCGTTCAAACATGACTTCGGCCATCATCTCGCGGTTCTTGAGCGGGTTCATTGGCGGTTCGGTGAGCAGGATCTTGCGGCCGGTAGGGTCGACCTTCATCTTCTCGAAGAAGGTGTAGTCCCAGAGATGTTGCATGTCGTCCCAGCGCTTGACGATGCCGTTCTCCATCTGCAAGCCGTCGCGTCAGTATGTGTGGATACGCTGATGGTAGTCTTGAGCGTGGCGTACGGGATAGGTGATTTGGAGCATGGATCTGGCGGCAGCGGCCTCATCACCGCACATGATGTCCTTGAGCTGGACATCTAGACCAGCCTGCTCTTCTGTACGGAGGATCGGGCGACCGACGATGGACGGGTATTGTTGCTCGGGGAAGTTCTGNCACAAGGGCGGCGTTTCAGCATGGATTGAGTGGTATATGGACGTGTATGGTAGTCGGCGTACCTGACCGGCGTAGCCAGCCTTGAGGAAACCCGTTCCGCCATCGAGCACTGCATCGTGTCAGCGCATTGTCTAGCTGGGGGAAGAGAGTCTCTGCGCATACCAATGGGCACTTCAGCCATTTTGAGTGTGTGGATCGAGTGAGTGTAGACTTGTTCAAGTGGTCGACTCCTTGAAGCGTCCAGCACCCCGCGAGATGCAGTTGGTGTCCACAGCCCGCCGACCACCAGCCAAGCCCCGGAAGGCACGCGTCATGCTCCGCACCTCCCGACGGCAGAACGCGACAGCTCCAATTCACCGCCTTGACTCGAAATACCATTTAGCAAAAGGCCTCTGTCGCCATATACATTCATGTCTACTTCTGCTGCTTCAATCCTTGCAACATGATACCCACACACAATCCGACGTCTCTGGTCCATGCAATCCTCTCTGTAAACGCCGCTCAATGTCGTTGCCCATCAATGTCTGTTGGCCATCATCTTGGCCTTTTTGCCCTTGGGCTCCTTGCACACATCGCAGAACCATTTGACTGTAATCTGTGTCAGTGATTGCATCGACAGAGACAGATCATTGTACTTACCGTTATCACCCGGTACTGCTCGCAGTCCCGTACATCCAAGATGGAACCATTCCATCGGGCAGTCGTCATTGTCACATGCAATCATCTCGCCGAAGCTTCCCTGCCCGCAGTAGCAGTACTTGGGCTCATCAGGATCTTCTGCTTCGTCCACCTCCTCTTCGTCTGCCACGGCACCCGCCTCCTCGGCTTCAGCTTCAACCTCGACTTCGGCCGCCTCGTCTTCTGCTTCAGCCGAAACTTCTGTTCGTCGAGATGCTGTCGTCCCTCTAGACCCGTTTCCACCATCGCGTCGGTTCCGAGATATGGTCGTGACTCGGGGAGGTTGGCTTCGTCGAGTCGATCTTCCGTGTCCATCATCTTCTGACAACTCCGAGTCCTTGCTGTCGTCGCGACGCCTGCCCGCATCTGGGCTGCGGTTAAAGCTGGCGATTTGTTTGAGAATGTGAGCCCCACTGCCACTCTTGCGTCTTCCACGGCTCTTTCTATCGTGTGTCGATCTCGAGTGATCTGGCGTGTTGCTACCACGAGAGTGTCCGTTGTGAAGGTGCCTACCCCTAGTTCGCGACATACCAACCTCGGGGAATGCTTCTGTGCGTGGTGTTGACGTTATCGATCCACGTCTCGGCCGGACGTCCAGACTCGCGTCCTCCATAGTCACGTCTTCGTTCTCCAGAGGCTCTGGTCTACGTTTCTGTACAGCGCTCTCGGCCTGGTCAGTCTTCAACTTGTCTTCTTCCGCCTCTTCCACACTCTCACGCGCCTCTTTGCTTGTTGTGATCGAGGGTAAGATCGACTCGACAAGGCCGTTCGTACTGCCATTGACAGACTTGTTGTCGGCCACCGATGCTGGACGACTGACTTCCTTCTCCGGAAGCAGCGAGTGCTGTAGATTCGACGTCGAGTTTGAGTTTTGGCGCATGCGAGACGAGGTAGGTCTGGAGATGGTTTCGGCTTGCAGTTGTGCGTTTCCAAGTACGGGTGACGAGTTGGGTAGCCTTGGTGAGTTTGTGATTTGGTTAAGGGCGGCGTTCCTNACCAGTCGTGTTAGCTGTTGTCTGCACTGTGAGAGATCCAAACTTGTATACCTCTTCTTTCCAGCTCCAGTACCAGGAGCAGGACCTGGCTTGCCCTTCTTTTTCGTCGCCTCGACTGCTGGGGTCGATCTTGGAGTCGTGTTGCCAACGCCTCTTGCGGCCTTTGCCACGGTGCTCATGTTGCTCGCCGAGCGCTCCATGGCCGGTGCACCAGCGACAGCAGGAGCCTTCTCGACCTTTCGTCTCTTTGTTGTAGTGGCGCTGGCTGTGCCATTGGCAATTCCCAGCCCGCTGGCTTTTGCTTCCACGTCGGCGTTCTTTCGCGACTTTGCAGTTTGCCCTCTTTTCGTCGGACGGTCGTCAAAGTCTGAGTCGATGGCTTGGGTTCGGTTCGTCTTCTTGGTTTCGCGTCTGGCTTCTCCTCTTGCTGCGGCTATGTCTTGGTCGTGAACAGCAGCTGCTGCAGCGGCGAGACTGCTTGTGGCAGCGACGTCTCTTCTATTACGCTCGTTCTGTGAGGTTGTAGTCTGTTTCTTGGCGCGATTGTCTTGGTAGGCCCAGTGTGTCAAACTACCCAGACGCGACTCTTCGCTGATCTCGATCTCAATGTGGGGCATGACGCTGTCGAGACGAGCGAGCTGTTGGGCAAGTGCGCGGTTCGCTTCTGCCATGACGACGTTCTTCTCGTCGAGGTTGGCGATCATGTTGCCGATGACATGGCGGAGGGACTGGAACTCGGATCGCCTTGCGTGGTCGGCTCGCTCGTCTTGTTGCGACTCGAGGTCGTCTTGAACGCGTTGGTCGAAAGTGGTGGGCTGGTTGCCATTGATGACGGAGCCAGCCAGACTAGCTGTCGCACTAGGAGGGGCTGTGAAGGACAGCAGGCGAGGAGAGGATGGTTGGTTGCGTGACAGAGGCGCGGGCTTGTTCAGGATGCTGGATGTGAGAAACTTCAAAGCTTCTGTAGGACCGTAGACCTTCGCTTCGACCTCTTTCATCAGAGTGATATGGCGCTGGACTTCACGCGGAAGAGCAGCGATCAAGTCGGCAAAGTACTGGACGGCAGGAAAGAAGCCTGGCGGGTCAGGATCTTGGTGGTCATGGTTGTCGAGCTGGCCGAAGGAGCGGGCGTAGTAGTTGATCGGTCTCGAGGTTGTTGTTCGCGGCTGACGTGCAGATTGGCGACGGCCAGTGTTTGTATCGGTGGTGGCTACCGAGGCCTTTCTGACAGACGAGGTCGGCGGCATGGCGGCTGCGTCGACGGTGCAGTGCGAGGAGAGTCAAAGAGACGTTTGCCGGAGTGGCAGAAAAAAGCGGTCGTCGGGAGGGGTCAGAGAGTTCAGACAGCGTGCTTCGGCATGGCAGGAGTGTACAAGGGCGTGAGTGTGCTATTGGAGAGAGGACTGGCACAAGCACAGATGGGAATTGCTTTGGCTCCTGCTGCTCATGCTCTTGTCTCCGCCTTCGCGAGTAGCGTCGGCCTCTGAGAGCGCCGATGGCGCGCCCTGACTCGGGACTAACTGCCTCACCGCCTTATGACGCGCACCTTCTAACTCTAGTTAATCCTTCTGCCTACCACGAACCATATCTTCCACCAATCCTCATTCTAGAGCTGAAAAGGTTACCAACCAGCGTCTCTTGCTTCATCATCTTGACACCTGTATGATTATGCAGTCCAAAAGTAAAGCTGTTATCTGCATCCCGCCAGGCAGCTGTCAACTGGAGGGCGTAAGGTAGGTGTATATCTCCTATCGATCCTGAACACATTCTGAGCTTGGCCTCATTCCGCTTTCCAACACGATACTGCTACAGCACATTTCTACCCAAATTCGTCTTATACACAGCTACCACAATGTTCTATATCTTCTACTTCTAGACTCTTTCTCCTATTATTCCCACTTTACTCCACATCTCTTTCCTGTAAACGACACTATCCTCTTTTGAAGCCATGTCAGAAGCAACACTGTCAGAACGCGGGAGAGTCATGGCTCAGGCCAGTACGAGGGCTCGCATTGAGCCACTCCTATCCAACCTTTACCATCCAAAGGACAACCCCGACGGTATAATCGACATGGGCACTGCCGAGAATGTGAGCCAGGCCGACCTCTTCACCATGACGTCCATCACTGTTACTAATTTGACAGGACAGCACCCCATGACCAAAGACGTCTCAGACTTTGCCAACAGCAACATACGAACAATTCCTTCCGCTTTCACCTACGGCGAAGGTCCTTGGGGAAGCAAGCGTCTCCGAACCGCCATGGCCAACCACATGAACAAGTATTACCACCCCGTCTCTGAAGTCTCACCTCAAGACTTAATCTTTTCCAATGGTATCACATCGTTACTCGACCTTTTCGGCTTCGCAATAGCCTCGCCCGGTGACGGTATACTAATCTCCCGCCCCTCCTACCACGCCTTTCCCGCAGACTTTGGCGCCAGAGCAGAATTCCAATGTGTATTTGTGTCTTCTGACTCTGATGACCAGTTCTCGGCTGCCTGCGTACGCAACTACGAGACCGCACTTCTCGAGGCCAGAGAGCGAGGAATATGTATACGCGCCCTGCTTCTGTGTAATCCGCACAATCCACTTGGCCGCTGCTACCCGGTGTCCACAATCATTGCATTGATGCAATTCTGCGACAAGTACGGTTTGCACTTGCTTGCTGATGAGGTGTATGCCCTCTCCGTCTTCGACTCTTCGTCCCCTCATGTACCTTTTCATTCCGTCTTGTCCATCGACAGCAGCGCCCACCTCTCACCGAATCACTTGCACGTCCTCTACAGCATGAGCAAAGACTTTGCTTGCGGAGGATTGCGACTAGGATGTCTATACTCACGCAACACGGCGCTGATGGACAGCATATCCGCCATCTCACACTTTGGACAGTGTGGAGCGCTAAACCAATTATTCGCCACACAAATCCTCGAGGATACAGATTGGACAGAAGGCTTTCTCGCCAAGAGCAGAAAAGTGCTAAGAAGTAAATTCGAGACTTGCACGCAACTTCTTTATCGCCACGGCATCGAGTATTCCAAGAACGTGAATGCTGGGTTCTTTCTTTGGGTATGGCTACTGTATTCCATTTCCTTTGTCCTCCACCCTGCTCGCTTCCTTCTACCTGACTCCTTTCTCCGCTTTGCTGTTTCCTCCTTCCTTCTGTCTTCTCAAGTATTGACGCAGAATCCAACAGATAAACCTTTCCCCTTCCTCTCCCTCTCTTCCCATACCAATCCCTGGGAAGCAGAAAACACACTCCACGCCAAACTGCTACACGATTACAAAACATACATTACACCAGGCAGTACATTGCAAGCAGAGCAGCCGGGATGGTTTCGTTTGGTCTTTTCTCAAGAAGATGATGTCTTGAATGAAGGGTTCAGGAGGTTGTTTGATGCTATTGGGGTTTAGAGGTGAGGTGTAACAGAAGAGCAGAATAAGAATGAGAGGATGTTTGCGAGGGAGTATGTCATTTTGTGTCTTTTTAATCATGCGGTGCATGCGCTCCATCTTCTTGTGAATGCGCAGTTCTCTACAACCTAGGGCTGAAGCTCCGAGCTATCGCCCTCTAAAGCAGTCGAAGCATTTTCAGCACCACGTCGCCCCAATGCAATACTGCCTTTGCCCAGAAACCATAGCATAACCACACAAGGGATGGCGGACACGCTGACCACAGCCTGAAATATCAGAGCACATGTCATGGAACCTTTAGGTTGCGTGTAAAGAACGCCTTTGAGTGCATCCATGACAATGATAAAGATGGCACCAAACAACTGTCCTCCGGCCCAGCATATTGTACTGCTCACTTCCGGACTGGCGGGATACGTGATCTCGACCAGGTATTCGAGCGCGCAGGGCAGCAAAGAGAAGGAAGCTGCTCCCAGTATCGCAAAAGTGATNCTGTAAGCGCGATTAGCATGTTTCGTTGCAAAGAGTGGAATATTGCAGTCATTGTCGCATTGCAGAGTGCTATCCGAAAGCGGCAGACCACCATTCAGAGCCTTCATTTTGTCTCGCGTACTTACATATGGTCCTGCCACTGTGCGTGTCTCGGGCATGAAAACGAGCAAAACATAGCCAGCCGCTATCAGTGGCACCAACAGCGTGATTGTCAGCAGGTATCGTTTCGTGCGGTCGACGAGTGGAGAGACGATTGCTGAAGCTCCCAGACCGACAAAAATCAGAATGGCACCAGCTATGCCGGCGTCTGTCTCGGTAAAGCCATATGGTTCCAATATCTGGTTGATTAGACTTGACACGGCATTAAAACAGCCAGTATATACCCCAAATGCGGTAAGTACGAGGAAAAAAGCCTTGTTGGTTTCCAGTAGCTTGAGTGATCCGGTTATATCGAGCTTCTGTATGTTTCCAGAATAGGAAGGAGGAGACGGTGGTTTGGAAGGAATGAAAAAGGAAGGTAAGCATGCGATGCATGACNNTAGATCATGTTAGGAGATGCAAAGGATTTCGAAGACTATTAGACTTACAACAATCGCGGTGTAGAGGACCATAGTTGGTACATCTGCTGGATTAGTTGCCCACATGGGGCCAATGAGTTGACCAAGCGCACCACCAAGAGGATTGGCTAGCGAAGCTATAGCTGTAGCGGACACACGGCCAAAGAGACCTTTCTCAGGGAACCATAGATCACTATAACGTGTCGGTGCAGCCAGCACAAAGGGTTGAGCGAAGCCTATGATGACCTGACCTAGGACAACGACTGGGAAGTGACCATGAGAGCCAGCACGAGTACCGGCATACCGGATCCAGTTTCCAACGAAAAGCAAAAGGGCGGAAACGACGATTGAAACCTTGGAGCCTCTGTGCAAAGCCCATATAGTGAANTCTGGGGGCAGGGCGTTAGTCGTAATTTGAAACTGGTAGGTGGATGCGTACGGAGAAGCAGCGATAAAGGCGAAGAGGAAGCCGGTACTCAGCCAATTGATGGCGCTTTCGGACACTTGGTAGAACTCGGCAGCAGTGCTCGAGACGGCCGAGAAGGTCAACCANCTGCTGGCTATCAGTAAAGTACGTATGAAGATATTCACACAAGCGGTTAAACACACATCCCAGCTGACGATGATGTTGAGCAAGACAAGCACAGATAGGCCGAAAAATCGTCGCTTGTATACTTTGTATTGGACCGGATTCGCGAGGCCTTCATGAGAATCGATTCCGTTAAAGTCATGAACGGTGGTGGTTGGATTGAGAGGAGCCATTTCGGATTCATCGACATCTGGCGAATGCGAATAAGAGTCTAACGAAGCACGACCATCCATAGCGGAGGAAGCTGGTTATATTGATCGAGTTGATGCACGAGGTTGTCACGAGGCGGCTTCTAGGCCATGCCGAAGGCTGATATGTGCGACAGCTTGGCGTCAATATTCAATGCAACAAGGAAGGAGCGACCTATCAAGACAAGCTAGACGCGACTACCCTTTCCTGCCCTGTACTAAAACACAGGACACGTGTCGCTATAGAAATGCACAATAGTCTGGAGGAACAGTGCAGCGTCCACTGAGAGGCAGACTTTTGTTAGCTCTCTTTGGTATACCATTGATGATGAAAATCACTGTGCCTTTTTATGGTCCAAAAGTCGCCTGCGTTGTAGTGGAGAAGGAAGATGATAGACTTGTGCACAACGGGAAGCCCTGGACTTCCGGATTTATCGTTGCCGCATGCAAGAATTCAGGAGTAAGAGTGGGAGAGTGCATTCAGCTGACAGAAAGACGGCGTTGGAAAAGGACGCGAGTCATGGCAAGTGACGTCTTGGTTGTACATTGATAATCCGACCATGTCTGGCGGCGGCGAGGTTCCAACAACCATCACTCCTAAGATCAGACACTCTTTGAATCTCGCTTCGAGAATGTTCTGTCTCGACTTAGCAACCTGCGACTAATCCAGCAATCACCGCCTTTGCCCAGTCACTTCCGAACCTACAGCGACAAAGCAGCAGAAAGGCCATGTACCAGTCATTCACCGGAGCATCGCGTCGACCACGCCAGGTCAACCTCTCGGGCAAGAACTCAAACCCCTTCGCTGCCAGCAATTCTTTCGGTGGCCCGCAGAGCGCCGTACAGAACGCCCATCAAGACCGTCAACAGCGCCAGAAGCAACGCCAGGAGCTGAATGCCGCCAAGACAGTTCAAAGAGTTTGGAGAAGTCACAATGTGAGAAGAAAGACAAGAGACGGATGGCGCAAACAATGGGATGATGCGAATACCACAAATGTCGACGCCGTACAACGCTTGAACGCTCTCCTGCTGTTCTTCTCGCCTTCCAACGACAGTGACGTTCAACGCCTCATCGCCTTCGTCTCTGACCACTCGCTGGACACGACTGCCTCGAAACACCACTTACGCTTGGAGAAGGCCTGCTTGGATGCCTTGGGCCAGCCGAAGCCTCACCGTGAGAACGACCTGCTCACAGTCTTGACCTTCCTGGCCACCACGATACCACACGAGACATCTCTGATCTCACACGGCTACTACACTACTCTCTCCAAGTTGGATCAGTCGTCACACACAAATCTCCAACAAGCCGTAGCAGCCNCCCTCAGCTCACACCTTCCCGCTGCCTACGAAGGCTTCGCCGCCGCATACCTCACCACTCCCNTCGACACTACCACACTCGATTATCTTGCCAGTACGCTCGACTTCTTCACACTTGCTCAGGCCATTTCAAAAGTCTCTACGAGTCACACGCTCGACACAAGACGCCGTCTATGGCTCCTCGGCCAGTTTATATATCTCAAACAAGACCACATACGTGCCTCGGACTATGTACCAGTCGTTGCCCACCTTCTCTCTTCCTTGGCCGAGATTATTGCTCCAGAAGCTCCCGCCCTGGATATGACAAACAAAGATTACGATCGACTCGTTCTTGCCACAAACCCTGCCCGTGTCCATCTCAATCGCTTCCTGCGGGACCAGCTCTCGCGCTTGGTTGATAGAGATGCAATCAGTTCTCTGGTGCCAAGACCTCTTGCTTCTTCGGACACGTCGATGCTGGACGACACATCAGATTCGCAGCTCCTGGCCAGCTATGCCTTGATATTGCTGCGCATCTTCCCTCTGCGTGCTGATGATATTCGCATGTGGCTATACGTCGGTCCACTAGATCAGGCTTACAAAGAGGACACTGTCCCTGCAATTGCCTACTTCTGGAAAGGAATGCGTTCGACATCTATCTTTACAAGCATATACAAAGACCCACGAGCAGCTGTCGAACTCCTGAAAGCACCAAAGTCGTCTGTTTCTGCTTGGAAGCCGCCTGGATATGAAGCTGAGCTCTCCAAAAGAAACGAAGAGTGGCGTGTCATCCTCATCTTCCTTGAGCTCTTTACCTTCGTGCTCAAGATCACGGATGATGAAGAGTTTCTCGGCGCAAAGTCAGGCACGAGTCTGCGGGACAGTAAAAATGCGCTTCCCATCGAGGACCTCAAAGATTTGACTGTTTTCTTGAGGAACATGGGCTTCTCAATGTATTTCAACGCCCAGGAGGTATCCGAGTCGTTTGAACCAAGCAATGAAGCTCTTAGTACGGTCAACCTGAGCCGTCATTTTGGTGGTAAATCAAGTGCTGCTGAAGCAAAGCCTGAGGCGCCACCGCAAACCATCTCAGTAGCAGGTACCGTTGGCATGAGTCTTGACTATGTCAAAGGTCTGGTCACTGGCTTACTTCGGTCGGTATACGAACGAGATTCGAGAAGAAACTTCCTGCCGGCAGGACACTGGTTGATGACGTCTCGACTCGACATGACTAATTTCATAACAGCCGTCGTTAGTGAAGACGAACGTCGTCAACAATTGCAACGACAGGCGGCCGACGAGGAAGACGAACCCGATCAACCTGAGGCGGCATGGGATGAGGCTGAATTCACCTCCCTGACACGTTCACAGCGAAATTACCAACGCAACAATCGACAAGCCAGCACAGTACGATATCTACAGTCAGTCGCGCCCCGGTTGGAGATTCTACAAAATATGCCATTCATGATTCCTTTCGAGACGAGGGTACAGATCTTTCGCGAATTCGTCCGTCTGGACATGATGGTTCGAAGAGGTGGACACGTAGATCCAGACCTCTGGCGTCATAGAATGGCGTTTGGCTCGCTGGGCGGTACGAATTCAGATGAGATTGGAAAGCATCATGCAAGCATCCGCCGCAAGAACGAGTTCGAAGATGCATACAGGCAGTTCTACAAGCTTGGTGATGGCTTGAAGGAGCCGATCCAAATCACTTTCCTAGATGAGTTTGGTCTACAAGAAGCCGGTATCGACGGAGGAGGTGTGACCAAGGAGTTTTTGACCAGCATCACCACAGAAGCGTTCAATCCCGAGAAGCTCTTGTTCACGGAGAACAGTCAACACTCCCTATACCCCAACCCAACCAGCGTCGAGGCTCACAAAGAAATGTTGCGACTGTCAGGCTACTCTGAAGACACAGAAGAGCACCGAGAATCTGTAAAAGATCTCTTGCATCGTTACGAATTCTTGGGACGTGTCGTCGGTAAATGTCTGTACGAAGGCATACTTATCGACATCAATTTCGCCAGCTTCTTCCTCAGCAAGTGGGCTCTCTTCGGGGGTCAAGGCGCCGCATCGAGAGAGTCTGGGTACAGAGCGTCAGTCAACGACCTGCGAGATCTTGACGAAGAGTTATACCAAGGACTGATGAGCTTGAAGCATTACCCTGGCGACGTTGGCGAATGGGGCACATACTTTGCCGTCAACAGCACAGTCACCCTGCCTAATGGTCGTACCAAGACGATCGAGTACAACCTCGTCCCTAATGGTGCAAATATGCTCGTGAACCGAGGAAACCGTCTCTGGTACATTGCAAAAGTTGCCAGCTACCGCCTCTCGGGTCAATCGAGCCTCCAAACCACTGCTTTCCTCACCGGTCTCTCCAGTATCATTCAACCAAGCTGGCTTAACATGTTCAACCAAAAAGAACTCCAAACCCTCATCGGCGGCGAATCATCAGACATCGACGTCGCCGATCTCCGTGCCAACACTCAATACAATGGTGTCTATGAGATCGGCACCGATGGTCAAGAACACCCCTCCATCCAGCTTTTCTGGCAAACAATGCTCGAGCTTCCCGATGCGGATCGGCGCAAAGTGCTCAAATTTGTGACTTCGACTCCTCGTGCTCCGCTGCTTGGGTTTGGCTCGCTGAATCCAAAGTTCACAATAAGAGACTCGGGCGATGACGAGCATAGGTTCCCTACTGCGAGCACCTGTGTGAATCTTCTGAAGTTGCCGAGATTCAAGAGTAAAAGGCTTNTGAGGGAGAAGCTTTTATATGCCGTGAACTCTGGCGCTGGGTTTGATTTGAGCTAGAGGAATTTGCATATTGGGCTCTCATGGCGTTTTCTTGTGGGACCTGAGGAGCGTGTGAGTATAGGAACATATATAGATTCGGTTCAATACAGTTCTTTCTGTCGAGCAAACAACGGAACCATCTTGGATGTCTGGGTCGGTGTCCGCGCGCAACGGTATCCGCGGGCAATTCGAATATCGCTCTTTACATACGTGCGTCAAATAAGGTTTCAGGGTCTAGATCTACCTGTGAAGCTCGCCAGTGCGCTAAAACCCGTATCAAACCGAACGAGTATGTCTCCAGAGCTAGGGCCAGTGTATAATGATGTATATTCGGATACGCAGGGCCGACTCGCGGGCTGCTCAATCAGAACATGGTTCTAGGGTCAGCAGATATCCGCCCAAGCTCCGCAGAACACGACTTCTGTAGCTAGGTGTCAACTTCTGATATATGGATATCAAATGTTGAACAGGAAAAAGCTGGTGGAAATAAGCTGGTGCCTGGCCCTCATCACCTTACCCCTGTTTCCAACGTTTGACACGTTGCCTTCCGACCAAAGTATATCTCGAGTTATCCCCGGACAGAAGGCTTAGCTTGCTCATCTGTATGGAGTTCATACTAAACATATCATTGTACGCGTACTGCATTTTAAGAAGCCTCGTATCTGGATGCCGAATCAGAATAGCCATCCGTTCCAGATCAATGTTCGGACAGGGGATCCAACGATGTGGCTTGTCTGCGGCATTTCCTAGACCAAAACATAACCAAGCAGGATGTAAAATCAGTCGCGGTGCCGGTCACCACAAGACTTTGCTTCAACTCTCCTCCTCGATCTATCATTTCAAGTATACAATCATACGATAGTACACCCAGAGACACCCTCGCGCGAGCTTGCTATTTATCATTAAAAGCATCGTTCGAACCGCTGTATCTCCTCATCTGATTGCTCATATCTTCTCTTCGATCGCTCACAAGCATGGCGCTCACCAAACTGGAAGAGAACTTCAGGAATTCTGGCCACAACCACGCAAGACTGTCCAAGCTTGTACCCTACTCTGGCCTCATACTCACTGTCACATGCGTGGTCATCTTCCTTGTCCGAGTCTACATCCTAGAGCCGCTCGTCAAGCGCTTTACAACACAGTATAAGCTTCTTGACCAAGCACAACGAAGAAGTTTTATCAATCATTATGTGGCCGCCAGCATCAAACTCATCCTGGTGGTCGTCGCCGTCTATCCTGCAGTCATGATCATCTCTGGGCACAAGAACCTGCAGTCCTCTTTTGGTAGCCAGAAAATCACTTATGGAGATGTGCTTCTCTGTGTCTTCGAAGTCTTCACGTCAATGTACATTTTCGAGCTCTTCTACCGCGAGAAAGTCAGCTGTATTAGCGCTGCTCATCACATCGGCGCTATCATCATTACGCAGACTGCCACTGTGCTGTTTCACGATCCGAAACACAGACAGGACGCTGGACTTGAGTTTGTCCTCTGCTTACTTTGGGGTATGAGTTGAAGACCCCTATTTTCCATGTTTGATACTGACGGCGTANCAGGCATCTTCGACATTCTCGCCGAGTTCTGGCCACACGCTGCCGTCATCATCTACCGTACCTGGCCAAACCAGCACATGATGCTGGCAAACATCTTTCTTGCGACTGCAATCCTTGAGGTCATCGGGACTGTAGTTGAGACCGTCACCGTCTTTTCCATTTTCTTCTCGCTGTGGAAAGAGTGGACTATCGAGTTCAAGGTGCTGAGTCCGACTTTGCATTTGCTGTTCAGTTGTGCGCAGCTGTGGGGTGCAAGAGTATTCTGGCTTATGTCGCAGCAGCACCGTAGAGCTGCTGATGGTAGCATCGTGGAGGAAGTTGCTTCGAATGATGCAGCACCTGCTTATCAACAAAGGATAGTTATCGGCAAGGAAGAGTCATGCAAAGATTACAAGAACGGCGAGCAGATGGTGTGAGTCTTTGGTCGAACAACCGTGATCGGTTATCCGTGGAACTAGGCATGTCTACGGTCTTCCTTAACTGCGAAAATCCCCTGACTCCATGTTGACAGTGTTCCATCTTATCCGCCTATAGAAATGCATAGTAATAACGGGATTGAGCGGATGGCCATCGAGATCATGTTAATCTCGCCACTATTTCTCCTTGTGATTCTCACCATCCTCCTTTGTGTGTTTCCGTATACTCTCTTTATCTGCTTCTCCATTCTTTCTTTTCTCTCCGCTATCTCTTCTGTTCTCCATCCTATCTTCTTTGTTTCCTCCCTAAGCTGCTACCGAAAAAGTCTTGGACAGAGGCGACTTCCATCGTCCTCCTCATCGTACTTTTCGTTATCGCAAGGCTGAACGATAGATGCAGAGAGGCCGAATTTGATGTTGCTATCGCCCAGAGGTAAGTCATGGCTGCCTGAGAGCGTGCTCTTGGCGCCCATTGGCAATCTGATGTTGCCCGAAAGCAAGATGATGTTGCTCAGAGACGAGTTCTTATGGAACTTATGCTTCTATTCTGCGTCATATAACCCGTACACGTCAAGGTCTACATTTACAAACCACGTGAAGTGACAGCCCCACCTAAATGAGTCACACTCATCTGATCTGAAAGCTGCATTTCTGAGGATGAAAGCCTCCCACAAACATAGTCCACATGACTTTACTACCACCACGTTTGGCGCCAGCCAAAGGCCCTCAACAGACTAACCACACCAGATGGGCTCCATCAATTCCTTGCATCGATGAGACCGAATTGTATCAGACCATCTCTTTGCTTGGTGTCTTAACACGAGCGTCTACAGGATCTTGAACTCGACGGACGAAATCAGACGGTATTGGTGGTTCCAGGCAATTAGCAACCAGAAGTTGCACCAGGTCATGGTCAAAGTGAATTGGTTGTTGCACGAAGGCGAGTTTGCGCATGGAAACCTACTGGATGAATGGAATCTGTTCCAACTGGCAAACCCTGGCTATCAGATGACGGACCTATTGGACTGATAAGCTGCCTGAATCTGACTTGAAGTTTTGTGATGAGTGGAATTTCTATCAGCCAGAAACAGTATAGTCTATTTGAAGCACAAGTGTTTTACCATTCTGGGAATCGTGCGCTTGTAGTCCGCATCACTTCCTGTACTGCGCCACTTCGCCAAATGGCTTATCACCATCTTCTCTCGCGAACATCTCATCAATGAACTTATGCCTCCTCAACGCAACGTTCCAATCCGCATACGACGCCTTATCTCCCTTTGCGAAAGCCTCATACAGGCGTCCAACGTTCTGAGCAGGATGGTCGAGTGTGCTATACCCGTCTTCGGGCAATTGGATTGTCTCTGCCTCTTTCTCGCCGGCTCTCTTGTATTTGATTACGAGGCCTTTGTGTTCGATGTCGAAACAGCCTCGAGGGTTTGTAATCTGGATGTCGCCTTTGTCGCCGTTGATGATCCAGCGGCAGCCAGGTTCGCCAGGGAAGGCTTCGCCTGCACGCATCTGATATGTCAACAAGGCTCCAGACGAGAAGCGACCTTGGAGATGGATGTTGTCAGGGGTGTCTTTCGTGATGCTGTTGACGATTTTTCTCGACTGGGCGGGATCTATGAGATCCATAGTTGGGTGATCGTTACCCATTATACTGCTGAAAGCTTCAAGTTCGCCAAAGACTTCCAAAAGACAGTTTATGNNCCTGGGAACTGTTAGCACTGTCCTGGTTCTTGACGTGACACAAGTCTCACTGTGCAGAAACCAGATGGTCGCGAAGTTGCCTCCGGCTGCGCGTTCTCCGATCACTCGGAAAGAAACTGGCACTTTCGTGAGAGGAAAACCTGTTGTTCCGAAAAAGGTTGTACTCAAAACTTTGCCAATCTTGTCTTCTGCTATCATCTTCTTGAGCAAGTGGACAGCTGGGTGAGCTTGGCCTTGAGAACCAAACATGGTTCGGACACCTCCCTTCTCAGCTAGGTCCACCAGCTCTTGCATCTGCTTGAGGTTTGATGCCAACGGTAGTTCGGTGTAGACGTTTTTTCCAGCCTTGATTGCTGGGAGCAATACATCATAGTGATTTTCGACACCGACCACGCAGACAACCAACTCGACATCGGAATCAGCGGCTAAATCTGCTGGAGAGCCATAGCTTTTGACCGAGTCGGCGAGACCGTAGTGTTGGATCGATTTCTTTGCACTGTCTACAGATGAATTGCAGAGGGCGACAATGTCGAAGAGGGCTTTGCCTTGTTCTGATTGTAGGTATGGAAGATGTGCAATTGCAGCCCAATTGGTTGCCCTTGACGCAGTGCTCAGGCCGACGAGTCCGACTTTGACGGGTGCCATGTTCCTGGGGATGGTGATCGAAATAAGTTTGTAGAAAAGATTCTATGCTGATTGTGTTGTTCATATATATAATCTCATGTACCCCTCCCTGCAGCGTGCCACAATGACGGATGAAGGTTGACCCGCGTCGTGCCATGGATTGTGATGCATGAAGCCGGGATCGGCGTAATGTTTGCACCGTGCAGTGAGGTTCGTTGTATTCAACTTCATTCCAGATGATCATATTGTTTCGATTTTCTTGTGGTCACAACACAAAGCGTCCGATAAGCTGCGAAAATCTGTACAATTTTCAGAACCAGCAATGTTGCATTGATGTACGCACCGCAGTATTGATAGAGAACAAAATCCCACATGAATGTCCCATCCTGTCATCCTCCTTTTGATCTTGCTCACATCCTTCGATCGTTGATTCTCGGATGTACTCTCCTTACGGCTTCAGGCTCAGCGATGGCCAAGCGATTCGAAGCATCGCCTTGCATCATTGCTCCATACTTGACTTCCCTCTGACCGACTTCTCGAATGAGTTGTTTGACTGGAGCATTGGCCGCACTTGGATGATCGAGGACAGGAGCACGGAAAGCGTTGGCGATCTCGAAGGGCCCGAGAGTGACATCGCGACCGAGTTGCCAGTAACCCCAGTAGCTGGGAAGCACGCAGAGAACGCAGAAAAGGATCGAAGCCAGAGCTCCCCACATGAAGCCATGATTGGTCTGGTAGTGAATGCTCCTGCTGTACTGTGTAACGTTGACTGCTTTGGTGATGGTGTAGTTGTTGATGTCCCAGCCATTACTCCATGCATCAGAGGCCACAGCAAACATTAGTAGATTGATCTGCCGTATCGTGTAATCCAATGGGTCGCCGAAGTTGAAGTCACACCCTGTGGACCCGTTGCGTGCGATCATATCGAAGGTAAAGGGTTTCATATCGGCTGATCCGCTCTGAGCCACTGACCATACTCCGCGACTGTATTGCAAGGTACTTGTTCCTTCGAAGAAGCGCTTGAAGACCCTGGCAAATCCTCCAATGACGGTCGGTGCATTTTCGATAAAGACCGAATGGTCTTCTAAGATATCCTTGTAAGAAAGGACGTGGTGATTCTTGAGCTGATTCAACTTCACATCGTACTCTTTGCGACCTTCCTGGTCATCGGCGGTATAATATCCATCAGTGTAGTTATCTGTGTACCAGACTTGACCATTGTAATAAGTGGTGTTGTAGCCAAGATACAGATTTGACTTGGGATTATCGGAATCTGCTGATTTAGTGGTGTCTTCGACGGTCACAGGATAGCGAATAATGGCAGGTCGAAGGATGCAACTATGTCGGGTGACTGTGCCTGGACAACTGGTCGAGTTACTTGCGGATGCGGTTGCGTTCGTTGAAGTAAGGTTCATGATGATCCTTGAATAGTCGCCATCGACTCCAGTAGCGCCGTAGATGACTTGGAATGTGATGTCGAAAAGGGTACGCTCGCCAGTAACGTTAAGAGATGACGGGTTGTCGGATTGGGACATTGCGGTTACTTCTTGGGAGACAGCAGCCCCATAGTCCATAGCAACCTCTTCGCTCTGGCAATCGAATCCGAATCCAGCACCAGAAACGTCTGACAAGCAGATTCCATCGCATTCAAACCCATTGCTGCCGAACATGCCTTCGTTGTGAGACCAGTCACTGACATCTGTACTGAATGTATCGAACAAAGTTGATACGTTTCCAGATCGATCGCCAATGATCCCCGTGAAGGGCATCGTATCGTTGATGTAGAATTCACGCGTGTGATTGCGTGCGGGATCATCACCGCGACCGACCCCAGCAGCTTTTTGCAGCAGTATACCGTCAATGATGGTGAGCTTCGCAGAAAGAGCTGCCAGGGCGATGAAGTTGAAGTATTTGCCATAGAGCAGAATGTCCTTGATGCTCGAGCTAAATTGCCAAGAACGATGGAGCTCCTTGATGGTGGCGCCTCTAAGAGCTTTTCTCCACCATGTGATGGCGACGCCGTTCGCAATAGCCACTCCAAAAGCGATGTTTGCAATGCCGTTGAAAGCGGAAAGTAAGACACTGGGTCCAATCTTCTCTGCCCAGTGTTTCTGCTTCTTGTTATCAGAGACAAGCAGCACGATGAGCGAGCTGTTCGCGCATAGGATGACAATTAACAGTGCTATGGCTCCATTCCAGGGGAATCTGGCTCTCATTCCTGTTCTCCATTGAGGGTCAGGAAACACTTGCTCTTCGTTGTTGAGCGGGACCGCGTTGACTTGTGGTTCTTCTTTGCCGGTAGACATGTTTGGGAAAGTAAGGATAATGGGATGATTCCTTTCCGACATCCAAAAGGATGGGGGTTATATATGGTCAAGGGAAGACATGGTCAACTGGCTGTTTGTAGCAGATGAGCTGAATCCGGAGTATCTATGGCCATTTTCCAGATTCTGTCGCAGCTGGAAGTATACGCTGAGCGGGTCTTCTCATGCCGTACGTACGCTCAGGAGGATTACAGCTGGAGGTGAGTTGTAGCGCGCATGTAGACTTGTTCACAGTATGGGCGTCTTTGATGGTGTGCTTGAAGTCTGGAAACCGAAGACTGATCGAAGATTGGATTCACGACGTCTCGTCGGCCTCGAATGGACAAGCAGATGGCTTGTCGGACAGACCGAATGTGCCGTGCGTGCAGCCTCAGAGGGTGCATCATGGCTGTTCAGCTGCGTCTGGTAAAGTAAGAAGAAGCTGAAACGCATAAGGAAGTGTAAGCGTGGCGCAAAGGCGTTACAGAACGCCTGAGATGCCATACAAAGCGGACGTTCAAGCCGAGCTTCAAGTCCTCACATTCCGAGTTTCCTGTCGCGGACTCATGTGAGTCTCATCGGACGACATGCAGAAGGCTCAAGATATCCTAGGCTTCCAGTCTAAGCATACGCGATGCTACCGGTCGAGAAAAGGAAGGAGAAAGCGCAAGGCAGCTCCCAATTCTTTCCCCAGCGAGGTTGATCGTTCTTTAGGCAAGCGGGGTGTCGTTGCTCCAAGCTGATGGAACGCGCTCGGTTCCCCACCTTCGATTCTCGACCTTCAGAATCTTCTCTGCTACATACTTCCATCTTGCATGAAGTCGCACAAAACAAGGAACTCCAACGCGATCGGATCATACATCCAAGCTGGACCTGAAGCGCGAGTGTTTTGCTTGTTCCTTGAAGATGCCGAATCAATGTCATCTCTGCACAACAAAGCTACGTTATATCCTGGTCAGTAAGTGCCTGGAGTGCCGCTAGGAAGTTTGCGCAATACAGAGCGTGCATCCGAAAAAGCCTACCATCATTCTGCGTCTGCCAGCTGTTTTCAGCCCTGCGACGAAGGCTCTTCCGCGATTTTGGCGAGTGGATTGGGCAACGCACGCGGCCGAAAATTAAGCATATCGCTCAAGGCATGGCCGAGGCTCTTATCAGGGCTGATAGACCGATTTGGACAGGTACGTACCGACATCACGCAGGCGCGGAGGGTGAATTAGGAAGAAGCATGATCTGAAATTTGTGATTGGCTAAGCGGCATGGTCACCACGTGAATACCGCCTTCAGAAGCTGAGGTACATGCAAGAGAAACATACTTACCACACTTCGTTTGCATATTAGCAGCGCTGCTATCACATACCGGAGAGCAAGAAGTCAATGCACAGTCACGGCTACTCAGCTCAAGAAAGGACAATGGTGTTTGACGCGCTTGGATCAACTGCTTCTTCTGGAACGAACTGGCTCACTCGCGAGCAGACATAGAGGAGCTGCACAGACGGAGAGAAGCTGAATGCCAACCGTGGAGCTTCTATGTTGACATTCCTGCAACAATATATACTGTACCCTGGACTGTTTTCTGGTCAGCAGCACATCGGCCTTTCCTGGTCGGCAGCACTCCTCTCGATTACCTTCTGTTCATTCCGTCGTTCTGTCTACCTTCACAAAGATGGCTAATGACGAAGCTATCATACCCGTCGACATCTTGACGTACGGTGCTGTCGACAACAAGTTCAAAAACGATGTGACAGTCACCGCTACCGCCATCGATTCGCCTGATTCGCCTAAGCAACGCCCGACTATTCAGCTTCAAGGCCGCCGCAGGACCACATCATCCTTGGGCCAAGCGGAGCAACCAACTTCGCATCAGACCACCGATGATACCCTGACACAGATTGGCAACCTCTTCAAGAAGATTCATGGCTTTTCTATCATCACGCGGTATGCGTTGTATGTTTTGCCAGTCGCAACACTCTTGGTCATTCCTCTTGCGCTGTTCGACACTGTCTACAGAGACGCAAGAGCTGGCAATATTCGCCTTCTTGGCTTTTTTATCTGGCTAGAGATCGTCTGGGTCGGCCTTTGGGTCTGTAAGCTACTGGCCAAAGCATTGCCTGTCGTCTTCCAGGCTGCATGCGGTATCGTGAGCACAGGCATAAGGAAATACTCGCTTGTTCTGATGGCCCTTGAGATCCCCATCAGCCTCTTCCTTGCCTCCATCGTCAACTGGGCCACAGTACCTGTGATCTGCTCCTTCGATCAAGACCACTGTCACGACCAATGGCTGGTGACGCTTCACACCGTCTGTCTCGCGACCATCGCAGTCGCTGCTGTTTTCTTGGCCGAAAAGTTCTTCGTGCAGCTCATCAGTATCAACTACCACCGAAAACAGTACGACAGAAAGATCAAAGACTCAAAAAGACTCATTTCAATACTGGACATGATGTATGATGCTTCGCGACAGTTATCACCGCCTTTCTCACGCGAATTTGCGGATCTTGATTACGACATCTTCGACCCTGATACTTCAGGCATCAAGAAGAAACTTGGCCAAGCCGGCATACGAACTACCATGATCAACGACATTGGCCGAGCCAGGGACAAAGTTACCTCTGCTTTTGGCAACATTGCATCCGAAATCTCAGGAAAAACCATCTTCAACCCGAACTCTGCCCATTCCATCGTCATCGGAGCACTTGAGACACGTCGTGCTTCCAAAGCACTGGCACGTCGCCTCTGGCTTAGCTTCGTGCCTGAGGGTAAGGATGTGCTCCTAGTACAAGACATCCGAGACGTGCTTGGAGCCCACCAAGCTGAAGAAGCTGATGAAATTTTCAATGCTCTCGACAAAGACTGCAATGGCGATGTCAGTTTGGACGAGATGATCATGCTCGTCATGGAGGTTGGCACTGAACGCAAGAACAGAGCCTCGAGCATGCACGATATCAGTCAAGCCATCGAGGTGCTCGATCGTATGCTTGTCGTCGTGGTCTTCGTTGCTATTGCTTTCATCTATGCTGCCTTCTTCAGCAAAACCCTTGCTTCCAAGACTGCTCAACTCTGGTCTGTCCTTACTGGTCTTGCATTCGCTATTGGTGGTACTGTCACCGAGTTCCTTGGTTGCTGTATCTTCCTCTTTGTCAAGCATCCTTACGACGTTGGTGATCGCGTCGACATCGACAAGACTGAGCTCATTGTCGAACATATCTCGCTCATGTACAGCGTCTTCCGCAGAGTTGACAACGACAAAACCGTCCAGGTCTCTCATGCTGTTGCCAACACCCTTTGGATTGAGAATGTCTCTCGCAGTAAAGCAATGAAGGAGCGCATTACCCTTGGCGTATCTGCAACGACTACATCAGCAGATATCAATGCTCTACGCGTTGAATTGAAGGAGTTCGTCAGGGCAACGGACAATGCACGAGATTACCAACCTGATCTTGACGTCGAAGTCGTTGGCATCGGCAATCTGGATCACCTGGATCTTATGATTGAAATCAGACACAAAGTAAGCTCAATCAAGATGGCGCCTGAATAACCTGCTAACTTTACTCCCAGTNCAAATTTCTCAATCGAATCTCTGCGGGCGTCCCGTCGGAATAAATTCATGATCGCTCTTCTGGCCGCTGTCAAGAACGCGGGGATCGAAGCACCATGAGCTTCAGCTTGAGCTTTGCGATGTTCACTCGCGGTATATATTCCCATAAACATACGTTCTCAATCGTTCTATAGCTCTTCATAGGTACATCCTCCTCAAGTGCGAGGGAAACAGTTACATCCTTACGAACGGCTTCTCTCCCAGACTTGTATTAAAATGTCGTGGCCGTCCCACGAGAGCTCGACCCGGTATACCCTCCTGCCCCTACGCTCAGCCCAGTCTGCGATACCTTCGAGTATCACGGCCTCCAGGTACCTCCCCATAATGAACGCACCCCTCGAGGCAAGAGGAACGTGCTCGCGAGGTTCCAAGGTCTGGTCCCACCTGCCTGGCGGCTCCCACTAGATCAACCGCGCTCTCACACTGACGTATAGTGCCATGATATGCTATGAAAATACACAGTCGCTTTCTCGATAGGGGTGTGGCCATGGAGATGCATAAGGATGACCTTATCTCCGTGGCTCTCGCTTTATGTTGATCAACATTGTGCATTTCTATAGCTATTTTAGTTGTGTGACGCACACAGGGAGGGCACTTCCGCGCGCTTCAAAACTCCTCGAGTCTGGACTCTTGGTCGAAGTTGTACGAGTTTCCATAGCCACGATTGAGATATCCATCCAAGATTGCTTGTTCGGGCACAAGCGTTCGCTGAATCTGCAGATCTTGGTCCTCGCGCTCTAGTACTGTTTCCAGCTCTTTAGAAAATTGAATGGTCACTGCATTGCTGCCGCAATGTATCAGCGTTACTGTTGAGAATGTCGAATAGTCCAAACAGTCTTACCGATACCAAGGGGCGAAATGGATCATGGCAAGCATGACCCTAGCGTCATCGCTGGAATTCGGCTTCCCGGCATGCCAGAGTCTAAGATCGCGAATCACGATCGAGCCTTTCTTCACCAGAGGTTGACAGGGCGCTCGTTCTTGTCTTCGTTGCTCAAGAAGGCTCTTTACAATACGACCGCTAGCTCTGTCGCCTTGCTTGCCTTCTTGTGCTGCCAGAGAAGTGATGTTGTGGGTGCCCAGCCATACCTCTGTGCTGCCGTTGTTGACGTCCATGTCGATCAGTGGGACGTTGACAACTAGAGCAAAGGGCGATTCGGGATGGTCGAAGTCTGCATCGGTATGGACGGGCTGGGATTGTGGCTCAATACCTGGCGCCGGCGGGAGTGCACTGTTGCCAGACATGAATGTCAAGCGTGGTTTGGGACCGAGTACGGAAGTCGTGACCTGGGTAGCCAGAGGATTGAGGAAGATTGAAGAGTCGAAGTCGGTCTTTGTCATGGGAGGATCTTGCTGAATATTGCTGGCTGGGTGTTAGACATGACATTGAAGTTGCAGATTACAGATCACAAAATACCCCTTGTTGTAATTGAACGGACTGTCGTCACCGAGAGCTTGGAGCTTGAGAGCATCTCTGACCATAGTCTTGTTGAGAGCTTCAAGTTTGGAGTGCTCAATGGCATTCTGTAACACAACCAGTCCATCACGGTGCAGTGCACGTGTAGCCAACTCAAGGTTGTGCCATCCCAGCTTCCTTGCGGCTGATTCTTCTGGCGTAACTGAAACGGTGACGGGTGTCGAAGACAAGTTGCGATAGAAACAGCTTCTTCCCACAAGACTGATATGGCGAGCAGTGGTAAAAGCGCTGGTCTTTGATGTTTGTCTTGAAAACATGGTATCGATGGCTGATGTCGAGAAGGATAGGTAGAGTATCGAAGTTGAAGGGTTGAGGTGTTGCATCAAGGAAGGCAGAAGAGCCTTCTTATAACAAGCTCCAGTCCCGTGTGACCTTACTCCATGGCGATGCACATGCGAGTGCTCGCCAACGCTAGCCAGGGAGGGCAATGTTGACAGCGGCAGCGGATTGATCATCTCGGAGCTGCTTCGCCTACGCTAGCACAATGCGGAAGTTGTCGCCGAAGGACTATCGTGCATGATCAACAGTTCCAGAAAGTTTCCAAGTCTTCTATGATTCGGTGGACTGGCCATCCGATCTCAAGGCTGCTGGTCAGTAACAGTCGCTTGAGCACTTGACGCTGCAGTGGACATGTCAAATATCTTCCACCTGCTCCAGTCAGCCTCAAACTTCATTCTCTCCGTGGGCGGTAGCTAGTCATAGTGTGTTGTAAAAATGCAACATGCTTCTTACAACAAGGCGATGTCCACGGAGAAAAAATCATGTTTAGATATCTCCAGGGCCACGGCCCTGTTCAGGAAGTAGCTGTGCATTTTGATAGCATCGAACAACGCTCTATGTCGGTGTGGGATAGAGGTAGATGGTAGGAATGTGACAGTATTTTACTTGCAGGGAGGATCATTGGACGTGACGACTTACAGAAAGCTATGGGTCCAAAAGCATTGACTCTCGCGGCTTTGTTCTCGTTTGTATAGGCTATACCGCACAACCTCTGCACGTTCTTGAGATCAGGTTCTGTATCTGGATTGTATAGCAGCAATAAAGTCTTTGCAGTCAAGTAGTACTGTTCAGCTGCAACTNNGATTGTTGTTAGCAGTCAAATCGTCAAGACGAAAACTTTGCACTCACTGTGCCATGGTCGTAGATACCATTCAGACGGGAAGGGATTGTCTGATATCGGAGCCCGCGAGTATGCTGCGTAGGTGGTCGGTAGATTGTTCCTCCAAAACACAAGGTCAGCGTTTAGTTCTACCCAGTCATCTTCCTTGGAACCTAGGGGCTCTCCGTTTTCGTCTCGGTCGAAACAAATATTGATTACACGTGCCAAGATAAAGGTGATGGTATTGGCGTGCATGCTCTCTAATTGAATGACTGCAGACCGAATATCGAGGTAAACGTTTAGCCGTACTGTTCTTCGACACTCCAGTGCGACTGTGATCTCCTCACGCAGGTAGTTCCAAGCGCCCGCCTGGAGCAAGCCTGTCGTGGTCATGTCAATCTCTTCTGTCGATGAGAACCGATATGCACCTAAGAGATGGCGCTGCTCTTGTCTTGAGTCCGCTGCAGGAAAATAAGAGGAAGTCCCGTAATATCAAACACACCATGAGGTACCTCTCAGAATCTCGTATGAGCGCAACAGGCAGGCTGCTACCAGATAGTCCTCTTGCAAGGTCGAGTCGAAGTCGCTGAGCCCACTAAGAAGCCCTTGTATGCAGGCGTTATGATACAATGTGCTGCAATCCTCGTAGCGAGAATCCGTCAATGCTCTGTGTTGAGCTGANAATGCAATGATGGCATTGAACAAAACCGATACTTCCAGTGCTCTGGATGGGACCAGAGATTCGAAGTAGCGATCGTGCTCACAGAGATCATACCAAGGTGCGAGATGCTCGATATAATGATGATATAGACCAGCGATTGTTTCATTGCGCAGGTCTTCTGTAGGGCTGACTGGGTCCGGGACTTTGAGGCGTAGGTTTTCATCAGGGTTTGTCGTTTCCGAATTTAATTGATGGTTAGCTGCATCAACAAATCCTGATTGGTTTCGTATCATTGCCAGCTCTCGCTCGGGTTCAGTCAAGGTATGTGTCGCTGTGTAGACAACGAATCTTCGCTCCGGATCTGGCCTTTCGCATCGAACACGTCGTTTCGCACATCTTTGGCAGACAGGTCGGTCGCCATCNACCTATTTCGGCGAGTGAGCAGTCGCAAGTTGGCCAGTTCCTAACCCATACATACACTTAACTTTTCGTTGGCGACATGTGAGGCTGGGATGTCATTCAGTCGAAGGTATGTTGCAGGAGCGGTCGCATTTCCCACCAAGCTGCACGTCGTCAGCCGAGACTCTGGATCCTTGATGACCACCTACAATCTGGAGGCACGGCTCTCGGCATCGCGTGGAAAAAGTAGTTGAGGAAGCGGTTGCTCAAAGGGTCCAGATGGACTGTTTCTCGTAAGGACTGCGACGCGTGTGACGTGAATGATCAAGTTTGGCACGGATGACGTGATGGCAACCTGATGGGGTCATGCCAAGATGGACAAAGCACCAGCAGGGTGATACGCTTGACAAGCATTTCTCGCATCGACGACGATGTTCTGACAGCCATGTAGGTGATCTCGAATATCTGAATTGACAAAAATGTACAGTAAATACCTAAAACAGATACATGTTAGCTTCGTATAGATCTCTGATGATTTGATGGTGCAATATAGGGATTTGATCATTTTGACATGCTTGTCCAGAAAGACATACTGAAACGTTTAGAACACGCTGTCAATTTCACGGATTATGAGACCAGATCCTCAACTTTTCCATTTACGATATCGAGGACCTCTCAAGCGTCCTGCTTGAATGCACTTGGTCTCTGAAACGCAGAACCTGTTATTTAAGCACACCATATTCCATGTTCCATCAGGTATAGCAATATGATACATTGGACGGTGCAGCATGTTGAGGTAAAACTTCGGCAAAAGGCTTGGTGTGAATATCAATATGATGACGTGTTCTTCACTCATCTACTCTTCATCAACGAGGCCTCCAAATCTGCCAGAATCTGCATAGTAGAGATCGTCGACCCTTGCAAATCTTTCGACGCCAGCTTGTACGGCTTTCGCGGTAAGAATAAGCTCTGGTCATTGAGTCCTGCTGCTGGTCCGGCAAAGTACGCTGTTCCGTACTTTGTCGTAGCAAGACCCTTCTTGCAAGCAGATTCCGCTTGCGCGACCTGGCCCTGAAGTTGACGAGCTTCGTCCATCTTCCCTTCCTGCCATAACGAATACAACTTTACTACTGATCTAGGAAACACGTTGCCGATGCCTGTGACACAGCCCATACCGCCACTGATCAGGCACGGAAGCAGCCAGTCCGATTGACCGGACAACACTGCGAATTGATCTGGCGTGTATTGCGCAGTCAGTGTAGCGACTTTACCGGCATTGGCGCATGTGAGTTTGACTCCGACGATGTTTGGGTGTTTGGCCAGTCTCGAAAGCACATCGACACCGAGATCGATGCCACTGGTCACACCAGGNGAACTGCGTTCTGTCAGTGTTTGGCTCATGGCTGCAAGTTGAACACGTACGTTGTAGACTACGATTGGGATCTGGCTGTTATCTGCCACTTCCTCGTAGAACTCGACAATCACATCGTTGGTGACGGCCTTTGGCCAGTAAGATGGTGGAAGCAATAAGCCAAAGTCTGCTCCATTCTTGGCCGCATCATCGACCAGCTGCAGGGTCTCGTTTGTGGATTGACCACTGATGCCAACCATCAACGGAAAATTGGGCTTGCCGACATCTGCCGCTGCCTGTCGAGCAGTCTTGATCAGGTCTACGCGTTCCGACGGCGATAGAAGTGCGGCTTCTGCTGTAGAACCTTGGAGCACGAGGCCGCTGACCCCTCCTTGAATCAAGAAGGCAAAATATTTCCGCGAGGCTTCGAGGTCGACTTCTTGACGAGGCGTGTTTTTGTATAGCGATACCACGGGACACCAGACACCTCCGGGAACAGCACTGTCTCTTGTCGACGAAGGCATGATTGATTTTTAATTTGGCGAGGGTAGGTATGATCGGCCCTTCAACTCAGTCAGATTGATTTTGTGTGATCAAAGTCTTGGTCTTGTGCGAAAGCAGATGATAATGAGATGCTCATGGATCAAGAATATGCCGACCTCGGGCAAGCTCGCCGCGATCAGACTCTCGACACGGTGTGGTCCCCGCACCTGCGGCAACCAGTTCCGCAGCCTCCCCGCTTTTCTCGGAGGTGAGCCTGCGACGGTCTTCTTCGCCGGCAGCTATCACTCGCAAGTCTCAATGCTTGATCCTAGGAGCTCCGAACTATGTAAAGAGTGTCCGCGAACTTTGTCTTGAGATGGATGTCACGTATTGCTGTTTCGCGTCATTCAACACCATATTCTACCAGTATGTTAACCCGGTTCATATTACAAGCTGAAGCTAAAAACTATCAAGGCAAGGAACATGGCAGCTATATACGAATTCACCCTAAACACTGGAGCCAAGATTCCTGCAGTAGGATTTGGTACTTGGAAAGCAGCTCCTGGCGAAGCAGGCAAAGCAGTCGAAGCAGCATTCGCCGCAGGATACCGACACTTCGACTGTGCTCCATTATATTTCAACGAGCTGGAGATTGGGGAAGTCTTCAAGAAGGCAACCATATCGCGGTCAGAATACTTTGTCACGACAAAGTTGTGGTCTTCGGATCACCAAAGAGTTGAGGCTGCTCTAGACAAGTCGTTGCATGATCTTGGACTAGATTATGTCGACATGTTCTTGATGCACTGGCCGGTGACATTGCCTTCAGACACCGGTGCAGACTACGGAAAGGAAGACCGCGAAGTTCATGTCGAAGGCTGGGACTTCACTGATACGTGGGNNGAAATGGAGAAACTATTGTCGACAAGCAAGGTTCGCGCCATTGGAGTTGCAAACTTTTCGACTGTCGACCTCGAGAGACTCTTGAAGACAGCAACCGTTACACCAGCCATGAACCAGACAGAGCTACAGCCCCTGCTGCCACAGAAGAAACTCAATGAATACTGTCGATCCAAAGGTATTCACCAGACGGCCTTTGGTCCGCTAGGCGGTACAGGTAGTACACTCCACGAAGAACCCGCCATTACCGAGATCGCCAAAGCAAAAGGTGTGGCGACTGGCAATGTGATGCTCAGTTGGGGTCTTCAGAAAGGATGAAGTGTTATTCCCAAGAGCACCAATCCAGACCGCATTGCTGCGAACCTTCGAAACAATGTGGAGTTGTCACAACAAGAGATGGACAGGATAGATCAACTGGCTGTCGAAAAGCCACATCGTTTCAACAAACCTGATTGGGGAACAACTGTGTTTCATGACGACCCGTAGTCCAGACACAAAACGTTTATAATTTCTTCCTCCCCGTGTGCTAAGGTATGTAACGCGTGTAGTCATAGAAATGCATAATGGTAAGGAGAAACAAGGCAGTACCCACCGAGAGCTAGCATCCTGGCGGCTCTCTATGGCTTGTCCCTTGCTTTAGAAAAGAATTATGCCTTTCTATAACATACACTTTGCTTCACGCTCTGTTGGGAGAAGGGTGGGGTTACAGACTTTAGCACACGGGGAGGTTAGTTGAGAAAATCGAAATCCAGGTCCTGGAATGCAAAGCCTGGAAGGTCTGGGAATGGCATCATGTTTCCAGCTTGTATGTCAAAAGATATTGCCATTCCATTGATGTCAGTGACAGGTGCAACCTCCAACCCAGATCCTGGCGCATTCAGGAAGTCCATTGCCACGAAGGGGCTGCCGTTGAGACCAGAGTCAATGCCCAGAGTCGTTGTGAATCCTTGGAGCTGACGCATCAAGCCTGTCGTGACGCGAGTGATGGCATGGTGCGGTATCGCTTTGACTCTTGCAAATTGCGCAAGAACAGCACGGATGCGAGGCAAATCTACTTCTAAGTTCATGCCCAATTGGTCCCTGTGTTTGGCGCATACTTCGAGCAGGAAATGTCCAGCGAACGATATCATGATGTGGAAATATTGGGGCATGCCAAACAAGTTGCTCTGGAATGCGTGATCCTCCAAGACGATGTTGAAAATGTTTGTTGCAGTCTCATAGGCTGTCGCTGCTGCAGTCAAAAAGTGTGTTGGTATTGAGTCATCTTTGAGGCCTCGGAAGACATGATGGCCGAGGAAGAGCTTTGCAAATTGATAATGCATGCGAAGTCCAGCCGCAGGAAAATCACCTATGTCTGGATGTGATGCTAATNNATGATGTCAGTCTCGAGAACATCCGTAGAGTAAGGAATACCCACCAAAGATCACTGAATGATGCGAATACCATTGATCCAACTCCCGAGTAAAATGATTGAATTGAATGCCCAAAGACTTTGCCAGCGGCTTCCTCATATCAGCTCCGAAAGCATCTCGGATTTGACTCATAACGTGTAGCAGAGACACTTGAGAGATAATACGAGCATCCTGGGAGGTCAAGCCTCCGCTTGTGAGAAACCAGTCCATCTGCTCGCTGAAATCAGACTCCTGTCGCATAAGAGGGTCGCGGTTATGGAGAATGGCCTGATGTTGGTCGCTAATGAAGAGAAGGTACCACAACCGAATTCGATCTCGGTGCTCGGTCTGCTCATCNGATGGGGAGGATCCAGAAGTTGTACTGAGACGGTAGAAGTGACGGTGCAAACGTATATCCGCTGCTCGCCGTATCGCATCACTGGACAAAATACGTGATGCGTTCATCATCCAGAAAGAACCAATGCAGAGGGCTCGGATGTGCTCGATATCCCTTTTCTCAAAAAGTGACGAGGAGACAAGATTGCGAAACTCTCGATTGCAGGTCTCGAAAGTATCCCGCTCACCGTTAACGTGAAGAGCTGCGACGGCGCAAATGACCGCAAGAAGTGTAGGCGAGGCCCTGCGGAGATCCTCGGAATTCTTGTGGTGATTGGCTATGCCGTATAAAAACGGGTCAAGGTGAGAGAAGTAGTGCTGCGACAGTCTTTCAGCCGTCGCAGCAGAAATTAATCCCTTCGTGATCAAATCAGAACCGGTGACCGTCCGACGGCGACCGAGATTGGGGCTGTTTCCAGAAGGACTTGCATCTGTCTTCGCGTTCCCTAGGATTGTATCAATTGGTGCATGCACATCCGAGGGAGAAGCAGGAGGTGAGAGCTCGCAAAACTCTTCTTCAGCAGGTTCTGAGATCATTGGTAAAGTATTTTGCGACTCAGCAGACTCAAGGGTGGAGGCCATGAGCTGTGGAGCGTCTAGAGTGAGACTCTCGCAGACACGGCCTAGAACAGCGTGGATGTTCTGTACATCCTTGCGAAGTAAGTCGATCTCTTTGGCGGTAACGCCGACTACNTCTGTAGCAGTGTGGAGAATGCAGTCTATGCCACGTCGCTGGCATCTCGAACAAGGAGGCTGTTCGCCAGGCATGTCGCATCTTATCTTCTGCTTTCGACACGCGGTACAAGCAGCTGATGTCTTCTTCACGTCTCCGGTATTGCGCTTCGATTGCGGTTCCGTATCGTCGATCGCCCCGGCGACATCGCTTCGCCTTCGCTTGCTAGAGGCAGACATGTTTCATTGGACGAATGTTGTGGATGGACTTGAACAGGAACAGGCACGAACGAGAACAGAAGTTGCAGTGGTACTGATTGCCGACAAACCCCGGACCCCCGCAAGGTCACACTCCAATAGACGCCACATTCTCCACTCTTTTATTGACTCGACACGGGGCTTCAACGCTTGGCTGTAGTCGCCGGGCGGAAGCGCGAATACCAAAGTCACCTCTGTGTGTAAAGACAGTCACGACCTTTCGATCGATTCTTCTCTCACACTGAACTACTATAAAACAATATGCTATAAAGATGCACAGTGTCTTCTTATACAGAAATGTGATTAAGGAGATGTCTAAGCAAAACCTTCTTCCCCTAGATACCGTAATCATCGTTACTTTTCCATCTCTCTGATTCTAAGACTCTACTACACGTTTTGTTATCATTGTTTACTACTTCTCTACTCTCTAACCTTTCTTCGTGTCTCCTCTATTACCTTTTTTGATATCTCTTCTATACTTCCCTACTCCCTTCCTACTCTTACTTCCCTTCTTATTCGCTCTTCTACCATCTGTTGTAACTTCTTAACTATCCCTTCTACTTTCCTTGATCTTTTCTTTTTTTACCGTTGATTCTTCTCCTTGCCTGTCGTATCAGAAACATAGAGTCCGGAATCCAAAAGTACGTAGGATCCATTACCCGTATCTTGCTTGCCCGCTTCTAGATCTATATTGTCCATTTGCACGTTTACGTTATCCGTGTACCCATGATCATAGCATTAACGTCGGCATTGCATAAGCAAGTAAATAAAATCTAAGAAAGAAGTCGAGCTCATACGCTTATTATAGTATGTAGCAAAGAATTTGGCGTGTTCATCGATGTCCATGAGCTCTTTCCACTTGTCTTGAACTCCTCCATATTATCTTTGATATTGCACATGATCGGGTCCATTGCAGTAAGCATGTCGATCAACACCAAAGACTAGAAGATTATAATGATGACCCACTAACCAACATGTTACGAGGATGACTATATGCGACAAGGTCATGAAGTCCACCGACATTCGAACTATTTGGGACCATGAGGTCTTGTTATTCACATTCTTGTAGGGCAGGATATCTGCCAGTGCACTAATCAAACGTCTATCAGTTGGAAGAAATGCACGAAGGAAAAGAAGGAAGATAGCATAGAGTCATACATTCCATCGCGGGTGTCGCTTCGATCATGAAAGAGAAGACAGCTGACAACAACAGTTTCTTGCGTTCAGAAAAGAAGAACAAAGAAACCCACAGAAAGCAGAAGGTAGTCATAAGCTTAAATTGACAGCTGAAGATGACTTATCGCGTAGAGATCGTGAATATATACATAAGCTACACAAAGGCGTGGTCTCAATAATTGATACCTCAAACCCTCTCAACATGCACTGCAGCACTCTTGAGCTTGTCCTCCAACTCCACGCCATTGTCAAGCTTGCCCGACTGGATCATATCTTGCACGTCGTGCCTGATCTTCTCCTCTTCGGTGGGGTATGCATGTCTCCACATGGTCCAGAGAGGACGCTGGAAAAGATCGTCCATCGATTCAATGGAACGACCCTTTAGTTCTGGTAGACAGAAGAAGATGAAGACCACACCCGCATATGTGAGCATGGCATAGAGAAGGAAGATGCCGTAGCCCATCTCGGTGATCATGTTGGGGGTTGCACGAGTGATGCCGTAGTCGACGATCCAGTTGACGAAGAAGCAGATCGACATGCACACAGAGCGCTGGTAGATCATTAGCATGTGGCGACTTTGGCAAAAGCGACTGGACTCACGNATTCTGGTCGGGAAGATCTCAGCTGCTACAACATAGCATGCTACAGAATGTCCGAAAGACCATCCGAAGGCATAGAGGTAGATGAAGACCACGCCAACAATGCCACCCGCTGGCGTACCGCTGACGTTCTCGCCTCCCTTGCCCGCAAAACGTATGTAGAGTGCGAGGTACAACATTGAGGTACCCTGAATTGTGGCTCCGACGATAAGCGGAAGGCGACGGCCAACGCGGTCTACGAGATAGCCGACATAGAAGATCGTAGTGACCACTTTGATACACCCGTAGACACCNCTGAATCGTCTATCAGTACTTGAAGTCTGTCTTTTGTTCCGACGAGTTCATACCGTGGTCAGTAGTGTTGTTGAATTTCCCTTGATGCCGATGAGCTTGAAGATTGATGGTGCGTAGTAGTTCAGGCTGTCTGTGCCTGTAAACTTGTGGAAGAGGAAGAGCATGACAGCCAAGAAAAAGCGCTGGAAGTTGCTTCTGTTGGTGAAGATGTCCTTGAAGATGACCAGATAACTGTGGCCTTGATGGGCTTCTTGCTCAAAGCGCACTTGTGCCTCAATCTCTTGATATTCTGTCTGAACGTATGGGTGCTCGGTAGGTAGCTTTCGCATCTTGGTAAGGTTGGCCAATCCCTTCTCCGACTTGCCATGGTTGATGAGGTAGCGAGGTGTCTCGGGAACGAATGGGACCATCATGCACATGAGAACCCCTGGAATGAGTTGTATGCCCATAGAAACGCGCCTGATATTGGTTGTATGATTAGCGTGTGCCGTGGCGATTGCGATGTCAATGGAACTTACCACTGAGTGTTATCATGATTGACTCCTCGAACTTCCAGAGNNAGATACTCCGTAGTTGATCCAAAATGCCAGCATCAGTGAAGTCACAATCATAAGATTGTAACTGGCGGTCATGGATCCTCTGACAGATTTGGGGGCGTTTTCAGCTAGGAACTGTGGTGCCAACATCGAGCTTGCACCGACGCCCATGCCTCCGATGAAGCGTCCTGCTAGAAGTACGTCGTAGTTGGCAATCATTTGCATGACAGCCCCCACGACAAAGACCACACCCCAACCAAAGACAGACCACTTTCGACCAAAGTAGTCAGACGTGGGAGCAGCACACAGGGCACCTGCAGAGCCACCGGCGGCGAGCATCGCGGCGATATTACCCTATTCATGGTCAGCCAGGTGTTAAAAACGGTACAAGAACTGCACCTACCTTGCGATTNNGTCCAATTCGACCTGCGTCAAGCCGGTAAGACCGAATGCGTTCTCGAACGATTTCAAGGTAAGGATACCTCCGATGTTGCCAGAATCAAAGCCATAGAAGCATCCAGCCCAAGCAATAGTGACAAGGAGATAGAGCAGGCGAAAGTTGAAAATCGCTTTAGGGTCTGTTTTTGCCTCTTGGCTGGCCCAGATACTAGTGCCACCACCCATGTTGTGTGATAGAGAGTTGTTGAGGAGATGGAGATGGAACTGAATATAGGAATGATGATGGATGTCGAGTGTACGACTAAGTCATGTTGAGAAGAGACGTTGATATACCTCTGGGGTACATAGATCGTTGTACCGCCTCGAGGCGGTGGCAGGCCCTCCGCATTGTTGCTCCACGCTAAGCAAAGATGATCACCTGGGGTGGTGCTTATCTCGGAAGTCCCCCGCGTAAAACTCTTTTTCGTGTGCGGGGTAGGCCGGAGGAGGACTGCCGACTTTCTCGCACCCTCATGCTCCGGCAGCGGCAGTCGAGGGAAGACTCGCCGGATGCTATGTACCATCAGTAACTGTATAACAACCTGAATCTCTGACACTATAGACGGACGACAGACAGACAGCCAGACCCTCAGCCCTCGATCAATCCTTGCGACAGTCGAGATTATCTCAAACATGGGTTTACCACAGACATTAGCCGCGCCAGAGGACGCTATCTTGTCCCAAACAGCGGACCCATTCCAGCATTTGGAGAGTTTTGTGCCACCCGCGACAGCACAATGCCATGCCTCAAACCTGCTTCTCCTCGACGATGGCGATGTCTTGTGCGCTTGGTTCGGTGGAAGCCAAGAAGGAAAGCCCGACATCAGTATCTACCTTTCCAGACTCAACTCGAAAGCAGGTCACTGGTCGCCTGCCAGCAAGGTGACCTTCGACCAGACTCGCAGTGAGCAAAACCCTGTCTTGTTCAAGACACCGCAAGGAGAAATCTGGTTGCTCTACACATCACAAAATGCTGGAGACCAAGACTCGGCAATTGTCAAGCGACAGACATCTAGAGACGTTGGCAAGACTTGGAGCTCGCCCGACGTCTTGTTCTCAGAACCTGGTACATTCATCAGACAGCCCATGATCGTGCTCGAATCTGGATCTTGGTTGATTCCCATCTTCAAATGCCGAACTGAACCAGGAACCCGCTGGATCGGCAATGACGATATATCTTGTGTCAGAGTCTCTGAAGACAATGGTGAGACTTGGACCGAGAGAGAAGTCCCAAACAGCTTCGGATGCGTCCATATGGAAGTACAGAAACTCAAAAATGGCACTTACCTGGGCCTTTTCCGGAGTCGCTGGGCAGATAATATTTACATGTCCACATCTGACAACGCTGTCGAATGGACCGAGCCTATTGCCACTTCCCTCCCCAATCCCAACGCAGGTATCTGCTTCGACGTGCTACCGTCTGGAAGGGTGCTCGCAATCTACAACCACTCATCAAGGGCGGATGCACAGGGTCAGCGAGAAGGTCTCTATGATGACATTGCTGAAGTTGGAGATGATCGCAAGAACCAGAGCAGTAAGCATGGCGGCAAGAAGGCATTCTGGGGCGCACCTAGAGCTCCACTTTGTCTTGCATGGAGTGACGACGACGGCAAGATCTGGAACCACAAAATACTCGAGGACGGTGATGGATACTGTATGACGAACAACAGTGAGCAGAAGCTCAACCGAGAGCTCTCCTACCCGAGTATGGCTGTTTCAAAAGACGGTACGGTGCACGCTGCTTTTACCTACTGGCGACAGAAGATCAAGTACGTTCAACTGAGCCCAGAGGTGACCAGCTCTCTATAGATTATGATTCTGGTAGTCAAATAACTAGAAAGCTGATTAAGTCAATGTACTACTCCTCACCCAAGCTTAAACAACAGCACTCTGATTGATTTGATGTCATGCGATCTTCCTGACACAAGAGATTCGGTCTGCGATAAACGAAGTGTCTGGTGAAGACCGTCTCCTACGAACATTGTGTCTGGAGGGTACCAAACATCTCTACGCTACGACAATCTCATATGCATAAGACCGTCATGATGTAACTGAATACAAGCACAATACTTTCCAAGAGGGGGCTACGTTCATGGAAAGAGCTGTTATTCAGGAAATCGCTATGGTTGATATCACAGAGTAGATTCTGTCCAGAAGTTGAGCGGCTGCAACAGGTACTGGGAAACCGGATTCTGCAGATTACGTACATCAACTACATGAAGTCCTCCATATAATCGTTAATAGTTTGAATCAACGACACATCGCCTTCGAAACCAAGGCCGCTTGCCTTCGAGCTATCAAACACTGCAGGCCAAGAGCCGACGATGTTCTCTACTGCTTGGTCCGGTACATCTACAACTAGTGCAGCGGTTTCTTTTCCTCCTACAGTAACAAGGGCTTGTAGCATTTTCTCCACAGTGACTGTGTGACCTGGCAGGTTGACGATTCGAGAGCCAGAGCCAAACTGTTTGTTGGGAATATTCTTGGCTGCGACAAGATTGCGCACCACTGTTCTTGTGGAGCAAACCCATAGCTTGGTGTCTCGCTTCACTGGAAGCGTTGATTTTGTCTTGTTCAAAGGCTCCCGAATGATGCCGGAGCAGAAGGAGGATGCAGCTCCAGATGGTTGACCTGGGCGTACGATAATGGGAGGAGGATGTACAATCCGTGCATCGATGAGTCCACGTCTTGAAAGGTCATCGAAAAGCAGTTCCGTCATGGCTTTCTCTGCTCCATACGATGATCTGGGCGCGGTTCTTGTTTCTTCGTTGACGGCAGTGTCGTCGTTTGCAGGACCAAAGACAGCAAGGCTGTATGGGAACACGACCTTCACGACATATCCGCGCTTGGTATTGCGTAATGAATCCGCGATATGTCTCATAGAGTCGAAATTCACACGAAGTCCAAGGTCGTAGTTGGATTCCGCAGCGCCTGACATGATTCCATGAAGCAGATAAACATGGCTCAGCTCGTCGGTGAAAAGCTCGTCGTAGGTCTCTTTGATTGTCAAGTCTGCTGCGAGACTGCGGATGTTTGCGGTCGTAGAATGTTCGGGAATCTCGGGTTTGACAACGTCAGTCAAGATGATTGCGGCAGAAAGACTTTCTTGCAGCAGAGCGCGAGTCAAAGCTTGACCGAGGAAGCCTGCTGCGCCAGTGATCAAGATGCTGGCATTTTCCGGTCGAGTGGCGTGCATTTCAATGGTATTCGATGGAGAATGGAATAGAATAGGAAGTCGTATGCTGTGTCTGCTGTGGGAGAATCTGTGCCTATAACAATCTAGATGACCACAACATATTCTAGCATTGGGTTACCACTATTGCAAGGCCAAGAGGGCCTTTCTCTTCCGACAATCGGATTCGTACGTCGAGATTTCCGTCGAACACCGGAAGCTCTCCTCCGAATTTATTTGCGACATACTCTCGGCCTAGATCGCCGACCCACAAAGGGGATACATCCACTTGGCAGACTACGGATATGCAGAGCCGAACAGAAGGTGTGATTGTATGTGACAACTGTCGTGAGAAAGGACTGATTCAGCAGGGGAGGGGAGCGTAGATAGCGAACACTGAATTGGGATATTGATTGTCTGAGCAGGCTACCAAGCCTAGTCATATCGCCTGCACTGCTAAGGGACTATAAGGCTCCTCTAAGAACTTCATCTCGGCAGTGGTCAATTCAACAGCGAAAGCTTCAGAAACATCTCCAATCCTCTTCAGGTTGTTCAACCCCATTATCGGACATTCGCCCTTCTTGAGTAACCATGCTACCGCCAGAGCAGACATGCTGCAATCCTTCTCGATTGCCAGTTTCTCCACCCTTTCCACAATCTCACGATTCTGACCTCCTTGAAACCATTTCTTGGTCTTGACATCCTGCTGACTCCTCTCGGTCTGCTGATCGTATGGTCTTGTCAGCAATCCCCTAGCGATCGGACTCCAAGGTATCAGACCAACGCCCTCAGCATTACAGAATGGAATCATTTCTCGCTCTTCCTCGCGATACAAAAGATTGTGTAGACCTGACATGCTCGTGAAAGGCGTCCAGCCGTGCATTTTGGCTGTGTACTGCAAGCGAGCGAACTCCCAACAATGCATACTGGATGCTCCAAGGTATAGTACTTTGCCCATACGAACAAGGTCGTGTAGAGCTTGCATAATTTCCTCTGGGTTTGTATCGCGATCGAGTCGGTGCAGTTGTAGAACATCGATGTATGTTGTGTTGAGTCGACGAAGGGATCCCTCGACAGCTTCGAAGATATGTTTGCGGCTGAGACCCATCTGATTTACAAGCGGTCCTTCGTTGCGCGGTGGTTGTGGTCGTGCATTGGGGTCATCTTCAAGAACCGGGTAATACACCTTTGTCATGAGAACGACTCGACTTCGAGGTATGTTGTAATGCTGCAGCGCTTTGCCGATGATGGTTTCTGATTGTCCATTCGAATAACTGTCTGCGGTCTCCCAAGTGTTGATACCGACATCATAGGCTTTCTTCAACAGCGGCAGCGCTTCGCCCTCTGGCAAGACCCAGGGACTACCCTCCCATTCTGGGTTACCAAAACTCATGCAACCCAGAATGATTTTCGAGACCTTGAGTCCACTGTTGCCGAGTCGCTGGTACTGCATGGCAGGAGTCGGAGGGGCCATGTTCTGTTCTTTTTCTGTTGTCTTCGAAATCATTGAAGATACCTCTGGTTTGGGAACACTGTTGTGAGATCGCGCGATACTATACTTTCATATGAGATGTGTATCGAAGCATCCTTCGTCAACGGCATCCATGCGGGGTGAGGAAAGGGCGGCCCTCGGCAACCAAGCTCCGCACATCGGAAGCAACATCCGCCACAACACGCAACCACAGTATCTTGCTTGCCATCAGGATGCTTCGGACGTGATGTCGCATGTCTTCCGCAATGATATACGTCTGTATGGGACGACATCCACCTACCCTCTTGGTCTCGCAACACCCAGTCTAGCAACGTACTACGTCACCCACGATGGACACTCAAGAGCCTATCCATACTCAACCACTCCTGTCCTTCGATCAGGTCAAGCAGCACGATAACGCTGAAGACTGCTGGATCATTCTATACGAAAAAGTCTATGACGTGACAAGTTTCCTCGAAGAACACCCTGGAGGCTCAGCTGGTTCGTAATTTGCATCAGCTAACAAGAAACATGCTAACACAGCAGCCAGTGATTGCAAGATACGCAGGAAGAAACGCAACCAGCGCATTCGACGAGGTTCATGTGCCATCAATCATCGCAAAAGGGCTATCAACAGAACAATTCATGGGCATGATCGACCCCAGCACAATACCCGTCGTCCCCGAGCCCGTAGTATCGCGAACAGATCTATTGGATGCAAGCTCAAAGCCCCCTTGGAGAGCCTGATCGCTGTACACGACTTTGAAGAGGTAGCTCGTCGATTCTTCACAGCCAAAGCCTTTGCTTTCTACTCATCTGCTGCCTCAGATCTGGTCTCACATCACTTCAATCTCAGCTGCCACAGGAAATTAATGCTCCGGCCAAGGGTGCTACGTAACGTCAAAGAAGTATCTCTCAAGCGTCGAATCCTGGGCTGCGAAACAAGTACACCATTCTTTGTCAGCCCTGCAGCGATGGCAAAGCTGGCTCATCCAGATGGCGAGTTAGCAATTGCTCGAGCATGTGCAAACCAAGGCATCATACAGAGTGTGAGTTGACCTAACAGTCATCGATACGGTACTTGTACTAAGTCTAGCCAGATATCCAGCAATGCTTCTTATGCACTTCCGGAGATAGTCGCCGCAGGGATGACAGGCCAGCCGTTCTTCTTCCAGCTATACGTGAATTCCGATCGATCGAAGACCGAAGCTCTACTGCGAACAGCAAAGACAGTCGGGGTGAAGGCACTTCTTGTGACCGTGGACGCACCCGTGCCTGGGAAACGAGAAGTCGACGAGCGTATTGCAGCTGGAAACCTAGTGTCGGCAGTCAGCGGAGCTGTAGCCACTAACGATAAGAAAGGTGGAGGTTTGGGCAGAGTCATGGCAAAATATATCGACCCAACGTTGGTTTGGGAAGACATCGATTGGCTGAGACAGACGTCCGGGCTCCCGATCGTGCTGAAGGGCATTCAGACAGCTTCGGATGCACGAAAAGCTGTGCAACATGGTGTTGATGGCATCCTCTTGAGTAATCATGGCGGTCGATCGTTAGACACGTAGGTTTTGTCTAACATTTACGAAGAGGTCATCGGCTAACATCCCGTCTGCAGTACTCAACCAGCAATGTTGACCTTACTCGAGCTACACAAACAAGCTCCTGAAGTGTTCGACTCGCTGGAAGTCCTGGTAGATGGCGGGTTCACCAGAGGCACCGACATACTCAAGGCAGTTGCTTTGGGAGCTTCAGGAATCGGAATCGCTAGACCGTTCTTGTATTCTTTGGCATACGGCCAAGAAGGGACCGAGCATCTGATTGAAGTTCTCAAAGATGAACTAGAGGTTGCCTTGAAGCAGGTTGGCATCACCGATGTCAATCATGCCCATCCAGGTTTGGTGAATACAAGTTTGCTTGAGGGCATGATCCGAGGCGAGGAAGAACATACTTGGATTAAGTGGATGCCAAAAGCAAGATTGTAAGAAGGTGGTGGAATGTAATCCTGGACGGACATGCCAATGGATACCTGTTTCTGTAGCTGCCCATCAATACTCATAAAAATACCTAAGGGTATCCTTTTCTCCATGGATCTCGCTTTATCGTAGAAAGTATAATGCACCTCATTTCTACAGCTTACAATAACACAATTAGTTATCAAGGGAAAGGATTTACATCTTGAATACACTCCGCTGTTAGTTTTTTTTCCTCAAGTAGGATCCAAAGGTACTGTAAATGCTTTGTGTTTATTCCGTAATGGTATGTGATTTGTGCTTGGTCTCCTATGACCGATTTCATGTTCTGTCGTGACTTTCTGTAGCTAGTAGACAAGTGCATCGAACAACCTCCGGTACTTGGCGCCTGCCAGCTCTTCTCTATACACAAATTTTTTGAGCAGAGTTTCCATCTGCCCCCAATCTCTAATGCCAGAATTCTGCATCAACGCACTTATGTGCTCGTCTCCGCTCTGCGTGGGTGTGGCGTGGCTGTTTAGTGTCATCTTGGCCCAGATTGCTACATCTTGATACTTTGTGCCCATGAGTTCGTGAGTCTTGAGGTGCTTACAGGCCTCAGCATGGATATCGATGCCTTGTTGGACATCAAAGGCCCAGGTCCCGTTGTGAGCGTTGATGCATGCCCACATGATAGGGGCGTTTGTCGAGATCATGGCTGATCTTATATGGTAGCAGGCATTGAGCTGAAGCTTGTCCCACTGTGCCTCATACGCTTCGTCTGGTGCCGCTGAGATGGAATGACTCGCGCTCCAAGACATGATCTCTATGACCAGCTTCCGAAAATCTGCAATAGAATTTGGTGCAGTGTAGTCGAACGCTGTACACTTGGATATTGTACTCAGAAGACTCAATGCCTCAGGCCGGTCAGTGGGTATGATATGAAAGCCTGGTGGTAGACCTTCGGGCAACACTGTCCCGTATGCCAGAGATCGGCTCGAAGAGAACGCCGTCTCTGCGATATACCGTTCTTGGGTTGCCTCTTGAAAGCAAGTCATTGCCACATCCGCGAGTGCAGTGATACTGGTATCTTCCAGAGATCCAAGTGCGAGAGGTAAGGTTTTCCACGCCTGCATGTGAACCTCGTAGGATTGGTGATCGCCAAACCTGCGCTCCCAGCCAGCTAGGAGAGCAATGGAGATCGAGTTGAAGCTGTCTTTGGGCGTGTGAACAATCGTTTTNTGAATGCCGTCAAGAAGAGCTCCGCGAAGGAATAGCAATCCGCTGCCAAAGCCAGTGTGTAGTTCGTGCCTTGTGAGACCGCAGGTATTCGCATAGGTCCCCGCGACAAACATCGCTGCTTCGAAACAAATAGTACCACCAGTGAAAGCATTCCAGAGCAAGACTCGGTCAGATTTCCTCGCCATGGAGGCAATGGCATTCGCATCTTGAGAACGCAGTCTCGAGAACAAACGCGAGATCGAGTCATAAGCGGCCTTGTCCGCCTGATCTTGTGCTCTCGATGGTGATGTTTCTGTCAACTTTGTTGGTCCTTCTATCGCTTTCTTCGGTCCCAAGGCTTTGCTGATAGACTCCTTTCTTGCGATGGTAGCTTTCCGTGCGCCGGAAGAAGTGTGTGCGACATGCGCCCGTACCACACGTCGCTGCTGCTTGTAGATTCCCAGAGCTCTGCGTTCCTCCAGGGCTCGAGGGTCATACTCAACCCAGGCAAAAGATGCTTGTTTGCCAAGATCGTTGGCCATGTCTACCATCCAATCGCATTAGGCGAGTGACAAAATATTGTCATGAGGCTCGGTGAAGCTCACAAGGTTCCCGGAAAGGGTTTGTGCTGTCCGTGAGCTGAACGGTTTTTCCAAGACTCGCCAAGAAAGAACGAAGTGATCTGACAGCTGCACGGTTCGCCTGCTCGACGCGCGTCTCGGACTATCACACCCCGAGAGGCACACGATGAGCCTGACAAAACAGCCTATGGAAATGCACAATACTTTCCATAGCAAATTGGTTACCACAGGGAGCAAGTTTTTCATACTTGTCTCCATAGCCATATGTTTATTGGGAAAGCAACTATGCATTTTGACACTTCTGAAACACCACATCAAAGTGTGGGAGAGAGGTCGATGTCTTTTGGAGTAGAAGGACCAATATGTGACACTACACACGCCTTGAACATGAATACGAGAAAGCGCACAAATCAGATGTTATTGCTGCATAGACAGAAGTATTTGCAAGACCATCAACATCTAGAACAAACTAAAAATCATTGAGCAATGAAGTTCCCCAATACCGCGCTGGACGCATGCTCTGTAGCAAAGACAACTTGTTGAAAAGAAGCCATGACGCTAAGCCGACCTATCAGATCAGCAGCGCAGCTACACAGACAGCCAGAGCCATGACCATGGCAACACTACTAGCAAGGCTGATGGCGGATCCAGTGTAGGTAGCAAGCGGCGGGCTCGAAGTAGTGGCGTTAGCATTGGGACGAGAAGTTGCGACAGCAGCGACAGTCTGGAGAAGATGAGGTGTGGATGTGTAAGTCATGGTGTCACCCTCGAATGCGACACTGGTGAACGGCAAGACCGCGACAGAAGATGCGCTGGGGAAGGATAGTCTATCGGCTGCAGCAGCAGATGGTTTGAGCGATGAGCGGTTGAATTCTCCGGGTGCCAGAACGCTGAGACCAGTTAGTAGGGACTTCGGTCACCAGGTTCTCGTATGCTCAAGTGTGTAACTCTTCTCCCACCAGAGCGTAGAAGCGAATAGTACGCTATAGAAAGGCACAAGACTTTCACGAAGCAGAGAAGAGGCCAAAGAGAGCTGCCATGTTGCCGACTCTCAGTGGAACACCCTTGTTTCCTGATAGCACTGTACGTTTTTACAGCGACACACGTGAGACATGAGTGCGTGGGGATGTACTACTTACGCATCAATGACATGGGCCACGCAGTTAAACAGGATGGTGTTTGGGAAAGTGATCTTGGCATTATTGACCCAGGCGGACCCGTCAGGCAAAACAGTGAAGGTCAAGTTGGTACCTTGGAGTGAAGGCACGGTGACGTTGCCCAGAGAGGGTGAGAAAATGACGTTGTTGGGGATGATGTGGAACTTGAGAACTTGCTGAAGCGTCTCAAGGTCGGCAGACTCAAGTACAGAACCGATCGATTCGAAAGCCGCATCTGTGGGAATGAAGATGGTGAAGTCAGAGATATTGAGGCCCTTCTGGTCAGGGCCGCTGAGGCCAACATCAAAGCCGAGATTAGCAGCCTCAAGGGCAGCATTCATGGCATGGTATCCAGCACGGTAGGTCCAAAGCTGGAGAGGAGGCCCAAATGAAAACACAGTATCGACTTGATGGCGGTGCTTCATATTATCAGGATTCCAAGATATCAGAGGCAGCACTCGTGCAATCCAGCTAAGATGAAGTTATCGTAGACATAGCACCGCGATCGAGAAATTGCCTCTTTGTTCGTCCTTCCGGTGTTCGATATTGCTGTGGTATGCATGAAGGATCAAGGAGTCTCACAGCGCATGATGTCGAACGGGTTGCTCAGCCATTGCCAAGTCTGCAAAGGAGCATCCTCACCAATTGATGCGGAGACCGATGCATGATCGAACGAGAAGAACGGCCATTTTTCGCCGGTGCTTGTTTGCGGAGAAGTCATGCAGATGGGAAGCGCAAGCGAAAGGTCCGCCCCCTTGGCGCGGGTGGCGTCTTTCTCCTCCGATAAGCGACGGTCGATAATAATGCGACTGTAAAATACACAGTACATTCATGAGGGAGAGGGGGCAGCCGCTGAGAGCCGCTTCAGAAGGAGTTCTCTCTGGACACAGTCTCAATCAAGATTGAACTGTGCATTTCCATAGGGTGTCAAGTGCCTCTGTGTCGCCACAAGAGATGCTGATTATCTTACTCATCGGTCAGTTGCCTGGGACACACCGACGGACGGTCAAATCTCGCCGAGGCATCTCTTTCTGGCAGTTCATCTATGTAAGTCAGTTGCTTGTTCCCCCCTCCATGGCGGCCAAATTTAGCCGGCATATCTATCTTGGGACCACGCTGTCAGATGAAAGCCATCATTACACTTTAATCCTCTTCCAAGCAGCATACGATTCGCGCGCGATATGGGGAAGCGAAATCGAGCATGTGAAGAGTGTCATCGGCTTAAGATCAAATGCGACGTAGCTACCACGCCTCAGAATGCTTGCGAAAGATGTATTCGCAACGGCCTGGAGTGTGTTCCGGCAGCGCCGCGACTTCAGCGCGACCGCATCTACCAGCTTGAAACCCGAATTCAAGAACTCAAAACTGCCTTGTCAGACCAAAGCAGCAACGATACACCGAGCCGATCGCCTGGAAGCTTGCCCATGGACCATGATCAGTCGATGCTGTCATTTCTTGACGCTCGTATCCCACTTGGCAAGCAGCAAGACTTGCTCGACTCCTTCAAGCATCAAGCCAGCGCCGTATGGCCGATTGTTCGGCTAACAAGGGATCTTGTCCAGCTTCGGGTCAAGTCTCCAATTCTTCTCTCATCTATCTTGGTCTATTCTTGTACACATCTGATGCAAGGCACAGAGCTGGAGATGCATGATGAGTTGGTGCGAGAGATGATGCGTATACTTGGCCACGAGGTGATTGGTAGGNGCCAAAGGTCGCTTGAACTTGTCCAGGCATTACTAGTGACTGCTTTCTGGAACAAGACTACCCGGAAGGATCAGCAAGCCAGTTGCTACCAACTCGTGCAGCTTGGTGTAGATATGGCAATCGATATTGGCATTGCTGGATCCTCATGGCAGCCCTCACCTGCGGCATATTTCGCAAGACTTGACGATGCTACGTCTTTGGAATCTCGCCGTACTTGGCTCGCTTGTTACATCGCTCTATCGACGTCGTCTGTCGACATGCGACGACCCAACACAGTTCCATGGGATCATCATCATGAGGAATGCCTTCTATATTTGGAAAACGTAGGGGAAGTGTCCGATCACCTACTCTGTCAGATTGCGCGAATTACTCGGTTGGTGCAAGAAATCTCAAATCAACTGCACCTCTTTCACCTAGCCACGTATGTAGATGGCAACGAATATGGCACTCATGTCATCATTGAAAGCCTCAAGAACAAGATCGATGTGTGGACAGCGCAGATACCTGTATTCCTCCTAACCTCACACTTGCTCAAAGTCTTGCGCCATGTCGCTATGGTTCGCCTCTACGAGGTCACACTGCACACCAGAACAAACAAATCGTCGTTCGCTGCGCCATTCATCCCGAGTCGCATACCGGTCAAAGACTTTCCGACGCCAGAGAACATCATCTTTCCTCTCAGAACAGCTCTCGAAGCACTTGTTCAACACTGTCATGCTGTCATCGACGCCGCCACAGAGATGGATCCCGCTCTTGTCCTGAGTCTACCTACCTTTGCTGTCGCCCCCACTGTCATCTATTCTTTATATGTTCTGGTGACTGCTTTGGCTGCCTCCGCAAGTCCGGGAAATACATATGGGCAATGCTTGCCGAGGAACAGTTTCCAGATCGAGCAGTGCGGGTTCAAGTTGAAAGGGTTGGCGGCGGGTATGAAGATTCTTGATCCTACTATGAGCTGTTGGACCACTCGGTTGATTGATGCGACGGGATGGTTGGAAGAGTGGTACAGTGATTATGCCACAATTCTCCAGCGTTACGAGACTTACCTCACCATATAATATGCAAAAGGCATAGAAGAAAGGAGAAGTAACGAAGAAGACAATATCGTTAAGGCATCTCGATGGTGACGCTTCTTCTTTTGAAGAGACTGTGTCTTTTTATAGCCGATTATCTAACAGTGGTCTAGTGTGGGAGAGAGGTCAATCACTATATGCCAAAGACCATCATAGGTAGCTATAGAAACACAATACTTTTTGGGACAAAGTGAGATTCACGGGAAAAAGAGTATAATTTAGCATCTCACTGGCCACATCTCTGATTGGAAAGCAACTGTACATTTTCATAGTCACGTAACGAGGATGTATCTTAATTTGAGAGAGGTCGCTCAAGTAGGAGCCAGAAGGACCCTCGCATTCGAGCCTGGGGAACGGCCTTGGCTTGGTTCTGTCGACAAGCATATCAGGAAGTTCAGGAAGGGTTGGCTCATCTTCGGGAGCAGTGTCGGCGAGATCATTGTCACAGCCCGCATCCTGTCCTTCTCCTCCTTGTTCGGGCTTGATGTCGCTAGAGTCGTACCCGAATTCACCAGCAACAGCGTCTTTTTCTGGCTCGGGGTCGTTCTGACGAGCACGCCAACCAGTGCCTAGAGAGCTGTCACACAGGCGGTGGATCTCTCAGAGAGTCCAGGTGCGACCGGTTAAACGAGGCTCATAGCCCCAGGGTTTTTCGTCGTCGTCGTCGTGATTCATGGTGGATGTAATATAAAGTTCTCCAACGCGAATGCCAATCATATGTGCTCGTAGGTATGTTCTTACTGCTGTGGATTACGATCTCTGGCGATCGTAATTAACTGTCATTTGTCTCAGGAAACAGACTGTGCAGCGCTACTTTCGTGATTGGTGTCAAGGACTTTTCTTACTCTGACTAATCTATTTGCGTGAATCTATGACTACATAAACACGGCCTACCGCATCCTTTAGTTGATCATCACAAATATTTGAGCCAGCTGATAGACAGGTGTAAGTAGTAGTATATACTAGAGGGACTATTAGAATAAGTAGTTAAGTTAAATGTAGGACCTCCTAGTGAGTTCCTACCTACCTATATACTTGGATAGATAATGAGTGGATGCATATTACTCTATATGCTCTATCATGCTATAGAACAGAGCAGTAGAGTAGAGTAGAGCAGATGGCGTGTTTATATAGAGTGCTCTATTCCGCCAAGGTGCGGGGAACAGCAGAGCAGACTACGCGACCCTGTCATCGGTAGGATCGTAATAGCTTTTGACTCCAAACCTTCGTGTTCTAATGTCAGGGACCGCATTTGACATAGCGAGAGTGAGAATAACGATGGTACGAACATCGGAGTTGCCGCCAATAGAGCATGAGTCTAGAAGCCCCCAGCAACAAGCTCAAAGTAGTTACCCACTGCGCCTGCCCATTGAAGAAAGGAGGTAGAAATCTTCTGGTAGGAATCCGGAGGCAGAAAACTGTCAATTGTGGTATTTGTGCATCGCTGTGATCCAACGGGCTTTTTGTTGAAACGATCCTCGATCCACTGCAGCCACTGATGTCTTGTGGAGTCCATACTCGGGAAGTGAGCTACCCCAGGAAGGGTGACGAATTCAAAGGAACCGCTGTGGTAATTTTCGCAAGTTGACTCAAAAGCCGACAAAGCGTTCTTGTAATTTACACCACCCTGGTCTTCGGTGCCTGAGAATAGGATGACCGGTGCTTTGTAGGGACGATCGCCGGGATTTGTAAGTTGGGTGTACGTTGATGCATACCAAGTCTCATTCCACGCAGGGTTGAGTATTTCAGTCGCATTGGCTATGAATAATAGCTCTGAGAAGTACTGGCCGCCTTGCACCTGATTCAGCAGCTTGGTCCGATTGACTCCCAGTGGTAAGAGCCAATCGGACAGTCTGAATTCGGGATAAATGGACTGCAAGTCTTTGCCGATCCATGGGGCAAAGACCTGGGGCGCTGAGGAGATTGTGTTGATGCCAGGTGCGAAAATGACGGAGCCAAGATAGTTAGACTCCAAATCAAGGTATCTCTCATTGGCATTTTCCGCGAGCAGCTCCGAGACACCCCATGCAGCAGCGCCACCTTGACTGTGGCCGACATTGACGTACTCGTCAGTCAGCATGCTAGGAAATATTTTTCGGGCAGCGCGGAGAGCGTTGAGACTGTCGGTGGCTTGGGCGACACGATTCTGATATTGATGCGGTACATAGCTTCCGTCCCAAGATTTCTGGACACCAAGACCGGCGTAGTCTGTAGCAACGACCGCGTAACCGGCCTGAGCCAGCGTGAAAGGCATAATATTGCCATAAAAGAGATCTCTATGTGCCGAGGGAGAGCCGTCTGCAAAGAAACCGGAGGTGCCATGCGACCAAAGGACGACCGGAGCCTTTTCGTAAGGCCCTGTATCATAGTGCTTGGGTTTCCATGGCCACAAGATATAAGCAGAAGCAGGAACCAGCGTCCCATTAACATTTTCAGTCGAGTAGATGAACCTAGAGAGGGCCGTCTTCGCTGGAATACTCCAAGCAGAAGGATCGACGACGCTTTGCACCTTAAGCACCTGACCGGGACCATTGGGAGGGGCGATGCGGCCGAGCTCGTAGAAGCTATCCTGGCTGGGCCCGCCGTGTACAAGCTGTGTACGGTCAAAATTTAGGACGGTCTCCAGGTTCTCGGCAAGGTCAGGCCAAAGCTGACCTAGCTTCACCTGTTCGCTAGAAAACTTGAACGATGAATTGAACGTGACGTGTTGCACCTCAGGTTTGGGCAAGGTGGGCAAGACTTGGGCGACAGAGCCTACCACCAAGAGTGAAATTGCCGAGGCCGCTTTCATGGCCAACCAGCACGGAGATGGCAAATATTGGTAATCGACAAGGGCAGGAATTGGCAGTGAACGACGACAGAGTGAGCTTGACGAGGAGCAAGCAGAATTGTAACGTTGGCCTTCCAATCTATATATATGCGAACATCCTTACATCACTGCTTCCCGGCATTACCGATGGGGGTGTGAGGCGCAGCCTCATTTGAGATTCATGTCTGTCAGTTCTCTACCAAGTAGAAGGTCGGCGTAATCATGTGTTAGGAAGTAGGATTCGTGCAAATGCGAGGATCCGGCTTTGCCATCCCCAAAGGTGCGAAGATTGGTGATTATCGACTCACGAACTGTGCAACAGCCCAGCGTTCCATGAGCCGATCGTGTTAAGTTCCTATTCACTTATCGCCCTGCTGCATGGAGCGATATCATCTTCGTTTTCGTTTTCGTTTTCGTTCTCGTTTTCGTTTCCGTTCCCATTTTCTTTCTCGTTTTTGTTTTCGTTTCCATTCTCGTTCTGATGCCGTCCAGCACTGTGCCGAGACTGGGACTATACATGTCAGCTGTTTTCTCACAAATGTTCTGAACAGAGGTATCTTCTTCGACGACAAGGTTCCTCCGCACTAGTGGGGACTGGCATCCGGTGAGATTGATCCTCCAGCTAGGCTATGGCCGAGGCGCAGCATTGATAACATCTTCGATCTGCTCAAATCTCGCTTGAGCCATCTTCAAGCTTAAATTGTAGAGGTACGCTCTCACTATATCAGCAGCTTTTTGTCATCCATCACCCATATCACCTCCTCGACAAAACTCTATTGCATCGAGGCAATGTTCTTTTGAAGACCCTTACGCCAGGCGGAATACTTTCACTAGTGCTAGTATGTGCTGCCCAAAGTACTTCACCGACACCTGCCGAGCTTGCTGCTTTCGGCACGGCCTGGGAAACATCGCAGCATGCCTACCCTGATTCATCATGGTACGACACGCCCACGAATTTCTCCGATACCATAGCGCCTGGTGAGATTCTCAAGATTGAGTACGCCACAAACTTGACGAACTACACTTTGCCCGGAGGCTTAAGTATGTCCCGCATCATTTACACCACGCAGAACGTGCATGGTGCGGTCTTACCAGCGTCTGCCTACATCATCTGGCCGTATCATGCACTGTCTGCTGACGATGATCTGGGATATGACGTCGTGCTGTGGGCACATGGTACCACTGGGGTATTTCCGACCTGCGCTCCAAGCAACTATCGTAGCCTCCAGTATCACTTCATGGTTCCGTACCTACTTGCGAACCAAGGCATGGCAGTCGTTGCCCCTGATTATGCTGGTCTTGGAGTCGGAGCTTTTGCAAATGGGACCAAGATCCATCATCCCTGGGCAACCTCACCCGCACAAGCCAATGATATGGCGTACGCCCTGGCTGCCGCCCGCTCAGCCTTCCCACAGTATCTCGTGGCAGAAGGACCTTATGTCGCTATGGGCCATTCTCAAGGTGGAAGGGCTGCATGGGGCTATATCGAACGTCAGGCTGTGACCCCAGTCGCTGGCTATCGCGGTACAGGTCAGAAGCTTATGCCCCTAAAGGCCCTTATCAGACATTCACTGACCATCGCGCTGTAGTCTTACTCGCGCCCGCCTCGAATCCTCTCGAAATCATAAAACAGACCATCCAGAATCCCAAGCTCCCTTGGTCGATCCCAGGTCAATCTCTACAGGTCCTTACCATTGATGCCGTTACTGCTGTATATCCCTCATATAACTGGTCGGGTTACACCGAATTATCCTCCGAGATCTACCATAGTGCATACGCGCCCTACGAAGCTTGTCTGCCGACCGAAAATATTCTTTTCGGAACACTGACCTCTGAGCAAATTGCGAACCCAGACTGGTTTGAAGCCCCAGAAGTGGTAGCATGGCAGAATCTGACACAGGTTGGCAACAAGCGTTTCGCTGGACCGGTACTTCTGCTTGCTGGTAACAACAATGGCTCTGACGGTATCATACCATTTGATGGACCATTCTCGTCGTCTATACTTTCTTCGGTAGACCTTCTTTGCGGGCTGATGGAAAAGGAGAAATGGGACGAGTCGCTCGAGGTGATGGGTTACAAAGACGTTAATCATTTCCCTCTCATTCAGGCAAGTGAGAGTATGTGGCTGGACTGGATCAAGCAACGCCTCGACTCAGCTTCGTCCTCGCCGCCTCTT